ATATAGTAGGAAGCCGTTTCTTTGTACAAAGTACATCAAGTTTATAAGAAGATGCCAACTATGATTCCATGGTCATTTGGCATGACCGACTGACCATATTCTCACTCTTTCGCCCAGGATCACCACCCCAAACCAAGCCACCCCAATAGGTCAACGGGCTAATCAGTCCCAGAAATAGGAGATCGCTGGTTGGTCGTGTGAAGCCGGATGGTGTGGGGAAACAAGATTGGCGCCGTCGAGTTTTCAGGGCGACTTCGTAACCGGGCGGAGCATCGTCGTGTACTTTGTCACTCCGTCCCCGCTTCTTGCGCGCTTAGTAGAAATAATATGTAGTCAAGTCTAAAGAAAAGAAAAAGAAACCAAACAATCGTACGATTCAAGTCTCTTGGATATGCTACAATAACCTTTCCCCCCTTTTTTTTTCTTGGGAAGATCACCTCATCCCATTCCGACTTGCGAGTGGGCCGCAAGATAATGTACTGGCTCTGATCCTCGGGCCCGAAATGATCCCTGTTGGTCCAGAACCGCGTTCGATAATACAATATCTTCTTGGCGATCATTGACCCAAGAAGCGACCCGAGCAAGAAGATCTGGGTCGGGTCAATCTACCTAATTATTTGTACTCCGTACGGGAAGCACGGTACCTAATCTGGATGGGTGGGGAAAAAAAAAAGAAGACAAGTTGACCCATAGCTCGTACAGTACGGAATCCACAGTGACAGATTGGTTTGTTTCTAGCGCTTGGAAACCTGCTAACTTGATTTTGTACGGTCAGTGCGATGAAAGGACCAAGCTCGACCTGAACTTGGACCTGGACCTGGGCCTCGTTGGTTGTCTCTACTTCTGGAGAGGTGGCTTACGCTGACAAATTCTCACCGAGTATTCTCTCACCCAAGTATTCTTAGCGTCGGATCCTTTTTTGGGGAGAGGAGGGGGGTTTTCCCTTAGCGCCCTCTCCCCCTCTTCTTACTACTTTTTGGGAACTTGAATGGGGTAACAGTCATGAAGTCGGTGTGATAGAGGAACACATCACACTTGAGGATGGAAGGTCGTCACTGACATCTGTCATGGGCGCCAATTGAGTTTCAACAAGCGTGCGCCAACTAAGATTGACTCCTGTTCACCCGCTAGTCTGGGACCTGCCATTCAATACACCTGAAACACGGATAACAGTCCTCCGTTGATTTGTTCAAGGTTTTATGGGGCCGAAATGCACCGAAGTGCAGTAGGTGTGAGAAGGAAGGAAGGAAGGAATAAAACGGATCCTTCTTTTTCGTAAATCGAAGAAATTAGTGGCGAGAAATGCGAAAATAATCCGCAATAGTATACTCCGTTCGGAATAGTTAATGTTATCATCATTACATATAACGACGATATTAAGTTGAATTAAAATAACAATTATTGAAAATCGAAAACCGAAAATCGAAATGATGATCCGGTGTAAATGAAGACCATCGCAGGGCAAAAGAAACTTTCGAGCCACGAGCAGAATGCCGATCTTTAATTTACATCGCCCGGGGTTGATTGGGCCAGGAAAACGAGAAGGGTATAGTCCAATATCCTTTAGTGAAGCCTAGCCTGATATGAGTTGGACGGTCCAGTGGGAGAGAAGGAAAACCCACCGCATCCAAGCCCCATACAGTCTCCATGAAGATCAACCTAACCACAGAAGTAATTGTATACAGTAAGCACAATGTGCGGAGTGTGGCGTTATCCAGAGCTCCATCATACAGGATCAAAGCGTATATACTGTACAGTTCATACATAGATCGTACTCCGTAGTTCAAGTTCTTGTAACAGTCGTGGCTGAACAATCAATGTCGGCGTGGCAGTGTGACCTGGATCTGCTGAGGATCTCCCGCGAAAGTTTTCACCAGGATCCAATGAGCCCCAGTGCATCAGGTACGGGACCCTCTTGCCCCTCTGAAACTCAAAGCCACAGACGAGAGACTTTATGAAGGTCCCGAGAAAGCCAATACAGAAACCTTGCGACGCGTGGAGTACGACCGGTTCTGCACATCCATTAGAGCTGATTGGAAAAGGCTGGGGGTACGCCCGGCGGAGATGAGCCGGGGGTTGGGTTCTCTGGACTAACGCGCTCAGTCCTCTTGAGTAAGTGGATATTTGGTATCCCTTTCGGATATGCTGACGACACTTTTTTTTGGTTTTTGATTCTGTATTATTCATCATCATTCGTTTTCGAATTACATGTGTTTACTGTAGGGTAGATATTTCCCTAATGTAGTAGGTGGGAGAGGGGAAAGGGGAAAGTCGGAAGTCCGTTTGAATCGGTGTCCGCAGTCCATGGGTGTTGTATGTAGATGTGAGTCCAAGCGTGGCATGCTTGGACCATGCGCCGAGATCTCTCTCAAACTTCTCTCTGACGTGCCGTTGGGTGATCATGTCCCGCCCCAGGCTGTGATGTCTTGGGTGTGGAGTTCCATTTTTCAATAGTTCCGGTGCACATACAGTGCGTCTCTCCACTTGTTGAGATTCCCTCTTTTTTCATGATTCTTGGTTTGTTTCTTGGTATTCGTGGTATTCTTGCTGAGTGTGGAATATAATTTTTTTGGTTAATTTTTTTTTTTTATAATTGTTTCATTTTCTGTCTGTATCTTTTGGGCAGTCCAAGTGTTCATCTTCCTGAGTACAGGACCGTTGGGAAAGAAAACTATTGGGGAGACAGCCATTTCCCCGATCGCCGACAGTTGATTGGGGAAAAAAGAATGGAGGATGTTCTTGATCGGACCCTGCTGACACGGACATTCACACAACTGGCTCGGTGAACCATGGTTGGTGGGAGCAGGAAAAAGGAAGTGGGGGGATTGTGTGTGTAGAGGACCGTACAAATGCAAGGATTTTGCCTCCTGCTCTTGGTTGTACATACTCGGAGTATACAGTAGGTTAGTTATTACAACCAATGATAAGCTAGACCGTGCCAATGATGCTGGAATGCTATTACTCGTACTGTCAGTAACCAAGAGTAGCCAAGAGACACTAAAATAGGGAGGTGGCTAATGCCCGTTTTACCCATTCTGTCGGGGCAAAGATGGCTGAGTCAGACGGGAGGAATGGAGCAACGATTGACGTGGTGCCGGAGTAAAGTGACCCTCCGATCCCAAAATCCATGGGCTCCACCCAGTGATCGTCCATGGCACGGGTCTATGATGATTGCATTTCTTTTGCGGTTAGGGATCTTGTTGAGTTTTTGGTTTCGCACTTTTTCGCACTGGGGATAGCGCGGGTACAGTTTACCTGCTAGAGTAGCTCGACAGTAAGCATTGGATTTCAAGAGGGTCCTATCCGTTATAGTTTGTAGCTTGAGATAACATTAGTTCCAGTTTATGACGAACATTTTATTCAGAATAAACTCGGTACCTGCTTGCTCTTTATTTGCTTTTTCTTTCTTTCTTTTCACTATTTCTGTTTCTATTTCTGTTTCTATATTATTATTTTCGGTTTTCAGATATATATATACATATATTATAAATATTTCTTTTTCTTCCGGAGGGTATGGATGGTGAAATCATCGGCGATGTTTCATCTGTCAGAAGCTCCGTATTTCTCCGCTACACCGTGAGTAGTATACGTACTGGGCACCTGGGCGGAATACCATATTAGAAACCGAGGTTTGTAAGCTGGAATCCTCATGATAGATATTCATGTCTATATTGATTTCAATATATGCTCTTTATATTCTATATCTATTTAAATAGTCACTGATTATACTCCTATACACTCCGCAGTAATAGCTTGTTCCATCGCCCCGCAATTTCGAACCCTCCGAAGCTCCAACGTGACCACGGCGATCCTTTCTGCAGTTCTCGGCCCCCCTGATTGCTCTTTGCATCATCGGTCTTTGCCCTATTCTATTACCTGTACATCCCTAGTCAGTTGAGTCTTTTTTATCTTACCATTTTCTATTATTTATCATTTTGTCATTTTTATTCCCAATTTTTTATTAATTTTTTATTTTTATTTTTATTTTTATTTTAATTATTTGATTTTATTTTAATTCTTTTTTTTCTTTCTTCCCCTCCAATCTTTTAGATTGATTTTCTTCGAAGAACACTAGAAACCAACCCCATCAAACTGGAAAAAAAAAAGATAATATAATTTATTTAAATATAAAATGTGAGAATAATAAAATCGAATAAAAAAATAATCATCTAAAATTCCCACGATATCCTCATGGCTTCTTACTCTTGGTAATCGCCTCTCCCACTCTCCTCCACTTCCCACCCCTCTTCCCTCACAATATAATTCACAACCCACACACGCATACACCATACTACTACTACTACACACGCCAATATAGGTGCATCATCGGTGGATCTACTCCTGATCAACCCTCCCCTCTTCTCCCACTTCCCCCTTCTGCCAAAACCATAAATCATTAAAGCTTGGGAATTGCCGCAGGATCCGTGGAACCACCCAGCCAGTCTCCAGCAGATCCCCATAATCTCCAGAGAGATCGGGTGCAACCTGCTGAGTCGCTCTCCTGTTTGGGTCCGTGCTTATTTCCATCTTCTCTTTCCCTGGGCGATCCCTGGCTCTGGAGAGGAGAGAGCGATAGGCAGAGAGACTAGCAGAGGAGAGAGTCTAGAGAGGAGGGGTTAGAGTGAAAACCAACTCCGCTCCCACTTCTCCAGACCCTGGTCGATCTCCTTTAGCTTATTTTTTTTCCTTTACAGTTCGCGGTCCTTAACTCTTTTCTTATTTTATTTTATTTTCTATTTTATTCCTTTTTTTTCCTTTTTGGAACTCCAGGGAAACTTTGGGAGGGCCATTTCTTATTCGGAGACCCTTCTTTTTTTTCTCGGTTTCCAACATACATCTCTACCTATCTGTCTGCTCTCTCTTCCTCTATTGATCCCTGCTTGTCTCTCTTTCCCCTAACCCCCCCCTCCCTTTCCACATCTTCCCTAACCTCAACTTTCCTTCTCAATCAACTCCATAATTTCATACTCCCTTTGCTCCCATTACCGCTCTTTCCCATCATGGTGAATGGGACGGCGGCAGTGTTAGAGCCCACATTTACCGGGTATGTGGCCACCACGCAAGATGCGCTCATCTTATTCGAGGCCTGTTTGACGGGCGTGCTGCACCATGTACCTCGGCGACCCCACGACCGAGAGCGGAGCCACTTGGTACGCAGTGGAAGCGTCTTTATCTATGAGGAGAATTCATCAGGTATTAAAAGATGGACCGACGGTGTCACTTGGAGTCCCAGTCGCATTTTGGGCAATTTCTTAGTCTATCGCGAGTTGGACAAACCATTTCCGCCCGGCGAAAAGAAACGCGCGATGAAGAAAGCGAACAGACGACCAGCACCACCCACTCGCCCAGGTGAACCATATCCACGACATGAAAGCAACGGTCCAAGCTACTCCCCGACTTCACCACCAGGAGGAGCATTTGGAGAACGACCTCACCAGTCGGAGATGGAGCGCGCGTTGGTCGGGTCGCTGGTCGATTCGTATGGTTTCAAGGACTCCGGGTTGGTAAAGAAGACGATGAGTGTGACAGTGATGGGGATAACCCACCATCTTGTTTCTTACTACAGTGTGGACGATGTGATGCGCGGGGTGCTTAACCCACCTTCCATGGTGGAATCACTACGATATATTCGCCCCCGTGTAGACCTGACCCAGAAACAAAGCTTCCGTGCCCCCATCGATGATCTCGAGTCAAATGCGATGGAAAGTGCTGCCCACGATCCGTCTCACGCCGCCCTCTATGGGTACCGCCCGCAGATGATGCCCCCACCACCCACCTATGGAATGACGAACCCGTCAGCCGATTTCTATATGCACGCCAGTCCCTATACCACTACTCACGCCCCGCAGGCTGGTCCAATAGCAGGATACTCCATGGGTGGGAATATGTCAGGTCAGCCAGCACCAAACCCATACCTCCCATCCCCCGCGGTCGCCGCTGCGATGGCGCCCAAGCAAGACGATTATCACGCATTCCGAGCGGGACCATATGGAGGCAGCATGGACTCGATGAGCCACAGCCTGTCATCTTCCATGTCGGGTGGCATCAATACAAACATCCCCGGATCTATCAGCGAGCGTAACCGTTCAACATCGGATCACAGCCCATCGGCTTATCGCAACTCTTCGATTTCCTCTCGAAGCATCGCAACTGATGCCACTTCGCCTATGGACCCTTCTACGCCAGCGACATATTCCCGAGGCAGCTTCAGCCTGTCTGGACATATGGACACAAACCCTAACGCCCCTCTCGACTCGCGTGGTCTCGGCCCTCTTGATTCTAGTGTGCCTCGCCGCGAATCTAACCCCGTCCATCCATCTTACTACACTGCGGATCGCTCGCAATACTACGTGGGAGCCGCAACACCTGTGAATCACCCCCACTATGCGGCCTGGACAACCACTGCACCGGCTCAGCCTCAAATCTAATTCATCTGAAATCAAACAACTATTCGGTGTTAGGCTGGGTCTATTTTGTACGGAAGGTCTCATGTTTTCTTGTCTTGTTACGCCTCTTGTTTATCTGCGGTTGCTTTTCTTTTTTTCAAGGTGCAAAGGATTGGCTTTTTTTTCCCACGACAGTCAATTCTGAATTTTCACGAATATTTGGGAGCGTGGGGAGTCTCAGGGCGGTTTTTTGATTACGATTACCTATTTTGTTCTGCTCGATTATTATTATCTTGTTATCTGGTTTCAAGCTTCTGGGATGGATTCGTGATTTCTGTTCTTGCTTGGCGATAGACTTATTCTGGCTTTTGGAGCGAACGGTTGGAAACAGCAGGTTGAATGATAATCTTGCTCAAGTTCCCAGGTCGCTTCCATGCAAGTGTATTTCATGATGTCTGTCTATATGACCCTTGGATTACCCTGGGTGTGCCTTTTTATCCTTTTTTTGTTTTGTTTTCCCATTATGCTACTGCGTGTGGCTCTCTGACTTCCTTTCTCTATATTTTGCGCTTGCCCTTGTTCTGATTGATTCCACGTTTCAATATTTGGGAAATAATCCCCCGGCGGCGTTTTGTGTGATTCCCTGATGATGAGATGCAACAACCCCGACAACCCAAAACGTTACTTTGGTCTTTACCCTTCTATATTATTCTATTCTCCCTTCTTTTTTCCATGCTACTCTATTCCTTTGGATCCTGACGATCCTCAATATTACTTTCCAGCCCCCCCTCAATTGTCCCCCTACCCTCTCTCTCGCTTAGTGGGGTACTGTCTGCTCTAGCTTCTCCACTCAACCGCTGGCATCCATACCCTGAGCTGAACGGAAGCCTTGTGCCACCTTGCTTCGTATGGGTCTATCGGTGTTCTGTTCTGGGTCTGGGTCTTAAGCCCTGCCTATACAATGCCAAAGGATCAGTCAAGGTTTGATGAGTCCTCCACTTGAACCTTATACTATCATGCCAATGCTGGGTCTGCCAGATATTCATGACTAACTAGGTTTTGGTGGATATAGCCTTCACTGCTCCTTCCAAGCTCCAGGGTGGGATCTCTCCTGTTTATTCCGTATCGTACCGCTGTATGAAATTTTCTTTTCTGTTATAGGTGGATCTGTCGGGATAGTGACAGCATCAAGGCTGGGCGAAGCGCTTCGCAGCTGGGGCATTCTTGCCTCCCACTCCTTTTGGGGGCGGTTCTTATCTCAATTGGAGGATATTTGACTTGAGAACTCACTGGGCTTAGAAATGAAAATGATACCTCTTAGCCTTTGCTTTTGCTAAAGAATAATGCATGTGCTTTTAGTTTGAACGGTGACTTCTTCCTAGATTCATAATTGTTTGTAGTATTGTATGCCAATCGACTCTTTACAGGCTGTCACTAGGTAGATAAAAGACTCTGCTACCACCCGAGAAAGCATTAATGTTACAGACATCCCATAATAGGATGTTGGTGTTCATATCCTCGTGGTGATAGTGTGGCTGTCAAAAATGTGTGGGGTATGTGGCTGAAAAGGGCCAATCACGATTCGTAGAGTTCAATCACCTTGGCTATTAAGCATTTTCACTCAAATTTGAGTCCACTTCATTTATAATTACCTGTAGTTTATTTTACTAAGCTGTGGTCAACTGGAACCCGAACGATCGTTCATGATATGTTTCTCAAAATTTCTGTCCTTGATTGGACTTGCTGAGATGTTGGATAGCCTATCCGCTTACAGTGGTCAATAGTTAACACTATATGGATAGGATCTTGTCAGTCTCAAAATTGAGCAAGAAAATTCAAATAACTTATGAAGTGCTAGCAATACTGCTATCGATACATGGTCGTTTATTTTTTATATCATCAATATGGCACAAAATTTACTACTACTTGAATATCTAGTACCGCAGCCGATGTGCATTATTAGACAGCGCGACAGAACTATAAAAATGAACCTCGATTACGCAGTACTGTACGGAACTTTCTGTGATGCCAATAATTAGGATATCAATGCTGATATTTAGGAGATATAACCATTTTCCCACCAATTTCTCAAATTTTTCTTTTCAATATGAAGCGTTGAGTCCTGCTTCGTTCAGGCTTCAAGTTGAGGGCCACTCGGAAGCTTTTAAGACTGTCCAAACAAGTCCGAAAGCCTAAACCACAATTACCACCCCATTTCAAGATCGCAATGTGCTCCCTTTCTGTTGAGAGAACATATTAATGATGATTATATATCATATCATCACAGCTAACCTGTTTGGGAACGGGGTAATACAAGGCTGCCGATTGCCAATTAATGCCAGCGCAGACCTCGGTAAAAGAGACAAAAAAAGTCCAGATGTAAGACAAGGCCTCCAAGGCTTGGGCGCCCGTTCAAATTCAAGTAAATAGGTACTTATGCTGAACTTGAAGTAGTTTGCGCTCGGGTAGTCTACCCGGTGAGAAAAGTTACATATGGAAAGAAACGCACATCAGATACTAATTCCTTCACAAACAAGTAGGCTAAACAAAGATCTATAATAAATATCTAAACCCGCAGATGTTACTTGATTCCCGACGGCCGAAGTGCCGCTCTGAACCCGCAGTGTTGCGTGGATATGGCAGGGATCTTACAAGGTTAGTGGGTCAACATGCAGATCGCACTAAAGTCCGCTCTGAACCCGCTCAAACGACCCCCGCTTTCGAACATTTCCATGTCGCAGAACGTCGCACATCCGGCTATCAAGATCCGGGTGGATGTGGCTCGTCGCAAATTTAGATATGACGATTATTCACAAGGTAAATAATGCGGTTCCTGGGAACTCGGCAAGCGTGCGCACAAACGCGTGAACACCAAACGCTGACTGAATATATAAAAGCTCGTCTCAATCCCACAATAAGCACTCATTTTCACTCCTCAATCAGATCTTCAGTCATCCACAAGCCTCAGCATATAATTCAACAGAATATTACCACTAGTATCAGTCAGCCTGCACCCCGCAATGGGATCTCTGAATGGCATGACAAACGGGTCCTCTCAACATGGGCTACGCAACTTTGTTGACGTGATTGATGAACTCGCACTGAATGAACCCAATCGAACGATCGTCTCTATTCCCCGCTCTTCAAACGCTAAAGACGGATGGAAAGACTTAGGTGCTTCTGAATATGCCAACGCTATTAATCGCCTAGCCCATTGGATAGTCGACCAGTTCGGCCGCGCTAAAGAAAATGACTACCCCACTGTTGCGTATATTGGTCCTAATGATGTTCGCTACCTCATCGTACTGGTAGCCACAATTAAAGCCGGATACAAGGTATGGTTATATACCCCAATTCCCGAAGTTTTCAGTTTTAAACATGGATAACGGACATCTAACATTTTGACACAAATATAGGCTCTTTTCATCTCTCCGCGAAACAATATCGAGAGTCAGATGTCCTTGTTCGAAGCCACGGACTGTCAATTTATTCTCCACACGGAGGAATATGATGAAGCCATCAAACCATGGCTGGGAGCTCGTCCGATGAAATCTAGTGCAATCGGCGCGATCAGCGATATGCTCAATGTGGAAACTGTTCCATCCTTCCCTTACCACAAATCCTTTGAGGATATTCGCGACAAGCCGGCTTTCATTCTTCACACCAGTGGTAGTACTGGAATTCCCAAGCCGATTATTTGTCGCCATGGAGTCCTCTCTTTGGCTGATGCATACCGCAACAGACCCGACTTTGCAGGATATCGTCATATCATAAAGGCTTTCTCGCAGATGGCAACCAAAATTCTGTGTCCAAGTATGTGTTATTGATGAGAATGAGGGTTAAAGTGATTTACTGACAGATGATTCAATTCAGTGCCTTTGTTTCATGCCCTTGGTATCTATATCTACATTAGTACTACTATTTTCTTTGGCACGCCTCTGGTACTTCCAATTCCGGACCAAGCAGTGACACCAGATGCTATCTGTTCTTTTATCAAACACTCTGGAGCTGATGCGGCCATTGTCCCACCATCTATCCTAGCAGACATGAGCTATGAGACGGAAGACATCGAATTCCTGAAGAAGCTTTCATTCGTGTCTACTGGTGGAGGTGGTCTAGACACCGAGGCTGGTGATCGGCTTGTTGAGGCGGGTGTTACCCTCGCTAACATTATTTCAACCACAGAGTAAGTCAATTGTATTCATCAAGGGTCTCATTTTCATTTTCTAATGGCTGCTAGATCCGGGCTCTATCCCGTTTACTTCCAATCGAACACGAAGTTGTGGAACTATTTCGTTTACGACGATGAAACCTTTGGCGCCGAGTACCGTCCGTACGGCGAAAACACGTTCGAACAAGTGATTATTCGTCGTGACAAAAATCCTGGCATGCAAGGCATCTTTTGCACTTTCCCCGAGCTTAATGAATATTACACCAAGGATCTTTATCGACCCCATCCTACAATTCCTCATCTTTGGCGCCACTCCGGACGCGCAGATGATGTAATCGTGTTTTCCAATGGTGAAAAACTGAACCCGGTCTCAATAGAGTCTGCGGTCAGTACTCATCACGATCTCCAAAGAGCCATTGTGGTCGGCCAAGGAAAGTTCCAAGCTGGTATTTTCCTCGAACCCCTGAAATTTCCTAAAGACAATGCGGCTGCACTCGAGCTTATCGAGAGTGTCTGGCCTATGATTGATCAGGCTAATCAGCAGACCGTTGCGCATGGACGAATTGCGCGTCACTTGGTCAGGATCTCTGATCCTACTAAGCCCATCCCGGCTTCTGCTAAGGGATCCCTTCAACGGGTTGCATTTTTGACAACCTACAAAGATGAAATCGAGTCCCTTTATAGCGAGAGCAATTCTGAAACAATAGAATTGTCTCTTGAGAATGAAGGCGCTCTTATGAAATCTCTTCACGAAATCATCGAAACCTCTCTGGGAGTGAAGGTCATCGAGCCCGATACAGACTTCTTTGCCACTGGTATTGACTCGCTTGGAATTATCAACCTTGGCAAACTCATTACAGCTGGTCTGCAAAGTGCTGGTGTGCCCAAAGACCGCTCTACAGTAACAGTTCGAGCAATCTACGGCAACCCATCCCTTCAAAAGCTGTCTCAATATGTCTTCGCCCGAGCCTTCCTAGACTCCAATACCAACGGAGTAGATGAGGTAGAGGTCGCAAAGAAGGTTCTGGAAAGGTTTAGCATTGCGCCCATCAATGAAACCATTTCCAACAAGCCCTTGCCTAGCGACACAAACCAGACTATCATTCTTACCGGTTCCACTGGTAGTCTCGGTTCTTATCTCTTGGACCTCTTGGAAGGTAGTGACTCCGTTTCAAAGGTCATTTGTCTCAATCGAGGTGCCGATGGTGGCAGACAGAGACAAATACAAGGTAACGCAGAGCGTGGTCTCCGAACAGACTTTCCAAAGACAGAATTCCTCGAGGCAGATTTGTCGAAAGACAACCTTGGACTTAGCCCTGCTCTCTATCAAAGTCTTCTTTCTTCAACGGATCGCATCATACATAACGCCTGGCCAGTCAACTTCAACCTATCAGTTGAGTCTTTTGCACCCAGCATCCATGGTGTTCGAAGTCTAGCAGAATTCTCCTTCCGAACTATCAAACACGTGCCCATTATTTTCTTGTCATCCATCGGCTCAGTCGATCGCTGGGCAGGGCCAGACCTAGTCCCCGAGATCCTTCAGACGGATCTGAGTCTCGCTTCGACAGGATATGGCCAATCAAAATTCATCGGTGATCTAATTCTACAACAAGCATACGAGAAACTCAACGTTCCGAGCGCAGTGATCCGGGTCGGCCAAATCTCCGGCCCACGAAGCGAAAAGGGAGCATGGAATAAACAAGAATGGCTCCCGACTATTATCTCTTCATCGGTGGCTCTTGGAAAGCTTCCAACTGATCTTGGTGCAAATGACACAGTCGATTGGGTTCCGGTAGAGGATGTTGCCAAGTCCGTTCTGGAAATTTCGGGAGTTCTATCCAAACATTTGCTCTCTGAGATCTCCGGACACTTCCATATTGTCAATCCTGCTATTACAAATTGGAAGCATCTTGCTGGAGCTGTGAAGGAATTCTATGAGCAACAAGGTCGTGAGATTGAGCTTGTGGATATGGCAACTTGGGTCAAGGCTGTTGGGGCTAGTTCTGGTGATGGAACTGAGATCCCAGCTGTGAAGCTTTTGGATACCTATAACGCGCTCGTGGCTGGCGAGTCTCACTTTTCAGGGTTCTCCACAACGAAGACTAGAGGAGTGAGCACGACATTGGATCAAATGACTCCGGTTGATTCCGATCTGATGAAGCTGTGGTGTCGACAGTGGGCTTTCTAATCAGCATTCCATCTGCATTTGTACATAAAATCAGGTTGCATTCGTTTCATATTTTGTGAAGAGATTAGTAGACCATTCAAAGAACTTTCAGAAACCTCAGTATCATCCCCAGAAATCCTGCCGAGGATTGAGAGTCAGACCATGGCAAAGTAACTTCAAGTTGACTAGTGAGATTACGAGTGGGACCCGATGCATCCGAATTCGAAGGATTCAGCCGGTCAAAAGCTTGCACCCGAATAGTGCTTTAATTTCAGTAAAGGATCTCAGAGTTTGTTGGTGCAGGGCTCCAGCTCCGACCGGGCGGCTGGGGAATGTGCCTGTCCGGATATGATGCCTATCACCCGTGGAAACAAACTATCCATCAGCCAGAACATAAAGCCTAGGTAGGTCAAGTTTGGTCTGCTGGATACTATGAAAATTTGCAGTATTTCATACACGAGTAAGTTCTTAGAACAGAATCAAAGTATTGAGTAGTAAAACAGCGGTGTCAATTATGTGGAGTTTCTGATTGACAAGGCTATCACTAGTAGATCCTGTCCAGCTGCCAAGATGCTTGGACTGTAGCCTAATGGAAGCAAGCAGTTCACCTGTCTCCAATCTGGCTCCAGCTGAAACCCTTGTTGGGCTTTATTACCAATCTACCTTATTTTACATCCATCATCAAATACTAGTCACTAAAAAATCGCTATAATATTGACCGTATCAAGATGAACAATCTCCGTGAATCCTTGTTGAGTCCTTCACCAAAGGGCACCTCTGATCGAAGGGCCTTGGACGGCAGGTTTGAAGATAAACACGACGTGCAGGAATCCGCTGCCCGAGGGGAACTTGAGGAACTCCGGGGCGCAGCCTTTTTCAATCGAACTTGGGTCGTTACGGACCGATACTGCAGTGTTGGAGATGGTGTTGATTCACTTGAAGGCTACCTTCATTCCTTATGGCATATATACTGCCAGCTGGCCCGATACACTTCTCATGAGACAACCGACCAGGATCGTTTAGTCCTCGACATCCTCCGCATCCAGGGCCAGGGGCCATTGACTCGGCCAGTATCAGGTGTGTACGGTATCGACGTTGCACGAACGATCGAGGGCACACTATGGAACGACCTACCATTCTTGGTGACTGACATGACCGAGTTCTGGATCAAGAATTGCGCGACAATGTCGGGAAATCATCGGTTGAACTTCGCGTCGTACTTAGCTAAATTAGCGTCGACTCGAGTCAGTAAAGATAAAGTGTGCCAGGTTGCCCTCATTTTATTCCGAAACACGTTTGAGGAGGGACGGGAGCTTCGCTGCAGTGAGGAGCCGGACAATGAGAATCCAAAACGAGGGATCAGAGATCTTGATATTGTCCACTTGCTGCCGGCTGCCTGTGCGTGGATCAAAGAGGCAGGTCATAACCTCATTCTTCTTTCGGAAGTCTCGTGGAATGATTGTCATAGTGCAATTGGCAAGAGTGGTCATTTGTTTATTGAGTCGGAGTTCGGGAAACGGTCGCCTGATGGGTTCACACCCTGGAGATGGATGTACTGGCTGAAGAGGCTACACGAGATCCAGGAAGAGGCCAGGAATGCTGAAGAGAAGCAAATTGTGCAATATACCACCGACGCTATTGGGTTCATGGTTAAAGTTGTCGAAGAACGAAATTCTGAAATTCTGAGGGCTTACCAAGTCGGTGGAGATGTCTTGCATCAGGATAAACATTTGTTATGCTTGAGCAATCTTGTGAATGGGGAAGCTTCAGGCCCAGAAGAGAGTGAACCGGTGAATTAACAATGGACATGTCCCTTGCCTAGTATGGACTTTTCCGTCCTGGGGACTCTTTACGGTTTTGTATATCATGATACAGCCAAACAACTTATTTGGATTTACTTATAAGTTTATCGTAACCATGTAAACGGGTATACATTTACAAAAGATATGATGACGCTATGCAATGAGAATTTTGACTGGATATCACTGAGTGTCATTAGAGATTAAGATACATGCAATTGGTATGGATAAAATCATGCCTCCGGACAGGGATAGAAGTTTTTCCAGTACCAACGCCACAATGTTCTGGATGCTTCTATATCTTGAGTAGATGTAGCAGCCGCCTTTACCAGATTTTGAGTCTTATTGAAAGGTATTTTTCTCTCCTCAAAGCAGCGGAGAAAAGCCTTGATTAGCCTAGTATACCCACGGTTTTTTGCAATCTCAATAAACAAAGGAACTCCAGATCTGCTACAATTCTTCTCACATTGATGCACAGTAAATGGGTCTGCCCCCTTTCTGAGAAGAAGAGCAGTGGCTCTTTCCCGGCATGCTAGGCCGGTCCCGAATTTGCCGTTTACGACCATGAACAAAGGCGTACTTCTAGAAGTAGGGCTTTGCCACCCGATGTCTGCTCCATACTGCAGTAGAAGATCAACAGTATACTCAGCGATTCCGGAACGGCGGTCCAATGACGCTGCGATGGCCAGGAGACTGCTTGATCGGCACCGCACCGAATTTCCCGGTGTATTAGGGTCGAATCCGGCTTCTAGGAACCATTCCATAGTCGCGGTATCGCCGCTCTCAACGGCTGTGAGAAATGCTACTTCATGACAAGGGTTGCCTTTCTGAGGCGTAATACCCATGTGCTGTGCCACAAGCTTGAATATATCTGGTCCTCCTTTTGCAGCTGTCATAATGGTATCACGACTATCCCCCATTTTGGGCACGAGGACGTCTTTTTCGATTAGGAGACGAACAGTTTCGACGGGTGCTTTCTGGTCCGATGCATTCCATGGCTTATTATAAATCAATAATTCGAATAGAGTCTTAGGCTGGCGAGGAAATGGATTTGCTCCTCGGTCGAGAAGTAATCTTAGAATGTCAACTCGATCCTGCCTAGTAGCTGCCATGAATATTGGTGGATAGTACCCGTCTCGGCTTTGTCTGTCATTGACTACACCTCTTGGGTCTGCTCCATAATCGAGCAGCAAGCTAACCAGGTCGATATAGCCACCTGATATGGCAATCATCATGCAGGAGCTAAGGTGATCCTTCCATTCTTCAGGTCCAACTATCGGACGTTTTGTAGACCAATCAGCGTCCAATAAACTCTTTACCAACGCATGATGACCACCGTGCATTGCACCAACCATGAGAGACACCAATGGGCGCAGACTATCCCCGTGAACAATATCATCCAGATCGATTTTTCCGAGCAAAAATTCAGATTCTTTGGGATTTTTCCCTACTGCACATCCAACCACATGCAGAGGGTTGTCGTAATGAACATAATCAAGCACATGGGCACAAGGCGAGTAATATGGCATTTTGAGTTTAACGCCTTGTTCAAAAAGACACCTAGCAAGTGGCAGGTTGCCAAATCGCAGAGCTTGCACCAATTTCTGGTGATCGCTGTTTCCGGGGTCGGGTGAAGAGGAGGGGCGTTTGGCAAAAGCAGGCGGTACACCTTTATCAATGAACATATGAAGAATATCGTGAGCGCGAGAGGTAGCAATCGTCCACGCGGTGTCCTCAGAAGGTCCATTCCGTCGGAAGTTCGGAGTGTGGGGATTGCATCCATGATCAAGGAGAAGGCTGGCGATGGACAAATGATTTTCTTTTGTCGCCAAAAACAAAGGCTGCATTATTTCGATATTTTGAAGAGTACATTCCAAATCAACACCATGGTTTATCAAGAGTGCAACCACTGACTCGTGGCCACCTTTGATTGCGGCTATCAACGGGTTACCATAACGTTTTGTTTCAAGTTGGCGTCCATCTCCATAGAATCCAGTGAAGGGATTTGGGTCTACTCCATGATCTATAAATGCTTTCACAACTTGTGTGTGTCCCTTTTCTGCCGCGAGGATGATCGGATGCCACTCATATTGAGGCATTGGAATCTCAATTCTGGCTTCAAGTAGCCTGCGCACAGAAGAGTCCCTTCCATTTATACAGGCCCAACGAAGAGCTTGACGCTCTGTGTGTGGTTCTCCTGACTGCTTGAATATATAACGAAGGTTGAAGTCGAGCCGCTTCTTGACGAGGTAATGAAACAAATGAGTTGTCTGCGACAGTGCGCAAAGATCAATGCTATAATTCACATGCTTGATGATTTCTCGCAAGAGCTCACTCGGGAGCTCAACAAGATGTAACTTCTGTGCCATAATTACTCCAATAAAGGCGATAGGTGGAAGATTGAACAATAGAAACCAGTCATTTTGCCCCTTAAATGGTGACTAGCGATGGCTTCAGGTTATGAGTCAATTTGAAATTTTGCTTTTGCATTTATCATACCCCCCCTCCGAGTTGGTCAGGAATCAGAAATCCCTTGCTACTGTGGTATCGCCGGATATTCTTATAAATGCGACCGAAACTGCGATGCAATTATCGCGTTGTTGATAGTAAAGTATGATGTTCTGGTTCTTGCAAACTCTGATTTAAAGAGCGACGTCAGGTCAACCCCACATGTGCACGGCAGATCACGGCACCTTATATAATCACATCTGATCCGCTTAGTGAGCAAGATCTATAACTAAATCAAATTGACATTAAGACACTCGAGGTAATCCATTTATATAGATATGATAGAACAGTTTATTGGTCTTCATTAAATCCGGATTGCGTGGAATAGCTAACCAGACGGTAGTAGAAAGTGCCCTTAAATTTCCCTTTGAGCTTGTTGACGCGAAGCATATCTCTTATACTTGGTGGCAGACTTCACCCTCACCCGCTTTCCGTAAACCATAAAAACAATAGGCAAGGTCCCTAGGGCCAGTGCAATGACTCCGATTAGAATGAACGTATTTTGAATACCCATTCCTGCAAGCCACTTGGTAAAAGCAAATCTAATAATCATTGCTAGGCCATTTCGGACGAAAACAACCGCGATCAAAGCATCGCCAAGGATCTGACATAGTTAGCCATGGAAATGCTTGTAGAGAATAAGTCTTCATGAGACACATACATCAGGGTAGCAATCAGTTAGGTAAGTCAACACAGCGTCTGCTGTAACGATGAATCCAAAACCAAATATAGCCTGTCCAATTGACAGAAGAATCCAGTGGAGACCCTAGTTGAAAGCTATTAGTGCCGAAGCAAATATGTGAATGGAAGACATATCATATATGCTTACTCTTCCAAGACCAATCCCAAATACTAATAGGCCGATGCAATTCAGGAAAACAGCTGGAATCATTGTCCATAGACGCATCTCTGGTTCGAAAATACCCCCATTCCGTCGAGCAAGGTACACAATGAGCCAGTCATTGAACATTGGAATGAATAAAGTTGCAATCACAGTACCAATGAAGCCACCAAGGTGGAATAACCCGATTGCCGCGGCACCAAAGTTGTACGGTGGGTAGATCAAAAAGTAGGATCCAGCCGATCCATTAGCTGAAAACCAAGCAAGGAGACATCCATATGTCAGCGCTGTAAATGCCACCACCGGAAAAGTAACGAGAACAACTACGGGCTGGTAGAAGTGTTGAAGAATCGGCTGTTCGGTTTTCGTCACAAGAGCAAGCCTCTGGCGAAGTGATTTTCTGTTTGGGCGAGAACTGATTGATAGGTTCCGGAGGTGGTTCTGTGTCTCGGCAGCTTTTTCATCGAGTCCTTTAGTCTCGATGACCTCAGTTCCCTTAGTGAAACCCGAGTGTCCGATTATAGTCGGTATATACTTGGATTCCTCGAAGAAACATATTACCAGAATCAAGTCTACACCGACAAAGATGGCTATCAACCACCACATCCACCTCCACCCCATTGCCACAACAACATAACCTGCTGCGATCGGCCCGCCGGTGGAGCCGAGACTCTGCATAAAGATAAAAATACCATTCATACGAGCATGTTGATGAACAAAGAATAGGTCCACGATGGTGATCATCACTAGCGCCTCACTAATGGAGCCGGCCAGTCCAGCTAGCAAATTCAAAGCGATCAACTCTCCTGCATGGTGAAAGTTGGCCCACCAAATAGCGCAGACAAGCTGTAGGACTGCACTGACAATGTAGATGGGACGGCGGCCTTACTTATACACAAGTGGAATAAACAGAAGGGCACCGGCTGCCAGTCCCGCGAAGTTTGTACCGCTAGCTTGATTGAAGGTCCCATAGTCCAGGCCCAACTCTTCAATGTACCAACGATAACAAAGGCTGTTAACATCGATGAGAACGAACGTAATCAAAACATACGAGCAGGTCAGTCCAAAGTCGACGGCTTTTCTAAGAGTAGACCAGTTCTATCTTTTGTCAATTAACTTGTATATGAGATTCGTCAAGTGGACTTGGAGGCATTTACCAGAGGATCATCCAGGTCACTGGATGGAGTGGGGCTAAGAATGAATTCGGCGACAGATGAATTTTCTATATATAAAATGAGATAAGCTTGTGGATCTGGATGGAGCAAAGCAACAATAGCGCACTGTCTTCCAACAGGACGTTCCCAAGGGGGATTCAGCTCAAGCATTTTCTGACATGGTGAGCAAAAGAGAAAACAGATTGTATTGATCCTCATTCGTTTTCAGCTGGACAAATCATGGCTTTTAAACTTGCAACTGCATTGCTATCAGTAGCAGGAGGCAGTATCTCCTCGCTATCTCCAAACCTGTAGACAAATCTCAAGTACGCCTTGATACGAGAATGGATCACCAATTTGACCAATCACGTATCGATTTGGGCCGGCGAATTGACTGAGGTATGGTCCCACATATACCATCTCGTACATTCAAAAATATCGGGATTGGCGTGTCATTCTTACAACGAAGTCAGAATTTGCGGGGTGTGATCCTGAATTTTCTTGTCTAATCAGGCTACCTATAACTGTCTTTAGGGGTGTTATCTTTTCGAGAGAGACTCGAGCCGATAGGATCCAACGAGGCGTGTCATCATCCAGCCGTGTTCTGCCGACAAGACGTGGCGCTTTATCAAAGAAAGTCGGAAAATCCGACTCTCGTAAACTATGACTTTCAATATTTGATGCTTGGAGAAAAAAAATGAACGTTGAATAGGCACATGAGCGTTATACGAAGAATATATGATTCATTCCCATTTGACTCCCTTGTCAAAGGGGAATGCTGAGTTCGGGGTAATTCTCGACTATACAAAACAAATGTTGAACAGATCCACGATCCCGTTCCTCCCAGACACGATGAAGTAGCATGCGTAGGTTGGAGGCGAAGGGGTAGAATGTTGCCCCTCGAATACCCTCAAGTAAATCAATTACTTTCTGTCTCCCAGCCAGATCATGCGTCTCGACGCCTGCGACTAGTAGGACTAGGGTAATATTGGGAGGGTAGTATCCCACGATATCAAGACATGCAGTCATACCCCGGACGATAGCTGCCGATAAATCCTCTGCCTCAGAGTCATATTCTCCAAAGGGATGTCTCAGACGATGCAAGATTAAAAGGGCAGCTGTGCGGTGCAGATTTCCCTGCGATATAAGTAACATCATCTCGTTATCGGAGAATGAACCGAGAACTGGCTGTGAGATGTGTGGTGCCCATGCTTTCAGTTCATCGGCAAGACGTTCAAAATGGTCGGGATCGGGTGATTCTTGAATATCTCCAGTTCTTACTGTTTGAGCCAGGAGACATATTCGATAAAGAATCGGAAGTAGTGAACCACAGAGACCAGCATGCTGATCGACGAAATAAGGGTCTCTAACTTGATATCGAATGACGGGAATCTGAGCTCGGAATAATGACTGCGTGGTGTCGAGAAATATGAAAGACAAAAGTTCCCTGTTCTCTAACTCATTAAGATGACCACTATAGTAAAATGGTCGTATGAGAGACAGCGTGTATCGACATATGCTGCTCGCTGACGCCCCAGATATCAGTCGGTGGAATGTTACGAGGCTCATTCCCAAAGCTAGAAAGCTACCAACATGATCGTTTGTCGTAATATGCGCGTTCCTCAGGGTCTCTAAAGCCGATGCACAATTTGACCAATCAATGTCATCACATGGGGCTTGGTTGGCCATACAACGTAGAAATACCCGAGTGACAGCGGCATAAGGATGTAGAAGAAGAGTCGGTGCTTCTTCCAGACGCCTCCGAATCGTTCGAGACATCTCCCGACCTAAGAGAGGTCCGAAAGAGAAGAATCCACATATTGTGTGTGATCTATATTGCGACCATCGGAAGAGGGAGCTTTCCAAAAAAGAATCGTTTGAGGGAACAAGCGTACCCCATTCTTGATCTTCGTGTTCATAGTCCAGACTTGGCGGAGATATGTAACTTGGCGAACTGGAATTGTCTGGCGGTGATTCGGAGCTTCTGCTGGAAATGAATGTCGTGGAGATAGCTGGCCCGCTTCGGCGTTTGGGTCCTCGTTTGCGCCGTTGTCGGGAATATGTACATTGGTGCTGGAGTCGGGAACAACGGTAACAATCCTTCCCTGGGCCTGACAGGCAGCGAGATTTGATTGTATGACACCTGTCACAGGCCTTGTCGTGCGGCATTATTCGTTGTAATTGATCTTTGCCAGAGGAAGTGCCCGACAAGTGCGGAGACAGGAATCGTGCGGAGTAATTTGGTGGACCTCGTGACAACAATACTAGACGCCTTACGTGTTATCTAGTAAAAATTGTCTTTTCCAGTATGATCACTCTAATATCCTCTGAGTCTACCCCTACAGAAAATGTATTTATCTTAATTTCGATTGAAATGCCATAGAAAGCAGTAGATTTGAAAATACAGCTCTCAGGTCTAGTCATGAAAAGGCGAACAAAGCGCCAGCGTCTGGCTACATGAATAATCGGATGGGACGAATCAGAATGAAAAGCGAGCCGGCGAAATTTAATATGGGGAAAAACCTTATCTTCGCCGCTAATCTAGCCATTCACAATCTTTTTAACCCGTCTTCTGTGCTTCATATGTTGCTTATACTTGTTGTCGATACGCCTAAACCCCCGCTCATGGCCACCCCACTCATAGCCGAGGTACCCTATCGGGTGTCGCTTTCTTTGCGCAATATCGCGCAAGGTAGTATTTTGTTGCAAGGTTTCCACAATACGCATGTCATCATCTTTGGTATCTTGCTGATTTCTGTCCACCGACTTGGCTGGAAGTCAATATAAAACGCGCCTGCATCCGTCAATGACCCAAAGTTCTTTCAGTCTCGAATCAGAGATATCCAGACAAAACCAACAAATCATCATGAGCAGCAACAGCCAAAAACAGTCAAATTCTTGGGAGGAGAAGGTTGCAAAGAAGCGAAACGAGTGTGCTGCCAAGATACCTTCGGATTGGAGAGTCTCGGAACAGTTCATGGCCAGATTCAAGGCGCCATTATCCAGTAACAAGAATGATCTCATTCGAACCAAGGCAATCCATGAAGCTGGGATATTGAGTTCACGTGAACTGAGTATTACTGAAGATTATACGATCTCAGATCTCATTTCGGCATTGAGTAACGGGGGTCTCACATCGACAGAAGTGACTTTGGCATACTGCAAGCGCGCCGCTGTGGCGCACCAGTTGGTAATTACCGTAAATTCTCCATTTTTCCGGAATACATTGATTGACTTAAAACCAGGTATCTTGTTTGACCGAAATTATGTTCGCAGAGGCTCAAGAACGAGCTCGGTATCTAGACGACCTGCGAGCGCAAGGAAAGTCAGCAGGACCCCTCCACGGTCTTCCTATTAGTATCAAAGACAATTTCCACTACAAAGGAACCGATGCGACTATCGGGATGGTATCTTTCCTTGATGACATCTCAGCCAAAAATTCGCCTCTTGTAGATATTCTTCTTGGGCTTGGCGCTGTGCTCTATGTCAAAACAAATGTCCCCCAAACAATGATGGTATTACCCCCTCATCGTTACGGATTTTGCATAATTCTTAACATCTTGACAGACATCAGATTCCCATAACAATGTTTTTGGACGCACTTTGAACCCTTGGAATACCACACTCGGGCCTGGTGGCTCGAGTGGTGGCGAGGGCTCTTTGATTGCTCTCCGGGGATCGCCCCTTGGAATAGGAACTGATATTGGCGGTAAGTCAATCGTCAAAAACAGTCGTTCCATCTTCTGATTTTATACTAGGCTCTGTTCGGATCCCCGCACATTGTTGTGGAACTTACGGGTTTAGACCGAGTGCTTCCAGAATCCCCAATGGTGGAATGCGTGTCTGCACCACACCTGGAATCCGGTTCCTTCTGTCTTGCGCTGGCCCACTCTCATTGGACTTGAACGGCATCGAAATATTTTTCAGATCGATATTCAATGCCCAGCCCGCTCGTTTTGACTCGACTGTTCTTGATATTCCATGGAGAGACGTCCCAACCAAGACATCTCTAAGAATTGGAGTAGTTCCTGAATCATCCATGTTCCCACTCCATCCTCCCATTCGGAGAGTCTTGGCTGAAGCCGTTCGCTCTTTAGAAGCCCAAGGCCACAAGATCATCCATCTAGATGAAAATGACACCCGGGTCATGGAAGCTAATGAAATATCCTGGAATATTTTCAGTCTTGATCAGAAGTCCAAAAGTCTTATTGAAGACGCAGGTGAACCTATTGTACCGGGAATTCACGAGATTGCTAAGCGTGCTGAAAAACTGGGGCAAATAATCGAGCATACTCTTCCCGATCTGACTGAATTTGAACGGCTGGATAAACTCGCTCTTCTTAATGTACGACGAGCAGAGCTACGAGAGGCCTATCGAGAATTGTGGCAGCAACATGACCTCGACATATGCATTGCTCCACCTGCGCAAAATACTGCAGTGCCACATGATTTATTTGGTCTTGCTCCATACACCACTTTCTTGAATTGCTTAGATGTGAGTTCGGCCTTGGAGGTTCAACTAAATAGTCATACTAATTGCATCCTTTAGTACCCCTCATGCATTGTTCCTTTCGGGGAAGTGGGCGATCAAGATGCAGGAGAGACCTTCAATTTGAAGGAAGACCAAGTGGCCCCTCCTTGTGAGTTAATTCTCCCTACTACATCTCGAAGAATGGTTCTAACTTCTCGATAATCATGTATAGACGATTACGAGCTACTCAAAGGTACACCGTGCTCCATTCAACTCTTCACTACCACCATGCGAGACGAGGAATGCATGCAAATGGCAAAGCAAATTGATCAATGTTTGAAGACCGGAAATTCATCCAAGAGGGTCTCTAATATATAGTGTCATTCTTATGATGACTGGCGAACACCTTCATCACATCTTGGGATTTTTTATGGATGATTAGAAGCGCGATATTGAATAGGCTAATCAGGGCTCGGGGGTCCCGAAGAATGAAACCCTGAACGAAAAAGGAATGTCAGATATTGACCCTCAACTATACACAAAGTGTGTAGATCGTAGCACTTGTACTCCTTGCTTATATCCGAATTCCGTGCTCCATTCTAAGCGGGGCAGGCTGTAGGGATCATCATGCCCCCCCCACCTTGAAAAACCCCAAGCACGAAAGCAGCATCATTTGTGAAATTTCATAGGGATTCTTGGAGTGATGATCATCAGTGAGCTGGTGTGAAAATCATATAGCGTGTGTACTTTACACTGCCCACGATGAAACCGCCTCTAGCCTGTAAGAACTGCAGGGCACGCAAGAAGAAATGCGACCGAGCATATCCGGTGTGCTCCTACTGCCTAAGGTCTCGCGCTCTCTCCAAAATGTTTTTAGACCCCTCTACAAGAACACTAGTCTAACATCTAGAGCAGAACCCATGATCGCTGTGAATATCGGGTTGACAGCCATACAAGCCACCCGGTAAGACCGACCGTATCACTAGCACCCCCAGAAACCGAAAACTCAAATACCCAACGGGTTCGGTTTAACGCGGCAATGTTCCTGGGGTATCCAACCCATAACTTGAATTTGCCAAGACCAGCTGAACTGGAAAGTACGGTGGTAGGAGCTGATGTGATGGAATACATCAATAAAGCTGATAAAAGCGAGCGACAACGATGGGTCTCGGATTTCATAAGAATCGTTGATCCTTGGATGCCGTTTATACCGCTCAAGGAGCTTCATACAAGGATTCTGGATGAGAGCAGGCTTTTGAAAGGAGAGGACGCCCTCTTACTTGCGTGCATCAAATTGAATACCGAGCCATTGTCTGGAGACCAGCCAGTGAACAAGCATTATCTCGCTGTCAAGTCAACGTTCGTCAGCGCAGAAATATATGGCACACTGTCTATTAGATTACTACAGGCTTCATTGTTACTTCTGCTCTACGAGCACGGACATGGTATATACCCCTCTGCCTATACCACGCTAGGGAGCTGTGCGCGCTATTTAGGGGCCCTGGATATAGGAACGGGCCCAAAACATGATGATACTGGTGATTGGATGGAAGGTGAACAACGAAGACGACTATGGTGGTTTATCTATGTCATGGAACGGTAGACTCATCGTCAGATAATTCTTTGGATCATGACAATGCTGATTTGGGAAATAATTAAAAGCATAATGGCCCTTGGGTGTCCGCAGCGCCCGCTTTTATTGAACGAACCCGATGAAAATCAAATTCTCCCCTCGGATGATATCTCATGGCAGCAAGAAGTACATGATTCAATGCCTTTCATGATATCATAATGCTAATATTTAATAGTATCCCACTCCGCACTCTCGTTTGATGCTTCTATCTCCCGCCACATCTAACATGGGAACCTTCCGTCTCCTTGTGCATGCAGCATATCTAGTTGGACGTGTCATTCAATTGGTATCCGATCATCACACTGGGCAGCAATCAATAGCAAGAAGACAAAAGCAGCTCTATTGCACAATCGACGCACTAGCAAATGTATTAGAAGTGGAACGACAGATAACAATCGTCTCCGTCAGTGTTGCTCGCAGCACTCTGAATAGGTAAGTTTTGAAAGTCGGGTTCAGTGATAAAACAAGTCTGAATTATTACCATGACAGTGCGGTATTTGTGCTTTATTCCTTCGGAGAGCCCGGCAACGACGAATTTGGCGATATTTACGACCCGAATCACCCTATAAGCAAATCAGCCCATGCTTGTGTGAAATTGACAAACATATACATCAGTGGGGACTTGACAAGTGCGCAAAGCGTGTCCCCATTTCTTCTATCTTGGGGGTTCCATGTCTTCAGATACTTTTATAATCGATACAATATCGATGGACACCAAGAAAGTTTTGAGCTACTTGAGATCATGAGAAAGGGATTGGAAGCCCTTGGCAATAAATGGAAACTTGCCGGTAAGTAATAAGTTTACAGTATGTGTTTTGAAATCTCTTGCCTGACTTTTGCGAAACAGAGGTCTATGGGGTTCTTTTAAACGGCAGCCAAGAGGAGACCATCAATAAATAAGACGAGGTTGAAAGTTCGCGGTATAGACCATGGAGTTGAGGTTGAATGTGTGATCGAATAGCATGAGTCGAATCATTCAAGTTCTACGAAACGAAGTAAAGCTACTCCGGTCGTTATCACCACCAGGGGACCTAAGTGCCGGACTTAGTCGAAACCATATAAAGAGATGACTTCACAGGGGAAGTGTAGTCAACAGGGTAATCATTTTCATCCTTTAGCTTAGACCATGAAATAAACAATTATAATTTTTATCCGGGAAATATAACGCCGCTATGAAAATGCTAACGCTCAGAAATGCGCATTTTCTCTGACAGAAGCAAGAAGGTTATGGGTGAGAGGCACATTAGCAAGCGTCATGACCCGGCTTTGACTATCACGCTCGAAACTGCTTCTACGTGGTTGGGATTTTTGAGGAGGACTCTTAACGGCCTCTTCCTCTTCGTGAACCTTTCCTCGAACCATCAGAGCACGAGTATGGTCATCCATTCGGTACCGCGACAACCAGCCTTCCGTTTCGTTGCTATCATCGTCGAGAGTGAGAGCAGTGAAGCCGGAATGAGAACTATGGCTTCGGTTTCGTGTTGGGTCATCGGGGAAATATTGATGTGCGAAATTTGTGTTGGTATTGCGCACATGCGTAGGAGAGTGGTGAGTTGGGTATTGAACGGTATTTCCATTTTCGATGAACAATCTGACATTGAGCGTATGCGTAGTTCCAGAGGGTCCTATAGTATTGTATGCCATGGGAGTGTTGTTGTTACCAGTGCCGTTGTTATTAGATGCAGTTGTCGCGTTCGTCGTTGAGGTACCCTGACCACTCGCCTGCAACTGGCGGAGTTGAGCCATAAGAAGATTTCCAGTGATGTTATCTCTGAAAGAGAATCCTTCATTCTCCATCTCCGTTACTGGGTTCAAAAGGTTATATTGTCCAATGTTGCCATATTGTCCATTTCCATACTGGCTGTTGTTGCCGTATTGGCCTGGGTAACTTTGAGGCATATTATTTTGCGGCATTTGGGGCTCTGGAGGAATTTCGACCTATTTGTAGAATTAGCATTTTCTGTTGCTGCATCAGTGAACTATTTGTGATGGGACAATCTTACCGTTCGAGTGAACTTCCTTCCCGGCATTGCAATATACTCATCAAACGAACTTTCGAGAGCTGCAAAATTGAATCTTGAACCCCCATCAGCAGGTGTAAACCTCTGCCCGATTTCCTTATTGAAGTCGACGCTTCGACGCACCAACGGCTGAAAGGTAGACAAGGAAAGCATCAAGTTAGGGTAGTTGCCATACCATGTCGTAAGAACAGGATCAATATCAAGCCGCAGGTTAACTTTGCTATTAGCAGCCGGTTTATCGATCAGCATAACAAAAGTAAATTCTCGAGGAAGTCCCGATCGTTGAAGATTGTTTTCCTCGAGCGACCAGACAATCTCGCCGGCTTCGACATCATACTCGGGGCCGGCGGGGCTCTTGAGCGTACGGGAGGAGCCTTGGATATGCATCATTTCGTAACGTCGGAACTGCTTGTTGACGCTGCCTGATGGAATCACACTGGCACTGACGGGTGCTTCAGAGATACCGAGTGAGCCCGCTAGACTGAAAGTCCACTGCATAGTCTCAGGTGAGACTGCCCCGAAAATCAGATGGGGAGCATGCATGAGGAACCGTGGGTTTCCTGGCGGATATCCATTGGTATTGTCTTTGAAGTCCGGAATCTTCGGGTCCCCATATATAGCCGCTCGAATAGTTGCAGATTTGAAGCGGTGGTTTGAGGTCTGGGAAGAATGAAATACAAAGCTCACGCCGAGAAAGTCAACATGCTCGCAATCGGTGTCTGAGACCACAGGGCTGGAATAGAACCCATGTTGGAGTCTTTGGACGTGTGCTGTAATGTAGGCGCCACCCGGTAGCTTTCTTTCGTAAATACAGGGACGATTTACGAGAAGCCGAGGGTTTGACATGTTTGGATCGATGATTTTTTTATGTTTTCGTCGTGCCTTAGTCTTGTCTGGGATGGGAAGGACTGGAGGAGGAAGGGAGGGCTCATGTATCATGCCATTTTTTGTTTTCTTTGAAGCCGCCATTGTATATGGGCACCGGTCGGGAGAGGCAACGATACAACACCGCTGTCACTAATATAGATCGCTGTTTGCTCTCCATCGGGACTCGAGAAGCTCTGTATGTAGTGAGGGCTGCTTTGGAACTCACGGCAACATATTTTGAAGTCGATGTATGTAGGGTCAAAGTAAGTAAATATTTTAGTTGAGAGCTAGGTAGATCCCTGGTTTTCGATGATGTGTATTATCAGGCGGGCTCGGCTGTCATGTGTAGATCGGCATCAGGTGAGGCTCGTAGTGCGGACGGCCATAATGACTCAAGGGGCTCTTGGCAGACTTCATGGCGACAAGAATATTATATTGTCTTTTAGTTACTAGGATATGAGCTTGTGGCAACAAAAACGATTAGTCTAGGACAAAGACACAAACACACAAAGTAGTCAAATCTTGATCCGTATATGTGGCTGGGTTTAGTCACAGTCGGGTGGGTCAAAACTCTGGGTGGCTGCACATGAATTCCCAACGTTATTTTTGCGGGTGATGTATAATACACAGTGCGCGACCCATTGGCCAGAATGATATTTGACGGTCAGTTTATGATGCCGTTGTACGCGTCTGCTTGTCTTGTTGCAGCATAGCGGGCCATATGCGGGAAAGTATCACACAGCATTTATGACTACCTAGGTGGCAACGCGTACCTCAACTTTTGAAAAGCCAATATTATTGCAGATATATACACAAAGTTCCAAGTAGAAGATATGCATCATCTCTTTAGTGGTGATCTTAATCTGGTTTGTAGATGGTCATCTTGATCCCCCGTAAGTAATGGGGAAGATCATGAGCATGAGACGAGATCGTGCATCAGCTGGGGTCGGAGGGCGGATTAACAATAATCCGCCATATCCACTCTGGAAATCCGCGAAGACGAACTTCCTCATCGTCCGGGGCCTCGGTTTGGCGAGACGTGTATTACCTACGACAAAAGGCCTCTTAAGCTGCTGTTTGAGTCTCTGCCTGGTTAAGTGCCTATCCAAAGACCAATATCTCTCAAATCAGCCTGAATTGCTTCATAAACTCACACATTTATTTTGATCGTGTGATTCTGCTTACGACGCTGGGTATTGACATCACGTTCTTTTCTGAGTATTTCGCTCCGTATTCCATGGTTCCTGCTTACTGGACAGTTCTTGAAACAGTTTCGGGCATGTTTTGGTTATTACTTTGATTCTTGTTTGGGTTATCATCGTGCTTACTCCTGACCACTCATTGCCACAACTCTACACCACCACGTGATCTTCTCGCCAGCTCATTCGATTCTTATTTGTATTTTGTTTCTATTTTTGTGGAGGCCGTGTCAATATGATGACCAGGAGTGCAGCCCAAAGGCTGCCACTTTTTGGCGCAACTCAAAGCTCTCAGCTTTGCGCCGGCTCTACCCGTCCACATGGGATCCACGTCTTGCGAGAGACTGTGATGCGCTCCCAATGCATGTCCACGTTGACAAAGTTGCCTGGCTTGACCCGATCACCAATAAGGTATGATTCTTGCAATGATTATCCACATTCATACATATATCATCATCTGACCGAATACAAGACATATTCAATCCCGTGTTTGCAGAGCACCAGCTTCTAGAATATTGGTACTGGGATCCTCAAGACGATGGACATCATCAAAGACTCCAGATGACCGGAACAAACCAGAACCCAAGCCTGAAGTGTTAGTATTCACATTCGTGCGCAAGTATCTCCCTTCTCGATAACTAATATCTCAGCAGCTCTAAAACAACCGCTGCTGCCAAGCTCTTGTTGTCGAAGCTTCCCATTGCCAAAACACGTGAGAATATTTACACCATTCCGAATTTCCTCACATTCACTAGACTTTTGGCTGCACCTGCGGTTGGATATCTGCTTGTCCACAATTACCATGCAGCTGCCTTGTCTCTCTTCGCTTATGCCGGTATCACCGACATGGTTGATGGATATATCGCCCGGAAGTATAATTTGCAAACTGTGGTTGGCACCATTATTGACCCCATGGCCGATAAACTGTTGATGACGATTGGAGTCGCGTGTTTGGCAGTGAACGGGTCTCTTCCTGGTAAGTGGCAGCACCCCAGCTTCATGTGTTGTGTTTTACCCTGACCCCTGTCGCAGTGTGGCTTGCCGTTGTTATCATCGGACGGGACATCGGATTGGCTATTTCGGCGATCTATTATCGATGGATTTCCCTACCTCCACCCAAGACTATGGCTCGCTACTGGGATTTCTCACTTCCATCGGCTGAAGTCAAGCCGACTCAAATCTCCAAGATTAACACTGCCCTGCAATTGGTGTTGGTGGGTAGTGCGATCGGACTTCCCGTGCTTCCAGAGGCTTTTATTAGCGCTTGGCATCTGCAAGACGCCATGACAGTATTCCAGTAAGTCTAAATCCTCGTCTATTTTGAAGTTTTCCTTGTGTTTGAAGTTTTCCTTGTGTTTTTCTTCATAACTGCAATTTGTGAGACTGCATGGCAAGCAGGCGGCCAGTATAGACCACTGTGTGGGAGTGTCTGGTACATGCGACCACAGGGTGTGGAGAACAGGGCTTCCCGTCCGCTCAGCCGTACTTAAGCCACACGCCGGTCAGTTAGTAGTATGGTGGGTGACCACATGCGAATCCTGACTGTTGCATGTTTTTCTTTTTTTTTGCATTTTCGCTATTTTCCTCCTTTCATCTTTCTTTTGCGCTTTGATGTTCTTACTGACGCGATTTTGCACCTAGGTATGTTGTTGCAACAACAACCATCTGGTCCGGTCTTGGATATGTTTTCGGCAAGGATGCAGTGCGAATCCTGAAGGATCAAAAATAAAATCACACTGTAACATAAAATATGTAGCAATAGAGAAGCTTGACACCTGGACAGAATATACAAATCAAGCCTATACAGAATATTAATTCCACGGTTCCAAGATTCTACTACTTAGTAGAATCGAAACCCTCAGTTGTTCGGTCAATGAAACATAAAGTAGTATTAGTACTACCAGTGGCCTTCAGGGATTCAAGTCAAAGTTGGTTCTTCACAACCTTCCAGGGTTGAAATATACACATTGCAAGGGGGCGGTTACTTTCTAGGTCGCGGTTTTACAACTACCTATCGAAGTGAGCTAGGTGGTGTTTAGATAGGCTGTGATTTAATGGAGACTATTGACAAGTATGCTTTGGTATGTGTGTTCCAAGCGGTGAACATGAGAAGCCCAGTATGATCAATTTCTATTTCAAAGCGCACACATGGATAAGCAGTACGGAGTGAACAAACATGAAGGGAGTCCAATGACAAACAAATAGAAGAGCAGTGTTATTAGACAAACCAGTCGGATGCTTGCCAGCACGCCTTAATCTAGATGTTTGTACATGCATTCGTTTTCCATTTGGGACATATGTCCGTTGTGGCCTGCACGAAGTACAAGCTGCGTCTTTAACATGTGATCTGTCAGAGCACGAAGGGTAAAGAAGCCCGATCTTCCAAGGGGATCCTAGCCTATTATGCATGTAGAACCTATATTGGTACGAACCACGCGAACGGGTCGGTAGATTCACTGGGCCCAGAACCGTTTGGAGAGGTTCTAACCGAACGTGGCATATAGTAGAAGCCACATTGCCAAGGCAAAGAGGATCCAGGCCCCGCTTTGGGATTGCTAAGCAGGCTTAAAAATCCAATTACAAAGGCGGGAAATGAAATTCCACAAGATCGGGGAGGAAAATCACTTTTTTTTTACGTTAATCTTCAAGCCGTAATCCCATATTCGGGCCGGGCATGATTCAAGGTCACAAAAGTGGGGACCCTCGTAAGGCCAATGCATTATTCAAGCTCAGAGTTTTTCTTTCTTTCTCTTTCTGCAGCTTGCAGGACAGCGCGGAATATAAATTCCAGCTTTTACGAGGATCCACTTTCTTGTCATCCGTTCGCTAGGTCGGCTCCACGAAGGAATTCGATATTCCGCTCTAGCTGCATTTCCAAGGTTTTAATCCAATAATAACGCTAGAATTTAGTGGTGAACGGTTAAATGCCGACTCTATCTCCGTTTAAGCAGGCAAACAGAAAGAAATCGAAAATCGAAAACTGATTTTTCATTGCGTGTGGGCTCGAGCGGACCCAACCGCCCAAAGATGAATCAACTTGAGTCATCACTGGACCCACTAAAGCTCCTTATCACCGTCCGCAACCGATATATTAGGACTTTGATTGGCAGGATTGTATCAATGTGACAAATGGGTCCGGATTTAATGGACTTTGGTTGCATAAGCTAAAGAAGGTGAACGCATATTCTTTTTATACCGACCATGAGAACGTGCTCTTCAATCGCGCTCGGTTCTTTTTTTTACTTCCCCAACTCACTCTCCACTCTCTTTTTTTCTATGTTATTTTCTTTCTTTACTTTCTGGACGAAGACTCCTGTACATACACCCCTTCATCATCCTAATACATTCTAAAATACCCGCAATTGAGCTTCGCTAGTAGATTCTCGACTCCGGCGAAGATGGACTCCGACCATCAATCGCTGGAGGCGCAACGTCACCACTCCGAGCAATCCAATCACCAAACCACCATGTCCGAATCCAATTTTCAATCATCTGAACAATCAAATCACAACACTACCGAAATTTTTACCAACAATGAGGAATCCAACAACCATGAGGCGCTTGAAGCTTACGCCACCGAGCCTGCCACCGAACCTATCGTGTCGAGCGCTTCCTCTACCGCCACATCCCATGCAACAAATGAAGGTCGCTGGGGTGAGTTGCAGGCCGGAGAGCCAGTCTCTCGCACCGGCGCCGTTGAAGACTTGGAGGAGATGCGCCGCGAATTGACCCGCCTTAGCTTGCATCGCACTCGCTCGAATACCGCAAAGAGCATCCACAAATTGAAATCCCGCGCTAGCCAGCGTCACGACGAGGAGAAGGGATTGGAAGACGAAACCGATGCCGAGAAAGATGGCGAATTCGATCTAGGTGATTTCCTTGTCAGTGGACATCTGGAGCGTCGCACTACTGCCGGTGACCCTGCCAAGATGGTGGGTGTCGTTTTCAAGAACCTCACCGTCATGGGTGTGCAAACAGGCGCATCATTCGTGCGGACCCTTCCTCACGCTGTCGTAGGCACATTTGGCCCCGATCTATACAATGTCATTTGCCGTTTTGTTCCCCAGCTGCGGTTTGGTAAGAAGCCGCCAATTCGCGAATTGATCAGCGATTTTAGTGGTACTGTGCGAGAGGGTGAGATGATGCTTGTTTTGGGTCGTCCTGGTGCCGGATGTACTACTTTTCTCAAGGCTGTTGCCAACGACCGAAGTGCTTTCGCTGGTGTCAACGGCGAGGTCAGCTATGGTGGCCTTTCAGCAGAGGAACAAAACCGCCGTTTCCGTGGTGAAGTCAACTACAACCCCGAAGACGATCAACATTTCCCCTCGCTTACCGTCTGGCAAACTTTGAAGTTTTCGCTTATCAATAAGACTCGCAAGCATGACCGTGAAAGCATTCCTGTTATTATCGATGCGCTTCTGAAGATGTTTGGTATCAGCCATACCAAGAATACTTTAGTCGGTAACGAGTATGTCCGTGGTGTTTCTGGTGGTGAAAGGAAGCGGGTTTCTATCGCAGAGACTCTGGCTACGAAATCGACTGTTGTCTGCTGGGACAACTCTACTCGTGGTCTGGATGCCAGCACTGCCCTTGACTACGCCAAGTCACTTCGTATCATGACCGACGTCAGCAAGCGTACTACCCTTGTTACCCTTTACCAAGCTGGAGAAAGTATCTACGAACTCATGGATAAGGTTATGGTCATTGACAATGGTCGCATGCTCTACCAAGGCCCTGCAAACGAAGCGCGCAAGTACTTCATTGACCTCGGATTCCACTGCCCCGAGCAATCAACCACCGCCGACTTCTTGACCTCCCTTTGTGACCCCAACGCCCGCCAATTTCAGATCGGCTGCGAAGCATCAACCCCGAAGACCGCAGAGGAGCTCGAACAGGTGTTCAGAAACAGCACCGCCTACAAGCGTATTTGGGATGACGTGTGCAACTATGAGAAGCGTCTGGAGGATACTCAGCAAGAGGATACTCGTCGCTTCCAGAGCAGCGTTGCTCAGTCCAAGAGTAAGACTGTCTCCAAAAGTTCTCCATACACAGTCTCTCTTGTCCGACAGGTTGCCGCCTGTGTCAAGCGAGAATTCTGGCTTCTTTGGGGTGATAAGACTTCTCTTTATACCAAGTATTTCATTATTATCTCTAACGGTCTGATCGTCGCCTCTCTTTTTTACGGTGAATCGATGGATACTAGCGGTGCTTTCTCTCGTGGTGGTGCTCTTTTCTTCTCTATTCTGTTCCTTGGCTGGCTGCAATTGACCGAGCTCATGCCTGCTGTGACAGGCAGAGGAATCGTCGCTCGACACAAAGATTATGCTTTCTACCGTCCGTCTGCCGTTGCCATCGCGCGTGTAGTCGTTGACTTCCCCGCTATCTTCTGCATGGTTGTTCCGTTCTCCATCATCGTCTATTTCATGACAGGCCTGGATACCACTGCTTCTCAATTCTTTATTTACTTCTTGTTTGTGTACACAACCACGTTCTGCATCACCTCCATGTACCGAATGTTTGCAGCGCTTTCACCAACTATTGATGACGCTGTTCGCTTTGCTGGTATTGCATTGAACCTTCTGATTCTTTACGTGGGCTACGTGATTCCGAAGCAAACGCTTATTGGAAGCTCGATTTGGTTTGGATGGCTCTTCTATGTTAATCCGATCTCATACGCCTACGAGTCTGTCTTGAGCAACGAGTTTTCCGACCGGGTAATGGAATGTGCGGCCGAGCAACTTGTGCCTAGTGGCCCGGGAGCTAGGGCTGGCTACCAGGGCTGTGCCTTGACTGGCACAAATGTAGATCAAACATCTGTTCCTGGCTCTCAATACTTGGAAGCGAACTTCCAGTTCACCCGCAGCCACCTGTGGCGCAATTTCGGCGTCGTCATTGCCTTTACTGTTCTCTATATCCTGGTCACTGTCTGGGCTGCCGAGTTCCTCTCCTTTGTTGGTGGCGGTGGCGGTGCCCTGGTCTTCAAGAAGTCTAAGCGCTCCAAGCAGATTGCTGCTGCTACTTCTAGCTCAGCCAACGACGAAGAGAATATTGGCAAGACAAGTGATGATGCCGCGGTCACCCGTGCTTATGGATCCTCTTCTTCATCTGGTGATGCTGCTTTCAACCGACTTTCTTCGAGCGAGCGATGCTTCACTTGGTCCGATGTCGAGTACACAGTGCCTTACGGTAATGGAACTCGCAAGCTTCTGAACAACGTCAATGGATATGCCAAACCCGGTGTTATGATCGCTCTGATGGGTGCTTCTGGTGCCGGAAAGACGACACTACTCAACACTTTGGCTCAGCGACAGAAGATGGGCGTTGTCAAGGGCGACATGCTTGTTGATGGCCACCCGCTTGGCCCTGACTTCCAACGCGGTACTGGATTCTGTGAGCAAATGGATCTTCATGACAATACCTCTACTATCCGTGAAGCTTTCGAATTCTCAGCTATTCTTCGCCAGGAGCGTACCATCCCTCGCGAAGAAAAGATCGAGTACGTTGACCGTATCATCGATCTCCTGGAGCTCGAAGAGATTCAAGATGCGATAATTGGTTCCCTGAACGTCGAGCAAAAGAAGCGTGTTACTATTGGTGTTGAACTTGCCGCTAAGCCCAGTCTTCTCCTTTTCCTGGATGAGCCTACCAGTGGTCTCGACAGTCAAGCTGCTTTCTCCATTGTCCGGTTCTTGAAGAAGCTCTCTCAAGCCGGTCAAGCCATCGTTTGCACCATTCACCAGCCTTCTTCAATGCTGATCCAGCAGTTCGACATGATTCTCGCCCTGAACCCCGGCGGTAACACTTTCTACTTCGGTTCCGTTGGCAAAGAAGGTTCCGACGTAATTAAGTACTTTGCCGACCGTGGATTTGTCTGCCCACCCTCAAAGAACGTGGCCGAGTTCATCCTGGAAACTGCCGCCAAAGCAACCAGTCGCAATGGCAAGCAAGTTGACTGGAACGAAGAATGGCGCAGCTCCGAACAGAACCGTGAAATGCTTCAGGAAATTGAACGCATCAGAGCTGAACGCAGCAAGCTCCCCATTGAAGAATCGGGTAGCACGAACTATGAGTTTGCCGCGCCGACTATGGTTCAAACTGAGCTGCTCACCAAGCGACTTTTCCTCCAGTACTGGCGTGACCCATCTTACTACTACGGTAAACTCTTCGTCAGCGTGATCATCGGTATCTTCAACGGCTTTACCTTCTGGATGCTCCCCAACACCGTTGCCAGCATGCAAGACCGCATGTTCTCTGCCTTCCTTATTATCCTGATTCCCCCTATCGTCCTGAACTCTGTTGTCCCCAAGTTCTATATCAACCGCGCCCTCTGGGAAGCCCGTGAATACCCATCTCGTATCTATGGCTGGTTCGCCTTCTGTACTGCCAACGTCGTCTGTGAGATCCCCGCCGCCATCGTGACAGGTCTCGTCTACTGGCTCTTCTGGTACTACCCAGTCGGCCTGCCCACCGATTCCTCCAGCGCAGGCTATGTCTTCTTAATGTCGATGCTGTTCTTCCTCTTCCAAGCCTCCTGGGGCCAGTGGATCTGCGCTTTCGCTCCCTCATTCACCGTCATCTCCAACATCCTGCCTTTCTTCTTCGTCATGGTCAACTTGTTCAACGGTATTGTCCGTCCATACTCAGAGTACCCTGTCTTCTGGAAGTACTGGATGTACTATGTAAACCCGGTAACCTGGTGGCTGCGCGGCGTTCTTTCCGCAGTCCTCCCTTCTGTCCAAATCACTTGTGCCGAGGCAGAGACTACCAAGTTCAACCCACCCCCTGGCATGACATGTGGTGAATACGCAGGTGAATATGTTAGCAAGATTGCCGGCATTGGATATCTTGTCAGTACCTCGGATACTTCTGACTGTCAGTACTGCCAGTACAAGGATGGCTCGGAGTACATGAACCAACTGAATGTTCATGAGGGAGACAAGTGGCGCTGCTTTGGCATCTTCCTCGCATTTGTGATCATCAATTGGTTCCTCGTCTACTTTTTCATTTACACTGTCCGGGTCCGTGGATGGAGCTTCGGGTTTGGATATCTCTTCGGATTGGGCGGTATGCTGATTGAGGGTACCAAGGGATTGTTCAAGGGCAAGAACAAGGAGGAGCAGAATCAGCAGTAGACCTATGATGTGCTCTCTTTCTAGCATATTGATTACCTGTCTGCGAAATCCCCATATTTCATTTGATGTTTAATTTGCATTTACATGGAGCGTCTGTGCAGCATGTCAGGAGACATGAAGCATGTCCTGGCATGTCTTGACTTGACTTGTCTAATACTTCTTCACCTTCTTTTTATTTCTTTTCTTTCCTTTTCTTTCTTGTTGATATCAAAAGGTCCAAATTGGTCTGGGATGTCTAGCGCTTATGATAGCCTGGCACTAAAAAAGTACATAGAATATTCAAATTAAAATAGATTGAAATATCCTTATAGATATTGGTTCGCATTGCTAAAGAGTACTCTCTTTGAACCCTGGAGCGTAATACATAACGCATGACATGCCTTGTTGGCCAGATCTCACACCCGTGGAATTGATTCAAGATTTAGGTCAAGTTTACCTACCTACCCCCTAAGCAAGTACAATACTTCGGGGGGGGGGGGGGGCAATCAAGAGCCAGCCAATACTCGGCATTCAATATCAGTCATGCATTCATGCATTCGCGAGAAACAAGTCCCCAGTTGGACAGTTATTTCAGGAACCCTTACATGAGATCATCAGTCTCTACCCATGAAGAACCAAGGCGGCCGACTCTGGCTCAGCGCAGGGGCAGGAACTTTCATGGGAACTGGAACAGTGCCCTGGAAGATCTCCGTTGGGAGGTTGGATGCTTCGATTTTCGGAGTCGACGATTCGCTGCCTACTTGAAGTGTTCCCTCTGAGAAGGAGCTTTCAGATCTCTTGCCTGAGTCGGAAGCTGTATCGATGGGAGTGATAATTGGGACCAACACGCCGGATTCCCAGTTGCGGCAGTTAAGCTTAGGTTTATTCTCCGTACGGTCCTTGACAAGACGGCCCCTTTTTTGGTTCATTAGTTCATCAAGAAAAGATAATAAAATGGTAATAGAAATAGAGAGGGGTCAGGCTTTCGATCATGTCTTACCATGCGCTTTCGGACAAGTTGGCGCTCCCGATGTAAGCCCATCCTTTGCATTCTTGATTGTTTTCGAGGGCTATGGGCTCCGAAGGCCAGACAAAAGCGAGCTTGGGGGCATTAGGTACATGAACGAATAGGTCTAGAAACGCGGAACAGATTCATACCTTATTGTGCATCAAGACAGTTTTGTGGCTAACACAGTCTCTCAGAACATGTTTAGGGAACTTAGCGGCCTTCCACCATTTTGACTGGAAGCATACAGTTCCAGCAGTCTCTTCCGGATGTTGGTGCGCGCGACGTGCAGTCTTATCTGAAGGGAAATAGACGCGAAAGCGGTCTCGCCATTCATCGCCAGCTTTCATCATGTGCCGGTGATGATTATTGGCCGATTGGGAAACAGAAGACGAATTATTGTAGCGCATTGCGTACTCAGCAAGGCCATCATCACCTGTAATTTCAAATAAGCTCTTGCATGAACGCAAAGGAGAATGTGAATTACCTTTGCAGGATAAGTACATAGCACGAAGAAATTCGTCATTGAGAGACCCGATAGATGACGCCTTGGAATATTTGAGCTTCACTTCCCTATAGTTATATTGGTTTACGTACCACAAAATCGATGTTGATGGGTGAAAATGATCGCAGACCTAAATGGCTCACAGCACGACCTAGGCCGCAATAGCCAGTTCGTCTCCATGACTCTTCGGAATTAGGCCCGTTGGTCCCACCACTGGATAAGTGTTAGACCAAAAGTCCCTTATCACGAAAGCAAAAAGGGCATTCAAGGGTATGGGAATTCCTTTACTGACATTGTGTGAACAAACGCATAGCGTTTAGTCTCGGTGAAGTCAAATTTGTCCATTTTGGCAATAACGTTTTCGTTGAGAGTGCTGGCTTTCAGGAAATGGACAAGCTCCTCATGGAAGAATGTCTTCGAGCTTGGGGTCTTGTGGTTAGCCTTCAATGGTAGATCGATAAGGAAAGCTGTCTGTCTGAAATGTTAGCACAGAAGAGAAAAGGGAAAGCTAAAACTGAGCTGACATTCTCCATCAACTTATTCTCTCCCCAGTCTGTCAGTGTCAGATTGGCCGTAGGAACAACTATACGCAAGTATTCAGGATGAAATAAGAGCATTAGTTTTGAATGCATTATGTTGACCTGGCCAGGCATTGGCGGGAAGCACAAGCGGAGGTTCTTCATGCCCTTAGTCTCTTCGTTCATCTGATCTCGCTAATAGCAAACTCAATTAGCATAGAGATACAATTTGAGTCGCGTATTACAGTGTGTTATCTTACCTGGACTTGTTCCTTGGCGCTCATGATGAGAATAAATCGTGTCCTCCAGAGGTCACATTTCGTGAAAAGCCAGTCCATATCCCATAGGAACGAACTGAAAACTGCAAGTTCTAGATCTGCTCTTTGAATGACCTCTTCAATCCTGATTTCATCACTGCCACGCTCTGTGCCTAGAACATGGGTCTTTTTGACGATTCCCAGCGGCCACTGAATTCCTGGGCGTGCAGTCGGTCTCATCGGCGATGCTGAGTGAGTTGACGAGGATGGTTGAGTAACCGTTTTGGGTTCTCGGATATTTTGGTTTGCGCCTAATCGATCCTCTACCTTGGAAACTTTTGTTGGAGACTGTTCTGGTGACGATACAGAGTTCTCTGCTTTGCGTTTTTCCAGGCGAGCGCGGCGCTCCGCTTCCATCTGTTTTCTATCCAGGCCTAGCATTCCCATAGGAGGAGGATCAGGCTGTTCAGTTTGTAGCTCCCCTTCAAATGGGCTATTGCCCTGGTACTGATCTTGCAATGACATAGCTATTGCTCGTCTGAGCTCTTCGTCGTTTTGCATTTCTTGCTCGGCTTCGTCATCGGTATCAGAGCCAACAGTGGCCTTTGACTTAGGGAATAACTCTTCATGGTCATCAGAATCATTAGTCAGGTCCACCACATGATCTGAAGGTTGGCGAGATGCAGAGGGCTCGGAATCGCCGTTGAGATCCCTCAAGGAAGCCTCAATCGCCTGTCTTAGCAAGGGGTCGTCTATCTCCTCGGGATCCATTCCCAGCTTTCGATTCGTGATTTCTCAGGAAAGGAAGAAGCAAAGATAAAGTTGTGCCAAATGGATGGAATGCGGGGAATAAATGTGTGATGGCAGTAGTAGTAAGTGATAAGAGGGTGAACTGAAATGTTGGCAAGTGGTTTAAATTTTGGCGAGTCAACGATCGTTACAGCAGCCGGTAAATCACTTCAAGTGTAGAGTATCACATTGACACAGGAAGAAGAAAATGACGCTGAGATGAATTCGATTCCCTTCACTCACTTGAGATGCAGGTTGTTGACTTGATCAACGCGGCGGCCCAATTGAGAAGGTGGGTCGTCACGTGATAGCAGAGCACCCATCAATCTAGCATGACGCACGGTTTCCATATGTATATTCTCTTTTTAGTATATAATGATATCAAAACATCTTTATAAAAAGGACCACATATTTTGAAAGCTCCACTGATTGACCGAGCGACAGGAGGGGCGATCAATGTAGGAGGATGACGCCAGCTACTCGGACCGGACGTATTCAAATTCTAGTACTGATTATCAAGATGGGAGCCTCGTGCTAGGATTGTTAAGGTTGAGATCGATACTAATGACTAGTCACCACCTACTAGTAACCTTGGAAATGTCATCAATAAACTTAAAACCTTAGTCTTATTACCTTGACCATGATCATCTCATCTAAGTAATAGTATTCGGTGTTCTTTGTCGATATTAGTAATAAAAGCCGGGGTAGGTAATTGAGTTTAAGATTTGGTTGCGTGTGACCGGGAGAGGTAGTCTTGATGTCATCAAACAAAACCCCACATTCATGAATATCAATGCGAGTGTTATGTAGTAGAGGAAGGGCTTTGAAAATTCAATACCTTCATCCATTGCATACCTTCGTACTCACCAAAGTCCATCCTTTCCAATGCTGAGCCGCCGCACCATCCCTCGTCTGTTCCAGCAGGTACATGACCTTGTTCCCAAGTTGGGGAGGTGTAAGGGTTCCTTGAGTTAATAGTGCCGCAGTCTCGGGGACCACTCAAAACTCAACTGCGTAGGTTAGGCCTACTAGAATTCAACTCGCACAAGCTCTTGAGACATGTGAGCTTAATTATCCTCCGCTTAGTCGATCAGTTGGTTGAATAACATGTCAAGTTTGATATCCCGGTACCCAACGGCCATGTGGTCATAACTCCAGAAGAAGCAAAGGCAGTGGTGTCAAGCATTAGTGAGTTACTTGCCTTGATCTAGAATTCGTTCTCGAACAGACCAACTTCGAATATTACCTGATCTAGATGCTAAATGGAGTATAGATGCACCATCAGTTTTGAAGGCCCAAGTCCTTGCCGGCGGCCGGGGCAAGGGCAAATATAACAGTGATGGAAAAGGAGGAGTCCGCATCGTCGAGTCGTAAGCTCTTTGCTGGAATGGAATGATTTATCTGATGCATATCCTAAATGATTGAAACCACAGACCAAACGAGGCATTCGAAAGTGCCAAAAACATGCTTGGGTATTACCTAACAACAAAGCAAACGCCTGCTGAAGGACTGCTAGTAAAGAAGCTGTACATCTACAAGGCAGTAGATGTGGCACAGGAGTATTACGTCGCATTAACCTTCGACCGCGACCGCTCAATGCCTGTACTCCTCATATCAGATGAGGGGGGCGTCAACATTGAGACCAAAGTAAACAAACTACAGAAATATTGGTTTCACATGCCGCACGGCATAGGTCCCGAAATAACAGCATATATCCAAGCCCAACTGGGATTTTCTGATCCGGAGATGGCAACGATGTCGCACATTCTTCGCCAGATGGTTGAGCTATTCGAACAAAAAGATGCTACTCTTCTCGAACTGAATCCCCTTGCGCGAACCCCAGAGGGTGATTTCATTTGTCTAGACGCTAAGTTTACCTTTGATAACTCGGCTAGTTTTCGCCAACACGGACTTTTCAGCCTTGAGGAGCGATCCCCGGAAGAAGAATTGGAGTACGAGGCTTCTAAATTGGGGCTCTCTTACATTCGGCTCGATGGTAACATCGGAAATATAGTCAATGGCGCTGGTCTCGCTATGGCAACTAATGATTTGATTAGCCTGTACGGTGGGCGATGTGGTAACTTTTTGGATGTAGGTGGAGGTGCAACAAAAGAGTCACTTTCATATGCCTTTAAAATACTGCAGAATGATAAGCAGATCACGGGCATCTTTATCAACATATATGGTGGTATTGTTCGATGCGACATGATAGCCGAGGCTATCCTCGCCGCAGCGTCTCAGATGGGTGGATTCAAGGTTCCAGTCGTCCTACGCTTGCAAGGAACAAATTGCGACAAGGGGTTGAAATTGGTAAGTCATGGTATATTTTTCACGGCTACTATATTGCTAAAGGTGATGCAGATCGAAAATTCGAAAGCGGACAATATCATGGTGGAGGCCGATTTTGAGGGCGCTGCGCAGACAATTGTTCGGCTGACGAAGGAGGAGGGTACTTGAGAGGATATATAGGTCTAAACAGATTGAACAAAGTGATATTCCAATTTAAACAACCGCATTTATAAGAATCGTGTACAAATGATCCGAAAGCAAAAGCAGAGTCAATATATACGAACCTTGACGGTAAAATAAAGCACACCCTTTAACACCGGACTTATGCCGGCTGCATCACTAAACCCTCCTTTAACGTATTAATCATAATTCGTGTCAGCAGATCTTTACCATCGTAAGAACTCGCCTTGCGATCAGCGGATGCCCAAGTGGTGAAGTCAAAACGATCACCCCCGAGACCACGCCCATGTGAGCCGTAACGGCGCTTGTATTCACTCAGCTCAGCGGACCACTTCAAGGGTCGTTGTTGCTTTTGTCGGGGGAGGGAAGGCTTGAGGTCCTAGTTCATCGATCAAACCTTGGATATCTGTAGGTGAATGAAGAGTAACTTTATGTTTCTTGGCGTACGCAAGGACATGAACGCCACGGTCGGTGTCATCGTAGGCAAGCGGATCCATACCACTTTGTTCTGAGCGGCCAAGTGCAAAATGAAGTTTCATGCTTGTGGCTAAGTTCTTAACCTCGGAGCCTGGGCCCAAGAGGCCTTCTTGTTCGAGAGTTGCAAGCATGGTAAGGAACATGGTCCTCAACATTTGGCTAGTCTCCTCAACCTGTTCGCCATCGTCTAACCTATGTAATAAGTCAATTTAGTAAGAGGATCACTTAATTTAAGATGGAAGTAATACGAACAACAGTAAATCTTCCATAGGTAGACGATTGGTCCAAAGAAAGAGGGATTGGCAAACCACCCACTGCTCTTTCCAGTTACCCTTTGCCTCGTAGAAATCCAACAGCGTATTTTGAAGAAACTCGAGAATTCCGAAGCATCCATGTTCATAGGTACCACTAACCCCAAACCCATCCGGATCATGAAGCGTGTGCATGATTTGGTAACAGACGGATTTACCAAAACATGTCTTCGTAATGAGCCAAGGGTGATCCGGGGAACTCATCAAGCGTTTTGAGGCAGGGGCAGGAATCGCAACATTTCTGTTGAGATTGGTCCTGAATTAGTATATAATCATCAATATGGGCGGTAAGATCTTGAAACCAACCTCAGCCTCCTTGTCCACTGCATTGGCAGGTTGGAATTGATGCGGGCAAACGCCGACCCAGGAATAAGCGTCTTCGGTATTTCTTGTCTGGAATTTATATTACATGTCTGCGTTGGCCGAGCCGGAAATCCTAGACCAGCGAGGGTTTCGAGGCATGCTCAGTAGCTCATCTGAGACCGCGTTTGATTTTTGCTTTTTGGTCGCAGTTGTTGATTCGGTGGACTTGCGCTTTGGTGGCATTTTGGGCGAGGGCTTGGGGAAATAGTATGAGGAATGACTGTATAATGAAAGAGGGCAAAGATGCGACAGCAGGATTTAAGTCCGCGAAATTAGGGGGTTGAATTGCTTTTATTGATTTATGACGTTTGTGATTTTCGAGTATGATGTAGTCACTCCGCGTTGCGTGTGGGAGTGGAGAAGAATGCACCACGGGCTACTGGACTCGCGTTATCGTTATCGCCTATCATGTATTGGCTGATCTACCAGCTATGTCGTAGTCTACTATTTACAATGTGCTAGAAAGTATGTGGATCAGGATCCCATTCTTCGATGCGATATAATCGATACTTGTACACCAAAAAAACCCTGATGCGATTACAAATTCCTGGGTTCTAGTACCCCTGGCGCCAGGTTCTTGATTGATGTCCATGATCTGAGAACTGATCAAGATAGATTTATATGCATATAGAAATTTCCAAATTCAAGCAAGCAAAAAACGACTTCTTTTAAGTAGTAGGATACTCCCCCGTACTTTCGGATAGAAGCTCCACAACAGTCTGATATCCTGCACTCCCTGTCCACTTCTTTGCATCTCCTCCACCCTTATACAAGGCACTCAGATCTGCGCCATTGGCAAGGAGAAGCTTGAAAATATCTGCTCCATGCTGAAGACCCACTGTAGAAAACTAGGATGCTTGAACTTTGGGCACCGTAATGTGCGTTGCCCTGCAATGTGGCTAGCACGGACGCTACTGACACAAGTAGAGACTGACTAGATTAAAGGTCGTCTCACAAAGTCATTTGCTATGTGTGCGTATTCTGATGTTATTTCGGGGAATTTGAATAAATTAGGACTTGCATTTGATGCGAAAAGCAAAGTCGTATTAAATGGGATAATAAACTTGTTCGGGTTTAAGTACCACTCTGCCAATATGACGGTGGTGAGGAGCATGCGGCTAGTATGGCCTCACTTGTTCCTCGGACCACTGCCAAAATTTACCAGTCAACTTTGGATCCCACAGGTCGTTTCTGATTTTGATCACTCTTCCCCAAGGTGCCACTTCTAAATGTTAGCGAGATTTGTAGTCAGATCAGATGGAAGCCGTCTTACCAAACGAAGCGTTTTGCTCTTCGGTGATCTCATCGCTCAAACCAGCATAAAGCTCTGTATATGCTCCGTATACAGGATCGAAGAGAATCAAATTCTGAAAAGATTTGTTAGAACCGAAATATGCAATTTCCATCTTTATCAATATGCTCACTGTTAGTGCTGCCGCTGGTCCAGACATGTGTCTTTGAAGACCACTTTTCAGATTTCCTGGGTTCAAGGACTGATTTTATATCAATACGATGGTATCTTCAATCTGAAGGGCTTCAGTTCAACCCGAATGATGCCAGACAGTGACGTACCAAGCTCAAGATCCCTTCTCCCGCACTACGATTAGCGAATTCCACACAATGAAGCACATTTCCAGCTTTGCTGCGGAAATACTTCTTCATAGCTCCTTCATCCTTGCTGTAATCCATGTTGTCGAAATTTATTGCTGGTTTCGGTGCCAACATCGCCCCCGAGGACGATACCCATATGACACGAACGCTGTTATTGGGAGCTGTGATCGCCGTCTTTCGCAAAATATCATGAAGGTATTTGACAAAGAGGAAATGTCCAAGGTTGTTGGTTCCCAGTTGGAGTTCGTAACCTTGTGATGTTGTGCTACCCTGAGGCGGCGCCATAACCTAATTGAAAAGTAGTCAGAATCGGAAGCCCAAGTAGTGACGGACATTTTTGATTAAAACTTACGCCAGCATTGAGCCATAAGACATCAAGGCGAGATTCTGCAGCCAGAAAGTTCTGTGCTGAGGCTTTGATAGTTGTCAAGTCGGAGAGATCTAATTGGAGGAAGACGAGTCTTCCACCCGAGTTTGGATGCGCCTTCTTGATTCCTGCTATGGCATCTATGGCTTTCTTTTCAGACCTAGCCCCAACATACACTGTTGCATTGCGTCCATATAGGATTTTTGTAAGCTCAGCGCCGACACCAGAATTGGCACCCGTGACGATGAAAATCTATGATCGTTTGTTAGAAGAGATAATATAAGAATTGACGAAGTTATTTCCTACCTTCCCCGATTGATCGGGCAGGTTTTTCTCCGTGAGGACAGGAGATGGAGGACAGAAGGATCTATAGAATTCCATCTTGCGTAAAAGAAATAATCAAGGAGTAATAGACCCAAATAGGATCCAAGTGAATTGAATTGAATGATTGATGCAGTTTATTTCTACGGAAATGTATCAGTTTAAATAGACTCGACAATAGCATTGGAAAAATTCAAGCCAGAGAATTTCCGTGCTAACTATCTGTTTCCATTCAATTGTTCTGAACTTTCTTCGTCTTCAGTATATTTCTATGGAGTCATAATGGTCTAAGATCGCCACTTGAAAATTCCCAATGAGGTTAGTCTAAGTCATCACTCGTCTAAGCTTGGTTAGACCAGAATGACCTCTTGCAGATCATTGGCTTAAATACTTAAACCCGAAACCCGGGGCCCACCCTGTCATCTTTGTCAGATAATCATTGTATGGAACGTTGAGCGCCGAAGACTATGACGAGGGAAATTATTTCGTCGGGAAACTTTCAACACAGCCACAAGGCTTGATTTTTAAGCAGCCTTTTGAAGATGCTAGAGACGAAGGTTTGAAGAGAGGAGAACTTCCATCTCAGCTTCCAGTTTTCGGGGTCGGGTGGAATTCAAGTTCATATATTGCATATCAATGGTAAGAGTTGACGCATGCTAAAGAGTTTACACTGTAAGAGAATATATGCGGTAATATTTCTGATTCGAACCGTTGAATCTCAAGTAATATTACATTATGATCACTTCTTGGCTAAGATCCAGTGAAAGGGAACATCCCGCGAAACTCCATCGGTTTCTTCCGAATCCACAACGACCTCATCAATCTTAATGTCGAAGCCAATATCCCTCAAAACCTGGACTAATTTTTCTCTTCCCCAGCTACTCCAATACACGGCCCCATTTGTAGCGCCGAGCCAGGATTCATTAGTTGAGCCTTCAAAATTTGTTTCTGGGAAATTCGCCAGAAGCTGTCCTCCAGGCTTGAGCCAGTCAAAGATGCGAGTAAGGAGAACAGTCTGCTCATCACGTGGTATATGAGAAATTGAATACATTCCCAAGACTGCATCGAATTGTTGGTGACCAAATCCCAAGTTCATCATGTCGCCTTGTATAAGGTCCACGGATGCAGGGAGGCGCTCCTTTGCTAAGGCAATTTGAGTTTCGGAGATGTCATTTGCAGTAACACTGGTATGTTCCTGGGAAGCTAGGAGCTGGGTGACTGGAACTCCGGCCCCACAGCCTAGCTCAAGTATAGATTTTTGATGGGTGCCGGTTTGAGTATTGATGGACTTAAGCATAATATCAACATAAGACAGGCGCGTTGCGTGAGAAGACTCTGTCCATTTCAAGTAGAAGGGAGAGATTTCATCATAGGCTTTTTTCATATTAGCCTTGATTTGATGGCTGTCGATAGGTTCAGTCATTTTGTAGGGTAAACTTTGCTGATAATCGAAGTGGAGTCGTTAGGACGTAAGAACCGGACAGTTGAATTATGTTGTGGTGATATTTGTGGCATGCCCTGGGGTTTAAATAGAACCGCTCCTCGTACTTCAAAATTATATGACGGTAGAAAATGACTCATGGGATGGTATGGGGTGAAATGTGACTCACTAGCTGCTATGACCTTAGAATACTACATGATTCAATCTTGGAGCTTACTAGCGGGCTACTAGCGGGGTAAGCTGGGGAAGTGGGCATCCTTTTTGTTTTGCCCCGAGGAAAAATCAGGGATCTATTTCCAAGCGCCACTTGAAAAAACTTCTCACTTTCGGGTTGAGATGAGATTTTCCGACAGTACTTATCTTTTAAATACTAATTTCTACGGGTGCAATTGGTTGTATAATGACTACAACAAGCTTGAATACCACGCCCTGGGGATCGTACTAATTTGCGCAAAGTGTGGAAATTACACACATTTAGCGAGCCAGTAATAGTAGAAAATGTCAGAAAATAATACTTCATGCTAACACAAACGGATAAATAGCAAAATATCAAAATTACAGGAAATGTGCTCTAGCCAAACGCCACTACACACACCGTGAGCATCAATTGAGAATCAATACACATAAACGACTTCAAGCTGCAAATCACCCACGTAGCTGCCATCGCCAGCCCTACGACCGAATCCTAAAAGGTTAAGATAGAAAAGCTGCTTCCCTTTTCTCCGGCCTCCAACAGGGACAACCTTCTTCGACTGCGTATTCAGCAGCATCTTAAGATGCTCACCAGTAAAATGGTTCGCTAAAATGGGACTTGCATCCTCCCAAGGCAAATCCAATCCACGGGAAATGGATTCCTCATCGACATACGCAGATCGCTTCATGTCATAGCCGTAATAGGAGGCATTCGCCATGCGGCTATCAAATATGCTTCCATCTAGCGACTTCACGCGAAGGATCAGATCGCGCGGTCTACCGGGCTGAATCTCATCGCCACAGTCAGGGAAGCGATAATCAACATCGCATTTGATCTTGCCATTGAATGCGAGGACGTGGGCGACGATGCATTTACATCCACTGCGGAAGACCTGCTGCTCAACGAAGATTTTCGGATTCTCAAATCCCTCATCGGACTTTGAGATGAATACTGTCATCCGCACGTATCTTTCCATGTCGCTAACAGCGGTCGGATCCACGACAGATGTATCATCTGAACAATTTTAGTTAGACTCAATCGGGAATGGTAGAATAGGCAGTCTCATACCGGTGAAGAAGACCTTCCTAAATTGGCACTCTGGAATCTCATTGTGCTCAACGGACTTGTCACTTCCACTGGTGAAGATAGTGAGTGGAGTGCGAAGAAATTCACGGCTGAATTGCTTCACAATCTTCTCGACTGAACCGCTCACGGCTGGCCTCCCCTCGATGAAAGTTGGAGAAGAAGGCCGCGACGGAGTTGATCCCGACCAGGAGTATGAGCCGAACGATTTGCGCGCTGCTGAACGTTTGGTACTCTCGATGGGATCACCGTTGAGACCCAGATCGTATACTGTAGCTGGCGAAGGAGAAATCATTGTCTTGGACTTGCGCAAGGATTTATAATGGAACAGAAGAAGATTTGAGATGGAAAGGATGGTTGAGATGGAAAGGATGGTTGAGATGGAAAGGATGGTTGAGATGGAAAGGATGGTTGAGATGGAAAGGATGGTTGAGATGGAAAGGATGGTTGAGATGGAAAGGATGGTTGAGATGGAAAAGATGAGATATTGGGCGGAAGAATAAGAGGTTTAAATAGAAGAATAATCCTTGCTGGATATAATAATACAACATAATGCGTTGCTATTCCGGGGCCATAATCCATCTTGATACTAGTCGATGAGAGGCGCATAAATGCCCACGCAGCGCGGTGTCTCATTAACCAACCATCTATAACATGTATTCCAATCGGCGATGGTCAAAGTGCCGTTGATACGGATGTATTCTTCCAATCAATCATAGATGTGTAAATAACAGGGATTGGGATCCTTTATGCACAGTCTCGATTCATAAGCTTCCATGTAAACTACTATTGTCAAATGATTACGCACTTTGAGCTATTTAAAACATCCCCGGGGCCAGAATCTCGAGATATGCACTTGAGAGCAATTATGCACTAGCAAGGATCACGAAACAGTATCATTATACATGCTCTCAAAATGAGGAGTTTACTCTTCTGATGGTTTGAGGGGCTATAATTAGAAACATTAAGAGCAGGGGTATGTCTCCTTAGATCGGCGGCTAAGCAGTACTTTTGTACCCTCCTTCACGAACGAGGGAAAGGACTATGGAGAACTTCAAGACTTTTCATGAACTATTAAAACATTCCAAATAAATTATAATGTATTCTATTTACGTGTTGTTCCAGGGGAAGTCACGGATAAATACCTTTTAATTAAGCAACCATGTCATGGATGTATGAACCGAACTACTACTATGAACCAGGTACGAATCCAGGAACTTGATAAGTTCTGATCGGCTATCACATCCTCGCATATAATTGGCCATGAACAAGGGACTATCGCAAAGTGGTATAATCGAGCCCGAATATTGCATAATGTCGTACTCCCCGGTGGCGCCTTTCTCAACCTAGACTTATCAGATCATAGTCACTGGCACGGGCAATGGATCAAGAACTTGAAACCGCAGCCAGAACAAATATACCAAATGAATATAACTAGTAGTTATAGTCGAGTGAAGCGCTCTGAAATGCGGAGATCAGCGCTGAACCAACAATAAGATGCTAAAAACAGACAATACCCCGATTTTGAAACTTGGTTCGTGGCGCACCGCGATTCACCCAGCTGGTTTGGACGGTGGAGGTATGTATTCCTCTCCGTGCCGAGGTCTACTACCTATCATGGTGGGTGACACTGCAGCAACTTGACATTCCAGGTGTAAAAATTGAAGTCCTTCGTCCAAAGAACCTGTCAGCAGTGGATACCGAGAAGCTAAATGTCACCTATGTAGTGCTTTATCTGTTTTCATTTTCCTCATTCAGTCTGAGCCTTGATCTCATGCAGGTACGACAACATGTGGGCGAACAATATTTTGTACTAGGCTGGTAAATTGATGATCGACCTATATCCAATCAGGTCCAACTGACATCCCATCGGCCGCGCTCGCAGGGTGCAGGGTGATAAACTTGTGCTCCCTGGAGACCCGAGTCTTAGTATCCTCTGTAAGCAAGAACCTAACTTGGCTACACTGGCATGTGGTTCAGCAGGAAAGCAATGTTCCAAGCCTTAGAGGTTGTCTGTGCAACGTAAATATTGGCCATTCTCCATAGTTTATTCTATCTTCATCATAGGGTTGCTATAATTTGGCTCTGGAGAACCACTAGTACTACTAGTAGTGATGAGTTGAGAAAAGGGCGGTAGCTCAAGTTGATGAAGATCAACCATCCAAGGTGGACATGTCTTGTAATTGCATTGCTCTAAATCGAAAAGCTACAAATGATGGTCTTGGTCGATATGGGTACATACCTGTTGATTCCATGTGTAACATGCGTTGTGTATATCCTTCCAGGCTTATGCGTTTATCACCCGCCGCTTCAGACTCGTCCATGATAGTTAAATGCTTGTGGTTATATTGTGAGAAATACGCAATGGGCTATGTAAATATGATGAAAAGGGGGGAAAGAAATGCAGTGCACAAGGGCGATGCGGCTATACTGTTCCAGCCATGATGTTGAATACTACTGGGACCAGCCAAGTGACTCTTTTCAAATCACCTCCAGCTGCTTAAGCCCAAAAAGTAGACTTACTTAGCTTTGACAGCGTCATGGACAGCGTCATGCCCATCATACGGAATACCAAATCTATTGAGTAAGTTTGACGCAGCGGTTTCACCCGTCTTATACGCGCCATGCACACAGCCATTGGCAACCATGGTGCAGTGCTCACCTGCAAACTGCAAGGGGCTTCCCTTGTGGTTTTCCAGGGCCTCAATGAACAGATCTGGATTATCTCCAACCTTGTCTGCAGAGTAAGAGCCATAACCTGCCAGAGGATCCTGAGTCCAGTGTGTAGTTTCAACACTGACTAGGCGAGGCAGTGCTTTGTATGGCTCAGTTCGGAGCAGTTTAAAGAGAGGCTCGAAGAACTGATAAATCTGTTTGGAGTCCTTCATTGCTTCAATGCGTTGGGTCAGGGGCTCGGCGACCTGCACACAGAGCTCCTTGCCACCAGTCATAATCCATAGATTGATTGTGACAGTAGCGTAATTTAAAATGTTGTCCTTTTCTTTGATCGTCATGCTGGTAGTAGACTCGACCGACGATCCGGACGAAGACTCCATGTCTTCTTCAGGTGGGGAAGGGTAAAAAATGAACTGGTCGTTGTCTTTCGACCAGAACACATCGGTAAATTCAAAAAAGACTTTGCCCAGGGCTCCGTAACTGAACAAGGACATGGCCTCTTGGATATCACCCGGTAATGGCGGGTTGAAATTAATGAGGTTGTGATGGTAGACACCCAGCGGGCAAGTCATCACCACGGCATCGGCCTCCATGGATCCATTCACTCCGGTTTCCGCATTCTTGTAGCGGATACACAAGGGCTGGTCGCCCTGTTCGTTCCACTCGACATGTTCGACGGTGTGGTTGAGTTTAATGGTGTTGGGATCCTCGCGCAGGGATTCGGCGGTCCAGTTGACAATTCGGTCATATCCGCCCTTCATGTACAGGTTACGCTCGGTGATGAAGTAGGACAAGTGTTTGGAAGAGGCCTCCTTCGTACTGGTTCCGAGCCACAGTTCCACCTCGCGCACGGCCTGCGGCGCCCAATGGCGCTCATCGTCGGTAATGAGTTGATGTTCGAGTACAAATTCCTTCACAAATTCGTCGACGGGGCGATCCTCGGCATCGGGGTGAGTTTCGTAGTACCACTCGCAGTAATCGGCGAATTCGTCGGCCACCTTCTTTGCTTTAAATTGGGAACCGGCGCGGCCCTCTCTGGTGAAATAAAGAGGTGCGCCATCATCGTAATAGTAGGGAATGGCTAGTCTGGGGATGAGCTTCACCAGTTCGTTCTGAGAAGTTTCGTGCATCCAAGCGGCACCTAAGCGACCGGTCAGCGAAAAAGACAACTTCAAAGGACCAAAGGGAGGAAAAAAAGACCACCACTTCACAGGAATGAAATTGAAAAAAAAAATCACCACTGGCTTGGTAATTATTTTCCCCACGCATTTAGCTTTGTAATGTTGGAGTTCCTACCAATATCTCGAACATGATCTCCGTTGCGGCTCGTCAGGATTCTTCCACCAATGCGATCGCGACCTTCCAGGACCACGACCTCACAACCATGACGCTGCAAAACCGCAGCGGCACGCAGACCGGAAATACCAGCCCCCACCACAATCACCTTCTTGGACTCCGACCTTGCTGTGCGTGATGCCTCGTCGGGCGCAGACTCAATGAGAGTCGCAACCTGGAGGCGCGCAGCCAGGTCGGAGCCACAATTACTTGGTTTTAAGGGACTACTGCCCGGGAGAGAAGAAGATAGATGAAATGCTTGGGCCATTCTGAGTTGACAAGTGGACATTCGGTTGCTAAAAGCAACGAAGTCAAAAATATAAATATAGGAGGTTTGGACCGATAAGAAAGTTTGATAGAGAGAGAAAGAGAGAGAGAGGAAAAAATGATTGGGTGAGATGAGGGGCTAAATAGGTGTTAGAGGGGGGGGGGGGGGGGGACCAGTTGGTGGCGATATGAGCCGATATAGGAAGATCCAATCAGTAGTGGATAGTGGTAGGGCGTGGGAAATAAAATAAAATAAAATAAAAATATTCAAAATTATAATAAAATATAATATAATATAATTCAATAGGAACCAGATCAGGCAGAAAATGAAAATCGAATAAAAATCAGACTTTGTTTCGGCTGTATCCACTCGGCAATAGAATCCACTTATCTTCCATGCATCTCAGTGGCCATGACCTGCTGGACCACGATGCTTAGCTTATTCTTAGTGAAGGCATTCTTGGAACAAACCAACCTATATCCACTTTTTTTTTCCTTCCTCTGACGCGCGATTTGTCCTAAAAAAGCCCCTACCCCGTTAAATTATATGGGTGAGAAGGGCGAAAATGACGAGAATGACGAGAAAGAGGAAAAAGTCCCGCAAAATCGATAATTAAAATAATTAAAATAATTTAGCGATAACGGTGCGCTGCCATCACGCTAATCTTTCGGCCCCCCTCTCTCTCTCTCAACTGGGATCAGATTTTTCTCTCTCTCCTATCTCCATCATATCTCCCCCGCATGAGCACGTCTTAGTCGTGCTATCTATTCTTTTAAGCAGGTCCTTGCGGAATTGACAGAAGCTTTGGCTTCTGTCTTATCTTTGCAAGCTCTGAGCAAAAATATAGAAACGGTTTTTTTTATTTTTTATTTTTTGTTCGCGTATCAACGCGTACATCAAGCCCAGGATTCCGATGAACGACAACACCGTGGGAATAAATTCACCGACATGGCCGTCTTCGGGCATAAACGGTCCAATCGACCGGTCAAATTCAAATCCAAACATAATAATGGAACAGGAAGAAGAACATCCGCTGAATGGAACTGAAACTATCTTCCCCGCCGAGAACGGGGAGATCACGTTGATTCCGACTCCAACCAATTCCCCCGATGATCCACTGAACTGGAGCGCGTGGCGCAGGTACTGGCATGCATTCTTGATCCTGCTGATCGTGGCATTCACCGCGGCTACCTCGAATGATGCTGGTACTGCGGGCAATGGCATGAATGCTGAATTGGGCATTTCTTGGGATGCCATCAATGTTGCTGCTGGTGTCTTGTTTGTCGGCATTGGATATTGTACTCTTCTCTTGAGTCCTGCCCCCTTTTTGTACGGGCGCCGCATCTCCTACCTACTATGTATACTGTTTTCCATGATCGGCTCCATCTGGTTCGCCCGCGTTCAAGGGGTGGAGGATAATATTTGGAACCAGTTGTTCGTCGGTGCATCCGAATCCTGTGCGGAAGCCCTCGCCCAACAATCCCTGTCGGATATCTTCTTTCAGCATCATCGAGGACTGGTTCTGGGTTTCTATATCTTGGCCACGAGTATTGGTACTTTTATGGGCCCTCTGGTCGCAGGTTTCATTACTGATGACGACAATCTTGGCTGGAGATGGGTTGGCTGGCTTGCAGTCATCATTTCCGGCGCCATGTTCATTTTATTCTATTTTGGACTGGAAGAGACATACTTCGATCGCAAAAGTGTCTTACAAGGGCTGGACGTACGCCCCCAAGACGCACAGCACTCCAGTGAAAATCGCTCGGAGGAGAAGTCGAACAGTCAAGACAACACCGGACCCGTTCTGGTTAACTCTACATCTTTGACCGATGAGGAAAGTGGTCAGAAGAAAGGAAAAACTTATTGGCAGCGCATTGCCTTGATTACCCCGGCTCCCACTCTGATCGGTACTGGCTTCAAGCAGTATTTCCTGCGCATGTGGTATACCCTACGCATTTTCAGTTTCCCTGCAGTGCTCTACTCAGGATTGCAGTGGGGCGCCCAAGATGCTTGGCTGACCTTCTACCTCACTGTGGAAGAGGATAACTACTACGAGGCCCCCTGGTTCTACACCGATGCTGCAGTAGGCATTATGAACGTACCTACTTTGATTGGCGCATGCATTGGCTGTATCTACGGTGGATGGTTTTCTGATTTCTTCGTCACGTGGATGGCCAAGCGAAACCATGGCATTTTCGAAGCCGAGCAGCGTCTCTGGCTTCTTTTCCCCGTGGCATTCATTGGACCGGCCGGTTTGATGCTGTTCGGTATCGGTTCTGACAAAGGATGGGACTGGCCGTTGCCGTATCTGGGACTGGGATTCATTGGTTTTGGCTGGGGCTGCGCAGGTGACCTCAGCATGGCCTATCTTCAGGATGCTTACCCAGACATGGTTCTGGAGGGTATGGTCGGAGTCTCCGTCATCAATAATACGATCGGATGTATTTTTACCTTCTCTGCGCAGTACTGGCTGGACGCACAGACCCTGTCTCAGGTCTTTATCGCCCTCGGCGTTCTCAGCTGGGCGTCCCTCATGACTACGGCACCTATGATCTACTGGGGAAAGAAGGCCCGGAGATCCACCCAGAAGCGATACGAGAACTTTCTCCGTCTTCGCGATGGTCACTTGTAAGAAGATGTGGAAATGCGCAGGATCACTTTGGGCTATCTCGGCTACTTAGCGATCGGCGTCATTTTAATCTCGCTTCCTTATCGCGCATACTGTAAACAAGCACACCCTTGCGCTGATTTGGTTTCAATTCTTTTTTTGTTTTTTCAATTGTCCCGATTTTGTTGATAAGCATTTCATCTTGCATATTGCATCTTGTTTTGCGCCGCATCTGTATCTTCTTTTTGATTGGATTCTTTTCCAAATACCCATTTTATTGCCTTGCTTTAATTTCATCTATTCAATTCCCGCGCCTCAAATGAATCTGAAACTCAAAATTCCCAACTAGACTAGCTATCAGCTGACATCTCCCGGAGTGTCGGCCGGAATGTCCACTTTAAGTTAGTGAGCCGGCAATCTATCAGTGGAGCAAATAGAATGATATAGTTCAAGAAGACTGACAAGCCAACGCTAACCATTTTGCCGAAGGCTTGAATCTTATCTCCTAGCTCAACATCTCCGCATTTCCTCGCCTGTACATTACTATCTAGGCATAGTCCGTGAGAACGGTATTTACATGCATGCATGCCTTATCTTCTCAATCTAAAGGATCAATCCCGACCCCAACGCGGGAGGGAACTGCATACGCACAAGATTTCCCCGCAGTTACTCCGACATAGGGCTGATCTCTACCTCGAACTAGGTAGTATGTTTCGTATATCGACGAATCCAAGCATCATCTGCCAATTCCTTTGCCGTGGCCCGCTTTTCCGGCTCCCACTGCAACATTCTGTGCATCATGCGGAGAAACTCCTCTTTCTCCTCACCCTGCAGTATACTTTCCCGCTTCTCTATTGGCACAAGACTTAGATCTTGCCCCGGCAGTTCGGAACAAAACAAGCCTAAAACAAGCCCGTACATTAGCGCCGGATGAATCAAATCCGCTACGTAGAAGACCAGGGATGGACTTACCATCTGAAGAAAATAATTCGCGGCTGAGTCGTCCGCGTGCAAGGAGATCCTGGGGTGGAGGCCCAAGAAGCCTTATCATCTCCGCTAGATGCACGGCGCTTCGATAGGTTTGAGTTGCGGGGTCTTTCCCGCTGAATAGGGGAGTCCCTTGGAACATGCCCCAGATCTAGATAAGACAGATCGAGTTAAGTACTCTGCACTGATTTATTTCCTTTTCTTTTTGACGGGTGGACATGCTTGTTTGAGATCTTACCATGCAGCCTACGTTCCAAATATCTACTTCGTAACTCCATAGAACTTGCAGAACTACTTCTGGTGAGCGGTAGATGTCTGGCTGGGCGTGTTCTGTACGTGGCCCGTCGCCACTGACGGCAGCGCTGAGGTCACAAAGAACAGGCAAGCCCGGTTTTCGCGGTTGTTCCAAGTCTCGTGTGAGGTAAATGACTCCTCCTCCTTCTCCTTCCTTCCTTACGGAGGGGGTTTGAAGTTCCCCTTCCTCGATTTGTCGAAATATTGGGTCATCATCGGCCATTCCTATCAATATATTCTCCTCCTTGATGTCTGTCATACGTTAACCAGAGATCAACCATCATCTGCATTTCTTAACATATTACCAGTATGAATAACCGCACACTCATTGTGGAGGTAATCAAGCCCCAGAAACACACGATGGAGCGAAAAAGCCATTAACTCTGGTGAAAGTCTGTTGATAGGGTTCCGGGATCTAAATTTCTGCAAATTCTCCCAAAGTGGTAGATCAATCAGGCATTGATGCTTTTTGCCAGATCGATAAACATGAAACGAGTCATGTAATTGTCTCACGGCGTCGCGGCCACGATGCATTTCCGACCCAGAATAGTCACGGATGCCTCGAATAACCACACATAGAAAGTCATTCATCAACCCTGCCGCTTCTATCTCCACACAGTATACCCCCAAGTCCTACGCCAGTTGGTCTCGCCTTCTGCTATCTTTCACCACCTAGTTTGCGGATGCGATTAGTCCATAGTGAATCACTGGTTCTTCGTAGTCTCGCAAAGGTCGGTGAGCCAGTTTCGATCGGTCACAATCCCTACATATATCAGCTGTATGATAATCATATTCTACTTAGTATAGGCAGTCCTCTTGGGCGGGAGGAGTGAAGTTAGCAGCTTTACAAGATGTTGTTTTGGTATGGATATTGGATATGAACTTAATAACTTGACTATCTTCCGTAAGATGATAAGAGTCAGGCAGATAAAAAGGGTTGATATTGAATAAAGTTCTTTCGTAAAGTTATACAGAAACTAATCCTTGGAAGACTACTACTTCCAAGTATTTATATACTTTATATCAACCATAGTTCGTATACCTCACGTAAGAGGTCCAGGGCTAGAACCCTTAGTAACTCATTTGTCCGTTCCAATATTAATGTATAACACTCTGGACCAAATGATTTCCCCCGAGAACACTGTTTAAACATTTAAAATCCATGATGTTGAAATTTATATCACTATAATAAAATTTAAATTCACTAGTAATGGGTAGTTTTGTTTTGTTTTGTTTTGTTTTTTTGCTTGAATAGTATCATTGATTAAGTCGTTATCTATCATGTAAAAAACGCATGAGTGTTTCCAATCTTCCAATCCAACTTTCTAGCTTGGTTCCTCGTAGTTCTAAAAGCTATGAAGATGAGTCCCCAAATATTTTCATGTCTCGCCGGAAAAAGAAACACGTATGGTGATCTTCAGAGCAAAGACCGGACATCCTTGGAGTCTCTAATGACCATCCTTGCTGGACCTGAAAGGTTCTGATGTTCTGAGAGTGATCGATGATATAAGATTGGAAGCGCTCCAACGACCCAGAGCTCTTGAGTATCAGGGTCACAGAACATCTGGCCAGCTGGAAGCAGCGAGCGAGGACAAAGTCCAGCTCCTCCACTGATAGGAATTCCAATGCTGAAACACAGAAAATATGATCCACCATGACTGTCTGCTTGGCCAAGAATCGCTCCATCCTGTTTTGAACCAACTGATTATACCCCGTCTCGGAGGTATGGGCATCCAGCGATGTTTTTGAAATATCAACACCAACAAGATGCGTAATTTGATTCCTCGGATTGGACTTAAGCGATAATCCACCACTTCCGGTTCCGCATCCAAGATCAATCGCCGTGCCGTTGTATGGTGCGATCGTAGAGATGTCCATAATTTCCTGGACAAGCCTGGCTTTCAGTGGCATTTGATCAAATAATGCCGCTAACTCACCTGAACGTGCCTCTCCAAGGGCTGAATTCTCAAGGAAGTAATTTGTGATGTAAGTGTTGACAACAGCTCGGTATGACCCAGGAAATCCATGTTTGACATCTGTATCTTCGAGCTGGGATCCCGTGGGGTAGAAAAACACAGGAAGAGGATCGACTTCAATTACATAGGCTCTTCCATCTTGCCCAATCCGCATGTCGACATCGCAGCCCATGTAATTTGTGTACATTTTCTTAGTTGTAAAAGCTTCAATTGCCGTGTCCTGCAAGTGTTTCCATAGAGCCGGATCCTCATCTTCATGTAACAACTCATACCCTGATTCGGCGTCAAACTTCAACTCTAATGTGAGAATACGCGCAGAGTCTCCAACTTGTTTATACTTGGCGCGCTGTGGGATAAGTGGAAATGGGGTCTCGCCCATCGCAATCACGACAACGGAGTATTCCTCTCCAGCAATGAACTCCTGGACGACAATATCTGTGCTGTCTTGGCCTTCTTCTTCCCGGGAATCCGCGTACTGCTCCGGGTCTGTATGACCCAATGCCTGGGCTCGTTGGAGCCGAACCGGACGCATAAGTTTGTTAAGCCTTAGGATACACTGCTCAAGCCCCTGTTTATTCCGACACAAAGAGTGTTCATCTATGAACATGCTTCCATAACTTGACGCGGGCTTCACAAACAGTGGAAAAATCTCAGTACCTGGTATAAGTGGACTCCCTGCAGCCTTGGCCTGGGCAAAGAAGTCCCATTTTGATTGGGCTCTTTCCGAGCTTTGGACACCGGCAAATGGGAGGTTGAGAGACTCGAGATATCGAATAGCATCTACACCTGCTAACGAATCATCATGTGTCCCCCACATAAAGTTCAGATAGAAGTCGTATCCCTCCTTAACAGCTTCATCTATTTGTTCCTTGGCCGTATTTTTATGGACAGTCTTGTGGGTGACTGCATGCTGCGTTGTAAACACGCCTGGGTTCATGCATAATTCCTGCGCTTCGCCAACAGAAGCTTGGAGCTCCTCAAAGCAAGACTGGAAGACACAGATTCTCATTTGGATAATATTGGGGCTTTTTTTTTTTTGTTTATCGAGGGGTAGAAACCGTATTGTAGCTGTCGTGTGCTAACCTGCCGAAACCCAGATCTGATCTGAACCCCTCCTGAACACCCGTCACGATTCTGCACGATCGGCTGATCTATATCTACTTTAGTACAAAGGCCCAGCAAGTGTGGCCAGCTGAAGAACCAGTTCATTTTCCTATTCAGCCAATGAAATATACCACTTTTGTCCGATTAGGCAGGAAAGTGGACCGTAGTGGATACAGCTCGGGCACAACACAGGCGAAGCACAACAAAACTCATGAATTGCCGTCCCGACGAAGGTGTTTGTTTTTGAAGGATGCAGATAAATGCTTATTTGCTACTGACGTAAAAACATGGATCCATATCATATACATGATTGACTGAATGAAGCCCAGTCAATTTCAGAAAGAAAAATCCCCCGATTACGATAGTGGGATTTGGTTCGGAAAAACAGCAGTAGCTGTCGCGAACGCCACAATACCCTCTTCGCGTCCCACGGATCCCATTTTCTCATTTGTGCCCGCTTTCACAGATACGCGACTCTGGTCCAACCCCACAATCCTAGCAACAGAAACCCGCATCGCATCCCGATGAACGCTAATTCGCGGAGCTTCGCACACAAAGCTCAAGTCACAATGGGTAATAATGCCTCCGGCCTCAGCTACAAGCTGAGCAGCATGGCGTAGAAATTTGTCCGATGACGCGCCTCTCCATTTGGGATCCTTGTCTGAAAAGTGGCTACCGATGTCATTGGAGGCGATGGTACCCAGGAATGCATTGGTAAGGGCATGCAAGCCCACATCGGCATCAGAGTGCCCAAGCAATGTTGTTTTGTGGGGTATTTTCACACCGCAAAGTGTTATTGTGTCTCCCGGTACTAAGCGGTGGGTATCGTAGCCATGACCGACTCGAACATCGGGAACTGTCATAGGATTTGAAATCGTAGATTGATTGTTCGACCGAACTAACTGTTTAGCATCCTCGAAATCCTCGGCATAGGTCAATTTTATGTTTTTGGCTTCGCCTGGGACGACTCGAGTAGGAATGCCGAGCTGCTGGAATAAAGAGGCATCATCAGTATAGCTCAGGCCTGAAAGGGCGGCTTTTTCATGAGCGGCCAAAATAGTATCTAGTTCGAATGCTTGGGGTGTTTGCACTCGAAAGATGTTATCGCGAGGTACGGTTTCTGTGATGAAACCATCGGGGGTTGTCTTTTTGAGAGTATCTGCAACAGCAACGCCGGGAATGACACCGACTGAGGGATCATTCGTTATTGCATTCAGAACCGTGTTGAGCAGTTTATGTGTGGCGAATGGCCTTGCAGCGTCATGAATGAAAACATGCGAAGGGTAGTCTTTGACTGTAGATAGAAAACGGAGACCCTCGAGTACCGACGCTCCCCTCTCGGCGCCTCCTGTTGTAGTATAGATGTTGCTATCTCGGTCTATCGATGCTTCGAGCACATTCCCATCATCGGCATGGTATACAATCACAATGGGACAAGTCGCATTCCATGACCGAAACAGTTTTAGAGTACGATTGATCACTGTGTCGCCTTCGATCCGGCGATATGCTTTTTGACAACCTTGACCAGCTCGTGTGCCTCGGCCAGCAGCTGGAATGACAACGCCGACCGTGGGTTTCGTTTGCTTGTCGTCCATGGCTACAAGTTGTGGATAAGCAAAAGTCAGAGTGTGCGACATTTATGTGTCCACGCGGGACTGATAACGCGATCTGCCCCTCCACGATCTGCAGGTTCGTCACGATCGGCGCGATCCGTGGCAATTCGTCCATTCTGGACCTGCTCCTGTCGCGTGCCTCAATTCAATTTGCTTCCTCACTGTGTTTATTCTGTACCAGCTACTTTAACTCATGAAAACAATTCTTCACCCAGGGCAAAAAACTTCGTCCATAATCATGACAAGCTCACCCCCGCTTCAAGTTACCTTGCAAGTTCCAGCAAAAATCAACCCTCAGCTTCGCGTTGGGCCGCCTCGGCAAGATGGATACCATGATATCACCTTAGCATATCAAGCGATTTCGCTATATGATATTCTCACGATTTCACAAAATCCTCATGGCCCCACTATGAATGTCAGTGGCATGGACAGCGACCGAGTGCCACGCGATCAGCGGAACCTGGTCATCAAAGCAGCAGCACTCCTTGGCTCGCATCTGGGCATTGAACCTCATTTACATTTCGAACTAGTCAAAAATATTCCCTCCGAAGCCGGCCTTGGGGGTGGAAGTGCGGACGCAGCAGCCGCGCTAGTCGGTTGCAACATATTATGGGACTCGAAGCTCGGCGCAGATGAACTTATGACTTTGGGGGCTCATATTGGGGAAGATGTGCCATTTTTTATCATTGGTATGATGGCAATAGGACTGGGTCATAAACAACCTCTTATCAAGCTGGAGACTTCAGATTATAAATGGACCTGGGTTCTGGGGGTTCCCCGGCGAGGTTTATCAACGAAAGCAGTCTTTCAGGAGTTCGACAAGGTGTCAGATAGCGAGGAAGCCTATCTCACCAGGCGGAAGGATTGCCTTGAGACTTCATGGGGAACTACATCGCCTGAATCCTTGCTGTCTGCTCTTGCAAATGATCTGGAGGTACCTTCCACGAAAATCTTACCTGATATTTCCGTTGCACTTGAACTTGGGAAGTCGGCCGGGGCACATGCATCCTTAATGTGTGGTTCGGGATCAACGTGTGCCTTTTTAGCCAAAGATGAGGAGCATGCAAGACATTTGAAAGAGAGCATGCAGGAAGAAGGAATATTCAGGAAAGTTGTTATAGCTTCAGGTCCTGTAGAAGGAGTTAGAGTTCTGTGATGATTCGAAGATCATTGTTGACTCTTGTCACGCTACATCGTAATACCATCCAATTGCGATCGGGGAATGTCGAAAATTCTTGGAATATTTTCATATTTAGACAAGAAAAGCAATAATAAGGAATAATTTTAGTCATAGAGTTCATGAAAATTGGCTATGCATATCTTGAATCTTCATCTGCATCTTCTTCAATCAAGCAAGGAAAGCAGCAAGCTTAGCCTGGTCTGTAATCTCGCCCTCGACTAATTTCCCTGTCTGCGAAACCTTCCCATCGACACGCTCCACCCGCAACAAAGCTGGAATATTTTGGACATTCCAAGTGGTGCGGTAGGCATTCTTGGGGTCTTTCCATCTGTGAAGCATGTCAATATTGAATTTTCCTCGGTGTAGAGCACGTGGATACTTACTCGGGTTTCTCGCCAACTGAAACAATGGCCACTGTTGGGGCATCCTGTGCGGAAAAGGCAGCCTCGATATGAGGAATAGCGGCACGGACATCGGGGCACCATGGCTGCTTGGTGGTGGCATCATTTCCTGAATAGAAAGCCACGTAAAACTTTGCGTTTGGGCCTTCGGGTAACTCGAGGAGCCCGACGTTGGCTGGGAGGGTAAAGTCTCTGATGACTGGCATTTTGCTTTTTTTTACCCTTCGGATACTTGACTGTAGTTGATTTTGGCAAGAAAGTAATCACTGAAAAGAGATGTGGTTTAGAAAGAGTTTGTGTTTTAAATGTCGCAAAGTTTTGGGAAGTGCCAGTGTCTATCAACGCTATGTACGGCCCCGCTCTGCGACCGGCCAATCAAAGTATAGTATTGGCCATGATGCGATAACCGAGTAGAAATGGGTGCTTCGATCATCCTGAATGAGAAGCAATCGCCGATTGAAACAGTCGGCGATAATACTTTTTACAGTCGTCTTGTGCTTTTAAAATAAAATTTCTTGTATTCATAGACCCACTCATGATGCCCATCAACTCTAAGTACAAGGTATGGCTTTTTGAGATTGGACATCATGAATCCATGATGTTGTAAGACGAAAAGACGAACCGAGACGTGATCGAAATTGAAATCTATTTCGCAAGAAACATTGCGCATTGGAAAGGAGAATAGTGTTTCTATGCTGAAAATGTCTAGTTCAACCAAGTCGCTATGGCGTCGAACTGAGAACCCGGAGGAAGTTTCAAAGCAAAGTCCAAATAAGCTGAGTGCGAAAGTCCCGAGCAACTCCATTCACCAAAACATCGGATGGAAAGAAAATCCTTATTGCCATTGGTATGAAAGCTCTCTCAGTCAGTTCTAAAGTCGATCCATGGTGATAACAGAAGTAATCCCCGAATATCCCCCCCCCAAGGAAAGTTTTGGTACAGAGCTCTGTGGATGGGGCCGTGCAAGATGCGAAAGTAAAGCAAGCCCAAGATGAGCACCGGCCGAGTCGCCTTGAAGGATGATATTGGAAGGTCGTTTACCCAGCATTTCTATTGCACAGCGAAGAAAAATCACTGCCTCTTCCAGTTTCCGTGGCCATTTGCAACGAGGTACTAGATCATAGGAGAAAATAATTATGCCAATGTTCTGGCCATGCCTTCGAGATTGCGTTGAAGGGCATCGACAAACTCAAAATGGATAGGTAGTGCGGGGATGCAGTAGGCTCCTCCAGGTATGTAGATAACCATTTTCTCTGCCTCGGGATCACCTAACCAGAACGCCTTTGTGTTGTTGTCGAGTCTAACAACATTGGGTTGAGGAGAAGCTTGTCTTGTAGTTTGATGTCATAACTCTACAAAGGTTCAAGATATAATAATATTTCTAGGGCCGATTTAGCCAGATTGATGCTCCTGTGGTGATGTGGCCAACTTGAACTTGAAACGATCAGATTCAATTCAAGTTGGGAAAGTTATACTATCTCAAGTTCAAAGCTGTGCTACCTCCAGTCTATGGACACTAAAAGACCCCTCTATCCATCTATTATGTTCAGTTTACAAGAAGAGGTATCTATATTGATAGACTTTCTAGCTGTTTTCCAACCATTTTTGAACTGGATTTTCCTCAAAACTTTTCTTTTGAATTCTGGGGTAGGGTTGTGTATTGGGCGGAGAGGTGAGATAAAGGATTAAAAAAATCCCTAAAAGTTAAAGGGCTGGCCAAATGCCTTGAAGAGAATTACAACAAACCTTCACGAGCCGTTGAAAGACCGCCCAAAAGGGCCTGGGATTGCTAAATAGCAAGTTAGGTGAAAGGTGTGAGTCAAACCTGTTTGACATAGGCTCCTCTTATTGTGGCAAATTCAATGTGAGTTCGGTCATTTGAAGTCCGCCGAGTCGGCGGAGTAAAAAGTCAACATCGTCAAAATCACCTCCGACGAGCCGGCGGAATATTTGGACCTTGCTCAAGCCATCAATGGGCAAGCTCCTTTTTCAAAAGATTTATAACACCACGATGCCTGCTTCGAACATACGAACAGAGGAATCTTTATTCGATTATATAATTCATGGGATATTGTTGATTTAGACTTCCGGGTGCATTCCAAAACACCACCACTAGAAAGCGACCGCTCAGCACCATCAGAAACCTCATCTTCAATGGCTGAAAAGCTGGAGGATAATGTCTCAAAATGGGCAAAATCGCAAAAAGATTATACAAAAGCCAAGGATGATCTAGTGACTCCCAGTGATCAAGCTTTGCCCAATAATAGCAGCCCTAGCAACTTCACTTTACTTATGACTGTCACAGCTTTGGCAATGAGCATGTTTCTGGTACGAGTAATCTCCTGGACTGGTAACTTATTGATATGCTGATACTGACGATCATTTTTAAATAGGTTTCATTGGATATGGTGAGAAATTCCCAGCATCGAGGTCTAATGCCAATGAAGTAGCAGCTAATCTGCCCGGCATGAAAGCTAACAATAAGCTTTACTACAGACAATTGTCGCAACTGCGATCCCAAAAATCACAGATGAGTTTGGTGGTATTGAAGATGAGGGTTGGTATGGATCGGCATTTTTCATCACATTGGGAAGCTTTCAAGCTGCATGGGGCAAGGCGTACAAGTACTTTCCTTTGAAGATCTCATTTTTGATATCTATCTTTCTATTCGAGGTCGGAAGTTTGATTTGCGGTAAGCTTGGCTTCAATACAGTTTTACATTTGATGATTAATCTACTGATTTCTCATATTCTAGGTGTGGCACCTAGTAGCACTGCGCTGATTGTTGGGCGCGCTATTACCGGTCTCGGAGGCGCTGGAATTTCCTCTGGCGCATTCACCATCATAGCTTTATCGGCCCCGCCGAAACAGCGACCTGCGTATATTGGGATACTCGGTGCCTCTTACGGAGTGGCTGCTGCCATCGGACCACTCGTCGGTGGTGCATTTACGTCGGCAGTAACATGGCGCTGGTGCTTTTATATCAATCTTCCCATTGGTGGTGTAGCTGGAGGTATCCTTTTACTGTGGTACCGTGCACCTCCTCCTCTCCCATTCGTGGGTGCACCACTTAAGGAGAAAATCCTACAACTGGACCTACCGGGTAGCTTGCTGCTTGTTTCTGCCTTAGTATGCTATGTTCTCGCTTTACAGTGGGGCGGAATCTCACTATCATGGGGTGACAGCCAGGTTGCTGGAACATTGGTTGGGTCTGGCGTGATATTAATTGCCTATGTCGCTGTACAACGATTGCAGAAAGAGCGTGCAGCAATGATCGGTCGTCTCTTCCGACGGAATGTTGTAATAACCATGATATACATCGACTTATTGGCCGGGTCATTCTTTGTCCTTGTTTACTACTTGCCCATATATTTCCAAGTGGTCTCTGGTGTTTCTGCCGCCCAAAGTGGAATCAGAAACTTGCCTTTGATTCTCGCTCAGAGTGTCGCCACCGTAGCGTCTGGCGTTTTACTCAGCAAGTTTGGATATCCCCTACCATTTCTGCTCATTGGGTCAGCACTAACGGCAATTGGTTCGGGGCTACTATACACACTAGACATTCACACTGGATCTGGAAAGTGGATTGGGTACCAGTTGCTTGCTGGTATTGGTATAGGATGGTGCTTCCAGGTTCCCGTGGTGACCGCGCAGGCCTCTGTTGAGCCCGAGGATTTACCATCTGTAACTGCCATGGTCTTGAGTATGTTACTCCCTCTTAATAAACACTCCCTACCCTCGAACAACGTGAATTGCCGCTAACCAATCCAACTAGCGGTGCAAACCATTGGAGGCTCAGTCTTTGTCTCGGCTGGGCAGTCAGCAATGGTGAATGTTCTTTTGAAGAAACTGAAGAGTGAAACATCGACCGTGGAAGCCCTCACAGTCGCAATGACAGGCGCCACTCAATTACGTGGCGTGTTCTCTTCTGATCAAATGGATTTGATTCTCACGGCATACATGGAAGGCCTGCGGGCGACATTCCTTGTCGCGATTGTCGCATCCAGTATAGCTACTGTGGTTTGCATGGGGGCTCGATGGATGAAGCTTTCAGGAGAAGCCACTGCTGCCGTGGCAGCTTAATTGAGAACCTGTTCAAAAAGGGGTTTTCTTTCTGTTCAAATTTCCCCTTAGCTCGCTTCATTTGTTTCTCGGGATTTCCCTGTCGAATTTTGTTAATAGACCTTTTGAATCAAAATTACGAGCTGAACACCCTGAATCACAAGCTTTAAATACTTGCCGATTCCACTTTGAACCGGGATAAAGGGGGCGATAAAAGGATACACGCAGCGCTCCCTTCGAGCGGTCAGGTGCTCCAAATGTCGATCAAACGTCGCGTATTCCCAGAAACAACTTTTCTCCCAAGGCTTTCGTTATTTTGCCACTCTGAATGTTCATCGCTATCCTTGTGTAGCCCAACCGGCCTTATCTCACAATCATGAGCGCATCACCCCGAAAGCCGATCCTTCCCGAAGGCCAGCAGCCGCCTCGGAAGAAGATCAGGAAGGGAACCCGCAGCTGCTGGGAATTTAAATCGTCTATTTAGCCGGAAATGATGGGAGATAGGATTTATATCCTACCAAACTAATATAAAGGTAGGTAAGCACCGCAAGGTGGGCTGTCATTTTCTCTCTGATGGCGATGACAGCTGTCGTGAATGCTTGGTCAGAGGAACAGAGTGTCGCAGTCAGGACTTATCAAAACTGAAAATGTGCGAGATTCTGAGCAAGAAGAAGTTTGAAAAATCTTGAACAGGCGACGAGCTCCTGGTGGCTGCTAAGTGCCCAATGCTTTCACGACTACGAAGACTTACTTCTCCCAAATACACCGACGGCTCTCTCGAAAAGCCACCCAGCTAGGATCGCCAAGGCAGTACTATGGGTCGTTATCGCACTTCAGCAGCTTCCAAGAGGCTTTGATATGACCTCGTTGGATCTTAGCCGCCATCCGTCAGAGCTGATTGCAAAATGTGTCAATGTTGTTACCCAGTCTATCAGCTCTGATGAGACATTAGTGAGCAATCTTGACGGCCTGGAGTGCCTAGTTCTGCAAGGCATATTCTACAATAATGATGGGAAATTAAGAAGCGCCTGGCTATCATATCGTCGTGGCCTTAACGTCTCTCAGATTATTGGATTGCATCGACTTTCGCCTTATACGATCACCGACTCTGAATTTTATACACGAGCAATGCACACATGGTATCATATTATATATGCAAATCGATACATTTCTTTGATGCCGGGTATGTATCATGGTATATCTGATGTATCATTGGAATCCCAGCAAAATCTTCTTGAGACGCTAGATTCATCTCCCATGAATCACCTCTGTCATATAGCTGGGTCAATTATCGAGAGAAACCAAAGTTTGCGAAAAGTCACACCCTCGATGATACGAATGACGCAAAACATCAATTTTGAACTCTTCTCGATGAACGCTCCATCTAGCATGGAAGATTCTGCTATCATATCTTCCGGGCAGTCTCTTGATCGTGTTAAATGCTATAATCAATTTCGGCCCAATTGTGGTATTACCAACTTGTTTCTTGGCTTCACCTTCCTCTTCTTTTAGAGTCACATGCCCGAGAACATTACGAGAACAGTAGGCACAGCTGTCTGGAGGCCTCAATGTATATGATCACATCCTATACATCTATCCGCCGTCTCACTGCCAACAGCTTTTGTTGCAAGTCACTTGATTTCCAAGCATTTACAGCTGCTGTTATATTAATGCTAAATGTAATTGGTTCAGGCGGTCGACCTCTTTCGAACCCTCATGGCGAGCCTAGAGAGATTGACGGAAGGTCAAACACCTGATAAGGTAGCAACTCGGGGACTGAGGGTCTTGCGCATATGTACTGAGAAATGTTGCTACGGGTAATCTATCAACGCTGCCTGAAAACTTGGAAGGGGATTCAAGTCAAGTGAACCAGTTTGGCCGTATCAAAGTTGACATGCCGTACTTCGGTACTATTTGTCTGGACTGTAATACCCGGAATGATTCTTCTAAACAGGCAAGACCATTGGCTGTTCCGATACGGTCTCCAATAAACAACCGTAGACAGCCAGCAACAAGCGCCACGGTGTCCAATATGGAGAATATACCCGAAACAACTACTACACAATACCAGCCAGTTAATATGGGGCTTTGGATAGAAACAAGCTTTGGCCTAGGGTCTGGTGACATGTGGACATTGGATCCTGAGATGACAACATTACTTCCTTTCTTCCCCAACACAGGAGATAGTTGGGACCTTGGGCTTTGAACAGAAATTGAAGTATAGTAAGTTGGAACTAGTGAAAGATATGAGTATGAGTACTATACGACAGTCATTTATTTCACCACAACACACAAACGAACACTCGTACTTTTCTTGACCTCAAATACTACCAACATAAATGTATAGTCGTTCAAGTTGTTTCTCGGCCCTATTTGGACCTGCATTGACTATGATTTCCCAGCTATATATGAATTTTCAGCAGGAGAGCTGATATCTTCAATGTCGGCCCGGTTCCTGTAAAACCGAGTGGCGTATCTCGTAGTGCTTGCAATGAGATCCACTTGGCGGCTGTGGTTTCTGTGCAAAGTAGGACTCGTCCGCGTGATTAGGATAGGCGAATTGTTGCAGACTGGGAGAGGTTCCTCCTGATTCGAATAATCATTTTGTGTCTGAATCGCCGAAGAAGGTAATTTGCGCATCGAAGTGCGTGAAGACTGGTGGCCCGATGCTTCATCTTCTCCTTCACTGGATTTATTCAAAATTGCAGTTGGCTGACTGTGACTTCTTTGAAGCTCAGTATTCACTTCGAGTTCCTGTAAATTTCTATTTAGATGAAGAAGACTACGCATGTCCAACAGATTTCCATCTTACGTTTTCAACTGGCGATGGTTGTTCTTGTACTTCATCGGGCTTTTCGTCCATGTCTCCGGAGCCACGACTTTTGGCGGACCGTGTATGAAATGTAAATTTTGGCCGATCGCAAAGTTTTTGTCAACAGGTAAAGATAAATGTGTACTCGACTGGATCATACAGCTTCATATTAAGACGATTGATCGGGAGCCCGGCACAAAGGAGTGCACGACTGATTTCCAAGGTGTTATACAACTTGAATGGCTTCGTGGCCACCACTTATGTTGGGGAGACAGTTCATATTTATACTCCTAGAAGTTTGCAACAAGATTGGAAGAGTACCTAGTAACTTCATGCTTCGACTAGCAAGCTGCGTTCACCGAGATGTCTTAGTTGCTCGATCTAACCAATTGAATAAAACAGAATTCAATGTTTGTGTTGCATTATCGAAATTCTACATTTTGAAAATTTCCCAGTGGTATTGAGAATGCCCAAAACCCACTCCTTGGCATGCTGGATAAGATACCCCCTTATAAGCCCTTATATGCCAACGTCTGCATTGGCCGCTGGGATAAATCACGGTTTATGGGCTTTCCATCATCTGGAATAGTTGGAAATTTCCTTAAAAGGCCAACATTTTAAGGTTTATAGACAAGCCTCTCGTGAGTTGGAAATATGGATAACGCCACTAGCCGCGGTCCGGGTACTTGCCATGAGGCCTGGAGAAGTCGCTCACATTCCGAGAAGCAAGAATGTATTATGCACACATCCAAGCGATCTATACTTTTTAGGTAAGTGGTAGCTCAACAACCTAAGTCCAATTTTGTTACGGAATCTCGGTGGACACGCAATTTAACACTCAACGGTTATGCAGTAGCATACTGTGGGGCCCAACTAAGGCCTCTTCTACCCGTGAATATTCAAATTATCATGCAGAGGCCTGACATCAATTTGCGTAAGGGGTTTTCAATATCTGAAGACCGCGGAGTTAAGCCGTCGTGACTTATTCTTCTGGTTCTATTTCCATTAATGAATGGTGTTATGGTGAACATCTCGACTGGTTGGTTTAACGGCAACTGTCATTCATGATTCAATTAATCACCCAATGGATATAGTTAATTTTAAATAGGGGGCTAGATAATCCATTACTTATATGTGAAGCCTCGTGCTCGGATGACTAGTTGATTGACCACGTGTGTTCGTCGAAATTGCTTCGTGGTCATCTCCAGCCATTCTTTAAGGCCTTTCGCGTAGTTGGGTTTGCCATTGCCATCCTTGCCATCGGCCATAACTTCTAACAGATCGGCCCTTGAGTTTGGATGCCACCTTCCGAAAGGTATCACGTATCGCCCGCCATCCTTGATGGTGACTTTGTCAGAGCAACCTGCCCATAACAAAGACTTTGCTCTTTCTTCAGCAGTAGGAAAGACGGGCATGGTCAACCAGATCGCTATCTTAGGTTCATTGTCATATATTTTCGTTCGTGCAGTAGCCGGATTAGCCGTGATGCACACGACACCCTTTGTAGCAAAAGCTTCGCCTGGGGGCGTATAGCCAAAGCTTCAGAGAGCCTTGCAAAACGATCAGCGAAGAACCAATTCCCTATTTTACTGATGGTGTAAGTCCTGACATGGTCTTCCCTAGGAGTATCTAGGTATACAGGCGGAACCCCCTCGGCTGGTGTTGAGATATCAACAAGTAGACTGCTGGAGCAAATAACACGAACACTATCGGGTGCTGTATTTGACTTTGTCGAGGTAGGGACCAAAATATCTGACATCAGGGAGGTCAGAAGGTATGGAGCCGCGCAGTTGATACCTATATGAGGCTCGAGTCCTTGACTAGTACGCTCTGACAATCGTACGCAGGCAACTCCCGCATTGTTGTTAAGAATATCAAGTCGTGATTCTTGTGATAAAAAGGCAGTAACAAAGAGCTTGATCGTAGTGACATCAGAGAAATCTATTTCAAGAAATTTATGACACCAGGAGCTTTAGATGTGGTTGATGTGGTGATGTCTTGAATTGTAGCATCCGCTTTGCTCTTATTGCGCGCTGTCATATAAAAAGTAGCACCAGCATCGTGATATATGCGAGTAAGCGCTAGTCCTATTCCAGATGTGCTGCCATGCGGCCTACTACAATAGGCGTCAGCGATATAGTTACTATTTATTGCGGGGGCCTCCAGATTATGTCAGGCTATTACCTACCGGAGTTTTGCACCTTACTTTTGGATTTCTTCTCCTTGAGTTGACTATTGCAGCCTTCCAAGGTTTGTTTTTCTGGAATTTTATCGCTTTACGTCTCTCTGTGCTCCCGCGATGTCAAATGCGAATCACTTGAAGCTAGAGGGTGTCGTCTCAGAAGACATCCATGCCCTAGTGGAGCTTTGGTTTGCCGCTTTTTCTGACCCCCATTCAAGAAGCCTGTTTCCTGATACAACCGGTGTAAAAAACTGGCTGCAGGATGCCATTTCTCGCGATATGCTTGAACATCCTTTTCAGACCTATATGAAAATCATAGATACTGGGTCCAAAGACACCGATGGAAAACCGCCAATAGCCGCATATGCCAAATGGGACTTTTCCTTGGCTGAAGAAAGAGGACCACGCTACCCACCGTGGCACACTGATATGCCCAAAGGACTTTGTGACGCGTTTGTGAGGAGAGGGGAGAATAACCGAAGGCGTGTTATGGGCAACGAAAAGCATCTTTGTATGTTTATCAATATTCTAGGTTGTACTCGGGTTACTGATTACTTTATTGAGTTGAAGTTTTGGACATCGTTGCGACACATCCATCTTATCAACGGCAAGGCGCTGCTACTATGCTTGTGAAGTGGGCTTGTGAACAGGCGGATGCAGAAAGGCTAAGTATTTATGTGGGCGCGAGTGAGGACGGTGCTGTATTTTATGCAAGATTCGGATTCACAGATTATAGTATCGTTGGACAGGGTACTGTATCAATGGTTCGTCGGGAGCATGATCAGAGTTGAACGAAAACATATTCCCTCTTCTATATGAATGGTTTCTTTCATAGAAAGCGAGAAGAGGGCAGAGGAACCTGAAATAGATGTATCTATTTTAAAAAATCGCTTTAACGAATTGATAATTGTACCCTGGATAATGACTAAAATTGAGGAAACGAGAATAAAAAGGTCCACCATCATCTGAATGTGGGGCTTAGACTATCTAAATTGAACCACAAAATTTAAAAAAAAAAAAAAAAAAAAAAAAGAGCTGTGTGTATAGCCATGGTGGATGTAGAGATAATCTACAGAATGCAGGATATTTCGCAACCAATTTCGGTAGTTCAAAATCAAATTAACTTTCATTTGGACCAGAGTCTTGGTTTCAGGCTAAATACCAGTAAATACTCTTAAAAACTTTTGCAGCATGTGGCTGGCCATCTGATAAGGGGGCCAGTCGCATTGCTCTCGTGGCATTGATGCCCAAGCCCAACTTTCCGAAGCCGTTTCAAAGATTTAAGCTTTGTCACGCTTACATACCGGAGCCCCTTCTGAGCACCTCTGAAGGAGGATTGCTTAGATATGCTGAAGTATTCCGGCTTGCTCGGCCTATTCATACGATCTGAACCGCTTACAAACCTGCCGGGGACTGTAAGTGCCGGTGTTCCGTCCCCAAGATATGCGTTACGTTGATTGGCTATCCGGACAAGTATGACCTGACTCGGTGGAGATATTGCGATCAACTGCAAAGTTTCATTGGTGCAGGATTTGACAATACTTCGATTAATAATCAAAACGAACGGAATTATAGCGATATTTGATGGTCTTAGGATTTGACAGATTGGAGTTGGAAAATGGCTCCGAAACTATTAAATATGTATTCAGCCCACATTCTGATTTTGGCCATTATAATATACTTTTCCACGATCAGTCCCCTCCTTTGTCAAGTGAACCATAGTACCAAAATGGGCTCAATCGCTACTGAATTCAAGAACCCGGCAACCGCTACTCTTCTGGAGCTAGTCAAGGGACGCCGCACATACTATGGTCTCAAGGCCGAGAGCCCGATCTCTGACGATGCCATTGAGCGTATCGTGCAAGACTCAATTCTGCATGTTCCCAGCTCATTTAACACACAGACTTCTCGTGTAGTCTTGCTATTAAATGAAGAACACCAGAAGGTATGGGATCTAGCCATTAGCGCGATGGAGGGCCTCGTTGCCGCCGGTGTCCTTCCTCAGGAGGCATTTGAGAAATCCACAAAACCCAAGCTCAATTCTTTCCGTGCGGCATATGGAACAGTGAGTTTACCAATGACGAAAAGCGAGACGAATCTCATGTCTAGAATTGTTTTAAAGAGTTACTGACCCGACATACAGGTTTTGTTCTTTGTTGATTACGAGACTCTTGGTCCCATTAAGGAGAAATTTGCTATCTACGCAGACAAGTTCGATCCTTTTGCGTTGGAGTCAAATGCCATGTCCCAGTATCTCGGTGAGTTCTATGCTATTGTGCTTTAATGGCTTTCAAAAACAATGACATCTTGAATCGATTATCTAACTTGTAGCAGTCTGGGTTGCCCTCGAGTCCGAGGGCTTCGGTGCGAACCTTCAGCATTATAGCCCCTTGATCGACAAGGCGATCGCCAAAACCTGGGGTTTGCCCGCCTCATGGAAGCTTGATGCTCAACTAGTTTTTGGTACCCCTACTTCGGAGCCCGGGGAGAAGGCATTTGAGCCCCTTGAAAACCGATTCCGGGTTTTTGGCAAATCAGTTTAAGTGATAATGTCTGGCACATCAATAATAGAATACTGTTGTTTAGAATTGTTTTTGATCACTCCCTCTGGAAGAAACCGTAAACGCTTTAGCATTCGGAAACTTGCTTTTCTGTGGCAACGTTCCCAAATGTGGATGGATGGTGAAAGGCAGGCCCACAATTCACATCGAATGTTTTAGAAGCGTAATTCATGTCGTGATTAATAAAAATGTAGGGCAATGATATGAACATAAAAAGGGGCAGGTGAGGACAGTATGAACAGCGACGCTGATAATAGGGTGGATTATCGACGCACCAGCACCGAAGACAAAGGCGTGGCGGAGTTTTTCGGGCATTTGCGATGGGATATGCACGACGCTTCATGAACAACTTTGACGCCAGAAATATGAGGCAGAAGATGATGAAAGGCGCTAGTCCACAATAGGCCTAGCCCTTAGGTTTATGACAAGTAAATCTTTGGGGGATTATGCCAAGTATACAGGTGTTCCCAGATTGTGTGAATTGAACAAATCGAAGTGAAAAAATCTATTATAATTAATAATGAGAGAAAAGCTAGAGCTAGGGGTATAATAGGTAGGTGTAGAATAGCCGTTGCTTCCGTGTTCAGGAGCCAGAAAACGGTGCCTACCCTGTTTTGCTATGCTTGCCGGCAAAGGATCTGGCAGAATTAAAGGAGGATGAAGAATGGAGCCAGTATGCGACTTGTATTGCATAGCATATCGTGCCTGAGGGGCGTTCCTTGAAATATCTGTCGTTGACTCACATTGACTGGGCAGAAGCTGATTTGAGAGTGTGGTGAACGTTGAGAGAAAGGAAAGGGATAGGGGAAACAAACGTATCCGTAAGGGCGGTGTCTATTATTAGCCTCATGTTTCGGGCTTCAGTTTAAAGCGATGCTTGGCCTCTATGACCTTCCCTATCATCTGTCGCTTCGCCCATGTCCATCTGAATGATTGTGCTCGGGACCAATGCACTGAACTGTCATCTCGGGCAGATCCCTGACTCTGATCTTGACTGTGTGGGGTGTGGCCTGGCATAGATTGTGGTTCACGACGGCAAAGCCGGAGAGGGAAGCGTGGGGGTTACATCCGCAGTGGATATAGGCTACCTCGTCATTTTGCAACACTTGATAACCCAATATTATTATAATTTTTCATCGTAAAGCCCCTTATATATGTTAAACGCCCGGATAGGATGTTCTCGCAAAAATATTACTGATTTAGGTAGTCCGCATTTTTATTGGTAGCTAGTTTTTACCTGTTACATGTTACATGGTCGAATGCCACTCACTTCCTGGAATACAAATTGTAGTACCTCCCACACCTTCAACATCCACTTCAAGTTTGTTATTCTGCTTCAAAAGTTTTTTCCATCTCGACAAAGCCAAATTTTGCTAGCGTTAGCCATGAAGATCGTATCTGTTGAGTCACATATTCTTAGAATTCCCCTCGGTGATAAAACTTTTTTTTCGTCGCAAGCTCGATTTCCCGAAAGGAACTCCTATCTGGTGCGAATTCAGACCGATACAGGTCTCGTCGGATGGGGTGAAGGAGGCCAATATGGCCCCCCTGAGCCGGTAGCCGCTGTTATAGATCACGTCTTTGCCCCTAAGCTCATTGGCCGGGATCCAACACAGCCTGTTGTTATCTGGGAAGAAATCTATGCTTCCTCCCGTGACTTTGGTCAGAAAGGCACATACATTGAGGCTATAAGTGCAGTTGATATCGCACTGTGGGATATTAGTGGCAAGGCCGTTGGGCTCCCTATAGTGAAGATGCTTGGAGGGCCTTTCGGCAACAAGTGAAAGCATATGCGACGGGATGCTATTATCCCGAGAAATACGATGATCTCAGCCGGATTTTAGATGCGGTAAGGAAAGATTTAAAAGGGTACCGAGAGACTGGATTCGATACCCTAAAAGTGAAGATTGGACTTCTCGACCCATCTGCCGATGCAGAAAGACTCAAAGTTATTCGCGAAACTGTTGGACCGAACGTGACTCTCATGGTGGATGCAAACCACGCATACAGCGCAGCTACCGCTATTAGAATGGGCCGACTTATGGAAAAGTACGATATATGATTCTTCGAGGAACCGGTTGTTCCCAAGGACCGAGAGGCATACCGCCGGGTTCGTGCAGAGAATCCCATCCCCGTTGCTGGCGGAGAAGCTGAATTCACGCGCTACGTCTTTCGGGATTTCATCGGCGGGGGTTTCGTTGACATCGTGCAACCTGATCTCACAGTCTGTGGACGTTTCACGGCATTCACTCAAATACTTGCTTTAGCCAATGCCCGTGGTGTTCTAGTTATTCCTCACGTTTGGGGATCAGGCATCGCGCTCGCTGCCGCCCTACAAGCTATAGCGATCATCCCGCCGTCACCACATACAGCCAATCCTATCCCATTGATCAACGAGCCCGTTGTTGAATTTGATCGGACTCACAATAGCCTATGGGACAAGCTGTTGGTTGAAAAGTTTGAGGTGTGGATGGATGCGTCGGGGTCCCACAAAAGCCAGGGTTGGTCATCACTATTGATAAGGACGCGCTTAAAAGTTTCGAGAGCTAGTTAGTGCATCGCAAAATTATTTACGAAAGGAAAGTCCCGCCGGTTAACAAGCGCTCCAAGTTAGTATATTTCTTATTTTGGTTATTTCAATGCTTGGTTGATGCTTGGGGCTACCTATTAGTTCAAGTTAGTACATATATGTAGGCTGATTTGGATGTCGCTCCGAGTCTGTTAATATACTACTAGTACTCCTAGTAGTGTTACGTGTACTAGTATGTATTGTGAGGCTGAGGCTTTATAATACTTTGAACGATTTCCAAGGTTTGAAGCATTTAAATGTGCCGTGGTGTTATGGACGTGATGTACGTTATCTGTTACTATCTGTATTAATTAAATAGCTGAGGCAAGCGTGGTGATACCAACCTCTCACCCCACGGCCTCTTTCTCTCTCTTCTCCTCTCCCCCTGGCGCCCAACTTCGTTATTCTCATTAAATGCACATGTTGTGATTATCAATCTGTTGCGTGCGGCTCGATAACACGTGGTTCTTCAATTTGATCCAAGGATATATGTAGAGACCTAACATTCATTATACTAGTCTACGGTCGGAATGGATCCATTCAAGCTTTCGCTTTATACTATCTTTTGATGTCTTTTCTAAGGTTAGCGTCTATAAATACTACTAGTAAGATCTAATATCTTAAATGAAATAAATAACCTCGAGAGTTTTCTGTGAACCCTACCGTGTCCGGCACTACCAAGCGCTATTTACTACGACCTGAGACTTGACGTGGTCTCAATAGCTTTATTTGCCTCCAGAGATGAGGTTCTGTCAACACCAACACATACTTTAATGAAAGGTGGTGAAGGAAAGTATTATTCTAACTCGGCTCTTCAAGCTTTCTACCAGTTTAAATTGAATTACATGTCCTTGTCAAAAGCCAGGCGGCAAGATTACCACCCGGACCGCTATACACCTGCGTATCAATCATTAGTTTGTCGAACCCCCACCGTGATGCAGTAGAATGCGGGGTCCGGGGACAAACCCGCTTTGACGGGTGGAGAGGCTTGGCTGTAAATTCCCAAATATGGTAACTCGGGAAAGAAAGGATTGGAGCTGCAACCCGTTAAGCATCAAATATTCGCGGGCTCGACTTGATCTTAATAACTTAATGGTCTTTTCAGAGTGGCCTCCGCGTGGGGGTGCTCTGGGATGGAATGATTCTCCTGGCACTTCCCCGCGCAAGTGATGAAGTTTAATGGTGGATTCAGAAAGTAGAAGACCGGGATAGTTCGAAATTATCCTCTCTTAGAATGTACTATACCCCGGTAGTTTAATTTGACATATAAAAACCCTTCTAAGGCTTAGAATAGAGCCTAGCGTCCTGCAACTATTTTGTGCTCTCTGCATCAACTTTGTTCACATCCTGTTCTACGTGGGCGCGACTTTTCAATACGGCATCAAAGCCTTCAAATTTTCGTGATCCCCCAGTCCAAATTGAAGGGCCAGTGGACCATTTAAATTCCGACGCGCACTTTCCTGAACATGACAAAGAAACATTGAAACGTACTGATGCAATGGCTGTGTTGCCGGAGAGCCTTCGTGGACCCACCCCGGAAGAGAGATCTAATATTGAGCGTCGAATTGTTCGAAAGATCGACTTTCTTATCTTGTAAGTGATGGCTCTCCCCTTGGCAACAGAAAAGAAAATTGACCGTTCAAGGCCCATCATAATGGTCCTCTACATTTTGAATTGTATGTTTACCTTCCAGAAGACCAGACAACAGGACTAATTGTACTAGATATTGATCGCCAAAATCTTTCCGCCGCGAAGCTCCAAAATATCATGGAAGACTTGAATATGACGGCCGATCAGTTTTCAACTGCAATTTCGATTCTCTATGGTCTGTGCGGCTCATAAGTACTCCAGGATGATGGATTTTGAGCTGAATCTAAATATAGTTGGGTACATCCCATTTCAAATCCCCTCGAATATGATCATAATCAAAGTTCCTCGCCCGGGTCTCTGTAAGTTTCCCGACATATAAATTCGTTGCACGAGTTTAATCAAGCGATTTAAGCTTGCTAAAGTTATTTTCAAGATATATGCTGCGCCGTTGTAGCTTGGGGTGTCATTTCTTCGTGCACCGCTGCCGTCCAATCTTATGTATCTCTGCTAGCTGTTCGTGTGATTTTGGGCCTAGTAGAAGCTGTTTCCTTCCCAGGTCGGTTATTTTGAAGCCAACAAGTGATTCAATTTTTTCTGACCAAATTCAGGTGTCATATACTTCTTGTCGGCCTGGTACACTAAGCAGGAGCTTGGAAAACGACTTGCGGCCCTTTTTATAGGTCAACAGTTAGGAAGTGCGTTTGGGGGGCTTATCGCAGCGGGATTGCTCAAATTAAATGGCGTTCATGGCATTCAGGGATGGAGATATTTGTTCATTGTGTAATGTTATACTATCGGGATTATATACTACGATTGGGAACTGGCACTGACACTAGCTTCAGTGAGGGAGTGGCGACAGTTGGTATTGGTGTGATTGGATGTTTTATAATGGTGCGTTTCATCCAAGAGCTCCATTTTGACAGTGGAAATGCTAATAGTTGGTAGCCTGAGTACCCCCATAATACACGCATTCTCAAGCCGTTAGAGCGAGCGAGACCTTGCTGTTTGGCGGATTGAACAGGAGGCTGGTGTTGGTGAAGCCGGCGACGAAGTTAGCGCCGTCCAAGGTTTTGTACTTGCAATGAAGATATTAAGGTAAAACATGTTGAATTTGCAACTCGTCTGCCATAATGGAGCTGATTAGAGAGTGGTAGGTCTGGACACTGGTCTTCTGTATTATCATGTCACAAGCCATGAACTCCGCCTTGAACTTTCTACCAACAATTGTTTCTACCATCGGATATAATTCAACCATCACACTTGTGCTGACCGCCCCTCCATATCGTCAGTGCTCCTATGATATGAATTTGACACACGCCAACTGATAACGAGGACAGCTCTTGCTTGCTTTTTCTTCTACTTCATCAGCTGGTGGAGCGATGTGAGGGCTTTTTGAACGACATCCACTACTATTTCACAACTAGAATTAACTGACCCCAACCCAAGCGTAAAATGGTTCTTTACTGGCCCACTCTCTTATGCCTGTGCGCTGGAATTGTTGCTTTCGTCATTCCTTGCGTATCGACTAGCGTCGGAGCAAGATATTTTGCAATAATGCTTTTCCCGAGTGTAATTCGTAAAGAAAGCTACCAAATACGCCGATGAAATTTTTTGCTAATGTTTTTCTATTGCAGTTGGCCCTCAAATTATTCTATACAAACCTTTGAACTTGCATGTTGCCCGACCTTATCCAAAGCGAGCAGCTGGAGTGGCCCTCCTGAACGCACTCGGAGGAACATCAAATGTCTGGGGTAGTTATTTATGGACCGATAGTCCACCCCCCCCCCCCCCCCGGGCTTGGCATGTGTAAGTCCAACTGCTACTAGGTCGTGATACTGTGGACGAAGTAAAATTTGACTGACAAGGCACAGGCTTGGGTGTTGCCATGTGTTTCACGATTACACTGACAGTTTAAAAAGTATATATTAATTATCAGAATAAGAAGCTCCATGGTAATGAAGCCCAAATTAGAAGTCTTATACGATCTGGGGTGACACAGGAACAGTTGGATATGGGGTGAAGATACCAGGGCTTTGAGTGAGTTTGGTGAGCAATAAGTGTTTTGCAAAGAATTGCGTCGATATTGTACAGTAAGGAATATCCAATAAAAATAGTCTATTGCCGCGAGAAAAATCATCAATCTATTTATTGGGTCTGTTCCAACCAGTAATAGTAGCCATATAGTTTATAACAGGCTGGCTAGATTGCACCATCACAGACCCAGCAGCGCAACAAGGTCGCCACTTCCGAGCATCATTTCCAGGACGTTTCAATCACAAAGTCTAGTACTTCGCTCAATTTGCTGACTGATGCTACTGTAGCTCATTGGAAGCAGGGCTTGCGGGTGTCATTTTGGGCCCATCATCCTCTACAAACGAAAGAGCATAGGACGTTAAACTTGCCGCCGTATCAATTTGACAAGTCATCAGCCTGTCGCCACTGGATTCCTATGTGGTCGCCTAATGACATAGTCCAAAAGGCCGCCGAGGCCTTATTGGAGAAAGGGAAAGGTGCATTTGAGCATAACAAGTCCCATTCTCTTGAAATGAAGTCAACAGAATTGTGGGACTTTGTCGGATACCAAGAATTCAAGATAGTAATAGGACAAGCGCTCCATTTTGCATCAACACAGAATCTGAAAATTACAAAGACCTTGTTTTCTCCACACTTCCACGCCCGATCTTCACACCTTGAAGGGCTAATTTACCACTTTTCATAGATCTCAATTTGTTTTGGAACAAGGCTTGTTAGTCTCAGCCTGTTTGCATTTGACCCCCTCTAACCCCTTGGCGAGTTATATTACATTCGGTTCCAAGGATGTATTATTAAAATACCCAGCATAATTGGGAAAATTAAACCTCTACAATCAGTTACCGTCAGCCACGATTACTGTAGTTTCTTATAGATGAATGTGTTCAACATGCCTTCAATAATATCTAATGCATTATCCAACTGAGACAGAAAAAGAATTCTTCGATAATATTTCAATAAAGTCGAAATCTGGTTAGGATAATACCTTGGAGAAACTTATGGTAATGCAAATACGGCCGGCGCGCCCGCGAATGGATGTATCAGGCCGCGCGTGTAGTGTGTGCAGGGGGCGCGGGCTGCCTAACAACATGCACTGCCTAGTATATGGTACAAACCTTTTTCTTTTGGCTACTAGAAGCTTAAATACTTAAGGACAACTGAAGTATTTACATGGGCCCATATGATCATGCATTGGCCTCATTTGCTCTCTACTCTGACTCCATTGGATTCAATCTGCGGGTGAGAATGCGACCGTGAGAATTAAATGACACAATGCAGATACGCTAACCACTCTATTGCATTTTACCTTACTGCGAGTCAGTAGGCGATCTTTTCGGTCTTGAGAAAGCCGATCAAACCGACGGCCCCATTTCCTGCCCCTTATAAATGAAACGGGTCGCAGGCCTGAGAAACACATTATTTCACTAGCAGTTTACACACGCACGTTGGCAAGGAATTTATACGTCAAAAATATACTTAATTCTCTTTTGAACATGCTCAGCTCTACAGCCTCAGGCCTTCTGGGTCCAGTAATTGCCCTGAATGCCTGGACGCTAGCCATGGAAGTGTGGATGTACGCAGTCAATATCCCGATCTTTCGGAGGATCAAGCTCGATAATACTACGACAAAGAGCCAACTCGATGCGCAGACACCGGGGTATGCGCGATGGAAGAGAGATAACTATAACCACCTAATGGAACAACCCACGCAATTCTATGCAATTGCCCTCACATTGGCAGTTATTCGTGGGGAACAAAATGAAGGCTTGGACGTTTTACTCGCTTGGATGTATACCGGGACTCGAATTATCCACTCACTTGTCCATGCTACAAGCAATGTAGTGATGGTCAGGTTTGGTCTCTTTGCGCTTTCATCCTCTTTATTGGCTATTATGGTAGCCCGAGCTGCCATCGCACTACTTTGAGTGTATAGCGATATTCTGACTTGTGAGTAAGTTCTTCTATTCCGACTTGACATCAGTGCTAAGTAAGTCATGTAGTTCACGTTAGAAATCTCATAAAATGGTTGGAAATTCCAAGGCTTCGGGACTGCCGCCATTCAATATGATATCGTCGAGCATTGAAGGACGTGCGCTCGAGACGTGCGCTCGAAATCACTAGTGTTGGTGAACAAGCAACAATCTTCACTCTATTCGTACAACAGAGATCGTCTTAATAGAATCAATCTCATCTCATTCAATATCAACGAACTGGAAATGACAGTATATCAGTCTAATCATGTCCTCCCTCCCTCATTTTGATCCAAGTGAATTCCTACACTGATTAATGGGGGCCCACGCCCATCTCAGTTTGAAACCATCGGTGTTTCATTCCAAACCTTCCCAAGTTCTCATGTCTCTAAACCTTGATTAGCATTTTGAATAACCATTGAACTTCGAACAGAGGCCCCTTCCATGGTTGATGGTAATGGCCCTAATCTTGGGTACAGCGAATCTGAAATAAATATAGATTCATTTTCCTTGAAAGTTTGTGGGGGTTGTATTCCAATCTCACCGCGTGGGGGAGAGCTTAATAGTAAATGGCACTTACGAGCTTGGGATACCCAGGCTTTAGAAATTCCAAATGAGAACCAGTTGAAAGTGTCCGCAATTTACTAGTACTACCGGTACCTGTGCCCTTAAGACTTTGGAAGGTGTGGATCTCCGCGTCCTATTGACACTAAAACCACCGGTACTGGTCACCGGGGGTTCTACCCAGCAATCCTGCTCAACATGTTGTAAATTTCATAATTTCATAATTAAACTACTAGGATTCTGAGATTCGAAGTACAATCAAGCTCCACACAAATTGTCGACATATATTAAAAGATTCTATGGCATAAAAAATAATGGTTGCTCAATGCTTCATCGAATGGAAACAAACGGGGTATCACGAAGGTAAAATGAAACATGTACAAAATATCCTGCAGAATTGAGGTCCACAGCGGGGTATTTAGACGAAATTCGTTATAAGCCTTTGAATATTTCACTTTTTCAAGATAATGAAGTGACGAGGCTTCTGTTCACTAATAAGCCGGCTCATGAGTCACCGTGATTGTTGTCTGTTGGTACACCTGGTCGACAGTGGTGAGTTCGACATCTTGCTGGTGAACAATTGCTTCGGTGGAGCTATTGCCACCCCTCGCAGCACAGACAGTGGTGTATGGGCCCTTGTCATCGGCGTCGGATTTATTAGAATAAATGTTACCATAGCCTTGGTATTTCTTGTCACGAGAGACATCCTTTGATCTGGTCTCCGACTCCAATACAACACTTTTCCGTGTCAGAGTGTACTGGAGCACGTCACAAAACCCAGACAGAGTCATAAGTGCACCGGCAACGCAGAAATAGGTCACACTTGGTGATTTACCGCTGACGGATGCCATTCGACCAGCAGACAACGGTAAAGTCAATGTGATGTATACAATGGGGTAGAGTACCATGTAAGACACAACGCGGTTGAGACGCTTTAAGCTTTCCGTATAACTTGCTCCCAGAATCTTAGATTGAGCAATTTTGCGTCGAAGCTGAACAAACATAATCGCGTAGAGTAGGACACTCAAAAATTGAACAAAGAAGATCCAGAAGTAATGCGTAAAGAGTCGAAGGGTTGGGTGCTCCGTTGTCATCCAGCACTGTTCAAAGACCGAATAATTAGTATTCTTCCATGCATTCAAAACATATGGAACAAAACATACCCATGCCACGGACGGCATCCACACATATCGACCGTGGATTCCTATGGGGATCACGACCAAGATCACACCAAAAACCCAGAGACCAACAACAACCGAAACAAATACACGGTGACTTATTTGACGTCCCAAGCTAACATGCATAAACGTGTGTAATGCAATTGCCAGAACAAACATTCCACTCATGGGGTCGCCAATCTGGAGCCAGATACCCTGTAAAAAACATGCTGGATCCTCCGCATGAATGGAGTTGCCAGTGATCCACCGAATACTGACAATGAAAGCGATGGATTGAATAAAATCGGCCAGGGCCAGATTATACATCAACACAACATACTGGTTGTATCCGATATATCGCCTGTAGTACTTCTTCCAGAAAATGAAACGATAGGTAAAAAAGCACAAAAGAGAAAATGTAGAAACGAGGGAAATGGAAGCTAATACTGCAATAGCAATTAAACCACGGCGCTGGAGGGGAGGTAACGGATCGATGATCCAAGAGCCAGCCGCGGAGTTAGGCGAGTTCGCAGCCACGGTCTTAGGCGAGTCGTCGGTGCGTCTTTGCAATGTAAAACTGTCATTGGCCGAGTTGTCGGGAAGGAGCCATTGAACAGCCAAACTTGACATTAACGTTGTCATGGCGGCTAATTTCGTATCAACGTCTGAACCAAAATATCGATTCGGTCGAACGGACTGGGGCCGGTTCCGTAGAGCAATAGCGAGCGAGCTTTATTAAGAGATAGATTCCTCTGTGCAAAGTTTTTCTGCAACATGACCAGGGTATAAACCCCTGAAAGTTGCTTGCCTAGACCATAGCCCCACACTTTTGTGTTCGAAGATGTTGTGAAAACCCTAGAGACAAGGATTACACGCGGGAAGTAACGCGACTCTCAGGCCTAGCGTTCACTCGAGGCCCACCGGCGGACTTTTTCTTCCCAATGTTTTCACCTCCGCGGCCCCTCTTTTATGGGTATGTGAGTTCAACCCGCCACTAGTCTGAAGAAAATCCTCAGAGCTTCGAGAATCCCATGTGGTAGTGATAAGAAGAATAATCCACAAAGTACATTGTGACTCAATTCTTCGACTTCATACATCCGACCCCTAGAATTCCATATTATGCTGTGCAGTGCTACCTAGAGCTTCTAGTCCACAGTGATAGAAGCAAATATCAGATGATTGCATATTTTCGAGAAATGAGAATATATGCAGGTTTCGCCCGACTGATATTAGTCGCGGGCAATGTTGCGCTACTCAGATCCAAACAATCAACACTAACACGTTGGTTCGATCTTCGGGTGGCAAGGACGCTTCTGTTTGGAACAATTTTCTGGGCGATCAAAAATGCTTAACCAATAGCGGAGGCTTTAGAAAGGGTGGGTACCACTGAAATTAACAATGCCATTCTGAAGGATACTATAGGCGGACCAGTGGCGATAGATCAGGGACATTTGCTTTACTTTGAGTCTAGCGGTGTGGATCCCAGCGTGTTCTATTGAGTTGACTTTCAGAGGGCAAGTCAGCCTCGAGAGTTCAAAAGTACCTAAATTTCAGAAAGTCTGTTCTGCCTTGGCTGTAAAATTCACTAGTCAACTCCCAACTGGCCTGAGAACATACTGAAAACATTTCATGCGCCGGAAACATTGCAATTAGTCGGTTTTGCTGTTTGGCACGACACTGCTAATCTCCGCTGCTAATCTGGAACCGCTTTGAAGTGGATCGATCTCTCTTGGTCGGAACTCTGGTGCTGCGACCCGTTTGTTAGAAGATGTCTCAACTGCCGAGTCCTTCACAGATTTGACTGCCCTTCCTGAATGCATTTTAAATATTCTCCTTCGTACTTAAACGGTCACATGCAGTAGCCACCAATCCCATTTTCAATATCAAATCTTTTTTGGCCACCTTCCAAATCCTGAATTCAATCATACGTACTATCTTCGGAGGACCGGTGTACCTAAAGCCTGAGAGTGCTCAAGGACTCGGAAATTAAACCAACTTGCAATTTAGAAATACCATCTTCGACTCGGAGCTACAATCGGAAAATCACGAACCTATCTACTAGTACTCACTAGAGAGCGGCCATGATCCGAGTTGTGCAGGGTGATATACGCGCGTAGTATTAAGTTGGCCTAGCCCGGAAGATGCAATTTTACCAAAATTTGGGCTTGTGTCAGGTGGGTCGAGTATCACTGGCATTATCAGGCTAGCATGTGTTGACGAACTTATGTACATGTTATCGCACTAGTAGTTGTTTAAATTAGCGTCAACGAGCAGCATTGCAGGACTACTAAAGATTGGCCATATTTTGGGTTTTTGAAAGAGTGCCTCCCTAGGCCATTTCGAATGGTTTCTATCCCCCTTTTCAATAGTTTAAATAGACCATAGCTTAGAGATACCAGGTTTACGAAGCTAATATCATGTCCTCAAATCTAGGAGTGAATCATAATGTATTATTTGTCATGAATCAGCTGGGGAACCCGTTGCCTTTTGTTACAGCTTGAACTTAGAATAGGGATCAACTGATGAATGACCTCGGAGGCTCCGAACTTACTAATATCAATTCTCATTGTATAATCCTTGGGTTTTTGAATATCATTGTCCAGAGTTTAGATCAGGAAACTGAGATAGGGGGGAGGAGTACCTTCAAAAATTCCCCTAAATTGCAAATATGCAAATGAACTGTGGGAGAGATAAATGAAGTACCTAGTCAGAATTGAAATGTCTACAATCGAGGAGGCCCCGCCCCCCCCCCCTTCTTGTTTGAGAACGGATATGCTGGCAAAGTGAGGTTGACTCTTGGGGGCTAAAGTGACAAACTGAGGGGTTCAATTCGCAAATCCAATTTCGCAGGTCTCCCACGAAATGTCCCACAAATGATACAATTTCTACAGACGCCATGGAGGATGGAAGAATGTCGGACGTACCGATAGAGCTAGCAAGTCTGAAATTCGAAGAGAAATTTACCGCGCTAGACAATCGACTTTTCATCGTCCTAAATCGTTTACTCCAGCCAGAAGACGCTTTGAAACCATATGATGCAAGTCGAGAGATTGACGCGACCTTCCCGTCCGACTCCGTCAGCGAGAGGCAAAAAGGCGCAGAAGACTTTTCAAATTATGGAGAGGAATTTCTGTGGACACTTTGAAATTTTAACCATAAAAGTCATGGGTCAGGTTCCTCATCGGCATCCCGCTCAAGCCCGGATGATCAATTTCATGAAGTCGCTAGTCGAGCTTCCAAAACAGAACTTCCAACTGTCAATGGTAATGGCATGCTCCTTACAAATTGAAACTCACAGCTGCTAAGAAGGACCAGGGAGCGTATACGGTTTGAACTGATTTGGGCAATAGTATGCGAGAAAACTTGTATTGTAAGATCGCAAACTGCTATTATTCAATATTTTCGCTGATGCGTTACGGTCTAGACTGGGGTGACAATGATAAGAAAACGACCACACGATGGATAAATGTTAGTCTTATTTTCAGGCTAGACTTCCGGGACGTCTTTTGACGGGGTGGATAAACTTTGCGGTTTGGGCGCTGAGAGACGCGTTGGAAGAGCTATGGTTTGGTCAAGCGACCCTTGACTGCTATGTCATTTTAACAGGGGAGTGGACGTTTCATGCTGGCGACTATTATTTTCCCAGATTAGTGATCAAGAGCCCCCCGAACGATTGAGTCGGCCCACCAGAGGAGGCGCCCTCTAAAATGGGAAGGTAGGCTTATGCCTGGAGCGATGGGACCTTTGGAGATCCAGAGTTCTGGAAAATAGTGAATTGGCTTCATTTAGTATCAAACCTGTCGCACTTGATATTGCGAAGAAATGTCGAAAATCAAAGAAAGGGGCCCTAAAGTGCAAATATAGGATATTTTTGTCCCCTCTGGGGTTAGTAGGCTATTTACCAAACCGGGTGAGACTTTTTTTTAGATATTCTCTAAAAACTTTGTATAGTATAATGTTCCATCGCTGGCATCTTTGTTCACCCAAGCTTTTATTTCCTTATCCATCTTTTGCTCTAGACCAAAAATAATATCACGTTTTGAACTACCCCAGAGAAATACTTATGTCATGCAGTGTATAACGTATCAATAGTACATTCAAAATCTGTGGCTATCTGATATGGGCACTAGTCAATGTCGGTGGCTGTGGCCATAGGTCTAGTCGCCTCAAGATCCCCTTTTAAGCTCCCGATCTTTAGCTCCAAAGCAGCCAAACAGTCGCTGCCCAACGGCATCCGTAGATATTTATGATCCGAGTTAGTCGCCTTGATGATTTCCCGTGCAGCCTTGTCAGGATCACCTCGGAAGTAATCTGGAATAGTCGTAAGGCCTCGGGACCCAGTCACCATATTTTCAACCAGAGTTCCTTTATAAGCCTCGCTAAAGCCAGCTTCAAACTGCTTTGGGGTCACAATACGGCTAGAAAAGGGTGTACGGAAGGCGCCTGGCTCCACTATCAAGACTTTGATGTCAAATTTTGTCACCTCCTGAGCAAGAGACTCATGAATGGCCTCGATCGCGAATTTGCTGGCAGAATACGCGGCGCGTCCAGGACGGGCTATGAATCTAATTGACAATTATATTCGTTAATAGATGAACATAATATTGAAAAAATGAATAATGAAATACAACACACCCAGCACCGCTGCTGATCAAGATAATATGGCCGGATCTTTTGGCACGCATGAACGGTAGGCACGCCCGAACAGTTCGAAGGGGTCCATAAAAATTGATTTCCATCTGATTGCGTAATTCTTCTTCGCTGAAGTACAGTTAGAACAAAAAGATCTGACTGGCAGTTTGCCTTCGGGGCTTATACCTAGTATCTTCAACGGCGCCGATGAAGGCATACCCGGCGTTGTTCACTAGAACATCCACGCTATATTTCTGGAAACATTGACTAAATTGATCGTAAGCATTTTTATTGCTAGGGTCTAGTTCCAACCAGATTCCGCCTTTGACCGAGAACTCGGGGTGTGTTGCTTCAGCATTTGGAATGTCTCGGGTGGTTCCGATGACTTTATGGCCGCCTCTCAATACCTCCAAAGAGATTGACTTGCCTAGGCCTGACGATGCCCCAGTGATAAGCCAGGTCTTTTTGTCGTCTGTCATTTTCAATTTAATTTCTTGTTTGAAGCTCGGGCGTGTATCTTATACTTGAATAATGGGGCCATAGAGGTCGCTTGGGGCCACAGGGGCCGCAATGGTTGAACGGGGTTAACACGTTATCACCGATTAATCCGCTGATTACGCCAACTTGAACTACCTAGACGGGTAATAAATGCGAAATTTCCATTGATAATTTATATGCCTGGTACTACATCGCAAGGACGATCGTTAATGATCATTATCCCCGCGCACGTTTACGAGGACGGGACCCGCAGAGTGAATAAGCTTCGTCATGGCCACCGCGCCCGATTAATGTTGCAATGAGCGAAAAGATATAAGAAAGATAAGAATCAAGATGAAATATTCATTGTTGAACGTATGTGAGACAGTGTCCCAAAGAAAAAAAAACTCTGTTTATTGAGAGGATGTCCCAGCCACTGGAAACTAAGTCTACCTTTTCAATATCGTGGTTTGGGGACTCACCATTGAGCCTTGTTTCGACGGAAGAATTCCTCAAGGCCCATGGGTCTCTCGGAAAGCAGATTGAGACTCGGGGTGAGATCCGCACCAGCATAATAACCAGGGTCCTCAAGCAACATCAGGTTTTCATATACCTCCTCGGCCATATCAGGCGAAAGGGAGGGAGTCAGAAATGACTTGAACAATTCTCCCGGCACAGAGAACACGTTTATCGGATTTCCAGTGGCCGACCGAAAGTGAGCCGCGATTTCATCAAATGTATAATACTGACTGGACGCATGAATGGTCTTGGTACCTGTCTCCGGTTGATTCAGAATTGCAGCACGTACAAAGTTACCTAAATAAGCTGTCAGTGTACTGGATCGCATGCATTTCAACTTAGAGATACCATACCCGTGTCAGCGTTGACGTCGATGAATGGTGCTGCGGCGTTCGTGTTTGTGGGAGTTGCCAAAACGAAAGTGCCATCGTCTTGTTTCCGAATCAAGCCGAATAGCTGAGTAGTGAATATTCCCAGCATCACGAAGGTAGCCGGCAATCCGCTGCTCTCGATATATCTTTCAACCTCTGCTTTACCGTCAAAATGGGTGATGTGAATCAAGCGACCATGTGTTGCTTCGGCTGCGTCAATAAGCGAAGAGAATATTAGGTGCTTCACCCCCGCCGCTTTACATGCATCGGTGACAATTTTGCCTTGAATGATTTCTGGAGCGGCAGATTGGGATTCCCAAAAGTTTGTGACGAGGAACACACTATGTGAGCCAGAAATGACTGTTGACATGTCCTCTGGTGATGACATATCGCCCTACCAGATTGGGTGAGTTACAAACAAACCTGTGAGATGTCGAGTTTGTGGAAAACAAATATGTACTTACCATGACAACCTCAACCCCTTGACCTGTCAGATCCAAAGCTGTTGGCTTGTTCACATCGCGCGTTACTGCTCTGATGCGGAATTCTTTCGATAGCTTAGCATCGTTGAGTATGGTACGAATGACCGAGCCACCTTGGTTCCCGGTGGCTCCAAAAACCGTGATCAATTTTGACATGGCGTATTCGACTTTACCACAGTTAAATATGAAATAAGTGGCCCGATCAACTCTTTTGCTCACCATAAAATCATTGAAAAGGTTGTTTTACTCTGAATTTATATAGATTGTTCCGGTTGACCATTGGCCGACACGGAGCAATGCGATCCCGCCTCGGACGTTCAGAGTCGCCGCGCCGAACGGACGACAATGTTTAGTTCCAGTCGCAAATAATCCAACCAAACAGATGCCATCGAAATCAACGAAGCAATATAGGAGGATCCAGTGTTTTCCTTTCATCCATATGTGACTCACAGCCAGAGCCATTTCTACCGACTACGTTGATAAAGCGTGACATTGAATGTCCGAGCATGGCCAGCTCTAGAGTTCGGTTGGGCTGGACTATCTACCGTGGAGGTAAGCAAAGTAATATCCCCCAATATGTACACTGGAACTGAAACTTTTCTATCGGAATATCCACTGTTGATAAGCTTCGAATGATCTCTTGGTCAAAGATTGAATAGACCTGGGCTTATTCCATGGGTCGCATGATCATTTGAATCTTCCTTTCGTTTTTTTATTGGTGTCGAGTTCCGAGGTTGTCTTTCCATTACGTCTGAACATCTAAATAGCTATTGATGTTGCCATTGCTGTATCTTTTTTCTTCGGCGATATATTGAACAACTCTTAATGAAATTCAAAAAGATTGAAACCGTATATCGCTTTCCTCAGCTTAGCCGACAAAAATAACGTCGCTAGTCATTGGCTTAGAGGGAAACGTCGAAAATGTAAGACGTGTTCCGGGTGGTCTCTTCTCACAGTGAGTAGGAATACGAACGGACTGTAGAAAACACGATTTTAGAAGCCTAAGCCAATTTAGGTTATCCTGTAATGGCCCCCACACTGAGCCTCAGAAGAAAAGGCAACCCAATTAAAGGGGCCAATCAGTGCGCGATTGTCTTTTGATCTTGGCACTCACAGCCTTGTCAGCAACGTCAGGACTGCGGCTGAGCAACAATACGACTGAATAAGAATCCCCACCAAGTCGGTGGACAACCGTTAAATGAGCTGAGGCTTTAACAAGCGAGTCATTTGTTGACGACCTGACAAGATATTGCAATAGTATCATCAAATACGTTATGTCACCCCGCCAGCGTAAGCGGAGAGGCCCTAATCCCAACTCTAAGAATGGATGCATTACTTGCAAGTAAGTTAAGAATAAGATTTAAATGCATTGTACATTAATTCAACTGACTTCACAGATTCCGCCACACAAAATGCGGTGAAGAAAAGCCCGAATGTCTGCAATGCACAACTACGAACCGCAAATGCAGTGGTTATGAGGATCTCTTACAGGAGAAACTGCGCCAGCGAGTAGCCAAAATTTATGCAGCACCAGTCCCACTAACCTCAGACTCGTGCCTGGTCCTTCTTCCCTGTACACGCGAGGAACGCCAGAATCTACATCATTTCTGTACCCACACCGTCCATGCATTGTCAGGATTCTTTGCCTCTGAGCTTTGGCAATACTACTTACCCCAAATCTCTCAACCGATGTTGCGGTGCGTCATGCCATCACTGCAGTTGGAGCCGCTCACCAGCGCAGCTTAGCGAGCTCTGGATCAATGAAATCTCCAATTTTTGAAGTCCAACAATATAACCAGGCAATCCGTACCCTCCTCGGCAAGACATCGTTAAACAAAGACCAGGTCCTGGTTGTATGGGCTTTATTTATCTGCCTGGAGTTTTTCAAATTGAACATGCCCCAAGCTTTGAATCACTGAGGCTGGTGTTAAACCTTTCAGGGCATGAAGAGCAGCCTCGGGAATCTCACCTGCCAACAGAAGTCTATCAGGAGCTATATGGTTTTTTTTTCTCGCATGAATCTTGAGCTATCGTTCTGGGGACGACGCTCACTTTCAAATATGGACCATCATAAGGAAGATGATTTGGATCGCTTTGGATTTCTTAGTATGGTGGACGCTAGGATGAAATTGAACGTAATCATGATACAGACTATGCGCTTACTTCAATCTCTAGGAGACGACTTTCCGCCATTTTTTGGAGGTCAAAACCAAGATGCCTTCAACATACAGCAAAACCTGATCCTTCAATATAGGGAGTGGTGGAGTTGCTTTCGGACATTGACTGAGCAACTAGCCAAGACCCAAAACTACATGCCAAATGTACGGTCTATCTTGGTGACTCAGGTACACTATCAAACTTTGTTCGCCTGGACACAAACCGCTAATAGCCCAGACGAAATGCAAAATGACGATTTTATTTCCGATTTTGAACTTGTTATTACTTTGTCCGAATAGGCCAATCGAAATGATCCCGATCATTTGGATCGTCAACCGGCTTTTGTGCTAGAGTCGGGTATTTCCCCAGCTCTGTATCTGGTGGCGCGAAAATGCCGACACCCAGTGCTTCGCCGCCGTGCTATTGCGGCTTTGGGTCAATGTGCGGGTCAAGAAGGAGGTTGGAATACTAAGCAACTTTTTGCCATTGCTAAGCGGAACATGGAGCTAGAAGAGGCAACTTTGGCCCACTTGCCTATGGAAATCCAGATACCGAAAGATAGGGATCGGATATACGGTACCTTCGTGATGGGTGGTCTAAAATCTCCGGTTGAGGTTATATTTCGATGGCGAGATTCTGAGAACAACTTACCAAAAGACTATGCAGAGTTTATAAAGTGGTGAATACTACATGCAGTATTGATGAAGGTGACTTCTACGTTTTGGAAGTTCATTTTGTGTATAAATCAATCAATGTCATATTGCCCTGAGGCATTATGTTAGTCCATAATTGGTATAGAGCTGAAAGCGACTGAAAATAGCTAAATGTGACCACGAATTAATGATCAATAGAGAAGAACCAACGTCCACACTTCGCCCATCCTATGGTTTGGCATTTCATGTTTCTCCCTTCTATTCTATTTGGCCCAGGCCAATGTTGAATAATCCCGGGAAGTTAACAAAACTGGCTAGTACACATAACGGAAACGAAGATTTTCTCGATCTGTTAAATCTTCAAAACCATCGAAATCTTCTGATGTGCCCGTTATTGTGTCATCGACGGCTGCTAGTTGATCCTTCTTTGCATTTTGACTTTTAAGGTGAAACCGCAGGTATATCAAAATTAATTCCAGGAGCGTATAACAGGCAAGATGGATGCTGAATGCTGTAAAATAACGGGGTGCATCTTTTGTTAAGAATATTTGGGGTCCTGTAGATGAATCCGATTAGTAAATCGTTCAAAGGTGAAAGTGATAGTAATGGTTTGATACCGATTGCATTCCCAGTCGCCCATGCGATGAAGTTGGCAGCAATGACTGTTGACTTCTTTGTCTGTCCGGCGATATTTCGAGATATCATCGATAGTGTGAGGGCTTGGGCTGCCCAAAAAGAGAGAGTAATGTAGTAACTGAGAAGTAATCCGGCTTTCGTTGCGGTATTAGTATTCTGAACAGTCATTAAGACAATTGTACCGATAAAAGAGCTAGAGTGTGTAGCAAATTAGCAAACTGATAAGTAGATATTTTCATCTCTGCAGAGCTGAATAACAATGTTGAAACTCACGGTATACAATATGCTGCCATGGTTATCAGATTTTGACCCGTCCTTTTAACAATCCAAGCAGATGATAGTAATACCATAATAATATAGGCTCCTAGCACCATAGAGAGTAGTTGGGTTTGAAGAGTTGTGAAGTCAAACCCCTTGATAATAATATTAGCAAATGTCCCAAGGCCACTTGTGGGCATGGTTGTAAAAAGCTGAATGCCACAGTAGCACCACATCTGAGGATCCTGCAGAGCTTCCAGGGCCTGGTATTTACGGAACTTTTTGTTCTGGATACCGGTGCGATTTTCTCGAACTCTCTCAACCATTAAGTGCTTATCTTCTTCCGAAAAACAAGTGGCTGTCATTGGTGAGTCTGGCATAAAAAGTAGAACGAAAATTCCGAAAAGGACCGAGAAGCACCCGTAGGTCATGAACAACGCTTGCCATGATTTGACGACTTTGTCGTTACCTATCATACTGAACAGATAGGCTAAAAGACCTCCAATCATCTGCTGAAATCCATTCATCATATACCTGACAAATTATAAGCCTCGTATGTCGACGTTATCTCTTAGTAGGAGAACTCACCATAAAGTGACAGTTTGAGCTTGCTCTTCTCTTTTATACCACATTCCGGATAATCGCACAAAGGTAGGTTGAGCGCATGCTTCAAAGATACCAAGCAGAGTTCGAAGAGCCAGGAGCCCCCCAAAGTTCTTTACGGTCGCGTGGAGTGCCAGGATAGAGCCCCACACAATGATATTACATCCAAGATATTTAGCAACGGGAACTCTTTGAATGATCCAATTGGTTGGGTATTCTACCACAAGAATGGATAGATAAATGCAAGTGGATAGCCATGCATACTGATTTAATTAGCATGTTGAAAGTTAACCAGTGATCTTATATCGTACCTGAGAATTGCTGACGTGTGTATAATCAAGGATTCCCATAATCGAGGTGAAAGACATAGTCCCCTTGTCCAAGGCTTGTACAAGGTAGGTGAAGACCATGATGGTCAAAACGCGCTTGTCAATCAAACGCTTAAGACGACTGTTTGTTGCCTCGTCTATCTCGACACGCCCCATGGCGGCATACTTTTGTACCTGACCATCGACACGATCGCCAGGGTCGGCTTTCTTTAGATCGTCAATGTCTTCGGTCATCTGTTGCTCAACATGAGCCAATCCGACTGTTTTCGCATCTTGTGGTCCTTCATTATCATCAGCGCGATCCATCTTGTCTGAAGAAAAAGGTTTTCGGCGAAGAGGGATGGTAGTTCGGTTACAAAATTTGCTGTTGGGCTCTTTGACAATAGGGTCTCTATATAAGCATTAATGATCAGAGATCAAATTTGCGCACAGACATACCGTGAGCATGGCATTCATCAAGCTCCACACCTCATGTGCCAACTCCACACAAGCTTAACCCCGCCTTCTTGACCCCGGATTGACAGAGACTCAAATTTAGCGTTTGCCAAGACGGAGAAATCACTGTCCAAACAAAGACAAATACGAAGGCTCCTACTCGCAACCGACCTCAACTATCCAGCCAAAGGATTCAGAGGCGTCATGGTTCGTCTTGGCTTTTTTTCGTCTCGGTCTAGCAATGTCCGAATGCTCACCGCCACCAAGATCTCGGGGTAAGAATCATCCAAGCGGATCGGTCGATGTTGGGGTCTTCATATTAATACATTTCACAGATTGGGAATCCTTTTCTGTTGCAGCCACCAGTTTCAAGTTCTGCCGACTTTGATATTTCCTCCAGATCGCATCTGACCTACCTGCTTCCAAAAATATGACTTCATCCAAGCAACCTGTTGTCAATCGTCCGACCTCTTTAGAAGTCAATTCATCGATACGCAACCTCATAGAGAACCTGGTCAACATCAAAGATGAAACTGGAAAATTCCTGCTCCATCTTTCCGATGGTCGTATCATTGATACAAAATCATGGAATGGATGGGAGTGGACACATGGAATTGGTCTATATGGCATCTGGAAATATTACGAAATGACTGGAGATCCCTCCCTTCTCAAAATTATCGAAGACTGGTTCTCGGCTCGATTTGCCGAAGGGGGAACCACCAAAAACATCAACACTATGGTCGTCTTCCTTACACTTGCTTATGTTTATGAAAAAACCCGCAACCCTATCTATCTCCCATGGTTAGATGCGTGGGCTGAGTGGGCGATGCATGAGCTCCCAAGGACACGGTATGGGGGGATGCAGCACAAGACATACGCGATGGAACACCGACAGAATCTTTGGGATGACACCTTAATGATGACGGTTTTACCATTGGCTAAGATTGGCAAGTTATTGGGGCGGGAGGAGTATATTACAGAGGCCAAAAAGCAGCTTTTGATTCATATCAAATATCTTTGCGACCCGAAAAGTGGTCTATTCTATCATGGCTGGACTTTCGAGGGTGGCGGCCACAATTTTGCGGGTGCTCTTTGGGCGCGAGGGAATAGTTGGATCACCATTGTGATTCCAGAAATTATCGAGCTCATGGACCTACCCCCAAATGATCCACTTCGTTCTTTTCTTCAGGATACACTCGAAGCTCAGTGCGAGGCGTTGCAGCGCCTGCAAGAGCCGACTGGTTATTGGAGAACTCTCCTTGATCACAGTGATCCGGGATCTTATATTGAAGCATCCGCAACTGCAGGATTTGCATTCGGCATTTTGAAGGGTGTTCGCAAGCGCTACATTGGAACACAATATCGCGAAGTAGCAGAAAAGGCTGTGGCTGCTGTTTTGGATTCCATTGACACGAATGGTGAACTTCAAAATACTAGTTTTGGCACCGGTATGGGCGACACACTTGACCACTATCGCAATATCGCTGTAACAGCCATGCCGTACGGCCAAGCAATGGCAATGATGGCTCTCGGTGAATACTTGCGAACTTATATTTAAGTGACTCTTTAGATTATACATACATGTACATACTCTTGGCACTCAGAAAATAGAAAAACTCTACAAATTCATCAACATTTTTATCTTCTTTCCTAGGACTGTGTAAATCAAAACCACCGACTCGGAACTCCTTCATAGACATATGGTATCGGAGCTCGAGTTGTATCTTCCGCGGGGAGGCTAAGCAATCACTACTAGTATGTCATCAGACTAACACAAAGCTCCAATATTCTGCCTCGGGTCAACTTTAGCCGAATGGTATTCCTGTGGGGTCCCAAGAACAGAGCTGATATTTGGCGTTTCATGGACAAGAACTAACTAGACTTGAAGCGCAAGGCTTGTCATGTGCGGTGATAGCTTATTCACCTCCAGCCAATGAGATTTATTATTGAGGGAGCTCGAGTGCCGAGTGGATGGATCAAATATAACTTCGTTTCCACCAATTCAATCGCATGCTCTGGACTCTCCACACATGCCAACGAGATACCAGAGCAGGTCAGACCCCTACCGCCGATCATATCGCGATCGAGTCACCTTTGTGTGGTACCGAACAGAGACCCGGCGGCCGAGCCAAATCCTTTGTCGGAGTTCTTTCAAGCGAGCTGGGCATCTATACTTCCAAGCCTCGGGTCATTCAACTAGTAGTTCCTTCTCATCTATGCGGGGTAACACGCAAAGTTGGAGAAACCTCAGGCTCTTGGTAGAGCCCAGCAGCGTTTGTTCACTTTTCATTTTTTGCAATTTGTCTCTACTCTTCAATAAAATCACTATAATTTATCCAAAGGCAATAAGCAACTCTCGCAAACTCAAATTTGTTTACCCTTTGCTGGAAATATGACCAATGCTACAATTTCCCTCGAGCCACCAACCTTCGACAATCGTGTTAGCGGGTTTGGGATCGAAAACACGACCCCAGAAATATCTTGGCGATTTCTTTGCAAAGACAAAAATGTTAAATCCTGGCGACAACACATCTACGAAATAGAGGTTCAACGTAATGGTTTACTGGAGTCCTATCGAGTGAAATCCTCTCAGTCTGTTCGAGTTCTCTGGCCAAGCACGGCTTTGTCTTCACGAGAAAAAGCAGCGGTTCGGGTGAAGTCAATCGGCAGCGTATTTGATCACGAGGGAGAGCTTGCAACGAAATGGTCGGAATGGTCGGCAGTCGAAACTGGGCTGCTCAATCGTGACGATTGGCAAGCTCAGCTGATAATTGGACAGCAAGAAACACATCCGGATAGGCCTATTCGCCCAATACTTTTAAGGCGGCCATTCGAGGCACCAGTGAATAAAAACATTCGCCAAGCCAGACTATATGTTACAGCGCAGGGTGTCTACCAGATCTACCTAAATGGTACTCGCGTGGGCGATTGTTTCATGGCTCCGGGCTTTACCTCCTACCAATTTCGATACTCTTATCACATATTCGATGTGACTGATCTTATTTTCGGAACCGAAACAAATATACTGGCAGCAGAGGTTGGAGAGGGATGGTTTGCATCTCAAATGTGGAGAGAAGGCCGACAGATCTATGGTAAGGATATAGGTCTGATTGCCCAGTTGGAAATCTCATTTGAAGACAGCAGTCAACCCCTGGTAGTGAAAACCGACCAGGATTGGGAATGGAACGTGGGACCAATGCTGACAAGTGAAATATACAATGGTGAAACATTTGACATGTCGGAAGAACAGCCAGGCTGGAAAACAGGCTCCCAAGCCCGATCCGGTACCCGATGGAGACCTGTTAGTGTTCTCCCTCTTCCCTCAGTCGCGCTGTCCCTACCCGACGGTCCGCCAGCTCGGGCCACGCTGGAAATATCACCACAGAAAGTTTTTCGATCTCCATCTGGCAAATTGTTATTGGACTTCGGCCAGAACTTGGTCGGTGTACTGCGCATCCGATCATTGAATAAACCAGCTGGCCATCGCGTGTCATTGAAGCATGCAGAGGTCCTTGAGCATGGGGAAATCGGAATGCGTCCTCTCCGTGCGGCAAAGTGCACCGATACTATCATATGTTCTGGTGAACATCTCAAAGACTGGTCGCCCACATTTACATTTCATGGATTTCGCTTTGTCGAGGTAATTGGATGGTCCCCGGAGGATAACACGTCTCCCTTGACAGTCGATAATATTTCTGCGACAGTCATACACAGTGACATGACCCGTACAGGCTGGTTCTCCTGTTCAGACCCTCAGATTAATAGACTTCATGAAAACTCAGTTTGGAGTATGCGAGGGAACTTTCTATGGATTCCGACCGACTGCCCCCAACGAGATGAGCGTCTGGGTTGGTCAGGAGACATCCAAGCCTTCAGCCCGACGGCCAATTTCCTTTACAATACGAACGGGATACTTGCGGACTGGCTGGCTGATCTGGCTTTGGAGCAGAAGGAGGACAACGGCATTCCACCCATGATTGTGCCAAATGTGCAGTTTGCAAAAGAATCTCGTCCGCCTCAGGCTGTGTGGGGAGACGCGTCTATCTTGGTTCCATGGGCCTTGTTTAAATCCTTCGGAGATAAGAATATTCTGGAGAGACAGTACGAAAGCATGACATCTTGGTTGGATCGAGGCTGTTCTCGGGGGGAAGATGGACTCTGGACGCCTTCACTTTGGCAACATGGGGACTGGCTTGACCCATCTGCTCCCCCTGAAGATCCTGGAAATGGCCAAACCGATGGAGTTTTTGTTGCAGACGCATACCTAGTATATGTTACGGGTATCCTGGGCAGTATCTCAGTAATCCTCGACCGGCCAGACGATGGAGCACGATACAAGGAAGAATATATTCGCTTGAAGCAGATTTTTCAGGAGAAGTATGTCACCCCCAAAGGAATGGTGATGTGCGATACGCAAACTTCACTTGCACTTGCATTGTGTTTCTCTCTTCTTGATACCAATACTCAAATTGAAGCAGCTGGGCAACGTTTGGTCCGCAAAGTACGTTTTGCGAAGTTTCGGGTTGCGACTGGCTTCGCAGGTACGCCAATTGTGGCCCATGCGCTCAGCGAGACAAACTCGCATCAACTAGCTTATCGCATGTTGCTGGAAACAAATTGTCCATCCTGGCTTTACCCAGTCACAATGGGAGCTACCACCACATGGGAGAGATGGAACAGCATGCTCCCAGACGGCACAATTAACCCAGGTCAGATGACTAGTTTCAATCATTATGCTCTAGGATCTGTCGCGAACTGGCTGCATGAGAAAATGGGTGGTCTCAGTGTTATCGAGCCTGGTTGGCGGGTTTTCAAGATCAGACCCATCCCAGGAGGAACTATCCGCAATGCAGAAATTCAGTATGAAAGCCCGTATGGGCGGATTGAATGCTCATGGAGTCTGAACGAGGATTCATTTTTCTCAATGAGTTTTGTTATTCCTCCTAATTCTTCTGCCTGGGTTTTCTTGCCAGATGCACAAGACAAAGGCACCCTTTTGCCTTCTGGTCAATATGAAATGAGCTGCCCGTTTCATGCTGATCCATGGCCACCCAAGCCCTTGGAGACTCTATTTAAACCACCAGTCCGGAAGATCAACGAGTAGTTACCATTGCATAGTATTCAAATTGCAGAAAGATGTTTATGTAATGAAAATGTGGATAGACTATGCAATGTCATGATCATGATGAGTATGCGTGCCGGGTTTCGAGAACACTACATGTATCTCATTGATTCAAATAGCGATAGATTCGTGGATATAATCATGTGCGAATCCGAGTCGCTACTAGTACAGTGCACTTTTTTTAAGGTCTACAAGTTGTTCAAGCCTATTTTCCATTCATCTTTTGAGTAAATCATTTGAACTTGGAGCCACATTGAATTTCAATTTGAGTTTTTATCTACATTACCCACATCTGAATTCTCGACGAAACATAATTAAGCTAGGGACTATCAGGTTCCAATTTTGTAAATCGAAGACAAGCTGCAGAAATGAGACTTATTGCTGATCAATTTTCGGGCAGAAGAATCAAGGCCAGAAAGCCAACTACTCGGTTTTGCCGATCAAGGGGCAGGAATGACCATTCCCCTAAATAGGAACCTGGTCAATTTTAGGTTAACCAGACTCGAGAATGTGAGCATGCTTTTTACCAAAAACAACAAGACAGAGAGAGAGAGAGAGAGAGAAACAAAAAGTCTCAACGTTCCCAGAGTCTTGAACAAATGGAAACTTCCATTGCCCGGAAATATTTCAAACTTTACTTCGTTTCCATCTTCACTATAACAGACTAATGCTCAATTCCTTGCATCAAACTCTCTTAACCTCGAGAAAAGCATTTTTCGATTAACTACATTCAATGAATCTTCATGTTTTATTTCTCTTAGTCGTAACGTTCTTCAAGGAGGAAAGGGTTACCTTGTAGCGTGCCACGTAGTATGTAAAATTTAATCAACATGCCTGGCCTCCATGTACCCAGCGGGGTGTATAACTCTCATTTTTCTAAAGCTGCCAGATGAATGCCAGCGTTATGTTGCAGGAACTCAGATCTAAATAAATATTCCTTCTTTGTTCTTGCGTATTGTACACGCCAACCCAAAGCTCACAATGGCGATCAATCCGCTCTCTTGCAGCCTGCTAGTTGCGGCTGCCTCGTTCTGCTTTGCAGGCGTTGAAGGTGCATTGAAGTCACCAGAAAGGTCCCTAAAGCCAAGGTTTACTTACGACGAGCTTTGGAACCTTGAAAAGGGTTTCTGGGACTCTTTCCTCTACCCTGCCAACTTGAAACAAACTCAAGGCAACGAGTCTACCGTTTTTGCTAGTGATGTAAGGAACGCCGGGTAAAGTTCCTGGCACTAGATCTATTCAAGCTAATGCTATCAACTAATAGGTTCAAGGGCGCGTTGACATCACACGTACCTTCGACGGAGACGAGCTAAATCGTGAATATATCTTTGGCCTTTTTGCTGACCCAACACACATCAGTCTCGTGGGCGTTCCAGTCAACTACAGCATTACCCAATTCGCCGCGAATGACAGAATCGCTTCCGCGACTACTATTGTAACCTTCAACGCAACAACATTTGATGTCTTGGTCCCTGTTACTATCGACACGTGGATCGAGTTCAATGAAGATGGGAAAATTGCCCAGTATGACGCCACCTTCCGTTGGTTCGAGTATCTCTTAGACACCTTGATAGAGGCGACGGCTATCAAGATCAAAGCGACATCAACCGATAAAGCCGTTGCCTACGTCGCTGATGTTCTCGCCAAGACCATTTGCAACACTCATGAACAGTACTGCACTGGGTCTAATAAGCAATACGCAGATACTGGTACTTGTTACGACCATTTGACACAATCCATTCGATTTGGCAAGAGTTACGAGCTGGGTCGGAATACGCTCCTTTGTCGCGAGGTTCATGAGCACATGGTACAATATCGGCCAGATGTTCACTGTCCGCATATTGGCCCTAGTGGCGGAGGATATTGTGTTGATGATATGAACTACACGCAAACAGTTTTGCAAAGGTACTTCAGTGATTCATGGATCCCATTTGGCTATGGCCAGAGCCAGGATATATGGTTGCAAGGCTAGTTCTGTTTATATAGCCTACTTTCTGCTATAAAGGCATAGAAAGAGTCGCAGCAGGGAGTCACTATTCCTGAGTCAGGAGATAGTATAGTTCACATATTCTAAGGCCACCATGAATTCCACAAAATATGATGTGTTCCACTTCCAACCCGTTCTCGTGCAAAAATCAGTTAAGTTGCAATTAACTCCGCTTCCACTCTCGGGTTCCAGATAAAATCAGTCTGGTGGAAGATTATTAGGAGACGATGCTTGGTCAGGTATGTGTGTACGGACCTCGGGTCCTTCTGATTATTATCTCCGAGATTTCAAGGTTGGAATACTACTGGTAACTTAATCGCCCCCAATCCGGATATCCACCGTTATCGTACCGGTGGACGCTCGGGGCTCCGAGTGACCCCGCACGCCCCTTTGGTAGTACTAGTAGTAAGCTCATCTCGCTCCTTTTACTTTTCTTGACTCACATTGAGCCTCAATCAAATGCTGACAGTTAGCCACCTCATACTTACAAGAACTCAAATACGGAGAGTCAAGCTTGTTCAACCCAATTCAGAACAACGATAGTAGTGACCTGACAAAGTCAATTTCCATGTTGAGTCTAGATTCATTGATTAGCGTCTGACTTGCAGGGACAGTCAACTTGCTGCCTTGAATTTTGCAGTCCCGTATTTATGCTGCCTGGATACTATCAGTTATAAATCAAGCATCCCGTGTGCTGGAAATCTCCGAGTCTCAGCTTGCTTGACAACATTCTTCTTCTCATCTTACTCAAAGTGAGGACTGTACATTCCAGCTATCAGCGTTGGAAATCATGTCTGTGCTTGAGATCCGAGGAGGAATATTGAGTAATAACTCATCAAACCTTCAAGATGTCAATCTCGCTTCATTTGGTCCGACGTCAGTCACCAGTTTTGATTTCACGCCCCTTTTCGAAGACTCAATCCTTTCTTTACTGCCGTCTGCTTTGCTCCTAATTTGCCTTCCATATCGCATCATCGCTCTACACCGCCAACGTTCAAAAGTATCAGCCGGGGGACTCTTGTATGAAAGCAAGCTCGCAATTTTAGGAGTCTTCGCCGCAATCAATCTTACATTACTAGTTCTCCATATTCTGAGTTCCTCGCTAAGGACCACGTTCACTATCGCTGCATCTGCATTGTCTTTCATAAGTGGCCTCGGCCTTTGTCTACTATCCCATCTCGAGCACGCACGCTCTGTCCGTCCATCCCCAATCATCAATGGATACATCCTCTTAACTTTGCTATTCGACATAGTGCGTTCACGCACACTTTTTCTTCATGGAGAAAGCAAAGCGATCGCAGCCTGCTTTGCAGGAATGATTGGCGTCAAAGTAATGGTATTGCTTGCTGAGGCCGCCGAGAAGCGGAGCCTTTTGTTAATGCCATACCGTGATCTCTCGCCCGAAGAAACAAGTGGGATATATTCTCGATCTTTCTTCTTTTGGTTGAATCAGCTTATGACCTCCGGTTTTAGCCGGGTTCTTCGCAATCAAGATTTGTACCCTATCGATAGTGACATGAGATCAGAAGTTCTGCAACGCCAAATGAAAGATTCCTGGAAGAAAGCATCACAAGGCAAATCTAGAGCGCTATTCTGGGCCCTCATGCGTGCGAACCTGAAAGGACTTTTCTATTGTGTCGTACCACGCCTTTGCCAGATTGCCTTTCGGTACACCCAGCCATTTCTGTTAACTCGCACAATTGATTTTGCAAGTGATACATCTCAGCCAGATAGTGTTGGCTGGGGCTTGACGGGTGCTTTCTTCATTACCCTCCTAGGGGTCGCTATCTCCAATGGCATGTACTACCATATGGCCTACCGCCTAGTGACTAGCGCTCGTGGGTGTTTGGTTAGCATCATATTCGCAAAGACTTTGGATCTCAGTGTCACAGCTCTCGACGAGTCTGTCGCCGTTACCCTCATGTCAACCGATGTGCAATCTATCTGTGACGGCCTAACAACTATCAATGACTTCTGGGCCGTTCCAATCGAACTCGGCATTGCCATCTATTTGCTGGCTCGCCAACTTGGAGTTGCGTGTGTAGCCTCGGCTGCTATCGCTTGCTTTTCTACGGCCAGCATCATGTCAATTGCAAAGGTTATGGAGCGAGCCCAACAGATTTGGATGAGGAGCATTCAGACGCGCGTTGACTCAACTGCGACTATGCTTGGATCAATGAAGTCAGTCAAAATGCTAGGCTTTACGGACTGGTTAGCAGGTATTATTCAAGGTCTGAGAGTTGCGGAGCTTGAAGAGTCGAAGCTATTTCGCAGGCTCCTGATGCTTCGAGTATTTCTTGCAAATCTCTTGCAATGTTTTGGTCCTTTTTTGACTCTTCTTATCTACACTGTCTACCCATCAAATGGAGAGTCTCTTTTGACTGCAGATATTGCGTATACAACACTCTCACTTATAGCACTTCTTGCCAGTCCTATCAACACCCTTATAAGAGCATTCCCGCTCATGAATGCCGCACTTGCATCTCTAAGTCGTGTGCAGAGCTTTTTAGAGTCGGAACCTCGTCGTGATCACCGGATTTTCTTAGATGAAAGAAATACCAAAGGAAGTGAGCACAACGTTTCCAACTCGGAGGGCATTGAACTTGCCGATCGCAAGCCTCCTGCCTCTAATTCCAATACATTCACCGACATGATTGTCGCTCGAGATGCCAGCTTTTCATGGAGTCAAGAATCAACTTTCTGCGTTCATGATATCAACCTCAGTGTCAAGAAAGGTCAGTTCTGCATTGTAATTGGACCCACTGGCTGCGGCAAAAGCACTTTACTCAAGGGTATTCTTGGAGAGACACCGTCTACAAAGGGTTTCCTTTACGCATCGGAAAGGGACACAGCTTTTGTTGATCAAACTCCTTGGGTCCGCAACACTTCATTTAAAGAGAATGTACTGGGCACATCAGTTTACAATGAGGATTGGTACAATGATGTTGTGCAGGCTTGCGCATTGGATCAAGACATCCATCTTCTTCCCAACGGTCACTGTAAGTCTATATGGCAACCTGAAGCTACGTGTATCTTAACTAACTTTTCTTTAGCCACCAAAGTGGGTTCATCAGGAATATCTCTTTCCGGTGGCCAAAAACAACGATTAGCTCTGGCTCGTGCCGTGTATTCCCAAAGGCAAGTCGTTGTGCTAGATGATGTCTTCTCCGGGTTGGATGCCGACACTGAAGAGCGCATCTTTAACAAGTTGTTATCAAAACAAGGACTATTCAGAAAGATGGGAACAACAGTTTTACTGGCAACCCATGCAGTCCATAGACTCGCATACGCAGACCTGGTTATTGCTATGGATACCCACGGCACAATCTCTGAGCAAGGAAGCCTAGCCGACTTAGAGAAGAATGGAGGCTATGTTGCGCTTCTGAAGGCCCGGTATCGAGCTGATTCTAGCGATGATGATGAGAATCCCCAGGAGCCAAGTTCTGTGCGCTTAGCGACTGCCGGACTCGAAGATAATACGGAAATCGAAGTTGTTGCAGAGGAATTAACTCGACAAAATGGAGACTTTGCCCTTTACTCCTATTATATTCGCTCGGTGCATTGGGCATCCACGGCATTTTGGATGTTCTGTTTTATTTTCTGCGGAGTTGCGATTAAAATGGGTGAATTTTTGATTAGCTTCTGGACGGATTCGGTCAGTGGACATGGCAGAAGTTCCGATTCATTCTATCTGGGTCTCTACGGCATGCTAGCGACAATATCGACAATCGGTCTTATTGCTGGTGGGTATCATCATATCATTTACTTCGCCTCGATGAGTGCTCAGAGCCTTCATGGGCGACTTGTACATTCTGTCATGAACGCACCCCTTTCATTCTTTACTTCGACCGATATTGGAACTACCATAAACAGGTGAGTTAATAGTCCCTTTCTATGAAACCATGGTCTATGACTAAATTATCTTCCTCTGTCCTAGATTCAGTCAAGACATGACATTAATCGACCACGACTTACCTTATGCGATGATTGACTTTATGCTATCACTTTCCACGGCTGCGATGTCCATGGTCCTCATGTGTATCTCGGCCTCTTACTTTGCGGCTGTCATCCCGGCGGTGTTCCTTTTCATGTGGATACTACAGAAATTCTATCTCCGAACATCGCGACAAATGCGATTCTTAGATCTGGAAGCCAAGTCGCCTCTCTTTTCGTTGTTTATCGAGAGTCTATCCGGACTTGTGACAATACGTGCCTTTGGATGGACCTCCGATTTCGAAACGCGAAACTTGGCCCTTCTTGATGCCTCGCAAAAGCCATTCTATCTCATGTTCTGCATTCAGAGGTGGCTCGAACTTGCACTGGATCTCTCCGTGGCCATACTTGGTACGATTCTAATGATTTTAGTAGTCAAACTACGGGATAGCCTTGGCGCCGGATTTGTGGGCTTAGCCATACTCAACGTCATCACATTCAGTCAGTCCTTATCATCAATAATGCGCAACTGGGCCGAGCTTGAAACATCTATCGGTGCCGTTTCTCGAATCCGTGACTTCACCAAAAATACAGTCAATGAAAACAAGCCAGAAGAGAACCACTTTCCGAGTTTCTCCAGTTCCGACTCGTCAGCCTGGCCTTGGAAAGGCACTATTGAATTCCGCAACGTCGATGCCTCATATAATGCAGGAGATCAAAAATTTGTTCTTCGCAACCTAAGCATGTCCATCCAAGGAGGCGAGAAAATTGGCATCTGTGGCCGAAGCGGTAGCGGGAAGAGCTCGCTGCTAGCAAGCCTATTTCGCATGCTAGAAGTAGAGCCACACAGTCAAATTCTGATCGACGGCGTAGATATCACCCGCATCCCACGACAGACCACTCGCGCCGCTCTGAACGCGATACCACAGGAATCATTTTTCACACATGGCTCCGTACGCGCCAACATGGATCCCTATCAAATCAAAAGCTCAGAGGAAATTGAAGCAGCTTTGCGTCGCGTGGAGCTATGGGATTTAATCCAGCTAAAAGGCGGACTAGACGCGCAGTTGGAGAGTAATTTCTTTTCGCATGGTCAACGACAGCTTTTCTGCCTTGCTAGGGCGTTAGTTCGCGGAGGGAAGGTGGTTGTTCTTGATGAAGCAACGAGTAATGTTGATGTTGTTTCAGACGCGCTTATGCAGCGGATCATTCGCAAGCAATTTGCCGATTGCACGATTTTGGCTGTTGCTCATCGTCTGGAGACAATCATTGATTTTGATCGGATTGCTGTCATCAAGGACGGAAGGTTAGTTGAGTTTGACACACCTCAGGCGCTTCTTGGAAGAGATAGTGCGTTTAAGGAGCTTTATGAATCTTGATATGGTGTGGGCTTGTTGAGAATCTTGTCATGGGTCACTAATGAGTAATATTTTTATTTTTATTAAATCTCTTTATGAATTATCATTCGTTCAATTCTATCTGTTTCTTTCTGCTTTGTAAACTCCGAGAAAAGAAAACTGCATCTCCACGTTATTGATTGATTGATTGATCATCCTCAGGGGGTGCGGATTGCGGATTGCGGATTGCGGATTTCGCAGTTGCGGATTTCATCCAATCCCGCACACATCAAAACCCACCCTATCATCCCTTACATATAAGAGTTATACAACAAAAGGCGTGGTCTTTGTGCTATATAAATTGTAGCTCTCTTTCTCGTGGTATGTCCTTTTGAATTCTAGCCCACTTTTGTCCATCTCAGAGCTGCCTCATACTATACTGACCATTTACTATCATTATATCCATTTATCATACTCGGGTATTCACCAGACTTCTGTACTGTTGAATTTTGAATCTGTCCCCTATTCTGTGCTACAATAGGCATATTTCAGTTGCTTACAAGATGTCCCTTGAGAAAGCGAAGCCAGAAACCCCCTTGGAAAACCACAGTCGGGAATTGTCTGATAGCCTTTCATCACAAGAGCTCAAATCAGAACCCACTGTTGATCACATAAGGGCTGCGACTACGGGCCCTGGTGATCAGGATCATGAATGGCTCACTGGCTTCAGACTTATTAACATCATCGGTGCAGTAACACTAGTATGTCTTTTGATGTTACTGGATACTTCAATTGTGGCTACGGTATTCGAAACCAGGCTTAACTAGCGAAAACTATCACTAAATGTGTTCAACAGGCAATTCCTCACATTACAACTGAGTTTCATTCGCTCGACGACATCGGGTGGTATGGCAGTGCTTATCAGCTGGCAAGGTATCTATATTTATTCCGGAAAACCGCAAATCGATCTTTGAACTGATCCTCCTCAGTGCGGCAATTCAACCACTCACCGGGCGAGTTTACGCGAGTCTCTGCACGAAGGTATGATGAGCTCTTCACTCCCTAGTTATTTTGGGAAAATCACTTACTCGACTTTTTTACAGTGGAGTTTCGTTGGCTTCTTCGCAGTTTTTGAACTGGGTTCTTTGATTTGTGGTGTTGCCACGTCCTCTAAGATGCTTATTGTTGGACGAGCAGTCGCTGGAATGGGCGCTTCGGGCATTCTCAATGGCGCACTTACAATAATCGCTGCCTGCGCACCTATACAAAAGCGCCCAACAATCGTTGGCCTTGTCATGGGAGGTGAGTATCGGCATCCCATTCTCAAACATCCCATACTGATCTATTCCTCGAAGTTTCACAGGTTGGGCTAGCGGCTGGGCCTTTAATAGGAGGTGCATTGACACAGTATACGACTTGGCGATGGTGTAAGAATTTCTATTCCGCTTCTAGTACGAATGATTGGTGAACTAACCTTAGCCCAGGCTTTTATATTAACCTTCCAGTGGGAGGTTTGGTCGCTATCATGCTAGCTTTTGTCGATGTCCCAGAACTATTTCCGAAGAAAAGTTTTACAAAGGCCATCAGAACCTTGCCAGGGCAGCTTGATCTCATTGGATTCACTCTATTTGCCCCATCTGCTATTCAGCTATTACTCGCTCTTCAGTATGGCGGAAACGAGTATTCTTGGCATAGCTCTCAAGTAATCGGTCTATTTTGTGGAGCTGGAGCAACTTTTATTGTTTTCATACTCTGGGAATATAGACAGGGTGACAAGGCAATGATTCCGTTTTTTATCATCCGCAAGCGAATTGTTTGGTCAAGTAGCCTGTCATATGGACTTCTCATGGCCCAAGTCTTTTGTGCTTCCTGGTATCTCCCCATTTATTTCCAGGCAGTGAAAGGCAAGAGTCCATTGACGAGCGGTGTTTACTTACTTCCGAGTATTCTGGCCCATCTGCTCACTGCTATGTCATCTGGAAAGCTAGGTGTGTCAATTACCCTTTCCCATATAACTATTTTATTAATTGATATCGTTGCTTAGTCGAGCGCGTGGGCTATTACCTACCCTTCATCCTCATTTCCGGAGTCTTGACGGCAATTGCTAACGGCTTGTTATCGACACTGGCCCCTCACACGTCATCAGGAAAATGGATTGGATATCAGATTCTCCTTGGAGCTGGTCGTGCTATAGGAATGCAAATGGTATGTTCTTGAAATGTATCATCGCTACAAATTTGTTCTAACTTATTATATAGCCCATTATCGCCGTGCAGAATGTACTCCCTCCTCCACAGATCCCCGTTGCAACAGCTTTGGTTATATTTAGTCAGATGTTTGCAGGGGCACTATTTCTCAGCTTCTCTAACACTATATTGAGCAATAGTTTGACAACTCTGATTCCAATATATTCACCTAGCGTGAATCCGCAAGTTGTTGTCAATGCTGGCGCTACGGGATTTCGATCCGCTATCTCGGCATCGCAACTGCCAGGCGTTCTAGTTGCCTACGCGGACAGTGTTAATCGGGTATTCTATCTTACTGTTGGAATGGCTTGCACGTGCTTTGTCTTTTCCTGTTTCATGGGCTGGAAGGACATTCGCAAGAAGACCGAGGTTGAAAACGTTTGATGACAATGGCCTTCCCGTGAGAGGTCGTCTTGACTACTATCTGACAGTGAAAATGTGCTACTCTTGGACAATTAATTGATTTCAAAGAGGGATCAGTGGTACAAATAGTAGAACTTTGTTGGTCGGGCGGCTGCATTTGAGCGGCCAGTAGTATTATATGATTGAAGTAGTGCATTAGATGGATATAATGGAAAATCAATAACATACACTCCTCGGAGGTCCAATTTAGTCATAAAGCGTTGATTGGTCATATCAAAGGGAAAGATTCATGAAGGTGTGCTCTTCAATGGTGATGTCCGTGCTTATTTCCATGATGGTCATTGTGACGGTGACCACTCGAAGAACGGTGGTGACTCTTCCTCTCATGAGAGGTATGAGCCCGTTCAATTTCGTTGGCTGCCACTGCTCCTAATGCACCAGCACCCACTGTACGAGCGATATGGCCAAACCCATGACTCACATCTTCTCCATCCTTCTGGCGGTGGCGATGGATCACTTCCGCGACTCCGGCCGCAGCTACTGCTCCTTCGAGAAGATGACGGTTATGATGAGGGTCATCATTTTTATGATCACTCTTTTCTCGGTGGTGACTATATCTGTGATCGCCGTGGTGGTGACCATGCCCACTGTGATGACGAGAGTGTGAGTGGGAGTGGGAGTGAGAATGAGGAACTGGATCTCCAGGTGGCAATCGGTAGTGTCCGGAAGTGCGGTGATCTCTGGGGTATTCGGTGTACATTTCCAGGTATATTGTTCAGGTGTTCATCTAACAAGATGATTCTCACGAGTTACTATGAGAGGATAAATAATAGTGTATCTTCAAATGTGTTGAACAGATGAATCTTGGTTCCCGCGGTGCATCATGGTTAAATAACCTATCGAAATGTCTTCAGCCTCAAATTGCCGATTCTCTGTGCTTCTATGATATCATTCTTAACTCATTAGCAAACTAGTCGAACTTTCATAGGATGGCTGATTTCACAGCCCCTACGATCAGCCCGTGTTCACATGCGCGACCAATAATATATTGAATCAAAACGGGTTTCAGCTGATCAAATTCGTACATTACAGTACTGTGAATCCTGGTAGTGCATGTGTGATCTGCCTCTTTGCCCAGGTTCATGACCCTCGGAAATTTTGCCCGGGTAGAGATCTGCAATGCGCATGCATAAAATCCTAGCTCCATGCATGCACCTGACTGGGTGGCGTCAAACATTGTGTGGGGAATACAGAGGCAAGAAATACCTTGTTTGTCTTTCTGGTTCCAAGTTTGTGATCCTACAGGTGTGATTTTGTTTTTTGCACGTTGAACTGGCCGTAGGTATATTGATTCCCATAATGTCAGAGTCAAATTTTATTTGTTTACAGATTGTCGCGATTCAGTAAATATCGACTCCACATTTCCAAACCACAGAACCGTGGAAACGCGCACCAAGCAACCCACAAAAACGGATTCACAAGGAGATCAAGTATTCTTGATTTAATTTCGGATATTCCAAAGAAAACCAATCTGCCCCCCGGAAATTTCATGCGAAAAAGGAACGAAAGAAAAAAAAGAAAAAAGCAAGCCCAGTGAGGCGGGCGGCTTGCGTTGTGACCATTGGGGTGATCTCCCCAACAAGATTCCGTCGAAATGACAGAAGAGGGCTGATAGTTTTGAATGATCTAGGAAAGCTCCAGTCGCTGGATGATTGTTATGATTCTCCTCAGAAATGATTGAGTTATCGTTCTTGCAGCTTTATGCAAATAGTAAAGTGGGCCAATGATCAGGGGACAGCAAATACTGCGGAATATCATATTTCCGGCGTTTGTCTGTCGTGATCGCGACCGTAGGGAGATGGACGTTACCCTTTCTCCACTTCTCCTGTGGCTTCCACTTCTCCTGTAGCTCCCATTTCTACCAGTATGGATCGAAATGCAAAGTCACTAACAGGCATACCGGCTCGGTACGGTTCTTCCTGCACCAACTGCGTCCGATCTAAGCGCAAATGCATTGTCCGTGAAGCCGGCGGGCCATGTCAACGGTAAGCTGCCCACGCTAAGAATAGATACTCATGAATTAATCCGACCCAGATGCTATAATACAAATAGAGAATGTACGCCAGCAAAAACAATGCGACGGCACGATGCCAAACGGCCCCTCAGGACCTCATCAAATCGTCTCGAAGAAAAGATAGACAGCCTCGTATCTCTAATGAAAGCTGGAGGCCAAAGCACTGTCGCGACTTCATCTGTTATAAGTCCCGTAGAGTATTCTTCAACACCTGCCAGCGACCAATATAATCCCGCATTACATGGCTCTAATATTAGTGCTGTGGATTCCTTACCTAGGGGTCAAGCCAGTACAGTTGCAGGCACACCGGTTACGGCGAACTCAATATGCTCGTTTGAGATAAGCGAGCTCACAGCCCTTCAATCAGAAGAATATCTGGCTCATTTTCTAACTTTCAAATTGCATTACTTTCCATTTATTCATATTCCCCTTCCAACGAGCTCTGAACAACTCCGAATAGAGCGGCCCTTCTTATGGCTTTGCATCATGTCGGTCAGCACCAAGTCAACCGCCCAACAAAACGAGCTTAGTCTGAAGATACGTCAAATTGTGGCCCAAGAAATAGTTGTCAAATCTGAGAAAAGTATTGACTTGTTACTGGGAATTCTGGCATTCATTGGCTGGTAGGATCATTGCCACACCGTTCGTGGATTATTCACAATCTCTGATTCAGAACAACAGGGGAAACTACCAATTTCGCAATAAGCCATTTATGTCCGTTTTTACCCATTTGGCCATGTCGCTAGTCTTCGATCTTGGTCTGAACAGACCCCCTCAGGCGTTAAAGGCAATCTGTAACCTGCACCAAATCGCAAAACCTACAAATTCGGGGCCTCGTACCATGGAGGAACGTAGGGCAGCGCTAGCCTGTTTCTTAATGATATCTACGTATGGCCCGAATGGTGTTTCAAGCCGTGGATTGAAAGTCAATTACTTACCTATTTGTGCACAGAGTATCCTCGTTCCTTGAAGAGGTTGATGGCCTGCGCTGGACGTCCCATTTGGAAGAATCCCTTCAACTATTAGAAGAGCAAAAGGAATGCACAAACGACGATATCTTAGTTCAACTAGTTCGATTACAACTCATAATGGAGACTAGAAAACTCCATCGGGTTTCATCAAATGACTTGTCTGAAGCACCTGAGAATTCCAAGAACCAAGCGACAAGGTTTTGTGAATCAAAGATCAATATATTCAAAACCACGCCCAATGATGGTTAGTCACTGTCCTTATTTCCTTATCTTCGTTTTTCATTCATTCTTTTTCCCCTCATATAGCTGTTTCAGCTGACAATTTCACACAGTCATCCTACTACATCTTTATAATGTCGAGCTTGAGTTCGCGCTTTCATCGGTATCTCTGACAAACAATGAAGTAAATTCAGATCAAACTGCCCTTCTCTTTTCAGCTCTAGACTCAATCAACTCATGGCTCGATGTTATTTTTATGATACCTCCAGCTCAATGGGCTGGGTTTACATTTGCCATTTTCTCTCAAATCTCTCGTTGTCTTTTTGCCATTTTTAGGCTTGCAACTCTTGATTCTCCAAATTGGGACAAAGGTCATGTTAAAAATACTTCTAACCCACTCTTGATTCTTAATCAATTCATGAGCACCCTTGAGCAAGTTCCTACTCTCGCTGAACTTGATAATCAAGGCTTTCCAAATGGTGATGTCTTTTCTCGATCCGCACAAATTCTTCGAACTATTCGACCAGAATGGGAAGCAAAGCTCGGTACAAATGACATAATGTCATCAACGATCGATTCATTGTCAGATATGAACGAAGTTCAATTTCCGGACATTTTCGGGGACGATATTATGTATGACAGGTGGTTCATGGATCTCTTATCTTCTACCTTTTGAACTTGCATGTCAGATCAAATTTCTGGAAAGAAACTTATTTAACCAAAATTTCATCTCTCATTATCATAATATCTGTTTCTTCTTCTAGTCTTGAAAGTCTCATTGAACGCGTCAAGTGTTAAGAGTGTCTCAGACCCAGCTCTGGATTTTGGCTTGCGTGGCCACACTTCAATGTCCTCCACCATTATTCGTCAATGAACAGAGCCCTAGCAATCGGGGGGGGGCTTCCGTTAGACTTGCATTGGCCGGTCAGAAGGTGGAAATGATCTTACTGCGGATCATAAGCGGGGAAAGTGGAGCTTGCCTATACTTAGCCCAGAACTACATACAAGTTTCTTGACATGCTTGCTCACATGGTCCTTTTTAACCAGGCCCCTAGGTGTTAAGCCATATTATAATTTTGCCCGTTTCAAGTAATTTCGCATCAAAGTATGAACTCAGCAGCAACCACCGTATCGATTCCTATTTTATATTCTTTTGGTATGATGAGGGGACCCCGGGAGCTCTAGGCCCTTAGGCCAAGCCTCTATTTTGAGGGCGCATATTTTTAGGCAAATATGTATGGGGGCGTTTTGGTTCCCGACACTATGGCCTGCGTGTGACTTTTAACCGTAGCCTACTCTTACCTATCAAAATTACAAGCACATACCTAATTGATTATGAGAAGGATTTCAAGGCTGCTTATCCTGTACGAAACGCATATTCCCCGCACACTGCGGGGAAAGCAAACATGGTCTGGGTTGGCCTATTGAGTGAAAGTAAACCCTGCACTACGGCCGAAACAATGATCTCAAGCCCAGTCAGCTTGGAGTAGTTTTTTCCTCCAATTAAGTGCTTTCTCACAACTTTGATGATATCATGATACTCTCTCCACAGAGGTTTTGAGGGCCGCTAGTGCAACGACACTCGGAAGATTCACAGCCGGAACTCAATTTCTTAGGTTCCCCACTCATTGAATCATGCTTTTTTAGAACATTTTGTTGATATGACTAGTGTCAAAGTACAGAGTTACTTGTCAACCAGGTGTTCTAATTCATTTGCGTCGGTCTTATTTCCTGTAGCGGAACCACTCATAAAGCAAATCCCGGTGTCCGCTCATTGGCGGGTTAGATGCTTTATGAATTACTATCATTTTCTATGAAACTAAATCGAACATCCAATTGCACACTTGTAGGCTGGGGTACCAAAACCACGTAGGAACCATCGTTTTGCAACTAAGTTGAATACTTGATGCTGCACACTTCTGTAAAATCATTAATATTATCATTTGTAGAACAATGTCGAGTCTGGTGGTGATTCTAGAAAGACTAGCATACTTTCCTATATCCCCATCACGAATACCCAGAGATCAGACACAGAGAGGAAGAAGGTCCAAGCCACGCATTACCATTGCAATTCTGCATTCAGTTTACTGCTATTTCCCCTCAAATGCCACCTCATCAACCGATAATATCCCCACTTGCGGGGTCAACTGAGCTGAAATAATTTGGGGTAAAGTGTTTGTGTTACAAGTTCGAATTCATCTTTTTCTCTTGAGGGAGATACATGGACTTATGCCAACGGTATAAATAGGAATGCAAGACCTGGCCTGAGGAAAATCAGTTGCAGTTACGTTTCTTTCTTGATCATTTGAACAATTAACAAAGGTTTACAGGCCTGCTTCAATCATGACCATTCCGGAAGAGGTCGATATAATTATTTGTGGTGGTGGTAGTTCGGGATGTGTGCCCGCTGGTCGCCTTGCCAATCTCGACCATAACCTCTCGGTGTTGTTGATTGAGGCTGGGGAAGACAACTTGAACAACCCATGGTATGTAACTACCAAATCACCTTGACATAGAGCCGTATTAACGAAGTTAGGGTCTTCCGTCCGGGTATCTATCCCAACAACATGAAACTTGACTCGAAGACGGCCTCTTTCTATCACTCTCGTCCTTCGGAACATCTAGATGGACGGCGAGCTATCGTTCCATGTGCCAACATTCTTGGTGGCGGAAGCTCCGTCAATTTTATGGTGAGTCTGTGATCTCAATCTACAGTTTGGGCCATCACTAATTTTCCTAGATGTATACCAGAGCATCAGCGTCCGACTACGATGACTTTCAAGCAAAGGGTTGGACAACAAAGGAGCTCTTGCCTCTCATGAAGAAGTATGAGACTTACCAACGCTCTTCGAATAACCGCGATTTGCATGGTTTCAGCGGGCCCATCAAGGTGTCTTTCGGCAACTACACCTACCCAATCACGCAGGACTTCTTGCGTGCTGTTGAAACCCAGGGGATTCCGGTCACTGACGATCTCCAAGATTTGACCACCGCGTATGAAGCCCAGATACTAAGCCATTTAGGGGCATTGCTAAATGATCTTACTACCATAGTCATGGTGCAGAACATTGGTTGAAGTGGATAAACAGAGACACCGGTGAGTTCAAATGTTCATTGAATGTCCCCCGTTCTTTTCTAACATCCTGAACTTAGGTCGTCGAAGTGATGCTGCTCATGCGTATGTTCACAGCACTAGAGCTCAACACTCAAATCTGCACTTGAGATGTAACACCAAGGTGGAAAGAATAATCATCGAAAATGGTCGCGCCGTTGGCGTTGTAACTGTACCCACCAAGCATCTCGGCGGTGGTGAACCTATTCGCAAGATATACCGAGCGCGGAAACAAATTATTCTTAGCGGTGGGACTCTAAGCTCGCCCTTGATTTTGCAAAGATCTGGTGTTGGTGACCCTGAAAAGCTTCGCCGTGCTGGTGTCGAGCCTATTGTGAATCTTCCAGGAGTTGGCCGAAACTTCCAGGACCATTACCTCACTTTCTCTGTTTTCAGGGCGAAACCTGATGTTGAAACGTTCGATGACTTTCTCCGAGGTGATCCCAAAGTCCAAAAGAAGGTGTTTGAAGAATGGAATCTTAAGGGAACTGGCCCGTTGGCAACAAATGGTATCGATGCTGGTGTTAAGATTCGACCGACAAAGGAAGAGCTCGACGAGATGAAAAAGTGGCCCACGCCTGAGTTTGACGCTGGGTGGGAGTCATATTTCAAGAATAAGCCTGATAAACCTGTGATGCATTATTCGGTTATCTCTGGGTAAGTTCGGAATTGGATTGGGCATGGCAAAGTACTGATGAAATATTAGATGGTTTGGCGACCACATGCTCATGCCCCCGGGCAAGTTCTTTACGATGTTCCACTTCTTAGTGAGATTATGCAATTGTTCTCTCTCTCTAGCGACCAAAGCTAATTAATATCACTCGATTCTTAGGAATATCCATTTTCGCGTGGATTTACCCATATTCAATCTGCTGATCCGTATGAGGAACCTGACTTCGACGCTGGCTTTATGAATGACAAGCGTGATATGGCCCCGATGGTCTGGGGCTATATCAAGTCTCGCGAGACCGCTCGACGCATGAATGCTTATGCTGGAGAGGTCACAGGAATGCATCCTCACTTTGCTTATGATTCCCCCGCTCGCACGCGGGATCTCGACCTTGCAACAACAAAGGCTTATGCTGGCCCAAATCATATTTCTGCTGGAATTCAGCATGGTATGGGATACTATTAGACTCTCAGTTTCAGGAAATTGCTAATTTTGAAATATTATAGGTTCATGGTCGGAACCTCTGCAGCCTGGAAAGCAGTCTTCGGCCTCAACTTTGAACTCCAACCGACACGAAGCCCGTGAGCCCCTTCAGTACAGCAAGGAGGATGTTGAGCATATCGAGAAGTGGGGTATGTTATATCAAACATTATCCCTTTAGATTCTCTCTAACATCTGCATCTTTAGTGAAACGCCACGTCGAAACTACGTGGCATTGCCTCGGCACATGTAGTATGGCTCCACGGGAGGGCAGCTCCATTGCCCCACACGGAGGTGTCGTAGACGAACGATTGAATGTCCATGGAGTCAAGGGGCTGAAGGTCTGCGATCTTTCAATCTGCCCAGACAATGTTGGGTGCAATACATTCAGCGTAAGTGTCGAGTCGTCTGTTAAAACACATTTCCGAACTAACGATATCAAACTGCAGACTGCTCTCTTGATTGGTGAAAAATGTGCAACTTTGGTTGCAGAGGATTTGGGCTACTCGGGCGCGGCTCTGGCAATGGACGTGCCGACCTATCATGCCCCTGGTGAGTTTTCCCATCTTTCCAGACTGTAAAGGCAGGCGCAAGCCTTGTATCTCTCTCCTTATGAGTAGCTGTCCTCGGTCTGCGCAATTCCATTCGATTTGATCAAGTATTCTCTCCAATGGGCTGTTACTGTTTTTGTTATTAGTCCGATCTATGGTCCATGCAGATATCTCAAGAGAATTTGACTACAACATTGAATACACTGTGGTGATAGTAATCAATACGTATCCATTGTCCTTGGAGAATAAAGGGCTGCGGTAGAGTTAGTTCAATTTGTGGTAATAGCTGAGCAAACCATGTGGTGTCCAATTGCACCCTCAGCAAAAGGAAATTGCCACCGTAGAGTGTTCTATCGAAAGCATAGGTAAATCAGGGGCCTCGCCATTGGTATTTGGCCTCAGGTTCAATATTCATTTTCGTGCAGTCTGCCATATGATATGTAATAATACTCAGGTGCGCCCATATCCAAGTGGAGAGGTCAGATTCAAATGCAGTTTTCATAATTCATTGATCGATTCCGTTTTTCAAATGCTGTTCTAAATACATTGCAGCACAAGGTCGATTATGGAGAAAAAATAATCTCGATCAGAGTGTAATGAGCCTAAACCAAGACCAACGACAAGCAATCGCTTTTCGGCGGGTGATTTAGTGGCAATGGCAGTCGCAATTTGGCGAGCAAACAGCTGGCCGATAGTATCCTGGCCAGGTGCATAACCTCCCAGTAGAGAAGTCGCTGTTAAGCCGCTGAGGGGTAACAAGCTGTCATCTGTACCCTCGGAGAAAGTGTGCATGCCATCAGTTCCAGGGTTTTGGTTACCCATTGGTACATGTAGCTGATAATTGTCAGCATTATTCAAAAAGCAATTCCACCGCATTTAACAAACCCAATGTGCGAGTCGGCCCTCTTGCGAGATAGTGACCATGATCTTATCGCTGAACTTCATGACCATGACATCGGTTTTAATCCCCTCGACCAGCCCTGCCACTTGTTTTGTAGCGGCAGGAAATGGAAGGTTACTCAAAGAGTCTTGTAGTGAGTCGTCTAAAGAAGCCATTGTATTTCGTGTTTCTCTCAATACGAAGGAAAGTATCGCTTGTTGATGCTACGCTTGCACCAAGGCGGTAGGTGTCGCCCCACACCAATGACGGGCAATATTACACCGCCCATCAAGCATCCTCGATTTTTTTTTCCCGCGAGCACAAGCAACAGCTCAACAACATACATTGCTTACTTGTTGTCTTTTGTTCCGTGGCGGAGTCGGGAATCATGGCCAAGTACACTCCGCGACAGCGAAAACAGAAACACCGGCGCCCAGAGCCTGCTGCGCCGGCAGACACCAATGCGGTGGAGCTAGCGCCCGTCTCCAAAGATGAGAAAGAGGCAAGAAGACAAAAATTACGAGAAGAGCTTCGAGAGCAACATTCAAATGTCTCGTCCAAGAAGCAGAAGCGCTTGGATAAATATATTGTGCGTGAAATAATTGGTATTTGCGTCTGCCTCATTGCTTACCTTTCCATAGGAAAACAAATTGAAGAAAGAAGAGAACCTCGAGCTGCTAAAGAAATTGGCTAGTGCAAATGTGGATGTTTCGAACCTCCAGAGTATTAAGGAATTGGGCAAGCGAAAGCGAGAAGACGAGAAGGTCTCGGTGACTACACAGGATGCCCCCGGATATGAGACCGATGATTCCGATGCCGATATCAAAACTTCCGATCCTGCGACAGATCCTGTACCTGCACCAAAACCCCAAACACCACAACTTCCTGCCGGTAGCGGATTGAAGCGCCCTCTAGAGCTTGGGCCTGATGGATTTCCAATCATAAAAAAACGAAAGCGCACCGCTAAGCCCGCTCCCGTTGCCGCGCCGGTGAAGGAGGTTGCATGGGAAGGTTTCGGCTCCGGGGAGGAGGATTCCGACAACGATGAGGATGACAGTTCAGAGGGCTCTGAAAACGATTCTGGCTCCGAAGACATCGATGAAGATGAAGACTCGGGAGAATCATCTGAAGGCAGCTCAAACGATGAGGATGAAGACGACGAAGATGATGGGGCAGAGAAAAAAATTAAGCCGAGGCAGTCTGCTTTTAAATCTTGGGCTATACAAAAAATCAATGAGGTTGTTGGCTTTCAGCCTACCACCGGCCCGGTGATTCATGACCAAGTGCAGGACGCTTTCGCAGCCCCTAGGAAAGAACCCCGAAATACGGTTGAAGAAGAAGAGCCCCTTCCTGCGGAGCTACAAGTAACTAGTGGAGATCCTTACCGAAAGGCTTTCAGCGTTCAAGTTGATCGTTCAGAGGAGATTCAACAAGCTCGTCTTGGATTGCCGGTGGTGGGTGAGGAGCAGAAGATCATGGAAGCGATTCATAATAACTCAACTATCGTCATCTGGGGTGCTACTGGTTCCGGAAAGACGACCCAGCTTCCACAATTCCTGTTTGAGTCTGGCTTCGGTTCTCCGGATAGCCCGAACCCTGGTCTCATTGGTATCACACAGCCTCGGCGAGTCGCTGCTGTCAGTATGGCCAACCGTGTTGCTCAGGAACTTGGCCAGCACTCGGACCGGGTTTCTTATCAGATTCGATTCGAAAGTACAGCTTCTAAGAATACGGCCATCAAGTTCATGACGGATGGTATTCTACTCCGCGAGATTGCAGATGACTTTGCTTTGCGGAAGTACTCCATTGTCATTATTGATGAAGCGCACGAGCGCAGTGTGAACACTGACATTCTCATTGGAATGGTCAGCCGTATTGTGGACTTGCGCAAATCGATGAGCGAGGAAGACCCGTCCGTTAAGCCATTGAAGGTGGTCATCATGTCCGCCACTCTTCGAATCTCAGACTTCACTGAGAACCGAGGCCTCTTCCGCCAAGGGCCCCCGCCTTTGGTTCAGGCAGAAGGTCGTCAGTACCCTGTGACTGTCCACTTTGCCCGTCGCACACATCGTGATTATGTCGAGGAGGCCTTCCGCAAGGTCTCTAGGGGTCATCGCAAACTTCCTGGTGGTGGAATGCTCGTGTTCCTTACAGGGCAAAATGAAATTAGACAGTTGTCCAAGCGCCTGAAACAAGCATTCAAACCTACTCAGCGGGCGGATACCACACAGGCGAGAGTGCAATTTACGGCCAACGACGCGCCTCTAGAAGCCGAAGATCTAGAACTCGGTGGTACTGAGATGCACAATGACGGCTACGATGACGATAGTGATCTCGAGATTACGGGATTAGATGAGCCAGAGGATGATGAAGATTTTGATCTTGGAGAGGAGGCTATGGACTCTTCGACGAAGGTCCATGTTTTGCCCTTGTATTCACAACTACCGACAAAAGAGCAGATGAAGGTCTTTGAGGCACCACCTGATGGCTCCCGTCTCATTATTCTTGCCACGAACGTTGCTGAGACTTCTCTTACTATTCCCGGAATTAAGTACGTCTTTGACTGCGGTCGAGCCAAGGAAAAGCAATTCGACCTCTTCACCGGCGTGCAAAGCTTCCAGATTGGCTGGATCAGCAAGGCTAGTGCAAGCCAAAGAGCTGGTCGAGCTGGTCGAACAGGACCTGGTCATTGCTATCGGATGTATTCTTCAGCGGTATATGAAGCCGACTTCGCTGAATACACTGATCCTGAAATCCTTCGCACTCCCATCGAAGGAGTTGTACTTCAGATGAAGAGTATGGGGCTACACAATGTGATCAATTTCCCATTCCCTACACCCCCAAGCCGACAAGGACTTGCCAAGGCAGAAAAGCTGCTCCGAAATCTGGGTGCTCTCTCATCTAATGGTGAAGTAACACAGATTGGCCGTCGTCTTGCAACATACCCCCTCTCTCCACGATTTGGCAAGATGCTATACATTGGTCACCAGCACGGATGTTTGCCCTATGTGATTGCCTTGGTATCCGCTCTAGCTGTTGGGGATCTGTTTGTCGCACAAACTGAAATCGATCCCAACGCCTTCTTAAAGTCGAAGCCCAAACCTCAAGTAAATGACAGCGACGACAGCGAAGACGATAGAAGAGTCTACACCAATGCAGACCGCCTAGAGGATACAGAGCGCGAGCAAAAGCTCAAAGCCTACGCCCGTGTGCACCGCCTTCTCGGCAAACACGACGATACATCTGACGCCCTTAAATTCCTTTCTGCCATCTGCGCCTACGCCTACGCTTCAGACGGTGATGCCTTCAGTGAACAGATGTTCCTTCGTGCCAAGGCTTTCAAAGAAGCGACTCAGCTCCGTCGTCAACTCACAGATATCGTACGTGCCAATAATCCAGGCTTAATTGGCAACTTCGAACCTCGTCTCCCCGAGCCATCCGCCAAACAAATCAAAGCTCTCAAACAAATCGTCACAGCCGGTTTCATCGACCATGTCGCTATCCGCGCAGACCTCGCTCCAGTGCCTCCAGAAATTCCCCGCGCACCCCGTCGCGCCATTGATGTTCCCTATCTTACTCTATTCCGCTCCCGGGAAGGCTCAATGGACGACATTTCAGAGCGCGCAGTTTTCGTGCATCCTGCCTCGATCATGTCGGAGCTTTCACCTAAGGAAATGCCACAATATATTATCTACTCCCATCTGCAACAGTCAGCTGCTAGCGTGGTCGCATCGGATCAGACGCCTAAGATTAGGATGTTCCCTCTCGTCGCGCCAAGTGGGCTGCAGCTTGCAGCGCTGGCACATGACACTCCACTTATTGCGTATGGCAAGCCTGTTGGTAAGACGGATACATTGGAAGGTATTCCGCAACGGAGGTCATGCTGGGTCATTCCTTCTTTGGTCGGGGATGGAGGTGGAACTGGATGGCCACTACCTGCAAAGAAGGTCGTACAGAAAAAGGACCCCAAGGAAGGTTGGGTCATTGAAAAGTTCGTTGGCTGAGCGCCGGCTGAAAGTAGCATATTTTGTTGTATAGACGAGATCATGATATCCAAAATGCATTGTCTTCCTTATTACTTGGCCATTATTCCTATTGGAAGGCTCGATTGTAAATCCTAGGTATGACCAGACCTTGTACTACTAAACAATATTCAATTAATGTGGGTGTTTATAACGTGGAATAAGTGGAGCGGTGTGTGTATTCAAGGTTTGGTCTAATTAGCCATTTTCGATCATCATACGCAGTCCTCTTTTACTACATCTATCACATATACTAGTTCGAGGCAAAAACAGGGAACAGCGCTTGAAAGGCTGGGAATAAGCAATAAAATTGTCATCTACATAGATTTATCTCTTTAATGCAAGGAGTCACGAACTACACATCTCACAGTTCAAAATTTATTTAAACTCAAACTAACTATGCACGAGGTCAATAGTCTTATGCAAAACAAACTTGAATAAGATACATTGAAATTAAGAAAAATCCAAATAAAGAACCAAATAATTCCGATGCCCATTAACTCAACCCTACCCCTATCACCACCAATTCAAAGGGTAACAGAAATGGAGGCAGCGAGCACAAAAAATGACCACGAAGAGCCTGGAAACAGCAAGACCGAGCTCATTAATGAAAATGAGGTTCAAGTTTCTGAAATTGACACCGGAAGTGCAACCACCTTCACCCTCTCTAAAAAGGATGGCTTGCTTCTTCTCTCGCTCGGCAGTCTAAGTTTGATGGCCGCACTAGACGGCACATCTATATCAACAGCATTACCGGTATAGCTCCCAGCCTTCAACGCGACGAACTGATACTATATCCAGATAATGAACCAAAAGAATGATAGCTAATCTGGTAATCGCAGACCATGTCCCAAGATCTAGGAGGCACTGCAATCGAGGCCTTTTGGACAGGAACGTCATTCACTCTTTGTTCAGCCGGTAGGTAAACGTTAACACATGGCATTCCATTCCACGAGTCTATCCAACTAATGACTTGAAGTCTTCCAGCCAGTTTTTTCTTCATTATCTAATATCTTCGGTCGCAAACTGCTGGTAATCATTGCCATTATCTGGTTCACCATCGGAGCTATTGTAGCTGGTGTTGCAAATAATATCACGCAGATGCTAGTCGGACGATCTTTGCAGGGAATTGGGGGTGGAGGAATCATTACCCTGACAGCTATCCTAATCGCTGATATCGTACCCTTGAAGCACCGCGCGAAGTATTTCGGGATACTCAGTGCGATATGGAGCTTAGGGACGGTAGTTGGGCCAGTCATTGGGGGTTGTTTTGCTCAAAAGGCTACCTGGGTAAGCAGTCTTTCAGTCTATACAACTTGCTTAGATCTTGTTTTTACTATTCATGGCCAATCATGGTGGAACTGACAAAAATTCTCAGCGTTGGATATTCTATATCAATTTCCCTTTCATTGCAATTGGCACCATGTTAGTAGCATGGTCCACGAGCTTCAAGCACAAATCACAAAGCCAACTCTCATTCCGCGCCAAACTACATCAAATCGACTATATTGGAATCGCCCTCTTCGTCCCCAGCACCGCCTCCCTCCTCATCCCACTAACCTGGGGAGGAGTCTTATTCCCCTGGAAATCATGGCACACGCTAGTTCCCCTCCTACTCGGCGCCGCAGGACTCTGCACATTCGCAGCCTACGAGATCCAAATCGCCAAACATCCCATTATCCCACCGGCGGTGTTCTATAACCGAACGGCTCTGATCTCATTTTTAGGCTTCACGGCCGTTGGTCTGATAATCTGGTGCAACCTCTACTTCCTCCCACTCTACTACGAAGCCGTGAAGGGATTCCACCCCATAATGTCGGGAATTGCTCTTTTCCCCGAAACATTCACATTAGCGCCCAGCGCAATGATCATTGGGTTCCTTATAAGTCGGACAGGGAAATACTACTGGGCTGTTTGTCTCGGCTGGTTGGTTTCAACTATAGGCTTGGGATTATTATGTCTACTCGACGTGGAGACTAGTACTGTTAAATGGATCTTTCTGAATCTTATCGGTGGTATTGGATTGGGAATGGTGCTTCCCTCCGTCGCATTGGCTATACAGGCTTCTGCCCGTGACGAGAATCTAGCGATGGCAGTTGCTATATCGACTTTTTTTCGAGGATTCGGACAATCGATTGGTGTTGCGATTGGGGGAGTCATTTTTCAGAATCGAATGAAGAGTACTATGTTGTCGAGGCCCTTATTGAGATCGCTTGCTGAGCAGTATTCGAGGGAGGCATCTAGTGCTGTGGAGATGATTCGGGCTATGCCGGATGGGCCGTTGAAGCAGGATGTCAAATGGGCTTATGCGCATAGCTTGAAGTATGTGTGGGGATTTACGTGTGCGGTCTCTGGGCTGATATTTTTTGTGAGTCTTTTTACTAAGTCTTACACGTTGAACCGGGTGGGAGTCTCGAGAAGCTGTGAAGATTTACAGGTGGAAGTTCAAGTTGCTGAACAAGATAATAAGGCGTAGTAATTGTCGCTTCGGCTTTGGCGCTTGTGAATCTCATATATCAATGTTTTGTACAATCATATAGCTAGAAACATTACTGGCGATTCTTTTCGCACCATTACAAGAACAAATGATATACACATCCATATAACCCCGTGACAGATATTAATTCATGGTGGCTAAACCTTTCAGTCCGGACGTGACAAACGACACATATCAACTAAGAAATACGACCCAACCGAACAAGATGCACCCATAATCAAGCAGAACCCAACGCCGCAATATTTCTCAAACAAAGATAAACTTAATCCGACCTCCCCCTCCTAGAACTACTAATCTCCCCAGTCAAACTATCCTCCCGAATCCCCAGCGCCTTCCTCAACCTCTCACTTTCCTTCATCTTCGCCTCAGCAAGCTCATGCACAGCATAAGACTTAATCTTTCTATCCTTCTGCGCAGAGCCATTACCACCACCCCTCCCATCACCCCTCTCCAACTCCTCCAATAACTTCTTTCTTAAACTCTCGCAGCGCTCATCGATCTCCTCATCCGAAAGAACACGCTCTTTCTCCTCTTCTCCCTCTTCAATATCCTTTTCGGTTTCCTTTCCCTTTCCGATTTTGGTTTCAGCAGCAGCAGCATCCTCCTCAATGCGCTCGTTTTCTTCTTCGAGGCGCTCGCGTTCCTCCATGACCTTTACTTCGATCGCGCGCCGGCGGTCATGCTCGAGAATTTGCTTGTCGGGAACACGTTGCTTGAAGGATCGGTCTGGGCCGTTCATGGGTGGGTATGGGGCTCCGGAACCGGTTGAGCGCGGTTTTATGAAGGCGCTGTTTCGCTGGACGTAGCCTGATGTTCCGCTTCCGCGGGGTGTGGTGAGTCCGACGTTTGAGGACATTTTGACTTGATGGGGATGTCAGATGTTGGTATGGAATTTTGTCTTAGATTCAGGTTGTCGGTAAATTTAGCTTGGCGCTAAGATGTTCAGTATGATTTGAGGATTTTTGTGGATGGTAGTTTTAATAGAAAGAAGATTGATAGCAGATTATCGTTGAAGCTTATCAGTCACGTGTGGGTGTTCAATTGGCTGATCCGCATGTCACTTGCTGCGACGTAAATGGAGATCGGTACTATGGATGTATACACAAAGAAGTCTACAGCTTAATATTTGAAGTTGAAGTGAATGATTTGAAGGATGGCTTTATTAAAAAAATTTATCCAGAAGCATTGAATGGCTGTCATAGTATTTGATATTGAGTACATCAGCCAAAGCAAGATATCAACACAGCGCAAACGTAGGCATGAGCAACACTTCTAGAGTGCAAACTGAATACCACACGACACAGTAGATAGCAAAGCCCGCAAGAGATGTGCTGTGCATCTTTGGTAAAAGATGACCCTCAAGTGGGAAGATAAAACCATAGACCTTGAAAGAAAATAAGAAGAAAATAGACAAAGGCAAGAAAAGACATAGAGAAGAGAAAAAATCATAACAAATAAAAGGACCGTTGCCATGCAAAGAGTTAGTTTCTCCCTTATTTCCATTTCCGAACCGAATCAAGTCTCCCATGTCATATGCCGAAGATCGTTGAAGAGCGAATATCCGATGCCCCCGTAAAAACACATAGACGCCGAGTCCCCCATAGATCAAATCCCCGATCCCACAAGCAACATACATTGATAGTGACAATGTTGAGGATGGGATGAGAACTTCGTAAAAAGTAAAAAATGAACAGTTGAAAACCACATATCAATGAAACACAAGTAGAGAATAGAAAGACATAAGAAGATGTGGGGGTTGTTAAGAAACAGTTCCGAAATCAACACACGATAGATAGAAAGAAGATAACAATGAGGGCCTAATCTTGCGCCACAAGCCATGGTAGGAGGGGAAATTCATAGACGTTTGTTAACTGATATATCCCCGCCGAATTTCCCCTGTATGTATACGCCCATATTAGTAAAAAAAGAAAAAGAAACAGCACAAATGACTCAATTTCACAGATCAGCATTAAAAACGAGTATGTGAGCAAGCAAAGTAAGATTATGCAGCGAATTAGTGAGCACTAGTGACATCGACCGGGACAGGAACACCCGTGTTACCCGTCTCGGGACTGGAGACCGAGGTCACAGTGCTCTTAGCAAGTCCCTTGGACTCAAGAGAGCCGTCGACGGCGCTTTGATTGTCCGTTGGGGGAGGTGTGGGCGGTGCCGTACCAACAAATGGGGCGCGAGATTGCTCAATGGGGATTGAGCGCTTGGAAGGCTGAGGAGAGGATTTGTGAGAATGGGGAGGTGTGGTAGAAGTGGTAGGGGGGATGGGACCAGTGGCGGGTGAGTTGGGGTCGAAGATGAGCTTCTCAATTGCCACAATCTGCTTGCCATAGCTGAACTTCTTCAGCTGGCTAAGCATGGGCTTAATCTGTTCAATGAGAGCTTCTCGCTCATCGCTCTTGAGTTGTCCAAGAACTTTTTCTGTGCAAGGTGTTAGAAGACCGTGACTGCGGTGGGAACATCTTTCGGATACTTGGGAAGAGGGTAACATACGAATAACATAGTTGCCATACTGGTCGCGCATCAGACCAAGCAAAGGACTTTCACCGCGATCGTTGGGGGAGGTCAGAGTGGAGATGATGTGGTGACGCTGGTTTTCTTTGCCAAACTCGATACTCTTCTCAACAACATTGCTGGCAAACTTGTGCTTGGAGTATGCAAGAATCTGTGACATGACAATGGTGATCATGCGGTCGCGATCGCTCTCATCGCCATTTTCGATTACATGTTGGATCACATAATTGCCAAACTGGTCTGGAATGAGATTTGAAGTGCAGGCGTGCAGCTCAGCCAGAATAGACTGGCGGTCGACCTCCTCGCAGTGCTCTAGCATGCGCTGAATGACACGGCAGCCATAGGGGTGGGCAGCCAATCGGTTGACTTGGCCACGGAAGGCATTGATGATGAATTGAACATATTGTGATGGCACACGCTCAATCGCTTTCTGAATAACGTGGTTTCCATTTTGGTCACGAACGCATTTCAAAACATGGTTCTCCAGCTCCTTTACCATGCCGGCTTGCTGATCAGTGAGGATATGCTCTAGAGCCTTTTGTACAACACGGCAGCCGTACATCTGAGTCGACAAAGCGAGCACATGCCCGCGCATCTGGTTCGCGAGAATCTTCTTCTGTGTTTGGTTTCCGTGTTCAAACAGTTTCTGTACGACATAATTGCCGAAAACGTCGGTCATGAGCTGCAGACAATTCGGTTGAATTTCTCGGAAGACCTGCTCTTTCTCGTCACTGTTGGCAGTCTCAAGCTTCTGCTGGATAAATCGCGAGCCATGCTGGTCACCACTGAACTCAACAACGTGGTTGTAGATGTCTTTCAACTCGTAACGCTTGTTTCCCTTGCTGTTCGCACGAAATTCTTCCAAGAGAGGGCTCCGAACAACCTGCGTCGGGTCATGTTCACGTTGGACGCGAGATGCTAAAGCTGCTGCGCCACCCAGACCACCAAGTTGCGCCATTGGGTAGAATCCTTGAATGGCGTTCAACCGAGCGGCGTTCTGGTAGTTTGAGTAATTATAGCCATTCGGAATCTGCATACGCTGCCCTTGGGCCTGAACGAATTCCTGCTCTTGGAAATTCCGCAGTCTTCGCTCGAAGACTGCGGCAGCTTGGTTATCAGACATGCGGCCATTTGCGTTGCGATATTGGTTAGCAGCATCAGCTCCACCGTACAACGGGCTATCCATACGAGCGTAGTCAGACGGGGAGATGGAGCCAGTTTCAGTGCCCCTAGACTGTGTCTGGTATGCGAGATGCAAATCTTGGGATCCTTCTCCGCCATAGCCAGCAAGGGACTGGTAGCTGGATTCATCGTTCTGGTACTTGTTCCGAGCGACGGAGCTATCAAAGGATGAATGTGCCACAAAGGGCGGGCGCTGAGAAGACCCCTGTGCGTTGAATCCACCATCATTCAGCTGCAGATTGTTGAACTGGGCGCCAAGATCAATGGAGCCGCCACCATACCGACCGTCAATGCTGTGATTGTCAGAGTAGAAAGAAGGATGAGCGGAGTGAACGGGTCTTTGGGCATAAGAAACGGAGTTGTGAGGCATGTGAGAGAGCGAGCTGCGCGTCTGGGGTGGTGATACTCCATCCGGGAGACCAGAAGGCAGTGATGTCATTCCCATGCCAGTCGTCATCTCATCGGATCGAGAACCATCAAGAGAGCCGCTGAAGCCAGCCTTGTTCGGGAATGAAGCTCCCACGGGGCTTCCGGCTAGGCCTGACGAGTTCATCTGACGTCTTCCATCTCCATTCCGCAGAGCGGGGAATCCACCAAATGCCATGCCATCTGCGGAAGGCGAAATACCCTCTGAAGAAGAGTTCAGATAAGGGCGATGGCTCACTGTAGTTGAAGCGCTCCCGATCCCAGAGGTACGAGGCAAGTTGAAGTAGGAGGAATCCGGGGTATCATTCATTGCGGGCGCACTGCGGTCGTTGGCACGAGTCTGAATAGGCGATGTAGCAATAGCACGATTCTGTCCCATGGCAAGTGACGGGTTCACTGTGCTCCATGGTAGATTGGGCCGACCTGCCCAGCCATCTGATTCTGATGTTGATAACAAGGAGCCTGATCCTGACTTTCCTTCAAATGCTGTTTCACCGATGTGTTGATCTGCGTTCATCTTGTAAGCACCGCTGTCTGTTGAAATCAAACCCTCCACATTGGTCACCATATCGGTACACATACCTTCACCGAACCCGCTTCCAAGGTTTGAATCACCCCAGATGTTGTTATTCCAGCTGGATTTGCCACCGAACCCTTTTCCCACACTGTTGTTGTGAGATCCGCGGGAGCGGTCATTGTTCATTCCTGATGAACCCATATTGGAACCGCGACTCGATCGTACGTTGTGTACGCTGGTTGCATTAGCTGCCATAGTAGAGGCCATCCCAGCAACGTGATGGAGGGAGTAACGAGAATCCGATATGTACTCGAACGGCTATTATTTGCAAGAAGTTCGAGCTGGTCGAGACTGATTCACAAAGCCCAACGATTTCGTTTCTTCTTTCGTTGGGTAGTATTTGCAAGCGGGCACCAGGCACCAGGAACGGCGTACACGAAGGAATTTAAGACTGTTGCGAATGACGAGTGTTTGTTAGCATGCGCCTCGTTTGAGCGGAGGGGGGCCAGAAGTAGGATCGGATCTCCCCAGATCCCATCATCTGCTCCCCAGCTAAGGTAGCAGGATTTCCAGGAGAAACTCACCAAAGGAGGGGGATAAGAAGGGATTACAGTGCGATAAGAGGGAAGCGACAAGAGACACGGAAGCTTTCTTTCTTTCCGATCTCCCTTTCTTTTTTTTCGAATGTGTGTAATCGACAACTTTTCTTCCCAGAGACCACGAGCCCAGGACATGTACAAAGGATACAGGAGCGTGGGGAGGGGGCGGAGGAAGGACAAGAAGAATCGAGCGAGATAAAAGAGAGAGAGCAAGGGTTGATAAGAGGAAGGGCGAGAGGAGGTTTAACGTCAGGTCAGAAATGCGGGAACGGCCGAAGCAAGCAGATGCAAGGCGACAAAGGAATTGGTAGGACGGAGAGAGAGAGAGAGAGAGAGAGTGAAGAAAAAAATGTAAAAAGAAAAAAATGTCAAGCTATTTTTCTCCCCTTCCTCGTTTGTCACTGCAGTTCGGTCGCCGGGAAAGAACAGAGGTCGGGTACGCGACGTTACTCTGCTCCGTGCATGCTCCAGGAATCTCCCAGCTTGCCGATCGTCCTCATGTGCGTTGTGCCTTTGGTGTGGAGAGGAGAGCGAGTCGATGCCCGAGAATGGAAGAGCGTGGGGGGGGGGTGTGGTGTGAGGGAAGGGGACGAAGACCCTGGATAGGAAATTTGCGCAAGGGGGTGGTTGGGAGGGATGGTAGGAAGGAAGGAAGCGAAATGGAAAGCGACACCGATATTCAATGGGATAAAAAGGATTTCAAAAAAGAAATTGAAGATTGAAATGGTTGGAATGCGCTGACGGGGGAGATGAAGTCGCGCAAAAGATTTGAGTAAAATCCAGTGGGATTTAGTGGGTCAATGGATATGGGAATGTGGAAGAGAGACAAAGCACAGCATTGATCTGTGTTCAGCTGTCACACAAGTGTGCTAGTTATGATCTTCAAGACTAAGAAATTCTCTTTTTGGTGGGGAATTTCTTTTGTTTTTTAATTAATTTTGGTTTAATTTTTTCTTTTCTTTTTGGGGAAAAAAAGTAGTGGATTTGGGATTTTCCCGATTTCTTGGTGGCTTGAATGTATTGCAGATAAGAGGGAGACAGAGGGGCCAAGGGAGTGGGGGGAGGGGAGAGAGAATAAAGAATAAGTCAAGAAGAAGAAGAAGAGAAAAAGTCAAGAAGAAACAAGAAGAAGAAGAAAAAGCGTCTAGAAGAGAGCCGTGTAACATGAAGACCAGAAAATGATAGATAAAATAATATAATTTGATCTTGGAGATCAGCCGTGTATCGTATCGACGTATGATCCAGTACAGCCATGACGCCGTGGATATTCCCACATCTGAATCAGTACCCACGCAAATTATGGATGTATCATATTTTACACAAGTACCCATCCCAGCTAGGGTAGCCCACTTAGGTGTGGAATCCACAGTACGGTATTGTCACAGAAGATCACTGGCCTTGGTCCTGCCGCCTACTAAAAGAGCTTCTTTCCACTGAGATCCGCTCCAAAATCTAGACAATTCTGGCATAGAGAAGATATCTACAGTAATATCTATTGTCTATATTCTCTTTGAATATTTCTTCTCCTATATATTCCATATATCCTACACTTTTCCCATCATACTCCTCCAAATACACAGTACGCCGTACTTACTCCCAATTCCCACTGACCGCCATCTCCATGGTCTAGATGCAATCGCCCCTGGGATTGGGCCTATACATCACCAGATCATCCAACCCCCTAGTCCCTCTCAAGACACAGTCACATTCAAACAATGTTCCCCAATTTCCTGGCTTCATCGGTTTGATTTGATGTCACCCTCCTTCTCCGGCCAACAGTTCCTGACCACATCCTCGGGGAGCCCGACCTTGATAATCCGCCAACCATGGTCAATCCGTCTCAGGGTCAGAGCATATCAGGCATTCAGAGACCGTCTAGCCACGACCGGACATCCCAACCCAATCACACCAGAATTGACTCTTTCAGGGACCACTTGTATTGATCATTTATCTACTCGTTCACTACACTAGTTTAGTCTAGTCTAGTTTTGTTGAGTTGTTTCCTCCCCACAACCCTGCTGTGGCAGAATAAGCCCCCGATCTACCTACTTAATTCCCCGTGAGAGCTACAACGATCGTAGGGGTCCCACTTAGTAGGACCCTAGTCTACATCCGAGCAAGGTACACACACACACAAACACATACACATCTCACGCCTCAACCAAAAAAAAAAAACAAAAACAAAAACAAAAACAAATAAATGACCAATGATCCAAACTAAAAAAGAAGCAGGGTCGGGATTCCCAATAAATCTCCCGTGTTTTTTCTCCGACCGGTTCAGCTCGGAACGGTAAACATTCCTGGAGACCAAAAAAATAATAAACAAGAAGGATGAACAAGAACAAGAGCAAGAACAAAAAAACAAGGACAAAACCCAAAGATCCAAGGACCGCCACCTTTTGAACTGTGGATTGAATGCTCTCATTCCAGACTCGGTCATTTTCTGCTCGTTGGTCGACCTGTTCGGATCTCCGCCCAGTCAGAAACTCAATGGCGCCCTTTTGCCTCTTCTTTGCTACATACTGTAGATGGATCGACTCGGATCCGCAACTCTTTCCACTTACATCCTACCGACAGGACGTCCAGAGTAATGTCTTGTAGCGGTCAACCCCTTCCGTCGGGCTATTCCGCAATCTATTGCAGCTAGCGTTTACATAGAAGGGTATGCATAAGAGTATACTAATAAGTATGGGTTAATAGTATATGTCCATCTATCTCCATAGAAATATCATATTTCCTGTTTGTGACTCAAATAAACCCCGCCATTTACTAAATAAACTAAATCTTCAACTTCATCCCCGTCCCCCCGATCATCATCCGCCTCACCTAGTGTGCTCGGTCGTCAACACCGCGCTTGGGGCCATGAATGCAGGCTCAAATGTTCCAAACCCGCCAACCCCTTGCTTCCTCCGCTTATCCCCATCATCGATCAACTGTGATCCTCGAATCTGAGATGCCTTACCCCTCCGAATAACAAAATCACCGTCTCTGTTTCATCCTCCTACCGTAGTACTAGTAAGAGATAAAGAAGCATGATGGGCTGCGACATCAACTCACAACAATTTAAGAAAAGAATTTAGAACAAATCACCATGCACCAGCAGTACAAAATACTCAAATCTCAGACACAACGTCAGCGTGAACAAATATCTCGCCCGGCGAGTTTTCAAGGAACCTGAGACATGGCTGTCAACAGAGTCATTCAACCCTCGTAGAGCAAGGAAGCCCACATCTAATCCTTGCACAGCAGTCACACAGACCACAGTGCCACTATATTTACGTATTTATTTTATTTATTTATTTTCCCAATCTTCCCCAGATCTACATAATAGTATCACTCTATTGTTTACTCGAGGGGTTTTCCATATATTCATTCTACTTTACCCCGTACATATCTACAGGGCTCACACTATTGACTATTCCCCGCTATACAAAGTATATGTAACTATGTTCCGTGCGGCATGCTTAATGCTTAATCTGCCTTGCATCTACATCCGATAGCCGCTGTACATAAGTCCAAATATCGATCTTAGTGTCAGTGCAGTGACATGCGCCCGGTGTCCAGACCTTGAAACCCCTACCCCTCCCCTCTTCTCCACGGTGACCGTATATTTTCCCGCACTACTGCTGTAGGGGACTGATTGCTTGCTTTCCAATTCTTGGCATAGAACCTTGGAAGGACATTTCCGCCCATAGCGCGGAATTGAAAGGTGCAGATTTTTCCACTTGAGTTCATGGTTTCATGGTTTCCTAGACAATTGACAGCTCGATCCTTTTTTTTTTATCTCGACCTTCCGATATATCGATTTGTCCCCCGCGATACAGGTGATGTATCAATTTTTGTCATTTGTTTCGGACTATAAAAAACTGGCTTGCCCCGTTTTGCTCGGACATGGACATGGGCTGTTAACTCGGTGTTGTAGGGTGAGCTTCAGGGATTAGTGGACGTGGGTGGTCCGGTGACGGCTGGCCTCGGAAGTTGAAACATCCTAGTATTATTATTATTATTTTCTCCATATGCTCCCGGTTCTTTTGTTTCTCTTCCTTTCTCCTCTTTCCTTTGTGTTTAAGACCCGAATTAGGCATTAGGTTTGGTTTCAGTCGCCATTTCATCCAGCCTGTGGGGCGCGTCTCCAGGCGGGAAAATAAGCACTAATTAATCTCAAACGGGTTCTGAATAGGTGGGGAACAGGTGGAGATAAAAGTCAATTAGCATAAATTAGCATCTATATAGTACTTTACTAGCTTGTCTAGCCCATTATCGTGTCTTTTGACTATGAATATTCTATCCCATTCATTGATCATGTAAACTGTAACAAACTGGCTACTTAGCAATAGTATCCATCTATTCTGTACTAGTAGTCGCGTGACACTTTGAGCCTGCGATATATCCACCATATAATATAACATGGCAGCCCTGGAGGTTCAAGTCCATCGAGCTCCCACAATCTCTCATTCTTGGAAAGTTTGTACCCATTTTCTGCCCGATCGTTGGTCCTAAAGAAAGGACAGCTTTATTCAACCATTCTGACCTGGCACTAGCCGCAGAAAATAAAAAGACCAATCTTCATGATACATAGTATATGCGCTAAGTTACCAAGTTCTGACATTATAGCTACAACTTCATGGTTTAACAATACGAGTAGCTTGACCTACCCCCGGGCTACAGAAATAAATGATATTTATTTTCTAGATCACCCAGCAGAAGAAAGCTGCAGCCACTTATAGGTGATTCTACCGAAAAATAGTACATCCAGCGCTGCCGTATCAATAATTTAATCTCCTCTTGTATTGAGTGAAGCGCAACTGGAAAATTATCCCGAATAACAGGTCTTCTTACTACAATAACTGGGGAGTATATCAAGATGACGGTCGATGTTTTCAGTAAGATGTTTTCCCCGTTACTCGGGCTCCAGACAGAGAATCCCCTATCGTGTGCAAAGTCCATATATGGATATATGCATCCAATCCACGAACAAACGGAGCTCTCCGTATCTTTGTCACCAAAAGACAGATGGTCTAACCTGAATTATCAGAGCAGGTATCTGAATAGACTCGAAGTAGTCCTCCATTCAGCGACAAGCGAGGTACTCATCAATTTCATATGTGATATTTCGCAGCAGCCTTATCGCTCAATTTCAGCGTAACCAGATGATACAACTCCAGTGGGAATCACTTCCAAGATTTTCATGGTATCTTCAACAACTTACGCTCTTCTTGAAGCCCGCTATCAAATTACGCACTCAAATCCATAGATGTTCTCGGAATTCCAAGTTCCGAAATAAAGGATTTATTGGATGAATAACAATCTCAAACGCTGGTGTGCACTATTCGTTGATAAACTGAAGGTTCCAGATGTAGATCGACGGGGTCGAAGGGACCAAGTATGGAGCAGCCCAGCGATCGATATGCCTGTCCTTTTGGTGGACTTTCGAGAGTGGTAATTTTATCGGTACCTTCACTGGTTCAACCTTGGAGATATCATGATATGGTTTATTCTAAATTGAGTATTACCTGATTTTCCCACTGGCACTTCTATTTCAAGTTGATTAATCAATATTGGCGGCCAAAATAGACGCTACTGCCTAATAGCTGATATTACCACTTCAGAGATCAACCCAACTCAGGCTCCACCTACTATCTTGAAATTATTACCTGGGCAATGATCTGGGCACCTGGGCATAGAATACTAACTAGTAGGTAGTACTACTACTAGGTAGCCCTAGAGGTCACACACTGGCACAATGGCATGTGCAGCTAGTAGTACCTAGTAGTACCTCAGCACTCGCCGGCTGAGACCTAAATATATACTACCTAGTAGTATTCATAGTAAGTAGTATTTCTTTTGCCACTTTTCTTGATAATGGTCTATGGATCATCATAATTTAATACTCAGGAACTGCAACATCCAATTTTATTCATTTGGGTATGCTAAATATGTGTTAATGTATGTGGTAGCTTCGTACAAAAACCACATGCGGTTCAAGTTTGCGAGAGATTCGAGGTCCACTGGAGGTCGGATATACATATCCGCACGAACTCTCAGCCTATCGGGGTTGGTGGGTATAGGGGAAGTACAGGGAACTTCACAGTTTGCAAAAAGAGAGACAATAGCCTTGGAGGTACGTGTAATTATGTTGTTGTTAGCTACCTAATCGGTGTTCATAGTACATGGGTTAAAATGAGAGTAAGACACTGGATCAAAGCACAGGGTTGTTGACTGCGATGCTACCTGCAATGATTCACTGTTCTATGTAGAATTCTAGAACACAAGCATCGAGTTTAATATAGTATCCGCCAGCGAAATCTTGTTTTCGGTCCTCTAACTGTTTTTGGCCCTAATAAGATTGCATCATTGGCTTACTCGCCTTGAGTGTGACCCGACCGGTCCTTGGGGGCTGTTAATAACAAATCTCAAGAGGACTTGAGTAACTCGTACTCGAAAAGTAGCCTGAGAAAGAAGGGCATGAATAGTAGGGATAATATGTTTGAGACATCGGGGTTATGCGCATACCGACACTGGATCCTTTTTTTTAAAAAAAAATTTATGGTACGCTGTAGGGCATTATGGTATGCCAGGGGAGAAAAACAGGGCATGAGCAAGAAGTGCAAACTCATACAAACAAATCCATAACAATCCTTTGCAAGTGGAGCCCATCATCTCCCCAGAAACCAATCATCAGTGGGGGTTCACAGCAAAGTAGCCCAGTGGTGCCAGCTCTCCAGGAACCACGGGGATCCCATTGGTGCTGCCAAGGCACTAATGGAGCTAACAGCAGCCCCGTTCCTGCAGCTAAACCATGAACGGGTTAGGGGGACCAGTAAAAGCACCAAAAATAAAGCAAATCAACACGTCTAGACGGTCCCGAGCACAGAGTCTAGCCGGTGTTGCTCGTACTAGTGTAGCCTAACCGCCCTGTCCCCTTCTTCTTCCCCTTTCCCTTCATTCTCCATCCTTCATCCCTCCTTCCCACCTTCTCGACTCCCTCCATTCTTTTTCCAAGCAGGTACCAGCTTCACTCTTTCAGCTGCGCTGCAATCCATTCTTTCGGTCTTGATCTTCTACTTTCGACGTTCTGCCATTCCTTCTCTACGAACCCTGCCCACCAGTCCGCGACCAGTGTGTTCTTTTTTCTGCATTCCTTCGATCTCGACCTCCCACCCCCGGATGATATCCACCACGCTCTTTGGAATTTAACTTCGTCGATCCCTGTCTTTTCGACAGCACTCGCCTTCGAGTCCTTTGCACTCGACCAACCACCCTCGCCCACCTAAAAAAGAAAATCGACAATCGACAAACACAACCGACTCCCAGTTCGACAACATGGCCAATACTTTCGCCAATATCGTTGGCCGTGATAGCAGCAGCAACAACAGCAATGGTCTCAGTGGCCCCATGCTCGATCTGATGATCGCCCTGCTCGTGCTGATCCTTATCGCTCTTGTCCTCGTTGGTGGCCTTCTTATCATTCGCCGCAAGCGTCAGAACAAGAAGCAGTCACTTCTCCCCGTCCACAATGGCCAAGCTCCTTCCCACCAACGCAAATTGACCATCACGACCAACAAATCCGATTCAATTCTCGTGTATGACGAAAAGCGCAGCCTGATGGACAACTCCGATAGCCCTCCACCTAGCCCTGTACCAGAGATTCGCATTACCTTTCCCGAAGAGGAAGACGAGTCCGGCAAACGCAAATCCGGCCGCATGGTCGTTGTTCGAATCAGTGACGCTGGTAGTGTTGGCTTGGAGCCATGCAGTGAGGAGCTGCCTCCTTACCAGACCAACGACTCCGGTCGCTTCCACTCTCTTGATATTGAGCGGATGGGCGGATTGAAGGAGAAGGGAGATATGCACAATTACTCCTAAAGCGATACAAATTTACGGGCGCACCGACCTTTGCACGACCTATTACCTACCGTCTTCCCTAATTTAATATGTGACAACATGACAAAAGGTCCGCCCGATATCACTCGCAACATTCCTCTTCGACGACCCAAAAGCATGACGAGCATCTTGGCGAATCTGTTTGTTCTTTTCTCTTTTCCATATACCTATTTCTCCTCGGATCTACCCGTGTCACTTGCACATACTCTGAGAACCATTTCCTAGTTTGGCTACGCCCAGACAACCACTTCCTACCTTTCTGTTGAACTGCTCTTTCGTCTTTCGGGAGACGCCTCTTCCTTCATCAGCCATCCTGGGAGGATTCATTGAACCTGGATTCTGTATAGAGAGGGCCTGCCGCTTATTTGTATCGGTCTCATTTCATTTTGTGTTTTTTAAGGCGTTTTTATCTGCGGTCTATGTTGCTTTCAACCTTGCCATGTCCCTAGGGTTGAAGCACGTATGACATGTCATTTGATTGGACCACTTTTCTCTTCTTCTCCAACCCTTTTTTCCTGAGCGGCGTCTTATCTCTGCGTCTTATTTTTTTTTCATGACCCATGCTCATATTTTCCCTTACTTTCTTATGCCTCCATATGGTATTCCCGGCAGCTGGATAATGTATGTATTTAGTCCTCACTTTCGTACAGGCAAATGTGCAATCAATTCTTCCCCAGTATATTCGTGCAAATTCCAACCAGTTAGAGCTTCGTTATTGTGTGTAGTCCAGTACCCGAGTCCGCGGCCAATCAGAAATGCCGACCCCGAACCCTCCTCAACCCGCCGCTTCCGCAACATGGAATTTCTTCAACTTGTAATCTAAACATTCCTTATTTTCTTTCTTCGTTGAAGCTTTGTTGAACTGTATGCGAGAAATGCCCGCATTTTAGTGTCTTCACCTCAAAGGGAAGCCGCTCCCCCAACAGAGCACAGACAGGGGCAACCGTTTCGAACAGCCTTCCTACTCCCCCCCCAGATCCACTACATTGCGCCCTCTCCTTTTGCGAGCCCAGCTGTTCTGAAGACGGGTTAATCTTCAAATCCCGTGCTCATTTACGGCTTCCCTGAGCTCGACTCGATTTGCGCCCCTCGTCTTCATTTCCCTATCGTGTCCGGTCGCAATTCGCCCCGGGGTCTGCTAGACAGCGTGTTACGATCACAACCCCCGAGTCCAATCCACCATTGCGAGAAATTATTGGCCCGGCTATTACAGTAAACAATGGCTTCACGGTCGCCTGCAGGCCCCACACTACCTGCAGGGATGAGCTCGACACAGGCTGCAAAGAAAAAGCAGAATGCCGTGCAGGAGTTTAAGTCTCTTGAGCTTGAGCAGGAGTTTAAAAGCAAACACCTCGGCGTGCTGGGTGTATTAGTATGGGTATTGTGAGTGAATACCTTTGGATCTTTGGATCATTGGATTGGGAAGACTTAAATCCATCGAAAAACGCGCGGGAAATTACTAGCGGCTAACCTCGGATTGCTTCTTGCCTGTTAGATTGCTGCATCTCGCCGGTATCTATTTCTTCACGAAAGGCTTTCTCCTTACGCGCATGGTTCTGGACAACAAATCGTCATGTGAAATACTCCCCTTCGAGAGCTCCAATGTAGCCAACGGCAAAAAAGATGGGAATGGCTGTTGGCACGAGACATCATTCGATAAAGCCGTTGTGATAATTATCGACGCGCTCCGCTACGACTTCACTGTTCCGTTCGTCGCTGAAGGCGAGAGCGAAGAAGCGCACATATTTCACGACAACATTCCTGTCCTATACGAGACAGCCGTGAAAAATCCCGCCAATGCGTTTTTGCTTCCCTTCATCGCGGATCCACCCACGACAACACTGCAACGTCTCAAGGGACTGACCACGGGAACCTTGCCTACTTTCATTGATGCGGGCTCTAACTTCGCAGGAACGGCTATCGACGAGGACAATTTAGTTGCACAGCTGCATGGTGCCGGGAAGACACTGGTCCAGCTGGGTGATGATACTTGGCAGTCATTGTTCCCAGGCTACTTTGACGAGAACCTCACTCACCCGTACGACTCCTTCAATGTCTGGGATTTGCACACCGTTGATAACGGCGTTAATGAGCATCTCTTCCCACTCCTCCGCAAAGAAAACCTCAGCCAGTGGGACGTTATCTTCGGTCATTACCTCGGTGTCGACCATGCTGGACACCGCTACGGACCCGATCACCCTGCTATGGCTGGCAAGCTCCAGGAGATGGACAAGGTCATTCGTGACATTATTGCTGCTTTGGACGATAATACACTCTTAGTTGTCATGGGCGATCATGGAATGGATACCAAGGGTGACCACGGTGGTGAGTCAGACGATGAAGTCGAAGCCGCTCTGTGGATGTACTCCAAGCGTGGTATCTTCGGACGCACCAGCCAGGAGACTTCGCTTCCACCTAAGCATGCCCGCGAACGTCCCGTTCCTCAGATCGACCTTGTTCCGACTTTGTCCCTCCTTCTTGGCATGCCAATTCCATTCAATAACCTCGGCTCTCCAATTGAAGAAGCCTTTGCTGGACCAAAAGGAAATGACTGGAGTAATCTGGCGACCGTAAACCACTTGACTGCCGCGCAAATAAAGAGATACCAGCATGAATACGCAACTGCGCGTGGTGCAGGCGATGATCAGGAGTCCTTCGATCTCTGGACCGCAGCGGAAGAAGAGTGGAAATCTGCCTCCAAGGGTTTCTCGAAGTCAACTTCCGTCCGTGCTGCCCATGATCTCTACCGCAAGTATCAGCGGCATACTTTGGGCGTTTGTCGTGGGCTATGGGCCCGCTTTGACGTTCTCAGCATGATTCAAGGTGTTATCCTTCTTTTATGTGGCATTTCTTTGCTGATATTGTATGCCCGGGGCATGAAGGTGGATCGTACTGAGCTGACTGGTAACCTTCTGTATTCCGTCGCCATCGGATCCGGTGGAGGTGCTTTAGCTGGCGCCTCTCTAGCTTTGACTGGGATCACCGAGATGGGCGTGGTTGATTTGGCTGGCTTGCTGGCTGCTGGTGGAAGTATGCTGGGCGGATTTTTCGCCTTGGCGCGCAAGTCAGCGCAGTTGACCGTCCCTCTTCCTACTGGTATGTGGGGATGGCTCGCCTTTTTCTTCACTGTCTCTCAGTCTGTCGGATTTGCCTCGAACTCCTACACCATTTGGGAGGATGAGATCCTGCTTTTCTTCCTCACGACTTTTGGCGTCTGTGCAGGTATCTCTTCCATGCGTCAGAAATCTACCACAGATCGTGTCCTAGGTGTATACCACTCCGTCCTCTTCATTATCCTTGGTCGTGTGGCATCGTTTTCCCGTCTTTGCCGCGAGGAGCAGATGCCTTTCTGCCGTTCAACCTACTATGCCTCTTCAACTTCGTCCATCTCTGCCCCTTGGCAGCTGGCTATTCCCTTCGTAGTCATGCTCTTCTTACCAAGTGTCGTGCGATCATTCTACGTCGGCTCCAAGTCTTACGAAGATACAGCTACCCTGTGGATTGGCTTTGCTTTCCGTCTGGGTCTTCTGATCACTTCGGTCTTCTGGATGCTTGAAGGTGCTGATGACGGCGAATGGCTTCCGCTACGAAAGGAAACGCTCAAATCGCTTCGAGTGTTTCTAGCTCAGCTTGTGCTTGCGATTGCTTTCGCCGCTGGCACAGCAGCGTTCCTCTACGCAAAGCCCTGTGTCAGCATCAGCGTGAGCAAACCACAAGACGACCCGAACAGTCCCCCAGCACCTTTCATCGCCGGTCAGGACCAAAAGCCTCGGACAACCGTGACCATTCTTGGTTTTGGCAATGTCTATGGCACCCGCTTCTTCTTCCTAGTCATCAACTTTGCCCTGGCTATTATCCTCATGTCAAAGCCCATGGGACAAGGCGCCATTGCTCTCTTAGTCTGGCAGATCCTTTCTCTCCTCGAAATTCTTGACACGAATGCCCTCACTCTTAGTAATTCGTCCATTGGACCTGTCGTCCTTGGAGTATTGGGCTCCTTTTACTTCTTCAAAACTGGTCACCAAGCCACCCTCAGCAGCATTCAATGGGAGTCTGCCTTCATCCCCCTCTCAACGATCAAATACCCTTGGTCCCCACTGCTCGTTGTCCTCAACACCTTCGGCGCTCAGATCATTGCTGCTCTCGCCGTACCCCTCACCGTTCTCTGGAAACGTCCCCTCCAAACGCATGACCGGGTGGCCGCTTCTCCCTCCGGAGCCAAGCCCGCAAACCCCGCCACAAAGCTGCTTTCGGATGTCGTTCAAGCCGTCTGTACCCACATCTTGTACCTGGCAACTATCAACCTTGCTACCACAATGTGGGCAGGCCACCTCCGCCGTCACTTGATGCTGTACCGCATCTTCAACCCCCGTTTCATGATGGGAGCCATAGTACTCGGCGTTGTTGATGTCGTTTTTCTGCTCGTCGCTGTTCCCGGTGTTCGATTTAGTACAGTCAGTGTTGGCGAGATCTTCGGCTGGTAATGAGGCCAGTTCATACGAGTATATATGAACATTAGAGCATTGACTGCGCGGTGTTCTTGTTATTTATTTCTGATATTGGAGTACCGCATTCATTTGCATTTCATTGGGTGTGGTATCAATGGTGTTCATCCCCAAATGATGATTTCTTACAAGAAGACATGTCTACCCTTCTACCCTCCTACCCTTGATCTGTCCGATCCTATCCTACCTGCCCTATCCTTTCCCAAGGGCTTTTTCCCTCTCGCTACATGTCCACATGGCATTTCTCCTTGCTCTTTGTTTTAAACCATGTAATATTATATACATACAAAAATATTGATACACCCAAGCCTTCACCTGTTTATTTCCTTCCAGTGTAAACGAGTAGGTCCAACTCAAATTCGATATTGTTTCCCATAAAATCTCAGCTCTATCATACTGGTGCCAGTAGACACAATCACCCCATAGAAAATCTACATAATGCTTTCCTAAGCTTTTATCATGATCTTGACATGGAAGCTAAACTATAAGTTCAAGTGAAGATGAAAATTGAATCCTTCGTAAGTAAAATTTTATTGCTACCTGATTCTTAGAGTCTTTGATTTCCAGAAGGAATTAAAGGAAGATATAAGGCTCGAAGTCTGCAATTTTCAAAAGAAAAGAGTAAAAATGGAAAACATACAACATATAACCATAACCATAACCATAACCAGCATAGAGTAACAATCGCAGAACTTTTGAGGGCAATAAGGGTATTCACAAATGCTGCCGCAGTACATTACAAGAAGCAAATTGATATACATGAAATCGTGACATAAGGGTGGTCGTTCAAAGTGGTTCTGTCGTTTCTTTTTCTTTTTTCTTTTTTTAAGAATAAAGTTGTGGGGGTTAATGAGGTGAGATAGGGAGCAAAAAGGGAAAAGAGGTAGATATATGGGGTTTTTGACTTGTTTTGTTTTGGGTTCACTGCCAGGAAGCTTGATAGAGATCAACGGCTCCAGCGAGCGAAATCCAGGTTTTGAAGGACACTCCCCTCGGAAGCGGTGTTCCATTCCGAGGTAAAGTCCGTTCGAGCAGGCTCAGCGCGGGCGGGAGGTTCCTCGGAGAAGATATTGGGTTTGGTGTTGCGACGTTGGCCGGGATAGGCGCCCTCTGCGGCCGCAGCTGCCTGGGCTTGTTGGTTCAAGGCGCGCTCACGGACCTTCTTGATCTCACGGAGACGAGTGCGCCAGGATGAGGCATATTCACCCCCCTTGTTGCTCCAGACAAGTGAGAAGGACGAGGCACTAAGAGCCAGAATACGAACGAAAGCTGCCAAATTTTTGCCCGAGATGAGCTTTGGAGTCGCGGCAGCCGAGACATCGGGGAAGCCAGGCTTGCTCATTACTCGCACGCTGTAATAAAGCTTCTCTGGATCAGTGCACCCTTTGACGGCGCCAGATTCATCGTAAGCGATGCGACTGGAAGGCGTGATGACGATGTTGATAGCGTTAAATTCAGATGGGATTGTGTCGAAATTAAAGGGTAGGTTAGACCGGTTGAACACAATGGTGACGAAGTTATTGCCAATGTTTCGTTTCTTGTTGACACATGGAATGTCGTGTTCTAGGTCTGTTGGCATCATCGTTGCAACGTGATAAACTATCTCCGTGACACGATCACGCCAAGCAATGGTAGCCTCACCATCAGTGTCGGCATAGAGACCTTGAGTGTTGAATTGAGGATTGCGAAGTGATACTTTAGTTCCCAGGCCTGACAAGAAATATTCGTAGTCAGGGGAACCGCCAGTGTTGCCAAGAATTTCGGCCTCCTTAGTTTGGCCGTTGTCAAGATAGACAACTCCAATCCTATGTCCATCAACAATGTCGGTCCGATCAAAACTGGCAATCGCCCGCCTGGTGATATCATCTTCTGGAACAGGAATGGGTTGCATTACTGTTGGCGTTGGGAAGGCTGACATTGTCATCTGAAGCATTATGTGACTGGGAAGAACAGCCGTCCGCATATCATCAGAGTGTAGATGGGCATCTACAGTTGGAGGAACCTGGTGTGGCAATACGGGAGCTGTTCGTTGCTGATACACAATATAGGTTGTTCCAGATGCTTGGCGCTTTGAGATTTGAGTTAGGCCAGACACGCCGGCAGTCTCAACAGTCACGATGCTCAAGCCGACTACCCAGGATTTCTTCGATACTGGGCCGTCTTCGGGTGTTGGGGGGAACTTTTCGAACGGAACTGTTTCTCCCAAGTCTGAGAAAGCCACACGTTGCATCAGGTCGATGAGAACCTGGCTTTGTTCCTCGACCACCTCCTTGCCTTGCTCATCATGGAATATCAGTCGGCTGGTAATCCAATTGACGTGGTTTGCACGATCTTGAAGCTTCAAAGAGATGTACCAGAAAATCATAACATGATACGTTAGCGTCATGATATAACCTGACATAGCTTCAGCCGAAGTATTGTCAACCGCTTCTGAGATACCTGTGGCGATTTCTCGTGCGCCAGCACTGAGTCTCGACTGAGGTTGCTGGGGACCACGTGCAGTGGGCGATTCAGCTCCTTTATACCGTTGCTCTCGAGATGTTTGCAAGAATCGAATACAAATTCCAAACACAGTGCGCATCTCTTCTTCGCGTAAATTGATGTAGACATCAGGCAACCGTGCAAGAAGCGCCAAGAATTCCAGAATATGAACAGCTAGATTTGACATGGTGATCACCTTGGACATTCTGTCGAGGATGCTCATTAAAGACTTCGTAACCGAAGCAGGAATTTCATGACAGCAAAGAGAGAGTGCCTGGATACACCCACGAGACGTGGCGCCCCAAGAGCCAATGATACCGACCATGAAAGCTCGCACGAGGTCGTCCTCTTCACTCTTAGCAAAATGTTCATGGTAGCTGACAAGCATACATAGCGCATCGAAAATACAAGCCGCCACATCACTCTTTTTCAGTCCAGTCAGTCCAGGAGGCTCATGGAAGGTCTCATTTTTGACCTGATCACATAGAATGCTGCGTAGGAGCTTGATCTGAGGAGTTGAGCTATTGAAGAACCCCTTATTGGCAAGTTGAGGACCGAGATGAGTGAGTACATAGCTGTACACATCCCAGTCGGTCTCCCGCTGAAGGAGTAAAATGACAACCTCCAACCACATATTGACTTTAAGAACCCCAACCTGGGCCGGGGGCACTTCGCTGGAGGGACTCTGTGCTTCTGCCTGCGCATGAGCATATACCAAGGGGCTAGACTCCCCTGGTGGCTGCTCGGGAAGAACTTGTGGCAAAGCGTAGGTCCAGACAGGAGGCGTGAGCTTCGAGCCGCGGGAAGAAATCGACCTTCTACCTGGAGTATTTCTACCAAGAACAGAGGGCGGGAGGTCTTTCCCCAGAAGTTTGGAGCTGGGGAGAGGCGGAATATTCTCGTGTTGAGCTTCTTTTGTAGGACTTTCACTAGGACCCCGCATTTTAGAGCCCACATCGACGTTCCGACCTAACACATTCATCAAAAAATCGCCCTCCGAAGTTGAAACCACTGATACAGACCCAGCGGAGTCACATCTAAGTCGAAAAAGTAACTTCAAGACGCTAAGACGAGCATCGGTCGGACGATCCGGTGCTTGAGCGATTTGCAAAAGGGACTCGTAGATAATGACGGATTTGGTGGCGGAAGAGTTCAAAGCTCGAAGCATCATCTTCACAAGACCAACAGCACAAACGTTGGCTAGGGTTAGTTCAATGACACTTGTCGTGGACGTGCGACGTGGTGAAGATGCGGTACGTGGTGACATCTCGCGTGGTTCATCTTTGATGAGGTCATGTTTCATCGGTGCGCTCATAGTTTCTACCAAGCGCTTAAATATGGCATCATCGCTGATATGTATGGCAGGCTCTGTGAGAAAAGAGACTAGGGACTCCAAGAAAAGAAGGTCATGCTCAGCTGAGAAGTCCTCTAAAAGGAGGTCCAACAAGCCATATTCCTCGGAGAATACCAGATGTTCATTTTCGACAAGCGATTCTTTCAATGTATCCAAAGCTAGAATCCGGATATCGGAAGACTGCTTCCGAGGCTGTATAAATCGTTCAATTATTTGACGAGAATGGTGTACCCAGTCATCGCTTTCAGCAGGGTGACATGAGCGGTTTTGTCGGGCCATGTTGAGAATCAGCTCGGATTGGGAAGGTTCAATATGCTTGTAACTGATGGCTAAGAAGCGAACAGCCTGCTGCTTCTGTTCATTGTTCATTTGTTCCCAAATAGACTCGATTAAGGAGGCGATCCGGATCATGGCAGCAAGAATACTTGACTTGATATCATCGTGTGTGCCCTTTTGGGATGATTGCTGAGGGCTTGTTGGTGATGCGACTGAGTCTTCATGTTCCTGAAAAACTCTTCGCGAGCAAAGAATCAAAAGGTCAACAAATCCCGACCATTCAGATTCCAGAACAACGCTTGCATAATTCCCTTCGAGAGAATTCAAGCACAAATCCAGAACATCAGCGTCAACTCGACCATCGTTTTTCCTAGCAACCATGGTAAGAGAATCAATGACGTTCCCGAAAGGAATTTGAGGCATGCCACCTTGGCCGTATGCACACACCAGGTCCGAAAAGACGTAGAGAGTTCCTCGGATAACATTCAAGTTCCGCGGGGAGTCCGCGTCACAGCTTTCTCTCAGGAAGCTATTAAGTATGCTGACCATCTCTGATTGTCGTCGAGATTTGGCGAGACTGCGCACTGCGCGGGATGTGGGCCCAGAAAGAGATTTGACCGATGCATGGATGCTGCAGAGAACTTCTAGGAGTGAGATAAAGCTGTTGTCAGGAACATCGGAATACAGAATGACAGCATCAAAAACAGACAGCGAGTTCTTGATGTCGTTTGCTACGCTAGTCCTCCTGCAAATAGTAAAGGTCTCGGTAAGCAGAAGCTCGACTTCCTCCTGAGTAGGTGGTTTACGCTGGAGAGTAACCAGGTCCACCGCAAACTGGAAAAGGTCCTCAAGGGCGGCTTCTTCGACGGTAAGACCGTTTGACTTGACGACCTTTCCCTTTTTCGCCTTAGACCGAGACGCAGCAATTACTCCATAGAGAGGAACAATCCATGACGATATGATGTGCAGGATGGATGTTGTAGTAAAATCTAATTTCCTGCCATGATCTGATAAGGAGATCAATGACTGAACTCTCGAAGCCACAACATCTGGTTCGGCTGGACAGGCGATCGATTCAAATACCGAGCGTCTGGCAGCGGCAGTCAGATCTTGACGAGCGGCAATCGTCTCCAACAACTTCGCGCCGCCTTTCTGAGCATCGACGGAAGATTCATGGTGCAATAGATACTCTGCCGCATCCCACAGTACAACAGATTGTTCCGGAGTAAACCAAGACAGTGTTCTCGCTAAAGCTTCAGCTTCGTCGATAGCTTGTGCGAGGTTCTGCCTCTGCGTCAAGTTGCGCAAAGAGGTTTCGAAGTCCGGACCGCTCGGAGTGTCCGAGGAACTTGACACAACGCTGCCACGATGCATGGATTCGAATCCTAGAACCAATCGGTTATGTGAGGTGGAGTCGCTGTGACTTTCTGGGATCGAGACAGGGGAGTGCGATTTCGGACGGCCAACGGCTAACGTTTTGAACACATCGGCGAAGCTTGTAGTAGAAGGTTTGTGTTGGGGGACTGATGGAGCATCGTCGGAAGACATCCGCCTGATGACGGTAGATGGAGTGCAAATTTGTCGCGGGGGAGTAGAACTGTTATCGACGCCACATTGTCAGCATCTGTGGTCGCATGATACGTGCTCCGGGCATGCGATAAGGAGAGCCGATAGGTGAGTCAACCAGCCCGGTTGGACTGGGGAGAAGAAATTACTTTTATTCTTCCGACAAGCAAGAGTGTTATACCACAAGGGTAACTCTCAAAGACATGCGCTGTACATTCAGGTACAAAGATGACGCAAAGTCTGTTGTAACAAAAGTACCGTTCGAGAGTCGATATAAAGCGGGACCCCGGAGAAGCAAATCTCAAGGAATTGAGATGGAGCGCAAGACCCACAGGTGATACAGTAGCAAGTAATCAATGCCTCGCAAGAAGCGACAGACGAAATTATGCGAGATGGGGGCACTGGCTCAGAGAGTGTAGAAGGTTGTCGTTGGGATCATAGGGAATGAGGTTATTCCAGCCCAAGTCACCTGATATGTCATCAGTATGCTCACACCGCCAAATATTGGTGGCAGAAGATATTGGCCAGACGAACAACAGGTGGGGGGCGGTGAAATCAAGCATTGACTTAAAGCCTGGTAGATGATAACACTTTTAGAAGGAAACACGTGGAAGAGCTTGATTTATTAGTGGGCAGAAACTTGAAGAGAAATGGAAGTCAATGTTTTGAAATATACATAATAATGTCAACTTGAACTACCTGAGGGAATTTTTTTAGCAAGTTATTCAAGCTTTGAACCATTTTATTGCCAGGATTTGTCGAAAATGCCTCAGCCTAGTATTAAGTATGGATGGATGACATACGAAGATGATAATGTAATACTTATAAAGAAAACCTGAGCACCCCGAGAAATTGGCAGCGAGTCTACTATGAAATCTTGGGGAAATTGAACAGACAAAGGTTTTATACCAATTAGTGATCCAGCTAACTATATAATCCCTCATAATGTATACACATTGACATATTCAAATAGAAATAGAAAACAATTTTAATCAACGCTCAAAATCAAACAAGAATTCAAAAAGAATTTACAGCTCCTCCTCAACAGCGGAAGACTGGGCATACTCAAGCTCCCAAGTGATGGCCTCAGGGATCAGAGTGTCCTCAGTGCCAGAAGCCTTGCCAGAGCCGAAGCCCTTCAGGTTCCACTTCTCAATACCCTCAGCGCCCTTGATGTCGTCACCGAAAGCGTCAAAGATATCCTTGTTCAGGCGCTCATACTCAGCGGCGTCCTTGGGGAAATCACCCAGACGCTGAGCAGACAGCTTAAGCAAGTTGAGGTGCTGGCGAACATGGTCAGCCTCAGAGAGGCCAGAGCCAGTTGGGGTCTCCTCAATGTTCAGATCAAAAGCAGAGCCATCCATGCTGAAACTCTGGTCAAGACCACCCTCGAACTCAGCGAACTCAGAGTCGATGAAGATACGGAGCAAGTTCTCGTGGAGGTTGGCGCTCTTCTTGTAGTACTTGTTAGCCATGTGCTGGCCACCTTTCTGGCTTTGGTACTGCTGCGCAATACCAGTGTACAGCTGGGTGAGCAAAGTGGACATCTCCAGGGTGCTGGAGTGGCTTGCACCGTTGACACGGCGACAGTTATACACAATATCCTCAGCAAGACGAGCAGACTTGAGATCGCCAACCAGGTAGCGGGCCAAGATGTAGCGACGAGCGAGACCAAGGGTAACTTGGGCGGGCCAGGTGACCTGCTGGTTGCGGCTGGCCCAGAGGCTGCTGAGCAGCCAGACAAGGGTCTTGTAGTCCTTCTGCTCGCCAAGAATGGCAATCAGGATGTTCAAGTAATCGAGGCTGATCTGGGAGAGGTTGATCTTCAGATCGCCGATGACATGGAGAGCCTCCTTGAGGATGGGAGTAGAAGTCCCTTGGAGCTTCTTCAGGACAGAGACCTCGGGCTTAGGGCTGACAGTACGACCGGTGATGGCGATACCCAAAGTGAACACGAATTTGATGACGTCGGGAGTGCGGAAGCCATCGTGGGCAGCAATGTACTGGAAGCCAGCGAGAGCCAGGTTAGAGGCCTCCTCGTACTTCTTGGCCTCGAGGAACTTAATTACGTGCAGGTTGCTGGCAATACCGACGGACCGAACGAAGTTAGAAGACTGGTGGGAGTGGAAGTGCTCCAAGATGACAGTAAGGAAGACCTTGACCTGAGCCGCGTTGGTGAGCTTGGTACGCTTACCCTCGGTGGCCAAGAAGTAAGCTACAAACTCGTCAAAGACGTGGATGGCAGCAGCCTGGCGCTGGGCACTGTGCAAGAACCAGTAAAGACGAGAAGCCGAGAGAGTCACACTGTGGAAGGAGGCAGTCTTGCTTGAGGTGTAGCTACGGAACTCCTCGAAGTAGACGTATTCAGTAGTGAGAGACGCAAGAATGTCGGTGATGCTGGTGGTTTGCTTGCGAAGGCTGTGCTCCAGCTGAGCCAGGAAGACGAGGCTCTGGCGACTCTTGGAAGTTAGATCGAACTGAGAAGTCTTGGTGTTGGTGGTATCCTTCATCACAACCTGGCGGTACAGCTCCTCAGACAACTCAACGGCCTTGTGAACCTGGCTGGTAGCAATGTAGCTGCTAGCGATGACAGCAGCAGCAGAAACCAGGCGAGTAGAGGAACTCTCCTCGCGAAGGATGTTCACAGTTGATTCCTTCAACTCACTGAGGACGGATTCCTTGGAGCTGAACTTGGATTGGAAGGAAACAAACTCCTTGAGCTGGGACAGAGACTCCTCGTGAGCCCAGCCCTGTTTGCGTGTGGTAACCATACGCTTGCGAAGGATCTTGGAGGCAGTCTCAACCCGCTCCTTGGAGACAGACTCGGTGCTGGATGTAACAAGGGAAGTCTGCTCCTCGTAGATACCGTCCAAAATTGCGGTGATCTCGTCAATGTCAATCTCCTGAGAGCCAGTCTTGCGCAACTCCTCGTACAGAGAGATAGCCTGATCTTCGTAGCGCTTGGACTCCTGGCATACCCGAGCAAGAGTAAGAGTAGCTTGAATGGTGATCGAAGCAGTTGCACCAAACACGGTCTTCACCTTGGATTGGTAGTCAATGGTGACTTTATGGATGGTCTTGTACTCAGCGCGAACGGTGCGCAGGCAGTGCATGTAGCGAGTGAAGATCTCCTGCACAGAGGAAGGCTTCTCAAACACGGGTTGTTTGGGCTGGCTCAGGAAGGTGGTGAACAGCAGGGTGAAGTAAGACACAGCCTCGGAGTAGCGGCTCTGAGTCCAAAGCTCAGTGGAAACGAGAACAAGTGGTTCCAAAGCCTCTGGCTTGCAGGTAGTTGGTGATCCCTTGTTCAATGCCTGAATAATGCGCTGGTAGTAATCGACGAAGATTGGACGAGGACGAGTGAGCTCAGCCAAGGTCCACAGAAGCTTAATGACAGAAGGGTGCTCAGGGCCGTAATGGGCGGTGTAATCGTCAAGAATCTCCTGACGAGTGCTGATAACCTTGTCGGGCTGGGAGGAGCGATCGAAAAAGAGAACCAAGGCCTCGGTCACTCGCGCCCGCACGTTGTCTTCCACAGGGCGAGAGGCACGGACGGCGCGGTAAACGCGAACGCGAATGTTCTCCTCGCGCGCAAAGCGGCGGCGGTAGTGATAGCACTGAGCGAGGCGCTCGGCATAGTGAATCGCCTTGTCAGGGTTTTGAGTAGGAACGGAGACATCTTGAATAGTGGGGGCAAACAGACTTGGCCAGAGGCCCTTGAGGACCTTCTTGATCACACGGGTGGCATCCTTCCAGCGGTGCTGGGAGGTGAACTGCTCGACTAGGGTGGTGGTAGCAGTGAAGGAGCTTTCGCTAATCTTGCCGGAAACGAAAGACTCTTCAATGATCTCTTCAAGAGTAGACTCGGAGAAGCTCGAGTGAGAAGAACTAGCCGACTTCACAACCTGTTCGTGAGTGCTGGAAATGCTCTTTTGAATCTCCTCAAAGTGAGAGGACTTGCTTGTGCTCTTGTAGTAGTGAGAGACCTGCTTGAAAATAGACAGGGCAGCAGCAGAGAGACCAACGGAGGCCATCACAGTGGCGATTTCCTTGAAGTGCTCGGAAGACTTCTCGGAAAGGGCCAGGCTAGTATGGCGGTGCTCCTCCCAAACACTAGACAGAATGGAAGAGGCCTCAGTCTCGCGCTTGGTCACCTTGAGGAACTTGGAATAAGCAATGACAGCCTTAAGCTTGGTCTCCTCCCAGAAAGAAGTGGATTGAATACGGCACTCCTTGTTGGTGCGCTGCCAGATTTCAACGTAGATCCGCTCAGCCTCGGTAATCTTGCCCTCGGCGCGGTACTTCTCGGCCAGTTGAACGAGAGCGTCGTAGTCGAAGCTCTCATCAACAGATTCATCGTGCTCAACATCTAAGACCCATCGAATTCCAAGGTCATGATGTTCATGCTCCTTACGACCCTTGATGTGAACTGAAACATCCTGAGCGTCATCAGCGTGGTAGGAGGTGTTAATCTTGGTGATGATGGCGGTGATTTCTTGCACCTTCTTCTCCTCACTGGTGGCGCGGTAGTGCTCAACAAGAAGCTTCAGGGTGCTGGTGACCTGCTCAGAATTCTCACCATAGACGATCTTGTAGCTTTCGACAACCAGAAGAAGGATCTCCTCGCGCTTGATCATAATATCAGTGCGGGAGGTAGTGGTGAGCTGCGAAGTCAACTCAAGGAAGATATTGGAGAGCTTCATGGTCACGGTGTGCTCAGTCTTGAGGAGATCCCGACTCAGAAGTGTGATCTCGTAGAAGAGAGGAATCGAGTCGGTAACCAAGCTAATATCACGGTACAGGAAAGCCAGTGAGATGATTGACTGTAGGGTCACCCGGCTCTTTGTTGTCAAGATAGTGCGACAGAGATTAGTGACGGTTGTCTGGTAGAGCACAAATGTCGGTGTGATGATAGTGCGCCACAATGTGTTCTGAAGCAAAAGAAGGGTAATAGTGGCAGGGAAGATCTTGCTGAACTCCTTGGCTGTAGGGGCATCGCCACCAGTGGTGTACACAGTAGTCTGCGTGAGGTGACGAGGCCAGTAACGGATGGCAAAGTCGAGCAGCGGGTTCCTCTGCACCTGAAGGGAAGTATCACTGTGGTCAAGCGTACGAAGAGAAGGCTCATTCTGCTCAGGGAGAACAGTCTTGATATAGATGAAAAGACGAGTGACAAAGTCAGCGTGGCGGTCCTTGATTGTAGGAACCAGCTTTCCTTGAGAGTGAATATCCTGGAGAGCGGAACGGATGAGGCCGTGACGCAAACCGATTTGGCCATCCTGAATGAAGACCAGGCTGTTTACAGGGAGCAGTGTATCCCGAGGCTTGAACACGCGATCGGTGACAGTCTGCTTGGTAGCGTCGATTGAGACCAAGGTGGAAAGTTCTTTCAGAGTAAAAGGACGGTCTGAGGTAGCAAGCCACAGCAGAATTTGGCGAGCCTCATCGCTAACATCAGGAGATTGAGTAGCATTAAAGACAAACTCGTTAATCGGGGCCTTGCCGTTGGTAATCTTCTCAACAGCCTTGTGGAGAGCATCTGGGGAGCTCTCGTGACGGACGCGCTTAGCGGCAAGCTTGGCCCAGAGGAAGGAACCATGAGAGGCCTCGGCAATCTGGTCAATGATAGTCTCCTGCTCCAGTTCGGACAGAGAAAGGAAGGTCTTGTGCTCCTCCAGGCTAGCACGGACAACAATAGAGATATCATCGGCAATTCGGGACTCAGTGATAGGGACATGAAACACACCCTCGGTGATCTTAGGCTTCTCAGCACCCAGAGTGATGAGTTTCACATTGCTGCCATTGGCGGTAGCAGTAATCAAGCTCTGCAGCAAAGATTCCTCGCCACCAGCAGCCTCATCAAGACCATCGACAATGATAACAAGCTCCTTGGCGTTACGAAGAGCGGCAGCCAAGCCGCGCTCAAGGGCAGTCCAGAGAATACCCTGGTACTCGGACTCGCCGGTGGTCTTCTTGCTCTGTTCATAAGCTTCGCCGAGAATGTTCAGCAGTTGAACGTTGCCAATACGCTTCTCGAAGAGTTGAAAGAGAATGGTCTTCGCAATCGCAATGGGTGTGGTCTCAGCAGGAACTCGGGCGTTGATGGGAACGTAAAGAGTCTTGTAATGAACGCCACCAACAGGATCCTGCAGACGATCGTGAAGAACTGAAGCAGTGACAGTCTTTCCTGAGCCAGGCTTACCAGTGATAGCAAGAGTACGGTTTTGGCTTTTCAGGAAGTTGGTCAGATAAGGAGCAACCCAAACGCAGGTCATCTCCTCACGCTCATGGGCGAGGTGAGAGGTGTTTTCGGCCAGGTGGGCCAGAACACGGTCCTCGGGGGCAAGCCAGGAGCGGATGTCCTTGACGGTGGTCAAAAGTCCAGCGTCCAGACCCTTTCCAGCAAGCTGGTGGTGCCACATAGCTTCGGTAATGCGGGCACAGCGGTCCTTGAATGCAAAGATTGAACCATGGAAAGCGTCATAGATGTTGATAGAGACCGAGGGGCTGGCTGGATCGCTAGCAACCTGGTGGAAATAGGTAGCGACATCGTGAATCAAGGTCACCAAGTCACCCAGTGCAAAGACTAGCTGCTCCTTGATCTCTTGCGAAACCGCAAACAACTCGGTACGCTCAAGCAGATTAACAAGGGAGGCAGAGATGCTGTAGAAGAATCCAAAAGACGTCATCAAAGTGTAGGCGTGCTCCTTGCCAAGCTGTAGGTTATAGTTAGCATTGTGATTATTTGTTTCAAGTTGGGAGTTAATCGGACTTACCTCCAGCAGAATACCGCAGTAGCCATATGAAAGCTGAGTGGCACCGTAGCCGTGATCGTAAAACTGGCTGACACCATCATCAAAGTGGTTCAGACGGTCAATGAACAGCTTTGCCCAGGACAAGACCTTATCGTAGTGGCTTCCCTCGGGAGGGAGGTGACTCATGCGCTGAACACGAATCCACTCTTTCAGGGATTCATAGCTACTGCTCGAGAGCCTGGATGATGCATGAGCTCCAAGCTCATTGCCACTTCGCAGGTACAGGCCATTGACGTGGCTCTGGAGCTCGGAAGGACTTCCCAGGCCATTGAACTTTCCGCGAGGCATAAAAGATTCTCGGCGGGAAGAGCGGCCATTTTGAGAGGTGCTATCACTGTCAAAATGGGCAGAGAAGCTGGAAACCTGGCGAGAGCCGCCAGGGCGTTCATTGTAGAAAGAAGAGGAGAGGTTTCCCGGAGCGGGAGAGACAAGACCGGGAGCCATCTTGATTGGTTCTTTGTCAGTTGATTTAGAGGAAGACTTCGAAGATTGAACCGTCGGCGGGAGTTTCACTTTTTTGGCCGTATTATCGGATTGAGGGAGGGAGGACGTTTCTCGTGGTGGGGGATTATGATCTGGGAGAGGGGGTTTTGAGCGACAGCCCTTGAAGCAACAGAATATGCGAGACAAACCGGCGAAGTACCACGATGCAAAATATATACTAAAGTTACAAGAAACGCATTCGAGATAGGTGGAGGGAAAATAGAAAGCTGGATTTGATTTCCGAGAATTAGGGGGGCTTACTCGGCTTTTGTAGCAGCAGTAACCAGGGTGGCAACTATCGCCAATCCCTACGCCTTTCTTTTTCTCGTACAGTAAACTCTAGTCCGGTGGAGATATCATGTATGGGACTTTCTCAAAAAAAATCAAGTTACGCCTTTTTCAGGTGGGATTGGTATGTATGAGCTTCAGCTCTGATGGGAAATTGAATTCCCCACACCACCAACTTGTTGGAATAGCTGCAGTACTCGTAGTAGCTCCAGTATCCACTAGTTTCGCAGTACTGAACAAAAGATAGTAATTGATTCCCAAGAACACGCTAACGCTGTTGTCAATCACTGTCAATGCTACACTTAAACGTTGTAATGTGCATTAGCTGTTAGCTGCATGGTGGTGGCTCTGGGGGCGTCAATCACCAAATGGAAGGTGGTAAATGCATCACAAGATACGAAGCTGTCATGGATATATATTACCTGTATTGTGCAGTATCGTATTGTGTTTTCAGCATCTTCAACTGTCCCGCGTATGTGTTCATACCCAGGGGGTTGGATGAGAGCGTGGAGTACCTCGAGAGAACCTGCAGGATCACAAAAGATAGCCGGGTGTCGCCTCCCCACCTAGGGCGTCATATTGCCCCATAGTTTCTGGATCAAAGACGGCACACCCGATTCCACACAATATCTCGGCCTCATGGTTAACAATCCGGCTGAGCCAAGCGAATGTGTCTGTTGTCCAAAGTTAGGGTGACAGGTTGTGCACCGTGCACGGTTGAGGGCTGGCTGGACGTCAAGCCGATTTTTCAATCTCTCTTTTTTTCTTTCTTTCTTTCTTTTTTCTTTTTCTTTCACTCAGTGCGGGGGCCAATTTCGGCCAATTTCAGGTGGCTAACCCTGGCCAGTGGCTCGCAATAAGTCAACTAACACGCAGAGGAGAAAGTGGACATTTCTCAAGTTCAGACCAACTGTCGATCGATTGGAATCGATCTGTCTGTGATCGATACCTGGTCTTGTCTCGCTCTAGAGCGGGGCTGGGTTTGCCAGCCATCGCTGATCCGAGATGGGTCCGTATGAACCATGCATGATCACTGACGAAATTGGGTCCACTTAGATTCCGTCTCCCCATGGCCATGACCGTGCTCCCGATCTCCCGAAAGCTAACTTTTCGGGTCACTTGGCGTCGAGGGAAGGAACTAGTTGTCATGCCAGTAGTGCCCGGGGTAAGCAGAGACGCATCAGTCACACGGGCGGCTTTCCCGAAGCTAAGATGCACCGATGCGATGCATTCTGGGCCAGGGGCCTAAGAATAGGGTGGTTTCAAAAACAATTCCCTCTTATTCCTGTGCTTTTGTATTTTGTTCCGGTGAACTCCGGGCGAACTGGGTCCTGGCTGCACATGGACCTTGCTCGTCTCATCGACGTGCATTAGCATCATGGGGCTTGTGGGGAGAGGAAGGATTGGGGGGGGCAGTCAACAAAAGAACTGGTTCTCACGGAAATTTAGCGGCTCCACCCGAGTTGCAGAACTGAGATCTGCATCGGCACAATGAGCAATAAAAGGCGATTCGGCAGTGCAAGGGAGGTAGGTGGTGAGCTGAATCTGGACCCGTCGTGGCGTCTCCACTTAATGGTTCTTGTGCCGAGCTTCCCCTCATCTAGGTCCCTCCGATCCAGTACAAAGAAATTGGTAAATAAACAAGCGCCACCAGCTGTCACTTCTCGAACACCTATGTGTGGATGTGTCTGTGTGGTGGTTTTTCTGTCCATCTTTTTTTGTTGACCTATACCCTTTAGTGCCTTTCCTTCTTATCCCCATCTCCCCCTCACGTCCTCTGCTTTTTTTTTGTCTGTAAAAATCATGCATAATGTAGGGAGTACTCCGTACAGAGTACATGACCCGGTACTAGATATGCTCTACAGTATCTCCATATGCAGAAGCGAACCCCGACGCCACTTGAATCATGAACCTTTCCCATGCCCTCCGTATAGGACGATCATCCTGCACGTGTACAGCAAACTTGTCCCGCTCTTCCATTGGACATCTGGACTCGGTAATGTAATTTACGACGTTCCCCGTACATGCAGGAGAATGGAAACTCGAAAATTAAATCATAAATCATAAAGGAAAAAGAAAAAAGAAACTGGAGCAAAAGATTGGGTCCATTAGACATCCCACCTTGGTCTCAAGTCCCGGAGGGTTCGTCATTCCGAATCACGAAATGACATAGTATGTGTTCATTCCTACACAGAAGCAATTTCTCTAACCATTCAAGAGTTCTTGCTGAAATTACTATGTACAGTAGTGTCGAGTCAATTCCGAATCCCAAATTTTGATCCTGCAGGGTATTTGTGTTAGCTCGGTAACTTTTCCCCTCTGCTATCCACGGTGGCTTAGCGCACGCGTACATGGACTACATGGAGCAGCTGAAAATGCAATAATGATCAAATTAAGGGATTCCTCGGTCTAGATGTCCATAAAATCTTGGTGTCTTTCTAATAATTTCAAGGTTAATGTTCTTTTGACAACCTGCATATCGGTCTCGCCACGGCGGGGGAATATGCAGCCTTTTCGTATCTGGGCCGACGATCACGGGCTGCGAAACAACGGTGTTTGATTGTAACGCCGCAAAATTGTCACAGTCTAATTCAACAATTGTAAGCTCTCTGTATCGGAGACCTCATTGAAAAACAGTGTCTACCTTGTTAGTTATTTTATTGAATATTCCGTAACGTAATCAGAGAGAGTCCCCTCTTCTCCCCGAGGTGGGACGAGCCACGTTAACCAAGAGGAAATGGCCACAATTCGTCCTTAGAAGAGGAGATTTGCACTTTGAAGTTATATAGCGCTTCTAGAAATAGAAGGCATTCAATCATAAGTGGAATATCTGCATGTCGCGGAACCGTATCAGTTTTCGCCATATGGAGCTCTGGTGGCTTTAGATCCGCATATTGAAATCGCAACAGGAAACTCAGCTGTGAATACGAATAGCTCCGCGTCAGAAATTCGCCCCTCCAGTGGATAATATTGGTAGTTGGCAATACTCCGTAGATTTGTTTCTAACTTATTAACTTATCCATCTGTAAGAAATATCAGATGACTGTGGTTTGTATAAGTTTAAGGTTATATGTTGTAGGAGTGAGTCCGTAAAAAGTAAACATACTCTCCGTACCTAGTAGTAGTAGTGAGCTGACAATCCCAATATAACAAGCATGTATCTGAACGACGGGTATGCACGCACTGGCATGATTCCATATTCTCAGGTCGTGCTCCATAAATATCCAAGGGGCTGGTTAGGAGAATTTAAGTCATACTCTTGTAACGCTCAGGGGATACTCCGGTATAGCATCAAAATCTTCTATTCCATCGACATGACACTTCAATTTTGGATATCCAAGTAGCAGCACACCACCAATTGAACGTTTTCTTTTTAGAAAGCTACAAAGGTGAACTCTCGTTAATATTATGGAATGCCGGCTTTTGCATTCTTTGAGGTAGTATCAGATCGGCCTGGAGAGAAGCTATCAAAGCCACCCGAGAAATCAATCTTTCAGCCACGAGTTTCTAGTTGAAGTAATATACCTGACACCATCGAAATTCCATTTTTATGTAAATTTCATGAATTGCAAGCTACGTAAGCAACCTCAGCTTGATCCACTGAGGGGATATTTGGAGCTGTATATGGCTTGAGACCAACAGGAAATTAGTCTTCTGACCTGCATTGCGGTGGATCAGACTCGGAGCGGATATGCGGAGCTAAATTTTAATAAATAAACTAATTAATAATGAACACATGCTACATATTTATAAACGGTAGCTATGCGGCTAGGGCATCATGGATCCTGAACGGGGAGTACAAGGATGCAAAAGCGTTGTGAAGAAGACACCGGCAGCTGATCTACACATGAAGTCTCCAAGGTTGAAGTGCGGAGGCTACATTTCTCCACTTAAGTCAAGTTGTACAGAGAACGTGATATGTGTTTTTGTTTTTGGTGGCATCCAATCTGGATGATCTACAGGATGCTGCACGTTTTTCGACACTCTGTGGATCAGACCTTGGAAACCTGAGGCATTGAGGTTTTTTCTTTTGGTACAAACGAAGTGAAAAGCTTGATTTCTTGGTATACTGCCATAGTGGCGTCGGCTCAAATTGACCAGCTTGGCCCCCTTGTATAAACATTAGTCGATAATCCACTCAGTGATACAGTAAGCTCTTGTTTGCACTTTAGTCACATTCTTATCCCCACAGATTTCTAGAACGCAGTGAATTCACAAAACAAACAAATGTGGATTCTAGAGTTCAGAGTAGTTTTAAAAAGTTTTAAAACTCGTTAAAGATGCCCAGGTGGATTCATCCGAGTGAACACCCTTTCGAACCACTATCAGTATCATATATCTGGCACACTGCTGGCATAGAAAACATTAACATTTTCCATCAAGAATATTTTTGATAAGAAAGAATTTTGGTACATACACTCCAGGGCTGCAATGTGCAGATAAATTTACTCCAGAAAAAGTTCCCATGATATTTATGCGTGCATCGCGTCTTTGTGTGACTCTACACATGTGCATCTCTACTGGCTCGGCCTTAAACCTTATTGACCTTAGCAGTCGCATGAAGGCGGCCTGACTAACTAGTTAGTTAGGTTAGTTAAGTTACCTCTTAGTTAACTAGTTAACTTCTAAATTATTGATGCCTCAGGCCTTAGTAAACCGAGAGAATTGCTAATACCACCCCTCAAATGGCTAAACCCACCCCTTCTAAGCTCACCGCCGTATTTGTAATACCACGAGGCACAAAGGCATCAATTTTCTGCCGGCAGCATGAATACGGTCCAGAATTAAATTAAATCTCCACGTAAAAAGCTTCCATTTTACCACACATTTAACGACATTTAATATGCAAGCAAGTTATCTCATTCCAAGCTTAACCTAAAGAGGAAACAGGGGCTGATTTTAAAAACACCGGAAAATGCATTTTCAGTCGAATTAACTGGCAAATCTGTTGATCTGCGGACATCCAGGCCTTTTATGCCCCTCCACGCCCCAATTTCCACACGTATCGGGTCTCCTCCGCGATTGCTGAGTTGCTGGCTGCTGTGAGCCTTGTTGGGACCATTGCTCATAAAACTCACGATCTACAGCATCTTCAACGGCACCTAGCTGCTCCCATAAGCTTGGGATCCGCCTGGACCTCGCCTGACCGCCCATTTTAAATTACACCGCCTTGTTAAGGGCTCATATTACAAATACGGCAGAATTTCCCAAAGCGGCTTAGAAGGGGTGGGTTTAGCCATTTGAGGGGTGGTATTAGCAATTCTCGTAAACCGACTTGTATGCCTAATATATAGGGCATCAACATATCCAAATGAAGTATAGCGGAAGGCATGTGATGTGCTAGCCATTTTAGGACTAGTGTGTTGATGTGGTGGGCTGCCCGTACAATTATCACCGCCCTCGTTATTTGTTGTTCTTTGTCTAGTGAGCTTTGCTTGGTGTCCTGACTGCTGTCCACTTGACACATTGACAAATAATTAATTTCGCCTGGACTGCTGAAACCATCGAGGTTTTGCTATCCTTGTTCATTGCTCCTAATACCTTCGCTACCCCGTTGTTCTCACTCGCTTGTGTTAATACCCCACGTACCTGTGAAAATGGCGGAGGCTCTTGGAGCTTTGTTGGAAGCCAGCTTGGATCCGCGTAGGAACAAGGAAGGTAAAGCTTCAAAACCACTGAGACTACATGAAGATATACCGCTGACCGCTTTCTTTTGAATCATCTAGCTGAGAACGCCCTTCGTCAAGAGGAACAGAAGCCTGGCTTCTCTCTACAGCTTCTTCAGATTACAGCGTCGGAGTCCTCCCCTCATAACCTTCGTCTTGCGAGTGCCCTGTGCTTCAAGAACTTCGTCAAGCGCAACTGGACAAATGAAGATGGAGAATACAAGCTGCCACTTGATGAGGTTGCTACTATCAAGCGTGAACTGATCACCTTGATGATTTCTGTGCCCCCGGCAGTCCGAACTCAACTTGGTGAGGCGGTCAGCGTGATCGCAGACAGTGACTTCTGGGAGCGTTGGGACAGTCTAGTAGATGTAAGTGACAACCTGAGTAGTTATTGTCCCATCTTTTGGTTAACCTTTGGTCTGTTCCCAACAGGACCTTGTCTCGAAATTATCCCCAGATAACCCTACGGTCAACATTGGTGTCCTGCAGGTTGCGCACTCTATCTTTAAGCGCTGGCGACCTCTGTTCCAGTCCAATGAGCTGTATATTGAGATTAACCATGTTCTCAACAAGTTCGGCAACCCATTCCTGGCTCTATTCGAGGTAAGTGCTACCACAAAAACTTCTCATTCTCCCTGCCCATACTAATGCAGGAACTCTACTAGGGACTGGATAACTATCTCGAGCAAAACAAGTCCAATAAAGAAAACCTCACACTGGGCTTTACCCAGCTGAACCTCATGATCAAGTTGTTCTACGATCTCTCCTGCCATGACCTCCCTCCGATGTTCGAAGAAAATATCTCTGCGATCGCTACTATCCTTCACAAGTACTTGACATACGACAGCCCGTTACTTCACACCGATGACGATACCGAGGCGGGACTGTTGGAGTATGTCCGTGCGGGTATTTTCGAGGTCTTGACCCTATATGTCCAGAAATTTCTGGATGCTTTCGGACCACAGGTCGGACAGTTCATCCAGAGCTCCTGGGGTCTTTTGACCACCATTGGCCAAGAGACGAAGTACGATATCCTTGTGAGCCGAGCCCTGCATTTCTTGACTTCGGTGGCTAGCATGCCCGAGCATGCGGCAGCTTTTCAATCGGAGGAAACGCTTGGCCAAATCATCGAGAAAGTCATTCTACCAAATGTCAGCTTGCGTGAGTCAGATGAAGAACTTTTCGAGGATGAGCCTATCGAGTTCATTCGACGGGACTTGGAGGGTTCTGATAGCGAGACTCGACGACGTGCGGCTACGGATTTCCTCCGTCGCCTCGCCGAAAAATTCGAAGAATCGGTGACAAAGGTCGTTCTGAAGTACACTGAGCATTATCTGAATGAGTACTCCAAGAGTCCTGCGTCGAACTGGAAATCCAAGGATACTGCGGTTTACCTTTATTCCGCTGTTGCGGCCAAGGGCGTGGCAACCTCCACCCATGGTGTCACCGCCACTAACAGCCTGGTCAGCATTACGGACTTCTTTCAACAGCAACTCGCTGCTGATCTGGTTGCGGATGATGGCGTTCACCCAATTCTCAAAGTCGATGCCATCAAGTACCTTTACACCTTCCGCAGCATCATCACAAAGGAGCAATGGCAACAGGTGCTCCCTGTCTTGGTGAAGCACCTGGCTTCTTCCAACTACGTTGTATATACATATGCAGCAATTGCAGTGGAGCGGGCTCTATTCCTCAGTGATGGTCAGGGCCAGCCAGTCATTCCCCCAACTGAAATTACTCCTCTCGCCAGGGACCTCTTAGAGCACATCTTCCAGCTTATCCAGAGAGATCCTGCTCCTCAGAAGGTGCAGGAGAACGAGTTCTTAATGCGATGCGTGATGCGTGTACTGGTTGTTATTCGCGATGGCGTAGTTCCCTTCGCCGATGTTGTGCTGCAACGCTTTATCACCATCACTCAGATCATCAGCTCGAACCCCAGCAACCCCAGATTCTACTATTTCTTCTTCGAGGCCATGGGGGCGTTCATTCGTTATGCGGCACCTGCCAATCCCGACAAGCTGGAGCAAGCTCTCTACGCGCCCTTCGCAGGCATTCTTCAAGGGGACGTGCAAGGTAAGATTTCCCCCCATTAGCCTCAACTGTACCACACTGACTTCTCTTCCACTCAGAATTCATGCCATATGTCTTCCAGCTGTTCGCAGCACTGCTAGAGGCCAACTCATCAGCGAATCTGCCTACTTATTACCAGGAGTTGATTGCACCTATTTTAATGCCTGTTATGTGGGACTCTCGAGGAAATATTCCTGCCTTGGTCCGTCTGCTCTCTTCGATTATTCCCCGAGGAGCGCAGTACATTATCGAGCACAACCAGATCGAGCCTATTCTGGGTATCTTCCAGAAGCTTGTTTCTACTAAGGCCAACGAGGGCTATGGGTTTGACTTGCTCGAGACCGTCGTTGCCACGTTCCCACCGTATGTCATATGTCTCGTATCGATTATAGTTACCGATTATACTGACTTTTTTTCTTTTCCCTTTTCTCTGCTTAGGACTGCCCTGGAGCAATATTTTGTTATGATTATGCAAATTGTTTTGCAGCGTCTTCAAAATTCCAAGACCGAGAATCTTTCGCTTCGCTTCGTTCGCTTCTATCACTTCATTACTTCCCATGATGACAAGGGATACAACCCCGATTTCGTCATGCAGGTGACGGAGAAAGTGCAGCAAAAGTAAGTTTTCGTGCATCTAAAATAATCTTAGTTATGTACAAGCTAATACTCAATCGCAGTCTTTTTACCCCTGTATACCTGAATGTCATTCTTCAAGACACCCAGAAACTTGCCCGTCCCTTGGACCGCAAGACTGCAGTCATCTCCCTTACCAAGACATTAGCCAACTCGGACGCTTTCGCCACACGCTATGCAAAGGGATGGGGATTCACTTGCAACACGCTCCTAAAACTCCTCGAACTTCCCCCCGATGTGTCTCACAAGGATGACATCGGCGCCGAGGTGGATGTCGAGGAGATGTCTTTCGGTGTTGGTTTTACTCCCCTCAACACTATCAAGCCCCAACTGAAGGACCCATGGCCCGAAACTGGCGCTGATCTGAAGAAGTGGGTCGGCACATATCTCAAGGAGGCTGACAAGAAGCACGGAGGCCGGATTTCGCAATTCGCACAGGAGCGATTGGACGACCAGGCCAAGGCCGTGCTGGGTAGCTACATCTCCTAAAGACATTAAACGACCGTCATGCTTTCTCCTTGAAATAAAAAAAATTCTGGTCACGGCGGATGTTCTTTTGAAACGGAATAGAACAGTTGCCACGAGTCTAATCTATGGTCCACTCCTTTCTTAGCATTGAAAATTTGGATTTTCTTTTTGGTGATCTGGTCTTTTTAAACTTCCACAGCTGAAATAACTAGTAGGATCTATATACAAAACTCTCCCAGACTCATCATAGAAACTGAACAGACCTAACTGTCCCCAAGAGAACGAGCCAAAGCAGCTTTCAGTGTTTCCACATCACAGACACCAGAAGTAGCTGCCCAAGCTACAAATCCGTCTGGGCGTACAAACAATGCGTCAACTTCAGCATCCTTCGACGTCGCTTGCACTAATCGTAGTCGTCCTGTATGTTTACCAGCGAGAGTAGCCAGCTCATCGTTTCCAACCAGGTCAAAAAGCACAGCGCGGCCATCGTGAAAATAATCAGTAAGGCAAGTCCCATCGTTCATCTGAATTCGAGGTATGGTCATCCCAACCATTGCATCATCTCCATGATCATATCGCTGCCATAGGCCAGAAATCTGCTTTACATAATGAGTTGCTCCGTCCTTTGTCCCAAGTAAATCAGTGGTAATCTTCCTCAGCGCACATGCGTCGGGGTCACCACGCATAACAGCAACCTGAGCCCTGGTCCAATCCAGAACGTGAACACCAACAGGATGCCGTTCAAGGGTATACGTCTCAAGCAGATTCTTCGGCGCCCACCCCTGCACAGTAGCAGCAAGCTTCCATCCCAAGTTGACAGCATCCCCAAGCCCCATATTCAATCCCTGTCCACTAAAAGGCGAATGAACATGGGCTGCATCTCCACATAGAAACACGCGTCCCCGCCGATATGTGCTCGCTTGTCGTGCATTATCTGTGAAGCGTGTTCCGCCACTGACACTGTTTATCCGGATATCTTGTCCACTAACGCGTCGCAGGCTGCTTTCCATCTCTTCAGCTGTAACAGGCGCATTCTTATCCGGGGGTGGACCGTCAAACTCTACAGTCCGCACCCGCCCCGGCATAGGCCCATATACATACACTCCCTTAGATGTATACTGCCACCCTTCCTCCAGGTTCTCTGCCCCTTCAATCTCAACAGTGGCCGCGCGACCCGTGATCTTTGGATCTGTGCCCGGGAAGTCGATCCCTGCCATCATCCGCACAAGACTATGTCCACCATCACAACCAACTAGCCACTGTCCACGCACTTCCCTTTTCCCTTGTCCATTAATCTGAACTGTAACTCCACCTTCATCCTCCTCAAATTCCTCAACTGCTGCGTCCCTCCAAATCTCCACGCCTAAATCTAATGCTCTTGAAAATAAAATTTTCTCCAATTCCACCTGAGGCAGCATGAGATACCACCCATCCTGACCTCGACCGCGTAACAACGGATCATCTTGATCAACAGGTCTGGCAGGAACATGGATACCACCAAAATGACCCACAGACGCTGCATAAGGAGACATCTTTGCGCCTACCTCTTTATTCGCACCCATAAAGAATGACTGGCGCGTAGCTTGAAGGGCAGGTAAGAGACCACGTCGTTCGAGAGCTTCCACCGAGGCCGTGTTGATACCCCCTGCCTTGACACTCAAGTCATATGATGCTCTGCGCTCAAGAACAAGGGTCCGAGCACCCTGGAGTTGAAGCTCAGTTGCAAGCATAAGGCCAACTGGACCAGCACCTGCGATCACGACATCGTAGGTGGTTGATGTGGTGAATTGAGGGATTTCCATTTTGTGGTCCTTGGTGGTTCTATCTGTAGCGTAACAACGGGTATTGTACTTGATTGAGTATTTTTCCCGGCAAGAATAACTTAGTGAGAAGAAAGATACCCGTTTAGGTCGTATAAAAAGGGTTTTGGATGATCGGATTAAGTAGGCTGTCGCTTGGATTGATACGGACATTGTGGTTTTTTACAGTCTTGTGGTTTGTGCAAAAGCTCAACTAATAAATAAATGGGTGGAGCATGAGTGACGGAGGATCAACGGAGGATAGAAGCGAGTAATTGTTATTTTGTATGCAAATATACAGTTAATCTGCCCTTTGGACGTCCACGTTCACGTCCGGGTTTTGTGAACGACGGGATCGACGGATTGTCGGAGCGGAGGATCGGAGGATCGAGTGGCTCGCCTAGCGGAGACTCCAAACCGTTAACAATTATGATGGGATTAGCTAAATATTAACTTAAATGGAAGCCTAGCTGAGATATCAAGTGGAATGTCCACGATTTATTTGTGAAAAGAGTGAGTTTTTCATAAAATATTGGATACATGTATATCGACTTCCCGCCAAGAGAGAGGACCATTGCTTTAGATCGCCAGACCGAAACCCACTTTTTTCAGCCTAGTGACCCTGAATCAAGTCATGGCCCCAATCCCAAATTTTTCTTTTTCTTTTAAAAAGAACTATCATCAACAACTCTCTGAAAAAAAAATTGAAAAAAAAACTCCTCAGCACATGTGCACACATTAAGACTGTTTGACCATGGATACACTATCAAAGATGGAAAATGGAAGCGCGCTTCCAACACCCACCCAACAGGATGAAGCTCCATCGCCCCTTTTCTCGCGTATCGAGACAATTTCCAAGAGAGTTATGATCCTGTAAGTCTATTCCGGAAATATTTCAAAGTTGTCGCAAAAAATATCGCCAAAAAACACCAGATCAAAAAATAACAGAGATCAGGCTTATCGTTGCCATGAGTGCTTATGTGTTGGCGGACGATCCAGTTTGTCATTTCGTACTGGGTATTGATGAAGATACCTGTCAAAGCTGGGACAAATATATTTACAACCTTCGAGAGCGTTTGTTCAGTGTGTTTGCGTTTTTACAGCTTATATTTGCAATTTATGTTCGTTACTGGGCGCCGGAGGATAGCCAGTCAACTCATGAACGTAATAGCTGGGATGGCGTGGTGTGGACTGGATCTTTGAAACAGAGCTTATGCATTCTGCTTTTGGCGGTATGTGTTCTTTTAGTACTATTTAGTTGAGCCAGGTATATGAATGGTGAGTATTTTCATTGATCGGGATGAGTATTTGAGGCTGATCATTAGTTCCAATGAAGGCTATAGATACTAAGCAACTGATTGAAAGCAGTTTATATCGGGTTGAACGAAGCAAATTATTCATGGGAATCCCTAATTTATTTTCAATTGCAAGAATGACAGTAAAAAGAGAAACAAAGTGGAAAGAGGTCTATATAGGTCTTTCACTATACATCCTGGAGCAAAGCCAACGTACCAGGCCGACTGAAAGTGACATGGGACATGCTCAGGGCCTTGGTTTCGAATCCGGCTGCAGTGTATTCGAAGTAATACTATTGTTGTCAGCTATCGCTGTAGAATACTCAAGAGAGAGAGAATATGAAGCTTACGACGTATTTTCGGTAAAATATCTCCAGGTCCTCGTCCGATAGTTGATATTTCTCACGCAATAGTGGAGAGATGACATCCCGATAATTTGCTTGGAATTTTTGATTCCACTCAAGCAGACATCTTCCATAATGAGAGCCATACTGCACCACAGAGTCCAAGTCTAGTTGAGCGTTTGACTTTTGAACTGCTTCGAGCAATCTAGTGATACTTGAACAGTGACCGCCAGGGAATATCTAAAATTGGCGTATGCTTAGTTTCGGGAATTATTTCAGCCTATAATTGATATAGAAACTTACATATCGACGTATGAACCTAATCAGAACAAAAAGGTCAGGATCAAACACATGGAGAGAAAAAGGAGAGAGAGAAAAAGCAAGAGTGGCTAACTTACCCTTCACCCTTGGGAAACATGTTCTTGTATCTCTGCAAGTCAAATAAGTTAGACAATTATTCCAATCAAAAAAATTGAAGTAAAACCTCCTACCGATTCTGGCATAGTAGTTGTCTGGATCGAGCAAATGCCACCGCGAGGTTTCAAGACCCGATCGATCGTTGCCCACATAGTCTCCAATTCATGGTCGCCCATAGCTTCCATCATCTCCACTGAAACAATTTTATCGTAAGGCGTTTCTGGCATGGGCAGCAAACGATAATCACATAAATGAATGGTGATCTTATCTTCCAACCCAAGTGTTTTCACGCGCTTCCTTGCCAGCTGGTACTGCATCTCCGACAGCGTACAAGTCGTCACTTTACAGCCAATTGTTGTAGCTGCTCGAATACACATAGATCCCCATCCTGTTCCAAGCTCCAGGATATGACCTGTAGGCTGTGCATTCACGCTCGCCAGTATCTTATCCAGCTTGCGCATCTGGGCGGCTTCGAGAGTGTCGCTTTCAAAATTTGGATCGGTCCGCTCCAGATAAATAGGACAAGAATAGGTCATATCGGGTGAGAGAAAGGCTTCAAACATCTCATTGGAGAGATCATAGGCAGCGGTTATGTTAAGACGGACATTTATAAAGGTACCGGTATCGAAAGTTCGGAAGAGGAGATCTGAGACGGTTGAAATGAGCTGATAGGGCCTAGTGGTTGGACCGGAGAGGTTCCGCTCATTGAAAATGAAAACCTGGAGCAACAAGAATAAATATTAAAGAACCGCCAATTGCCTAGTATATATTGGGAAATCCAAGTACCTTGAATAATTGCCACCAAGTCCGGCGTCGAAAACTCTCCGAGCAAAAAGGAGTCTGCGAGCCCCTGAGGTTCATATAGTCATTAATTAAGGGTGGTTGGAATTCCATATTGAGAGGTAAGCAGACTTACAAGATCGGCAGAAAGAAACACTCGATACCAAAAAGTGTCGTTGTGTATATGGATAATGCCTCGTGGTCCATCACCTTTGCCAAATTTCCACCTTTGACCATCTCGAGAAACGATCTCTAGAGTACCAGTTTCGATTTTATCCAAGGCCGACAATATCTGGCTTCGTGCTATGTTCACTGGAACCCAGGAATTGGACAATGCTATGGTGGTACTTTGGAGCTTATCAAGTAACTGTTTGCCCGTAGAGCCGAAAGAACGACTTAAATCCATCTTCCCCGGCAAAGAATTGTTAGTTATACTGGAGTTAGAAGTAGACTACAGTATCGCAGCAGAGGATTTCTTAATTGTTCAATCTTGGGATGGGTTAAGGAAAGGGAAATCCCTGCAATTATCGAGAGATTCCTGCAATTTATACAGCATCTTACTATCATAAAAGAGCACATAATGGAAAATCTTTCCACTGTCCACTCAACGGGAAACCAATTAAGACACGATTTGGCGCTATCATCCACTCAACTACATCGATTCACAGCTGAGTATAGCACTTGTAGATGATAAAGGCTTACTATAACTTGGCGTAATTCACAGCTAGGAAAAAGCAAAAATAGATATGCACCGTGATTCATATCCACCGGTAGTGCCCAACTTAAACCTGAAGGCTCTAGAAAGCGATAGGTTTATTAGACGCGCCACATTAGAGTGGGCATCGCCATATCTATCCTCAGGGTGATCCTTAGCTTGAAAGCTGGACTGTACGAGATCCCATAGATCGGGTTCCTAACACGCTTATTAAATAAGTATAGATATCCTATTGGATTCGACATCGGTTGAATGCCTCAACTCAATCACGAAGTTAAAAGTCTTATTGATCAGATGCGAGCAAGTGCGTCTCTCATTGGCTCGCTAAAAAGAACAATGGGCGGCAGGATAGTAATCAATATGCACCTAGCGAGTAGCGTCAACTCCGGCATGGATACTACCTAGTAGTACCGGTGGTAAGAATACGAAGCAAGGATAGGGGGTTGTCACGATTGGATGCAATACCGAGAAAAAGAAAACATACATAACGTATATAGTATCACATTTTCCAAAGATTTATCCACAAATCGAGGGATCGCACCTTCCAAAATCATTTACTTATATTTGCCAAGCCTTCGCATCTCCTCCAATATAATATTAGTCTCATGGCGTGTTTCGAATCAACGAGTGATGCTAATCAACCCGTCTCATCTGATCAATAATCAATATTACTACCCTCGAAAACCATTTCTCACCGCACCTTAAATTTCCCAGGAAAATTCGCATAATACTCTATCGTGATGACACAAAGAGCAGTCCTGCCAACCTCATCGAGCGTAGACTAGGAAACAGATGAGTCAAATTCTCATCTCTTTCAAGTTGTGAAAATTCTTCCAGTAGACTGTCAACCAGCTCGAAATCCAGCTGGGCAGATGCTTTTGAGTCTTTATTAAAGTGCAAAGATGGATTTTCGAGAATCTGTATACAAGATCGGAAAAGTGAAAAGGAATTAATACGGGCTATAGGCAGATCTCCTTCAAACTCTGGCAGTATGGCATCTTCGATCTCGTCCATGGTGATAGGGAAGACAGTTGAACTGAACTTTTTTTGAGGCCGTTCTTGACTGACTTGGCGTGTAATTTTGGATCCGTTTCCCTTCAGATGATCAAATCAACAGATCATCAGCCAATTTATAGCATATCATATGTTGAGAATATGATAGGGACAGGCGATGACAGGAAGCGTCTCGTTTACTGTGAAACGACCTCCCTCGAGAAACCCGAAAGCGATCGCGGTCGTGAGAATCTGTCGTTTTCGAAAGACGACCTCCCACTGACCGACGAAAGACAGAACTAAAATTGTAACTCGGTACTGATCCAAAAGAAAGAGATTTACTGAACTCTCACACACATCTGATCCAGTCAAGCGACTCAATGCATGTTTGAATTTACTTTCATGAGAGCATTATAGAGATGAAGCACTACTGCCACATAATTGCTCTCACAACAAAGATAAATTCCTTCAAACATCGACCAGTAAAGGACCTCAAGTATATGACCAAGAGCAAACCAGGGCACTTGGTAATATAGATCTCTTGGGCGTTGAGGACCATCTGCAGCAGGCAAAATGCTTTTATAATCGTCCGCTGTTCGACAATGCTTGAGGATTTGGCAATAATACCTCACCCCGAAGCGTGCCGAAAAGCGTTGAAACCCAGGATGGAGCTCTGGAATATCTGGGAATCTTATTCGGGGGTATGATTATTGAAGAGTCACTTGTGAAATAATGATTCGACGTCAACAAGGTAGGGTGAGCTTTTCATGATCCTTTCGACCGCGTGGTAAGCTATATTGGTCATAAAACCAGAAAAGCGTGCCGGACGCTACATCGGTCCAATCTGCGTTTACTTTGGCGCAAATTGCATCAAGCTCCTATTATTGCAGGCAGAGCTTAGCAGTCCCAGAGATAGAGATAAATGAAACAGTATCTCCACGTAGATAAAAAGACTGAGTTCAATGTAATCCCCGATATCATCGTCTCGTAGAACTTGCTCGCTCATTTCAGGCAGTGACACCCTTGAGTCATCTATATTCGGCCTTTATAAATTCTCGCTCTGATCATCGAGATTATCGATCAGCTCAACATAAACCAATGAAGCAAATCAGTTTACAGCGTGGGTGGGTATTTCTTCTCCCTGTCAGTTGATCGAGACTGGGGGTGAATGTGATACTGTCTCAAGTGGTGAAAGTATGTGATAGGCCAGGTCAGGTCTTGAGATATGTCAGCCCACCATTTTAAGGAGATAATCAGGAAAAATAGCTCTTACCTATCTATGAAAGCCTTGTACTTCAAATCATCTTCTTATTAGCCCGGACCCCGGTGTTCCACAGAGGCAGAATGAACGGCACGCCTTTTGGCCAAGGCTTCCCGAAAGTTGGAGAACATATATCCAGGTACTGCAATATTCTTGTTCTGAATGTGCTTCGCAGCATTCACAATATCAGTGGTAGTAAGCTGTGAGTGGTGGAACTGTTCCTGACCAACAGTAGAAAGACGCCAGTCTAGAATTAACTTTGTCGCTTTTTATATGAAAGGTATAGAGATAGCAGCGAACTCTTCATTTTGACATTATAAAAGTAAATTAGAACTAACTAATGGGCGTTTTTGTCAGAAAGAAGATGGACTACCCCGCCTTCATTCCCAATGCAAGTAAAAGTAATACCTCCAAGGCTGTAACTTGCATAGGTACCTCCCACTTGAAAATACATGGAGATCATGGTACATGGAGCTTCTTTACTTTCCATCGGTTCTATTAGCTGAGCTTTTCTTTGTTTGTCTAGGCTTTCCTACACCTTTATGCGAACACAGACTTATTATCTCACACTCTAGTCTATACTTATTAACAGAGTGTTCTTAACTAACTAGGCGAAATATATTAATTGTCTTATATGTATTGTATACACGACGCACCAACTACTGAGACTAGGTACTAGTTTAACACATTGAGCTTTTGCAATTATTATACACAAATAAATAAAAAAACGCCACGCTTGGGAGGAGCTAATTTCGCTATATACTACAGTTTAGGGGACGAACAACCCCTGCTCCTTCACGAAGATGAAGGCCCCTTACTATCAATATCAACTTTACCCGAGCTATCCAATTGAGCCCCCAGTGGCTCTTCTCTCTGGAACTGCTCCCCTTCCTCCTCCGCTCCCATTTCACCCGGTGCCAGTTCTGCACCATCTTTCTCTAAATTTCGATATTTCCTCCTCGTCTTCTTCAATGAACTGGATTTCTTCTTCCGCGCTGCCGCCGCCTTTAGAGCAACACGACTCTGGTCACCCTTTTCACGCTCCTCAACCCTATCAGCCAACAACGCGCGCGCTATTTTCGCATTCTGAGATCGAGAGCGTGTAGCTTGACACTTAACAACAACGCCGGAGGGTTTGTGAGTGATCTGGACAGCGGAGTTGGTTTTATTCTTATTTAATAATCAGCGAACTTGATATGAAAATCCATTTCTTATTAAACACTTACAATCTTCTGTCCGCCGGGTCCGGTACCCTTGAGATAGGAAATCATTAAGTCGCCATCATCGAATTTTAGCCGTGGCGGGAGGGGTTTTTCGGGTAGGGACGGGGTTGTTGTGAAAGTTTGATGTTGTTGTACTTGGATTAATGGGTTTTTATGGTTCTTGAGTGATTGGAGGGCCTGAAAGACCCTCTGTCGAGGTAATGAACGAAGCATTGCGTATTGGGAGAAGTTTATGGAGTTGGATGTTTGGGGAGATGATAAGGAGGCGATAACGATAAGATAAGACTCAGCGTGGCAACACGTCTCTGCAACGCATTTACTACGCCCGGCACTCTTTTTAACAGCAACCTTAGCATCGTTAAATTAACCTCAAGCACGTTGTGTATATTTGTAAGCTCCGCTCATCCAGGAGTATTTAGAATATCGTTATTCCGACGGTAACGTATCGCCTGGTCTAAAATAATCATAGAACCGTCCGATCGTATCGTCACTATCGTAGTCGCGATGATACGATATCAATAATCAAAATTGTAACGATCAATCAATCTTGGCTAGTGAACAGCTTTTTCATAGTTTTACGATATCCTATCGTAAACAGCTCTACGTGACAGCGGACCTACCTAAATATTCCAGCGACTAGAATGATGGTCATCTCTCACAACAAATTTGTTTTCTCGCTCTTTCGTTTCAAATTTTTACTTATTTCCTTTCACTTGGTGGGATATCCTACGCATGTATGGTCGGGGAGAACCGTATCTGATGCCTCGTGGACCGCCTGGGCACATGACCTTCATTGTAGCAAGTTGCTGTCTGATTGGTTAGCTGAACAGAGCCGCACTAAGATCGATAAATCGGCTTAATATCGGCTTCATGGGTTGACATAGTACTTAGCGTCTGTTATCTATAGCTATGAATAATAATTGTTGGTCAATTTTAATTCTTAATGACCTTAATCACGGATACTTGTACTGTTAGGGCGTAGACTCGGGGAGGCTAAGACATTTCGGATTCGGCAAGTCGTCAGATAATCGGCCCGAGAAAACGCAATTGGTGGGCCGGCCAATGAAAGACCAGCGGATGGAGACGGACGAGTTAAAGTTACTTAATAGTTTCTCCACCTGCAAGCCGTTTTAGGAAGGCGTCGAGAATTTTCGAACGGTTTCGTGTGAGCTCTTGCTTGATGCTCAGTCCTGATTGATTGAACCCCTGGTAAGTCTAAATTGGCTTTTTCGATTTTTTCCCCCCTTCGCGTCACCTTCAGTGTTCTTTCGCCTCCACGCGTCGTTATGTATATGTAGTTTCTTTCCTCTCCATCATCTTCTTCAAACCGCACTACATATTACCCTTCCGAGTCGGTCTCTCCCCACGCCACCACACCGATCCGATGTCTTCGAAGCCCAAGGATGTCGGCGAGCCATTCGCCCAGGACGGATACGCTCACGATGGGTTTGGCGATATGAGCGACCGTGAGAGACAGGTGTACCAGGGTGGCATTCAGAAATTCAACCAGCTTGGCTGGAAGCAACTTACGATTGTTCTGATCGTTGAAGCTGTCGCTCTGGGAACCCTCTCGATCCCATCCACCTTTGCGACTCTGGGTATGGTAGCCGGTGTGATCTGCTGTGTTGGCATCGGTCTTATTGCCGTCTACACTAGTTATATCATCGGTCAGGTCAAGGTCAAATTTCCTCATATCTCGAACTACCCTGAGGCAGGCAGACAGATGTTTGGTCGCATTGGCTATGAAGTTGTTTATATGATGCTGTGTCTGGAACTTCTTTTGTCAGCTGGCTCGCACTGTTTGACTGGAACTATCGCCTTCGTCAACATCACTAATAGCGACATCTGTACCTTGGTATTCGGTGTTGTCTCCATGATCATCCTACTTATTTTCGCCATCCCGCCCAGCTTCTCCGAGATGGCTGTTTTGGGCTACGTCGACTTTGTCTCTATTATTATTGCCGTCGGTATCACTATTATCGGAACCGGTATCGAGTCCAACAACTCTATTGGCCTCTCTGCTGTGAACTGGTCTGCCTGGCCAAAGGACGGCCTGACCTTCTCCGAGGCTTTCATTGCCCTCTCCAACATCATCTTCGCCTATAGTTTCGCTCTCTGCCAATTCTCCTTCATGGACGAGATGCACACTCCTACTGACTTCCCCAAGTCGATCTGGGCTCTTGGTCTGATGGAGATCTTCATCTACACCGTTACTGGCGCTCTCGTGTATGCTTTCGTTGGCCAGGACGTCCAGAGTCCCGCACTTCTCTCCGCAGGCTCCCTGCTCAGCCGTATCGCATTCGGAATTGCTCTCCCGGTCATTTTCATCAGTGGATCGATCAACACCGTCGTCCTGGGCCGTCTTATCCACGGTCGTATGTTCAAGGGTTCCAATATCCGCTTTATCAACACGAAAATGGGCTGGATTACCTGGCTCGCAGTGGTGACTGTTCTCACTGTTTTGGAGTTTGTAGTTGCAGAGGTTATTCCTTTCTTCGACGATTTGTTGTCGGTGATTTCGTCGCTTTTCGTGTCCGGATTCACCTTTTACTTCCCCGCAATTATGTGGTTTATGTTCATTCGCAACGGTAGCTGGACTGCCAAGGAGAACATTCTGCTGACAGTGGTGAACTCTATTATCTTCATCATTGGTTTGATTGTGTTGGTTGGCGGTACTTACTCTAGCGTTGTCGATATTGTGAGTTCCACTTCCAGACCTATTTTAGTTGCAAATACTAACTATTCACAGATTAATTCCTATGCCAGTGGTACTGTCGGAGGTGTGTTCTCCTGCAAGTCCACCTAAAAAGTACTTAGCATTGAAAGCATCATGCAGCGCATGGTGAATGTATAAATAGATGTACAAAATAGATCTCTCATTGATTATTCGGAGTTAACATATTATCTACATCCTTGAGTTCATGCCCCAGGCAGCCTCCGGCATCAATACTAGCCACCAGCATTAAGAATAAGTCAATTAGGAATGAGCCAACGAGTGTCTACGAATTCTTAATGACGATTAACTTAACAGAGTACATATGTGGGTTACGGAGCATGTACAATGCATAAAGCTCAGAATCGATCAGATCCAAGTTCTCAAACTGGTTGACGCGTCCCATGTAGTGCAATCTTAAGGGTCCACTAGGTACTATGCGAGGTGCCTGATATTGTAACCCTTACAGAGACAAAAATGGCAAGGGACCATGGCAGATTAAGTCAACAATATTTACTGGACCTTATTAGATGTCTGTGTAAATTCTATAGCATTGAAAACAGAATTCGGATGCGCGGAGTACAATTTGGGGGCTTAATTGATTTTACTCCGGAGCATCCTTATTCGTTCCCGACTCAACAAAAAATCTCGGGGGTTTCCAACGCCTTGGCCACTTCACTCCTTCATCTTCGATCTTACCACCGCCCGCAAGCATTGGCTCCCCTTTCCCTAGATCCTAAGACACTCTTTGTTCCTTTTGAAGAACCTTTCAATCGTTATCATCATTTTGTGATCTTGCTTGCTTGACTGCACCCGATAAACCGATCGTTCCCCTATCCCCACACCCCCGACAACCGGCAGTCCCGCAGCGCCACAGGAGACAACTACACTCCGTACAGGATCTCGATCATTAAGGACATCCTGCCAACCAACCGTGACAGACTGCGCCCACACCCGATCGGCGAGGTTCGATAGCACAGCGTCGACTCTCTAAAACGGACCACCGTTACCACCAATCGACACAGATTGCGGTCATTCAATAACGGTCAGGGATAAAAGAAAGAAACAACCTCCTTTGCCCCGCCCCTGAAGCAAGGGAAAAAAGCGCCGAATACAACTTTTAATACCGACCGTTTAACTCATTTCGATTCTTCTTCGCCATGTCTCTTCTCTGGATCCTGAGCAGCATCGTTCGCTGGGTGCGCTTGAAGATCTACCAGTACGAGGTCACGTTCGCCATCTACATGCTTACCTCGACTGAAAAGTTCATCTTCAGTAAGGACTCCTCACTCCTCCAGTGGATAGCATTCTCTCCATATTTTCCGAACATGACTAATTTCTCGTTACCATAGACACTTTGCTCCTCACCCTCATCACTGGAATCGCTATTGGCATCTACGTTTACCTGCCTAACCACCTTCGCACAATCTACGGTCACTTGTGGTACTACTACGCCGGAGAGCGCCCATTCATGTCCTCACGACTCACATCCATGAGCTCCGTTTTTGGCGAGGCAACCCCATCAATCGATGTCATGTACGAGACAGTCAAAAATGCCGCCGCGACTGCCACAGAGCAATTGGGTGAATTATAAAGAGCCTCTAGGTTTAATGTACGATGTAATTCTTCATAGGTCCTAGGACTGTGACGGGAGTTTCAACCAATTGGATTGGCGTTTCGGTTATTTTTCAACGGCGGAAGACGAAAGGTGTAAAACAACGGCAGCGACCTCTGCCCTGAACCAAATGTTCGCTTCCTTCTGTATCGCCTTGAGCTGTTCAGTCGACGCATTATGGGTGTTTCTTTCTGGATCCTTTTACTTCGTTTCTGAAGGTTGCCGCTTGCTTCCCTTTCATCCCCGGTTGACTTCACTACTTATGCGGGCGGAACTTGAGGACATGCGAGTATACCTGTTATTCTTACAGTGTGGCATTGTATCGTCTATATCCTTTGGCCTGTCCTATTCCGTTGTGGAATATTTCATTACTCATGACTGATGCTGAACGAACTTGTTTGATGTGGGGTAGAAAACTTGGATAATTGGACTCTAGTGCAGAGTATTCCAGCTTTCCATGCAATTATTATCCCTGTTCGATCCGGTGGTTTGGACAATCTTGCACATAATTTTCTGGACAGGACTTATTAACTTGAAGACTGATACCAACATATAATAATATTAATCAAGGATTTGAATGAGAATCAAGATACGAGATAAACATAAGATGATCAAACAATCAATAATCCAAAATACCAGTCTTGGATACTGTACAATTGATAAAAGCATTTTCCTTCCCAAACGCCTGACATGCCAACAGAGTAGAGCATAATATGTTACAAATTGTCTCTCAAAATGCGCGTACTGATATTGATCTGTTCCAGTTCAATAACCCATCACAGTTCAGACAACCTCTCCCTTCAAAGCCCCAAAGACCACAAGATCTTCCCAAACCTAATTCATAAACCGCAATTTCAACTATTGCGCACCGCTCGACTCTGCTTGAGCCTGGGTCTGAACTTGTTGTGCCTGCAAAGCCGCAAGCTCCCGCTCTCGTCTCTCCCGCTTAATAGACTCCACCATACGCATACGCGCAAGCTCCTTATCAATCTCCTCTTTGTCGATCGGGATTTTATGCGATTGCTCTGCGGTAGGCCAGAATCCTTTCACGCTGAAGCGGTCGTCGAGGTTTGTGCCGAAGTAATACATCCAGCCGATGGGGAAAAGGACGTACATGCCGAACTGGAGAGTTTGGGGTTAGCGCGTCTCGAAAAATTGATATCTATCTAGAGGCATCATATTAAGAGCATCTGCAATTGCTTTTTCTTTGCGAGGGAGCACCAGCGCGCTAGAAAATGTGGATTGTAGATATTCGCGATTCGGCTCTTACCTTGAAGACTTCCAAGTTGCCACCTTGGAGTCGGCGGATAAAGGACGACATTGTGTATGGAAGGATTATGTTGTCTTGATAATTAGGTTGGAGAGAGAATCGGTAGGTTGATTTGATTTGTGTTTGTTTCTCGAGCGTGAAATGCAGCCTCGAATTAACATTTGCTTGTAATGGCCTGATTATCATTTGTCTGGTTTGCATTCACTGATTACTCATTCTTTGTAGCCCAGTCTTTCAGGCAGTAGTAGCTGCCTGAACTTCAAGGCTTCAACTGTCTAAACGAGAATTGCTAATACCACCCCTCAAATGGCTAAACCCACCCCTTCTAAGCCGCTTTGGGAAATTCTGCCGTATTTGTAATATGAGCCCTTAACAAGGCGGTGTAATTTAAAATGGGCGGTCAGGCGAGGTCCAGGCGGATCCCAAGCTTATGGGAGCAGCTAGGTGCCGTTGAAGATGCTGTAGATCGTGAGTTTTATGAGCAATGGTCCCAACAAGGCTCACAGCAGCCAGCAACTCAGCAATCGCGGAGGAGACCCGATACGTGTGGAAATTGGGGCGTGGAGGGGCATAAAAGGCCTGGATGTCCGCAGATCAACAGATTTGCCAGTTAATTCGACTGAAAATGCATTTTCCGGTGTTTTTAAAATCAGCCCCTGTTTCCTCTTTAGGTTAAGCTTGGAATGAGATAACTTGCTTGCATATTAAATGTCGTTAAATGTGTGGTAAAATGGAAGCTTTTTACGTGGAGATTTAATTTAATTCTGGACCGTATTCATGCTGCCGGCAGAAAATTGATGCCTTTGTGCCTCGTGGTATTACAAATACGGCGGTGAGCTTAGAAGGGGTGGGTTTAGCCATTTGAGGGGTGGTATTAGCAATTCTCGTCTAAACCATGCATAAAATATCACCTGACTAGCCGCGGGCCTCGGCTTCTGGTCTCCCCGCAAACGCCGTCGTTAGATTCACCAATGTAGTAGTCTCGGGGGCCATGAGATCATTTACATCCTCGGCCCCCATAAGGAAGCTCAATTCCAATCAAAACAATTAAAGACAATCCAATGCCCCAAAAGTGAAAGAATTAGTTTCAACGCAAACACACCCAACCATGTCCGACGAAGAAGTTATCACCGTCTCTTACCAGGAGCGAATTGCGATTGTCACGCTCAACCGCCCCCAAAAACTAAATGCCCTAAACGGCGACCTATACTACCGCCTCGCCGAACGCCTCCAGGAAATTGACGAGCGAGATGACATCTACATAACCATTTTAACCGGAACAGGCCGGTTCTTCTCCGCGTAAGCTAACCTTCTATTTCAATTTCCAAATTTCCACGTCAACCCAAACTAACTTTTCACAGTGGCGCAGACGTGTCTACGCCCCGAGTAGACGTAGGAGACGATGCCTCCCCTCGTCGCAATTTAGCCCGCAGCTTCGTCGCAAACAACATTGACGTAACTCGCACGTTCTACAACCACACCAAGATCCTAGTAGTAGCATTGAACGGACCCGCCGTCGGGCTTTCAGCAGCTCTAGTTGCGCACGCAGACTTCATCTACGCCGCGCCACACGCGTTCATCCTTACACCATTCTCATCTATCGGCCTTGTTGCTGAAGGCGGCGCGAGTCAGACATTCGTTGAGCGACTAGGCATTGCGAAGGCGAACGAAGCGCTGCTCATGTCTAAGCGGATTACATGTGATGAGCTTGTTAGCACTGGATTCGTGAACAAGGTTGTCAAGGCCGATTCCGGGAAATCGGATGATTCGGCGGGCTTCTTGAAGAATGTCCTGGCTGAGGTTGAGGACCGATTGGGCACGCATCTGAACCAGACTAGCTTGTTGAAGATTAAGGAGCTTGTGAGACGGCCTGGACGGGAGGCATTGGACCGTCAAAATGGCGTTGAGGCTTTCATGGGCTTGGAGCGATTCATGAGTGGGGACCCACAGAAGGAATTCCAGAGGCTGGCATCTGGTCAAAAGAAGCACAAGCTTTAAAGGAAGAATAGTCTAGAGGGGTTTTATTGAACTCGAGGATATATTTGTATCAGTAGATGTATATGCTGGACTTGCAGCGATTTTGTGGTTCTAGTATTATATGTACTTTTCAGGCCCCACAGGCTCTTCTCTGGCGGATTTGCATCAAACAAGACTGACAATACATCATGAACGTCAATTCAATTGCTTTTATGCCAATGGACAGCTTATTCTGAGTCACTACTGTCGTCTTGCTGCCCTTGCATTTGCCTAGCCAGGATGTCCTGCCACTTGCCCATAAATTCGCTCATGCCACCAGACCCAGCGAGAGAGGCATCAACCAAGTCTTTCGGTACCTTGTGAGCCGAGTATTGTGGCGTAGAGAATTGGTAAGCTTCAGGATCATTCTTTTTCACAAGACGAACCTCGGGAAGGAAGGGAGCGAGATCATCGTCGCCCCCCGCAACCTGTTCCTCTTCTTCGTCCTCTTCGTCCTCTTCGTCCCCTTCAGTCTCCTGTACAGACCCATTCAACTCTTCAGAAGTCATGATACTTCCATCATGAAGTGAGATTCGAACGAAACCACCTTCCACGCCTGTTTCATCATCCTCTTCCTCCTCAAACCCAATAGGGTCCTTCATGCGCAAAATCTCCAACCAGCTGAAAAGGAGAGAGTCCGTTCGCTGAGCCCACGGGTTGATATCGACCAGCCAAACGCGCTGGTGTGGCGCGGGCACATATACATCGAACACGAAGTTGGGATCTGGGAAAGTATCGCGCAGTTTTTCATCGAAGAAATCCTGAATCCGAGACCGGAACATGTCGCGCATATCAAAGAGGAAGTCGAAGTAGTTCAGCTCACGCTGGCACATACATATGAGTTTGCGGTTGCGCACAAAGCACCGGAACTCAAGAGAAGGGTTGAAGTTCACAAATTTGCGTAGAACAAGGTGATAAGGCACCTCTGGGATAGGTGAGTCTACTAGCTCGCCATTTTCAAGTCCTTCGGCTGTGGTATTATCGGGAACACAGTCATCGAAGGGGTGTTCGAGGTCATGAGTAATGAAGTCGCTGCTTTTCAGGAGGAGATAAACGTCGTTAGGCGTAGCGCATTTCGTGTCATTGGTTGCGGACATGAAGGTAGCGTCCTTTGGGGCGCTCCAATTTAGTTTCGGGGTTACTTTGCCGAATTCAGCGATTGTGCTCTTGATTTGAGAATGCAAGTCTGCCCATTCTGTCGATGGGTCTTCTGCTTCATCGCCGGAGTCAGAAAAAGTGTCGAGGTAGTCGTCATCTCTTGGGGGCGTGGGTTCGGGTGTGAGGACAATGCCATCGGCACGGAGGTACGAGATAAATTGAGGTGGAACAGGGATCACTCGGGATTTAGGTGCGAGGGTGCGGTATCTATACAATTATCAATGTGAGCCCCGTATCTGTTGTTTGGATGCGATTTTCTTCATACCGTGCATGCCAGTCATGGTATGAGCAGTGTAGAATGTGAGCATATGTAATTGGTGGAAATGGAAGGCGATCGGGGAGATCGGTGGATGATGATGCCTCAGCAACAGGCGCTTCTACTGGCAATGCGTCTGAATCCATGAGGGGCATATCGAGTATTTGTAATTGCAAAAGAAACCTTTGGAGTAGACAAAGTAGACAATGAATCATGGTGGGGCTCTTCTTTTTTCGAGTCACGGGCTGATAAGATAGATGACATAAGCGCGGCATACCTAAGGTAACGTACTGTAGTTGACAATTAGACCAAATCGGCATTCAATTCTCGCAGAGCATTCCTCCTAAAGCATTGTCCAGTATGGCCCCAGAGGCTCCTGATCCACAGAGCCTCAAGTCGTGGGCAGATGCATTCCAGTATCCGATTCCCACGGTTCGCCGTGTGGAACAGGAACTGCGCCGGGACATTGCCAGCAATAAGGAGAAGCTCCGAGCTCTCGTGGGGTAAGTTGCTTGTCGGGATGTCGTCAATACAGGTGCTAATATTTGCTGTGTCGAACTCTAGAACCCGATACCGAGAGCTAGTCGGAACTGCTGAGACCATAGTGGCAATGAACACGGAGATCAAGGAGGCGGAGTCGATTCTGACGGATGTTGGACGTCGATGTAATCCGCAGCTGGTGGAGAAGAAGCATGTTTATGCGCGACACATGAAGAAAGATGCCAAAGATAAGGGTATGGACCTTGGTGTGCCCATATAACTAGACGCGCCTGGTGTGTGTGCTAGATCCAATCGCTAACATTGCGCCAGACGTGGACAAGCATTCCTTCGCAAGTCAACTCGCTTTGCTTCACCGATGCACAACTTCCATTTCACGATTCCTACGAAAGCGAGCCTCTCTGCTGCTTATTGCAAAAATTCTTGCCGTATCTCGAATACTGCACAATACTTTGTCGAAACACGAATCAACTCCACCATTCCTCGATGACCTGCACAGCCAGCTGGCGTCACTCCGAGAAACTCTTATAAAAAGGATTAATAAGCGCCTAAGCTCTGTCGGCGCAACAGAAGACAGCATAATAGAGTCGTTGGCTGCATACTGCTTGGTGACAAGCTCTTCTTCCGATGATGCTATTCACAAATTTCACCAAAGGCGTCTGGACGTGATCACAAGCCAGCTTGAATCATCGCCACAAAATATCCCAAAAGCCTTGCTGCTTTTTGTTCATACACTCCAGACATCTAAGACTCTTCGCTCCCGACAGTTCTCCGATGTGCTTTCTAAGCTCAAATCAAGGCCTATACTCTCAGATCTCGAAATTCGCAATTTGGATGGTCTCGAGATCGAAGTACTAGGGCGCTGGGCCGCTCCCGAAGTGAACAATTTCACACCGTGGATTAAGTTGAGCGAGTTGAGTCGGAGCGAAGGTGCCGAATCAATTAAGAAATGGTCCTCCGAGGCTTTCGCAAGCTTCTCTCAAGGCTGCGAGAAAAGCCTCGTCAGCAGTAATGACTTTGCCGAACTACTTTCTCTGCGTACCGAGACCATTGAACTTTGGCTATCTTCATGGGGCTCAACAATCACCCATGGCTCGGCAGATGTTCTAGAACAGCTACGCACCATTTTCAACGATCATATCAAGCGAGTCATAACCTCACAAGTCCAAACTATCAACGAAATGGGGACAGAGGTTTGTTCAAGTATATCCAGCTGGGACATGATTGAGCATACTCCCATTGGGTCTCTGTGGGACTCTGACTTGATCACAGCTGATTTCTCCGATGGTGCAACATCATTCAAGCAGACAGTAGCGGATAGGCTACTCGGCCGCGATAGCGATGTATATGCCATATTAAAGAAATATCAGACATGGCTATCATCTATCGAAGAGAGAAGCGAGTCCATATATTCACTTCGTCGCCTTAGGTGGACTGATATCCTCGTCGGTGGTGAAGTTGATGACGAAGATACCGATATCACGCCTGGCCTGAACGACCATGATCCTAGCCTTTTATCCGATGCTCTTCATTCGGCCGTCAACCAAGCATTCAGCTCGCTGGAGAAATCATTCGAAGAGGCCTTCAGAGCCCTTGGTAATAACCACCAAAGCGCTAAAGCCACGTTCCTTCTCCGTCTCGTACGTCTTGTGCGTCGAGATGCCCCGTCAGCATTTGTCAAACAAGATTATTGGTTTGCGCACTCGATGGTACCCGACCTACAAAAATTATTGGTCGCCGATATTGTTTCACGAAGTGGTTCTTCGCCCGTCGTGTCGTCTCTTAAAACTCATCCCGACTCCAATATATTAAGAGTGGTCCCTGGTCGGTCGCTTTGGGAGGGTGAACCACCTGCACCGATACAGCCATCTCCCAGTACATTCAGATTCCTACGCAATTTGACCGCTACGCTTGATGAGAATGGGTCTGATTTATGGGACCCATCCACTGTCACAGTATTGAAGGGCGAATTACACAAGCAACTCGAGACTGCCATTACGGCTGTATTTGATGAAATGAAATCCTGGGATAATGCAAGCAAAATTACCACAGAAACCCCCGTTACAGAAAAAAGTGGCGAGGAAAATGGCAGTGAGGGCGGAGCAGCCAAAGAAGACTCTGCAAATGAGGACGCAGATTCCAAGCCTGAGGAGGCGGAGGATACATCTCAAAAGGATATTCATCAAGATTGGAAGATTCAACTTCTCTTCGACACAACATATCTAGCAAACATGCTAGGCGACCCGACTACCCAGCTGGCTGGTGTTGTTGACCGAATTCAGAAGAGCGCAGATCCAAGTGCAGAGGCCGTCAAAAGCATCCAGGAGAGTGCTGCTGAGTATTGGAAGCGAACGGAGCTTTTGTTTGGCCTGTTGGCGAATCGATAGTCTCTAGTCATGTAGATAGAGGGCTCTTGCCCTGTTATATTTTGATAGCGTCTTAAGCATAGAGCGTTATACGGTTGTTCTCCCCAACAAGCATTCTCTACGCGGAAATTCTACTCACTGAGTTTAGTAAAGTGATGTTCGAATAATTTCCATGCATCATTCGTGAATAGTACATATTATCTATCAGTCACCACCCCCATTAACGATACAGCTTGGTAGGAGACAAACGAAAATCACAGGTAGTACTAAGCGACAATCGCCCACAACGGACCGTTTCCTCCCCCGAGTCCGAGTCTTTCCTTCTGTGTTTTTGTTTCGATTTTCATTGTGGTTTTTGATCGACTTCTCCCTCCTTTTTATTCCGCTCCCTTACCGAATCGCTTCGACTCGTCCACGGATGGTGTTCAAACCTTCAATCGTCGTGATCAGCATGCGTTCAAAGTCTCGGAAATCACTGTCAAACGAGCTGGAGTGTAAAGTCTGCAAGTATAGGGACAGGCCGTTGACAGTCAGCAGGCCATCCAAGATAGAGAACTGTCGCTCAATCGGTGGCAGCATAGCATGAATAGCATAGAGCTCATCAAGATCGTGAACAGAAGATTCTCTGTCTAAACGAAGTTTGGCTTGGGCCTTGATTCTCTGGAAATCGATGTGGGCGTTTTCCAAATCGACCATGAGAGGCAAAGCGGAAAATATTCGTTTACGGGCTTGGATTCTACAGATCCTGATCACGCCTCTGAGACTAGGTGCGGGCTCAGTCCACTTTTCATCCATCATTTTGAACAAGTCCTCGATGAGCCGACCTTCTATCGTTTCTTGTGCTCGACGACGCTCATCTGAAATTTTGAGCCGACGTTTCCAACGTCGCTCCAGCTTGCGAATCAACTCTACCTCATGCTCTGTGAGTTCGATATTGTCCGGGGGTCTCTCCTCGATAAGGGTTGTCTCTTTTTCGGAATATGAGACGGAGAGTAGGCTGCTTAGGCTAATGAGTTCACAGCTTTCCAAGAATTTGCAAAGCTCGGGAGGACATCCTTCATATTCGACAAGGGTGACCACCTGTAAGTAGTCCTTCTTGTTGTATTTTTTGTACTGTTCAAGCATGGGATGTAGGAGATGCTTGGGGGAACTTGGAAAAGTGAAATGTTGGGGCATAATGGACGGCAATACCTGTTCAATATATTATTAGCAAGGATTACAACGGTGTAATAAAGAAGCAGGGTCATCAATACATCTCCTATTCGACCCAATGTATCTTTAGCGCCTCGCGGCTCCGTTGGGTAATGAGTCAGGTTTAGCACAATTGTAGTGAAATAGTCGAAGATGCGCTTCTTGATAATATCCACCATGACCGTGCTGCATGTTAAACTTCTGAGATGAAGTTCACCAACAGATACTGCAAGCATCGATATCTTCACAATTCTGCAAAATTTAGCTGTCAGAGTGGTCAAGCACTCAGTAAAGTCTCGTCGCTCGAGATCTGTGGTCTCCAAAAGCGCTCTGTCGGGACGGATCATAATCATTGGTAGGTGCCGAATACACCAAGACCAGGGCAGCACAATGGCATTAAATGGCCTTATTCTGCACAGCTAGCGTGGGTTAGACTTTAAGTATACTACGGGTGAGATTGAATAACATACAATGTATGTCGAAGCAAGCTCTATGAAAGCGAGCAGAGAATAGAGGTGGGACAGAGATTCTGGTATCATTTCCTCGATTATCTCAAGTAAGATTGACATTTCGTTGAGCTTAGTAGAAGTCAGCAATTTATACCAGTTAGTTACAACCCCCAGAAATACTTACAAAATCCTGTGATTTGTACTTGTTCATAGCCAAATGAAGTTTGCGAATTTGCTCCAGAGCGTCACTAGAAAGTCTTAGCGGAAAGGTGGGACTTGGATTGTTCTGCAGAACACTCCTCATCTTTCCGAAAATGCTCCGGCGATAGCGAAAATAAACCTCACTGCCTGCAATAATTTAGCCCGAACCCCTCATGGTTGTAGAAGGTAGGTGAGGAAAGAGCCGAAGAAAACCTACCTAGTGTTTGGACTAGCTGGAGTTGCTCCAGGATACCGGTAAATGTGTGCAGATTGCGCCAGTCTTTGCTCATCAAATGATATAAAAGATCCTCAAGTGCGGCAAGTGTGGGCTTCCATTGAGCATCATTGATGAGTTTGTTCCTTGTTTTCATGATCACCATTGGGGATTGATCCGCTGAACTGATGAAAGCCAACTCTGCAGCTAGGCTCTGTACCCAGTACCGCTCTTGAAAGTAATTAGTATATATAGATTAATCTAATGGCGTAGACTTACTGCGCGGAAGAAATTTCGATTTGAACGTAAGCGCTGGCATCAGACGTTGCGCATAGAGTGGTGAAACTTTGGCAAATACTTGCACGATTTCCACCAGAAACTTATTCATTAGCACTCTTGTGTTGATTCTGGCAGGTTTCTAGTTCCGTAGACTCACATCTATTCTGGCTTGACATTGATCGGTGTCTGGCGTCTCGTGAAAAAACGAACATTCCCCAGATCTGCGTTTCCGGCAGAATTCTAGTAGACATGAGTGGTGTGCATGACTACAAGAATCGATAATACGTACCTCTCATGATAAAGTAGAGACATGGTTTGTTAAAGCATCGCTTTTCGGTATCCAATGCCAATTGATTGAACTCCTTAAATGCATCTGAGAACACCTCTCGAACCCATCCCTTTCCTAATCGGAGCAACTCCTCTTGGGTCGCACCCGTGATGCGAATGACTCTCTGGACAGGTGACCAGCCAAGCATTTTGATTTGAGAAGGCTTGTCCGGGTGACAGTAAATACCCAAGAGAAGCAGAAGAGACTTAGCCGTGCTGGCATCCCGTGATTCCAGATTTTCGACAACTTTACTAGCAGCGATGATTTCTTCGGGAGATGAACTGGTTTTGCTGCCCTCTCTGGTGTTGAAGCGATTCACATTGGTGACGATGAGCTTTTCAAAACAGTTAGTGCTATCAAAGGAAATAGTTGTATCATCGCACTCACGAATAGAGAAATGAAGTCTTTCAGCCAGCCGACCTCTAATGATTTGATATTGAGTTGTCCTTCTTGAGCTGAGCGGGTTCTCACAAATTGGAATGCAATTGACCACTGGTTCAAAGTCTTTTCCAGAAAAGTGCCCTTTGCAGTTTGATTAAGTGTCTGGTTTAACTCAGAGTCTACCTCCAGTGATTCGGGGTGGTGGAGCAAACGCTCTGCCAAGAAGTAATTCAAGATGCTTTCTGCGACGCTCTGCTTGATTTGTAGCAGTAAGTCATATTCGTAAACTGCCGCCATGGCAGCCACTATATCTCCTAGAAGGAGACATGCTTCGCAATATTCAACCCATCGCTCTTGGCCCTTGTAGAAAGTCCGAAGTTGCTCGAACATCTCAAATTCGATGAAGAATTCAATTTTCTGTTCGTCGCTTCCAAGAAGATTGATCGTGGTCTCTCTGAGATCTGGCTGAATACGGCCTTGTTTCAGCAGAATGTTGAGTAGCCGTGAATATCGAAGGAAGATATTAGCCTTCAGAAGAGAGCGGTTACTGAGACAGATGTTAGAATGCTCGAGTTGTTGATCAGATGTAGACTCGCCTGTCGATGTAATTCACAACTAAATCAAATTGCTCGCCCCGCTGCAAGACTTCAACAGCCTGTTCGTACTTCATCTGTGAATGGAAGCAAGCCGAAGCTTCACTAAAATGGTGCCCTCTTTCGTAGAGCTCAGCAGCCAGGTCAAGTTGCTCTTTTTCCTTCCACAGTTCTAGTTTTGCTTTATTAGCGCCCAACTGTCTAGCATCGATCATGTCAAAGGAACCAACCTGCAGCTTTATCGTATTTTTCAAGCCCCAGGAAGCAATTGGCAGCCTCCGACCAACGCCCGATCCCAAGAAACAGAGATATGGCCTTGGTGTAGTTCTCGGTAAGTCCCTCTTGGTTGTTTGCAGCTCGACAGGAACGGCCATCTTGCTCGAATAGTAAGGCTTGAGCATGTGCTATTCCCTCAGAGTCGTCTGCCTTTTTGAAACAAAACAGTGCCTGCGTAGCAAATCAGCAAAACATGAAAACTGCAAACAGACATTAATAATGCAAAAATAACGGGATAAGTTACGTCTGCATAGTTCTTTTGACGTAAGAGATGCACTGCTCGCTTCAGCCACCTGTCAGGATCCACAGAGCCTCCGGCACGTAGAACGCTGATTTTCTCAGCGACCTTTTAATTTGTTAGTAAGGCTTCTGATTTGTAAATTACCCAAATAAACTTACATCCTTATGGCCTTGTCTGACACAGTCCACCAGATCAGTACTTTCACAGGCATCGAGAGCCTTAACGATGGGATCAATGCCATTTTCTGTGGTCTCCATAAACCAGAGCTGGCGACGTGCTCTTGTTACCGCAACGTACAGGTGCTTTAACCACTTGTTAGTTCATTTCGTTATACATAGGGCGGAGTAAATATCATTGGCAAAGAAACTAATTTACCTTGAGCTCAGAACATAACGCCTGTGTGTAGCTCAGTTAGCATGGGACTCTTAAATGAAATCAGAGGGGAAAGTCAAGAGTGAAGAATCCTACCGCGTGCTTTTGAGAGTCAAATGCATTCCCTGGAGACGACAATAAATGCAAGCAGCGGTAGCTGCTGCTTAAACCGCTGCCACCGAAAAAGTCGTAAACCAGTACATCCTCGAATTCCATTCCCTTGCTCTCTAGGATCGTCATCACAAGAGCTATTTCTCCTATCTGGGCTTGCAGTTTGTCTTTTGATGCCCCGTCACGAACCAGAATCACTTGCTCAGCACCAAAGTCAGCCACCTGGTCGTTAAGCTTGACTAGGCCTATCATTTTTGCCGAAAGAATGGAAGCATCAAACCCAGCTAAAGCAACTTGTTAGATCTCGAGCCATAGCAAATGTTCTGGCTACCCAGGGGTCAATACCAAATACCATCGGCCTTGGGCCTCTAGTCTCGCCGACTTCCGGATCCAGTTTGTCGATTGTTTCAGGGAAGCCTAATGAATAAGTCAGTAACTACCAGAACTCGCAACAATATAGAAGTCTCACCATTCCAAAGTAGCTGCATTACCCACGAGGCGAAGCTCAGGATGCCTTGATGAGAGCGATAGTTTTTGGCTAGCATGAATTGACTCGGTCTGGCTATCTCAGGCTGGTTGAGCCCCTTTACGATGTCCTCGTAATGCTCGTAAAACAGCGCCTTGATCTCCGGGAAACGAAACGCCGAGTCTTTTGATATGCACTGTGCAGTATCTCCCGCTGATATTCTGTCAGTGGTGAAAATTCTGATCATCATGGTTTGAGACTTACCTAAATGAATTCCCCGCGCATCACGCAGACAACTCAACAGAAGTAAAACATCTGGGCACCGTAAATCCTGAATTTCTAACGAAGGATTAGTAGGGAAAAGTTTGGAAATGGATTTGGTTATATACCGTCAACATATATTTCATCGAAACAACGACGAATCAGATTGGCGAGGTCTGGAGTTGACTTGAGATCCTTTAGAATCAGATTAACGCGATCAAGCTCATCAATCTGACCCCGTCCCTTCTTGACTCGCTCGTATCGATCGAAGGCATCGAATATCTTTTGACGATCTCCTTCAGAGCTAAATGTGGGCGATATCTTTGAGCTCTTCGACAAATATTGGGGACGCGTAAGTGACTCTAGGCTTTTTGCTGCAGTGATTGAGCCTTTGATCACTCCCATGATTTCTGCAAACAGTAACTCTGCCGAGCAGGCTGGAGGAGTAAGGCCCGATAAGCTACTCCAATATTCTGTCTTGAAAACGTGAAAGTCGATGGTTTTTGTTCCGTCCAGATACTGGATCTCGGGAGCCCTTTTGTTAGATAAGACAGGTTTCTTCTTAGTACTGTTAGTGTCCTCTAGAAAGTCCTGTCGGTCAGCTCGCCTAAAATTAATTAGATTATATCTCATAAACTTTCAAAAAGCAGGGTCTCATACCTGAAAGTGCTTTCGAGAAGATCTAGAAACTTGTCATATGGGCAGACAAACGGGAAATCTTCATCCTTGATCGCAAAGAATGAAACGGGCTTGTCCGCGTCAGTCGAATCCACTACCAGAGTGCCACCGCATTGAGTGGCTATCAAACTCCTTGCGTAAGTCTGGAGTTTGGCGGCCAAAAATGGAGATCGAGTTAAAAGAAGCTGTTTGTATCAGATGTTAGCGATGAATTGATTTCAACTACCTGTTTGTTAACCTCACCTGCCGAGGATAGTGAGAGCCGGGAATCTTCCGCGCTGCTTGGTATTTTGCGAGGATTTTGAACAGAAGACAAGTTGTCTTGCCAGTTCCACTTCTACCGAGGATCAGACTGGCGCTACCGTAATGACTGATAATCTCCCATTCTTCGGGAGACAAGTCAAACGGAAATTCCTCTTGGCCGGTGGTTTCTTGAATTCTCTGAAGAAACGACTCGGTCACATTGTAGAAGCGATCTGAATGAGACAGGTGAGTAACGTTTTTAAGATTCTAATGATTCTCTAATGTTTTGGATGAAGTGGGGGGCTTACTGGAAATCTCGAGTACTACCTGACCAGCCATTGAATTCAGAACTCGCTTTGTGTGCGAAACGCCTCGATTAACCGCTTCGTAGCGTTTAGGAAGTCTGGTACCGTCAGGCTGTCGTGTTGGGGCATCTTTGCAAATTATTACAATCTCATCACAGTAGCCATCCTGAACTTCAATGATATGCTCGATAGCATTGTTGATCTTCGTAGAATGGGAGCGTTAGTATTGGGAAACCAACAAAGAAATTGATCAGTACTAACCTCTTCAACGGTTGTCGCAATTCTCCACACTGAATGTAACAATTAGTATCAAAGGGTACCTGTAACTTGATGGTTCTGTGATCAATATACCTTTCACAATTTGTTGTTGAACAAACGGAAGCTCTTCATAGTAGCCCACGTCCACTTGCCATATGATCGACACCGAGTCATTTACATGAGCTCGGACAATTGGAACTCGCATCTGCTGGCGCTGCTTTCCCGTTCCCACGCACTGAGAAAGTTTCGTCCACTTTCCGGTAGCTAAGCGGCGCAGCTTATGATCGACTTGAACAAATTCTCCTACTCAATGTTAGATTGCTCCCAGTGAGAATTGTCAGAAGATGGGGGCATTTACCTGCACGGGCAATTCTCTTCGCACTTTTCATTGCAGATTCTGACAACACGACTTTCCAAGGTCCAATCCGTTTCCCGAAAATCTCAATCTCAATCGGGGTGTTGAAATCAAAATCCTCCGAAATGTGCTGACATGTGTTGTCAGAAAAAGTCAATGCAACCCCAGTTAGTCTTTCCTGGCACATTCTGCAAGGAAGAGTCTCGAGGACGTCACGCATCAGTTGAGGAACAACCTCCATTCGTATTTGAACAAGTGCTTGACTCATTGCGGATACCGAGCACACCTTAGGAATTGAAAGCTCCTCCAGCGCCTTTTGTATGAATTCCGGTACCACAAAACGGGTTGAGGATTCACGGCGAGCCACATTGGTTTTTTTGTCATCCACGCTGAGCTCTTTCATCGATCTAACCGGAGGGAGATTTTCTTTTGACTTCGTCATTTTGCTTTTCTCCTCTGCGACTTGAATTTCCTGTTGGAGATCTTGAATGAGGTGTCTAGCTTGATTCCACCTCTCATGTGCCTGGTTGATGTTATGATCAGCAATGCACGCATCGCACATGTTGAAAAGAATTTCTGTTATGGCCATGTAACGAATGTCGTCAAGGTAGGTTCGCTTGGAAGACAGCCACTTTTTCAGAACCAGACAATATTTCTCATCAGCCAGTAGGCGTAGAAGTAGTGGCTCATAAGATAACAACATCGTAGCAATTTGCTTAAGATAAGAGGCTGGACTTTCGGTGACAAGCGGCAGGGCCGCACTGACGAGTTTGACTGATTGGCACAGAGAGAGTGTCGTTTCCTCCACATCCACAAGAGGTATCACAATACTTTTGAAGATCTGCTCTGCGATTGGCGCAGAGAGGTGATTGGATCTTAGGATTTCAAATGCTTTCTCCAAGCGTGCGAAAGTTCGGTCTGGGTGCATGACAAACAAGTCTCTAAGCGACTCAATTTTCATTGCAGCCGGGATGTGATCATAATATTGTTCGATATTGGAAAGAGCACGATTGAATTCGTGCAGAGCAGGATTATCGTCTCTGAAAAGCAAGGTGATCAATGGAATCTGAGGAAGTTTGACAGTTGCCATTGTTGTAGGCGATGGAACGACTTAGTCGTTGCAGCTTGTTCGCCGCAATACAACTATTTTCGGGGTCAATTGATGGAGTTGAAAGATAGAAAAGAAAGACGATGGTTAACAAGACGTAATACGCGTTCAATAACTGAATGAAGGTTGTTGGATGGTTTCTGAACGTGCTTTGGGCAGGACGAGTCGAAAAGTGGAGAGGGTGAGAGGGTGGGTGAGAGGGTGAGGTGAGGAAAGACAGTTCAGATGAAAACAAGCCTTTATTTGAGTACTATGGAAAGCCCCCTACATCAACAACATATACCACAGTTGAAATTGCGTGCGCCTCTTTCGTTAGGAATTGCTCGTAGCAACAGAGAATACTACAAATGTTCGCCATTATAACCCAAGAGATCATTCCTTAGACCAGGCCTGAAATTACAAGTGAGAAAGATAACGCTTTATGGGATCTGTGGGTAGACCCATGCATAACTGGAATAGTTATGAACACATGTGCAAAACAAAACAAAAACACACGCTCCTCTTGGTTTCTCCCATGATACTGTTTGGCTCCAAGAAAGGCTAGAAAAAAATGGCTGATAAGAGAGATGAACTTTGTTCAAAAATAACCAAGTCGTATGATAAGGGCTGGGCACGATATCGTGAATTTAGCAACATCGCTACAGTACCATCACTGAGTGATAATATCGTGCAGATAATATTTAACGATACGATATCGCTTTGACGTATCGTGAGGCTTCTAGCTAGCGATACCCCACCGTAGCCTTGGCTTTTTCTCAGCAATACGATATCGCTAACGATATTACTGTGTCGATACTGTATACTACCGCGCGCCTCTGGCCTTGGTTGAAATAAACGAGCATAGAAATGCTTTATCGTTATTATATACTATATCTGTAATGCATGTGTATAGCGACAACCTTGGAAAGTGGTGCACATATGAAGCTGTAAGATTTCTTCAGATGGCCGTGGTAGTTTACCGCCCGCATACCGTCTACATCTTACAACTTCTCTCTACACTTCACTGGTGCTAGGTTAGCGTTATATCAGAAATAAAGTTATTCATATCTATTTAAATTCTATTACACTAGCAATTAGGACTCCAGCCTATCGTTATTTCAATTAAGGCTATTACTAACATGCTTATCCTTCTCTCTAGGCTATAGCTCCTCCCCATCCTCATCCTCCTTCCAATCCACTTTAACCCCAGACTCATCAACCTAACCAAGTCGCACCATTATCCAACTAGGACTCGACCCAAGCGGCACATAATCCACGTGATATATCAAATTACGTGCACAACGGGAAACGACATCGCTATACCACGCGTGAACATCACGATAATTCTAGAGCGTTAGCAATACGATGTCACTGCGCCGTATCGTACGGGTTTATACTAATAACGATAACTTTCAACGGTAATATCGCTAGAAATTCGCTTAATCGTTAGCAGTAACGATAATTCAAAATTCTAGCAATATTGTATCGTACCCAGCCTTACGTACGATGTAATGAACATAATTCTCGTCCGGTAAAATTCGTGAGTAAATAGTCTCAAAGAAAAACAATAACAAACAAGGGTGCTATATCAATTAATAGCAATGTTAACAGCACTTAGGAGTGAACTACATCCAGACATCTAGATGCTATTTATACCCGCCAAGCAGCCAATCACAGCAAGATAAATTATAGCCTAATCCGCTGACGTAAGCTTTCCCGTTCCCGCGGGGGAGATCAACGTCACTCGCACTTCGCCGACGGGAAATGTTTCTGGTTTCTTCCAACTTCATTGCCAACCATGGCCACGACCCGGCTCCCATTTCTCTACCCTAATCTGATGCGTGCTGTTAGAGCATGTGAACCGATAACATACCATTCTCACCGACTACCTACAACCCGCCACCGATTTCATACTAGCCGTCGATTGGGCCAACAATCCTATCAACGACGCTATGGTCCAGCAGTTGAGCCAAACCTGCCGCCCCCCTTGGGACCCAACAATGAACCAGTGGAACAACCAAGAGATTACTCTGAGGAGGTCAGCACTGAACCAGAGAACATAAAGGAGGCTAGCGGACCAACAGAGCAGCCGCCATCAGAGCAATCACCGTCGGAGTCTGAGTCACAGCCACAAGAGCCAAAGGTTGATCCCGCAGACGCTGCAGCTTCGTCTCTTTCTGAGCAAGCTGCAGCGGATTTAGCGGCAAGCAATGCCACGATAGAACCTGAACAGCCTGAGGAGCACACCACCGAAGATGAAGCTGCATCTGCATCGAACCCCTCGGCTTCCTCCTCTTCCGAACATGTGGGAGAGGAAATGTCACAAATGGCTCCGTATGCGAACCGCAGTGCTTTCGATGAGGTTTACCATATGCCATCTCCATCGACATTTTTGACTCCAACGACTAAGCCGGAGTCTGAGCGGCCGCCCCACATGTCCCCAGCACCCTACGTACACCACTTCGATACCTACTCGCTTGTTCAAAATCTCTCAGGAGGTGGATTCACCAAGGCGCAATCTACTGTTATCATGAAGGGTGTGCGAGGCATTTTGCAGAGCAACTTGGACTTTGCCAAAGAAAGTCTGACATCCAAGTCAGATGTGGAGAACGAAGTGTATCTGTTCAAGGCAGCCTGCTCTGAGCTTCAACAGTCTTTGCAAACAGCACGAAACTCTGAAGTACAACAGCAGCGAGCCTCCAGGAATCAGCTGGAGCACGAGACAGATATACTCTCTCAACGTCTCAACCAGGAGCTAGCGGGCATGAAGGATGAAATTAAGGGCATGTTCAATGACCACAAAATGACCACTCGGGAGCAGCAGCGGACCATCGACACTATGGTTCAAGAACTGAACTACAAAATTACGGTCTCGCTTAACAGTGACGGGAAGAGTGAGATCGAAGGCTTGCGATGGATCTTGACAAGGCGTGCTGCGCTCTCGCTCGCTATATGTGCCCGTAAGTCAATCCCCCAAATATCAAATATTTCCATCTTGTCTTGATTTCTAACCCATCACCTAGTCTCAATGATCATCTTTCTGAAGTATACTTCCACCCAGAAGGTACAAGAACCACCTAAGACGAAAACAATCAAGGAGGTCGAGAAGCCTGTCAAGGAGGTTACTAAAGAAACCCGAGTCATACATGATGCTGGTATTAAAGCCGGATCGCCCTCTGTTCCCGAAGCACATCTCGGGGAATCGCTTGGTTAATTGACCAAATATTCTCTCTCTTTTGCCCCTTTGCCCCATCACTTCTTTCACATTCTGCATCGCAAACACATGCATGCCTGTCATTTATATTTTCCTTTCTTCTACAAAAGCCCCATCTCGTCAGCGAGATGATGTGTATAACATGAATAGACTCAGATACCCACAGGATACACTACCCTGTCCCAATAGACTTTATCCGATCTTCAAACTTCCTCACAGTTGAAATTAGATTCAACCTCGAGTTTCATTTCCGACAAACCAATTCTCTATTTATCATGGTAACAAGACTGTCTTCGAATTTCCACGGAATTCATGGAAGTACATGGGTAGTCACCAATGGTCATCTAAGCGATAGTATAGGCGATAGATAAATAAATCGGAAGATAAAAATGAGTGTCAGAAGTCGCTCAAGCGTCACAGGGAGATGCTCTGGTCAAGTCATATATACAACATTAAATGCTGGCAAAAGAACAGTTCCATGCGAGTATTTAGAGTGTGAAGTGAGGCCTTTCTGGGACAACTTCAATCTTGCCCGACTCTATGATAGAGTTGGGCGAGGGTTTCTGCTCGGTCTCTCCCAAGGGAGGATCAACCTGACCCTAATGATACGGTGGTTTGATGGGCAGATTGATCTGTAAGAACCTCGAAGAGCATTCATGAATATTGAGGTTGTCGGTACTGTATCACATATCACAAAGTTCTGCTTATCCAATCAAGGGTCTGCAGAGCCTTGCTGGAAAAAAGCCAAATCGGAAAGAAGATCCCAATGCCCATCGGCTGACGGACCTAGGCCCAGGAACTCAGGGAAATAGTAATTACCAATCCCCTCGTCCAGAATATCCTCCAGGGGCTCTGGAGCTATCTCCACGCGAGGGCGTAACTTTTGATGTACCTTTGCAATGATATTTCCGAGAGTATGTGCAGCATGACAAGGCAAGCCAATGCACTGCAGCCAATCAACAAGATTATGAATTAGTCCGTCTAAACTTCTAATGTTATATTTAGATCTTAGCTGGTTTTCGTAGCTGCTCAACAAGCGACATATCACAATCGCAGCAAATGTGATCATGTGGTATATATGATCCGTCAAATGCCGGGTTCGGTCATCCACTGTGTCCATTGCCAAGTGAATGATGGCTGTTGAATGGCGAACCATTTCCGATACTATGGATTCTTGATCGCGTTCAGCATTTGACTTCAACGCATGCTCGTATGAGAGTAAATTCGAGAAATGGAATCCCATGATTAGGAATTGGGATCTTGGTTGCTCTGAAGTTATACTTGTAAGAATGGATGCCTGGTGGCAGAAATACAAAATCAAAGACATACCTATCACAAACTCCCACCTCTTTCTCCATGCTTGCAAAGCCGCGACCGACTTGAGCAAGTCTATTGACTCTCCAATCAAGTGCTCGTATACAGTCCAGTAAAGATGGATCTCAGCAACCATTCGAAGCTCGAAATTCGTTGCATGATCAGAATTCATAACGGTTCTGCATCGTTCGATCTGCCAGTCTTGTAACATAGATCTGCGACTCGTCCCAACACAATAGTGCAAATGTGCTAGACAGAGATGGTTCCATAAGCAGCAGTGATCAAACGTTTTTTCATCAAGGTGAATTGTCGGTTGGGTCTGAGAGGTGACCACAGCAAATAAAGGGCTCGATTGACTATGCTGCAATGCAAATCCACTCAGAAGCCAGCTGTCAATACTCAAGGGAACCTGCCCCACAGTCGTTGACCACATGCACAGAATAAGAATCGCTTGAAAAAATTCGATAGGCTGTGGTGCTTCCAAAAGTGTGCTTGACACGAAGGACCGAGCGCATTCATAAAGTCTGGGGGCAAGACGTGCCGCCAATTCCTCGGAAGTATGCCGCACTGCAATTAAGCAGCATGCACAAAAAAGCAAAGGAGATTTCTTCACACATGGCAAAATAGCGACCGGGTCACTGTCTGGATCATAGCTAATCCAACGGCCATAATGTTCAAGAAATCTACAAATTTTTATTATTAGGTTTAGGCATTATCAAATCATTCGTCCTGCGAGATAAAACTTACATCGTGACAAGTGCTAGAGCTAGATCCTGGGGGATCAGATCATCTACAACTGCTGCAGTGCCCTTTGTGTCGGGGGTAGACTTAACCCCCGAGTCCGCAGCTAGATTCCGAAGAACCATAATCGGGGGTGCGGGAGATTCCGTCTCCTCGTATGTAACTTCCCCAGTTTCTGGGGTCGTCAGTGCGCTGGGTCTATTGGACTCGTGATCATCAAACCCTGCTGGGCCCTCGCCCAGACGATCAAGGAGAGTTGCTACTGTTCTCTCTAGTCGCTCCAAGCTAAAACATGATATCGATCAAGTTCATTAGTTCCTAGAAGGCCTTATCAATGCGGGGAATTGAAGAATGAGCTTCATACCGCGCATCTGTTCCCGAATGAGGTGGTGACTCTTCATCTTCTTGTTGCTCTGATTCTTGCACCAGCGAGCATTTTTGGTGCAGTCTTTCGCATCGTAGACATGCCTTTCCTGGAACCCCAGGCTCATAGCAACGAGTTTTTTGTTTCCTGCATGATGTACAGGCGCGGGAGGCGCGGCCTCGGTCTGGGGGCATTATGGACACCAGACTCGACCCGCGAGAAATATATATGTCCTTAGAGAGGAGAAGAGGAACAAATCGAATTAAAAGTAGTTAAGCCATGGATAATGCGCGATGCGCGAATGAGATAACTGCCGTGACATTCTCGTGACAAGCATAAAGCGGCGTCACCTGATGCGGATAATGTAAGCGCGCCCCGAGTTTCCTAAGAGGGACAGTTTAATTGCTTTAATTTTATTTTTGCTCGGATACAAATCTTATGGAGGCCCACAAAGTCACAGAGAGATTCTAGAACGATTCGTATAATTTTCAATAAAGAAGGGTATTTTTTTGTCTATACATGTGTGCACTACTGCATTCAGATCGTATCACATCAAACGGAACATCCTCTCTAGAAGTCCATGCGCAAAGCAATACTCGGCGCAGCTTGTTGCGCGTTGTCATTTGATTCGCCCACTTTTGAGGCGCCGTTCCCAACACCTATACTGCGAAGGACTTCCTCCAAAAGTGATTTCTGGTCGGGGTTCATGTTTGCAACCAAAGTTCGGAAACTAATTTGGTCGGCTTTGGCCAATTCGAGTAGATTACCAGCAGACTCCTGGTAAACCGTCGGCCCCTCGCGCTTCGCACGAGCTAACAAAACTGACATCACAAGAGAAACGGCAGCCGGGATTTCACTTGACGTAAAAGTCGAGCTGGTGACACAAGACACGAGTGTACGAGCAACGACCGTTCTCGAACTTTCCGGGTCGTTGGGAACCTCGCCACTATCAGTAGGGCAACCGACAAGAAAAGCGACCAAGCGAGGAATGAGATACCGAGAGATAACATCGTCGGTCATATAGCGAGGGCTGGGTTTGAGAACGATTGAACGAAGGCAGCTTGCCGCCACGGTAGCGAGCCCAACATCCTGGAGACAATCGAGTAGCTCATCTAGAACACGATTGATTAGTGGATCCTGCGGAGGGAGGACGTGTCCACCGGCTGTCAACAGGAAAGTAATTGCCAACATTGTATTCTTGGCACATGGGATGGATGTCTCGGACTCTCGACGCTGGGCAATGGTCAAGATGGTCAAGAAACGAGTGAGGCAGCCCCGCATCTGGAAGGCAATCACGTCCATGTCCTCTGGGACTTCGTCTGAATGTGTGATCCCGTGGATGAACTGGCGGAAAATCGGCAACGCCTGGGGGACAACTTCTGTCTGGCAAATTCCAGTAGCGAGGATCGTCGTGAATATATGCAAGATACAAGCATGGAGGTCGTTGCGAATGATGGAAGGAAATACCGAAGCAACATCGACAAGGGAGCGAAGCGCCAAGCGAATAAGTGCGAGAGAATCGTCCGAGGAAACATTGAAACGCGCAAGCGGGGTTGATTCGCGAAGGTTAGGGAGCATGCCTGCAAGAACCAAAATTATGCTCCTGGTCAATTCGAAAAGCTGTTCGATGTCGTCTGACAGATGATCACTTCGTTCTTGATCGCTCTGGGCAGCCGGGTGATCTAGAGAGAGATTTTGTGCGATTCCAACAATCACGGTTTGAATTGGTGTGGTCTCGGTCAAGACGAGTCGGTCGAAGGTGTCCATAGTCTCCGAAAAGATAGCATCTTGGTATATAGCATTGCCGGAGATAACAGGTCTTAAGATTCTCTTGAGGGCGCGTAAAATGTCCAACCTCTGGGAGGTGGAAGTTGCTTGGTCAACCAGTGACTCAAAAGCAAGACCAAATAACACGAAGAAGAAAGCAAGAGGCTCGTCGCGATAATTTATGTCATGGCCCTTTCCTTTAACCTCGCCATTGGCAGGATCATCTGTTTCCTTCTCTTCGCTTTCTCTTGAGGTGCTGGGTTCTTCAGGCTGGAGCAGCTTGCCGTCCAAGGCATCAAAAACAAAGCCAATATCTTTTTCGACCAAGCCGGCAATGGCATCAACAAGGCTGAGCCAGGTGTCTTGGTAAAACTACGAAGTGAATTAATATATCGTACTAGAGGCAATTAATTGGTGTTAGGACCTACCTCGAGTAAGGTTTCCCGGTTCAATGCAGCGTAGACTTCATCTAGGTCGTTACTCTGAGTACTAGTACCCAAAGCACCTGATATATCCGGCTCGAAGCGCAACCGCGCATATTCTTGGAGAGAAGAGAGCCACAATGGGGTGAGCTTGGCCAAGTAAGGCTGAACAACTTTGTTCAGGTATTCCTGCTCAATACTGGCGATTTGAAGCTGAGCCCAGGCAGAGAATAAGGCTAGCTTGACCATCACTCTGGCGTTAGAATTCAACCCCTTAAGATCGCCAATTTCCGTGGTTTCGGGGTTTTCTGCATATCATGATTAGCATTGAAAAGAGCATCAAGAATATTCAACATACTAGCGAAGTTTTCAAGACCAAGGACTAAGAGCTTAAGAATTCGCCCCATGCGGTCGACATTTGTCACGATTCCTGTTGCAATAAAGGTAGCCGAGACGTTGATTGCTTCTGATGCCAGCTCAGGAGAAGAATCAGCAGCAAAGGCGGGGGTGAGCGCAGATCCAATTTGAGCTTGATACTGCTCGAGCAGTGATGCCTCGGCAAAATCAGGGTCCGGTGTTTTCCCAAACATCTAGAGGTAAGTTAGCACGCAGTTCTCTACTAGAAGAAAGAATGATCGTCATACAGTCAGGACTTGATCAATGATCTTCAGGCCCCACACACGTAGCTCAATCACGTTGGAAGTTGATGCCGAGAATGCCATCCGCACAATATCGCCAACCTTCGATTGGAGCGCTAGTTCTGCCGGAATGGTTTGGTCCGGTAGAATGGCTTCTTGCACTGTCGCCAAAAGCTCAGAGAGGCATGACATGGCAAAGTTGCGACTTTGCCATTTCAGCAATTCTTGGCCAGCGATGGCTTCATTGGCAGGGTCGCCCTGGCCGTCCCCAGCTGCTGCGTTGGCAAACCCAGCTACTTCGTCGTCAGGAATATCTCCCGCGGCTGTCTGAATTGTGGTAGTAGGTGGGACTTCCACTTTATTGCGCGTCTTGGTCATTGTATTTTGACAACGCTGAATCCACATCTCAGTCTCAGTAAGCGCAGTCTGTTGAAGCCATTCTTGAATCATTGTTTTCAAGGGCGCATAGTCTGGCGCATCATCGAATGCAAGCCAGATATCATCTTCGAGGGTTTCACTTGCAGTTTGCAAAACAGAAGTGGCATCGTGCTTCATAAGATTGCTCAGGCCACGCACGGCCACATCTCGCATAAACGGATGATTGGCCCGAAGCTCCTTTTGCAAACGTTTCACGTAGCCCGGAAAGTCTACATAACTGGAAGCGTATAAAGAGAAGTGGTCTAAGCATTTTGAGCTCTCGGTTACCAGAGCAGGATTTTCCTCAAGCTGGAATTGGCGCAGAAGAGTCAAAATGAGGTTGCGAGTCTTGGCAACGTCTTGCAAGTCTGGGCCAAGGACGTTAATCAGCGAATCAACACATCGACTGATAACCACAGGCGTCAAAAATAGCATCTCAATGTTGGATGTAGCCAAAGATGCACATTCTTCGTTGTGGGTGTCAGCGTTATAGAGTTGAGCGAGCATGCCCAATGAACTGGAAGCGAAAGGCGAGAATGTGAGACCGGCTGAATTTGCTACTCGCTCCAGCCCGCCAAGGGCCCAAAAATGGACAACTGGATGAGGGTCATTGCACAGAGACATGAGGACCCCGACAATGGTCTTGAGATGCAGCCCAGCCGCCATGCCGCCAACTTGAGAATGAATACAACCAAGAGCGGCAGCACATCCGGCCCTCGCATTGGGTTCTCGATTTGCGACAATGGTGTCTACAAGCCAGTTAACTTGCGCATTGGTGCAAGCGTTTCCTGCACTATCACACAATCGTCCCAACGCCTCCACGCCAATCGTACGAACAATAGGGTCAGAGTCAATTGTGAACTTCTGAACGAGTTCCTGCAAGATTTTATCCGTTGAGGTACTCAACTTCCCTGCCACGAAATCGGTCTCTTTAACAGCAACTTTCAGGGCATGCAAAATAGCAACAGAGATATTGATACCCAAAGCTGCTTTCCGTCCCGGATTTCTCTGAAGGCCGGGTGATGTCAAAAATGTAGCAATTTGCTCTACGCTGCTCTCTTGAATCTTTGGAGAGTGGAGGGCAATTGCAATGGCGAACAGCTCAATTGCAGAATTTATCACACCTGTAGTTGGGGGATCGACAGCAAGAGAGTCACCATCTCGTAGACTGTATAGAAGTACAGAGTCATGTTCACTGGCTTGGCAGATAGGGAATGTCAAGGGTTCATCAAAGGCCTCGTCCGAGGGGTCAATGGCAGAGCATGAGGTGCTATGGTCACTGCCATGAGTACCAGACAACGCGGCGCTAATATACTCGCGCGCAAGTCCAGTGACGCCAAATCCGTAGTTGTCGGAGAGTTCCCACAGTCCATCGAATTGTCCTGTGGAGCCTGCAATAGAGCTTTCCAGGGGCTTGTATTGTGCGTCTGGGTCCGCAAATGAAGATATAGCCAGACTGAGTAAGCTAGACTGGGAAATGATGTCTCCGTGACTGGAATGGTGAACGTGAACCAGTTTGGTGAAAGATTGCAATACTCGACGGCGGACCATGGTTTTATAGTCGTTCAGCTGCAGGGAAGGGTGCAAACGTTGCGAGATTTCTTCCATGGACTTCGGACGAGGGAGATCATCCAAAAATTCTACCGTGTTCTGCAGCATGGCAGCAATTCTCTTTGCGCCATCCGCAGTTATAAGTTTGCTGTTGAACTCCATGAAAACCAAAAGGGCACTCAGGGCACACTCACGAACATGCGCGAGGAAGCTAGTCTCGAGGGTGCTTGGTTGGGCAGAGTTTTCCTTGCTCAAATGCTTTGGCAGTGCATTTTTCCATAGCAGCATCAGTTGTGAGAGATGAATCTTCACAAAGCTGGGACCTAAAGGCATGAGACCACCTATCAAAATCCATGCTACCTGAATCTGGGTGCTTGCAACTCGAAGTTCAGATGTGCTGCTGGTTTTGAGGAGGTCTGTCGCTTGGGTAAAAATGCACGCAAAGACATCTACTGCACCATAAAGCGGCTGTAGACGAGACGTACTCAGCATTGCTGAGAGGCCATTTGCGTATCCTACGCATCGGCGGGGTGACTGGCGGGGTGTAGCAAGCTGCCCAATTTCTCTGTTCAAGCTATTCATGCAAATTGTCACGCATGAAAGAAGTTGAGGGGGGCAAGCGAGAACAAAGCTTCGCAGGCAATGGGCCGTATGGATTTGGACCGTATAACTGGGATGCGGCAATACTTGAAGCAAGGCATCGCGGCAACTGTCAGCATGAATGCTAAAGGCGGATCCAAGTGATGAAATCAAGGATGACAAAGCACTAACGGCACTTGTCAACGTATATTTGCTGGGTTCACGGCGTTCCTGGATAGCCTGTGGGTAATCTTTAAGAATATCATTGATAATCCATTTGGCGGCATTAAGCTGGCTGCTCTCCTGGAGCATCTCTCGGCCAATGGTCTCTTCAAGGATTATCTTCACAAACTTTCTGGTCATAAGGAGACGGAAGCGGTTGTATGTGACCATGGGACTGGTGAGCAGTTCAACGAGCAAATTCGAAGCAATTTGACCATAGCGCTCTTCAACAATCTTATCGCCCAAGTTGCGCACAACATACTTGTAGCACACGAAAATGCCAGTCCGCGCACGGTTGGAAGTGGTGTTCTTCAAGCACTGCGAAGAAAGTTGTTGTAGCAGATCTGGAAGAAGGAAAAACAATCGGGAACCCTTTTGCTTTGGCGCAACGGAAGACTCAGACATCTCCGCCTCTTCCTCGTCACCAGGTCTTGGTCCGGGTTTCTTCGAAATCCTCTTTGACTTCTTCGGCTTTGGCTTCGGCGCTGCCAAAACATGCGTATCCGTCACATGAAGCTTGATCAAAGCGCGGCCTAGACAAGCTGCGGCGGCGTGTCGGACCGGTGCAGTAGGGGTATCGATTATCTTCCACATTATTGTCTTGAGAAGCTCGAAATCATTCGCATTATCGAAAAATGGTGTTGTATTGATCAATTGTTCCAGGCAACGGCAGGCATGGACCTGTACCAACGTCGACTTGTCACCAGTTGCCGCATTTCGTGCCTGTTTCCAAATATCGCGGGCAGTCGCTTCATCGATCGGAACACCAATGCCCACTACGATTTTACGAAGCACTGAGAAAATAGCACCCCGTAGTCCAGTATGATTACTAGCGGGCTTGACGAGTTTTAGCATGCCAGTTGTCGCGACATTCGATTGCATGAATGCGCTCTCGCCAGCTGTAGCAAAAACCTCCCCTAAACAATGCGCAGCAGCGAATTTAGTCTTTATATCTGCTTCGCTCTTGCTGGCGTTCAATATCCCCAGTAGGTCGGTAATGGTCTCGAAGAGGATTCCACGATCCCCCTTCCCAAGGATGGTGCTGAAACATCGTCCTATGTTGTTGCGGAGTACTCGCGTGATCGTCGGGGAGGGGAGGGTCAAGATCTTGAACAATTCCTTTTTTAGGGATTTTTGCTGTGCTGAAAGCTGCGCATGGTCTAAGCCGCATATAAATTGTACCAAATCGGAGGTGAAGGTGAGCAAGTAGAGGTCTTGCTGTTCGGAGGGGAGTGCATGGAGCTTGGGGACATCCAGTTCTGGGGCGGCATTTTCGGGTGTTGTAGATGCGTGGGCAGGTTCAGAGGAAGACATTGAGGATCTTGTATCGAGGATCTAGAAATCCCCATTAAAAAGGAATGAATAGGCTAAATGAGAGGTTCACTTTGCATCATCGTGTCTCCTTATCGTTGATGCCCGCGGAGATTCGGATTAATTTCGGTCCGATATGGAATGTATGGAGAACGCCCATCATTTATGGACTAAGAGTCGTCTCAGCGAAAAAGACGGGAACGAAAGCAATCAGGGGGCTATGGAGATGCTATTTCGGAGCTGCAGAGTATTGCAAAAACCCGCAAGTCCTTGGATTTGTCATTCCTGTCAAGCTTTTAGTTCGGCTCCTGCGCTGTTCTCCGGTCACAACAAGTGGTCGACAATCAAGCATGACAAGGCCAAAAATGACAGAGCAAAGAGCAAGGAGCGCCAAATGATGAGCAAAGAAATTAGCAGTGCAACACAATGTATGTTTTTCTCTTCTTGAATTTCGTCTTCAGCTTTGGGAAAGTTCACTAACGTCATTTCTGCAACAGTATGGGGCGCCGATCCGAAATACAATCCTCGTCTGACACTTGCCCTTTCCAATGCGAAGCGTGCCTCTATTCCAAAAATAATCATTGAAGCTGCGATTGCTCGAGGACAGGGGCTTAGCGTAACAGGACAAGCATTGGAATCCCTAACGATCGAAGCAATGCTCCCCGGCTCAGTGGCGGCTGTGATCGAGTGCCAAACCGATCAAAAAGCGCGTGTACTTCAAGACATTCGACATTCAATCAAAACTTATGGGGGAACGGTGACGCCCACAACATTTTTGTTCGAGAAAAAGGGAAGAGTGGCCATGGAAGCAAAGGAGGGCTTGAACCCGGATGACTACTTGGACCAAGCTATTGAGGCTGGCGCAACTGATATCATAACGGATGAAGAGGGCCGCCTGGTCATCTTTACTGACCCATCGGAGACTAAGAAGGTCGGCGAGACATTTTCGAAATCAGCAGGCCTTACAATTGAGGAGCTGGAGATGTTCTGGGACCCAAACCAGGATACCCTAGTGGAGGTGCAAGATGAGGAACAGGCCAAAGCGATCGATAACCTTCTTGGTTCCTTGCGCGACGACCCGAGTGTCCAAGATATATACTTGAACACTACAGAGAAATTATGAGGCCCAATCTGAAGGCTAGTAAGTGGAGGCGTATAAGTACGATTTTTCCGCCTTCCTTTTTCGGAGGTGAGATGGATCACCAGTGTACAATACTCGATCAGTTGATGGGTATATGAATGTAGATATATATACTATGTAGAACTACCGGGATACCATGCATAACGGTTGGAGTTGATTTTTTGAAATTTATCTCTACCCAGGCATTAATGTAACGTCGCCAGTAAGAATTGAGGTAGGCATTTGGAACTTCGAATATGTATAAAGTCATGAGTCATTAACCCCTCAAGGCTTTCATAGTGCTCCTCATCAGGTCGCTTGTGCCCCGGCTACCGATAGCATCAAGCCACTCTAGAAAAACTATTCGGTACTCCTGCCAAGTCATCTTGGCCCCTCCATTCTTTTCAAGTGCCTGCAAAGACTTTGGAGTCACTGGCTTTCTCAACCTGGGTTGATGTTCAGCGATTTCTTGCTCTTCCTCCAACTCCGCAAAGCAAGCCGCTGAAAGATTGCAAAAGGCTGTGTGGTGGCTAAGAGAGAATAATGAAGAAAGGGTACAGTGAAAAGCGCTTTCACGATCATAATGCCTAGCCGCTTCGTTGATGTCGCGAACATAGTTGGTGAAAGCTGAAACGCTAGTCAGTGGAATGAAAAAGGCCTGTGCATTAGGATCTTCCCTATTAAGAGCGCGATTGCGCCATATTAAATTGCATATGTCCATGACATATCCATTGAACTGGCCCACTAATTCGGGGTCGTAGAGTGGTTCGGGAGGGCTGGGGGCTTTGACAATCTTAGATGCAAGAGATGCTTCGAATGCTGACTTGTAGCCGGCCATTATGGAGCTGAGGATTGAAATTGTGGAAACACTGGTGCTAAATGCAATTTCGTATATCGATACAGCAGGGGGGACCATAATTCGAATATGGGCATTCTCGGATGCATAAGAAAAGACATCTGTGACACATTGGTAGAATCGCAACACGGGGGAGATGCCTGGTTTGGATTGGAGCGGATCATCATTCGAGGTTGAAATGAACTCTTGGATTGAGAACGCTAAAAGCTCGGCGTGTTTTATTAATTCAGTGAAAGGAATCGATTCTTCCGAAACGGATGGTTGTGTTCGAAGTTTGATACCCCATTCCACAATCAATGATGAGTAAAAGTCAAGTAGCTCGGTCCTAGAGACGAGAGAGCCATCTAACATAGTAGACTCCAATGGAGACAGGATCTTGGTATTGAGTGAATTGAAAGGCTCAATCGATATGAATCGCAGTAGTCGAAGTACTTGTTCTTGATTGTCTTGCCCATTCCAAGTCTTGAGATATAACTCTAAAAACGACCGAACAGAAGGCAATAGTTGCTACATTTTGGTTAACAATTAACATAGTAAATTCCAACGTGCCTCGGAGTACATACCTTGGTGTATGCAGCATAACCTTCCACGAAGTCCAAAACATAAGACAACATATCCGAATCATCACTATCTTCTTCTTGGATTTGCTCCATCTTATCATCCAGGAAATTTCTTAGCCACTCATCGAGTCGATTGTTTGCAACTTCCGACTGGGCCAGATGAAGATATTTTTGGCCCATACTATCGCCAAGCGTTGAGATGATCTGGTTAGGTAACTCAATCACGTCGACCTTGTTGACAAAATGGTCAAGATCCCGAAGTTCTTCAAGCGACGTATGTTTGTTCGACACGCGTGAGGTTTGCATTACAGGAATGACCACTTCAATTCTGCTTCTTTTTACGGCGCCTCGGTGAACAACTTGGAAGTTTGAACTCTTGAGAGCTTCCGCTCTCGCAAGATTTGCGGTCTGCAACGCCTTCGTATGGGCGACCCATTCAGAGTCAGGGTGTTTGAAGAACAAGGCAGCCCTCCTTGAGCCGCCTACGTCTCCAATGATGATTTCGGGGTAGTAGTTCTTGAAAATCTTAAGAAGTATGACAAGCTCCTTTTCCTCACCGCCAGCATTCTGAATCAGCTCCATCAAAGCCTGTATCCGGAAGGGCTTGACGTGTTTGCGTCTCGTGATCAGAGAAAGAAGATGACATAGAGGCCTACGCAAACTTATCATATCGAGATGATTGAAAAGTACTGCATATAGCTTCCCAAGATGACTCTTATCCTCAAAATGCTCATAAGTGAGGATAAGCCATCGGACCAGCAAGGACTGCGTCGCTGGGGTGGGCTTAGACTTGCTGGGCCCTAAACAGCAAACAACTTGGGTGACATGTTTGGAAATGACTCTCTCGGCAGAGTATAAGTTGTTGATTAAAGTGGTCGTCGTTCCCTGGTCCAAATTTGTTTTTGTTGTTAAGATCTTCAGCAAACGGCCCAGCGCATCTTGTGGAATGCCATTCTCATACGCGTCCGATGCAATTGTTTTAGCCAACTGACCAGCATCGGTGTATCTCTGTTTCACCGGAACAAAGGCAACTATTATGGCGTCAGCCGCTCTGGTCTCACTCAACTTTTTGCTCTTGGTTTCCTACCAGCTTCGAGATGCTCAATAGCGTCGAGCAAAGTGCTCCGCTCATTATTTCCTGTGGGCGTTCTCAGTAAGTGTTTAAGTTTGCGAGCCAATCTGTATAAAATACCTTGATCACTATCCATTGAAGATATGCGCCACCCCTCTTCTTGTTGTAAATGTTGCTTCTATCACGCCTGTTAGGCTGGCGGTCATGCACTTGATCCTTGGCGCGTCTCCGTACAGTCGCGGTGGCATCAACCGAACCAACCTCTAAATTCAAATACCGATGACCTCGGTGCGGGAGATGAGAGATTGGCTTGAAAATTGGATCATCAAATCCCTTTACTTGGGATTGGAAAGTAGAACAAGTGCGTGGTATAGAGAGCAAAACGTGGGCGCGAAACAGAGATGCCGCCGCGCTTAAGCCCGATCGGGAAATCCATAACAATAACCCGAAACTGGGTGAAATACATACTAAGTTCAACAACCTTGATATCCATGTTATAATTGAAATGAAATAGCGTAATAGTATAATAATAATCTAAGATAAATGCTATTGATTTCGGCCAAAACAAAAAATTAAAAAAATCAAACATTTGCTTCAGGGGCTTCTTGTTCTTTAATAAAGCACATATTTTGATCGCAAAATAGGACAGACAATCTTTAGGGTCCCACATATGCTATGGATTCATCGTAACAGGATTCCACAATTATCGCTCACTTGCGCTTGCGAGTAGAAGACTTGCCCGACTTGGAGTCAACCTTAGCAGAGGTTTGCTTAGCTACCTCCTCTTGCTTCTCGGCTTTCTCGGTCTTCTCAGTGAGCTGCACCGACTCCTCTTCCTCGTCACTGTCACCACCCTGTCCAAACTCGTTGACGCGCTTGAAATCAATCTTGTACTTGTAGCTCTGATAAAGCCAAACGAAGAAGATGACATCGTCACGAAGAGTAGCTAAGCGGTGCAACCAGGGCATCTTGACAGTGAAAGCGAAGAGATCGTCAATGAAGGTGTTGAGGAACTTGTAGGCCATGGCCTTGCCAGGCATATGAGCAACAGACTAGAGAATAGATATTAGCTTTTGCGATCCTAGTGGTTGACTTGCAATTTTTGGGGGGAGGATATCTCACCTTCAAGCGGTAGTTGATGTACAAGCTAGGCACCATCATCAAGAATCCATATGCGTACACACTACCAACAAGGGTCTCGATGATGTACGAATACCAAGACTTGTGAGTGTTGTAGACTAGACTGTAGGCAGCGTATGCGAGAAGCAGGGGCACTGCAATGATGTACAGGTAGCGGAAAGCAATCTCATCGTACTCCTGGGTTCTCTGCTCAGTCTCAGTGAGCTTATGCTTGTCCTCAAATACAACCACGTAAGGCAGGAAGGAGAAGAAGGAGTTTGCTGGTGGCGGACGCAGACGAACGTCCACAGTCTTGGTGATCTTCCAGGCTTCTAAGAGGATTCCGAAGCCTTGACTGGCCAAAATCATCCAAGAAGTGTTGTCGCTATTGTCAACAAGGTAGAGGAAGATAACAGCCTGCATGAAGACATTGGCGAGGATGGTACGGACGGAGGTACCAACAATGTCCTTCTTCTTGCGCCAGTGAGACTAAATATTCAAATCAGCAAAGACAGTTCTAGTAAATTGCAACCATATCCCATCATATCGGATTACTCACAATGTCGCTCTTAAATGCGAGGGTCTCGAAAACCATGTGCAGAATGGTGACAATTCCAGTAGTACCCAAGAGAAAGATGTTGGTATCAAGCAAGATTTCCTTGACCATCTCCCATTCAGTACCATCACCTCCACCAGGCACGGGGCCACCTTCAGCTGCCTGTCGAGCACTTTGCTTGGAGCCCTCATCAACGCTAGTGATAATGCTGAACTTCCAGTTGGCCATGTTGTTAATCGTAATGCGCAAAGGCACGGTTTCAACAGTAGAGTTCAGCTCCATCATGTGGGTACGCAACTGCCAGAAAGTGTTCAGGTATACGATAGGGTAGTACCATCCATTTTGGCCACTGATGTCACGGGCACTAGTGCGCTCTAGCTGCACATGCTGGCGGACTGCGGGGTGCATCTGACCGAATTTCTGGGTTCCCGAGTCTGGAATCAGGGACACCGTGAAGTTGGGGTGATAGTAAGAAGCAATCGAGACTTTCGGGGTGTTGTCTTCCTCTTCTTTCTCCTCTCCGTCCTTGGACAAAAGGCTCTTCAACTTCTTGGTTTTCTTCTTGGCAAGGTACTGGTTCAGGGGACGTTGGAAGTGCACGGCATGGTCGCTGCTGTAACCTTTCGCAGCCGGATCTAACTCATGTCCAGTACGGGCAACCAGGAAGTGTGCCCAAAGAGTGCCATTCTGTTGGACTTGCTTTGGGACCTTGATGGTGGTATCGATTTCGCGGGTATCGCTATAATTACCAAGCGTGAAGTTCTTTTCCTGCAACACGAGTGTGGTGCTCGGGGATTTCAGAGATGGAAGCGCAAGGGAAGGCGTGACATAAATATTGATATCCAGACCAGTATCGGAAGCCCAGATAGGAGCGATGGTATCCGGGAGAATGCTGGGGTCGGTTACTTCGCTGGGATTGGGGCGATTCTCAAACGTGGGAATAGGGCCACCTCCGCTAACATTGGTCGTGGCATTATTCTGTTTATTTCCGAAATATTGTCCGATCACGAATTGTACGAAGAGGAAGATTCCCAGGCCTTGAAGGGCTCCTTTTAGGCCAGACTAGATGATCGTCAATAAACCGAAAGCTTCAGGCGGAGACTCCACCAAGGGTTAAGAAGAATCACTTACGCTAGAGCCGGACTCTGGCTCTTCTCTGCGTTGCCTCTGTTCAGGCATGATGAAATATTAGGCGTAAAGCGGATAACAGGGAGGCAAAGAGAAGAGAAAGAGGCCAACGCGGCCGAAGTGGAAGTTAGCGAGCACGTCTTAGCCGGGTCGAGAGCTAGCTAGGGAAAGTTAACGCGGGGGCTTGGCGCCTCCCGAGGTCGTATTGATGTATGGTTCCCCTCCAATCCCGAACTCCAACGCTCTCCAACTCCGCAATCAATTGTTCCCACCGCGCATTCTTCGCGATTGCGACGACTCTCTTATTTTTTTTTGTCCCTTAGCCGTCGCGCCATGGGTATCGCACTACAGTGCTTGCGCTGACCCTCATGGATAACCACCCCTCCCCCGCCGATTATCGCGCGCAGCAATTTCCGTCGCATAATGACCCGAGAGTATGGCTAATTACTGCGGGGGATTCCCCAATTGGCATTTCAGTCGCACGGCAGGTCCTTGCGCATGGAGACTACGTGCTACTGGGACTAGCACATTCTACCTTGGAACGAGACCAACGCCGCAGGGATGGATTTGACGCATTTCTGGCTGAAGTGGAGGAACATAATGACGAAGGATGGAAACAACGGATGAAGGCGGTACCTCTTGATATCAGGTGCGTTCTACTATACGACGTCAGTGAGAAGTGATATTTTGGCTAATGCGCTTGACTCTATAGAATGATGGGAGAATGCCAAGCAGTCGTCGCAGACGCAGCAGCGACATTTGGCCGGGTCGATATCCTTTTATGCTGCACAAGCCAAGGTAATTATACCCAATGACATATGAGCGCTGGACTTTAGTAACATAGGATCTCTGCAGCTTTAATCGGTACAGTTGAAGAACTATCAGCCTCATCACAAACCATGAACCTTGTACGCGACCAATTCGAGGTCAACTATTTTGGTCCACTTAATATAATCAAAGCCGCATTGCCGCACATGAGACGAGAGCACAGTGGCCACATAATGATCATCTCTGGAATTAGTATGCCCACTCACCAGTTCATACATAAGAAGAATCTGCTTTTTAACACAAATTAGCCGCCCATATTGGTACTCCAGGTCTTGGAATGTACTGCGCAGCCGGTTGGGCCCTTGAAGGATTCTGCGATGTAAGAACATAACTGAAATGCTTTCAACCAATTAACCAGAACTGACAATCACTTCACAGAGTCTCGCATTCGAAGTCGCACCCTTCAATATCAAACTCACCATTTTCCAATGCAGCATTGAAATTGGCATTCTAACAAACCTTGTGACGAGTGTCCCACCCATGACTCCCGCCTACTCCCCATCAAACAACAACGCACCTCTCTTCCGTGGGATTCTTAACCATCTTATCCCCAGGCTTCCAGATGCCCCATCTGAAGGAGTCCAACCCCAGTCAAAAACTTCCTCAAGCAGGCAAAGCGACAGCCAAGACAACGCGAGAGTTAGCTCCATCGAAGACGGTCCGTTCTCCGTACCCGAAGTTGTGTCTATGCATCCGCCTCTTAGTTCAGCCCATCTCGAGGTCTTGGTCTCTGAGACTGTTTATGCTATCACATCTATTGGTGGACATGAGAACCCACCCTCTCGCCACATCGTGGGGCAAGAAGGTGTCGCTAGTGTCAAAGAAAAATTAAAGACCGTCAGCGAGGAATTGGAAGATTTCATCCAAGCTAGCTTTGCAGTCGATGTTGCTGCGGATTCAGATCCTCTGCCGCCTATCGGTGGAATGCACTAACCACCATGTGAAGACGAATGAAAATCGCCTTTGTCCTATGCCTCAACAATATAACTCTTTAATAATATCATATTATTCCAGCTCATACCTCTTCTGAGATTGATTTGCATCCAACTCTAAGCAGTATACTCAGGTTCTCTGGTAACAGAATAACTTATGATAGACGAATAATCTTGATAGTAAATATCGGTGCCCATTGCGAAACCCGCTAAAGCTCAGAATAATTTACATTTCATTGGACCAGCCATTTTCAAAAATTTACCACCTGGGTAAAGAAGGAGAAGAAGAAGATAAAAAGAAAAGAAGATGGGAATCACGAATCAATTCAATGCAAGGAAACAACGGGCAATCAAATATGTATCGCTGTAGTAGAAGGATGGGAGGCTATTTCTGCTTCAGAAACCAGGCCTGCCGTACATCCCAAAGCGAACCCATATCCTGGTTGTCGCGATAACAGCGAATCTCCTTCCAGGCATTGGCTGTACGGCTGTCTTTCTTGCGCCCATCGACAGCTAGTATCCTCTTAGCTAGCATCATCGGGTTGGTTATCTCGCGAACGACGACTTCTTCTGGCGCGATGCTAGATTGCTCTGTGATAGGTAGAGACGTTGACGGTGTTGGGTTTGTTTGTAATGCAACTTCTTGTGTGTCTTTTGGAGTAAAATTCAAGTCAGACTGCACATTATTTGTGATGTCCAGTTCATCTGGTCGTGTACTGGGTGGAACATCCATGGGTATGTCTGAAGGACCGGGTAGTTCAAAAATTGGAGGATACTTGATAGCCTCAGCTGATGTGTTCCCTGAGTGAAGAGGGATAGAGTCCTCAATACTCTTCTCTGGTTTGTGGGTTTCTGTTATAGGTTCAGGCTTAGGGGTGAGATTTGGTGTTGACTCGAGCACAACCTGTACGGTTTGGCGAGAAGCAGGCATTGGTTTAGCTTCAGGACTGGCTTCTGGTTCTTCTTTGTACAGAGGCTTATCCTCTATCTCTGGGATATCTTGAACCTCAGAGAGTTCATGATCGATTGGGACCTTGCGGGGTCGGCCTTTTTTGCGCTTTGGAAGGGGCTCTACTGCAGGTTGAGGAATTGACCGCTTGAGCGTCTCATCTGACGCCTTGTGAGGGCTGAAAATTACGACCTCAACATTTGACTGTCTCTCTGGAGCTACAGGATTGGTGCGGATAGATTGTTTTGGCGGGCTAGATGTCGGCAAGCTGGGGGGCGGGCTTGAGAGTGGGGACGAAGTGAAGAAATCCTTTCCGATCCAATTTGCAGTGCCTCCTTTGTCGTTCGATGTCTGTATCGGTTCTTCACTCTGCTCGTTGTTGGAATTGACAGGCAAGTCGTATTCAACATCTTCTGCATCGGGACTTGCAGACTGGTCACTGGTGGGAGTGGGCTGCAATGCGGCTTGCTCTTGTTGACAGGGTTGATTCGAGGCCTCTGTAATCGACTTATTTGTATCTTCCAGACCTTTGTTTTCAACTTGGTGTGATATATTGTCATGCTCCTCTGGATTGTTCTTTGGAGAATCAGTGAGCTTGCTTTTGAGAAAAACTTCTTGCCTGCCTGGCATCACGAATGTAAGTTTGGAGCCATTTATTTCTTGTATCTATATTCCGATTGTTCCGATTAGCGAGTTGCCAAATATTTGTGATGAATAATTATCTTGAACGGACCCTTGTTTCTTTATCAATTAATATCCGGTCAGCTCCTTTGCCATAGACGTAAGTAAATCTCCACACGTCACCGACCCTAATGACTCCCTTGGCAACCAAAGTATTCAACCTGATCCTTCCAGCTTCTCCAGTGGCAAGGCGCGTGTCAGATTTCTGCTTCTGGCCCCAGAACTGCTCATATTCTCGTTCCTTGAATGAGTCAAAGGCTCCGTTCTGACGTTCTAGTCGAGCTTCATCCGCCTGTCGCAACCAGTCTGGGTCGTAGCGACCATTCTGCAAGTCAAGCTGGAACTGACGTATGCCGTCTCTCCAATTGTTTGAGTAGCGAACAAAGGAGTCAGGGAGTGGTGGAATAGCTGCGGTGGGATCATCTGCTGGGGGATCTGGGTTCGGGTGGATATCGGAGGGAAGCAAATCTAGGATTTGGCGCTTCTCATTTTCCTCTAAACAGTGCCATGATGCAGAGCTAGCTAAGAGCTTCTAAAACAGATTTAAATTTAAACCGTGAGCTTGTAATTCACATGTATTAGACTTCATGGGAAGATCAATACTTACCACCAAGTCTGCGTCTATTAAAACCGACTTATCGCTTGTTAAGAGCTGTTCCTCGCTCCACTTTCCCCAGGGCGCGGCTTTGCGGGGTGTTTTTTTTGGAGGGGATACCCTTTCAGGCGATCCAGGAGAAGACATTCGCTTTAATTCTTCATCTGCTGCAACGGCAGGATTTGAAGTACGTCCACTATATCATGATTAGGGTCAGAAAGCGAACAGTTCCAAAGGTGAAAGCAACAAAGCGAAGGACGACGGAAGCGGAGAGGGATCAACATAGCTCACCCTAAAGGCCGAGTTCTGCCACCATCCACCGCTCTTTTGCGGGCCATGCTGGTTGATTGCACGGAGATCCTTCAATAAACAAAGAGTGATTCTGTCCTTTTTCTCCTGGTTCGCAGTCGTCAAGATGGTTAAGTCAACTCAGATTGCCAGGATTGATGGTAAGGATCAGTTGCTAGGAAAGAGTGAAAGAGAGGCTGCTAACGATAAGATGCGCAGGTCTAATGCTGGCCGCTTCGGTGGATGATGAGCAGGTGAGAGAAGGCCCCAGTGAACGAAGACGAGACTTTTTGTTTTACTCGAGCCAAACTAACGGGCTTTCTAGGCTGAAAATGAGCTCTCTGAAATCAAAGGTCAGGCTAAAATGATCTTCCGCCGCCTGAATCGTAATGCAGTACCACAAGCAAGCATCGAGTCCGGCCAGTACAATCTCCAGTGAGTGAATCAAGATTCTCCATGTGGTCAGATTGGTTCTAACTCTCCATTAGCTACACTATCCAGGACGACATTTGCTTCCTTTGCATCTGTGACCGCTCTTATCCACGAAAACTTGCATTCACCTATCTGGCCGATCTGGCCTCTGAATTCACTACCACCTACTCCACCTCACAATATCAATCTCCCAATCTCCGCCCTTACGCATTCGTCGAATTCGACACCTTCATCCAGCGCACCAAGAAGCTGTATCAAGATAGCCGTGCCTCTGGGAACCTTGACAAGCTAAACGATGAGCTACGAGATGTCACCAAGGTCATGACCAAGAACATCGAGGATCTCCTATACCGCGGAGATAGTCTAGAGCGAATGGGAGAATTGTCTGGCCGTCTGAGAGAGGACAGTAAGAAATACCGGAAGGCGGCAGTGCGCATCAACTGGGAATTGTTGGTGAAGCAGGTATGTTGACACATCCAAAGTATCTCAAATCCGTGACTGACAACTCGGCAGTATGGTCCCTTTATCGGTGTTGGCCTCTTGATCTTCATTTTGCTTTTCTGGCGCTTCTTCTAGATTTCTCTTTGGACCATTTTGCGCCGATGCTCCCTTGTATGCTCCCTTGTATGAATGTACGCATAGTTAATATCTCCCTGGTGGTTGCAGGATACAATTCACCCCCTAAAGTCCGCAATGCAAAAACATGTGCAAACTGCAAAGCAGAAACCAGAATATTGTAGAGCCAAGAAGGGCAGTCTATATTTCATCTTCTTCTTCATCAAAGTCATCTTCCTCGCCCATGTCGTAAAGAATGCGGCCTCCTTCACCGGGACCATCTCCTTTCTGCGCATCAAAGTAAGGCAAAACAACACCCTCTCTATCACGTCTCTGGCGATCTGTCAGGCCCAGCTCAAATGTTGACTGAGGCTCCTCCTCGCCATTTTCATCGTTCTCAATGGGGGGGTTATAGAGAATGTTATCGTCGAGAAGGGTAACGATCTCCTTCACCTGATTTGCTGAGTACCGGGATGCTGGTGGAAGAAGATACCATTCCAAAACACCTCGTCCACTCTTTCGACGGTGTTCCAGCTCAAGCACGATACCCTCAGCGGCTCCAGTGCCGGACAACTTATCAAGTCTGCCCAGAAGGACACCATCTTGTTCTTCTTCAAGTCCAAAGACGGGGGCAACCAGACTGCGGTTGCGGGCGGCCTTTTGTGCTAGAATGTGCGAGAAAGAATGCAGAGTAATAATACTGGTGGCGAGATAAGTCAAGATTGAGAATGAAGATGGCAAGTATGAGTTCAGCGGGGGGATGCCCGGAACATCTTGATGGTAAGTCACGACGAGAGACGCATCAGATTTGGGAGCTGCGGGATTTGAAGGGGCGATAAAAGCGCCTAAGAAAGAAGGCAGATGGAAATTTGGATCAACATTTCTTGAGTTTAGAAGAGGATTGATAGCATCAATTATGATGAGACGCCCTATAACACAGATGAGCTCGAGTTCCATACGCTTAAGATATTGAACAGAAACATACTTTTTGATGGACCAGTCGCAGAAGGTTTATAGGCTGCAGCTACTTCCTTGATGATATCTGCCGGACTTTTGCGACGGGTGGATACAAATGCATCACATCCGTCCGGTTTCTTTAATGTCTCGAATGCAATGAGTGTGACATGGACTTTGGAGAGCTAAATGGACAATTAGCATCGGTGTCCCAAGCTAATGATACAACGCATATTGCAGCTTATAGAAGCAGATTGGAACGAGTCACGTCAAGGGAGAGGATATACGCACCTTGGCGCGTCTAATATACTCTTGGAAGAGGGGTGTGGCGGGCTGCTCTAGGGAGTCCAAAAGCAACGTGAGCGGTGATGTCGTATCTCTCAGGCTCAGGAGTTTAGAGATTAGGAGCAGATTATGCGTCCTTCGGTGCGACAGATTGACTGGGGCCATATTTATCTGCCTATTAAGGTTAGAATGGCTGCTGGGAAGGGCGAGGAGGTTGAGGTGGGGTAGTCGGCCACACTGCAAAAATTTCACTCTGTGATGCCACAGTTGAGGCTCGACGGCCCGAGCCGCATCTGCATTCACATTTGAGTAATTTGTGTCTTTTTAAGCATGTTTCTTAGCTTCGAGTGGCTTGCACAATTGGCATATAGCTATCTACAGCTCTGGCTTGGATTAAAGTGGTCAAGTTCAAATGCAACCTTGAATCTAGAAGAGTCTCACATGGAACTTCCATTGCTCATCGCAGTTTTTCCAGACCCGATACCAGGAGTCATTCAAAGCCCTCGGGAATATCTTTATAATTTATAAAATGACCACGAAAAGAAATGCACTGCAAGGCATCTAGATCTGCAGTCTGAGGGTTGAACAGATAGACCTGTCTCCCTTTACAGATGTAGATTCCAGTGCAAATTGATATTGATCTATATACTTCAAAAATTTCGAACATATCCGGATGTATTTTAACATCAGGCGGACCCTAAGAACACAGTTCCGTGGTCATATAGTAGATAGTAGTACTTATATGCAAGTAAATATCCGCGCATAGGTTCCAGGTAGGTAAGACATCAACGGCAATACAGCCAAGCGAATCGGGGACAGGGATTACTAAAGCTCGGTGTTTCAGACATGCTGCAGTATAGTATTCCAATATATACCCTTGTATACTCTACTATACACACATGCCTGTACCACGCGAGAAAAGACGAGCGAAACAAAAAAGTTGCCAAATTTACTCCTCTTTGCGGTGTTCACCGGCGCGTCTTTGGGATCGCAGTGCTTCCCAACGCTGCCAGCCGGACTCAGCAAGATCCTCACTCACTACCAGGTCACGAACACGTAGCAAGCGGGCCAGGGTCAGCTCCACGGCCCAGTCAATCCAACCCCATCGACGAAGAAGGCCAGTGATGACGAACCAGGCAAATGCGCACGCGACACCAGCTCCAGATCCGGCCAGCACTTGGCGGATTGTGTGGTAGTTCAAGTAGAGACGGCTATAAGCAACACCACCTGCGACAGCCAAAAGGACGAGGGTGACAAAGGCTCGTAGGATGGTTCCCAGGAAGGGGTATGAGGTCGCATACGCCGGGGTGTGTCGGAAGAGGAGGAAGAAGGTGAGGTAGACGGAGAAGAAAGCCATGAACTGAGCATGAGAGGAGGGCATTCCATAGCCCTTGCCAAACATTTCTAGAAGGACATGTAGGTCAGTATGATGATGATTACAATGAGTGTTAAAGCCTCAAAGCCAACGATGGTCACGCACCCTTTGGTCGCTCTTCCTTGATAATTCGCTTAAGCCCAAAATTCAAAGCTTCACAGCCCAGCTGTCCAGCGAACATCAAAATCACTTCCATCTCTCTGGTTGCCCAGATGAGAGTGGCATATGAGACGCACAGCGCCTGAGGGAGGAGAGCAAGCCATGCCGACACGAAGGATAGGGGATCCTCGGGGTTCTGAACGGTTTGTTTTCGTCAGTTTCATTCTTTATCTCGTGAAGATATCTTCCGAATCTTAAAGGTACTTACATAGTGGACATGTGTCAGAGACAGGGAAGCCAGTGGTATGTCGGCCATGGTGAGGGTGGGGGCAGAACGAGAAAGTTGATGAGATGAGAATGTGAACAAGAAACAGGGAAAGCACAAGCTGTTTAACGACAGCGATAAGATCAGGACTCCACTCTATGTCCGAGACAGCGACTAAGGACCGCTGTTTTAAATCTTGGCACTTGGCATCCCCTATTTTGACCCTGGATGATTAGTCATGCCGATCGACATCATCATTTTCACCCAAAGCGTTTGTTTACTATACTATATGCTTCAATATGCTTCAATAAATCTCTGGCTCTATACCAATCTGTCATCTTACCCCGGGGCTTTGTATAAATATTGTGATGGTCGATCACTGCCATCATGGTTCTATGATTATGCAACCCAGACCCAAACTTCATCATTCCCTCCGAGGTCCGTTCCCCAGGTCAAAGCAACCCGCAGCTCATCAGCCAGCTAACTGCACTCAATGCATTTAGCTGAGAACAATGAACAATCGCCGGGTCACTTGCTGGGCGTTCATGAGGTATAATTAGGTGTTTGATATACTGAGGAGTAAACACCATATAATGCTTTAAATGTGCCTTGGAAAGGTCGCACGTGCGTGAACGAGATGTACGAGCGCCAAGTATGTACTAGATCATATATTGCGCACGGATACTAGATACTAGTACTACTACCTACTACGATAACACACACTGGCATTGCCGACTTGGAGTCAAAATTATTACTAGTACTATATTTACTTCAAGTTATTTTATGTCCAAAATTCTTCGCCCGGGTATAACGGAACCTTGGAAGTCTGAAAAGTTCTAGAGAATCCTACTGGCACTAGACAAAATGCCTCAACTCAACATGGATTTGAAGCCTATACCCATCGTAGGCGGTATAAGTGGATCATATTATGTCTAAACAGCGATGTCACCGTCCTCGCCTCACTTCCAGATTAGCGCCCCGCTTATAACCCCCGGGCGGAGATATCCCGTCCATATCTATCTGCGCATATTGTCTATAATGAAGCGAACTTGGAAACTAATCAACTATAATAATTTCAAATACATTCCTTAATCTGCATATAAAAACCTTAACACTAACTACCCACAATGAACTAAACTCGCAACCGAAACCGAAATCACCAAAAATCAAGTCCAGCGAGCCTTATGGAAGCGCATGGTGGGGGTTCCTAAGAAAGAAGGCACAAAACCCCCACTAACGCAAGCAAAAGCGACTAAATTCCCCGAAGATGCGAGCATTCTACAATTGCGAGCGGGCTAAGCCCAAAACCGAGCCCGAAATCACCTGGTCAGAATTCCGACGTCAATGGGGCGCACTAGCGGCAGAGGAAACCCGCCAAAATTAGCACAGCCTCTTCATTCCGCACATAAGAAATGGGCTAAGCGGGCACTTGGTCGTCCGGACTAATGGTCCGTTCTATACTGTCTTTCTTTGGCGGGGCTGAGACGCGCGGGAACAGGCTCGCGGGGAGTTTCCAGAGTATAATCTATGAATAAATATAAAATAATATGGGGCCAAAGAGGAGAAAGCCAAGGTTTTTTAGTTTTGATTTGGGGGCTTGTACGAGGTTCTAGATAGATGGTGGAAGGGGGAAAGGAGAGTATGTAGGATGACCGCTTCTCTGACCTGGAGTGTAGGGCTGACAGCTCGTAAATGCAGTGCAAAGGGCGGTGGATTCAGAGGATAGTTCCTGAGATATTATTGTCGCTTTTATTGGTTCTTGAAACAGGTTTTCTTGCATGTACTAGTTCCTTTTTTTTATTTTTTTTTTAAAAAAAAAGATATTATTATTCGGACAAAACAGGAGCAACAGACTAGTCCAGGGCGCATGTTTGGCGTGGAGCAGAAAGTCGGGGGCCATGGTTGGGGGAGTTCATTGGGTGTCGGAGCCTCAGGTCACACTGGAGCCAATGCAACGGGCGCAACTGGTATTGGTTTATTTGTTGCGGCTCGGCTGAGAGTATGCATGATGCATGGCCAAGTTTCAAAAAAAAAAACACCCTGGTCGTATATCAAGTAAGAGTCATAGTATGACTCTTCTGAAACTATCTTTGGAAGCGTTATGATTTCATGGAAGTTTAGAGGACAGATCAGAAGTTCAGAATGTGTTCATTCTCTCTATATTGAAAAAAGAAAAAATAGCCCGGAATTGCAAAGCCAAGAGGGACAAGGCAGACAGGACCCGCCCGCTTACCTCATTGCCCCTAAACTAAATTAAGCACCCGCGAAGTATACAGTCATGCGCGCTAGCTCCATCTCATCGTAACAATATGATCAACTAATAAATCAATAAAAACAATGCAAAACAATGAAGAGGAGAGTAAATCATGAAAGAGAATATGCAAAGGAAAACACAAGCACCTGGCTATGCTGATATCGTAGGAAACATGAAACAAGGACCGCATAATCGAAGTAAACGCGGGACGAAAAAACAAATAGTAAATCGAACATGGAGGTATCTAATCGGTTTAACTGGAAACGTGTCAGCGGTCTAGCTCTATTCAAAGTTTAGTGAACCAAAAAAAGGAGTCTCACCATTCAATCATCAATCAAAAACAAATTCCAAAGTTGGGATTTCATTTCACGTAAGTGCAACCACCACAGGCTGTGTGCTCGCAAGAAACACACTGTGGTTGAACATCCCAGACTTTCGGGCCATCACCACATTGGCAGCAAACATATAGATATCCACCATGGGATCGCATTGGTACTCCGTTGGAGGAGAGCGTTGGTGGAGGGCTAGCTAGGCCGGGTCTCAAGGACCGGTCCTGCAGGAGGTTTATACCGGCGGGCAGCATTGGTTTTGTATCAGGAGAAAATGCGTTCGGTGAGTTTACGTTGACAGCAGATGGATATGGTGAAGTTTCGTGACAGCAGTTTGCGTTTGAATGGAGGTTCAAGGAATCAGATGTTTTCTCTTGAGGGCATCGACTGCAGTGCCTTGCGTTACAGTTGATGCACGAGCTGTAAAGATCCAAATTGAAGGGACCAAAATTGCATTCACAACAATACCAAACGATAGGCATGGTGGTGGTTAAGTTGTATAAATAAGGCGTTGATCAGGTGTCAAGATGGTGAGAAGATAGTGAGAAGATAGTGAGACCAAGAGTGACAGTTTGAATTGATGGTTATATAGTCGAGATCCAAGGACGAGAGTCTTCAAATGTAGAGATGGATCGTAGTAATAGACTGGATCAGGATCAGGATGGTTTGAGTTGAAATGGATGATTTAGAATTGGCACGAGACCTGGAAGGAAGATCAAGCTATATAAGTTGAAGAACATGAAGAAAGGGACCAGAACGTCAGGCAGCGTCTGTCGGAGTACATTTGTGGCTCGGAATAGCTATCAGCCCCCGTAGGCAGCCTAGGGCACCCGTATTGGGAAAGGGAACGTGGAACATCTGAACCCGGGTGAGTATAATTTTGGGGCCATCAAAAACGGGTCCCCCAAAGCTGCACATCTTGCCCGGGGAAGGGGCGCGTCAATGGCCCGACAATGTGGCTTGTAGCCTAAGATCATTCTCACCATTCCTAGTTAAGAATAGTACGGCATTTCTCCTGCTTGGTGTGAGGAACTCTGAATCATCGGAAATGACCCTAAATCACCTGAAGATATTAGGGAAGGGGGTTGAGGTTGACTCAGGGTGGATTCCCCACCAGCGAGGCTGCACCTGCACACCGCAGGCTCGCGCAGGGACAGGGCGACTTGCCCGGGAAAAACCATAGGGTTTTGGGGCTCGGCATAGCCGAGTTGACGGTGACGGAGTGAGCTGCCAGGTCTCCACGGTGTCCATTCATGAAGTGCCTTGTGCTGCCTCGAACTATCTAGGCACTGAATTGGTCTCCACTTATGACAGGCAGACAGGCATCAGTCGAGTCACTGATGCAAAACAGAGAAGAGTCATCGCTATCACCTGGGTAAGGGCGACACTAAGCCCTCCGGGGCTGTTGCCTAAGGTTTGCAATCACCAATAACATTGACCAGGCGTGATGGATTTTGATTTTGTCGATTGTGAGGTGTTCGTGTTCCGATCAGCTACTCCCAATTGCTTGGTTTTTGGGATTTCTCGATTGGGAGTCGGGGAAGCATGCAATTTTTTGGATTTTCTTTTTACTTTCTTTATTTTCTATGACTCGATTCTGTTGATGATTCTGGGGCAGATTTCCCATATCCTCGTTTGTGTTTTCTTTTTTCTCTTTTTCTCTTTTTCTCTCTTTTTTTTGATTTTCCTTCCCTTAACCCTCTATCTCTACAGCCACCTACGGCGATCGCCAATACCCGAGTCCATGTATTTATGAACTTGAGGTACCGCACCTGCAGCGTAACCGATCCCATGATGGTCAAATGATTTGAGCCTCATCCATTCTTCCCCCTTACTTAACTTCCCCACGATCGCAGGCAGCATTAACAAAAGGAAAAAATAAAAAATAAAATAAAAAAAGGTCTATAGCTGAATTTACAACATGATTTTTATTTACTTTTTATTTTACAACTTTTGAAATAGGCACTGCCGCGACTCCAGATCTGACTGACCCTTGGTACAATTATCTGTGGAGATGAGATTTCCCAGTTTCCGCTCCCCTGCCTGATTACGTCAGGGAGTCGCGGACCTCACCTCCCCCGATTCCTGCGATTCCTGCTATCTCATCTGCCTGAACTCCCTTATATTTTCTTTTGGATGCATCCGTTAGTGTGAGCGTGGAGGCAGACGCTTTTTGGTTTTCCCCATGGCAACTCGCGCACAGAAGCGTATCAACGTTGCGGTCTCGAAAATTGTTCCGCCCTTGATCATCGGGTTCATCATCTACGCCAGCTACGCGGTCACGAAACCATTATGCAGTGAGCCTAAGCCCCCGCCAGAAAAAAACAACAAACAATCTTAAGACCTAATACCTGACTTTTTCTCTTCTGTTTCAACTAGTTGATTACCTCATTCACCCTTTACCCTCCTATAATCGAAGTCCCCGAGTTGGCGCTGGCGTCGTAATCCTCGTGCTTTACTATCTTCTCTTAATACCCATGGTTGGGAGTTATCTTCGCCTCTTATATAATGTTATCTTGAACCCGGGGTATTTGCCGCTCGGCCCCGAACGTCTACGAGAGGACAATGCTGCCAAAATCGAGAAGCCTCCATCAACATGGCGCAAATGGAATCGGGACCCAAGAAAATCTCGTGATGCAGAGAAAGCCGACCAGACTGAGGATTTGGAACAAGGCGTGGGAAGCAATCCTAATCCTTCAATTTCTGAACCTAATTCCATCAAGCTGGAGAGCTTTTACACCAAACAAGTCTTCATCTGCCAGGATGATGGGCGGCCTCAATATTGTTCAAAGTGCTGCCAATTCAAGACCGACCGAGCTCACCATTGCCGTGAAATTGATCGCTGCGTGGACAAAATGGACCATTTCTGTCCATGGTATGTTTATGTTGGATCCTAGACATCTACTGGCGCTCCAGTTGCTAACAAAAGAAATAGGGTCGGCGGCGTGGTGTCAGAGACAAGTTTCAAGTTTTTTGTTCAATTCGTTGCATACACGGCTATTTACTGCTTATTTGCACTTATCGTGTCGGCATACTTTACTGCAGAAATCCGTCGTAATGTAAGTTCCTACTCCAGCTTGATGCCCCCCCGCCTCCATTAACATCGATTGTAGACTGGAAGTGTGAATCCTCATTGGTGTGTGTGCATTGGATTGTAAGTAAAAACCCCTTGCCCACTTATGGAAGTCCAAGTCTGATATTTTCTCCAGGAGCGCCTTCTTTGGATTCTTCACCCTCAGCATGACCATCAGTTCTGCTCAAATGGCTATGATGAATATCACTACAATCGAGAACCTTAGCCGACATTCTCATGTTTGGACACTAGCTATACGAGTACCCGATCATTTGCTTGAGCGACTCTGGGTTAGCAAATCGCCCTGGGCCCCTACATACCGCATGATCACCTATCCCCCAGAAGCACTCACACAACCACAACCTCCAAACGCCGACCCCTCCACACAAGAGCGCTACGTATTTGCCATTCTACACACCAAACCGGGCGAGAACCCCTATGACCTAGGTAACTGGAAGAACCTACAACAAGTCATGGGCTATAGTCTAACGGACTGGCTACTCCCCCTGAAGCCAAGTCCCTGCACGGACCACAGCAGCCATGAAAGCGCTTTTGCTCTAGGGCCGGTCGTGACCCGCCTGAAGGAAGAAGCGGGCTTAGCCTGATGACTATTAAAAATTGATAATCCGGCCCCAAAGCATAAGATATAGCTTCATGGGATGGTAAAGATAGAAACTGAACCGTGCGCATTCTTACTTTTGGCCCCATTTCTCATGGCATCAACACTCCTTGCATGTACATGTATTATGTTTTACGGAAATAGGATCTTAATATTGAAAACGAAAGGAAGTCACCTTTCTATGAATAGATTGGGATTTACAGATGTTACAAAGTCGAACATATTCTTTTTGTCCGGCAGCTGCAGATGTTGATGTAGATGTAATCGGGCCTACTACCGAGTACCTACACTGCGCGTGAACTCCTAAAAATAACTTGAAATAGCCGCCCCTATGCATCATAACATACGTCGGGCTGAATATGTGTGACACATAAATCCAAAGAAAAGAAAAATAGAATAGAAAGAAAGAAAAGAAAAAAGAGAGAAAAAATCAAAAAAAGTTTCAAAGTTCAGCCTGAGTGGAGACTATGGACCTTGAAACACTGATTCTTTTTTTAACCGCTGATCTCAGGAGTTCATCAGCTTAAACCATAACAGCAATAATAGAACCCCCCACAACGCATATGATCTTAAATAAACTCCGCATCATAAATCCAAATATTATGCGACCCTCAAATTGGATCCAATTCTCAAGTTCAATCCCATACAAATCTATTTAGATCGTAGTTGAACCTTGCGCTCCCGCAATTTCCAACTTGAACTACTTAGGTACCCAGATTGGAAGTTAAACTTGTACGTAGCACTTGAGGTAGTACTGGCATTAGCGTGTAACTTAGGCTTTACATATCTGTGCAAAGCGCAGTTCCTCAGTAGTATGTACCTTCTACTAAGGTTCGAATCACCTACTAGTAGAGGTTCGGGACAACTTGAAGGTCTATGCTTACATACCTAGGTACTTGTATTGAGTTCAGATTCATACAGGACTAAGCTGTACTGTTAAAGAAAAATTTGTCTATTAAGGAATGAATTTTGAAAAGATAATGTCAACACTGAGCCTTGGAGATACATACGCACCACTGCCGTCCACTTTGCTCACATGTTTTCAAAAACCTCAAGTTGATCTCCTAGGCCTCTGCTCCAGATCCAAAAGCGCGGTGCATTTTTCGAATCAACTATCGCAAATCTCAAATTGTGGTATTATTATTTAGACAAGGAGCTGAAGATTGATCAGCATTACGGCCCCTCACACATCCAACACACCTACACCCTTTGCATGATATACGACACAGTATGCATTCTCCTCTGTACACCATGCGACCAGGCAAGATCTTGAAATCGCACGTCAATAACGAGGAACTTTCCGGAGCAACCGCTGCACAGAGAACTTCCGTTATTCGCAAAGGTTCGGCGCGGTCGGTGTTCATTGTCGCTCAGAAATACAGACAAGTTCAGACAAGTTTCGGCAGCTTCAAACCAGGTCCAATCACTGCTACGCATTCCATGCTCTCAGATATACCGATTCTTATGAAGGACTCTCCTGCTGGTTCAAGGTTGAAAGTAGAATCCGAAACGAAACAGACACTAGCTCTGCCACCACATATTACTCTTTCATTTTGCCTTCAAGCTATGCGAGAGCTTTCCACTTCTTGGGACATAGCAAATCGCATAGGGCGCAACCTGGAGAATCTTTACTGCAACACCACAAAAATGCCAAATGTGCCTATGAGTCTGCCAGTCAACTTGGACGGAACTACGCCCAGTTTGGGGACTTAGGCCCAATTGCTTGCTTTAAACGCGGACAGGCAGTTACCACGACACAATCGCTAGAGATCCGCATCGACTTGACTGTCATATCGATCTTGAAGACTTTGTAAGGCTCTAAGAGACCTGAAATCTACAAAAAATAGTTTTCTACTCTTCTTACATAGCCCCTGTGGGCAAGCGTCATGATCTCTTGCACAACAAGCACTAGTTTGTGCTGTGGCTCTCTCTTATTGAATCGACCCGCATATCCCAAATGTACTACCATTAAGCGTTTACTTCCTTTTACTAGGCATAGGCCATGGAATGTTAATATACATAAGAGATCAATCTGAAGTATTTAATGAGCATAGAAAATTTTTCTGGTCAAATTTCATTTGGGAAATAACAGAGAAACACCGATTTCTTTAGAAAAAGAAGACAAACCCAATTCCAAACGAAGAAAGAAAGAAAGAAAGAAAGAAAGAAAGAAAGAAAGAAAGAAAGAAAGAAATAGGAGGGAAAAAAACAAGAAAGCCAACGAATCCAAAAATATGATATAGAATTAGTATAATAAGCTCAATTTCTAGACCTTGACATGCAATCAAATTTCAAATAAACTAACCAAAACCAGCAATGAAAGAAAGACAAGGACGCTAACGCGAACTTCGGGGAAGACATGACCCCTGATCCCAAACCAATCATACACAACTACCAAAGCCCTAAGCATAATCTTTGATAATTCAAAAAAAGGAGAAAAGCCCAGAGCGCCTCAATCATGTCATTTGTATCGAAAAGCCCAACGAAAACACAGGCCAATCTAGGCCGAGGTGCATGAAGTGCGGCACCGGCTATGACCGCAGATTCCACAGCGTTCAGGGCAAAGGGCTTCATTCACTAGTTGATTGCAGGAGCAGCATACCCAGAAACCATTCTGGGATCTTGAATTTCGAACAGTGAGTTCATTGAAGCGGATCATGCTGTATTGTGGGCTTGCGTGATAAGTTGAAGTAGATAGATGTTGAGATGGTGGGAGATCCATGTTATTGAAGTTTTGAGTTTTGTGAATGGTGTCAGTTCTCGAGGAGGAAGTTTCGGATCGAGGAGCGTCTGAGACGTCGAAATTCGAGGCAAATAAACTTGACATGTTTTCAATTGTTCGTAATCGGATGTTTAATGGTGCTCAGGTGGTAGATTGTGTTTTAAGTACTGTAGACCTTGTATAGGAATGTAAACACTGGATTGAGGAAGCAAAACTTGAAGCCGTGATATCCGATATTGTATTGAATGTGTTATCAAATGTCTGAATATCTGAACTCAATTGAAGACAAGCCAATCTTTAAATATAAGAAAAAGAGGAAACAAAAGCTTGAAAATCAAGTATCCAAAATATTAAATTGTCGACTTGTCCACCACCCTAACCCTCACCCATTAGTGTAATTACTCATTGATGTGGACACTATGCAGGAAGCAACCAGTGCACAGTGATCGATTCACGCCTAGCATTCTCAGGCAAGAGGCAGGGCAAAAACTGTTCGGGCGAGGGCGAACGAAGAAAAATATCGGTGAAGCAACCAGCCAGCCAACAGCTATGATTCGAGGACCACATCAAAACTATATGGATCACACATTCTCACTAGCCCAGTGAAGAAGACTACTATACCCATACCCAGGTGGTGTGACTAACACTTCTCCCCGAAAACCTAGGCACCGATGGTCTTTGAGCGTCATTGAAAGAGCAGCGAATGAGAAGCTGAGAATATGCAAATAAAATGGTCTAAAATGACAAATACCTGTCAGCCTGTGAAGAAAAGTATATTATTTCTTAAAATGACACGTCTGCCAATCATTATTTGTTCCAGTGTCAGAGCGTCGGGTCGATAGTTTGATCGTCGTGCATTTTTCGGCTCTCCCGAAACGCGCCGGTCAGGGTCAAGGCCAGGGCCAAGGCAACAGATAGGTTGGGGCTTCAGTTCAGGGCATTTCTACGATCCTGCGGCAAAGGATAGGATATGATAGGATACCATGTATTGCTGAGGCGTCTGGTAGCTTGCCAAGGCACAAGGTTCAAGTTCGCCTGAACGGCATTCGGGCTCAGCCACACCTAAGTGATAAGCAAATAGGGCATGGAGTATATTACCTATGTGTGACCTAAAGGGAGCTTCTAAAAATTAGCCTTAGTCTGAGTAGAGTCATCTTCAGAGTGTGATAAAAGTGTCGCAGTTGCATTTTGAACAGCGAAGGGGGCGGAGGGTAGGGCGGACATGGATTAGTGGGACGGGCGTGGTATGTGGAGATAGAGATGGGAGATGGGAGACGTTTTGCAGCCAAGGAAGATGGAACGTTTCTAGAAGGAAGAGTGGGTCGTGATTGATTTACAACCAATAATGAGAATGGATCTGAATCAATGATCCGACTTCAATTGTTCTGGAGTGTGAAATTACTATGCAAGGTGCCCAGGATAGATTAAGGGGTGCTGTCAGTGGCTGATGAAGCTAATGAAGCTAATGATTCTCGGGATATGAATCCTCATTGCCGAGCTCTGGCGCCATTGCAAGAGAAACAGAAGGAATTCATCAGGATGAAGCGGAATCTATATCCACCCCTCCGTTCTAGTTGGAGGTTAGACCGACTGATCCCTAGTTTCACTTCTGTTGTAAGTTTCGTTTCAAGAGCATCTCACATCTCACAGCTTTCGCTAAGCTAGCAGGGTTGATTTCCATGTGGGATTCTCTCCGAAGGTGGATCCCTTCGCGGCTGAATGACATCAGTGCTTGATTGTAAAGGATTTGAAATGCCTGGGAAAATGGTCATTTCCGCAACGCCCGGGTGAGATTGCCCGATACCCGGGCGAATGAAGAAAGAATTCTACTGGAGATGAAGTGGAGACGGTTAACAGAGCCTCAGGATTGACTTTGGCAAGTGGCTCAGTGGGTGAGAAGCGGAAAGCTCAACCTTGGGAACAAGTGGAAGTTGTCAACCACGGTTTCGACGTGTCAAGGTGTATGTATGTGTGTGTGTTCATGGGGAAAGGGAAACTCCAGATTTCCTAGACTTGCCCTATATTGAAGTATGAAGATAGGAATTGTTTCAAGTACTTTGTTCCCTGTCACTAAATGTTCAAATGTTGGGCATTCAAAACAATAAAAAAAACAAAGCAAGTGGGGGGGGGGGGGGTCTTTGTCATCCTCACGCCCGCTTTTTTTGCGTCATGGCTCCTTCTTTTCCTCCTTTTCGTCTCAAATCCATCCCCATTGATGGGCCTTGAATACATTATCTCTTTCTTCAAGATCTAAAATTGATCCCTGCCAATTTCCCGACATCCGACGTTTGGTCATTGCTTTTTTTTGTCTCCCTCCTTCCCATCGTTTTTGCTTTTTCTTCTATTTATTCTTCGCCTCTGATCCAGCCATTGTTCTCGGGGCTTCTATCAATATTTCGGGCAGAAGACAAAAAAGAAGATAGCAAACCGATTCAAAGAAGAAGGTTTTGAAGTCAGAAACTGATCCTCGAGCTTTAAAAAGCTACGAGGAACCCCCGGAATCTGCGACTTGGTGAGTTCATTGTCTTCGAACCATCTTCAAACCCCTCATCTTACACTGATCGCATATTAAAAGCTGTTTTGTTACCCGCTTCGAGTCATCCCACAGCACTGACCCGTCTCCAACACACGTTTCCACCTGTAAATTATCCCGGATCGCCGTGGAACGATCATGACCTTTTCAAACCACTACCGAAATTCCTCGCCGAGTGGTGGGCGACACCATGTGGCTGGTCCACGGGCGTCCACCGGTATGGTCCAACTCGGCTCATCAGTCGATCCTTATGAGCAGCCCCGTCACTTTTACAACTACGATGACTATCCATCCGATGCAGGTTATGCCAGCACTGCATATAAACACTATCCGATGCGACGATCCCCGGTAGAGGCCCGACCGGTCAGCACCTCAAAAATTCACGATCACGGTCATTCTGCAAAAAGGCGAACGGAGTATACGATCGAACCACAATCACAACCCTCACTGTCACAATCACAACAACGACACAGAAGCAGAAGTAACACGGCATCCGCGGTTGACATATATCAAAATCCAGCGCGTCTCTCAGTGCCCAGCCATCATGGTTCTGGCTATGGCCAGCCTCATAGTCCTGTTGCAACCAGCTCGGGTCAGTATCTGGCACCTGGCTCTCACCACGGCTCACGACACCGCAGGGTGTATAGTAACAATGACTATGCAAGTGACACCGGTCGCTTGGACTCGCATGATCATGCCAAGCATCGGTCAAGCCGCCATAGATCTCATCGTGATGCCCCACCCAGCTCGCGGCGGCGACATCCAGACTATGAGAGCATCAAGAAGGGGGAAGATATTGATAGATATGATGCCTACTCTTATACAACGCCCCGGGAACAATTTGACCGGGACTACCCTGTTCGCCCCCGTCGCCATGTGGCCAGGACCTCGCTCGATCGACCTGTGAGCATGACAGTCATGGAAGATCATCCTCAGTGGTTGTCTCGCAAAGACAGATCCCACGGCCCTCCTCCAACTTCTCGAGGATTCGACAAACTCGATCAGGAAGGCCGACCACGCTCTACTCGTGGCAACGATGATTATCATCACCGTGAGACATCCAGATCAAGAGGGGGCAACGATCGTTCACTAGTTGTGATGCCTCACGACTCTGACGATGGTTACGAATCCTACGGAGATCATCGCCGTCACCGTCGTCACCGTGAACATCGATCACATCACGAAAGCGACCGACGTCATCGTGAAGATCGCTCACCTCGTCCCCATGATAATGGAGCCAACGATCGTGCACTGGTGGGATTGGGTACCGCAGCTCTAGGCAATGGATACTCGGATATTTCAGACTACGATCGCCGCCAGGCGTCGCGGCAGCATAGACGCTCTCGTGACCCGGAGCGCGACTACGATGCAACGCAATCTACATCCCGCGAACTGATTGAAAGACCTTTGCCGAGCTCCGATACAAACAAGCAGATTTACCTTGAGCCCGTTGACCCCCGTATGCGTCATCGCAGCCGGTCTCGCAGACATTCGCGACGGCGACGTGACAATGAATCAGACGGTCTAACGGACGACGACGATCTCCGTAGATATCAGCGTGAACCATCTGCAAGCCCCCGGCACAGGCACAGCAGCGAGGATACTAGCGAGGATAATCATCCCGCAAGTAGACACCGTCCTCCACGCCAGCGATCGACTGTCCGTTCGCCCAGCAGATCTCGATCTCCCTCTAACGATAGCAAGGATGGCGGAAAGAAGGTCGTTGCAGTTGACCCTCCTGCTCAAAAGGAGCCTGAGCTTGTACCGAAGGGTATCTTGAAGAAACCCCGACCGGCGTTCCCCGAGGAACCTAACCCAGTGAGAGAGGGTGTAGCTCCCCTCAAGGATGCCGAAAAGAATGGTATTCCACCTGGTGCTCGGTGGACTAAGATCGATCGCAGACTGGTGAACCCGGGGGCATTGAGATTGGCTGGTGAACGGTTCGAGGAGAGAGAGGAATATGTGATTGTATTGAAGGTGTTGTCGAAGGAAGAGATTCAACAGCTTGCTGTGGCAACACAGGCTATTCGAGGTAAGCTTTGGCTCAAGAACCACAGACGACCTGATAGGCGCTATTCTCCTATTTCAGGACGGTAACTCACCAATGATACTTTTAGATGCACGCCAAAAGGAGTCCACACGGGACAGGCGTGAACGACGAGATAAAAGCCAGCGTGATGGCCACCATGGCGACTCCACGTCAAGCGACGATGAATTTGAAGACGATGAAGATCATAGACGCGAGCCCCTACAGATTGAGGCACCGCCGGCCTCCAGGCAATCACCTCAAAACTCGACATTGCCAGAGCGTCCTCGGGTGTCGAGTCACTCTTTGCATGGTAACGAGAAGGCAAGAGTGAACCAATCCACTGCGCAGGCGTAGACATTTGTCCATTTTTGATATTTGGTTGAGTGCCATTAGCTGCTTATTTTGAAAAGACAATTGATGACAAATTTCTTTTTTGTTCGTCTCTCTTTTTTGCCTTCGATTCTTTTTCCTTGTGAGATTCTTCGACCACTGTGCGGGTTAACCCCCCTGCAAAATCGGTTACCAGTTACCAAATCTGGTCAAGCATCAAGCCAAGCAGAGGCATGGCGTTATCTCCCCTGTTAAAACAAGGAACAAGCTCTTTGCTCGAATACCCCCCTGTATCTTTTTTTTATCCTGTCCTCCCCACACCGCTTACCTGTGTCACTGTGTGATGAACCTTGGTCAATTCGTATGCCCTAAGGGGATGGCACCAATAAGCGGCGGTTTAGGATCATTTGGGTTCAATTCAATATTCTTCTTCGTCTTCTTCATTTTTTTTCGTTGCTATAAATACTCACTACGCAAGTGATCATAAAAAGTTATTGATGATTTGGATTATTGTTTTTTATCGCCTCACTTAAGCCGGCGTCATCTTACAAACGAGACTACTCACGGGACAATGCAATCACTGTAGTCTCTCTACCCGGGTTGTCATGGCTGCACATTTCTCGAATCAACCTGCTGCGACTTCAGCTCTTGTACAACCATCAGCATCTGGGCAATATCGATGATGTTTCTCAGATGCAGATGATTTCAGTCATTTTTGCATTGCCAAGGAAAGTACTTTATGCTATTTGAACTTGCTAGGCATCCATCCATATTTGGATACCTACCAATTTACTTTTGTCCTATATTTTTCAACAATATGATCATTCTTCGCCCCAATCATTCCACTCCAAGTAGAGACGTACCCCGTAGAAAAACCAACAATCAGACAAATCCCCACGAGCACTGCATATGTTGGACTTGATCTTGCACTGCAGAACTTCCCCCCTCTTTCGCTCTAGTAGCAACAATTCTGCAACCCTGGCCGAGTACTTGTATCTCTTGCTTCCTCCGCCTGGACACTCAAAATAGAATCACCGGAGAAATTGCTTCATTTGCATTTCATTGTTCATTAAACCGATTTTTGCCCAACGATGGCCCCCACATGAACTCCACCTCGCTATCAATCGATATTGAATATTGAGAACATTGAGCATATGAAAGCTAGGAAAAAGGGGCGATAGATGGCGGCCGACAGGGAATTGAATAGAAAAGCCATAAAATACACATAATACTAGCCGTTATACGAAATATATACAAAGTGCAGGTGCATCAAGACGAAATAAAAATAAACAATACATGAAAATACCCCAATAAAACAAAAAACAAGATAAAAACAAGATAAAAATCAACATCAAAGAAAAAGAAAGAAAAAGAAAAGGGGGCCAAGATCGCACGAGATACATCTGCATGCTCTAGATCCCAACAGGCGCCACGAACGTCTAGCAACAAACAAAAAATCTGCAGCGCGCCGGACACGACGATCATCAACTTGAAGTTGCCGCAGTCGATGTGCACGCCTGCATAGACCTTTAGCTATATTGGGAAGGAGTCATTACGAATGACTCGGAGAAGAAAACCTATTAGATACTCGAAGCTGAGTTTAGCCCCCTCTTTCTTTCTTTCTTTCTCTTTGCCCGAAGAACCAGAATCAGAACCAAAACCGAAGTTCATGAATCATAGAGTTGGGGTCCTCATCTTTCATTTTACTGCTCGTCTAGTCTTCTTGTTTTGTGATTTGGACTAGGATCATGAACATGGATGCTCAGCCCTGTGTGTAGCCAATGTAACACTATCCACCTATCCCCTGGTCTCAATGGTGATTTTCCTCTTAGTGGATTTTTTGATTTTTGTAACTCCTAATTCCGTGATTTAGGTTCCACTCGCGGAAATATTTGTATAATTGGTCGAGGATTCAAGCCAAGTACCATGTACATATATATTTTCCTACAGTAGAATCCAGTATGTAATTCCGACCCTATTTTATCTGGGGTCGGTCTTTACCAGAAACCAACACCAACAGAATCCATCGTACTTCGTATTAAGCAACGCAAAGCAGGAAACAAAGAAATAAAACGACGATCTTATTACTGAATAAATCCAACAAGTATTTCACAAGGACGCCTAATTGTCCCATGTACATGCCTCTGCACAAGCACCTCGAGCCCTCCCGCTAACAGTCCCAACAACCAACCACCTATTGGTCCACAACAGCCAACTACAAGTGTCACAGTAATATCACTTCCCAAACGACCCCACGCTCTTACCCAATCCAGATCCCTCATCACCCTGTACCGCGCCCTAGGACAATGCCACCGGGGAGACATCGGGAATACTCCCCGGCAATTGGCCTATTAAACACCCCCAAAGCCCGGAGTAGAGGTACTAATTCAGAACATCCACACTTCGGTCCCTTCCGACAAGATAATCAAAGCAGAAAATCTCCAAAATTCCTTTTCTTTAAAATAAAATAAAATAAAATAAAATGACGCACACTGATCTTCATACATGATGTCCTAATGTCCCCCCCGAGGACGTGCCCCGTCATACCCTAGTTTCTGAGCTCATACCATATACTAACAACGTACCTACATGTACAACGAATAGATTCCCGGCCCACGCATCAAAATGATTGGATAAAAGTTGGATTCCCTGTCTAGCTTCTTAACTATTTGTTTATTTTTGGTTTTATTCCCCTCTCAGCCCCAATATTAGCTTTGGCTTTTTATGAAACGGACCGGGGTTATGGTGTTTTATCGCTTCTCTGCCGCATTTTTGCAGCTGATCTAGCAGGGTATCGAGATACGTCGGCTATTTTATGGAACTGTTGGATCTTTGTTTTAAGTGTCGGTTTAGTAGTGATTGGTGTTGATCTTGGTGACGATCACTATTCTTTGTTCTTGTTCCGGCTAAGGCGCTTTCGATATCAGTGTTTTGGGTTTAGTTCATTTGTAACAGGTTTTCTCTCTCTATCTCTCTCTCTATCTCTCTTCTTTCATTTTTATCCCCGCAGTGAATACTTGAATGCCTTATTCTGACTCGGTTGGCCCGTTGAGATCTCCGTTCGCGATCTTATTCGTTCAAAGCATGGGTGTGATTTAGGTTCAGATCTACAAGTATCACATTGGTTCAAGCTCCAAGCTTAGTTGTGGATAGCGTGTGACTAGGATCAAGATGTGCCGGCGCCAGCATACAAATTCTACTTTGATACCTGCGTAGCAAAACTGCCTCTTTGATGCGAGGTGGATATGTCTCGTATTGATACTAGATGGCAGATGAAATTGCATCATTTGCCTTTCGGAATCCACAAAACCACATGAAACCGGAATCAAATCAGTAAGTATCATGATAATGAGACAAGAAATCAAACGATCACCGGGGCAACATTCATCCATGATCTAAGAGGCGTTTCTTGTCTCTCCCATCTATCCACTCTCCAAGCTTATTTTCCCCTCATTAGAACAAATTTTAGATTAATGTATCATCTGAGCTTGTTTTTAAACAAAAGACAAAGAGTAATTCGTGGCAGATTCCTCCGGTGCACGAGATCATTCCTTGATTCAGATAATCGAGCTGAAAGACACCTGGGTAAAGATTAGTTGTAAGCGGGGAAGTAGGTATAATGAGTCGCTATTATAGACATGTATTCTAGCAGGCTCAGTCAGGTGTAGAGCGCAGAGCCCGCTGGCAGAAAAACCCTGTTCTTTGAGACTGTGGCAATGCCCAGGTGAAAATCGGCTTGAGATCGACACCAGCACATGGGTTGGTTCGCTACCAGGTTACCCCCTGCGTCCGCCTCTTTAACATATCTTGGTTGGATTAGTCCCCGTGGTCCTATGGTGTAATTCAACTGAGGAGCGGTGGGGGAGAAGCAACGTCACTGCGTTAGATGCATGTCAGGATACGAAGGAAGAAAATAATTCCAACCATGTCTTTTTAGTATTTAAACATATTCAATTAAATAAAATGATAATTATAATTATGAGAGATATAATATTTGGAAAATTAAATTATCAATTTTAACTTTCGACTGCCGATGATCGATGTCAACCCCCGAATTAGTCTTCTTTCCGGCGCCACTGTCCAACAATCCACGAACAACGAATAAAGAACAGCGCTTGTGTTGGAAATAATTAGAATATCCCGTAAAGTATGTGTGATATGGTGATCATCATCATCATCGCCCCATCCATAGCCCGGGTTAAGATCATAACCATAGTTCAGATCACGATAATAATCACGATCACGATCAGAACCGAAAACAGAGTCTCCACATCTGTCGCAGCCCCTTCCAGGCTTAGAAACAATACTTAATCCGTCCATAGAAAGACATATCGATCGGCCAAGTACATACAGGTACAGGGAACGGTGAGCGTTTGAATGTATCCCCACCACTGCCATCAAAGTCCGACCCGCAGTGATCAGCCGCTCGGATTACCTTTTTGCGTCTCAGCTCTAAGGCTGAGTTCCCTACGTTACGCTCTTCCTTCCCTTAGTGGGCGCAGAGGTGCAGAGGTACAGGTGCATATTCGGCGTGGAGAGATTATGAAGCAGGTCGTTAGCTCCGGCCACGCGACACGCTACTGCGGCCGCCTGTGCCCGCCACAGTCAGTTTAACGCCGCTTCGCGAGTCGATGGCTCACAAGTACGCGGTGCGTAATGATTCGCCACGGAGACTTTTGGATCGTTTACACAGTGACGTTTTTTATTTTCTTTTTTTACTCTCTCGGAGACCGAAATTCATGTTGTATTTATAGTAGCGAACTTTTTGACATGTATAGTAGAGAAAGAAAATCTGCATCTTACTGTACTTTGGAACACAGAGAATTGTTTTATCATATATTCTGTATTCCCATTTCAAACCCAGGAAAATAGAAAATCATCGATGAATATCGGCGTTGACACTGACGCCGTCAGATGTGATAACTACTCGCATTTCTTGGCGTACATGCAGCGACAGGTAGAGACCCGAATATCCTTCCCTGACTGGCTAAGAGGCCGCATAACCGGAGCACTCTGTTCCTTCTGTTTGGTTCTTGGGTTCCGACTGCATTATTGGAACCACTCAGATTCGAGAATGAACCAACATAGTTTCCCAAGAGATGTCCGACTGAACACCAAGTGTTTGCGTTTGCTTGGTAGTCGCCCTCAAAACGATGGAGTCAGTGGAGAGGTCGTGGAGTCCTCGGAGCCGGATAGTGGGGCCGAAAGGCCAGGTTAGTGTGTTAGTGTTCCTTTCCTTTTCCTCCCGTTAGTTATTCAGATCACTCCGCCGGGCGTCGGACAGAAGTAACAACAACAAAGAGAACCTGAACAGAAAGGAATGGAACAAATCTCCACCGGGGAAAAACTCGGGGGAGGGGGGCCAAACGAGAGATTTTTCACGTCCTTGTCGGGCAGAGCCGCCTATGGAGATTTGATTTGGAATCAAATCCAATCAGAAAATGAAAATTCACGGAAATTGAGGACGAGAACAAAGAAACAAAGAATCGCTTCGGTGTGGTACCTAATCCTAGGACGGGAGGAAGGAGGAAGAGTGGACATGTTTGGCCCCCCTCTATCCCTCTATTTGTTCGCTTCTCTCCACAACGGAGTTGGACTATGTAACTAACATTTAGTTTATCTGGGGGCGCGACTCTTTTTGTCCATTTGACGATCCCAAGCGGAGCATCTTCCTCCCCGAAGCCACCAATACGTTATGGGGGTTCGGCCCTTCCCCTCTCAAACTCCAAGCTTTTCTCCTTCCCCCTAGTACGTCCATCATTTAACATCGAGGGGAAAAACTTAATCCCCAAAAACCGTTGGCGCCTCCTGAGGCTGATACTTTCAGACTAGACAGGGTGCACGATGTTTCCGTGCGTTCGAACGCACCAGGGTACGACAACTTTAAAATCAAGAACGTGCGATCAATTAATGTTGAGATAGATCTACACGGACGTCAGTCTTTAGGCGACGGCGATTTACAACCGAAAAAAAGTGAGGCTTGATACGAAAAAGAATACGAAATAATAACGAAAATAATAACAGCAATAATAAATAGCACAAACGAACTAAAAAAGATAGCGATTTTTACAAAATTACGAAATTGTGAACGTCGGATGCCCCTTTCAAGTTCCTTTTCCACTTGTGTACGCAATGGGAAGATTTCTACTACTGTACCCTGTACAAAGTACATGCAACTAAGACTAGTTTGACCCAACGGCGCCAACCGTATCCATGGCCCAGGTGCCCAAACACACCGGTGGAAGAGTAGTCGGTACACTTAGTTCCCTTTTTCACATCTAGAACATCGGGGCTACTACTCTTCTTACTAGCATGCCGCACCGGCTCCAAAGTCAAATTTCTCGCGGTCATTAGTATGTACGCCTCGTGCCCCACAAGGGTCAAGTCCTAACAATCGTCTGGAGTATAGAAGCAACCTATATAGGTATTTGGGGCGCATTGTAGGCACGATTACGACATTGTGGCCACGCTAAATCCATAGATGTATTTGTTTTTATCCAGGACCGACGGAGGATGTATACAAGCAGTTAGTTGAACTTAGAATGGGCTGATGAGTACGTTCAGCTACTATGTATCTTTGACCTGATCGTGCTGATTGCCGAAAATGGTTATCGAAAGGGGTGGTTTTATTTTATTTTATTCCTTCAGATGCAGAGTTTCGCTAGAGATGCGTGTGATTCGGAGAACGGTGGAGCCCACGAGACAGAGCCAAAGCCAGAGCCAAAGCCAACTCCACTATGAAATCAACATGAATCTTCGTCCTTCTGTTTTCAGATATTTTCTTTGGATTTTATTGGACTTTCTTTTTTTTTCTTGCTGTCAGGACTGGGAGGAGCACAGCGCCAAACGCCGCTACGATCTGCACGCAGTAAGGGCGGGCCTCCCGGGCCTCCCGGGGCCCCCATTCACCGTGGCCCGTGTTTCCGCTGTGGGAACAGGATGTGCAAAGAAAAAAGCTATCGAAAAAAAAGTTGATTTAATTTTCAAATAAAACAATTTATGAAAAATGAAAATAAGATTAAACAGAAGAACTCACGCACCAAAAATGGGCCCAAGCGAGTTCCATCACATAACGGCTAATACTAGTACTAGTACCAAAAACATCACGGAGGACCCCGATTCTCAAGACCTTAAATCCAACCTTGGAACCTTGGAAGAGATAACCTGTTCTTTGTGATTGTTTCTCTTCTCCTCAATCTTTTCTTTGTTCTTTTTCCTTTCAACTCCCAGAAGAGAAGGGGTTGATCGGCACCAGAACCAGAACAGAACCATACAATTAGCTGGAGTCCAGTGGCGTTCTGCCGCGGCCCCCGTTCTGTCCCCGCTAGCCCTAGCGTCTCGACTCCATAGCGAGCCAATGAAGAGATACCGTATTTCCTTATTTTCCTTCCTTTCTAGCGATGTAGGTCTCCAGTCTCCATTTCTAATTTAAACAACGGCAAGAGTGAGTTGTTTTCCGCGCTTTTTTGTCTTTCTGGCCCGTGTATTTTGGGGGCTACTGCATGTACGTACAAGTGTTGACCAATTGCCGCGGTCTAGACTTGATGCTGCGTGCGCTAAAGTGGCCCCGATAAAGTACTCCATCGCAAGGTCCATATTCAAACGGTGCTGAGGACTAGCATGGGCACGGTCCGTTTTTTTTTTTTTTTTTCTGCTCTGAGATTTTAGTGGCAGGAATGTTTTATTGTCTTCATGACGTATTTCGCGCAGATCGATGAATCGGATTTCGGACTTACGATTTCCAGTTATGGACTCGGACTGTAGGGCGTGGATTTATGGGGAAGAACTGTCAGCTAGATTTTATTATTTTGTTACTTTACTACGTTTTGTTAGAACCGGGTACGACTTTCTACATTAAGTGCTCATTTTATTTTATTTCACTTTAGAGGCACATTTATATCTTATACATGTTATATTATATTCCATACTATTTAGGTTTCTAATTTGACTTTTCTCAGGTGCATGGAGTTCAAGGTTTAAGGGGAAGGGTGTAGAAGTGGGAAGTATCAGCCAGAAATAGGCGGTTAAGCGACGAAGACCACAGCAAAAGAGGGGAAGAAAATCCATATCATCTACACAAACTACTGCCGACCCTGGTCTAGTACATAACTCACGCCGTATTGACGCTTAACGTCCTCTGGCCCAGTCGATCCGGGGCCGGTAGTGGCACTAACTAGCGGAGCAAATCGATGAGCTTGGATCTCGGTTGATCCGCTCAGGGGTGGTTGGGTGGCACGGGAGTCTTTCTCCTCCTTTGCTGAAAATGGTTCGCCGATGGTGTTTCTAATCTTTCCAATCTTTCCCCCGTTAGGCCAAGCCATCATATTCAAGCCCTTGTTCCCGGCCGTACGACCTTTTACTTCTGGAACCCGTACGACAAAGCTACGTGGACATGTGCTATCAGTGAGACAGAGACTCGGGGCACGGATACCGGCATAGTCTTTGCCCTTGCGTTGATTATTATGGAGTGTACTCGTGGTGAATCTTAGCTTAATTTTTGGACTTCTCCCCCCTTGGTTGTTGTTGATGGTGGGTTTAGTATTTGAAAGAGGTTTTCTTTCTTTTTCATTATTAGGGCGGTCTTCATGACCCAGGCCATGGTTACAAAGTACCGCTGGATCGAGTACCTACTTAGTGCATATCGAGGGTGGATGCAGTGGGGACGGGTGATTGCCATCACAATTTCCCTCCATCCGAGGTCGGGATGATCAATCTATATGATCGTATGAAAGGACCGGATGAAATAAGAAAAAGGTAAAAATTAAGAGAAAAACAAAATCTCCAATTTAATATTTTAATCCAACACCTTTTACGGAGTAATAATTCAAGAAACGTCTGGAGCTGTACTAGCTGAAGGTGGGACCAGAAGCGGGCACAACTTGACGCGATGGACAGTCGCGGACTCCAACACCCTGCATCAATCACAGGTGAATACCAATGACGATCCGTTCTCAAATGACACCGTTTTCCTCGGCCCCACAGTCGCATGCGAAAAGCAAAGAGAAAAGGGAAAAAGAGCCAGTACTCGTAGACTAAGTCAGAAAAAAAGGGGGTGGGTGGTTGGGTTGGGTTGGGTTGGCGCATGCACCCGGGTTAGTTTAGTACCAACCTTTAGCCCTGAGTTTTCCTAACCGCAGAGAGACAAGAACGCGACCAATGGACTCGCGAAGAAAAGGATCTTCATATAGTGATTGGTTGAATGAACCAACAGCTTCGGTTGGCTGTGAATGGATGCGATTACGACGCATCCAAAGCTAAACTCGTTCTGGAAGCTCTTAGCTCACTTCGAATCAAACCTAAGAGTTAGCCCCTCTCTCAAGTCTCTTGTTTCCTTTTTCTCCACGCCGAGAAGTCCCGTTGTGTGCTATGCTAATGCAAGAATGCGCAGTCACTGCGCATTTATGGAGGGCTGCGGGCACAGTCCTAAGATCAGCGGAGTTATTCAATTGGTCTTCCCTTTTTTGCTCTTGGAGACCTGACCTATCTGACCTAGCTGGCCTGGTCTTTGAGTCTTGAGCCTCAGAAGCCGATTATCCGTCTCTTTTATCCTTCTTGGGACTTGGATTTTTCTAAAACCAGCCCGAGACTTGACTAGGGGTTAAGGAAAGAGCCGGGCCTGTTTAGATTAAAGGTTGAGCGAATAAAAAAGATACTTCCCGCCTTAAGTCGGAGTACGCAGTATGTGTAGGTAGATTATACTGTATAATGTACCTACTATAGATAAAATAAGAAGAGATGACGCCAGGGGCCCAGGTTGATCGAGCCGTGTGATACTCCACCTCATTCCGAGACCACCAGAAGCTGTCCCGCATACCTCATATGTAGTCAAGATCTATGTCAAGCCATCAACAAACAGAGACTCGGACATCATGACTGGAGGAATTCAAGTGTCATGCGTTGACGTGCCGAATGCTCTCCGTAATAAAGCCGGAGAAAAAAAAATTGGCTCGTGTCCGACGTGTCTATTTCGTAGGAAGGGTTAATTTCAATTTCTCGAACTACCTTTTGGTTCCCAGTGCCAAGCGCACCTAGTGCATTACAGGCTTAGGGAGTGAAGCCCGGGTGGAGGCCTGCATCGGGGATGGGGGGGGGGGGGGGGGGCTTGGGGGAGTTCATTAGGTTCTATTGGTGCCCCATTGAGTCAAGCAATGTTTGTGCTTCGTGTTGTTTCTTTCCTTTTTTTCTGCTTCCAAATTATGATCTCTAATTTTCGTTTTGCTTTTCCCTACCCCCCTTCAATTTATGTCCGGCATGAGCGGAAACACCGCTTATTCCGCGACAATACAAGTGGGAAGATAATACATCGCTGGAGTGCGGGAAGGTAACTCCCGTGAAGCGGATACCGATTCAAATGTTCATCGGGAAGATCAGCGGCTGATGGGAGGGGAGAAAGATAAAAAAATAATCAATAAATATCAAAATTGAATTGCAAGGTTACCACGAACGATAATCTAGCGAATGTGATGGGCGCCGTTAGGCTGTTTCGAGTTTATTTAGACGGGGCAATCGAGGCAGTCGGGGATCTGGATCTTATGGGGAACAGCAGACTGGGGGTCGTGGAAACAACCAAACCCGATGATCACTTCAAATTCAATCATTTTATTCAAATTTTTATATCATTTGATTCCCTTTGACTCCAGTCAGATCGCGTGTGCAACCCAGTGCTTTCTAGGATGGATCTCTGCGCCGATCTCGATATACTCCGAGTACCTTCTCCACTGGGTAGCCGAATACCCAGTGGGACGTACACCCTTCAGCTCATCAGTACCTGAAACTGGCTCGATTTGCGAGATGTCAACGGGGGCCCTTTTCGTTCCAATGAGTCTCGACCGACATTGAATCTTCATCTTCTAGACCGCGTCGGATTTTGTAAGCCCATTGGATACCCGTTCGATCTACCCCCTCTTTTTTTTTGCTTTACCCCAACGTCATGAGCAAACATGTCTCCAGCTATAAGGCCTAGTCGGTTATCATTTATCGATTATATTTACTGACTCGGTTTTGTTGGTCATTTGGGGCCTTCGTAGCTGCGCATATTGAGCAATTGCTCCATTTACAACTTGATTGCTTCTTTTTTCCACAACCCTAACCCAAAGATATGTATTTAATGGATTCTTTTTTGATAGAAAAGTTTTTATTTTTTATTTTTATTTTTATTTTTTTCTCTTTTCAAATATCCTCCTCCCTCCATCGGCACTTCACCTTAATTAGTATAGGGTACGCTAAACCAGAAGAATCCCGTGCTGGAGAATCCACCCTGCGTAGTTCAAAACTCTGTCCCCTGGGCACAAGATTGAGGGAAATAACGTCACTCGGATTTCTTTGTTCAGCGTTGCTCCGAGTCTCTTTTTCCCCCTTCTTTTATTTTGCCCCTCTTCTTCCTTTCGTTCCAATCATATATTAGATCTGGTAAACAACATGCGGTTCTTTGTTTTCCCTTGACGGACGTATCATGATGGCTCCTCATCCCCCCGAAGAACGGTTCCTTGGAAGAAGAAAAACAAGCTAAAAAAGCAAGAGGGGCAATATCACTAGACCGTTAGAGAACCGCGGACCGTAGTATTGTATCAAATAAATCTGCCTTGTCCGTATCCAATCCAATTTCCAGCTGTTGTGGTACACTATGGAAGGATGATACTCATCCACTACCTCCAGTGTCCACTGCACTAGGAGATGATAGGTAGGTCGATAGGTACCTCGATGTACTGTACTCTCAAAATAGCACAGGAAATGATACTTTCCCCACTACTGTCCTTATTGCTGTGGCAGAGATGGAGAGAAATATTTATTTAATTTTTGCTTATTGATAATCAAGAAAATAAGAAAATTATTCCATTTTTTGGTCTTTTCTTGCGGCGTTGGTGATTTCCTTCTAACCACGCACCGGTTTACTGCATGCTTTTGCTGCACATCATTCCCTCTTCCCACCCTCCTCTTTCCTTCTTTTTGTATTTTTTAATTATCTTATTTTATTTTATTTTATTTGATTTTTGATTTTTTTTCGAAAATCAACTTTTGAAAATTATGCTTTTCTTTCTCCACGGCGTTTAAATCTGCTCCCCATCTCGGCTAGGATGAGATGATGACGCTCAATTAATTTTACAGAGGCTCGGATGTTTACCGGGGGACTCGACTCTCTTAATCTCCCTCCTGCATCCATCCTGGACAATATTACACCATGTTCCCGTTAATGACCAGCCCATCCTAATACATACTCTCTTCTCATCTTCTCTCTCCACCTGAATGGATCTTCTTTGGGGCTTTTTTGGCCATTTTTCCCTTTAATTCATACTCGATCTATATTATTCTTTTTTTATACACTAAATCCACAGTTTTCCCTTCTCCACATCTCTTTTTTTGTTTCTGATATTTTTTTTCCTTTTCCTTTTTTTCCTTTTTTCGATTTTATCATTTTCGAATTATTTATTTTATTTATTTATTTATTTCTTTGTCTTTCTCCCCTCAACTACATCTTGACATGAGAGGACGAGGAAAGCGTGGGTCCAATTTAGAGACGACGCTGCCTTAACCTCTTCCCCCTCCCCCATAGTCCATGGGTCCTCCATGGGTGCAGCTAAATAAGCGACCCTGGACCCTCTCTTATTCCTATCGTCAAACACGGTCCATCGTGCCTTGAGCCCACCCCACCCCAGTCAAGAACAGGCTACTAGCCGTGAGTGTCGCGCAGCACTTTTTAGCCTCAGGCTTTTCGGGATCTACTACCCCCCGTGCTTGTTCTCATTTGACGTTGGGCATTTCCACGCGTGCTGCGTTTCTTCCATTGCGCCAAACCCTCGCATCCTAGTTCTTTTTATGTTTTTCTCCCCCAATATTCCTTGTCAAACACTGTCCCTTCCCTTGCTACATCCTCTGCATTGAAGCCCGAACTCAATCCTAGGCTGTGAACAAGTTTTCTTCCCTGTCCGGCATGGTACATACTGGCCGTGATCCTCCGGTGTCAAATTACAAGGAAGAGCCGGTTAACGATCCTGTAAGTATTCGACTTGTCTACTTTTTCTATCTCTCTCCCTCTTTTTTCCTCTCTCCATGATAGATATGAGAAGCACAATCTTGTCTTTTCTTTGATTTCATGGCATCTTCTACTTCAAATGTCAGCATGGAATGTATTCAAGCTTCATGTCCCTTTTATCGTTTGATATTGGATGCTCGGCACGGCGAGAGCTATAATGCCGCGGGATGACAAGCTCCCCGGATACTTTCACTACAACTACTGGGCACCATATTCAGCAATGCTCCTTGGACGAAGAGGCGATGACCTCGGGAAACGGCACAAATAAGTTTCCGAGGGCTTCTCTTATGGTTTCCAGCCGGGCTGATTGTCTGACTCAATGGTATTATCATGACCATGCGGCTGAAAACGAATTGCTTCATTGTGAGGATTTGCCCACAGACCTGATTATATCTGTATGTCTGTGCACCGGTGACCTACTCGTCAGAGCACCTGAACCTATCGGAATTTGTCTATGGTAAAGGGGAAATCAACTCGGTGAAACACAGAAAAACTCTTTTTTTCCTGACAGAAAAAAATCATTGGGAAAAAAATCGAGAACCATTCCCACCCAGCACAATGAAAGCCATATCCCCCGCTCCGAAGCCCATGTAGCGGCGAAGAGACGCCATTTACAGGGACAAACAACGAGGCTGGAGTATTTGGTCCCCTCGGAAGACAAGAGCCACTTGCATTGTCAAAGCCAGCTCCAATGCTACACAGATCCGTGGTTTTCTTTGGCCCTGGACGGCCTATCCTGGTTCAATCCTAGTCATTTGTTACGCACCCAAGCCCATCCCTGCTCGAGGAATCGTTCGTCGTGGCAACTTTCCCCCCTCAAAGCTGAGGAGTTTCTGCCTCTTGGAGTGATTCAAATCCCCGCGCTCATTTCGTCACTCTTTCTGGATGATCTGGTTGTGTTCTCAAGTCTCTATCTATCTTTCTTTCTCTTCCCTTTCCACGTTATTAGGTTGTTTGTACCACCACACGAGCTCGAAGACCTCTTTGAGGGGTCTTGGAATAGCCAATTCCTCAGTCACTGATACGCGTTTTTTTTTTTTCGCCGCAGCTACGCAACGGCAACTCAGTATCGAGTTCCCAACATCAACAACATCTTGATTCTTCAAGGCCGGATCTAGCACAACCACCTCCATTACTGCAGAGACAAGGTCCTTTATCGCCTCTTGAGATAGCCGCATCTCTTCCTCCACCAGCATATCCCACAGTATCATATCCGCCACCTCATTCTATCGCAAACGGTCTCTTGCATTCGCATATTTCCTACGAGTCATCAACACAGGAGTCGCCATATTATACGACTCACCCTTCTTTATATCCCACATCAACTGCGACAGCGCAGTATCCATCAAGTGGTAAGTTTTGATCTCATGATAATTGCATGCCCAAGTGTTACGGGTTGTGAACTTCCATCTCATGATTTTCCCCGTGGCATCATATCTGGGGCCGACTGCCGCCTGAATTGCTACGGACCCCCGACTGATTCTGTGAGATATAGGGCCGTCTGACCTCATGGCAACCACCGCTCAAATGCAGAGACCTTACCCACCAATTTATCACACCCCTCAATCAAACTCTCCAGCCTCTGTAGCCTCACAACCGCATGATCAGCATGGTCAAAACATTTACACTCAGTCGCCACAGATGCCACCCCAAATGTACGGCTATCAGCCATACTCCCCGATAAACCCTATTCATCATCCCTCTTATGCCACTCATGCATCACCTCAACCGCATCCCCTCACATCCCAGTCTATGATGATGGCCACTCAAACGAGTACAGCACAGATGTCTCCTCATCAACAATCAGCGACCCCCAATACAGCTCTATCCAGCAGTCCAACTATGAAGATGGACTCGGCACCACAGCAATCTAGTTCCCAGCGATCAATGCTCGGTCCTACACTCCCAGCACCAACCAACAGCAGCCTCCCAGCAGGGAATGTTCAACAGTCTTCCCTTGGAGCAAGCTCAAGCGCAGCACCAGGCCCTATTCCTGCCACCACGCCACTTGTTGTACGACAGGACAGTAACGGGGTACAATGGATAGCCTTCGAGTACTCCCGGGATAGAGTAAAGATGGAATACACAATCCGCTGTGATGTCGAATCTGTCACAGTCGACCATCTCAGCCAGGAGTTCAAGACAGAAAACTGCGTGTACCCCCGAGCATGCTGCAGCAAAGACCAATACCGTGGTAATCGGCTGGTCTACGAGACTGAATGCAATGCTGTTGGATGGGCTCTAGCAGAGCTTAATCCAGCATTACGAGGCAAGCGTGGCCTGATCCAGCGAGCAGTTGATAGTTGGAGAAACAGTAACCAGGATCCTCGACTTCGGAGCAGACGAGTGCGCCGTCAGCACAAGATGAACCGTCGACAGTCTGTTCAGCCTCCCTCTACTCCCCACATGCCTCCAGCCGCACCCCCTATCCAGAGTGGAATGACCGTAATTCCTTCGGGGCAGAGATCTAGTATTGGACCCTTGATGGGGCCACCCATGATACACCACCATGCCCAACCAGATGGTAGCCCTAAGCTTGAACAAGTCAGCGGTATGTTTCACTAAGCTATGGTGTGATTTGATCCGTTGTTCATGATTTTTTTCTACGACGTGCGCGGCGGGGTTTCCTGATAAACCTTGTATTTCGTTTCCTCTTCATTTTTTTATATTTCCCTTCTATCCCTTCATAAGATTTGTTTTATCGTTCTTCTACACTGTTATGGACTTTTTGTTTCTCTTTTGACGGACCGGACATTTGTTTCCCATGATCTAATAGTATGTGTACATGTGGGAAGGAATGTGTGTATTTCTGTGTGGCTTTCTGTTTGTCTATGGACGGTGTATGAGATGAGATGTCTTGTGATATGACCCTCCCACCTGATTTGAATGTTGGTTCCAGACATCTTTGGAAATGTTTCTTCTGCCTCTATCTGTTTTGTTATTTCATACCCTCTCTGTTCTTGATTATCATCTGATGCCGACGCGCCGCTTGCCCTGTCCTTTCTTTGGGTTTCGACCCCCCCCTGCGAACATGCAGTACAGCGTAGGCTAATTACTTACCCCCTCTTCCCACGATAGGCACCGCGGATCACAGCCTCGAAGCCCAGCGTCCCATCGACGCAGGCCGTCTACCACCCGCACCACTCGGTGCAACCGATATCCGACCAGCACAGGTCTTCCATGATGGACACCCCGTACCCGCACCATCCAGCGTCATTTCATCAATGCCGCCCCTTCTCCGTGACAGCGGTCTCGGGTCTCTCAGCCGGCACCAAACCATAGCAACATCTAGCCGAATGGCATCCGGCGCCGATCTAGACGACGAACAATCCCCCAGCAACGACGATCTCTTCGGCCAGTTACCAGATGGTAAGCGGCGGACTTTTATCCTTGTCGAGGATCCTCAGCGTGGATCGCGGGTCCGGGTCAAGGTCGGCTTGGATAAGGTCAAGATGGATGAGATTCCAGATTCTTACCGTCGCGACACGGCCGTGTATCCGCGCACTTACTTCCCTACGCAGATGAGGGATGCGCCTATGCTCGTTGATCCGAGTAAGAGGTTCTTTGCCGAAGATGAAGACCACACGGCAGATGCGGAGGACTCCACTATGGGCCGAACGAGCGTTCCTGCTCCATCGATGGAGAACGATAGTGCGGTGGAGGTTCCTAAACTTTCGCGTCGGCACCACCGGAAAGAGGTAATGTTGAATGATCTCGCATACCGACTTAGCTGGAGTCAGAGTCGAGTCTTTGCGGGACGAATGCTATTTTTGCAACGGTCGCGTAAGTTTACCTTTCTTTTTTCTTCTGTTGGCGTTGGGTGTTTTATTCGTATTTTGCAAAGCAATGGTCTCTATTGGTGATGTCTCTGTGTGGGTGTCATTGTGTCAGGTGTTCAGGCACGGGTATGCCCACGTGCGGCAAAGATCCAAAACATTGTCTCAGTATGAACCGAGAACCGTGACAGTGCTAACGACAAGTTACAACAGTGGATGCCTATCGCAATAAAATGCGGACTAGTATGATCGCCGCGGGCCAAGAGGCATCAGATATTCCAGAGCATTTCGATACTCGACGAGGAAAGCGGCGATTCCTAGAACGCGCTCGTCGACTGGAAAGTGATGGACCCTCTGCGGCACAACGCAGCGCTGAAGAAGTTGAGGGATAATGATGACTTTATTTTATTTTTTTATTTATTATTCATCTGGGGTATCCTGTGTTTTGCTTATGATTATTGTGAATTATTTATTATTTTTTGTCTTCCGGTTATGAAGGGATTAACGAGCGCAAAATACCAAAACACGTTGGGAATGGATCCGCACGGCGCAGGGATTGATGGGATAACGAGACCATGGCAGTTATGGCAGTTATGGCAATTATGGCAATTATGACGGTCGAATGTTACTTTTTATTATTCTCCTTTAAGGAAGAGTATTGACATTGTATTTCCGTATAATCCCGGGGTCGCATTCTGCTGCGGCGAGTACAGAAATAGCAGTCTACACAGTCTACACTATGTAGTAGTCTACTCATACCGTGGATTGTAAGGGACTCGGACCCACCTGGTCCACATTGACAGGACCCTTGAATGCAGGGTTCAACAGGCCCTTGGGGGAAGATTAAGAAGAACAAATATACTCTACCGATTCTTTTTGTCCGTTTTATTCTTGAATAGCTCTTTAACACCTTAATACTTCCTCATTTAATTCTCATTTAATCAATTTGTACAACGTGCTTATACAACTCTTTTACCTGCCGGGTGGGGGACGTTATCCGTTGTCAGGGTCACCAAACGCTTGTTGACAACTTTATTCCCCTCCATCTTGTGCTTTTCACATTTCTCTTCTTTTTTTTGTTTCTCGATCCTCATCTCTCAGGTTTCCTCACACACACCACAAATACCCCTTTCTACTCTTCCTTTCCTCCAGCTGCATCGTCTCATCTTAGACTCTACCATTCACAACCGCGGCTTGTCAGCCTGGCCCACCCGTCTACCGCACTGCGCCTTCATCCCCCCGAACCGTGGATTCGGAATTGACTGTGACAGTTCAGCAATATCCGAGATCTAATTTTAATCTCCCTTCTGAACGTGAAAGACCATCAATCTCAAACCCGGTCTCTCTAATCTCCAATATACCCAAGCATACAATACAACACACACACACTCGTGGGCTTCAGCCTCACCTCAGCCTCACCCAATACATCCCTTGCATTCTACATAATCACAACAAAACTCCAACCTTCTAAACCTATTCACAATGAATTCACACGATATCGACGATATCCCCGAGCCACCCCGCCGATTCTCACATCCAAACCGTCAGGATTCCTCCGTCACACCAGGCGTCGACAATCTTGGCCCCTCCTCCGTTGGCGGCGGAATCAGTGGGATAGCACTCGGCATTGCCAACACGCACAGTCGCCAAAGTGGCATCGACGCGGTGCACGGCGTAAACCAGCACCAAGATCCAGAGATGGACACATACGACAATTACACTGGTCCTGCTGAACGGTCATTTCACACTTCGGGTTCAGAGAACCCGTACATCCCTACCCCGCCAGCTCACGAGAACCCTTTCTACGGCAGTTCAGAGACCTTACGCGGAGGTACAAACTCATATGGATCAGGAATGGCACTTGGGGAGACTGGCGCGCCGCCTGCTCTTCAAAACATGAACCGATCTAGTGCACATCTGGCTGAGGCAAGACGGAGTTTTCGCGATGGATACCCTGTGCCTGGAGCTGGGCCTGCGCCTTATGCAGGTGGTCTTGGGATTGATGGGCCTTATCAGCGTCAATCTCACTACAGTACAAGTGGGGTGTCGGGGGATATCAATCCAGATGACATCGCGGATGACGGAGATGATGATGTTATACCTGCTCATAGGAATTTAGTTGGGCCTACAGCGGCGGGTGCTGTTGTAGGTGCGGGAGTCGGTGCAGGTGCTGCTGCCGGAGCTACAGCGTCAAAGGGCGGATTATTTGGAGGTTTCTTTGGATCAGAGAAGAATGCGAATGTGGCTTACGACGCCGTGCCTGGAGGTGGATTGGAAGCTGGACAAGCAGGGAAAAAGAGTTTAGGGATGGCAGGGAGGAAGAAGAGAGCGTTGATTGTCGGAGCAGTGCTTGGATTTATCATTCTTGCCGCTATAGTCGGTGGTGCTGTTGGTGGCACGCTGGGAACGAAGCATTCGGATGGAAAATCGAGTGACAACTCTGCGTCCGGGGATGAAGACAAAAACGGGGACTTGGATATAAATTCATCTGAGATCAAGGCTTTGATGAATAACAAGAATCTGCACAAGGTCTTCCCTGGTATGGACTATACACCATGGGGAGTGCAGTACCCACTATGTCTCAAGTACCCGCCGTCCCAGAACAATGTCACCCGCGACTTGGCAGTTTTGTCCCAGTTAACCAATAACGTCCGTCTATACGGTACAGACTGCAACCAGACTGAGATGACATTGCACGCAATTGACAAGCTCGAGTTGACCGATATGAAAGTCTGGCTTGGAGTATGGATCGACTCGAACACAACAACAGTCAATCGCCAGCTAGACCAACTCTACGATGTCTTGGAAAATACCAAAAACACCTCAATTTTCAACGGAATCATCGTGGGCAACGAAGCCCTCTACCGCGCCGGTCCAGATATACAAACCGCCGAAACGACCCTCATAAGCTACATCAAAGATGTCCGCAGTAAACTCAAGAAACGCAGTCTGGACATAAAACTCGCAACCTCTGACCTAGGCGACAACTGGAACGCGCAACTCGTCAACGCCGTGGATGTAGTAATGTCGAACGTCCACCCCTTCTTCGCCGGTGTCAACGTCACCGCTGCCGCAGCCTGGACTTGGGATTTCTGGCAAACGCACGACGTCTCCCTAACACAGGGAACGAACAAGAAACAAATCATTTCCGAAGTAGGATGGCCTAGTGCAGGAGGAAAGGACTGCGGCAGTAGCAAGACTTGTGGACCTGATATTCCCGGTTCAGTGGCAAGCATCGACAACATGAATACCTTCATGTCGGACTGGATCTGTCAGGCATTAGAAAACGGAACAGATTACTTCTGGTTCGAAGCCTTTGACGAACCGTGGAAGATTGAATTCAACACCCCCGGTAAAGACTGGGAGGATAAATGGGGTTTGATGGACTCAGCACGCAAGATCAAACCAGGTCTTAAAATCCCCGATTGCGACGGCAAGACAGCTTCATAATGCTTCCTTACCTTGCCTTACGTTTTTTTTCTCTTACTTTCTTCCAGCTCTAATGGAATCATGATCATGACCGCTTTCATGCATATATGTCCTTTACTCTTGCGTCGGTGTTCCGGAGTCTACAATTTGGTCGACTCTACTCTTTTTTTTCATCTTTCCTATCCCCCCCCCCCTTTTTTATGGTTAGCTGACGGTCTCCATTTTCTATGCTCTGGTTTCTCAGAGGGAGAAATTGCGTCGGAGAGCAATATTGTTGTTATGTTGAGTCTTTTTATCGGTGGTTGAATCGGATATGCCTCGAGGGTTCATGTACATAGTGCCATTAATCTCACTGTTTCTATATTTTTTCTATTCATGTCATGATTCATCCGTAGTAAATGCTAGATATTACATTGGCTTTTGAGCTTCATATTCAATGTTGAAGATTTGTAGGTTCTGACTTGTACGTATTACTTTCTGTTTTTGTCGATCTGGGCTTAAATCCAACCGGGACTCGAAATGAGTAAATGTTATCTGGATCTGGAGATACTAGTATATGACAATTTCTAGGTTTGAAAGTTTTTGCTTAGTATATCCGGGTGCTAGAAGAATGGGTGATATGAGTAGCTTGTCTTAATGAGTCTTCAAATGCAGATTATCTTGGTTTATGGATATATAGGACCTGTGGTGTACTGGGAGTAAGCGTTGTGTGCCATATTTCTACTAGCCCCGACATCAACATGGAGTCCGGAACTCCCGTGAGCCCGAGAATCGCTGCCCAGGTGTACATGTGTGAAGTAGTAGTAGTCAAAACTCCCTTGGAACACCAAATTATCTATCGAGGTCACGAGTGTGCATGGGTATATATTCGTTGTACAGCTTACAGTAGATCAATAGAACTTAAAATAGGTCCAGATTATTTTAATGAAGATAAATAATATTCATGCTAAAGTATGTACTGAAATGTCTACCACTGACAGACCTCAAGGTACACCCTCCACTCTGGAAGTCGAAAGACCAAGCTTGCCATAAGGATCCACGAAGAAATCAACAGGCTCCAAGATACAGAAAGCTAAGCTGCATAAATACGAGTAGCAGGCAAGCGTAATGTAGACGCCCCAACGCCATGTCGTGAACTTGAAATAGTCATAACGGGAAGATCAATCAAGATCATTGTTTGACTGCAGGGTAAATGCCCTGTTGTATGTCGATAATGAATTTCAAATACAGGAATGGTACCTCGCTGGCTAATAATGGGAAAGGGAGCACGGAGTGGACGAAAAAGAAACAAAGGAAACAAAATACCTCTGCGTCCAATTGGACAATGAAGGGGGTATCGCAAAAGAAAGGCGCGCAAATGCTATGCTGAACGTGCAGCAAGATGGAAAGGCTAGTTGACTGGGGCCAAGACAGATTGTCTTCTTCTCAGAGCGTTTTCAGAGACGTCTCTGGGCGAAACAAGTCTATGTGCTTGAATGTTACAGGGGCAAGACTCGTGACGGATCTTGAAGAAAGCGCCTACGGTATGCGACTATCTCGGAAGCCACAGTGCTGAAATCTTTCACCTTGTCACGTCGCATTTCGTTGATAATTCCCTTCAACCCAGCGATATAGGTTTCTTTTTCTTCTTCGGTTTGGCCTTCACGGACAGAGCCCATCTCGATCAGGATCTTGTCATCTGTTGAAGTTAATGGCACTGTGGTCAGCTTTTGGACGGGGTAGAAAGGAATATAAGAAATATAAGGGGAGTGGAAGAGGTGGAGGTATGAATGCGTATGGGGGATTTGAAATGGGAAATGAAAGGTTGGAAAAATGACTACAAAAACGCCCAACGCATAAATGGAGAGGAAAGGGAAAATCGAAATGGAAACCATTTTCAGAGTTTGCACTGCTGTGAAGTCGTCGACGCACCGCTAAGATTGATATCCCGGAAATGCTGAAATTCGCAAGACCGATCATTGCAGACGCCACCGGCCATTTCATACGGGCAAAAATATTTCATCGCATCAATGTCATGGCTGTAGGTTAGCGAACGATAGCCGCTCGAAACATCATCGGTAAAGGCCGGGTGGTAACGGTATGCTTTGAAGTGACGCAGAGGGCTTATGTACGGCGTGAATTTTGAGCCGGGAGTCACTGCTGTAGAAGTATTGCTCTAAAGGGGGAGGAGGGATCAGTACTTATATCTCATAATTGTTCTGTCGGAAAGAGATTTTTTTCATACACCGAGGGTTTCAACCTGAAGAGAAGGGTGTAATTCTGAAGTGGCCACCTGAGGCGCGCCAGTTAGTGAATCATCAGCTGGAGTACCATCCAGCGAGACGGCTGGAATTTCCTGGTCTTTTTCTACAGGAACGTGAGGAGCGGGACTGAAAGGAGGGCTGTAAGGGGAATTGGGTTCAGTAGAAGCATCCGGCTCAGGAGGCTCATATGCTTCTGATTCATCTGACTCCGACTCCGACTCTGATCCGGATTCATGATTGGAACGCTCACTGCGCGTGTCCATATTTCCGGAATCTTGTGATGGGATATTCTTTCCATCCAATGCCGGCGACGGATTTTCCAGAGAAGAATGATCTAGATTCAAATGTTCTGCATCCATAAGAGACTCTTGATCGCTTGAACTAGCATCACTGTTAAGGGAATCTGAAGATTCGTCTTCGGAAGATCCAGGGATCTCCGGCATAGAAGCGGAGCCTTCATTTTGTGGTTGGAACGAGGTCGCCAGTGGATCTAGCGTTTGTTGTCCACCAGGTGCAGCATATTCATTCTCGCCGGGAGAATCTTGGCTTGGGCTGGAGATATCCTCCGATTCATCCATTGCAGAGCTCATAGATTCAGAGTGAGGTGAGCTTGATACCTCGGTTGAATTGCGAGTAAGACCCACAGGGAGTGCGACTTCGCATCCTTGAGTGAACGACAGGGCTGCCACAGTCGGCTGGGGCTCAGAGGCGGGAGCATCAGTCATCGATTGGATCTTCATATCTGCGGATGTTTGTGATGGGACGGAGACTGAGGATAAAATGTTAGAAGAGAGCGAGAAGTAAAGCGACGCGTGGGAAAGGAAGATGTACCTAATTCTTCGGTAACCGGGTTTTGCTTGATTTCTGCCTGGCGCCGTAGGGCTTCCACGGAGGACTCATCGAGAGACTCGATAGGAACTGATTTATCGGGCAGATCCGTCCTATTTTGATCCTTCTTGTCGGCGGTCTCGGCGGTCAAGACATGTGAGGCTTTAGCCACATCGGCATCCACAGGAATTGATTGTGCAACGAAAGGAGACTCCGAGGATGATGGTGATGATGATGCAGAATCATTCACGGTGCGAGGGGACTCGGCTCGACTGGTAACAAGCTTCGCTTTTCGTCGCTCTTCAAGTTCTGCTATTTTACGATGCATTTCTTGAATCTCCAAGTCCTTTTGTCGCATGTTTTCGTTATCACTTTGCCAGGAGGGACCCTGCGGTGTTGATGTAGAAGATGGGTATTTCTGAAGGACCGGCCGAGATATATCCAGAGTGGTAATGGATGTGGTGGGTTGATCTTGATCAGAGTCAATCTTCATTGTATCGGGATCATCTCCATAAAATGATTCATCATCGTCACTAAATTCAATGACAAGGCGATCTGTATGACCCACGGGGCCTTTCTCATACCCTGAAGGTCGCTTGGCAGCTGCATCTGGCTCGTCAAAATCTGACGCACGAGGCCTTTTGCGATGGGAAGTCCGTGACAAAGGTGTCGAATCCACGTTTATTGTCTGGGAGGCCTCGATAGAAGGTTGCAAGCCAGCGTCGTTTTTGGATTCAGTCATGACTAGACCTGGGATTGAAGCAGCATCGGAAGGCTGGGGTATTGGAGGGCGAACCGGAAGTGGGTGTTGAACGGCTGACCCTGCAAGAGAATCCACTTGGGAATCTGGACTGCTCTGGGCAAATTGGGACTTTTCTTGGCTTTTCAAGAGTGCTTGTCGTTTCAGCTCCTCGATTCGTTGCCTTGCCAACTCGGTTTGAGCTTTGTTCTTCTCTCTCACAGTGACGATGTTTGATTTCGCCTTGGGCTCCTCGGGAGTAGCCGACACAGGTGTGGGCGAAGTAGCTTGCGACTCCTTTGGCGCTGACTTGGCTGGCACCGCAGATGTCTTGGCGGCTTTGGCTGCAAGCATCCTTGCGATCACTTCTTTTCTTTCCATAGGCTTCCCTGTCTCTGGCTTAGAGACCGAGGGTGCAGGAGGTGCAGGAGTAGGGGGTGCGGTTGAAGATTTCCGGCGAGAATGATCGATCTTCTTTGGCACAGCAGGAGCTGTCTGCTTAGTCGACAAGGCAGGATGGTTATTTGTAAGAGAGATGGGTTTATCAGCCTGTGGGGCTATTCTCAGGCCGACCTGTTCATAAAGCTGCCGCAGAATTCTAGGGTTAAGACCTTCTGCCACCAGCTCCTCATACGAAATGTTATGAGGTTTCAGGCTGAGCAGGGCGCCCTGTGCGCGAAGACGGAGCTGCCCTGCTGAGACAAGACCCCGAGTATCCTTGGGAGCGGTAGCGGTTGCTTCCCGCTTCTGCATCTCGATTGCCTGACTAACGACTTCGGGATCGGCAGCCACTGGCAAGGAAGGGTTGTAGGCTAGAAACTGTTAGGATCAAGTGGAGTTGTTGACGGAATGGGGAGCTTACGGGAACTACTTCTGCTTGAAGAGACTGATGGTGATGACATGGTTTCACCATCTTCTAGATCAGAAAGCTGGCTTGAGGCTCGCTTTTGCTTGGCTCGCTTGCTCCTGCTCGTCTTTTGTGAGGTCGCCGACGGTCTAGTTTCCTCCTCGCTGATCTCACCTTCTTCGCGATTGCGATCAACAAAAGCAGACGTGACATGAGACTGTCGATTCGAATGAGGCGCTTGTGCATCCGCGGATGTCGGTGGTGGGATGGAGGACCCTGGTAGCGCTGGCATCATTGGGTACCCCAAAGATTGCATTGGGATAGGCGGGAATGCGGAAAGTGGCTGCTGAGACGTTTGAAATTGATTCATGTACGGCAAAGGAGGCGGGAAAAAGAGACCCGGATGAGTGTGACTTGCGGCTCCAGCTAAGTGAGAGTTCGCATAGAAGCTCGCCATGTTGGCATCCAGATGTTGAGCAGGATTCGGTGGTGGAATTTGAGCAGAAGCATGATACTCAGTATTCGAGGGGAAATCGGAGGGCATAATTGGAGGGTATGGGGGAGGCCACTGTTGCGCGAAGTTCGGGTGGCCACCGAAGGCAGGGGGCGGTTGATTATCCATGGCAAGTAGATCTCAGGCGCAGTGGAGAAGCTTGTGAAATGATGATATGGAAAAATTAAGTGAACGGGCAAATTTCCAAGACCATGTTGAGATGTACTGGTGAGATAATCTGTCTGCTACCTTCTTCTTCTTCTAGAGCGATTCGAGACTAACCAAAGGTCTAGTCGCGTCAATCGCCGAAAAAACTCGGAGAGCGGGAACTTGAGAGTACGTGAGAATATGCGAAAGAGGCGAGGTGAGGATGAAGTATAGTCGTAAGTTGGAATAGAAGATAACAGAAGTAGAAAGACCGAAGATCAGAACGAAGCGCCCGGATTTCTCGAACTCGGACTCGAAGGTGAGACTTCAGTTTAACCTTATGCAAGAATCACATTAAGCGCGGAGGAAAGTGACCGAGGTCATGTGATTGTGGCACGGGCCAGCGATCTGCGGGAACCCGAGGAACGCAGTGTAAACAAACAGCGTCAGTGTTGTCTCCGCCTTCGTCACATCACGTCCCTCAACTCCACCTCTACGTCTCTAACCTGTTATTTCCCGGTTGTCTTTTGTATTCCTTTTCTATTTCTCGCTTCCTCTTTTCTCCTGGATTTAGCAGAAATCTGGGTACCCTTTCACAATTTGAATTCGGTTATGGGAAACAACGACCAACCCAGATAATAATGATCTATTGACAAACACCTACGACATGCTTCCTTCACAGCTCAACAACTCGCCCAAACGAGCAAATCCGTTCGCACGATCCTCTCCATCGCCGGCACCTCCCTCCCAAACGCGCCCAAAATCGGCTATCATCACGTCATCCAATGGACTGGAGCCAGCCAAAGGGCACCTGCGCAACTCTTCGGTCTCACAATTATCTCCCGCGCTATCCGCCGGAAGTGTGAGCCGAGAGAGATCAAATTCTCGAAACAATGTGTCCTCCGGCACGTTTGCCCCAAGTTTCATTAAATCGGAAGAGATGCGACGGGGAGCGGATCAAATTCGAGGACTGGAGGGTGAAAATGACTTCTCGGGTAATAAATATGTGTGGTTACGAGATCCCCAAAAGGCGTTCGTGCGGGGACTAGTTTTGGAGGAACTCGAAGACAACCGTCTACTGGTCCAAACTGATGATGGCGAGGTAAGACTCTTGAATCAAGAGGAATAGTATGGAGAAGTTAATGCCTCGAGTAGCAACGTGAAGTCGACGCCGATCAAGTCGACAAAGTCAATCCTGCCAAGTTTGACAAAGCGGATGATATGGCGGAATTGACGCATCTCAACGAGCCTTCTGTGGTCCACAATTTACATACGAGATACCAATCGGACTTGATTTACGTGAGCGCTTCGTTTTCCCCGGCCAATGGAAATCACCAGTGAGACTAACATTTGCGAATAAAAGACATATTCGGGACTGTTCTTAGTTACCATCAATCCTTACTGCCCATTGCCAATATACACGAATGAATACATCAAGATGTATAAGGGAAGAGGGAGAGAAGAAACCCGTCCCCACATATTTGCAATGGCCGACGAAGCATTCCGCAACCTCGTTGAGGAGGGTGAGAACCAGAGTATTTTGGTCACGTAAGTACTTGAGTTCGATCTGATCAGGATTGAAGCTGATCATGATCAACAGCGGTGAATCCGGCGCCGGTAAAACCGAAAATACAAAGAAAGTCATTCAGTATTTGGCGGCTGTAGCGACCTCGGACACTCCATATGGCCGTTCAGGCGCGAAGCAAATTTCCAATCTATCCCAGCAGATTTTACGGGCCAATCCCATCCTGGAGGCGTTCGGTAACGCACAAACCGTTCGCAACAACAATTCTTCGCGTTTCGGAAAGTTCATTCGGATTGAGTTCTCGCGGTCTGGGCAAATTTGTGGCGCATGGATTGATTGGTATTTGCTCGAAAAATCTCGAGTGGTGAAGCCCAATTCCAATGAAAGAAACTATCACATTTTCTATCAGTTACTTCAAGGTGCTGATCGCAATACTCGGGAGAAGCTTCTGTTGAAGAATTTGACGATTGAGGATTTTTCCTACACACGAGATGGAAACGATTCAATCGTGGGTGTCTCCGATAAGGACGAGTGGAACTCCTTGGTAGAGGCGTTCCATGTTATGAATTTCTCGGAAGAAGATCAGTTGTGCATTTTGCGTACAATTGCAGCTGTACTGCATTTGGGCAACGTGACCATCGCCAAAGAGAGCGTGCGCGCCGACCAAGCTTCTTTAGGCCCGAGCGGATATGAAAGTGTCGAAAAGGCTTGTCAGTTGCTCGGAATTCCCGCCGATCCCTTCGTGAAAGGACTTTTGCACCCCAAGGTTAAAGCCGGTCGTGAATGGGTAGAGAAAGTCCAGACACCGGAGCAAGTTCGTCTAGCTCTAGATGCTTTGTCCAAGGGTATTTACGAGCGTGGGTTCGGGGATTTAGTGGCTCGAATCAATAACCAGCTGGGTCGGTCAATGGCGGATGACAACTACTTCATTGGTGTCCTTGATATTGCCGGATTTGAAATTTTCGACAACAACAGCTTCGAGCAGCTTTGCATTAACTACACGAATGAGAAGCTCCAGCAATTTTTCAATCATCACATGTTTGTCCTTGAACAGGAAGAGTATGCTCGAGAACAAATTGAGTGGCAGTTCATCGACTTCGGGAAAGATTTGCAGCCAACGATTGATTTGATTGAGTTAACCAACCCAATTGGTATTTTCTCGTGCCTCGACGAGGACTGTGTTATGCCCAAGGCGACAGATAAGTCCTTTACCGAAAAACTACACTCTCTTTGGGACCGCAAGACTCCCAAGTACCGATCCTCCCGACTAAGCCAGGGCTTTATCCTTACCCACTACGCTGCTGAGGTGGAGTACAGTACTCATGACTGGCTTGAGAAAAACAAGGACCCAATGAACGACAACATCACTCGTCTTCTTGCCAATTCTGATCAAGCACATGTCGCGAATCTGTTTGCAGACTCCGCAGAGCCTGAAGAAGGGAGCGAAAATCCGAGAAGCAGAGTCAAGAAGGGTTTGTTCCGCACAGTCGCGCAAAGACACAAGGAGCAACTGTCTACTCTGATGGCGCAGCTGCACTCAACCCACCCCCACTTTGTCAGGTGTATTTTGCCAAACCATAAGAAGCGGCCCAAAATGCTCCATGCACCGTTGGTATTGGATCAACTTCGTTGCAATGGTGTGCTTGAGGGTATCAGAATCGCTCGAACTGGCTTCCCCAACCGTCTCCCTTTCACCGAGTTCCGTCAGCGATACGAAGTGCTGTGTCAGACCATGCCGAAGGGCTATCTTGAAGGTCAGAGCGTTGCTCGAATCATGTTAGAGAAGCTTGACATGGACCGGGCCTGGTATCGTGTTGGCCGGACCAAAGTGTTCTTCAGGGCTGGTGTTTTGGCTGATTTGGAAGAAAAGCGTGATAAGCTTATTAGAAGCATCATGACACGTTTCCAATCAGTAGCACGTGGATTTGTCCAACGTCGCATCTCAAACAAACGCCTCTATCGTGCCGAGGCCACTCGTATCATTCAACAAAATTTCCATTCATATCTAGAGCTGAAGGGTAGCCCCTGGTGGCAGCTTTTTTCGAGAATGAAACCACTCCTCGGAGATACTCGAAATGCGAAAGAAGTGAAAAGAAGAGATGATAAGATCAAGGAACTCGAAATGAAAATGAAGCAAGATCTCTCCGACCGACAGAAGCTGGATGAGGAAAGGCGACGAACTGAGATGGAGATTCACAAAATTCAACAAACTTTGGAGAGTGAACGTGCCCTCGCCCTCGACAAAGAAGAAATTTTTAAGCGCCTCCAATTACGGGAGGGAGAGCTGGCCGAGAAGTTATCTGGCGCAATTGCAGATCAGGAAAGTCTCGAAGAGCAGCTGGACGATTTGGTCGATGCAAAGAAGAAGACTGACGAAGAGTTGGATCTTCGTATTACCCAGCTTGAGCAAGCTGGCCAAATCATCCAGCAACTGGAATCAGAGAAGAATGAGTTGCAGGATCGACTTGAGGATACGGAGACTAAATTATCCGAGGCAGAGGCGCGATTCTCCGGCAAGGATGGCCAGATTCAAAAATTAGAACAGGAGATTAAGATGCTTCAAAGCCATCTTAGCTTGAAAGATCGGAAGCTCCAGGATCTCGAGGCCAAGTTGTTGAAGACAGACCAAGATCTTGATATTAAGCTTGCCAATACCTCGAAGGAGCTTGATAAGTCGAAGAAGCAGATTCGAGAGCTAGTGGATGAGAATCGATCTATTCGTCAACAGATCTCAGAGCTATCCACCACATCAACTGGCTACGAAGACCTTCTGAGGCGTAAGGAAAGTGATATGGCAGTCCTACGCAACGATGCACAGAAGTATGACGAGGAGAAGAGAACCATGGAATCCGAGAGGAAGTCGCTTACGACTCGTCACGATAATATGCAAACACGACTTCGGGAAGTCCAAGCTGAAAGAGACGCTATGCGTTCCGAGAAAGCTCAACTTGAGCGAGAGGCTGCCGATGTTAAAAGACTACTCGACGAAAAGAGATCCGAAGACGCAGAGGCCGGTGAAAGCCGCAAGCTACTGGAACATCAGGTGCACGACCTCAAAGAGCAACTCTTCAAAGCGGAAGCAGACCTCAGTCGGGAACGGCAATCTCGAGATGATGTTCAGATGCTCGCGGAGCATAACCTTGCAGACTTGACCCAGAAATACGAAGCTCTCAATGATTCAAAAATTACCATTGAGCGGGAAATGTACATTCAGCAAGATAGTCTTCGTCGGGCCACCGAGGCTCGTGTTGCTGCTGAAGCCTCACGCAAGGATCTGCAATCCGAACTTATCAAACTTCGCGACCGATTCACCGATGCTGAAAGTGCACGCTTGAATGCGGAGGCCGAGGCTGAGCGGAAGATCAACAAGCAAGCAGAGGAACATATTGTGGGCTTACGAAAAGACCTGGATGATAAAGCGCGCCAACTTGAGAATGTCGATACCGAGCGAACTCAGCTCTCCGGTCGTATTCAAGAACTCATGCATACAATCTCTGAATCTGATCATTTCCGAATTCGCCATGACCAAAACAAAGAGCGCATGGAACGGGAACTTGTCACTCTGCGTGGCAGATTGACAGCCTCCGAGAATGACAACCGATCTCTTCTTACCAAGATCCAACAAAAGAATCTCGATATTGCGCGCTCGAACTCTAAGGCTAGCGACAATAACCGACTCCGTCTTCAGACTTTGCAGAAAGAGAAGGCCAGGTTAGAAGAAGAGAACAAAAATTTGGGTCGGCAAATGGGAGACCTACAGATGTCCATCACTTCGCTCGAAAAGCAGAAGGAGAAATTGAGCTTAAATCTCGAGGATCTCAATCATGAAGTTAGTCGCGAGCATAAGACCAGCCGAAATGCCGAAAAGGCGGCTTCGACGGCCAATATTCAGCTTGCAGAGGTCAATCGTACCCTTGAAAACGAACGCCAGATGCGCAGCCAAGCTCAAGCGAATACTCGACAAACCCAAAGTACACTCGATAGAGCCAACAAAGAAGTTGAGGATTTGCATCGCAAGCTTATCCTTCTTCACCGCGTCTTTGAGCCAGAGGCCACCGAGCCGGCCAAGTCTTGGGAGGCTGTTCAGCCGCACCTTTCAAAGCAGGTTGACCTGGCCCAAGTATTGGATACCGTTCAGCATCAACTCAGGGTGACTGAAGAGAAATATACCAGGGCTGAAAGCCAACTTGCTGAGATGCGTCGCCGTCATGGAGATGAAATGAAGGAGTTGGATTCGAAGTATTCGTCCTCCAAGCGTGCTTTACTGGAAGAAATCGACCAAAATGAAGTTGCCAACAGCCGTTCACCGGGCCATTTCCGAAAGAACTCTGAAAACGCCGTCAAACGATTTTCCAATCCCTCCACACCAAATCGCCGTTACAATGTCTATGAAGGCGCCAACGATTCTGCCAGGTCTGACCGAACCGTTGATACGCAAGGCTATCAGCGACGTATGGACACAGCTGCCGAAATTGAGGAACTCCAAAATAAGCTACAGATGACTGAGATGCAGAACAAGCACCTCCAAAGTCAACTTGAGCGGTCCACTCCAACAAGGGAAATCTGGCAAGATGAAAGTCCTTCAATTCGCCGTATGCATCTTTTAGAGCGTGAAAATGGACGTCTTCATGACCAACTAGATGATTCCGCAAAGAAGGTGTCTTCTTTAGAACGCAGCATTCGATCCGGCGAGCTTTCGCTTCGAGATGTCCAGGCTAAATCACATGAAGAGTTGTACGACCTGATCAACTCCCAGGAGCAGTCTCGTCGATCTCTGCTCAAGGTTCACAATGATAGTATGGCTGAGTTTGGAGAGGCAAAGGGCCATTTTGAGAAATTGAAACGCAGCAGGGCCACCTTGGAGGTTGAATTACGTGACGCTCGGTCTGAAACTCAAGAGCTGCAGTACACCCGGGACCAGGATATTCAGAGTCGCAATCAGCTCCTGCAAGAATTTTCTGACTTGCACATACGTCTCGATGCTGAAACCTCAAGAACTGCTGATCTTGAATCAAGCTTGAGCTTGTACAAGACTCGTGCTAATGAATATTTCAGCAAGCTTGAGCAGGCTGAGATTGCTGTAGTGAAGGCAAACCGCGCGGAGCAATTCGCTAAGTCGCAAGGAAGAGAGGCTGAGGAAACCTATGCACAAGTCATGTCAGAGCGGAAGCAAATGGATGACTTGGTTGAGGACCTTCAAAGACAAACTCAAGCTCTAGAAGCTCGCATGGAGGATCAGGCCGCAGAGCTCCAAGGGGCTTTACAATCCAAGCAGCGCCTTCAAAATGAGCTCGAAGATTACCGAAACCAACGAGCCATTGATCTCGAAGACAAGGAGACCTCTATGGAGCAGACTCGTCAAAAGTACCAGCGCGAATTCTCAACAATCAACGGCGAGCTGGAGATTGAACGCGAGCGACTCCTCAACGTACGTGGTGAGAACGGCCGACTGCGTGAAGAGTTAGAGGACCTGCGCAGCAAGTGGGATAACGAAGTCCTTAACAGCTCTACTTGGGCCAAAGAAAAGTCGCGAATGGAGTTAGTTGTGCAAGATATCACCAACTCCCGCGAAGAGGCCATTAATGCACACAACGAAGCGCAAGATAAGATTGTATCTCTTCTATCCCAGGCTCGGAACCTGCGCACTGCTGTTGAAGATATAACGGCAGAGCGTGATCTACTCCTTAAGGACAAGAAGATGCTGGAAGGCCGCCTGGCGGAGGCTGGTGAGCGACTTGAGGACCTTGCCAAGGGAGAAAGCCCCTCGATGAGGAACGCAGCCAGTATGGACCGTGAGCTTTTGGAGCTCAAGTCCAAACTCGCACAACAGGAAGATGTTTCTTCTGCCGCTGTTGGCAAGATGCGCCGCGCTGATGCTCTCGCCACTGAAATGCAGAAGGAGCTTACTGCCGAGCGTGAAGCCAACAGCCAGCTGTTCAAAGACAAGGCCGGCTTGGAGAAACAGCTGAAGGAGATCCAGCTCCGCTGCGTTGACCTCGAGACCAAGGGCTACTCGTCTGGTAGTCAGGATGTGCGATTCTTGCACAAACGGATCAAGGAGGTAAGCAATATCAACATCTTTTTTATTTCCAGTCTTGGAATGTTTCTAACTTTTTGTTTTACTGCAGCTGGAGACCCATCTTGAAGACCAAGAAAATAAGCACAGTACTGAGCAGCGCTCGCTTCGCAACGTTGATCGCACTGTCAAGGATCTGCAAGTTCAGATTGACCGACGTGAGAAGATGAACGCCCAACTGAATGACGAGGTTAGCAAGGGCCGAGACAAGATTGAGCGACTGCTTCGCAACATCGATGAGCTTCAACAAGGCGACACCGAAACACACTTGCAGGCCCGTCGCGCCGAACGAGAACTCCGAGAAGAACGAGAGAAGGCTTTACATCTGGCAAGAGAACTGGAAGGATGGAAATCGTTACGAGTTGAACGAACAAGCACCGTTGCACGCTCACCTATGGCTGCCTTGAGTGATGTGGGCAGCCGAAGAGGCAGTGGTGTTTATGGGTCTAATGATACCCCTCAGCGGAAACCGAGTAATACTAAGGGATTTCTGTGAATAATTTGATGAGATGTGTACCATGTGGGATACGGAGTTGCAATTCTGATTTTTTCTTTCTTTTTTGTCTTCGTTGCCCATCTTTGTCTTTTGTTTATGTTCGTCATTGGCGTCTATGTGCATTCGGGGAGGTATGCTTCGCACTTTTGTATTGCGGTTGGCCTGGCGGGTTATCTACTTAGCTTTTGTCCATATTACAAGGAGGTTTACAATTACAAGATTGAATCAATACCTGAGTTTTCAGGCTTCGGGACACAAATCCGAGAATTGCTAATACCACCCCTCAAATGGCTAAACCCACCCCTTCTAAGCTCACCGCCGTATTTGTAATACCACAAGGCACAAAGGCATCAATTTTCTGCCGGCAGCATGAATACGGTCTAGAATTAAATCTCATCTCCACGTAAAAAGCTTCCATTTTACCACACATTTAACGACATTTAATATGCAAGCAAGTTATCTCATTCCAAGCTAAACCTAAAGAGGAAACAGAGGCTGATTTTAAAAACACCGGCAAATGCATTTCAGTCGAATTAACTGGCAAATCTGTTGATCAACGGACACCCAGGCCTTTTATGCCCCTCCACGCCGCAATTTCCACATGTATTGGGTCTCCTCCGAGATTGTACAGTTGGTGGCTGCTGAGAGCCTTGTTGGGACCATTACTCATAAAACTTACGATCTACAGCATCTTTAACAGTATCTAGCTACTCCCATAAGCTTGGGATCCGCCCCTGTGATCCCTCTGGGCCTCGGGGGTCTTGCCGGGCCCCTGAGGCCTGTGATGTGGTTACCGAGGTTTGTGATGTTGTATACGATCCTCGTGATATCTATATCTTCCGATCATCCCGAATTCTTAGCTCCTATATACAAAGAAGATCTGGATGAAACTGTGGTGAATCAGCCTCCTGAAGATACCACTATAAGTAGAAGAGATTAAGAGGAAGTAGCTTTTTCTTATTATAATATGGAATAATTTGATGGATGTATGGAATGTCCCTGCCTTTGTTGTATATACAGAAGATAGGAATTTAAGGTTTTTCGATATAGATAGGTAGATATGTATTAATTTCTTTCTCCAGATGGCGAATAGCTTTAAGGGAAATTCTCTATATGAGATTTGGTAGTAAAAATATATAGGATTAATGATCTGTAAATCATCCAAGTATCTAGTCATGTAATTGATATTAAATATTTGAATATTGATGTTTAATTGTCTGTTTAAAGATATTAAAGGCTTTAAGGAGAGAAGTTGAGGTTCCCTGGCTAAATTTTAATAGAAAATCCCTTAATAATAATAGGAGAATTACCTGTTGATCACGTTTAAATGCCTAATATATCGACTTATTTCGAGATATTACTACCTCACCAAAGTAAAAATAATACTGAGTATAATAGTGTAAAAATATCTTTGTATATATTGGGTTAAGCTATTCCTTCTGGATATAACGAATTAGTTTAGAGAAGATCTTATGATAGTAAGTTTACTGAAATTCCTGCTATTTTTATTCGAAATCTTGAGGCGTTAAAGCAGTAATAATTTTATACCAGAACTGTTTTATTCTCTACCACCGATGAAGCTTCTCCTGCCGTATACACCTATTCTTCAAAAAGAATATCTCTTGTTTTTTTGTAGCTTCTTTAATCTCCTATTTAAGATACTAATGAATAGGAGTATGTGTATAGGTAAGGATGTACTTATTAATATGCCACAAATAAAGTATATGGTTAAGTATAAAAACCATTAGTATAGTACTGAGAATTGTAAGCTCTTTGTCTGTAAATATAGTTAATAGCTCAGGGATTGATTCTACTGCTAATACTGACTGTAATTGTTGTAATGCCTAGCAAAATGAATTAGTAGTAGAGTCTAATAAAAAACAGAAGCCAGCGGAGAATGTCTGGTTTGTTGATGTTATTCTAGTAATATCAAGCAATGGCATTTTAAACTTGTTGGTTTTAAATGTTGTATCTATCTAAAGAATATAGAGAAAAAGATGTAAAAATCCAATGGAAGTCCGGTGGATAGTGAATAAAGCAAGTAAAATATTGTTATTATCCAATCTACAGCGGATATACCAATCCCCTGAATTTGGGAGGTTTTGGAGAAGTGTTTGAATAGATGAGCGGCCGCCAAATCGTCTTTTGTTAAGATCTATCTTAATATTATAGATGTTCTTCGCGATAATATGTTCGCCTTCATTCCTAAGCTGATCTGTAATCTGGCGAGGCCAAAGCCCCTGCTAGATAGCCTGTTTAATCTCCAAACCTCTTTTTTTCATAGCTATTTGGCGAAGATAAGGAATATTGACGGCGGGTGATAGTATATAGTTATAACTACCATTTCTAATTTCCAATAACCATATATCTCCATGTCGATGAAGAATAACCTTAAATGGATAGTTATACTTTTTTGTACGGCCTCTTCTGCGTTTTTCTGCATCAAGTCCTATAGTCCGGCGGTCATAATATTCACCACCTCGCCAGCATTGGTAAATAACCTTAAGTTTTACCTTGTTAGAGGATTTTAAGCGTTTTGAAACAATTGTATAGCCTTGGGTAGTTGCAAATTGATTTATCTCGGTTTGAGCTTTATCCGGCGAAGAATACTCGAGTTTCCAGGGTGGATTTAGCTTAAATAGAGGGAAACTTGGCTTAATATCTAAGTATATATCAGCCAATGGCTCTTCGGGATATTGAGTCTCTTTGTCATAAATTGTATTGATAGTGTTGAGAAAATTATCGCGGAACGTAGGAGGAGGGGTAGTTGATAGCCTAGGATTAGATATAAGAGATTTAGTAGTTTCTAGTGATATAATAATAACTAAATAGCTTTAAATTTTCAGGGGTAGTAGAGAAGATAGAAAATAACAATACTCTAAAAGAAGAAATTATTTTAGCGAAGGGGAGGTATTTAAATATATGTTTAAAATATTGTTATTGTTTAAAATATTGATATGGTAACGGGAGTAATAAAAATGTATATTCCTGAGGGTATTGTGGGGCCTCGGCAGCCAATTAGCTTCTCTTAATATTTCTGTAAACGGTAGGTTATATGCTCACTATACCTTGCTATACTTTGCCATTTCCCTATTATTTACCTTTATATAGTAATTTTATATATTTTAACCCCTACTTTGATTTACTACAGCAATACCATTTTAAACTATTTTTTAAAACCCTTCTGGATTAATAAATATACGTTATTTAATAATCACGTGCTAAAATATAATTGATTGTTATCAAAGAATAGAGATATCCGGGCGCTCCGCAATAGACGTCTTTTTTGATGTGGTTTGGTGTGGTTTGGTGTGTCGGGGCGTCCACCGCCTCTATTGACCGCCCATTTTAAATTACACCGCCTTGTTAACGGCTTATATTACAAATACGGCAGAATTTCCCAAAGCGGCTTAGAAGGGGTGGGTTTAGCTATTTGAGGGGTGGTATTAGTAATTCTCCACAAATCCCGCTTCAAATGTTATAATGCCGTTCCCATAGTAGACAAGAAGAAAGTAGACACATTGACTTTGGTCTATCAAGCAATACCTCAATAAGGTGATATCTGATTTTAAAATATGGGTTTCCTTTGCTAGGATACCCAAGGCCATATACATCGGTTGTAGACTCTACTTAGGTTGGTCCTGGGCCTAGGTAGCGGCGGTAAACCACAGGAGGGTAAACTCGTTTACTTTTTTGATTGTTGTATTTGATGTTCATTTTTATTTCTTCTTCCAAGCTTTACTTCCTAGTATTAATTGGTGAGTAGCGTTCTAGTGGTACTTCGATGTAGGTATGATATGGGGTACCCTATACTTTCGGACCATAGCCACCATTGAAGCCGCCAAGCCTTTGTAGAGCTTGGAGTCTGACTACTGCGCTTTTGTATGGCGGCTTTCTCAAAAGCTGGTATGTCTGCTTTTTTCATAGTATCTCCCATGTTCATTCTTATTTTATCAGAAATATTTCATACATAGCGTAGTTGTACCAGCCTATCGTACACGTATACATCTTTTCCTCCTCCAGAGGGGTCACATCATCCCCACTGAAGGTTGCATGCCCGATTCTAAACTCTGCATGATCTTCTGTCGCGCATTTAGTTGTATTTTTCGTGAATAGGTTGAATTAGTTCTTGGGGTGTGGTTTGCTGGGGTTTTTGTGTGAATAAGAGATGAAGGCAATTTCTGGGCATTGCGCGCCGTTATCCAGAGGAATGAAAGCTGGAAATTGGGAAATGGGGAGAAGGTGAATATGAGGATTAATCAGTTCATCTTAAACACTGTATTCATGCATAGTGTTTCCTCTGATGAAGCAAAAAAGAAAAAGCAAAGAAAGGGGGTTAGCACTAACGCGACTGAAGGGTGCAACTCCACGTCAGTGGCCCGAGACTGTTATATTAAGGTTCAAAGGCTTTATTGTTAGTTCCCTTCATAAAGTTGATGAGGCGCAGGTCGAACTGAGCCGGGGTTGTTTCCTGTTTTGTATTTCTCTCGGGAGGATGTTGTCCAGGTGCGTCACGATAAGCCTCGATCACGAGACTATTATTGAAAACAGCTGGCAGTGTATTCCCATGCAAGCTCGTTTTAGCAACCGAAGATAACTTATTCATTTCTTAAATCAAAAATCTTTCTTAAGAAAGCTTTCGAGCTATTGGCTAATAGTGAGTCTTGGCTGTTGTACCTCCGTTTTTGCCTACTCCAGAGCTTATTCCGATTCACTTGGCAAACTCTACTTTGTGCCTACTTCCAACAACAGTCTAATTAAGCCATTCATTTGAAGATTGAATACTCTGTAGGCCTCCCGAGGCGAGGGTTGCTCTTATTTTTTAATGCATCCATCCCAATTTCCACGGGTTGCGATGGATGGTCCTTCCCAATATATAATTAGGCACGATCACGCCGCCGTCTCCAGGGCTGTACATGAATACATGTTATGATTGTATGTTACTAAGTCAATTACATCAACAGAATATCTTAAGCACAGAGGAATTTGAAAAATACATAATTTCCAAAGTTCAAACCAACCTCAGACTTTGATACTACCAAATGTACTCATCTATAGTTTGGTGGCAAAACTAGCGCCAGAAACGGTACTACCACGTGATAGCCGCGCGTCAATCGCGATAACCAAATTTGGCGCTGAACCTCACCCGCAGCTGTCAAGCTTCACTTTTCAGTCTCGGATTCTTCTCAAGGCCGCTGCTAAAGAACGTCCTGGGTCGCTGACCTAGCCAACCTCAATCATGGTAAGTAGAACTTGCACTAAAAGGAGCCTTCCCAATATCTCAGCCTCAGACCACCCAGCAACGGAATTTGCTAACAACACCCATCACTATGAAAACAGGCTCGTAACAGTGAAAAGGCGCAGTCCATGCTGTTCCGCTTCCGGGCGCAACAAGCAGCGGACATGGGAATTATCGATATGGGACGAACCCGCCGACCAAAGGCTATCAACAGCATTGACAACGTCCCGACCTGTGAGCGCTGGCGCGGCCAGGTTCTGAAAGAAGTTTCCCGCAAAGTATCCCGCATTCAAGAGCAGACCCTTAGCGACTACCAAATTCGTGATTTGAACGATGAGATAAACAAGCTTATGCGAGAGAAATGGGCATGGGAGATGCAAATTCGGAATTTGGGTGGCCCGAACTACATGCGTGGAACGGGGCGCGTGTATGACGACGAAGGACGAGAAATTCCTGGTGGTGGGAAGGGATATCGATACTTTGGCCGGGCGAAGGAACTGCCTGGTGTGAAGGAAATGTTTGAGGCCGCCACCCGCCGGGCAAAGGGGCCTGAAGAGGAAGAAGGTGCCGGTACTGGTCGTGGTGGAGATATTGCGACTAGGAAGGTTGATGCCAACTACTTCGGTTATGGGCTGGACGAAGAGGATGGCACATTGGTAGCCTATGAGAAGCAGAAGGAGAAGGAGGCTATGGAACACCTGCGTGGTCAGGGTGATGACGATGCCGAAGACGGCTGGGAATCTTTACCGGGCGATGCGGGCGATGGCGTTGAATGGCGACTACCAACACTGGAAGAAGTACAAGAGGAGTTGGTTGACCGACGGCGCAGACGACTATTGGACAAGATCTCTTGAGTCATCTCCATGCATGGGTGTCACGGATTTCCCGTGTTTTTTATTTTATGTTCTCTTTTCATGTTGGCGTTTGGGATACTCGGCCTACTATTCACACCTCAAGCATTGTTTGATTATCTACTCCATATCGACTCTGTCATCCAAAAGATTCGCAATGCTACCATATGAGATCTTAGGGTGCGAACGGGCATGTATTGCTAAGTTAGGGGAAACGACAGTTAATATACATGCACCGGTTAAACAAACATAGCAAACAGATAGGGCCTGATCACGTGTGATCGGCCAACTGTAACAGATGGCAACGGACATAGACATGGACGTTGCCATACATAAACGAACGTAATAGATCGTAACATATGAAATATACAGGGAGAATTGGGTAAAAACATCTTATCCTCCCCCACTTAATCGAAGATCGTCTCGATCTTAAGTGTTCGCGTAGAGCAGCGGCGTATAAAACGCCCATAATGTGATCATACATGTAGAGGATCACAAATGTTCATGATTTGCCTTCACGAGAGCGCCATACAGCTCAATTTCGGCTAATCCTGAATCATCTTGCACGATAGCTCGTATTAGTACGTCCAGCTGTGTAGCGAACAGTCTAATTGCATTGTGGATGTCGTGCGAGGGAATACTGGCAACATCGAGGATCGTTACACAATTCGTAGTATTCCGGGGGTGTAGAGGCGGCAAAGCCTCGCAAGTTGCCTTTCTGGCTTCTAAATCGACGGCCTTAGGCTCGATAGTAGCCTGTCGGTCGTTTCCGGATGGTTCTGGCGATGACGTGGTGAATGGTGAGGAGGGAAAGACCGTGATGACGGTTTGTACGGGGTTTTCCGAATAGCGTCATGATTGCTACTTCCGGCATTGCAAACGCCTGCATTGGCCTGAGGCCTCTCGCTTAGCTTCACGGAGCTTCCCATCTATGGGGGCCTATATAAAGTATCAACCCCCCCCAGCCGTAAGCCTTCTTTCTCTTTAACCTCCCATCAGTTTGACAGTTGGCATCACCTCATCATTACGTTGCCTTCTTTCGGTGGTGTAATTCTGCTTACATTCAAAAAGCTCGCTAACACCGCCTTTCGGCTTATTTGCTATCCTTCTCGCGTGTTGTTGTTTTTCACGCTCTCTTCCTTCGTGCAATTCTCTTCCTGTACTTCTCTTCCTGCACATCTCATCGCGTCTCTTCTTTTCCAACAGGTATGATTCCAGATTCTTGCAGTGTTACTTAAGCCGAATATAAGCTAACGTCTTGTTTCTTGTAGAAATGTCGGACGTTCCACCCCCTGACATGGGTGCGATCGTGCCCCAGAACTTTGGCGTCAGGCCTCAATTTGCGAAAGCTGTCGTACATGGCAAAGGCATTAATACATTTGGCAATGCCTTCCTTCTTGACTTCCAATCTGCTTCCGATCTTGCACTTGTTGCCGCGCCAGTCGCGCGTAATGTGGATTGGCGTGATATCAACAACGTCAAAGTCAATTCGAAAGGGCAAAGACGTGCATGTGTCACCCAACAAATCGGGATGGCTGCCTCTCTGTCATGCACACACTGTTCAGCAGGTCATGGGCCTTTTCTTTCGTGCGTGGTCACGGTTCTCAATAGTGGAGACGTCATGTTCAGCGGCTCTTGCGCCTCGTGCGCGTACGGGAATGCTGCAAGCAGATGCTCTTTCCGTCAGAATCCTCCCAAGAACCTTGTTCGCTTTATGCGAGATGCTTATCCGACCTCCTATTATTGTATCTCTCGCCATCTGGTCGAAGATCCAGCTGCGGAAGAGGACGATCGTGATATAGACGAAGCTTCTTCTCCTGTGATCACGCCGCGAAAGCGTCGTGTCACTGCCTCTGCGTCTTCTTCTAAGGAGACCACATCTCCTGTCTCTAAGAAGCCGCGTGTAAATATTCCTGCTCCGGCAACTCCGGAGACTTCAGTTCGCGCTAAGTCGGTCCTTTCTCCTGCAAGAAAGACCCAGAAGATCCAATCTCCTTTTCATGTGGCTTCCTCTTCCTCTCCTGGTCCGAAAGGACCTGTCCGCGCTACCGACGTCAAGCGTCCTAGTGGCCCAGTTTATCCAACAGACTGGTATTTCTCTCCACTGGACGACCGTGATGTCTACTATTGCCTCAAAACTGGCAAGTTTGAGCCAATGCTGGCAGCATACAATCAGCTGTCTTTGGTGGAGTCTCGTTTGGCCCACGATCATGCACGAATCGAGGCGGTTCTAAAAGAGAACAACATCATCAAGCATGATGAGAGCGAAGCTGAGTCGGAAGAGAATCCTTTCGCGCTCGATGTGGTATCATATTACCATATGGTACAGTTATTTTCATTATATATGTAAGATACATTAAGTAGAGGGATCACCAACCTCGGGTTTCTTCTTTCGAGATGTCCTTTCCACTTTCAAGGCCTGAGACATGCTCAGACGCTCGGTTTGCATCGGATCTTCCCGTCGCCGCTTTTCAGCGTCTAGATCGTCAAGAATGAATCTTCCAACTTCGCCTGCTCTCCATTTTTGAATGAAATGCAGAGCTGCTGAATCCAAATTGGGCACTCCACCTCTCATAAGCAACCCTGTATGGCGCGCGAACCCCTCTAACAATGGAATGACTTCATTTGTAGGCTCAGACCAACGATGATACGCCAGCGGATCATGCAAATTGACCTGATATAATAAATAGTCCACAAGTGTGACGGGTGATATGACAGCATCTTTGACACATCCAACGAGAGCCAACTTCAGCATATTCTCTGCATCCGGCACATAGGGCATGAAGACACCAGGTGTATCAAGGACGTATGTATGGGATCCACCCTCTCGTTGGATAATCTTGACGGGGCTGGCGATTTTGCGGGTGATCCCCGGCTGACCACCAGTCTTCAGGGCCTTTGCTTTCCCCACCCCATGGTTGCGGAGATGATTGATGAGAGTCGACTTCCCCACGTTGGGCATTCCAACTACTAGAATGCGACACCCAGTCAGTTTTTCAGGCGCTGCGGCGTCGGTTCGGAGATGTTTGATTATTTTATTGATATCTGCACGGGTGGCAGAACTGGTGAAGAACACGGTGCTTGTTCGATCGAAGTTTCTAACTTTTTGTTCCAGCTAGGCCATCATTATATCGTTAGTAAATGTTCAATTATCCTTGCAAATCTAATATGTGACTCACCTGTACTTGTGTCGGCGATTGCGGGATAGCCCCGAGATCTCTCTTGGTATAGACAATTATTCGCTTTTTATCACCCAAAGCTTCTTCAAACATGGGGTTCATCGAGGTCACAGGAGCTCGATAATCGCGGCATTCGACCACGTAGTCAATGGACGAGAGCATGTTCTTCATCTTGCTTAATCCAGCACGGTGATGTCCAAGGAAGTAGGACCTTGGAATAGCTCCATAATGAGGGAAGACCTGGCGTGCCAGGAATTGCGCCATGGTTATTGAAAAGGAGGAACACAGTCAACTAGTAAAAAAATATTCGCATCTCGATTTGCAGCGAGTTATGGATCATGACCAAGTTTATTATCGCAACAGAAACAGAAAAATTGCCGCTGAACGGAAGGCGGACGTGAAGGCGGTGAAAGCATGTACCGATGACGAAGTATAAAATGCACTGAATGATCGCCGTTCAGCTTCCATCGCCAAAGCAAATATTTCTAAGTATTTGCAACAAAAGAATTAAGAAAAAGCTTCACATCATGTCACTCTAAGTTAATTGCAATCATACTCATCGACTTGTCCTTCTTGAAATTTTCCATCACAATGTCTATGATATCAGCATTCCGACCACCGTCTGTGCGTGCTTCTTCTGTTCGCCGCAGATCAGAACTACGCCGACGAAGGCATAGACATGACTTCAATCCTACAGATTCAGATTCAGATGGCCACAGCGAAGACCCTGATGCCCACTCTGTTATTACTCCATCCAAGCATACTCCCCGACCCCTCCAAGCCTTGCGTGGCTCAGTGGCTGCTGGTGGCCCATTACGACCCTTCCGCCTGATCAAACAAGATCTTGTTAGCCTACGCCGGCGATATGCCTCAGACTGGACTGTATTCAATCAGCTAGTTTTTGCCAGCGCAGTCTATATCTTTTTCACTAATCTGCTGCCTGGGATCACCTTTGCGAGTGATCTCTATGTCCTGACAGGTAAAAGCTGGGGCACCATCGAGGTGGTCTTTAGCACTGGCCTATGTGGGATGATTTTCTCGCTGTACGTTGCCTCGTATGAGGATTATCTCATGGGTGTACCGTGACTTATTGACACCTTTGAACAGGTTCTCGATCCAACCCCTCACCATCCTTGGCGTAACGGGCCCTTTCTCCGTGTTGGCTGAGAACATCTACTCGCTCTGCGAAGATGCATTCAAGGTAAGCCACGAGTCGCGTTACTGTTCTGAATTGATATCGAAAATCCCCCAATAATTGATATGTTATAGATTCCGTTTTTGCCGTTCATGGCCTGGTCGTTGATTCATTCTGCATGGCTACATTACATTCTAGCTATCATCAACGCACACGACTGGACCATGCGTTATGTCACAACATTCGCAACAGAGATATTCTCACTCCTAAACAGCATTATCTACTTCCATAAAGCCATTCAAGAGTTAGAGAGAGCCCATGCCACTCTATCCTTTGCTGCCTTCCTCTACGCGGTAATCGGCGCTGTGGGAACAATGCTTCTCGCAATCTTTCTATCAACAGCTGAGAGCTGGAAGCCATTGTTTCATCGATACATCCGTCTCGGTTTGACCGAGTACGCTGCCGCTATTTCTATCATAGTGTTCATTGGATTGCCATACGTGGGTGAACTGGCTGATTTGGACAAAGTGACACTACCTGTCAGTACATCATTTCGCCCAACATCACCTGAAAGAGATATTTTCTTCGTGGAATTTTGGAAACTTCCACTAACGTGGATATTCGCCGCTATCGTTCCGGGATTGATTATTACCATACTATTTTTCTTTGATCACGAAGTCAGCTCGATAATATGCACAATTGACCGACATGGAACTCGAAAGCCAGGTGGATTTGCATGGGACATCATCTTACTGGGAACTACTACGGCTTTGTGTGGTATTCTAGGCATTCCACCAGCAAACGGTCTTCTTCCACAGGCACCGCTTCATTCGGAATCTTTGATGCACCCGGAGGAGAAAGAAATAACCATTATTGTGGACGGAGAAGAGAAAGTTGAGAAGCGGGAGGTTCGCCGTGTATACGAGCAACGCTGGTCCTCTTTTCTTCACTCCAGCGCTATTCTTCTATTCATCAGTCCGCCATTTATGAAAGTACTTGGTCTAACGCCCACAAGCGTTCTAGCAGGACTGTTCCTGTTTATGGGTGAACAGAGTCTGTCTGTGAAGTAGGTTTTACCTCTGGAGTATACACCAAACATTTCCAGTCAAATACAGGAGACAATTCTAATCGCCTTCTCTAGCCCTATTCTTTACCGTACCTTCTACCTTCTTACTCCACCATCCGAGCTACCGCCGTTACCTCAATCTTTGCACTCGAAGAGCACTCCAGTAACTGAGACCACGGGTGATACGTCGCCCCGTAATCCCTCATATCTTCCAGTCCACCTGTATACACTTTTACAAATTGTCATAACGGTGGTCATTTTTATCCTCACCCTTACACGTGGAGCGCCGGCCTTTCCTGTTCTAATCATTGCCCTTGTACCTTTCCGACTATTGGTGATGAATAAATGGTGGCCACGAGAAGCGCTACGGTTTGTCGATGCATGGGCATGCCGAGAAGGCACACCGGAGGACGATGAAGACGCAAAGGCAGCAGAAAACAATGCTGCATGTGCTGGTAATGCTGTAGGAGGGCCGGCGGTAGCCTACGCAACTCATGATTTGCCAGCATCGATGCAACCTGGTGGACCCAGGGCAAGAGGTACAAATGATGACTATGTAGATCATGGATGGGTCGAGCTTGAAGAGCGAGTGCTTTCTCGTGATTAGCCAAAAGATAAGTGGAGATAGTATCAATTTCTAACAACGCATAATTCTAAATGAGAATCTTACAACGAGACTACTATTTTTGTACCTCTTAGTCGCTTCCGTAAAAGGACCTTGCCAACTTGAAATTCAATGTTGCCATGTAGAAATTAAGTATGAATGTCTGAACTCAATGAATCCATAGATCCGTAGATCCACGTCTTAAATATGTATTTTTCTATCTCTCTATGGATATCCTTCTCCCTCGAAGTTCCCTTCTCATTAGCAGCAATCCATATAGTTCCCGCTAAATTTTTACATACGGGGTAGGCATAAGGAGGAGAAATTATCGCGATGCAAGCCGCGCTACCTTCTATCCTTGGCCAGCAACTTGCAATGCTATAAATAGTATGAGAGATCAGAGAGGTAAAATCAAACACTATGTGGGGTATCAAAAGATGAGAGAAGATAGGTATACGCGATTATGCTCTCCAGCCTTGTACAAATTCATGTAGGCGATCAATCACCACGCCGAAGATAGCATTGACACTATCACCAATCAATTGCTCGAAGTGTCTGATGGCCTCCTCTTCAGTCATCTCGAGGTGAAAGCGTTCTTTCACTTTCAATACTGCTTTATCAGGCTCAACACGAATATCTGGGATATTCGCATCTACCATCAGACTAAATAGATTGAGAATCAAGTTGGCAGATTTGCGCAAGGTGGTATATGCTGTAAAGCAATATTGCTTGAACTGCAAGTAATGGGGTGAGGTTGTGCCACCCATGCCCTCGACCATTTCTTTACAAAGCTTCATCATGGGAGCAAAGGGCTTCGGGTCACGACCGAGAATAAAGCCAAAGTCAGCGTGAAAGAAGTGGCCATCTGGAGCAAGGAGTAAATTTTCCAGGTGGCGGTCGCCAACACCAAGGAGGTAGGTGATCACACAGTATCCTGCACAGGACTTGATATATGTGTCCATAGCTTCTTTACGGACACCGAGGGGTTCGTTTTCATCGGGATTGTGCTCCTTCAGGTAAGTGAGAATGGACTTATATTTGGCGGAGGCGGCGGAGAGGGAAGTTGATGGAATGAACTGAACGGCGCCCGCCGTGGAGCTCGTAGCAAGAATTCGATATGGCGTCAGCTTCAGGTCTAGATTCTCCTTTTGAAGAAGGCGGTCCATCAGAATGATAATTTGAATGACCAGTTGGTCCTGACGAAGATCGTCGCCAACTTTGTATAAGAGGGGATATCGGCGACCGTCGGCAGTTTTGAATGTGATCTGCAATGGTGATAATGTCGACTTGAAGACGTTAGATTCGTCAGGATAACAGCCAACGATTGAAACGTCAGGGTCTAGCGGCAGCGGCAATGGTGGATCAATGTTGACTATCTCGTTCTTGGGATCTCGTAGCATTTTCTTAAGCTTCTCGATTTTTGTAGGCCGGGGATCACGGGAGAAACGGATATCTTTGGCGATCTTTGAAAGCACAGCAACAAGTTCCCCTTGGCGTAGGAGTGTTTTGCGGTGCTCTGAATGAATCTTTTCCAACTCGGTCATAAAGTAGAACTCGGCCCGTGCAAAAAGCCGACGCTGTGTTGAGAGAGTACCCGGGCCTGCATCGTCGCACTCAACCATCAAGTACCAATGCAAATAATTGCCGAGCTTGAAATTGTTCGCAGCTCGCGTAATGAGAAAACTGGCAAGGGAGGAATCATGTGCAGCGTCGTCCTCGCCATTCTCGGAACTTTCCTCGTATTTCAAAGCTTGTACCAATTGGAGGAGATAGAGAAGCAGCTCTTCATCATCTGCTTGTCGTAGTCTTGCAACAGCATACGAACGCACAGCCGGGTTGTCGAATGTGGGACCTAGGAGTTCCAGAGCATCATCAACGTCGATGTCTGTCCATTTGGGTAGAATTTCCACAGCCTGTCGAGACTCTCCATCGTCGCGCCAGTTGACCGATTTGACAAATTTGGTCAAGGCTCTCTTTTCACGAGTCAAGTAATACCTGAACCTCCATACCTGGTCCTTTTCCTCGGCAGTAAGGTCTTGCGTGGGCTCGTATGACAAAATGATATTCAGCTCATCCCGATTTTTGGGGTTGGGCTTCAGATCTCGGTCCATGAATCCGGTTCGATGGCTACGAATCAATCTTCGATGTTTATCCTCACATGGGTTCCCGGTCTGTCCGACTTCCGGGTCATATATCCTAATTACCCCAGCTCCATCCCCTCCTTCAATTCCTGGACCGAAGCGGACTTCTGGAACAGGCTTCAATGCTGAATTGGGATTGGACGGCATGGCCTGAGGGTATGCAGAGATGGGAGGTGGAAGATATTGGTGATCAGCCCACACAATCGGGTGGTCAAAACGCGGAAATTCCACATAGAGGACAAAGGTCTCATCTTCTGAGTCTTCTTCATCAGAACTATCATCTTCAGCCTCTTTGGCCTTAGCCTTAAAGCTAGTCAGATGAATTGCTCTTTTTCGGGCCGCGTCCTCCGCTTGAATCTTGAGCTTTTCCAACTGACGGAAGACCATTTGATCCATCCAATCAATCCGAGTAATTTCACCCATTTCATGCTTTTTGATCAGGACTTCAATCCGTTCTAATTCCATTTCTTCTTTAGATGGAGCAAGCGCATCACGATTGTTAGGCTTTCGCCGCTTCGGGGTTGGAGTGGATGGCGTTGCTGTTGATGAATAACCATCCGCAGGCTTATGACGATAGATCTTGCATTTCTGCCTACCCATCTTCAGTTTCCCTTCATGGTCGAATAGTGATATTGTCGTTCCGCCGAATGGAACGTCGTGGCCTTGCGGTCCATCACTCGCTAGCGGGGACAAATCCCAGACCGTTATCGCGAGTTGCGAGTTCAGCGGGGCATCCTTGATGGACATAGGCACCTGAAGCCATTCACTCCACGAACGAGATGTTTTGAAAGCTTTATAGGAAGTCTGCATCGGCACACCGAGAGGCTTTGAGTTCGACCATAGCTGACAAGTGACAAAAAGATCGGAGTTGGGGTTTTGGGAGGAACCCAGGTATCGCAATTCTGGGTTTTGGAGTAGACGGGAGAAGGGAATCTGCTTCTGTTTGCCCTCCAGTGAGCCACTAAAAATTATAAGCGGGGATTTCTTTGTGGGTTATTGCCGCATGAGACATTAATACCTACATCTTGACACATACAGGCAAATCCACCTGTGTGGACAGCGCAAAAGTGAATGCCTCCATCCTGACGGGCGGTATCCAAAGGACCGCGTAGCTCAAATGAGATCAGTGGAGCTTCTGCGGGGACTTACTCAGCCTAGCCTTATCATCACGTGTATATTACTACATACGGGGGCTACTTATCAGTACGTCGCCCCACTGATAACTCACAGTGAGATATTAGGCAACTTGCGTCATGCTTATATTATAAGAGACTGAGGTTCTCTGAAGCTATGAATAATTACAGCCTCAAATGTAAGAAATACTAGAAAGATGAATTTAATTTTTGAATCTATTTAAGGATGTACTATACCGAGGAACTTGACTTCATAATAGGCCCCACCAAACGCGGTCACGTGCAGAACGCGGTGTACGCGCCTGAGAAGTTGATGTACTCGATACATCGATTCGCGACTCACCACTTCCGTTTGCCTGTTGGCAACTTTCTGTTAATTTTAGAACCCTATCATCTGGTACGACTAGTCGCTCCATTTTGTCCCCACTAGACTGGTTTTCTCTTGGTTTCTTCTTTGTTTTTTTTGTTCGATACCAGCATCCTTGCTAGCGCAAAAAGGCGCATGCTGAGCGATGGCGCCCATATCTCGCGCAAGATTTGATGAAACACCTACATCCAGCGCCCGTCCTCCTACATCTCCTACATCACTTTCCGATAAAGAGAATCCTCGAAGTGCCGCCAAGCGGAAAATTAATCAAATGTCATCCGCGCATTCTTCCAAGCGTCGCCGATTGACTGATCGTACTTCGAACACCCAGTCCCAGCCGTCTTCAACACAGCGCAACAATAAAAATAAGTACTATGACCCTGATCAGGATCCCCAGGAGCGGAGACGCCTCCGCAAAGGATTCAGGGACTTGACGCATTTGTTCAACGGTATGGGCTCATATTTCTATCGAGTAGGGGAGAAATAGATCTGATTCTAACGGAGTGGTTCTATTCTACAGATTCACGCACCGAGTACATGCGAACTGGCAACAATGGAATCTTGGAAACGCTTGAAAAGGCCAATGAACTCTATGTCGATGTAAAACAAACTTCGGACGCGACTCTGGACTCGCGTCTCCTCGTCAACGCCGCCGATCTATCGCACAAAAGGACTGCGCAACTAGCACTTGGAAATGCCCACGCTGGTCTAGACGTTGACGAATTTGTATCAAAATGTATATCGTACATGCGACGCGGGCCAGACCTCGAGTCTTCCGCGCTGAACGCGACTAGGCATCGCCGCCATGCTGCCACTCAGAGAGATTCAGATGATAGCGACGAGGAAGACAACGGTGATGCTATGAACTGGGATTGGCTTGGACGTGCTGCCTGCGTTCCTCACAATGCGCGCCCTGTCGTTTCGGGATGGCTACTAGGACCATTGTCTGTGCAGAAGCGGGCGCGCCAAGTCACCCAACGCAGGGGCAATGAGCAGTTTGATGCTACACAGACCGTCAAGCCACTTGACCTGCAACAAGAGGACCTTGGTCAACAGGACAGTGTGAATCTAACTCAGATTTGCTCCGATATCAATAAATTATTGGCGAAATACCAAGATGAGACCCAAGAAAAGGTGGATGAAATCCTCAATGACATTCTCGCTAAGAGTGGCGAACCCAGCCCTGCAAAAATTCAAGAAGTTATGGACGAATACAACCTTGCAGACGATACTGGAGTTCCTTTCTTCAAGTTTTGCATTAACCCTGATTCATTTGGTCAAAGTGTCGAGAATTTATTTTACGTTAGCTTCCTGGTGCGGGATGGCACCGCTGGTATCGGGGAAGATAGTCGTGGGTTACCGACACTTCGTGAGTAGCATTATTCTTCCCTGGATTACGGATGAGAATAGTTTACTGACCATACTTAAGATTCTACCACGCCTTACCAACCAAATGAGGCTCATAGACAAGGCGTTGTGAAGAGGCAGGCAGTTGTCAGTCTAGACTTTGATACGTGGCAGGAGCTCATCGATGTGTATGGCATAAAAAAGCCAATTATCCCCCATCGCAAAGAAAGTGATCAGGAGACTGCGACAACCTGGTATGGTGGTCGATAATCACCTATGAACGTGGCATGAGGTGATCTACTTGCTGTTTGGCGTTTGAGGATGATACCCTAGCTGTGTAGCTGTGTAGTTAATATTCCAAAAGAATATGTATTTTCTAATATTTTGTAAACTTTCATTGCTCATTGGCTTTGACCAGTTCTTGTATCTGCCACCTTGACATCATTGTGTGCTACAAAGTTCCGAAGTTGGATATCTTGCATGCTGGTTGATGTGGTATGTAGAGCCTCGGGACAGCTGGAAGGAGCTTAAAGGAGCTAGAGCAACTGACGTCATGAGTGAGCCCACCAGATCTCGTTCTTGCCTAAATCAGCACCTGGAAGTTCCAGTTGCGCTTATCTCATTTAATTGAGAAAACATGACAACTTCATCTCTTTCCCTTCGCTGGATTCCACCTTGACCTTTCCGTCTGTCGCGAAACCACTGCGCAGTTCTCAACTATCGCTGCGCAACTGAGACATTCAACGCCAGGGAGCGCAATTTGACAGAAGAAACACAAAGAACAACGTCAGTGCGATATTACCAAAATGCCGCAACTCTTCCCTGCCGACCCAGCGGCGACGATGGTCATCCGCCAAGTGGCACCGCAAATTACCACATTCAGTCTGCCATTCGCACGATTTGGGGTAATGCGCTTCGGCGCTCGAGGAACACTGAGTGAGTACCATATCCCCCCGCCCTTGCAGAAAACGCAGGGCTCAGTATTTTAGCTGAGCTCAAGTGGGTCATGATAACTCAAGAGCAAACCCAAAGCTAATACCCCTTGCGTGTCGCAGTCAAGCTGGCCACGGGCTCCCTCGCGATCTTCTCGCCTGTCAGCCTCACTACCGAAGTACGAGACACTGTTCAGTCGCACGGCGGCAACGTCAAGTATATTATTGCACCTGATCTTCAGCACCATCTGCACGTCACAGCCTGGAAGAACGCATACCCGGATGCAAACATTCTCGCACCGGAGGGACTGTGGGAGAAGCGACAGAAGGTTGCAGAGTTCAAGGACACGCCATTTGATCTTGTGTTTAAGAAGGACGGATCGCGGACAATTTCTCCAGAATTTGACGATGAATTCGAGCTTGAATACGTGCACGGACATGGCTCGCGTGAACTCGTCTTTCTCCACAAACCCTCGCGTACTCTGCTTGAAGCCGATCTTCTCTTCAACCTGCCTGCCCATGAGCAGTACTCGAAGACCGATGATGGTAGCACTGCGAACTTCATGACACGACTGTTTCTTCCTATGTTGGCCCCCAAGCCACCTTCCACTGGACACCGACGCTTTGCCTGGTATGTTCTGGCCAATGATAAGCCTGCTTTTACAGAGTCTATGCGTCGCATTATTCGGTGGGATTTTGATCGAATCATTCCATGCCATGGAGACGTGGTTGAACCAGGTGCCAAGGGAGTGTTTCAGGATGTCATGGCTTGGTTTCTGAAGGAAGATCATAAGCATGTCTGAGATGGCTGCAAAGTCTCTATGATATAACTTTCCTTCCCCCTCTGTGTTTTTTTCCTTATTGTTCTCTCTCCTCTCTTATTGTTCTTTTTGGAGCTTCCTAGTCCTGAATGTGGGGTGTCTTGATACTCCCATAGCGTCGTGGCGTGATGGGCTTCCCTTTTCTCTTTTCTTTTTCCTGTATATCCTTAATCCGACCCCTGAGAAAGATAATCTCCACAAATTATATCATTGATTCATAAGTAATCAGGTTATCATATACCTCTTTCCATTATACCTTAATGTTTATCGGGAGCCCTCTGATGCTTGAGGGTGGGACGTTAGCATTCCTTTCTATAGATTTTCTGTGCAGTCGATCGGGGCTGCACCTGCAGCTTTGAGAAAGCTCCTCATGTGCTACTCCGTAGAGCTCGAGGGATTAGTAAAGAATGCCGATCTTCATCATCAGCCACACCTACATCTACGTGTACACATGAAGTTGTCACCTGTACAACCCATGAGAGCTTTGACCCCTACGTCATAAGGCTGAAAGGAACTATAGCGCTTAGATACGAATGGCACAACGTAAGGGGTGGCGCTACCTTGCTCTCAGGAACATACATTTGACTCATTGTACAAAGTATCCTCTGCATACACACGAGGATACAGTTAGGCAGCAAACCTAATATGGGAATGGGAAGTTACCGAGACATGGTCCCACGAGCCTGCATCGTCCTGTATTCTGCAGGCCCAAGCACAGGTTAAAAAAAAATTAATTAAAAAGAACACACACTAAAGCTATTACCAACTAGTGTGTTGATCGACACAATTATGTTCACGGGATAATGACAGCTCAGAAATCAACCTTACGATGTAAAATGCACATCCACAGATGACACGGCAAGCCAATACACGACAGACACGAGGGGTCACGAAGCGTTCGAACAAGGGTCATCCCACAATATTCCGGAGCAGAACAACAAATCACTTTCCAGGCTCTAGTATTCCCTACTCTACAATGATTAAATTCCTATGCCGAACAACTACGTATAGCTAATATGCACCACGGGTGGGGTAGTCCTAGCTCCCAGGGATCCTGACAGGGCCAAGTCTCCTTGCTCCGATCAGGTTGAAGATAGCCAGCCACAAAATGCATCAGCGACGGTTGAGGTCAAAACCCAAGGGGTAGAAATTGGTTGGGCCACCACGTAAAACGATGCCGAGTATCCAATAAGGGATCGACGAGCGGGAGAGCTGCAAAGGAGATCTGACGACATCCGCGACTCTAGACTTTGACATTGTTTCTGTGGGTCTTACCCGGTGATATCTAGTGGATTGTACATAATATCTATTTTAATATATTTTCATAAACATTTCTCTATTTTGTTTCTCATGGGAAATTGGGGGTTTCTCACATCCACATGCGCAATTTAATTGATCATCTAGTTTATGAGCCCTTGCTTCGTGATGCGGGTTTCTCCCTCTCTGCTCGGAACCAGTCGGTTTGTGCGACTCTCCCGGTGCCCCAAGCACCTTCTATATAAGTCGTCAAGTTCCGGTTCATGAATAGGAACAAGATCTTCAACTTCAATTCAGACTATCCCGGAATACAAAACACTCCATCCACGAACTCTCCAACCCTCAGCTGTGCCAAGTCATCTGGTGATTGTAACATCGCTTCTTCAGAATCACCCTCAACAACAAGATCAAAATGCCTATCGTCTCGCGCTTAGTGTCTATCCCGCTTCGCATTGTGGAGATTGCCTTTGCAGCGGTAGTAGCCGGTATTATCGGCCACTATCTTGCGTCCTTTCACCAGATCGACCCCTGGCCACAAGCTCGTTGGATTTATGCGGAGGTTATTGCTGCCCTATCCATACTGCTAGCTCTCATCTGGCTGATTCCTTTCTCCTCTGGATTCTTCTCTTGGCCTTGTACGTATCGACTGTTCATATCTATGTCGAGCGCCTGTGGACCATGAACTAACTTTGTTTCTAGTGGATATCCTCATCTCCTTTGCTTGGTTCGCCTCGTTCGGTATTCTCGTCGATGGAATTAAGCACTTGCCTTGTGGCAGCGTCTGGAGATGGTCTTTCCGAGGCGATTCTGTCTGTATGCGCTGGAAAACTGCTGAAGCATTCAGCTTCCTCTCTGCGATCTTTTGGCTTCTCTCAGCTCTTGTGGTAAGTATTTGAGTCTATAAAATCTTCACCATGTAGATCTCATTCTAACAAATATTTACAGGGCATCTGGTTTACATTCCGTGCTCGTGATAACGCGTCCAGCAACGATTCTGGGTGAGTGTCCCTCAATATTGTATCTTCTTATATCTTATACTTATTCATTTTTTATAGTCGACGTCGTCTCTGGAACCGTTCCCGCGCCGCGGAACCCGTAGCCGCTACAGCGTAAGGGGCCTAATGGCGCAGAACGTCATAACCGAGCCCAAACCGCTGGACCATTCTTCCAAGAATTGGAATAATTGATGGATGGAAACAAAGGCACTCGATGATTCATGACTCTGATGCCCCTCGCAACTCTGGTGAATTCCAATCGTTTTATGAACTTTGCACTTCTTGTCGCATTCTCCTCATGATCATGGAGGTGAACGATTTACGACTTATGTTGATACCCTACTGGACTCACGACCCTGGTGCTCTTGGTGTTTAGTGACAGTCACTCGTTTCGAATTGAATGATAAATGAAATATCTATGCAGAAGCAAAAAAAACGTCTCCACTTGTACGCTGATCTCAAAGGCTAATTGATCCTCGGCTGCGTTTTTGTATCGAGCGGGATAATTATGAGAACTTGGATTTTAGTATCATGCCCCTAGCGACCCCCGAAGAACCAATTTCCCATGGTTTCGACGGGCCAGGTCATAAAACGTAGACACTCAATCTCTATCATAGCCTTCTCAACCTGATACGCCGATCATGTAGATCTATAGATTGCACCATATCATGAAACGATGACTAAGGCCCCGTGGCGTTCAAGCTTGGCATAGCATTCTCCACGGTGGCGCCTTCGAAAAGTAAAGGCCACCACCCCTTAAACCTCCCTGGTGCCTGTAAGAAGAAGAAAAAAAAAGAGCTCAAGGAATAATGAGTTCACACCCAGGGAAGGCGAGCTCATACGGCGATGCGAACGCGCCAACCTCGCCCGAAAAACTCATTCCTGATACCGAGTCCGCGCCCGAAGACCCAATTCCGACTTATAAAGACTTCGGAGACCAGGACATGAACAGCCAAGCCAATAAGCAAGCTGATGGTCCTCGTCACAGCTATGATTTAGATGGCGATATAGAATTGGGTAACGTGCCTCTGTTACCGGCAGATTATTATGATTATGATCCTCGTGACGACAATTCGGATTCGGATTTCGACTTTGAAGATGCCCCGGACCCGTTTAGACGCGATCCGCCGTTTTCTTGCACTATCCCGGGCTTCTGCGCTTGGCTGCGAGGACCCACACCACCACATATCTATCATATCAATCCTTGGTTTCCGCGATTGCAGGCTGCGCCAGCGAACTTGATTGATCGATATGTGCCGCGGATGGGAGCTAAAATTGGACTGCTCTTCCTTGGATTGTTGTTTTGGATCATTGTTTTCTTTTCAACTCTTAAAGCTTCTGTGGCGGGCCAAGAGGTTTTGGGGTATGGGCAGCCTACTAAGCTGTCGTGTCACCATCGCTTGTGGTACGTTTGTAGATCCCACGAGGGATTGGCCCCTGGCTGGTGTTTTATTCGTTGAAGTTTGAGTTTGATTTTGGCTTTCGGTAGTCGCTTGGGACTCTTGGACAAGTCAAACTTCGCTTTACTGTGTTTGGGTCCAAAGCATAAAAGCTAATATATTTCTTCTAGGAACAATGCGACAGAATGTGGACTCAATGGTGATGCTTGCCAACCTTTTGATGATCAGTCATTCGCTTTCCGTTGTCCAGCTGGCTGTGCACAGGCAACGCTTCTAGAACCATATGCCATTGGTGAACACGAATATAATTATCGACCGCTTGTTGTTGGTGGCAAGGCATTTAGACGTGACAGCGCAAGTAGCGGAATCTACCGCGGAGATTCCTCGATTTGTGCCTCAGCACTACACGCTGGCATGATCAGTGATTCAAAGGGAGGATGTGCTATTCTTCGCCGCCAAGGTGCACGAAATAAGTTTGAGTCAATAACACAAAACGACATCGAAAGCATCGAGTTCATGTCTTATTTCCCTATGTCATTCATGTTAACCAAGCAGGCGTCCTCGTCTGGATCTAGCGCCGCAAAACTAGTCGAATGTTCCGATATTCGCTGGCCGCTTTTCACTTTTACCGTTGTTACTACCATCATCTTCTCAATGACCGTCACCTCAGCCCCGGTCTTTTACAGCTTGATGTACTTTATCGTCTGGTTTCAGGTTGCCATGGCCTCCGACCCCCCAACATCAGGCTACTACAACCTCGTCCAGACAGGATTGGGCCGCTTCCTTCCAGGCGCCTTCGTCGGATTCGCCATGTACTATTTCTGTGTGAAATACACCCTTCAGAATCTCGACGCTCATATAGACAAGACAATTCTCTGGCTAGGCGGGTGCTGGGTCGGGGCCTTGAATACCGATACCTTCGACCGCCTCCCACTCTCCCGACTCACACCCCACGACATCCAACAACAGCCCGGCGCCTTAACAGCCCTCCTCTCCATCATCGGTTTCTTGGTCTTCGTATTCTTCCTCCAAGCCCACTGCTACCGTCGTCAAGGGCAACTCCTCTCCAAACTCCGCCTTTACGGCTTCTTTGTGCTCGTCATCATTATCTTGGTCGCTGTCCCCAACATGAATCTCCGCATTCACCACTACATTCTTGCCCTTCTCTTCCTCCCAGGGGTAACACTTCAAACTCGGCCCAGTCTCCTCTTCCAGGGTATTCTCATCGGCCTCTTCATCAACGGTATCGCCCGTTGGGGCTTCGACTCTATTCTTCAAACACCCGCATCTCTCCTGGACGGCGGTAAACTCGGCACCCCAGCACCAGTTATAAACCCACCCAACGTCTTAGAGATAAATAAACTCCTCTTCACCTTCCCGGATATCCCTGACCACGTCGATGGGATTAGTGTCCTTGTCAACGATGTTCAACGGTTTCAAGAACTGAAGCCGAAAGGCTCGTCTGGGGTACCTGATTTCACATGGGAGAGAGTCAAGCCTAATACGGAGGAATATTTCCGCTTTGGATACGTGCATCTTAATGCTCTTGGTGGGGTTTGGTATGAGGACTTTTCAGGTCCGTCAACTTGGAAGGCTGATGGGAATTACTTCTATCCTCCATAAGCTTTATAGAAGGGTAATGCATTGTAAAATTGGCCTGGGTGTATATAGATTACGTTTTTTGGATCATTTTCTTGGATCTTGGGTATACCATGCATTTAATTGCGCATGTAAAATTGGAGTACTTCATTCTTTTTCAATACTATCCACGATTCTCAACCTGCCGGTCTATCGTATGATTTCGCGACTAAAGATTCAATGGAACAAGTATGAACAAACTTAAGAACTTGAAATTAGATTTATATCTTGAAATTTCGCCTTGCTGCAGAAGGATATGTCCATTCAGCCATTCAATGTGCTACATTTATACATGAAGTTAAAGATATATGAATATGTTCTCGCCCAAATACACACAAGCAGCAACGTGGTAACAAGCAACATGAGCAGAACTTGAAGCTATACAAAGCAGACATTATGGTCGCCAAAGCTGTACAAGTTATAAAAAAAAAAACGCCCCCAGATGCAACTCGCCGGGAAAAACAAAAACAAAAATGCAGAAAGCGAATCATCGTAGACGTATTTAATCCTTCGAGTATTTGCGACATTTCACTTGAACAAGCTTTTGTTCGCCGCTTGGCTCAATGATCAATGCAGTCAGCTTACCACCCTTGACACACCCGGAATCAAGGCCCTTGGTGTAAGCCCGAATATTAAGTGATGTCTTAGCATCGTGGCCATAAATGACAGTAATAATCTCGGATTCAGGGTCGGACTTTGAAGCCTTTAAGCTCGCATGTAAGTTGGATTGGTGCTTGTTGAACATCTAACTCGTCATTAGTCAAAATCTGGATAATGGAATGATGAGGTTTCTCTGTGATACCTTCGCCCAGTTCAAGCCTTCACTTGAAGAGCTCGGAACATGTGTTTTCAAATCAATAGTACGCATGTTCATCACGCTCGACGGGTCCTGATTGTGGAGATCCACTCCTGGGACAAGACCACCGTGCGCAACAACTACACGGCCCATACCCGAGATCATACCCACGTCCAAAATAACTGGACAAGCCTCTAGCCACTTCGCTTGCTCATCGCTCAACGAACGAGCCAAGGCACGTTCACCAAGTTCCTTCGACGTGTAAATCTGGTCATCTCCTTCTTGTGGTCCAGCCATGGCATTCGATGCCACAATGCTGCGGCGGAGGAGTAATACTCTGTCTTCATGGTTTCCACGCACGCAAGAGGCAGAATGCTCGCGGGCCAAATCCACCACACCAGCACTATCGGGTCCCTTATTGATGAGGTCTCCCGTGAAGATTAGGTGATCAGTCGCCGGAGTGAAAGAAGCATCGTCAAGCAATTGAACCACTTAAAGTATGTCAGAGAAATTAGCATATGCCTCTCGCGACAAGTAAAGAGGAAATGTATGAACACCTACGTGCGTCTTTGCATCCGTGTACATCCCCCACAACAATCAACCGTCTGTCGGTCGTATCAGCGCCCTCTCCTTCCGGTGCCGCCTTGGGCAAGAAGTCGGGGTCCAAGGCTTGGACCTGAATCAAATCATCGAACTGCGGCTTTGAATTTGTTCCGAACCAACCTCCCGCCTCATCCTTGGAAGCGGGATCTAGCGAATGAATTATGGAGTTTCGTTCCTGAATACGAGGATAAAGAACCCAGGCCCAGCTAGCCCAGCCAAGCAGGAAAAGCGATAGGTATACAAGGACGTAGCGGCGGAATCTCGGGGCAGCAATGATGGACAGGACCCTCTGTAACCATGACCCATCGTTATCGTCGTCTCCTGTGAGCGGGTGATAGGCTATGTTGGGTTGCCATCCGTTCCGAGCCGAATCGATCAAAGGTTTGACATGGCGAGAAAAGCGACTAAGTGAGTGGATGGATTGGGCAGTGTGGCTATCGAGATCGTGGTCTGACTCGTACGATGTCATTTTTCCGAGAAAGGAGGCGCATTCAGGTAGAGATAGCGGCGTATGGCATGGAAGAGGGAACAGAGATGAGAAAAATTATCCACAAATATTCCGAGAGGACCGTGATCAATCGGCTATGGTGGCCTAATTGGACTCCGCCCTCAGAACGGGGAGTTGCTAGAGCTAAACTTGCCTTGGCGTTGGATGAGTTGAGAGTTCCGCCCTTGATTATGTTTCGTACTCCCCCCGTACGTTCTGGAGACCCGCTTTAACTTCTTCGTCTCCACATTTTGCTCCGATCGACAATGATGATTCGCAATCTGACGGAAAGGTTGTTTACACACTATTGGATTGAATTTTTGTACGCTACGTATTCGTATACAGCGGGGGCTTCACATTAACCCCGGTATTGCTCATACTCCTCTGCTTCCTTGCGACGGAGATTCACCCTTTGCACAACCAGTTCATCGTATGCATCCTCAGCCTTTTTGCCTCCACGTAGTACCTCGCGCTCATGGTATGTAGCCTCGTCCTTGGTCATACATACCAAATCTTTAAGATCGATCGGAAGAATCTTCTGTCCCTCTGCCTCCCATTTGGGATCAACGACCCATCCTTGGGCCGGTACCTCCCATGGAACTAGCTGCAGTCGAGACTGCAGACCGGTGATGGCACTCTTTCCACGCCAGACTTCTTCTATCAAAAATGCGACATCATCACGGCTGACTGGGATGCGCAAGCCGATTTGGTCTTGGCCAGCAACCTGCTTGTTCAATTTCTGGGATAGAGCTTGGAGACTTGACAGTGTACTATCGTACAGCTTCTCGCGACCCTTACCGCCCATGTTATAGTCGATGGGGTAGTTCGTCACACTGCAAATGACATGGTTGGCAACTGTGTATCCAAACACAGCGGGCATAGTGCCTAGAACAGGGAGAATGCGCACTCGGAAGTCGGGAAGAACTCCCAACTCGCCCACCTGGCCCTTCGCAAACTCCTCCTCGGCAAGCGGGAGTAGACTAGCTTTGCCAGGTCCAGGCTTCTCAGTCGAGAAGACAGTTGCAATGCCCGAACTGACACCCTTCGCCTTCAATCGACGACGGGTACTGCGAGACAGTGGATCATCGGTACTAAGCGAGATATCGCCGACAACAACGCGAGTAGGGTCGGATTTGCAGCCTGCGCCCATCGACGAAATAACAGGCAGGGAGTTTGTGTGACAGTAATGTAGGAGATCAACCTTAGATGTGATGTTGTCAATGCAATCAAGCACGTAATCTGGTCGACGGCCTTCGTCCTCGTGTGTCAGAGTCCATGGACCGAGAAGATCTTCGGAAGCCTCCTTGCCGTAGAGTTCATTGCGACAGTCAAACATCACCCATGGGGCGATCTGTTCCAAACGCCTACGGATACAGTGCACCTTTGGCGTTCCAACATCGGCTAATGTGGCGAGTGCATGTCGGTTCAAAGAGGAGAGTGTGACTTGGTCGAAATCAATGAGTCGGATCTTGGAGACGCCAGAGCGAGTGAGCGCAGCAGCGGCGTGGGATCCAACACCACCACAGCCGACAACCACAATAAAAGAGGAACGTAGTTGTGCAAGGCCCTCGTCATTGAGGAAGACACGGTTTCGGGCAAGCTGCTCAAGGATCAGTTCTGTAAATACGCCAGTTAGTAAATATAATCAAAGCTGCCGAAAAGTTGGTTCTCCGCACCATCGTCATAATCTCCCTGTTGGGCTCTGCGAGCTAAAGCTGCACTGCGCTCATCCTCCTTACTCAATGGAATAGCACTATCAGCTGCACCAAAGTTCGTGAGCTTCAACCCGATCAGTTAGCGCAACGAATTCCAGCTCAAATGAATGCGGGTAAAGATTCCCCGTAAGGAAAAGCTTACCCTCTCGGAAGGGTGCTGTTCATCAGCCAGAGGAATCGAAGCCTTCAGATCGTGAACAGCCTCTTTTCTCCGATAAGTCTGGTATCCAAAAATCGCACTTGCGACAGCTGCACCAGAAACCACAGCAGTGGCCGCAAGGTGTGAGTTGTGCGACCCAACCTGCCGCGAAAGCCAATCCGACATATTCCCAATGACGCCTTTATCTGTATTTTCGCTGCTTACGCCTTGGGCCTCTGAGGCTTGGCTTCGTTCTCGTGTTTCGGTAGTTTGTATCGGTCGGCGCTGGTTCCTCTGAGAGTCGGCGAATCTAACATCCAAATCGTCAGAATCGAATCCATAGTCCAGGTCGGCCTCGTTGGGCGCTTGCCACCATTTGGAGTTATTGGGAGCCATCGAAGTGCTCAAGGGCCGGTATATAGGGATTAATTACTTACCAGGCTAGTTGCAGGGCGCCGGGCCTCTTATATTTGGGATGCAAACTGCAATAAGCCCAATGCGCTCATCAGTGGAACCTAAGCTTGGACCCGAGGACCGATTATCTCAGCATGCTTTATTAACTAACTAGTTAACTAGTTAACCTAGTTAAGTTAGCACATGAAATTAGGTTGCCTCAGGCATGACAAGAGCCCAAGATGGTAACTTAACTAATTTGTATCTATACGGACATCAAAGTTTGAATAAAACAATACACTGTACATTATTTAAGTAGAGGATTCACATGGAGACTCTGGTCTATCATAGCTGGGTAGACTAATGAGCCCCCTGCAATAAGTCTCCCGAAGTCCACACCAAGCTACGTACAGTCAAACCCCTCTTATAGTGCGGCGGCTTACGGTACACACTCTGTTAAGGTACGCTTTTTGCTTGGATGGACTCACTATTCCGGGTTTTACCATATAAAATCCTCACTTTTAGAATACCTCGCCTTTGTACACTCCTTTTCATCCCATCTTTGCTGAGTCATCTACGTAGTCAGTGATATCAACCAATCAGAATGCCTGAATAGGACCGAAAATAGAGATAGGACCGAAATCAATTCTCATCCATTTTCAGAGCCAGGGCTCAGTAATGAGATCAAAGCTCTATATATTGAAACAATCGAGAAGCTTGGTCATGATAGTATCATACCATTTGATCAATTCTTGAATCCAACAGAGGAAGATATTGTAGTTAAAAATGAGACCGATGGGTAAGATAAGACCGATGGGTAAGATATATATATTGATACAGAGAGCTTAGAAGCACAAGATCTTGAAGAAAACAGAACGTCGCGAGATGCGGTTCAAGCTCAGTGAGAAAGACATTGAATTCTCCATCAAAGAGCTTCTCAGCAACGAAGCCGCTGCAGGCATTGTGGCCGACTTTATGCTCTCCACGGGGTTGTTACAACAATTCCATGACACAGACCCGCAGGCGATCGGTCTCGAGGTTATCGAAGAAGCTTCGGACAAGGGGTGAACGAACTTGCAAGGGCAGTGCAGGTGAACGAGAGGAGGTGCAATTAGAGGCGTTGCTCCGGTCGGTTTCGTCTCCTTGATGTCAAAAGAACCCAGTCATCGGACAGTATTGTAAAGGGGATATGTTGTGCGGCGGGCTCGGTACCGGGAACTCACCTTGGTGACGCAAGGAAGCCTTCGAGGCGCAGTGATGCGACACGGCGGCGATCTTGGTGATTCAAGGCCTCGGTGATGCGAGGAAGCCGATGGGAAGTGGGAAGAAGACGTGTGATTGGGAAGAGCTCATGGGGGCAGAGCCGTGAGGGATGCAGGATCTCAGAGGGGAGTTTGGCTACGGTGGTGATGCACGTCGGGAGGGCGCCGGGAGATCACCATCATGCTTGGCAGCATTTCCTATGTTGTATTTACTTCGCTTCTTTGGCAACGGCAAGCATCTCAGGCATGCTTAGGTGTGCCCAAAGCCTGAGCCCGGCGCTGGCGCCATTCTTCTTAGCTATAGCTGGCCTGATAGCAACCCTGGCATAGCCTACTTCGTAGGCTACAGCAGGTCAATGAATTCTTCTACTACTACTACTTGAAGAAAACAGGCCACTACCAGAGATATTATCTAATCCTGAGGTTATAATTCAACTGCAGGGCATATTACTATGGGCTGGAAGCAAAGAAAAGAGCACATCAGACCATAAACGTCAGATTGAGAGCTTAATCAGTGATTTCAGCCGAAATCAGGATGAAGAAAAGCGTCAGGTGACCTTAGAAGATATGGGATGGAAGCCTGAATAGAAAATAGAGCTTAGGGCTAGTAAAAAATATATTATGTTATCAACTCTCTTATAGTACATAGTTTCCTTAGATGGAGGTGTGTACTATAAGAGGGGTTTGACTGTATACTATGTATAGTATAGCAATTTTATACCTACCTGTGGTAAATTTGAGGACCCCTTATTGAGTGAGCACTGCAGTATATGGAAGAGGGGAGGAGGTTGATCATGGTTGTTGGGGTGATTCAGTACTTGGGTTTCCGCTTCAAATGTTTACGAATGGGATGCAAGTCTCATGGATATATTCTAGTATGGTCATGCCAGTGCGCATCGGTTGCATGGAATTCATTTCGATGAGTTTAATTGGTGTCAGCCTTCGGAGCTCTCATTAATTTTCATAAATCTCTTTTCTGATATGACGGGGTTGGTGGAATGGGACATTATTCTTTATTGCATGGCCACCTTCTCGAATATGTCCAAATGGGACAGTTTCCCGAACCACAGAACTGGATTAATGGAGACTGGGGCGGTTTCATAGAGTCATCAGATTCGTCAGCAGATATCTCGTTGAGTGCTTGTCATTGAGTATGTCATGCCCAGTGTTCATGACTCTTGTCTTTCTTGTACTTGGGACTCTGATGGATAGTGTAGATTCGTTCCCGTCATCCACCTGGATGCGTCGAAGAAAGTGTCGCCAATAAACTGACTGCTGAGTGATATAAAGAAGGTAACTTGAAGCGGCAGACTACTCATGAGTGTGATGCTGCCTTGTGAGCGAAGCCCAGCACTACGAGAATTTTTGAGTGTTGGTCTTATAGATGCACATGACACCAATGATAGAGATGATAATTAGACAATAATCAGGACATCTAGACAGGTCTCTTGGACTACTCTTAGTTTGCTAGATCCTCATTTCCAGAGCTATGATCATATAATTTAGAGAATTGATATCAGAATAAATCGTGTGGTCTGATAGCTCTAGATAATAAATCTCCCCCCACACGGAGATTTCTTTCCATTTCCATGCTCCATGAGCCTCGCCATCCTTGATCAGTTCTAAATATACTGCTGGATGCTAAGAGAATAAATCAGTTATGATTCTGCGTTTATCATGGAAAGGTAAAAGGAAACATACTTTCTTCTTCTTTCACATTCTATTTAGCAGTGACCTTGAAAGAGGAATAAGAAGTGGCGAAGGCAGTGTAGTGAATACACTGATCGGTAGGAGGCAGGACATAGCCCGAAGTGGTATCACAGTCGTCAGTAGTGTACACAATAACCTCAAAGTTATCGATATCGTAGACTGCCTGAATGCTGTCGATGGTGCTGGTCAAAGCAGTGCAGCTCTTAGCAGCGGTACCAGAGTGCAAGTTGACCTCGGTAGCACATGATTTATCACTGTAGACGTACAACTCCCACGCGGAAATGGTGCTGGCAGCAGAAAGAAAGTATCCGAGGTAGCTGGCGGCCTTCATTTTGTATGATTTAAGCAGGGAATAAGGCAAAAGAGCTTAAAGGGTTTGTAGCAAGAAAAAGAGAGGGATATTAGAGGAAGGAAATAGTTCAAGAGGAAAGAAAAGAGAGAAGACAAGTTCTTATTCATAATAATAGAGCTCCCCCTGTCTTCCTTTAAATCTCCAATACAAAAACTAAAAAGTATTTTAAAGGAATTTCCTATACCCAGGGTTTACACAAGGTAGCTGGTTGTATTTTTCAAATATTCTAGATACAATAGTTTCTTCGATATTCGTATTGGAATATCTCAATTTTCGTATATGTTTCAAATATACCTACTCTATAGCAGGTATTTACTCTGTGATTCCACTAGATAGTCTCTTCTTTCATCCTCTTAACCGGCGATGTCCGGTAATATTTTATCTTGTCGCTTTTTTACTCCGTAAATACAGCTAATTCTCCACCTTGTTGTCCGCGACTAACTTGAAGCTAAGCTCGCAAAAAATGATAATCGTTAGTGTGGCAGAGTTGGTATAGCGAACTTGAAGCTAGTAACCTATGCATTGCGCGTCTGTGGGGTGTTTGCCGAGTGTACGGATTATGTGGAGATGGTCTAGGCATGACCCAAAACTCGGAATCTACGGATATCGGATATGCACATCGATGTAGGTTAAGCGGCGGCGCGACCGGCGCTAGTATAAGGCTAATTGAAACTAAACAGAGAACTTCACATTACGGACGTCCAACATTTGAAAATTATTTAGTGAGTGAAAATTTACTTGTGGACCTTGGAACTTGTTAGTTGCTTGAATTAATGTGGAAGCATTTGAATATTTTTCCACAGAAAGACTCGAGGCAGCATGATCAAGCATGATGATGATTGAATTTTAGTTACCATCTAATGAAGAAAGAGGACTTAAATTGTCAACTGGTGCTATAATGCTTATTCAACATTTTCCTAGTACTTTATATATACTATTGTCTATCAACATAGGAAATAATATTAGGGAAGCATGGAGAGAGAAGGAAGAAGAAAACGACAATGTACTTGGTCCCATCTAGTATCTATGTACAAACATGGCACTTGGGACCAGTGGTGTTGAAATTATGCAGCAAGGAAATATTGAAGAACAGCTTGAACTTGAATGTCTTGGTCTTTTGAATACTATTACTTAGATTTCAAATGCACCGGAGACGATTCTACAGGTAGCACCCTTCAATGAGAGAAAATATAGACATATATAGCATTTCAAATGAAAACATAAAAATGGATTTTTGCTAGACAAATCTTCCTGTGAATATCCCCCCCACATATTATCTTGCCGAATATCATTTACTCTGCTCCAAACATCGTCTAATGGATTTGCACTTTCAATGTTCCGTCTTAGTATCCGCTAGATAAGACAAAGAAAGTATTAGTCTTACCATTGCTTAGACTCAGAAATTTTAGGATAACTCACATTAGACACTCATAACTTTATAAGACAAGAGGTTCCAGTCCGACTTAGCGCAGTACGACTCCGAGTTACCCCTCATGAGGTCCAGGTAGTGGGTGCCATCACCAGTACAATCCAGAGCGGAGTAAGCCATAATATAGTAGGTGGAATCGTCGAAATTAGGACTGAAGCCAAAAACCTTGTAACCGGTTCCAAGATCCATGTTGTAGCAGCCAGTCTCATAGGAGTTCATCATCTGGTAAACCAGGGTTGAGTCTTTGCAGAACTCTCCGTGGTAACCTTGCACTTGCCAGGCGGAGGCAGATGCAGCCATGGCAGCGAGGGAGGCAACGACTGAGAGGAACTTCATATTGAATGATCGAATGAGGAAGGAAGAATATCTCAAGTTATTGTAAGACAAGATTATGAATAGTAGCGATTGACCCCTTGTAGAATGGTTTCGGAGATGTGGTTCAATATCACTAGTATTTATATAGTTCTATTCGCGATATCCCTTTGCTTACATTATACAGAGTATGTATCCTTGAATTGGACTTGACTCTCTCTCGTTTAACACTAGTTCTAGGCTATTGGTCGTATTTTCATCGAATATAGAGAACAAAGATAGCAGAAGTGGAGTGAGAGGGGCAGAAATCCAATTTATCCGAGGAGCTAAAGGGATTATTTTCATAACACGACCGTTTTTTTGGCTTCGATACGCAAGGAAACATCTGAACGAATGTTCTCAAGACTCGGAGTCGCCGATCTCAATACCGGAATTTAGAATTCTCCTAGAGAATGGGGTGGAGTATCAGAAGACACGCGTCGTTCCTGGCAGGAGGAGAAATCCACAAGTGCGACGCGTGGTAGAGATTTATCTAATGAAGCTTAGCTTGAATAAGGTCGATAGACTATGTGGAGCCTCCGTAACTTAGACAAGCCACAGACTCCACACCATGGCGAATAGTTCTGGTCCAGCTAGTCAGCGAAAAAGTCGAGTGGTAGCGTATGTAGCTTGTGTTAGATTTAGGGGACTAAGTTTCCCAACGAACCCATTGTTAATTTAGCTTGTATCGAACTAGATTTCCTAGCCCTCACTCTTCGGCCTCAAGTCACGATTTCAATCGCATTTTTATGTAATTCGTTCGCTACCCACCATGGATCTCGATCGTATCAGTTGGAATCCAATCTGTCTTTTTACAAACGTTGTCGGTTATTCCGGCACTCGACCAGCAAGTTCACAAGCTAGCTTTACTAGTCTATGAGTATAGCGCTCATGGCTATTTAGAGTGGGATATTCGGGTGGATCCGGGATCCACTTTGCGATTTTCACAACTCAGAAATAGCTTCAATACGTGAACCGAAGATTTATGGGGCGTTTCTCTTGCTGTAAATTGCCAAAATATCTCATTTCTTCATGCTCGATTTCATAAATTTCCTATGCCTCATAAAGGTTAGATTGATAGAAACCTCGGAACTAGTACATACTAGTATACCGTCGAGTATATAAGATATCAAGAACGCCCAACAATTCAAAATTCTCTCACCCGACGCAAAAACCAAACTCTTTTATTTTCATTTGAAAGTTTCATCGATTTTCTTAATTGATCATTTCTTCTGGGACAAAGTCCATTTCAAGATGCAGCTCCTTCAGTCTCTTGCTTTCCTCGGAGCGATTTCCTCTGTGTCCGCCTATACTCTCTCCATCTACACAGCAGAAAGCTGCGAGACAGCATTGATGTCATGGACCTCTACCCATACTGGCTGTGTCAACATTAAAATGGGTACTTCTGTACACTCCATTAAGGTGACAGATATGAGTGGCTACGAAGTCTCCACATATCCTACTGCCAATTGCGCATGGGATGTCTGGGAGCATACAGCGGTCACCGCTGATACATGTTCGGTCAACGGCTTAGACGAGGCTATCAAGTCGGTCAAGATTACTGCCACTTAGGATAATTTTATCGGGGCAATTAGCGAGTGAGTGTTAATAGCTTTCATTCCATTTTTTTCACTTTCCTTCTGGCAAACATCGTGTTCTAATATACATTCCTGAGAAAACAGTAACATGGACCTTGGTCAGAGTCCCCCCCCCCCTTGTTATCAGCTTTTATTTGTGTCTGTTGGACTCATGATCGGTAATGTTGCCAGACACCCCTTACTACAAAATTAGAATATACGGAACTAACAGCATAAAAGGGTGAGGATTAGGGCTGCCTACTACTTGCCACATGATGGTCGATGTCTTCATATTAGCAACACCTTTTTAAGTTACTATATAAAAGCCTCAATATTAGTCTCCACTTCTTCTAATCCTCTAATCTTCTCTCTTATCCAAGGCTTCTTCTTCCAATATTTCCCTCTTCAAGTTTTATTTACATAGCATTTATAGTAGAGTTGAAGGACATCAGACTTGTCTTTTGACTCCCCCTGTACATGTACATAATATCTCACGCTGTTACATTTGGGTTTATTCAAAATTAGAACAAATATTGGCTTGTCCAAATCATACTTGAATGAGCGAGCTTGATAATAGAGATACACACTCGACGATATTTTAAATTTCTCACATGCACTTGAAAAATAGGAACCCTCTCTATCGGGAATGCTTAGCGCAAGATAGTGGCAGGGAAAAATGGAACTACGAATAGAAGCGGGCATACCTACGGGTAATGCGGGAATGAGATGTGTTCAACTTGAGGTGAAACGGATGGAAAAGACAAAAATGCAATTTGGGAATTTCTAATGTTGGAACAGATCTTGACTACTTCAAAAGGTCGGCTGACGATCTGAATAGTAGTTTCCAGCACCGCGAAGAGGTGTCTGTCCATCGCTGGAGGTCCCTCCCCGTGCCTCCAACCTTGTGGAGGGCTACGAATGGGAAACCTTCCTGGTTTACATCTTGTGGATGCTTCGTGGGTAATGTCTGCCATCGTGCCTCAAGTAAGCTCACGAAGGAAAGACCTGGGGAGGCGGTTTCCCGGGGGCACAACAGCTCTCTTTATACTATGACACTAGGAGTGCCAGGACGGCCAAGCTGTGTAGTCTGTGATCCCTATCCCCTTTTTCCTGTGGAGCCAAGGTACTTGGTGAGCCCAATGCGCGGAGGATTGCTGAAATTTCATCAAGTGAATTCGGGGTGGAATTCGGTCACATTGTAGACGCGTTCGGACAATAATTTTGCGCAGTGTATTATCAAGCCATTCTAGGAATTTTGGCATAGCGCAATTGATCACATTACGGTCTTTACTGTTTGAGGGTTTCAAATCTATCTCAGAAACCGACGACTTCCCCATTTTTGTCTTTCTACTGCAATTCACCTAACGGGGAAATCCAAGGCTCTCATTGATCATGATCGAGACGACTCTTCAGGCGGTACTAAGACTCGCTGTTGATGGACTAACACATTATACCCTTTGACGTGACGTTGCCACTTGCGACTTGAAATTGAACATTATAGCTCGAGCGTGTTTTAATCCCTGGTTCACTTATCGAAGAAGTTGGTTTTCTTGCTCCAGCTGTTCAATACGAGTATGTGCCTCGTTAAGCAAGTCAAGCTTCTCTTCTGGCTCTTCCTGCCGCAGGTTGTCTAGAATCCTGGTACAGAGATAATTGGTTGAACAGCACAATGATTAATGGCTATTTGATGGCATTCGGTCTTCTCAATCATTAAGTATAGTCCTTCGTTCTCTCATCACAAAATTCCCAAAACTCCTTCGCCTTTCCAGACCCGCCATTTTCGCTCCTCCCAATTGCTTTCTGTATGTTATTTGCAACTCCCGGATGAATGCGACCCCAAGGAATAACATATGCATCAACATGGTTCTCAATGCTGATTTCAGGCGAGAAACCAGCAAAAAGAAGCGTATGGGCAGCCAGAACAGGACTATGCAACAACGGTCTCGAGAAGAACTTCATCCACGGTGCATTGCGGAGCAAATTTGTATTAGCAGCTCCAGGATTATGTGCAACGCTAATAATTCCTTTATCGCCGTCTTGACGTGCCATTTCTGCGGCTAGGAAATGATTTCCTAGCTTGGAATTTGTATAGTTCACCACAGGGTCTTGAGGTGGGTTCGTGAGCTGCGACATGATCATTCCTTCCCGTGGTGCAGAAAACTCAACGACCTGACTACTTGTCCAGACAACACGAACAGATCCAGGTTCTGCGGCCTTAGCGGTATTTTCAAGCAGTGGGCGCAGTAAATGGGTGAGGAGGAATGGTCCCAGACAATTAGTTGCGAGTTGAAGCTCTATTCCTTGTTTCGAGACACTTCCAACTGGAGGCTGGGAAACACCTGCATTGTTGAATAGTATGTCTAGCTTGGACTCTTTCTCTCGAAAGGTTTCGACGGTAGCTTTGATAGTCGTGAGGTCATCCAGGTCAAGCTGCAGAAAGACTAACTCGCCATCTCTCTGGGGAACATCGCGCTGGATATTCTGGATGGCAGTGCGGGCTTTTTCCTCAGATCGACTCGCAATATAGATTTTGGCTCCTTTACGATAAAGGATCTTGGCTAGCTCCAAGCCGATGCCAGAGGCTGCACCTGTAATGAGGATAACTTTGCCGGTTTGGCTGGGAATATTATCCGATGTAAAGTTTGGCGACGAGGGAAAAATTTGAGAGAACTGAATGCCCATTTTGAAAGCAAAGTTTGATGGAATTGGAAATCGTATATATGACTGGACTGCATAACAGCCTTATAGGTGGCTCTGGCTCTGTTCAGAGGATCGCCCGTCAGCGATCGCCCCCAAATTCTGGGGCTCCACACCTCGGAAAATGGTCTTAAACTAAGACTTATGCATACATAAATCTTTATGCTAGCCTAAAATATATTAGCGCATGCCGGAAGGCCGTGTCATGCCGTGCCAGATATGATTTACTCGGAGCTTTAAAGGGGAGAAAGAGAGAGAAAATTTATATGATCATATCCACAATCTAGATCTTTTATTGCCTCAAAATCTAAAGATTTCATATACTATAATACTTCAATGACCAAGAGCCAGAGTGCGAAGATCCGACCAAAATTACAAAACAGTCCTGAGTCGAACTTCTAACGGTTTCTTCTCTACCAGTAAGAAGGTTCGCAGATCCTCCCATTGCAGTCTTTTACCTTCTACAGCCTCAAGGTCGAAAGATAACAGTAAATTGGCAAGAATCAGTTGCATCTCTGCCCAGGCAAGATACTGACCTAGGCAAGAGCGAGGACCAGCGCTGAACGGATGCACGGCATGGCGGTCATCGTGACAGAAGGGTGACTTTGTGTCGGTCGAGGCATCTGGCAGCCATCTTTCAGGGAGAAAAGATGTCGCTTTATAGAAAGACTCAGGGTCGCGGTTCAAACTGTAGGCTTGGAGAGACACGGAAGTCTAGATTATAAAACAATCAGTATTGTGGTTAGAACAACTGGCTTCTGATTTCCGACTTACCCCTGCTGGTAACCATTTCCCACATACAACTTCTCCTCTTTCGGGAACAATGCGTGGAAGCATCCATGGGACCGGTGGGCAGAGTCGGAGACCCTCATTGATCACGGCATTTAGGTAGGTAAGGTTACGGACGGAGGCCAAAGTCACATCCTCACTGCTCTGTAATGATTTTCGTACCTCATTGGTAACAATTGCCAGTTTATCAGGATTGTTCACGAGGTAGCAGATGATACCTGTTAAGACAGTGGCGGTGGTTTCGCTCCCTGCAGTGGTCAAGATCTGAAACGTCGCGTCAAGTTCACCTCGCGACCATGCCACCTGACCGTCTTCGTCAATGAGATATGACATTATATCCGGTCGCTGGACCTCCCAGCTGAGACGCCTGTCAACCTTCTCCGCGATCTGTTGTTGGTGACGTTCAGCCTTCTTGCTCAAGGAAGCTGGTATGCATTTCTTCAATAGAAACTCGATCAGGGGGTAATATCTCGTTGCGGAAATAAATGATACAGCCTTTACGCTGTTAAAAACCAACGAAATCCAAGGATCGTATTTCGAATTTTGTAAGCAATCAAATGACTCGCCCAAGCCGAGATCACCAAAGATATCAAAAGCCGTATAGTTCAACCACGGAGCAATATCTATTTCCGCCTCTGTACCCCCTTGGACGACCTGTTCTCGTAGCCTTTCAACCAGGAGGTTGACGTACTTTCGTAGCACGGGCTCCTGTGCTCGGAGCGCTCGAGGAGAGAATGCTGGGGATAACAACTTGCGAATGCCTGCATGGTGTGAAGGGTTGATGGCACTGAGAAGTGAATTTGGTTTTCCGGGAGGCTTCGCCCACCAAAGCGGATCTTTGAGAAATTGGCGATCATCTGGCCGAGTCGCGAAGATGTCGGTCCAGGCGTCCCCGCTGGAAAAGCTCACTTCGTTCGGGGCTGTCCTCACAACGGGTCCATATTGTCGATGGAGTTTCTCGAAATCATGAACGATCGTACCTCGTAAAAGAGCCCAGATAAACGGCAGGCGTGTAGCAGCCCATGTGCGTGGCCCTGGTAGATGCGACAACGGATGTAAATAAACGTTATAAGTCACTTTACCTAGTGGATACTGCAAAGGTGTCAGCTACATATCCTTCCAGTACTGGTGTAAAGTCATATGTCTACCGCAACCAAAACTAAGATCGCAACAATCAACGGACTCAACATATTGGCGGTACGGAGACTGGCCTGACGAACTTCAGTGAAATCAAAAAGAATGAGTAAAAGCAAAAGCAAAAACCGCTAACGAATGTCCAGGACTTTTGTATTTAGGCGACCCCCTCCCATTTTGGCCCCCAAGACTGACAGGGATTCATCCATTATGATGGGAGCCTTGCCGGCCCCGGCTTTCTGGCCATACTAGCTCTTTGTGGGAATTAGATTCCAATTTTGCCCGCATAAATATTATGCTGCGGTAGCTAATGTAGATCGCTGCCCCCCCCACCGACGGGCTGTCCATGGGTGGATTGTTCCTTGGCTTTGTGGAGTAGGTCACGTGTAGACGCGACCAAACGCCAATTTGGACGACACGTCCAGCAACTGCGCATGCAACGCGCATCTGACGCAGCAGGTACGTGCAACTTATTCGTCGCAAAGGATTCAAGCTGACTATCCCTATAGAGGTTTGAGATAATTGGACCGTGCGTCTATGCATCAGTCTCAATGACGATAACCCACACATTCAAGAGCTTTTCATGACACCTTGGCCAGAAATCTGGGGCAGTGGACTCCATCCCTCGTCGACTTCTTCGAGACGCAAGTGGAAGGGGACACTGCTTTTTTTGGTGTATGATTGAGAAATGAACAGAGATCCAAGAGACTCCCCTTTACACCCATCTATTTGATTGCCCACTTGTCCTTCGCGTGTTTCGCTCGCACGGAGTCGGATCTGCTAATGTCTTTCCCCTGATGATGGACATGGTGCAGGTCGATGTACATACTACACATTGCAAAAATAAGACATTTTCTTGTTAGAACTAAACAGTCTTGTACGTCTACCAATCCCCCTCCCAATTAGCAACCCTGCCACCCCGCCGTGTATTTTACTGCAATGGATTGCAACCATGTCTTGCACAACCACCCAATGACGACAATATCTGTCACGCACTCCGAGGCTTGTATATGCTATGCTCCGTCTGTATACCAGAAAAAGGCAACGACGTTGAGCATGCCGATGACGAGTGACAACAAAGGTAGTTTTCAATCTGAGGGTACCGTGTCATGCTGGAACGGGAGACTCACTTCTCCCACAAAAGAGCCCCCTCCTATACTCTTGAATTTCGTTTCACTGCCAGGGAAAAATACACTGAATGTTATTAAATCAAAATGTGAGATTAACAGCCATCATGATGCTCAGGTAAATACAGCAATGGAAAGCTTGTTCAAGATCCCACAATGAGAGCATAAATCTAGTCAAGATGGCAACTTCGAACAGCCAATGTCTTCATACCCAGGTGCGTGGCCAGAGAATCCTCCTACAATTGCCGGAGACATGCCGGTCTTCGTCGCTGTCTACCGCGATTTGATCACATGGTCGCATGTTATAACAAACCGTCCTAATCAGGCCACCAGGAACGACTCCAAGGCCGACGCGCGTGAATGAGTCCCTGGCACCTGAGTCGTCGGTATTGGTGAACATAAATACCCCCTTCCATCCCTCTCTTCTTCTTCCTCACATCTCCGTCTCCTCTTGTTTCTTCTCCCCACTTCTCCCCTCGAAAATATTGACGACGGGGCCTTTGACGACAGGTCTTTACTTTTTTCTACGTTTAGCATTTATGATTTTGGAGGACGACAACTGACTCGACAATTCTAGCTGATTCACCAGCGTAATTGTTCTCCTGACTCTCTTCCTCCTGACCCTTCTCCATTCTTGCCCTCTTTCATATTGACTCCTCTCTATCCTGGCTCTCCGGTTCCACGCTGACCTTTATCAGATCGAAGATGCAAATGGTCAAGGGGCATGGTGGGCGGGGACGGGGGGTAATGGACCGTGGCGACGGGGCAAGAGTGGAGGATTACCGTTGAGAGAATGAGGGGGGTTTCCAGAGGAACGATCGACGAGTCGTTGACGGACGGCATTCTTGCTGCGTCTTGGGTGTCGGTTGGCTTCTTCGCATAATTTTTTGTTTTCCCCACCTCGCAAAACTGCTTGGTGTTAGCCCTGAGCCTTCAGCGGCTCAGAGAATTCGCATGCTGACTCGCCAGCCCCGGTATGTTCTACTTCTCTCCGGTTCCCCACTAACTTGCATGTTCGAAGCTAACTTGCTACCTAGGATACGGAACCTACTAGGGTTGGTGGACGATATTGAGGAAAATAGGGGGAGTCTTGACGGCGGTTGCTGGCGGCATTCTGCTTGGTGTCCTTCTTCGGCTTCATTGTCCCATTTGTCCCATGTCCGTGTCGCGTGTCCCGTGTCCGTGTCCATTGTCCCTGTCCCATGATTCCCTGTGATGAGTCTGTCTTGCAAACATTGATGGACACAAAGCCAATTCCGATGGCATCCGCACGTCCATTGTCTTTCGACTTTTGGTGTTGCTGGAAGCTCATGACGAGAAGAGAGCTTTTCTGAGGGTCTTTTACACTGCTTTTCTTTTTGCATATTTTTGTATTTGGTTGAGATGGCGCCTTGCGCATCGAGTGATTGGAAGTTCCTTGTTCACGTTGCTCCTCCTGTCTGTCTATCTTGGGTTTTCAGGTTAGAACCTGTCAATCAAGACACCATTGAAATATTTCATTCCTTTGCCAAATCAGCCTGTTAAAGCAGTAAACTCGTAGTTTGCCATGGTCTAGAGTCAACACTGCTTAAGAATACCAGAGATACCCAGCCGAGCAGAATTCTTAACGCCATTCTAGTCCAAATACATGCTCGTGGTGCTTGCACAAAGCTCGAGGTTGTGATGCAGCGATCCCGAAACTTAGGGCTTCAAGACGGGCGCACTTGTGCAAAGCGTTTTGTGGCATGTCTTAGACTAATCTGGACGCGGCCAGTTTCGAATTATCTACATTATTTATCATGGGGATATTAAAACGGTGGGGAGATAGTTTTATTCAATGAGAACGCCCGCTAATGCAATATTTGATGGTCGCACGCTGGGAACAATATACAAAACATCATGGCGGCAATCAGCCACGCCATTCACAGCACTGGACAACCAAGGTCCTTTTATATCGAGATCAAGACACATCTTCCAATCAACCATGCCGACTAATAAACAGGTTACTGAAGGAAGCGACCGACAGCACCGCCAACATTCTTCAGATCAAGCAGGAAGGTGTCATGTCCGAACAGGGACACATCATCGCCAAGTTCGATATGCTCCACATTATTATTTCCACCCGCCCGAAGGGTCTCTGCGATCTCGCGCTGTTGCCATGCGGGGAAAAGGATGTCGCTAGCAACGCCCATCACGAGGACTGGGTGGTTCTTCAAAGGCGCGAGGCCTGTGACCAGGTCGCGTGGGGCACTTTCATCTTCTGAGGACGCAGACTCGGTCGGCGAAGACGAGGAAGCAGTAGACTCGGGCTGCTCTTCATACGGCTTGTCGGGCAAAGTCAAGCTGCAGGCTGGGTCGGAGACACTAGGAGATATTTCACCATGGGCGATGCGAGTTTCAGCTTCCGCGCGACGGCGACGAGTCTCGGTTTGGTGTGCATGGCCCAAGTCGAAGAGATCCATGGCCTTGGAGACATAAAGAAGACTGTTGGGGTCATACTCTAAACAAAACTTCTCACCGGCATGATCGAGGTATGTCTCGATGAGGAAGTCAGGACAGAGAGCGGGCTGCTTGCTCGGGTCAGCGCGACGACGACCGAATCGCATTTCCCACTCGGGCCCACTGCGGTAGGTGACGGTGGCGATTTCACGAGCAAGCTTCATACCGGAGTGTGGGGGAATAGCGTCGTAGTAGAATCCGCGCGCCCACTTCGGGTCCATCATTAGGACTTGGCGCTGGGTGTGTCGCATTGCAATACTGTATGGATGGCTACGAGCACAACCACTGATGCTGACGATTTTGCCCACACGCTCAGGGAACAGCACGCCAGCTGCTAGACTCTGCATTCCACCCATACTAGATCCGACGGATGCAGCAAGCTTCTGGATACCCAGGCCATCGAGAAGACGGAACTGAGCTCTAACCATGTCGTCCAGTGTAAGTATTGGGAACCGTGTTGCGTACCAGTTGCCATCTGACGGGTCTTTCGACGAAGGCCCAGTGCTGCCGTAACAGCCTCCCAGCACATTGGTGCAGATAACATGATATTTATCGGTATCGAGAGGAAGACCAGGTCCAATGAACTTCTCCCACCAACCTGGCTTGGGATTCGACGTAGTACTATGGGCATGACTTGAAGCAGAGAGTCCGGTATGCAAAAGAATCGCATTACTCTTATCACTGTTCAGCTCACCCCAAGTCTCATACGCAATATCGAACTCAGGCATCACGCCGCCCCAATCCAGAAGAAGCGGCTGGTCGCAGTGGTACAGCTCGTGGTTACCAGTGGTATAGGAAGGCTCGGGGCCTGATTCGATTGATTTCGCGGAGAGCATAGCAGATTTGGCATCTTGGGCATCAAGGCAAGGAAAGGACATAGCAGGATTGGACGAGTCTCTTGCAGCCGCGGATTGAGACTTTCGCGGCGGCACGGCGTGGAGCGATCTATAATGCGCCGGTGATAGTCGGGTGGCACCAAGAATGGGTGCTAGGTCGCTGGGTCGCGATTGAGACGACCGGATAGTGCGCATGGCCAGCCGGGAGGCGCTCTGAAGCGAACGCATTGCGACGAGTGAAGGAAGTTGCTATGAACGAGAAATAGTTCGCCGCGGACATCTCTGGAGGAGGGTCATATTATATTACCCCATTGCGTAGGCGGAGAGTATATGTTATGGCCTCAGGCAGGATGGTTGCTATCGCGTCATCTAACTTCATGCTGATTGGTCAGGTGTTTGCCGTTCCCCGGATCATATAAAGTCGCATGGACATCTGAGGACTCCGGATTGTAAATCAAGCTATCGGGCAGTTGATCTTGGTATTTGCAATTTTTCCTATTTTGGATCTTAAAAAAAACTGAGTTGATATTGGATTTTCATTCAAAACATGCCCAAACGCCCCCATCGCAAATGCAATACCGATGATAACAACACGGGTATATGACAGGCATCGAAAATTAATAGAAAAAGGGTAAAACGCTAATTAAAATGCCGATGTAGGAAAATGAGGTAAGGATCTGAGAATCGGGCGATCCTCGCGACAGCCAAGCATGTCCACCTTCAAGTTTTCGCCGAGGTGCTCGTCGCATTAGTCGAGTTACTCGACTCAAAAACCTCGAATGTCAAAGAAGACATAACGACAGTGTCATTCTTAGTAAGAATATCAACAGCAGCAGCATACATGCATCTCCAGCCTCCACAGTTTGCATGAAAAACCATCCTAGTTCCATCCGGTGATATGGTAGCACCCCCAGGAGCCTCAAGACCCCAGTCTTCAGTCTGCAGTAACGGCCGAACAGCCCTCTTATAAGGACCCTTAATCGACCTTGAATGGGCGTATTTTACATTGTACCCCAGAGATGTAAAGCAATGCGAGGAGAAAAAGAGGAAATATGTGCCGTTAATATGGATGAGGTTGGGTGCTTCGACCAGCGGGCCATCTGTGTCATTGATATCAAGAACAATCACCGCGTCGCCAGTTGTGGTAATGCCATCACTTTGCAACTCTTGAAGGAATATCGGAACAGGCTTTCGAGGTTTCTTGCTGTTCCCACAGTAGCCGCCGGAGCCAACACTGTTGCCATCACCTTTGTAGACGATGTATAGTTTGCCGTCCTTGTCTTTGAAGGGCGAGGGGTCGATGGCGCCGCCGTACTTATGTGGGCAAGCCAGTGATTCATTGAGAGGTGTGTATGGACCCATGGGATCTGTTGCTTCGGAGACTGCTGCTCCAATGCAATGGTGTGGTGTGAAGTTCTTCGACTCCCCGGCGTAATAAAGAACGAATTTTCCGTCATTCTATACAAGAAATTAGGACCTCCCATTCTGGGAAAATGACAGGAAGTTTAATGACTTACTCGTTGAATTAGATCTGGTGCCCAGGTGTTGACCTTCTTCTGCCATTTGCCCATCGTCGGCATCGCATCGTAATCCTCATGTAGCGTCCAATTGACAAAGTTGGTTGATGTGGCTACCGGCACATGTATTGTGTCCGGATCATTCTTCTTGGGGTTTGTACCAAAGGCATACCATGTGCCATTGTGTTGGATCAAACCTGGATCAGGGAAGTCGTGCACGGCCCAAACAGGATGGTTTTCTTCGATATGATAGCTTGGGTCTTCGTGGGTTGTTCCTGTTGGAACGAAGGCATGCTTGCGGTGGTGTCTTGTGAGAACAATAGGGAGAGCAATCACCAGCGCAATAATAGCCAGGCCTAAGAATCCGAGAATGCTAAAAAATGCAATCCGTCTCGGGGTCCAAGGTGATGAGAAAAAACCCCCTTTCTCATTATTATCAGAGCCGGGTAATTTCTCTGGTTGTAATGGACAGTCATTGTCTATGCTACCTTCCTGCTCATTTCCTTCGATTGACTGAGTCGACGAAGGTTGGGCGGTTGCCGTATTGCTATGGTGCCCGCCTCCTAAAGGCCCCGTCATATTCTCGACAACTTAAGCTCCAATATCGCGCGCTTGGCATGAGACTGAACAAGACAGGCCTTGAGAGTGGAAGTATCCGACTCAATATAAGTTAATGGGCATCCAGGAGACGGACGAGACTGCGAATGTACAAGGGCTTAGGGGAAAAAATAGTAGCGGGTGTCAACAAGGCCTAGGTATCCCTCCACCTCTCCACCTAGAAAGCTTATTTTTGTCGATCCTGAGGGCTAACTTGAATTGGGAGACAAGAAAAAGAGCTCACTGAGCGAACGGAGGATTTATTAAAAAGATATTTACTCGGTACAAAATGCAGACACGGCTGATAGCGGCTAAAGTTAACGGGAGAAAGGTTATGTGAAACGGGGCATAGGGGGCCGAGGCGCCACTCAAGGGCTTATTGGCTACGGGCCAGGCAGTCATCGAGATGCTTCCCAGTGTATAAGGTTTAAACTGGGGACCGGATGGACAAAATATAGGCCCATTCAAGCCTGGGGAACCCTTGATCGTTTGGTTGCACTTCAACCCCAATCACACAACCAGAGAATTGAATGTCACCATCAACTGTGATCTGCGGATGAAGCTACATAACTCGCTGCTGGTGGTTTCTTGGGGGGGGGGGGGGGTTTCTGAAAAGACGGAACCATGTTCTGTGAGATATAGTATCACATGGATCTATCTAGAATCCTTGTGTCCGCCTCCATATTCCCTGAGGCTGAGGCGCAAGGAAGACCATCGTGTCTTTCCACAGCCAAGCTTTTGGGGGGTTGTCAATAAAGGACCCATACGGGCCAATGAACGTGCTTGAACAGTCAGCACTCCGCTTATCACTTTCTGATTTTAGTATAGCGTTGTGCCCCTGTTGATCCGCTCAGAGGTCCCTGCAGTACACCTTGCCTCTGAGAATCTGTCAACTACCATAAGATTGTGTAAAAAAGCTCGAACGCAAAGAGAGAATTGAGTTGATCGGAACTAAGATGCCTGTGGGTTCTCAATGAACTTTTTTGTGGTTCCTTGGGCGGTTTCACTGCCTCATGGTAATGTGGAGAATGTCCCACAAATTGCCCGCAAGGCATGTTACAGTATGAGTCCAGGCAGCACGATTGACGGTCTTTCTCTCATATTTTGATTTTGCTCTGGGTTCTTATGGGGTTTCCCTGGGCATCCATGTGCTCTGATAATGAAACCCCCCAGATCAAAAAAGTACAAAGAGTCGAGGCAGATCTCAATTTCGAATTCAGAGACAAAACCTAAGTTCCGAGCCAAACAGACAACCCCGCAAGCCCACGTGGGGGTTTCTGATATTGTCTACATAGACGAGGCAATCTATACTACTTCGTGCACAATATAGTCCTACATAGTAGTGCACGTTCAACAGTTTACTATGTAGGAGGAGATCCCCATTTCATAGAGAGTACGTCTGGTCTCAGTGTGATCGCATGAGTATGACGTGCGGATATGTAGCTAAAAGAAGTCAAAATAGATTTGCAGCGTCTCTAGCGAACCAAGCCTTTGTAATACAACGATCATGTTGGACATGGCCAACAAAGTGTCAAGCGGGGAACCTTGGAAGAGAGATCATGTATAACCATTTTTTGAATGACCATGTTGCGATATCAGTTGACATAGTATTTCCAACGTTATTTCTCTCCACGAAAATGAGGTCCATTAATTTAGAAACAATAATTCCTACGGTTATTGATTCAGCACATTCAATGTTAGAGCATGGATCCATCAATACATGTAGATGCCGCCCGAGTGCACGTGACTGTAGATAAGGATCCGATAAGAATATCTGTAACATACATGTATTTTTAATTACTCCACTGGTCTCCAGCGCCTGAGCAAATCGGCATGCTCAGGCTCTGCAAATAATTTGACCCTATAGATACGATAAAACCTTGGAATCATATTGCATTACTTCAAATTAAGTCAGCAGAGGATCTCCCTTAATCCCAGCTAGTTGGTCCCCAATAATGTACTGCCCTCCCAGGCTCAAAGCCTTTGAATAGATAGATCTACATCCCGTGCCGTCGTCATACTGTTACAGCCACCCGTTTTTAGTGAGATCTATTGGCTGCCTGAATTACAGCCCTGGCTAGCCTGATCCACCCCATAGATGTGCTTGGGCGGGCATACGCAATCACTTCAACGTTTCAGGTTCTTCATACGTGGAAGAAATACAAATTCAATCGCTGACAGACAGCGCGGGTTTCTTATGAAAATTGGCGGTTTTCCCATTCTCCTCACCTCCACACTCAGACCTGGTTGAAAGGTTTCCTCTGCGTGGATCGATTCCATTTGATCACCTCAGCTGTTTGCGGTACCGGTACCTGTCTGCCAAGGACACACCAGGGAGTCGCATTGTGATCGACGGATCAAGGATTCGCAAAAGCCCTCGGAACACCGACATGCCATTTCTCCAATTCTAATCCCTTGCAACCTACATTCCACCACACCCACGCGACCCAATCCCGCGCCCACGCGATTGTCGACTCGGGAGTCTCCTGTTCGCCGATCGCACGGAGTTCTGAAGCTCCTTACCCCAGCCAAGGCTTCCCCATCTGCAAAGCCAAGCCACGCCTCTGCGAGAACGTGGTACATATTTTCCTTACCCACCGGTGCGCGTGGCTGTCACATTTTTGACAAGGGGGCAGCCATCCAACCGGAGAGAATTCGCCCACCATGCCGCCGTTCCGGAGGTCAATATTCGCCGCCCTCTGCCTCATTGCATTCGTCGTTTTCCTCCGCCATTCAAGTCGATCCCCCGATGTCCCCGACGCGCGTGGATACAGACCCGTACAAGAGATATTTGCCGAAGAAAAGGATGCGGCTGCTGAGGCTCAGCGCAGGAAATCCGGTGCTCGGGGACAAATTCCCCTCGGCGCGACGCCGGCTGCGCCGCTGCGTGAGCGTCTTCGCTTCCAGTTTCCCTATGATATGAAGAAAAGGTTCCCCGCATTTATTTGGCAGACGTGGAAGTATGATCCTTCGTCTTCGTCGTTTGGGGACGAGTTTCGCGACCCAGAGGCTAGTTGGACGGAGCTGAACCCTGGATTCCAGCATGAGGTTATCCCCGATGATACGCAGCGTCATCTCATCCAGTACCTTTATGGGTCGGTACCCGATGTCTTCGAGGCTTACGATTCTCTCCCCATGGCTGTGTTGAAAGCAGACTTCTTCCGGTACTTGGTTCTTCTCGCTCGTGGTGGAATCTACAGCGACATCGACACCACAGCATTGAAGCCAGCGGGTTCCTGGCTTCCCGAGGAACTTGACCGGTCCACGATCGGATTTATTGTTGGCATTGAAGCCGACCCCAACCGCCCGGATTGGCATGATTGGTATTCCCGTCGGATTCAATTCTGTCAATGGACCATTGTTTCGAAGCCCGGACATCCCATTCTGCGGGATATGGTCGCACACGTTACTGAGGAGACCTTGCGCATGAAGAAAGCAGGCATTCTCAAGATGGGTGACATGGATAAGACCGTGATGGAGTTCACAGGTCCGGGCGCTTGGACCGATTCGGTCTTCCGCTATTTCAATAACCCCGAATACTTCAACATTCAGCCAGGCGACAAGAACATTACATACGAGGATTTCACTGATCAAACGGCTGAGAAGAAGGTCGGTGATGTGATCGTTTTGCCTATAACTAGCTTCAGTCCTGGTGTTGGACAAATGGGAGCTCGTGATGTCGATGATCCCATGGCTTTCGTGAAGCACAACTTTGACGGTACGGTTTAATCTCTGCTTTTAGCAAACCCCTTTTATTCATTTGGCAAGTCACTCATTCTCTCCAGGCTCGTGGAAAACCGATCCATCATTTTGAAATATCACAGCTACAACAAAAATGACTTCCTACCTCAAGATCGCCTCTCGCCTGTAAGGGAAATCTGGTCTAAAAGCCGTCATCGAGGCAAAAAGCAGCTCCAGCTCTAAACTTCCCCGGCGCTTGTCAGGGCTTGGACTCGCCATCAGCTCTCATGTCAGATATTCTGGCAATACGACCAGCATATGACTAGTCTCCCTTTCCTAACTTACGTCACGCACATCTATTCATATAATTACCTCTCAACCTCCATATTACCTTGTGACTGTCTCAACTTCTCATTTCTCAAACAGTCTCATGTCTCTGGTCGTCGTTACGACTATCCCGCAAGATATGCTACTGCTGCGGATGAGTTCGCTTCTGATATTCACGGCTCATGCTTCATGAACGCCCCGCACATATGATTCCCACAATTCTTGTTCTTTTACTATTGATCCCTGCTTGTGCTATATACTCGTTTTCTACAATAGTTAGAAATGGACTGTGGATCAGTTTAAAGAAATATTTGATAGACAACAGTTCTTTCTCCTTGAATGTTTCATCATAGGCCAGGCACTTTGGGGTTTCCTTAATTTAATCCATGTAAAAGAACATCCGAAAGACAGCTTCACCGAGCACCTATAAGACAGTAGATCGAGATGGAATAAAGCTCTTGACATCACATTCAAGGGGTATGTACGGTATTCGCCATTGTCAAATAAGGATAAAAGGTGAAATCAAGAAATCAAAAAGCCATCCACCAAGAAAATTCACCAACCTTGCATACATGCAGAGGTGGATACAAGTCGGGTACTGAAGTCGAATAGTCATGATAAATCGTCATCGTAAATCAACTCATCCTCCCAAAGTAGAACAAAATTATCAAGAAAGAAGATAGTAGAAAGCTAGGGTATTTGGCAAACGAATAAAAGAACACTGACGTCAGGAACTCAAGCCAGCGTCATTGGGGCCATGGACATCTGAGGAATGAACCCTGCATAAGATGAAGGGCGGGATTTTGAGTTATCCCAGTACCCCACACTTGATACGTGGAGGTAATAAAGGCAGATATAGGCGAAAGAAGGAAGTCGAAATGGCCTGCGTGTAGGTTCATACTCAAGGCCCCCAAGACATCAATGGTATTGATAGAAGCGCATTGTAGACGGCAAATTATCTCATTCTGTTTCAAAACAAGCGTTGAGAGAAAAGCCACAAATTCTTTTGCGTCTGGGAGTCGGCGCTGGTTTGTTGTTGAAACGAAGCATGCTCGAGTTATAGCGGGATTGAAGCTGCTCAAAAACCCTTGAACAGAGGCTCATATTTCTTCTTCAGGTCATCCGTGTAGATATTCTGGTTTCTCGTATCTGAATCCGGATAATCTTCAAAGTTGCCCCCATCGGCGGGATGAGATACTCGGGGGATAATAGGACCCTTGACACGACGGTAGAAGAGGTCATCCCAAGCAATGCCCGTGAAAAACGGGTGAGATTTCACGCGAGTTGATCCTCCAGAAATATGACCTAATCGTTCTGAAGGGTTCGTCTTGCAGAGCAAAGTAACAATATTTTGGGCGGCTGGTGGCATATTCGGCGGGAAACGAAGGTGTCCTTCCACGATCTGTTCATAAATGCGCATGGGGTTTTGATCCCAAAACGGAGGTTGTCCCACCAAGAATTCGTATATGAGAATTCCAAGAGCCCACCAATCCACTGCAAGCCCATGCCCACTATTATGAATGACTTCCGGAGCCAGATATTCAGGAGTCCCACAGAGGGTATAGGTTTCGCGATTATCCACTTGTTTCGCAAAGCCGAAATCGACAAGCTTGATATGGCCGTCCGCATCAAGTAAAATGTTCTCGGGCTTCAGGTCACGATAGGCGATACCATGGATATCATGTAGGAATTCAATGGTCATAGTTATTTCGGCTGCATAAATTCTCGAGGTTTCTTCATCGAAGCGGCGTTGGCGTCGGAGATAGGTGAAAATCTCCCCTCCGGGACAAAAGTCCAGCTGCGATACGGGTTTAGCACTTTCTGAATAGAACCGAGGTACCGAATATGATGAACCCATACCAACATGTACAAGCTTTGTTCGTCCGAGAATGAAGCGATGAGAGTGGTGATGAAAGGGTGATCGACTATCGCGGCGAGAGATTTGCGCTCATTGCGCACATGTTCGACTTGCTTCAGCTTGATCACTACCGCCCACTCGATTAGCGTTCAATGCGCGTGGCTTTGATATACAGGGCGCATTCACCATCGGCCTTCCGGAGTATCTTCAAAGCGTAGACTTTCGTTCTGTCCGGCTGGTCCTTCAGTCTTGCGAGCCATACTCGGGCGAAAGTACCTAAAAATTCCTCCGTGAGCAAATATTCAAATCGCGATGCACAGGTTGCGACAAAGTCAACCGGGGTACTATGAGATTCATACCAGTTCCCAGGGTTTTCAAGAGAGCAAAATCGGTAATATGCAGATTTCTCGAGGAAATGCATAGTTGTTTCTCGTCGTGACGCTCGGTGATTAGGAACGGATTCAAGGCTCGCGGAGGATGGCGGAAGGCCTGGACGAGCTTCTTTTCGCGCTCGTGGAAATCGTGGGATCGCATGTTGTTGTTTTCGGGGGCCACAGGGCCAACTTGCACCTCAGATGGTACAGTATGTTCGACAGTTCTTGTTGCCATTGGAATGGCAGAGCATCTCCGTTTCGTTCTCGGGCGAGATTAGGGAAAAAAAAAGTATAGAGTCCACCCAAAGCCCGGTTAGCGCACCACACCAAATCGCGTCAGCAACGCAGCTTTGATAAGAGAAGAACCCTTAATCGAAGTCGAACATCTGCTATAATTAAATCCCCTGGGGAAAATGGGGAAATGTAGGTTTCGAGGACAAAGCGCGGGGCAAAGGAGTTGCGAAAGAAAGGTCTGGCAGCTCTGACGTATCCCACGGGGGGCGGGGCTGGACGGATGGGAACTACGGTGATAATCGGAACCTTTTTTGGGCTGACATTGCTTTTTTTGACCTTTTTGACCCGGAGATAACAATATCGAGTGTTCTATAGGGTAGTATTTGAGTATAGAAGAGGGATTTTATATATGTAAGCTTAGTATAAATAATATTCTAGTATACTACGCGATGCAGGTCGCTACCCGTGGGCGAGATGAACATCACGACGAAAGGGATATTCCGAAAAAATGAAGAGTAATGATTGAACAAGTAATAAGATTGATTCATTTACCAGTTCCCAATCTATATGCGAACAAGGCTCCCTATAATACACCCCGAAAATGATAATAGATAAAATAAAATAAAAGAGAATCCATGCGATTCAGAAGTCAGTTGGCCTGGATCTAGATGTTGGGTATTCGTGTCGCGTGGGCCTCCAAGACTTGCCCATCGATGGGTTTTTAGGGGTTCAGGCGAGTAATGGAAGAAAGCGATTCGACCATATGACGCTGAGAAAGCGAAGGCGCGTAGAAAACTGAGAGGAAATGAAATGCGCTCAAGACCTGGAGTTCAGAATCAAACCAACAATCAATCTGGCATGGCCATGTTAGTATCTTATTCAGTTAAACAAAGATAATTCCGTTCAGTCCAACACATACCCATACAAGCCAAGAACTTCACCGAAAATGAGGATCAGGATCATGCCCACATAGACGCGGGACTGTTGCATGTACGCTCGGACACCCTGTGGTCGTTGATTAGCATCGCGCATATCCTATAAGGTGGCAAAAGATAGTCTTACCGCATCACCAACAGTACCAATTGTGTATCCTGCAGCCAAGCCCGTGAGGCCAACTGATAATCCTGCCGCCAGATGCATAATGGATCTGTGTCCATACCGTCAGTTGTCGTTCCCACCAAGTATCATCTTGTCTTGCTTAACATACTCGTATAAACTGCCAAACATCTCGTTGCCTTCTCCCGGTCGAAGTGCTTGTGCGATAAGGACTGCGATAACCAGGCCATAAACTGCAATGATACCGGACATGACGACGGGAATCAGGGACTAGAGATTGAAACAAGTCAGATGGGTGTATTGGATCATTCAGGAGAGGCTGCTTGCCTTCATGATCAAGTCAGGTCGATATGAACCCACACCGGCGATACCGACACCGGCCTTTGCTGTGCCATAAGCTGCTCCTGCGCCTGTTTGGGGGTTAACTGTGAGTCTCCGATCATTTGAGGTTGCCGGTTGGGTCGAGCCACGTACATCCGAAGATCATCTTCGGAGAAGGAGGCGTTAGCGAGGGAGCTTGTTCAGGATCCTGGAGGTCGATTTGAAACTCACTGCAGAAGCAATTCCGGCCTAGTTTCATGAGCAGCTTGTTAGTCTTGATGCACTTGGAGCTCAAAGCTCAAAGCTCCAAGCAGGTTGTGGGTACTCACGAAGGAGAGGAACGGCGCGAACTTGGGCGCAAACTCGCTGGCGGCCATGATGGATGGATTTCGAGGGTCGACTGCCAAAATCAAATAGAAAGGTGCGAGTGCTCAGCTGCGTTGAGACTGAAGGGGGGAGGGGGCAGTGTGATAGAATCTCCGATGGATTGTGTTGGTAGGTCACTTTGGTCCGCCGTAGTCAATCCGCTCTGTAAACTCCCGCTTTCCTCTCCGCGTGACGGAACATGACAGTACCTTACCGTTCCCCAGCTTCATCATTTGCTACCTCCTCATACTTAACGTCTACGACCTGTCGACCTGTCATCTTCAATTTACCTTTTAGGTTTAAGGTTATTGATATTCATAACACTCTACTTATTATTTTCCAGGATCAAGATCAATTGGCTCATTTCAGTTGTCTTAATACGTGTATATAGTTTCAAAGATTACAGCCGGGAATGTTCTTAGTACTATAATACTTCATCCTCGAGGTTAATATCTCGAAATTCCCCCGGGAAGACCGTAAGAAGGCTTTCCTCTGGGGAGTAGGTCCTCAAGTCTTGAAATTTTTAGAAATAGAATCAAAAATCTTCAAAACAAATACTGAGTATTCCCGGCATAGGCGCAAGGGCCTGGAACCTTGTATAAGGGCGGGGGTCATATTCAACGGGATTGAGAGATTGACACAGAGAGGTGGTTGAAAAAGCTATTCTGTGGCTTATACTGCTGAGAGAAATATGACTGAAACAGCTGACTGAATGATATCAAGAAGATATCCACGACAGTCGATCTAGTTAGTATACAGAGAATTCCACTGTGGTTGATCATTTTGCAGCAACGGAGTAACATCCTCCGAGGGTAGGTTGGAAGGCCTCAACACACGGGGGGCAAATGATTACAGGAGTCATCATCAAAGATCATGAAAAAAGAAAAAAGAATATCATTATTGAACTGAGACTTTTTATACAGATTGAAAATAGCGCAAGAAGCAGTTATGCAAAGCCGCGGCATTTTATAGTGGAAAGGTTACGCATACACGCCTGAAGCGCAGTTTTATCTTACACCTTGTCCACCATCTTGAATCAGCCTCACTTGCGACGCCCTGAACGCCTTCTACGACCGACTTGGATACAACCCCCCGCCTCCTCTTTTGGCACCTCCTCCGCATCCCTCATCGCTATCACTGTCGCAGCGAGCTATTCCACGTCGATTCTGAACGATTTAAACGACTTTCGTTTATCTTCGGGGGAACATGGCGGATTTGGGGGGCCAGCGTAACCGGAACTACCGGCCATATGGCGCGGCCTCGTCCACACAACGAGATGCTGCGTATTCCGATATCTTTGGAGGTACACCACCGCCAGGTCGCTCGCAGACCATGACCTCGCAGACTCCCCAACTCCCTCAGGGTCGTGCCCACACCATGTCGTCGCAAGTGGCGCAGCCTCAATTCCATCGGCCGCCGCCCCCGCCAACACGGCAAATGCCCAACGGATATGGACCACCTCCACCCGCACCAGCAAACGGATACTCCCCGGCGCCATCTTCAGGAAGCTATCAAGCTTATAATCCAGGAGCTGCGACGATGTCTTCACAACCACCCCCGCGACCGTACCCGGGCCGCCCCGTGTACCCTCGACCCCATCGCGTTGACTCCAGACCAGGGCCGACCCCCCAGTACCCGGATCCTCGAGATTTCAGTCGCCCAATGCCTCCTCCTGCGTTAAACTCTGATGCGGGACGATCACGGTCGATGGCCAAATTGACCGGGCCATCGTACCCAGCACCCCCCACCCCCAGCAATTTCAACCATACATCGGCGATTGCTTCTCGTCGGGGACCATATCAAGCTGGCGCCCCAACAATGACTCAACTAGGCCGCCCCGTACCGGAAAGGCATGCAAATGAACGTGCCATGTCTATGACTTCCTATGCCTCAGCACCAGATAACGCCCACATCATGAACAGTGGTCGACAGATTCCCCACCGCCGACCGCCATCCGGTCATGAGCAAGCGGTTCCCGCTAGATTCGATTCCATGCCAGCGAATGTTACTGAAGGATTCGTAAATAATAATCGCCCGCCTAGTGATGCTTCATCACGGTCCCGCACAATGTCAATGGCATCAACTGTCATGCCAGATCGCACGATGAGCGTGCAAAGCCAATCAACCCAAGTTTCCAATGGTCAAACCACTTTGGTTTCGAGCAACTCACAGCGTAGGGTGCCTGTGGTTTATCCTGCTCTACTTTCTCGTGTGGCGGATGTTTTCCGCGAGAAGGTCACGTTGGGCGAACGCCAAAAGAACGCTCTTTCTTACCAGAACGCCTTCTCTGGTACTGATGCCGTGGACCTGATTGGCAATATCATTCGGACAAACGATCGGAACCTTGCTCTTCTTTTAGGCCGAGCGCTGGATGCTCAGAAATTCTTCCACGACGTCACATATGATCATCGCCTTCGAGATGCGCCGGGTGAGGTGTATCAATTCAAGGAGACCATGGGAGAAGAGACAATGAACTCGGAAGTGAATGGTGTTTTCACGCTCCTAACCGAGTGTTATTCCCCTACGTGTAATAGAGACACTCTTTGCTACTCAATTGCCTGTCCCCGACGATTGGAACAGCAAGCCAGGTTGAACCTGAAGCCTCAGCCGGTACTGAGAACTTCGGGCAGCAAGGGTAGCCTGCACATTGACGACGATGAAGATAATGATAACCAAAAGCTCTGGATCAACATGGTTCCGAAGGAAGTTTCCGATGCCATCGATGATCGCGAGAAGAAACGACAAGAGATTATCTTTGAAATCATGTATACTGAACGCGATTTCGTCAAGGATCTGGAATACCTACGAGATTTCTGGATGCGTCCGCTGCGTGCTGCCGGCCCCAATCAAGTTTCCCCCATCCCAGAACACCGACGCGAAAAATTTATCCGAACTGTGTTTGGAAACTGCTTGGAGGTGCTGAAGGTCAATGGTGGCCTCTGTGAGGCACTGAACACACGGCAAAAAGAAAGTCAAGTTGTGCAGACCGTGGGTGATATTTTCCTTCAACATGTACCACGATTTGATCCTTTTATCAAGTATGGTGCCAACCAACTTTACGGAAAGTACGAGTTCGAAAAGGAGAAAGCGTCAAACCAGTCTTTTAGCAAATTTGTGGACGATACAGAGCGTTTAAAGGAGTCTCGAAAGCTGGAGCTGAATGGTTACCTAACTAAGCCTACAACTCGTTTGGCCCGGTACCCACTTCTTCTCGAATCAGTCCTGAAGCATACTGCAGACGATAATCCGGATAAAAAGACTATCCCTGAAGCTGTGAAGATGATCAAGAGCTTCTTGTCTCGTGTCAATACCGAAAGTGGAAAGGCTGAGAACCACTTCAACTTGGTTCAGTTGAATGCTGCTCTGAAGTTTTCACCTGGCGATTATGTTGACTTGAAACTTACCGAGGAAAACCGACAAATGCTCTCGAAAATGGCCTTTAAGAAGACGACTGCGGATAGTTCCGAAGTCACAGCGTATCTATTTGACCACGCCGTGCTTCTTGTCCGTATCAAAATAGTGAACAAGCGTGAAGAATACCGAGTTTACAAGAAACCCATTCCTCTTGAGCTTTTGGTGATTGTGCAGATGGATGAAGTGATTCCGCGGCTGGGGATTTCCAAGCGACCGTCCTCCAGTCTTCTGTCCAACAAAGCTGCACCAAATCCTCCTCCAGCCAAAGACGGCGGCTTGCCGATTACATTCAGACATCTTGGCAAAGGAGGATACGAACAGACCCTCTATGCCACTTCTCCTACGCAGAGACGAAAGTTCATGGAAATGGTTGAAGAGCAACAACGGAAGCTGTGGGAACGAAACAGTAACTTTTACAACAAGACGGTTCTTTCGGAGAACTTCTTCTCTGCTGTCAACCGTGTCAATTGTCTTGTCCCAGTTGGTAAGACAACTTTTGACATTTGCAGTTCTTCGGATTTACTAACGCTTCGATAGATGGAGGTAGGAAATTGGTTTACGGCACGGACAGCGGCATCTATCTCTCTGAGCGATGGCCAAAAGAGAAGACAGCCAAGCCACGTCGTGTTCTGGAGGCCAGTCAGGTCACCCAAATCGACACCCTGGAAGAGTACCAATTGCTCTTGGTATTGGCCAATAAAACATTGACATCTTACCCAATGGAGGCCCTTGAGCTAGGAGAGAGTCAAAACGCCCTGGCTAAACGTCCAAAGAAAATTCAAGGTCATGCAAACTTCTTCAAGGCGGGTATCGGTCTTGGGCGACATCTCGTATGCTCAGTAAAGACATCAGCTTTGTCTAGTACTATCAAGGTTTACGAGCCGATGGATAATCTGGCTAAGGGAAAGAAGAAGTCCGCTGTCAGCAAGATGTTCCAGAGTGGTCAAGACACTTTAAAACCATTCAAAGAATACTATATTCCAGCCGAATCTTCATCAATCCACTTCTTGCGATCAACATTATGTGTCGGCTGTGCTCGTGGCTTTGAGGTTGTCAGTCTGGAAACTACAGAGACTCAGTCTCTCTTGGACCAAGCTGATACATCTCTTGATTTCGTCGCACGCAAGGAAAATGTCAAACCCATTCACATTGAGCGGATGAATGGCGAATTCCTTCTTAATTATAGCGATTTCTCATTCTTTGTTAACCGCAATGGTTGGCGAGCTCGTCCTGACTGGAGGATCTCATGGGAGGGCAACCCGAATGCTTTCGCACTGTCTTACCCGTACATTTTGGCATTTGAGCCTAACTTTGTTGAGATTCGACACGTTGAAACAAGTGAACTGACTCACATTATGACTGGAAGAAATATCCGCATGCTGCATTCTTCTACTCGAGAGGTATGTTATCTCAAGCTTTGGTGACATGAAATATTAAATGACTAACATGATCAATTAGATTATCTACGCTTACGAGGACGAGAAGGGTGAGGATGTGGTTGCAAGTTTGGACTTCTGGAGCAAGCCTCAGCAATAGAACGTGCAACCTTTCGACGGGTACATGACCTGCGAATGCACACCCATTCCTCCAGCCCGAGCCCCTAGTGCCGTTCCTTGATCATTGAAGGAATTTCTGCTTGGGGTATTCAAGTCGTCAATGACTTGTTCGAGTTGATATTTAATAAGGGACCGAATACGGTTGTAATTCAACAGCCCACCAACATTGTTTAGTTTGCCCCGAGCAAAAATATTTGACGTCCCAAAACCGCCTCTGCTGGATTATCTTTCCTCTGCCATACCTCCAACGAATTTTTAACGAGTGCCTCCTGTCGGTATACTTCACTGCATACCAGGCAAAGCCTTGCTAAACCTCCGCTTGATACCACTTCATCTCTCTCCCGCCACCATCACTTCCTCTTCGTCCTTCCTCAAGATACCTATGCAAAGGATATTTCTTGTCTCGTTTCTATGTGTACAATGGAGCGCAAATACCACTTCTTGCGTGTCTGCTTTTCGCTCCTGCCGTTTTCCTCTTCATTTTTCTCTATCTTCTGCATGTTTCTTGTTTAATCCTTTCTTAAAATTTTATTGACTTCTTATCAACATTTCCCCATTTCTTCCTGTTTCTTTTTTCTTCTTCTTTTTGCCTCTCGCATGGCCTGCGAAGCGATGACCATGTCCCCATTTTCTGCCTCGTCTTTTCAACTCTTCTTTTTTTGTATCGTTGACTTCGAGGTGTCTCGTGCTTCCAACAATGGCATTGATGTGGAACGCTAGTTTGGTACTACATAATCATGACCTGAGGATTATATTATATCATTCTTATCTATTGTAGAGTATGGGTATGCATATATGTCATAACTTGCACTCTGGAGCCTGAGATCGAGCCTGAAGCCCTGGAGTCACCGGGCAGTCTCGCTTCTAATCTTGAAAGGTGCTTTTAACTTCTTCCCATGTTTCCTATTAGCCCTGGAGCCCTGGAGGTAATCCACGGCCCCGGGTGTTCTGAGGTTATGTCCTAATCCTAACCCTGACCCTTTGAATCCTAGGTACTACTAGTACATGCCCCGCGGAGCACCTACTTTGGAATAAGACCCACGATTTTTGACAAGTGACACAGTGTTTCTACGTAAAATTCTCAACTTTTCTTAGTAGGCTGTTGTTAGACTGTTATACTATAAGAGTTGAATTGGATACTGTAGTGTCTAGGTACTAGGTAGTAGTAGATCAGAGGTATATTATAGTAACAAAATACCAAAACAAATACTAGTGCCTAGAAGATACCTATACGATGTCCTTCAGGGAGGTTATATCGCATTAAAATCCCCTGACTCCTACTGCCTATGAACATCTTGCAAGAACGCGGTACGCTCCGATTAAATTCAAATTGTCCAACCTGCATTATAAAATCTTGGAATAGTTGGCAATCAGCCTTCGTGGCTTTCCTTCACTTTCTTTTCTTCGCTCACCCACTATATATCTTCACATATGGATATAAAATTTGAATATCCCCAAGCTTGAATATTCCACTTATTCTATCAGGAGTTATAGTTTGTGATCTCGAACATTTGAATCTCGCAAGTATTTTCGTACCGAAAATTTGGACTATGAAGACCTCGGGAGAGTGCTTGTGACCGTCCTTAGGCTTGGAAGCGCGATCGACTTATTGGCGAGGCTCTTTTCCTGCTCATGTTCCCGAGGTCTCGATACTACTCCTCCTCCTATTCCCAGTCGCGGCACTGCTCCTGCTCCTGGCACCGTGACTGAGATAGCTCCTGTCTGGGTAAACTTTGAACACGAGGCAACGCACCTTGAGATACCCTCGAGTGCCTTGGACCCAAGATCTTGTCTTCTGACATCTCCTCTCGCTATATATTATCTTGCCACACCCCATCCTCCTACACTCTGCAAGAAACTACTACGGATGCTGCTAGGAGTCACCCTACGGACTTCTTGAATTTGCCCTGAAAGATGCGCTAGATCGTATACGACAAATGTCTTCCCGAAGGCCTCGTTATTAATATAAGAGAGTGATGACCAGAGCTTTCCAAACCTTCAAAATTTCCTTCCGCTATAAATATCAATCGATCCTTCGCTTGTAAAAAGTTACCAGACAGTCCTCTAGACACTAGTATATGTTAGGTACCCTTTCAAATATGCGACCCCTCCTAAGGGCAGCGAAGGGCTTGCCAACGAAGAAGTGCCGGTGGGAACCAGTGTAATCTCTGTACCGGGCTGTCTTGAAGGGGTTCAACTGGCTTTTGATTTTGGTTTTTGAAAGATAGGGAATACCTAGGTAACTCGTTATGTAAACTCCTGATATGTTTAGGTGGTATCGTCTGCTGGTGTCTACTAGTAGAGTTTGGATGGCCCAACTGCAACTTCTATGCAAGCGCCGATTGCGCTGCGTCATCCATTATTATGTACTAGAATTGCAGGGCTTTGACCTCGAGAGTACCTGGTCCATTGTCGGGCGTGCTTACCCATGGACGTCCCTGCCGGAGCACATACTGTCTAGTAGACACTCGTAACCTTGGAACTGATCCATGGATATTATGTATATCTACATCTTACAGGAAATGCACAAAGTGACAGTTACAGAAGCAGCAAGCTCGGGATACTTTTCGTCCTCATTCACCCACCACTAAGCGATTAAAATAGCAGATAAAAAGGAGTAGAAGGGAAGCAAAAAAACAAGAAACACAGGGTAAGGGAATCTTGCTGCGCTGCGGACTTTAGACAAGGTGCCAGGGGCGATGATAAATAAAACAGGAAGAGAGGAGCCCCAAGGGGTAGGAGCCAGATTTGGAGAGCAAAAAAAGGGGAAGGTAGGATAGCAGAAATGGGAACTCCATGTAGCAAAGTTGATGGGTTAAAGCAAACGGAAACAGGGGAAGGAAAGGACAGTGCTTGTTTCTCTTGTCTTCGAGATGTTCGGTTGTGGAAATGGTGAATACCCGTCCTGAATGTGCGCAAATGGAATCGTCGTTTGATTATATCTCAGGAATCGCTGAGTTGAATTTTCAGGGCCTGAAAGGTAGTGTCCATTGTCGAAAGCTGTAGAGTTGTGTTCTATGTTGGGATATTATCCATCTCCGTAGGGAAATCAAGGAGAGAAGAAGAAAGAAGTAGAAGAAAAGAAAAGAAAAAAGCTATTAACGTGAATAAACAGTCAATATTATCCCCATAAACAAAAACCAACTTCGTGCCACGAAGTCCATGATTTTGGCACAAACGGTATCACATTGCGAACCGGCGCCCCGCTGAAAAAGCCGCATCGTCGGCAGGGTATATCTAGGCCTCTCCATTGGCTGCTTCGCTGACATTGCTCTGGCTTGCCTCGCGTGCCATGCGAGCCTCGATCTCCCGTAGCTGGCTCTCGCGAGCCAGCAACTCCTGTCGCTTCTCGGCAATCTCGCGTTGCACCTTGATTTCGATCTCGCGCAGCTTCTCCTCCTCGCGACGGAGCTGCTCCTCCTTGAGACGGACGGATTGAGAGGCAAGGTCCTCGGGGTTCATGGAAGAATCGTGAGTTCTGTGATATAGTTAGTAAAAGTGTCCGTAAGTGAGCGAGTACAAAAAAAATGTAGACATACGAGTTAACACCGTCCACGCTCTTGCTAAGCTTCTCTGTACGGTAGTTTTCGTATAGGAAATCGTGGGTAATCTCCTTCAGATCCGCCAGATGGCTGTGAAGAAGAGCGCTACGGATAGCAAGGAAATCCGAGTGCCGAGGGTTCTCGACCTCAACCACACCCCATGGGTACTGTCGGGCGCGAACCTTGCGGTTATCAATCTCAACGAAATCCTCCGAACCGACAATGGCGAAAGGCATCAGGCCACGGAGCTCAGCATTTTCTTCAACGGTATCCTCATCATCCTCCTCGACATCATAGGGGAAGTTGTATACGGGGATGCGGTAGTGCTCAATATCCTCCATGATCAACTTCTTTGACTCGGCCAATTCAGCGGGGGTAAGGGAGTCGGCCTTTCCAATAACGGGAATAACGTTAACACGGGGGGAGAGGCGCTTCATCAATTCGATGTCGAGCTCGCGAAGACCGTGTCCGGTGGGGGTAATGAAATACAACAGGACGTGCACACGGTTATCTCTGAAACGGGGGTTACGCTTGATACGTGATTCCTCTGCAAGAATATCATCATATTGGCGCTCGAGGTAGCCGACAATCTCGCCGAAGCTGTAGAAGCCAGTTAGCGGGGTCAATGATCGGGGGGCAAGATTCAGGAGACATACCTGGCCTCGTTGTCAATCTGGTCACCGAAACCGGGAGTATCAACAATAGTCAAAGAAATGCGAGTACCCTCCTCGTCTAATTCAAGCTCTGTGATATTGGGGAGATAAAATTAGTCGTCCGCAAATCCTCTGAAGTCAGACGATCCTGGTGATCCACTTACCGACAGTGACGGGCTTGATACGGACACCCTCTTCCAAGTGAGCGTTCTCTGCATCATCGGCATCCTTGCCCTCCAGAACTTGCTTTCCGCAAAGAGTGTTGACGAAAGTTGTGCGACCTGATAGGGGTTATGGTCAGCGGACAATGGTGTAAGATTCCAATCCAGATCGCGAGCATACCAGTTCCGCTAGCACCGCAGACCATCAAACAGAACTGAATTCCCTTCTTGACATTCTTCTTGCGACGAATCTTGATCTGCCCACGGCGGGGACTTGAGTTAGCTTCAAATCCTATACAACAATTTTTTTTTCGGGGGTGGAGAGGTATGGGGACCTCCCCGTTTGGACTCGGGGGTTCACGAGAAATAAAAGGGGAAAACACATACCGCATTGAGAGCCGACGACATTGTGGGCTAAAGTGGTACAGAACAAGAAGCAGAAAAGAAACAAAAAGGATGAGAGGGGGTATCCAAAGCAAGGAAGAGAAGTAAAGGGAAAGGGTGAAACTCTCCTGAAGTTCTGGGTGATTAAGTCGTAGGGGGGGAAGGAAAGACAGTTCGTGTTTCCCCCTTTCCCTTTGGCTTCGGGCCAATCACGGGACGTTCTGTTTCTCCAGTTTGTAGTTCCCTTTGAAGGTCCCCTATATAAAGCTATAGTAGTTATATTACCATTTCTATTCGACTTTCCATTGTTACTTAAATATAAGAGAAGCTCAGAAGCTTCAGTCGATATCAATTCTATTCTTCCAATTGAAACCTTCCACTTTTCTCCATATTTGTATCTCCCCCTCAGCAATATCAACACTCAGGGGTTAAACTAGTCGCGGTGGGTCGCTCCTGGCCGCCGGAGCATTACCTAATCATAATCACTGCCTGAGGTGTCGATAGTTCCCATTTTTGGGAATTATCATTTGGGGCGATAAAGATGGAGCTGCCCGCATCTCGCCTTATCGCTGATCCGCACTCGAGCTTTCCCCCCCATTTATGCTACTGTGCTTGAGTTCCTTTACTTTTCCACAACCACCTTCGGCCTGAACTGCATCAGACAGCACAGGGATGAATAGAAAATCCTTTCTAGTCCCTGTGTTGCGACAATGAACACCCGTCAAGTCATTGATGTGTCTGTTGGACCCTATTCGTTATCAGCAACCTTCAACCATGACACCAGTTGCTTCTCGGTGGGCCTGGAAACTGGTTTCTGTGGTAAGATATACATTTGTTCAAAGCTTGCGGGGGCTATACAGGGCTATACAGAGCTCAATCAATCAATAAACCACATAACTCTGGAGCTCAGTGCTAACAACCACCCTCTAGTCTTCAACGCCGATCCTTGTGAGCTTAAAGTCTCCCGAGGTGAGTTTACCCCGGCATACAGTTAAACATTTCGATGCTTATATTTATCTATCTTAGACTTCAATGCGGGTATTGGTCTGGCCGAACTGCTAGGCCAGACAAACTACCTAGCTATCGTCGGTGGCGGGCGAACCCCGAAATTTCCTCAGAACAAAGTGAGTTGGTGGATGGTTGGCCTGCTTCTCAGTCTATATACTCATTCTGGCATATAATAAAGCTTGTGATTTGGGATGACGACAAACAAAAACCAGCTATCACACTCGAGTTCCTTACCTCTGTGCTTGGTGTGCGTCTTTCCAAGTCCCGAATCGTCGCCGCACTATTCAACAAAATCCATGTTTTTTCCTTTTCGGCTCCTCCCCAGAAGCTAGCGGTATATGACACATCTGACAACCCACTGGGCCTCGCATGTCTGAGCCAAAAGTCGCTAGCCTTCCCGGGTCGATCTAAAGGACAAGTACAAATGATAGAACTAGAGACGGGGGTTATCAGTATCATTCCAGCTCATAGTTCCTCATTGCGGGCAATGGCACTGAGTCCGGATGGTGAGATGCTGGCTACGGCCAGTGAAGCTGTATGTAGTCTCATTTTTAACTGTGGTTTTCTTCTACTGGCGATTGTAATGCTAACTTTCGAAAGGGTACTTTGATTCGCATATTCTCAACAGCAAACTGTACAAAATTGGCAGAGCTACGTCGAGGAGTAGATCCTGCAGTGATATTCTCTTTATCATTTTCACCTTCAAATACCCTCCTTGCAGTCACCTCGGACAAATCTACATTGCATATCTTCGATGTCTCCCACCCGAGTCAGGTTACACGTCGCAGTCAGTCGCCGGCGTCTGGGACAGAAGAGGGTACGAAGCAAAAATGGGGATTCCTTGGGAAATTACCCCTTCTTCCACGAGTATTCTCCGACGTATACTCGTTTGCCAGCGCACATTTTGAGATGGGCGATGAAGCTGTTCCGGGATCACCATTGACGCCTTCATCTGGCTCATCGCTAGGCATACCTCGTAAAGGTGTCATAGGCTGGAAGGATGACGAAACCCTCTTAGTGGTCGGATCAGGCAGAGAAGGCCGCTGGGAGAAGTTTGTACTCCGAAATGGTGATGACGGGAAGCGATATTGTCTCCGGGATGGATGGAAACGATATCTTGGTGGTGGTTGAAAATGGTATTAATATGGCCATTATGGATCCATATTTGGGTTGAACAATTGTAAATTGTAAATAGATGATTCCCTAATACGACAAATGCCAATCCATATTTTCTTAAGAATCAACAGAAACCGAGTGTGATTGTACTTGGTATCTTTCAACGACGGCGATCGTCACGATCTCGATTACTTCGTTCATGCCGATGTCTCCGTGATTCGGGTGAGCGTGATCGCTTTGGCATCCGATCTCTTCCAGATCTTTCCTCTCTGTCGGTTGAGCGACGTCGCGATGTCTTTTCTCGAGCCGGTGAGCGATCATCTCTATGTCTGCGTTCGCGTTCGCGTTCACGAGATCGATGGCGACGAATATGTCGGCTAGATCTGTCTCTGCTGTCATCTCGCCGGCGAGATGTCTTCTTTTCGCTGCTCTTATATCTTTCAACAGCAAGGGCAACCTCTTCTTTCTTTTCTTCGATCAAGAACTCCTTCATTGGGTCCTCGTCATCATGATTCTGGATCAGTGTCTGTAGCTCTTTCTCTTCCTTCAACATGGGTCGACTCTCTTCGCGATCTGCGCCGCTGTCCCTTCTCCGTCGACTGTGTCGATCGCTCTTCTCTCCCTTGGTTTCTGTGATCTCAGCGTCACCCATCAACCTTGCGACATTATTCCCCTCCTCTTCGTCATCACGTCGCTTGTATCGGGTATGGTCTACACGAAGCATGCGACCTAGGACTGTTGCGCCGCCAAGATTGTCCACCGCGAGGTCGGTACTGCGCTGGTCTTCATACTTGAGAAATGCGAAACCTTTGCTCTTGCCCGTTTCCTTGTCGCGGACTAGGTTGACATGCACAGGCTCTCCATATTGAGAGAAAATAGTCACGATATCACCCTCCGAAAGATCGAACGGAAGTCCGCCAATGTAGATATATGCGGTGTCGCGGTAGTCCGCATGCCATGAGGCCTCTGGTGGTCTAGACAAAAGGAAATTAGCTTGAGAACCTCAAAATGACGGAGCTACCGAAAGATAAATTGCTTATCCACTTACATAGCATGCTCAAGCTCACGCTTATTGAGGTCCTGTACCTGACGAATGGAATTCATAATGGGGGATGGTGGTCAAAGTCCGGGGACCAAAAAAGAAAGAGAGAAAGAGAACCTTAAGCTTTGCGAGGAGAAACCTGGGAAAGGTGGATACCGGAGCATCTGCGGAACCGTAAAATCGCCAATTGTTTACTCAACCCGTTGAAAAGAAACTCCCTGCTCCTCCACCTGGCCTGACGACTTGACTCGCGAGGAAAAAAAAGTATATTCGGTTTTCTATTACGCGCTATTGAGTTTGCTCGCAACCAGGCAGATCACATCCTGGGCGCAGCGAAATTCAAATCTTGCATAGATTTGCATCCCCACCTCCAGATTCCCCTGACCGCGTTCTGCTTCACTCTCCCCTCCGCACCTACCAACCACGACTACACGCCCTGTCGGCACCCACAATTTTTGTCAGTTGGAATGGTACATGCCCTCTGAGTCATGGTATGACCAGAACAGACAATGTCCTCCAGTCCAAATCCCGGGTCGAAAGCCACCGGCTCGAATAGTCGGCCTTCTAGCAAGGATGGCTCAAAGAAGAACATTTGGTCTTCACTGCTAGATAGTGTCGCCAATGGAAAGCGCCTGCCCGAAAAGAACTTGTTGATATTGGGTACGTTATAAGACTGGATATCTGATATGCGGGCGAGCCAGAAGGATTTCTGTCCAAAGCTTAGGTCGCCGCATGCTTCCCAACATAAAATGCTAATTGATATGCGATGATCAGGAGGCACACCCGAGAGCCAGAGAGAATTTCTTGAGACTTTCTCGGCAGACACATCCGCGGATCCAAATTTAGTGAATGATAAACGAAAGGGGAAGACACCGCCAATCGCCAACCAATTTGCGCTGGGTTACACATATCGAGATGTTCTTGATGCCGACCAAGAAGGTACGTTGACCAGATAGTCGACTTTTGATTCTTCAAAGCTAGTGTGGCTAATTACGTTGCTTTGAAGATACACTGGCGCGTGTGTCAGCCTACCTCTTGTCCGAACCTTCTCCGTCATTTGCACCTCTCCTCAAACCTCTTCTGACCCCCCAATCCGTACCGGAAACACTCGTCGTCATTCTGATGGACTGGTCTGATCCATGGACGTGGATTCGCAGGCTACGAGAGTGGATCCGTCTCCTTCGCTCTGTTCTCGTTTCTCTCGACGATGATACAAAGATGGTTATGGAGGAAACCATGACAGAATGGCGCGATCGTAAAAGGGGAATAGATACTAATGCTGGAGCTTCTGGAAACTTGCCAAATTCCGGAGGACCAGTAACAATACCGCTGGGGCCCGGTGAATGGGACGAAGGATTGGGTATCCCCATGTGTGTTGTTTGCCAAGGAGTACGTGGACTCAGACCGTGAGCTTTATGGAAATCTAAGAATGCCCGACTGATCAAATTGAACTTTTATAGGCTGATAAGATTGAGAAACTGGAGAAGGACCATGGGTGGCACGAAGAACAGTTCGACTTCATTCTTCAGTTCCTGAGAACAATCTTGCTAAAGCGTGAGGATCTCCCAGTCTTGATTTCTACTCCTTTGGTTTCTTTCTTCTTTCATAGATCGAATCTTCTGACCCTAATACAGATGGCGCCTCCCTCATTTATACTACACCTTTCCTTGCCAACTCTCTCCAGAGCTTGATCCACTCCTCTCTGGGTATACATTCTCTTTTGAAACGACAGTCATTAAAACATAATGTGATCGACCGAGACAAGATTATCGTCCCTACGAACTGGGACTCGTGGGGCAAGATCCGGATTATTCGCGAAGGATTCGACATGGAAGGCGTATCAACTGCCTGGTCGATCGAAATCCAAGACCCTCCAGAGCCACTTGATCAACCCACTCAACCTGAACAAGATAACGAACACGAGGAAGACGGTACAAGTGCAGTCACAGTATTTGAGCAGACGATCCAAGACCCGAAACGTGACACGACAATTGCTCACCCAAGTACGACCAAGAACGCGAACAAGATCGAGGTCGAAGCATCCGATCTGCAAGGGTTCCTTACTCAGCAGCTCGAAACCCTTGAACAGCTCAAAGTTAAAGATGAGAAGGATCGAGCGAACGAGCCGGTCCCTTCGTTGGAGATGTCTCCAATGGACGACGAAGGCCGAGTCAATGAGCACATCGGTCCTGTCCAATTTAACATGGGTGGTATTCAAGTTGATGCGGACGACATGCTGAAGAAGCTAAGGGTGAGTTTATACGTTATCAATCCCTTCTATCTTCTCTCATGAGATAAATATTTATTAATGTGTATGCAGGATCGCGAAGCCAGTCGAGCCCAACGCAAAGAAGGCACTCCAACCGCAACTCCAGTGGACGAGAAAGCTCACAACAAAGCCCTGGCAAGCTTCTTCGCCGGCCTGGTAAAGAAACCCAACAGCAGCCCCCGTGGAAGTCCATCCTCATAATTTCTTTTACTTTCCTTCATCGTGTCCTATGTCTCCTCGATATTCCCGGAATGTATTTTAGTTCCCTAAGCGTAAATATTGTGTGTGGAGTGGTGGTGGATCAGTCGTGCAGGCCGTGAATCATTCAGTATAGAAAGTCGATTCGAGTTTGTGGTAATCGGGCCTGTACATAGTTTTCTTTTTCTAGGAGCTTCCAACGGCTTTCTGCGGGGTGTTAGATAATGATACCAATATGAGATCTTGTTTCTACTTAATCTAGTTTAGTCATGGATGCCTGAGGTATTTTGCTCTTATTCTGATTGATACACAACAACATGTCAAGAATTGAAAATACTGAAAGAGTGCGATCTGAAACCCATTAATCGCCGGATATTGATATACCGCATAGTCAAAGGTCGAAGAACCGAGTCTCACATTCGACCCAGGCATATTTACCAGTTCTCCCACACAGCATCTGGAAGAACCTTTCTCATGATTTCCCAGTGCTCCAACGCAGCACGATCCTGGAACTTATGCAAGCGACCAAGTTCCTTTTCAACAAGAACCCGTCTTCCAGCAGGGGGGATAGTCGAGAACATAGACGCATCCATCTCATTCTTCGGAACCATATACGATTCACGCGACTTGCTACCGAGGTAATCAGCCTGTGTCGGCTCTCGGAAAGTGATTGTAGAGCCAGTAGTCTTCTTGCAGAAGAGAACCATGTTAGTGAAGTCTGAGTTGTCGTTATTATTGGCTTCAGTTTCACGGAACATGCGACAGGATGGGAAGACTGCTTGAATGGTGCGGGCAATAAGACCGGTAGGGTAAAGTGTGATGTCGCTAGCGTAGTTCTAATTGAATTGGGTTAGTAAGGGCTCGACTTTGAGAACTGTATTGATGGGGGATCTGTGTTAAAGAACTTACGATAGCGATGACACCATCGTCTTTGAGAAGGTTGCTTAAGCCCTTCAGGAACTCGATGGTAAAAAGCTCAATCGGTTCCGCGCCACCGGTGAAAACATCATGGACGATGTAGTCGTACTTGGGCCAAGCAGCTTTCTGTGCCTTCTTTACGAAGTGGGTTGCGTCTTCTATGGCAGCGATGTGGTTGGATGGCAAGTTGAAGTACTGAGTTGCGAACTTATGGACGACAGGGTCGAGTTCGACGATGGTGGTCTCAATGCCATGCTTAATCAAAGCAGCCGGGGTGGTGCCGATACCAAGACCACTGTTCTATATTAGTTACCAGAAATGGCGAAGGCAGTTGCTGAGACTTACATTACTAGTGCCTTACTATCTGCATCCACGCGATGAACCCCATTATCTGGCTCTACTAGACGGACAGCTTCAAGCATGGCGAAGACAGCATAGATGGGGTCCTCCACCTTGGGATGGTAGCCCGGTGTTGACTTGGTCCATTGCCCACCAAGCAGACTGTGGTCACAACGCAGAACGCGGAAACCTTCCTCGTTGTTCTCCAAAACTGAAATATATCCAGTGTAGGACTCCTGGCGGGCCAAGAGAGAGTATCCCTCGTGCTGAAGGGCAGAGTTTGCAGCACCAATACCGCCCAAGTGAACGTCGGAAGTGACAGTGAAGAGCAACGATGGAATTGCCAGAAGCAGCAGCTTGGTCCGAGGAACAACTACGGCGTAAAGGATGGCAATGACGAACTGCAGTCCAGCCCGCGAGAAGACGAAGGTGAAACCAATGGCATAAGACAAGATAGCCCGTGCAATATGCTCCCCCAAAGAATAGATGGCATAGGTGCTCAGCATAGGCACATGGTCAGCAAGGATCTCTCCCTGCCCCTCGAGGTGCAAAGCAGATTGGATCTGCTTACCCGCAATGGCCACGGTCAACAAAACCAGAGGGTAGTAACCAAACAGCTCTGTGATAACAGGTCCAGCGGGGTTCCCCAGCTTAGAGCTCTGCTGCATCAGAAAGTACTGCAAAGTAGGAGTCCAGAAGGCCAGAACAGGAAGAATGTAAGCAGCAGTCCGACCAATGCGCCTCTGGATATGGTCCTTTAAGAACCATCCGGCTCCCCCGGAAATGGCCACTCCATAAACGTGGAAGATATGGGCCGGCAAGGAGCCATAAACAGGGGATAGCACCAGCCCCATAACAGGAGAGTATGCCGCGGCGAGGAATAGCAATGCCACTCCGGTGCCGAAGCGGTAGGCATCAATCTGCCGAACGAATTGCTCGACTGACATGATTGCCAAGCTATCTGACCTTGGGTGATGCAGCTAAGGTGCGGAAACAGTCCAAGATGTTTGTTCTGCGGGGGATGGAATTAGCCACATGTACCAAGCCGCTCATATTCATGGAAATGAAACGAAACATCACACCGTTTAAAACGAAAGCTCATCAAAACGAGCGAAATAATAACTTACATACTCAGATTGCCGACATATCAATTCTGCGGGAGAAAAAAAGGGAAGCTGCGGAGTGGCAGAAAGTCTACATGCTTTTGCCGCTCACTTCCGCGTTCCAAACCCTCCAACTTCATCTCCCCCAAACATAGCTGAAACAGGCCAAGATGCCACATTTCCCAATGAACACCGGATTCGAGCTGAACGAGGACACACCTTCGAACGCGAAGAACTCTTTCATCCAAATAAAAAACCGCCGAAAGCGGTACCTGGATCTCCATCCAGAATATTTCTCGGCGGAGCTCGAGCTAGCCGGTCCGCTTGCTCTTCTTTCCTTATTGCCAACACAGGCACTAGTGGCTTCGAGAACCACAGCAGCGAAATGATAACTTACAAGCTAACCCGTTCCAATTTACATATCTAGACCCATTGCTGTACGATCGTCTTATCCGCCGATTTCAAACAACGCAGGAACGGGAAGCGCAAGGGCGCGAGAAGGGATTCTCCGGTGTTTTGCAGGCGGACTTGCTACGCTCTGAGGCTAAGATGGATGCGCTGGCACATCCGGATCCGAGTGCTATGATGAGCTATACTCGTGGTCCGAATGGTGAGATTCTTGCTGAAGACCGAGATGATATACCTGCGAGCAAAGAGGAGGGTGAGAAGCAGTGGCAATGGGAGATGGGATTGCGCTTTATGAGAGGCGATGACCCTGATTTCGATTATGCGACTGTTGACACAAATGAGGATTACGACGACTTGTCTGAGCAGCAAGATGAGTATTTCGAGGATGAGGAGCCTGAGTGGGAGGTTGATGGCCTTCGGGGTGAGGATGCGAGGGCGCAACTTCAAGGTGAGACTGGAATTCAGGATTTTTAAAGAAAAGGTCATTGTGTACTTGTACCTCTATTGGATTCCTAGCCTACACTGTCCTCCTTTATTTGGAGACTCCCCAAAGCCCTTTCGGCCTCTCTTCGAAATTACTCTTCAAAAAGTCGGGCTTGATGAGATCGATCTGTCATTTCTCCATCGCCGGAGAATGAATTTTGAGAATTAAGCTGAATTCACAGCTTCTGAAAAATGCCTGTGAAGATGGTCATTGGCTCGTTTTGTCCCAACCAGAGAGATAGGCCCTGGCACCTGGACCGCGAGCTTTGAAACTGGGCCGCGAGCACGGAGACCTGCACTTGATCAGACCCGTGAAATATTATTCTCACATTTCATTGGTTTGAAAAAAAAGAATATGGCTTCCGTTTCTTGGATGACCTGGCAGAAATCGAGCATCTCTATATGAGGGCCACATGAATCTGTTGAAGATGTTCATATTGAAGTTGTTTGTCTGACTATGTACATAGTGGTATCTATAATAATTTGAAAGCGCTTCAAAATCAGAGCTCTTGCGAACCCTTTTATACGAAATTATGCAATCCCACATTTCACAGCGCTCTTAAACCTTGGAGGAAATTCTAACATCTTCAGCTAAAAGCTGTATAGCCTGCTCTTTGAGTTTAAACTTCTGGATCTTTCCACTGGCCGTCTTCGGGAAGGGATCTGATGTCTCAAGGAAGAAGACATATTGAGGAACTAACCCAGTATATCAGCATAAACTTGCCTTAGTACTGGGGAGGATCATTGATATGGCTTACCAAGATGATTGCTCAGCTTCTCCCGTGTCCATTCCTGAAGCTCCTCCTTGGTAACAGATCCAGGTCCATGTTCTCGAGCAATGACAAAAGCAGCGACGACTTCGCCGTATCTCTGATCTGGGACGCCTACAACAGACGCTTCGCCGACACCTGGATGCGCTAACAGACAATTCTCAATCTCCAGAGGATGGATATTCTCCCCTCCTCGAATTATCAAGTCCTTGATGCGTCCAGTGATGGTGATATATCCATCTGGTGACATTGAAGCCTCGTCTCCAGTCTACGACACCGCCAGCTATCAGCTTCATTTCGTGAGTCCATAGTCTCCAAATATCAACTTACATGCATCCAAATCTTTCCGGTATTATCTGCGAACATCTCTTTCGCTGTTCTCTCGGGATCACCCCAGTACCCCTTCATGAGTAGATACCCACTGACAGCCAATTCACCGCGTGCTTCAATAGGAAGAACCTCGTTTCTGTTCTCTGGATTCACAACTTTAGCTTCGACATGTGGCATAAGTCTCCCAACGGTATGAATGCGCTTCTCAATAGGGTCATCGGTGGTAGTCATCGCCGAGACGGGACTTGTCTCAGTCATGCCGTAGCAAATGGTCAGCTCAGTTAGGTTCAGCACCCTATGCAGCTTCTTCATCAGCTCTGCAGGAATGCTGCTACCCGCAGCAATTCCTGTTCGTAGATACTGGAAGCCGTCGCCTGAAATCTCTCCCGACTCGATAAGGCCAAGCTCTTCCAGGAACATCGTTGGGACTCCGTAAAGCCCCGTACACCTTTCTTCTTGAACTGCCCTCAGTGCTGCGCGGGCATTGAAAGATTCTGTTGGGAACACGATGGCAGAGCCATGAGTGGCAGTCGCCATATATCCGAGGATACTTCCAAAACAATGGAACATAGGAGGTGGGCAGCATATGATATCTTCAGGGGTGAGGCGCATGCGGTCACCAATTTGGAAACCATTGTTTAGAATAGAGCGGTGGGTTAAACAAGCTGCTTTGGGCATAGCAGTTGTCCCGGATGTGAATTGGATATTCACTATGTCATTCGGGGATAGCTTTAGATTCGACAAGGGCTGATTATCTGCCGCTAGCTCGGACGATATAGATGTGAAAGGCGTTAAGCCCTTGTAAGAGGAGGTGTCTATGCGGCCGAAAGAGTTGTCGATAACAATTATCTGCTTCAAAGAGGGAACTGCCTCGGACTCTAGTTTTGAGGCAAAGGGGTCTGGTACCAGCTGTTTGAGCAGAGGGATATTGCTTCGAGGGTTTTTCCGGGGTAGATTGGATTCTGTGCTGATGATGAGATGACTGGATTCCAGGTGACTCAATGCCGCTACGACTTGAGTAGAATTAAAAGATGGGTTCAATGGAACCTGTTTTACGTCAATTCAGCCTTTCGTTCAACCTGTCAGCTGGGGCATGGACAGATCTTACCAAAATAGCTCCAAGTTTGAATAGCGCGTATGTTGCCTGTCATAATAACCATCAATATACCTGACGATCAACGTCGAAGAAAGTATGACATACCACCGCATATTCCATTGAATTCCCAAGCATAACTCCAACTCGATCTCCCCTTTTCACACCGGCAGATTGAAGCCCTCTAGCAAGAGCATTGCTTCGTAAATCGAGACCCCTATATGTGATTCGCTCGTTTTGGTGCTTCGAGATAATACTTCAAAATTGTCAGTTAAATAACAATCTTTGTGTCTCGCTAGATTTCATTTCAAAAATAAATTCTTACGCTGTTCGGTCCCCGTGTTCGGTCGCGATTCGAGTAAAGTGGTCGCCGACAGTCGATTCGATTAAAGGCGGCTGTATTGCGATGAAGGAATTAGCTTCATATGCCTCACGGGATCAAGAAAATAATAATTGAATTATAAGAGCTCAGAAATTACCTCGGTAGGACCACGATTATAGCTGTGTGTCAACAAGCCTCGTCTCAAGAACGAGGCGCGTCCATACAGCCTTCCCCTCTCAAAGCGGAGACCTCCGAGTGGTGGTCTGTAGAGCCGCATAATCATATATTTCGAATTCGAAGCTCGAAGCTCGAAGTACAATTCACGCAACTCGATTGACTGTCAATAGAAAATTTGGATTCTCGCGAATCCTGGGTAAGAGAATGAGCTGTGAAAGAGATCAATTATGTCAGTGGATGGTAGCACCCCGCATTCCACCTTTGAAGCTTCCCCGCATTTGGACATATTGGGTCGGGCTGATCCGAGGTACCAGCAAAACTTTAACGACTACAAAATAGAGTCATGTAGTATTCAAAGCTTTCTACAGAAGAAACTATGGATTATTCGTATACTTCAGGCGTTTTGCAGGTTATCCCTTGTGTAGCGCAACTACGTCTGCTTTCAAGCGGCATAGTTGAATTGTTTTACAGCCCGGGACTGTTTAGCATCCATCAACTTTAAGTACAACTTACAAATTGAAGCTCTCCCCTCCCTCCTTCTATATAGTAGTTTGGATTTCAATATATGGTTCAAGGAAAACGAGGAGCTAATTCAAAGCTGATTATGCCCCGTACTATTATCATGATCTACTACCCTGATGAAATATTGGAGAAACTGCTGTATTGCTATATTATTGACAGCCCTGGAGGGTGACCCCAAGACTCCGAGTCGTTACGTAGATATACATGAAACTTCACCTGGGAATGATCATGCCCAGTGATAGCCCTATAGCCAGGTCAATGAAACTCATTCATGCACAAACATTAAGTTAAAGAAGTTGCTTATCTCAAATTCAAGTTGGGAAGTTGAAGAGAGAGCCTTTGGTAACGTGAGAGTGAGTATGTATATTTTAGGGTGTGCCAGTGATTCGCAAATTCAATGCTCTTCTTGAATAGCGATGTTTATCAAAGCCATATTGGAAAAACTGTAATGTCCAATCAATCAAAAATTGTCACTTGATGACTCAGGCAATGGATAGCAAGTAGATGTTCATCTTCAAGTTCTGGAGTTCGACCTCAGCTGAAAAAGAGGCCGAGCAAGCAGAGATCTACAGAGAAATCTACTACAGTGAGTACTAGGCATATCTGTATGTAGGCCATCTGCCCCACATTATTGTGCATTTTGCATCAAGAGAAAAAAAAAGGCCGAAAAAGGGAAGAACAGCTTGCAAAATGGGCGTTTTAGAAGTATATCGATGCAATATCTCGAGCGTTGAAGGCAAGCGGAAAGCTAGAGAGAGGATAGGTGATGAGTTTGTTAAGTCCATTGTCTTCAAATCTCCAAATCTGGGTACAGGAGTCGGAAGAAGTGGCGTGTTATGCAGCCTGTAATCCACAGCCCCGCTGCATTGAGCAGATACTATTTCCCGCTCAGCTCGGTTTCATGGTGGACTGCTGTTTGATCTGATCTAGATAAAGAGACACACCGCATATATCTCTCCCACTTAAAACCTGATGTTCCCTCTTCAATCCCACTTGCTGTTCAGCAATTATCCTATCAATCCAAATACCCATTCTCGAATCAATCATCATGGCCACCTTTGAGATCAACGACGCAGTGTTCTGCCAAGATCACATCCTCGAAGTGGTCAGTAGGGTTTATCACAACTAGAAAACACTTACTCAAATTCAATACAGTGCAACGATTGCTCAACTGATACGCGAGGAGAACGATGCCTTCTACGGAGTACATATCCCTCAAATTCATTTGGGGTTCCTTTTTGCTTAAAATGTTGCAGATAGATACAATCGACCGAGACCCTATCACCTGCCCTCCTGTCTCTCAAAATGATGATGGAGTCTACGTTTGCAATGATCACGAAAGTAATGGTATGTATGCCTAATCACTTCTCATGTGACCGAGGCTCACTGTCATTAGGTTGTAATCAGTGCTTTAATTGGAAAAAGCAGATCTTTAATTTGAGAAAGGCTGCAAAGAAGCATTGAATATATGTAGTCATTATGAGTGGAATGTATACAGAGCAGCCCGGATGTATCATTCCCAGGTTCAGGTTGGGGGGTGTTTGTTGGTGTTGAAATATCTCACTTCATCCATGTTGGAAGATCATTGAATAGTCCTAGAATCAGATTTTACTTACGGAGTACTAGTATAGAAGGGGAAATGAAAAACGAAGAGCTTGATTACCATCGATGATTGTTCTTGAGCATTTTAACATCCTAAATCTTATCAGCATTTTGGCCATTGTGGACTAGTAACGCTCAGATGTTCCAGGGTTGCCGGCTGATATTATGGTAGCTCTGCTGCTAAAGTCTTGGGTTCCATAATTCCATGGTCTCTTTAAAAATATGGATTCCCATGATTCTGACGCTTGTCCAAAAGACTACTATGTTTGGCGCCTGCCAGATATGCCCAAGGCCGTTATGATAGAGTAGCGCGCATTCTTAGACACCGATTCTAACAACTTAGCAGTTTATCTAGAGAAAATCTAATAACTTTACAGATCCTAATTAAATAGTTGAATCATGCCGATGAATACAACATTCTTGTACTGACTGCACGTATTCGAAAATAAAAAATCGAAAAAAAAAGTCAGCAAGAGGGCGAATTTCTGAATCCGAGAGATCATAGATTTCAGGTCTAGCGTCTTAGATTACTCGGCCATACTTTTCCATTCCTCCCTATCCGACCAGCCACAAACCAGACATACTTTATATCAATAATGTCCATAGATGCCTCTATCCATGAAATCTAATCCGTCCAAGAAAGGAAATACTTTGCAGCATGGCCGAGTAACCTAAGGCACTAGACCTAAAATCTATGATCTCTCGGATTCAGAAATTCGCCCACAGCAGAAGCAGTCTCTATTGAGACTGAATTTCCGTAAAAAGAAAATGCGGCCTATAGCAGTCATATGCATATACGAAGTTCTCTGCGTAAGAACCGTCGTCCTGTCTGTATCTCAAGCTCTCAGACATGCATAAACCACATTAAAGTCTGGGAGAATAAGATAAAACATTCAGTCTGTTTAATTATGAATAAACTCATAAAGTTGGCAATCTTTCAAAGATAATTTACCTCTCATCAGACATTTTCGCGTGGTTATATACATTGTTAAAGAAGACAAGCGTAAGCAAGGAGTGGATCTGCGAGGCTTGGCGTCATGTGGTGGGGAAGCTTCGGCGGGTGTCGTCAACTTGAATGCAACTGGCCCAACTTCTGATTTGTTTGCAAAATTGTCCTTTGATTAGCTCTCTTGGCTTGCTAGCCTACGACATCATGACTTCTGAACCCTCCGAGGATGCTATCTTGAGCTTCGTCAGCTTCACCAGTACAACGCGCGAGCAAGCAATCCTTTTCCTAAAGGTCGTTTCCTCTCCCCGCACGCTTTCAAGCAATTGTGTCTAAGCGTCCCCCCCGCTGACTTTCAAATTTATTTTCATGAACTACAGGCCAATAATCTTGACTCACAAAAAGCCATCAACGCATATTTTGAAGATCCAACAGGGTCGCAGCTAAATGTCCGTGACCATGACATCAAGGTCCCCATATCTGGGTTCAAAGTCTGGAAGCTAATAAGGTTATTTGCTAGGTACCAAATTGGGGTAACGAGACAAGCCTGACACGTATGACCCCATTATTTTTTCAAATCAAATCATGCTGCGGTTGCTAATACTCCTCTGTACAGCACTTGGCTATGGCCAGCAAGACTATGGGCCCCGATTGCCCGCGACTGCCCCTCCCTCTCGCCCTCCCTCCCGCGTGAATATGACCGATACAACCCAAAGTTCTGGAAATGACTCGATGGCGACAAACGTATCAGGAAGCTCAGGTTGGCAGATGCCCTCACATCTATGATAAACAATGCTAACTTGGTGTCGTTTGCAGGCAAACCCGCGGCTGGACAAGGGCTAAGCTTAGCCGAGCGTGAAGAACAAGAGCTACAGCAGGCAGTAGCTATGTCGCTACATCAAGGGATGGGAACTCAAGAGACGGGGGTGACCGCAGCGGCGCCGAGTCAAGCTCACTTTGGGAAAGCGACGCGTGATAACTACGAAGAGGGCGCTTGGGCAATGACTCTCTTCAACGAAACGGCCCAAGAAGTGCTAATAAGTCCGGATCCCGAAGATCGAAAAAGAATAGGTGAAGAGCCAGTATTCATCCGCCCGACGCAGAATAATCTCTATCTTGGAGGGTTTCTTACTATCATCCATGAAATCCCTCTTGCACGTGAAGCATTGCTATTGAGGAAGAAACTCCTCTTCGACTACGGAAACGATAAACATTGGTGGAACGGCCAGTCAATAAACTTACCAAAGATTGTGACCATCCACGAAGGAAGCGACGATAGCGATTGGGAGGATCCGATCTACGAGACACAGCGCTTGATGGCTTTCCTGGATTCTACAAAACGCGCCTTCGGAAGCAGTGATGCTCTTACAAACATGAGGCAAATGTACGCAACTTCTTCTGACTCGGAAGAGGCAGTCGCGCGTTTTCTGGAGACATGGCATTCCGCTGCGATTCGAGCAGACCCCGATAACCCGCTATCTATGGCATTCATGTCACATGCTTACAAGCGAGAACTCATGGAGGAGGATAATGAGGAACCGGTCTCTAGAGAATTATTTGTATTTGAGCCCGTCGTGGATCAGGGCCATGGGCAAACTTTGTATGATGTCCTGGACTCTGCCATCTGGAGCGATAGACCTGGAGAGAATCTTGACGATGTATGGCTTGAGCATGTGGGTGAGATTCTTGTCATGAAACTTGACTCTCCCGAAAATGTGCAATCAGTGGATGTGGAGATTCCAGCTGTATTCTACCCCGACCGCTATTTGAGCACTTGTCAACACCTCGCACGTGAAATGCGCCTGAAAAAGCTTGAAGCCCAACAGGCTGTAATGAGAATTGAGCAACTCATTTACCACTACAAAACACCACCGAACCCCGTGGGTACCCTTTCAAGAAGCGAGGTACTGGAGAAAGCAGCCTCGGCAACGCCTGTAGCTCTGAAGACAGCCCTTGATGGTAACTCGAAGAGCATGACTCCCGAGGTAGCAAAAGAGAAAGCAGAGCGTATTACGCAACAATTGAGAGCACTTGCCACTAAAATAGAAGAAAAAGTTAAAGGTGAATATTTCCTCTCGCAATTTCCATCCCTCTTGGTTTTCTAATTCTAATTCATCGATAACAGCGCTCGAGGTTGAGAAGCAGAAGGCCCTGGAAACTATGCGAACTTATTCTAAAATGCTCACCGAACCATCGGAGTCTCCCCATGGGCCTCCTTCTCACAAATACACATTACGCGGTGTCTGTACTAAACCGCATGTTACGTATCTCCTTAAGAACCGAGAGACAAAAGACCGAGGAGATGGCATGGATGTTGATGGTGAGAAGCAGGATGACAGTCAGTGGTGGCGGATCAGTTTCTCTACAGAGGACGGGAAGACTCGACGGGCCGAGAAGATAGAAGCCCAGGGTGATAAGACGGCCACGCAAAGCGGTGATGTTGTGGGCTATACTGCTCGCAAGGTATCGGAAATTGAAGTTCTCAAAGCAGCTCGCGAGGAAGGGAGATCAGTCTTATTGGTGTATGCCAGTGATGCTGCAATGGATTCTACAGTGAACCCTGCGCCACCGCAACTTCAGGTATGATCTAATATTTGGGCGTTTTGGATATTCATAACTTGCTAACCTTTGGGAACAGGGTTTCGTGAACAAAGATAACGAAGTTTTTGCGGTCGAATGCGACCAGGCCCTCACCGAGGCAGACAACGACAATTCGAGCGGTCTGTTGCTAAATAGGACGGGCTCGGAGAAGCAGCCACGCCCACATCGGCAAGATCAGGATGTGAATGTGTTCGATTATGAAGTTCCAGGGTTTGATAGCGAGGAAGCCGGCCAAGAAATGCAGGAGAAGAAAAGATCAAGTCTTTTAACCACAACAGGACCTGGGTCAGCAGCCCAACCGCCGTTGTACCGTCCTGTGGATGATAACGATGACAGCTGGGACCATGCACCAAGTGATGACGAGATGGTTGACCATGTCGAACATGCACCCGCACAGTAATTGAGCGGATGTATATGATTGACGAGAAATATGAATGACATAGAGCAAACAGCCGATAAAAGAACTCGGCATCTCCGAAGTAGCAATTATTGTCAATATGCCAATACCAATACCAATCCCAATCTGTATGCTGTAGACACATTACATACCTAGCCCTGGAGGTCAAAAGTCCCCTCCAGCTGTTTCCCGTCCGATAAGGAACGGAGCGTCCCCACATTTGCCATGTTTGCAAAACACCCGAAGCTTGTCGCGACACCCCGAGACTCCAACTATCAATAAAAGTCCCCCCCAATTTTCCCTAAATAGCCATTGATTGCATTTTCAAAATGACAATTGAAAGCGACGCAATGGCTGGTGCCACAATCGAGCTCCTCGAGGCACGTTTGCGCCGACTCACCTATCTTCTGGGCGGCGCAACCGACTGGACAGGAGCCCCAACAACCCCAGAGAAGCCCGCCTCCCACGACGAAACAGTATCGTGCCGAATTGCTCGTCTGGAACGAGAACTAGAAAAGCTCAGCCGCAATGTCCCAGCTGTGCGGGACGTGATACAACTCCGTACGTTTCTCCGAAGCTCCATTCGCGAAGCTACTCGGTCCCTCCCTCCACGGGGTTAACCATGTTCTCTCTTGTCTACCTCCAAAGAAGAACACAAGGCCAAATCTTGGATTCCATTTATCTACTTCATACTAACAAAATTCTCTGCCAGATGACCGCTTCCCCGACCTCTTCCAAACGCCAGACCCCCAATGCATCCCCGAAGGCCTCTCCCCACGCACATTAACCTCCATAGTCCTCTCTTACGCAACTGCTTTCCCCGAAACAGCCTCCCGTCTTACATCTCTCAACGATATCCCAGTACCAGACCCAGAAAGCTCAGCAACCCTCATCGAGCTCCAGCCGCAGATCGACCGCGTCGCACAAACACAAATAGAGCAAGCGGCTGCCGTCTCGGAACTACGGGTCCGCACTGCACAGGTGCTGCAGCGTTGGTACGAGGTTGGACTTGTTGGGAGCGGTGAATGCTGGGCAGAGTGGGAGGGACGACTTGAAGGGGTTGAGAGGGATGTTCGGAGACGGGAAGTAATTAAGGAGAGGAGGGAGAATGAGATTTGATTTCATTTTGTCGGAACAATCTCTCTTTATTTCTTCTTCGACTGCTGGCGATGTTCAAATTTATGTTTGTTTGCGGATATCCTGCCTGTTGGGTGTTAGGCGCATTGCTTTGTGTTTGGAGTTACATTTACATTTACATTATCCTATGTTGGTGATACCTCTAGGGCTGTATATACTGAAGATTTCCAAGCTGTTTGTGAACAGCGAATATCGGTACGTTCAATTGATTTGACTTATGATGTGGGAAGGCTGAATTATCGTATTCGTAAGCAATTATCATACCAGAAAGTCTGTCGCAAGGCGTATTATTTGCATAATAGAATGACAGCTCGAATGTAAATGGATACCGGGCTCCTTGATGTGGCATTAGCTATTCAGAGATATCATAGTGACAGGTAGGCACGATAGTAGGAAAAAGAAAGGGCGATGCAGAAAGCGGCGTCGGCCTCCAAAACTAGTCCCGGGACTCCCACCAAGACCGGAGCGGCGATAGCTTGTCTTCTATTGATCCCTTGATTTATGTTATTGCATACTAGGCAGAACTTGAAGTAGATAGAAACTCGAGCGAGCCTCACAGATCATATGGGACTATGATGTTGACAAAATTGTTACTGAAATCAAAGTCGCACCTTCTTGATATAAAACACATTATTTTCAACCCTTTGAGTTACATTCGAAGTACACTGGTATAAACCTTCCGAACTTCACAAGCGGAGTCCGACGTCAATGTCACTTAGGATTGTCAATCGAAAGATGACTTCGGTGGATACTCGATTGACTATGCTGCTGCTGCTGGTCACATGGAAATTGTAAAAGACTTGATTAAGTATAGAGCCGATGGTAGTAAATTCAGCAGGTAATACGGGCGAAATGTGGGTGCCTTACCTAGCTGTGATGTTAAACGTGAATCGAGAGAATGAGAGAAAGAAAAATATTAGAGACGGAAAGCTGCAATTCACGTTCAAGCTACTTTATTCATGAATTCTATACTAGAATAAGACCGCGTGAGTCATGAAGAGTATAAGTATAAGAGTACCATGCATTTCTCGCCGAGAAAGACCTATATTGGGCGTCTAGTGGCTTCGAGCTTCTCACACATGGGTTCATGATTACAGCAAGCCCATATTCACTATTCATTTCCCCAAGAGCCACATGAATCCCAGAAAGCCGAAGCATGTAAAACCTAAAATCTCAAGTCTCATTATTATGTAAAGTAAGAACACGAGAGTTGCATTTTAGTCTGAGTCGTCCCTGTGAGCTAATTCAGCAAGTCGGGGGGTTTACCACTTTTGGAGGCTCATCCGATAGAATTATCCCAACCCAGCATTTATGTTAAGCCACGCTTTCCAATATTTGCTTGAGAGATTATGTATCTGATAAAATGACGTAAAATTGAAATCCAGAGATGGAAAGTGGATATGCCTCACGAATTGAATGCAGACAGCTCTGATCTTTAACGATTCCGCCACTTGTATACTGTAAACCAGAAGTACTCTTTTTCTACACAACTTCGATAAAAGCTGTGGGATTCCGCTCACGTAGCGAGCATCCCCTAGGTGCTTTTCAAAGGAATTAGTCATTAGAGTACCGCATGAATTCAATGAAGCTCAAATTGGATATGTATGAACTACATACACCAGATTGTGAAACGGCATTGGCGTACGGCTGATCGTGAATGTGGTCGGCATCATCAAGTGCCGATTTCTACTTTGCATCTCGAATAAATCTAGAGCTTCTTCAATTTGTGATCAGGCTCGGAAGCCCGACGTTAGAATCGGGCCGAATTGCTCTAATTTCAAGAAATTTCTTCCTTGCAGATGACGATGGCAAAGGAAGCCAGGCGGATACCTTCCTAATCGGGTAGCATATCCGCCGCTTCGCCCAAGATTGTAGATTCCTCGTGGCCAACTTCCCATAAAATGGGGGATAATGGGCAAAAATTACGGAAAATACCGGATATCTAGCTAAGAGCGTTTTTATTTAAATACGGGTCCATATTCCAAAGTTTGCTAGCTTCGTTTCTGTGGCATGAACTGAACTATTTCCTTTTCCTGAACACTACCGCCTATCTACTACAAGCATGTACAAAGGACAAATTCACAACATGCGGGGCATACAGTCCTCACTGAAATATCCTGTTAAAGTTTCAAGGAGGAATGTGATGAACGCTGCCCAACCTCGCAAAGAAGGCGACATTTCTTCAGTCTTCGTTTCTCTCTCCGGAGTCAAGCAAGAGGCTCTCCCAGAACGATTTGCAGACCAAAAACGACGATTGATTGCAGGAAACGAAAAGAAGGTTAAGGAGAGCTGGGACCGACTCTTGCGCAATTTAAGAGAAGAGGTGCAGATTATTGCAGAGCGAGGAAGCAGCGTTATACCTTCCATTGACTTCAAGGATATCAAAAATGCACCCAAGAGCTTTCAGCAGGAACTCAGGAAACGAGGTGTTGCAGTTGTTCGCGGTGTTGTTCCTGAGAACGAGGCTCGATCCTACAAGGAATCGATTGAGGACTACGTCGAAGCCAATCCACACACAAAGGGTAAGGATACTCCATGTGCTTTCGAATACCTGGTACTGACAGAACATAGCTTTCCCACCCAATGACCCTCAGGTATTCGAACTGTACTGGTCACAAGCCCAGATGAAGGCCCGTACCCATCCTAACACGCTCGAGACCCAGAGCTTCCTCATGAGCTTCTGGCACTCCAATGTTGCCGACGCTATGGTCGCCCCGACACATCCTCTCACATACGCTGATCGCCTGCGAATTCGTCAGCCAGGTGATGCAGGCTTTGCACTGGGCCCTCACATTGATGGCGGTAGTGTGGAGCGATGGGAGGACAACGGATATGGCAGGGGAAATGTCTACCAGGCTATCTGGGAAGGACGATGGGAAGAATTCGACGCATGGGAGGCCAGCTGCCGTATTCCTGCCGTCTCAGATCTCTACAATGGTGCTGGCGCATGCTCTATGTTCCGCATGTTCCAGGGTTGGCTTAGCATGTCTCACACAGGGCCTAAAGAAGGTACACTGTTAGTGAACCCTCTGCTATCCATGGCTACTACATACATCCTCCTACGACCATTCTTCGAACCCATTTCCGCACCTCCTGCTGGCGCCTCACGCCTAGCCCTCGATACCTATCTAGACCCTAGTAACTGGCGCCTGGAAACCAACATGTCCAGCAAGATTGAGGGTGCTACCCCGGGCTTCTCACAGGAGCTGAGTGATGTTCTACACCCTCATCTCTGTCTAGACCGAACTATGGTCCATGTGCCCCGCATTGCTCCCGGAGACTATGTGGCCTGGCACTCTGATGGCATTCATGCTGTCGACAAGGTTCACCAGGGAGCTGGCGACTCCAGTGTTATGTATATTCCTGCATGCCCAGTCACCGAGGAAAATGCTCAATATGTCCAGCGCCAGAAGCAGGATTTCCTGGCTGGTGTTCCTCCTCCTGATTTCCCTGGTGGTGAAGGTGAAACCCGCCACATTGGGCGATTTACTGAGGCCGATCTTCGTCAGTCCGGAGCAACCGATGCCACTCGTTCGTTAGGGTTTGACACCTGGAATACCGAGGGGAAGAATCTCAAATTCGGTGAGGCTGCTGTTTTGAAGAAGGCCACAGAGATCTTTGGTCTTTAAATCGAATTGCTTGGTGTTCAAACAATCTATTTGTGTGCTTTGCACTTCTACCTTAGCGTATATGCATCCTTTTTGTTTTCTGAATAAGTACTCAAGTGGGCCATTTTCAAGCTGAAAGCTTGAAATCAAATCAAAAGTGTATACCCTTCATGAATACCCAAGATGCCAGCTATGGCTCCTACTAGTAAAGTTGGCAAATTTGCGAGAGTCTTGCCAGGAATAGTCATATACAGATTCATTTCCCCACCCTACGGAGGCCAATACTAGGTCTACATTGAACAAAACTCTTTTTAAGACTGGCAGAAAATTAAAATACCTGTATTACTATCAACCGCCATACATAGCGAAGTACTCAGCTTGTTGTGTAATCTTAGCCATCCACCACATAACGGATTCTAGTCAAGAACGTACAACCTTGGAATTAACGATACAAGATTAATACAATTACATTGCTATTATATTATCATACGTATAGCTATAAATTCTTCTCTCTCCCTCTCTCGAAATATTCCTTTTTCAATGCCGCTCCCTCTAAGCTAAGACTGAAGTCTCTAAATTGTCTCTGTTACTACCGCCTCTACTATCCTATTTTTCTCTTTGCGATTCTAAGATAAGTAAGGCTATTCCTAATCCTAATAGGATTAGCTTTAATACTAATAAGGATTCATAGTCTAAGAATCGTAATATCATCTCCCATACCTACGCTTAAACCTACATATATGAAATTTACATAGGCATAAGACGGTGGAGGGGGCGGTAAAAATTTAGTATAGGAAAACTTATAGTTTTGTCCAATATAGACCTACTACTTGACCTCCATACCCGCCCTAGTTTTGTTCAGAATAGTAAATCTAGGGGCTATTCTGGGGGGAGCATCAGAACTGCAGCTAACTGTGCATGTTCCCTTAACATTTTACTCAAGAATCACCATCGTCACCAACTGTAGCAGCGCCCCAATGCCAAGTAACCGGAGTGAAAAGATTACCATCTCAGAGTGTGAGCTTGGACGCCCCCGGGGCTACATGGGGCTACTTGAGGTTTCCTGGGGCTTCAATCTTGGAGGTTTATGGGGCCGCCCAGCATCATGGTAACTGTGCATAACAACCCCTCAAACTCTGAAATCAGGAATGAAATTCCGTCCAACTTACTACCCAAAAGTTCAACCCATGAGTCCAGTAGCTCTCATCATGGGAAGTTCGAACACACGTTTCGATTTTGCCCCCCTGAAGTATAAAACCCGATGAAGCTTGAAGTGATTGGTCTATCGGGCTAACTGAAAAGATATAATTGATGACACGGGGTGATTGAAGAGCATATAGATTATGCATATAGAGGCAATTTCAAAAATCTCATTATTGTCCTCTCATTCAACGCCCGGAATGTGCAAGTCACCATTGAAAAATCCTGCCAAGTTATTAGGGCATGCTACAACATGGGCTTACGTACAAGAAATGAAGATCCTAGATACAAAACAAAAGGCCCTAAGCTAGACTGGTTGGTAGGGCCTATGGATTCCCCGGGGCTTGAGTCTATTTGCCCCCAGAAAAGGGTTCTTGTAGTTCTGGCTCGAGACCTTACATTCTAACCTCAAGCAATGGTCTTTCGGGCAAGGAAACCCAACCCATGATGACCATATAACAGTAACGGCTGCTGTATGGAACCTATGAGAAACAGCTCTTGAATAATGCAGTCATGCGGGATGGTCCCAACTGATAAGAGAAAACTTGGAAAATGTAACCTAGTGACATAGTCAAAACTCTTGGTATCAAATCCTTCAAATATCTAGATGCAACAGACCCTGGAATCTACATAATGGGGCCGATTAAATCAGGGAAGTTATAGATGCGACGAACGCATCAGCGTCAATCAGTCTTGGCCGAGCGAAAAGGGACCAAAGTTAAAATCCTTGTTTGAATCCCTTACTATAAGAAACTCTGTTGAAATTCGGGTGGTGTAGAGGCTCCTGTTCTACAAATAGTTTTACTCATCTCAGTGAGAGAATCAACGAAAACTTGGTTCCACTGACTCTGGACAAGACAGGTCTGGTAGACTATTGAGTGTTCACATCTACTATAACCCACATCATATTCTCTAGTATACAATTTCTTCTCCAAATATAGCAATGCGATCACTGTGCGAACCCCGGAGTTATTGTATTTGGAAGCTCTCTTTTTGTACCAATAACAGAGCGCAGATTAGACTTTGCCAATATATACCAAGAACTCATGAATTCACTGGCGGTCTTTACCAGAATCATGGTGTAAATGCCAAAAGACTCTGCTTAACATCAAGGGTTCTACAAATATAGTACATGACTCCCACTGACAACCCTGAAGGAAAGCATAAATAGAGCCCATTCGCCCTTCCAATATCCTTCAAGTTCCTCATCAAAAAACCCTTTGGTATAAAAACTACACTGCACATTGCCTCGCTACTTCCATTACTCTATTCAAATTCGAAATCCTATCATCACGGCAAAACGATGTACCTGAAATTTCTGTGCCTTACATTGGTTACTTTGGCTATTGGGTCGTCTGCTGGCCTTACAAAGAGAGAAGGGTGTGACCCCCTGGGTAAGTGCATTACCAGATAGACAGAGATACATCAGCCATATATTACATAGTTTTCTCGCCCGTATTCTCTCCTTCACACAGGGATCTTCAGGAATCACCATATATCTTGCCTAAACTTCCTTAGCATACCGTGACATATATAAGCCATCCATCCAAATAAATATGACCAGGAATTTGCTAATTTTCTTTTTTGTATTTCTTCCCGAATTAAGAAAACGCGCCATGCGACACCAATGCAGACTGCGAGAATCCCAATTGCACACTTGCATGTATCAAGTTCAATGGAGTGCATGGATTCTGCGGAAGAGTTCCGAAGCCTCCGAATCCTGAGTGATCTACGATCTCGCGGGCATCTACACTATAGGCTGCAAATGAGACTTCTAGAGAATTGAAGGATATGAGACCGAGCTATTGATACGGCTTGATGCATGTAATCAATTTATTGTATATACGTTTCTGTACAAGCCCATGCTAGTTAATAGTCAAGGGGAAGAGGGGAAGAGGGGAGGGAGAGAGAGATATCATTGAATTTGAGAAGAACTGTCCACGGTAGTCATCATTTTAAGAGCCCTTTTTAGGTGGTTGTGACCATGGTCTTAATTCACTAACTAAAAACTATAACCAAGACCATACTCGTGGGCCACAGTCTACTAGACCTAGGTGGTCATTTCGGGCATCCATTTAAGGCCGTGGAGCAACGGGCAGGAGCAACGGGCACAACTTGAATCCGAAATGTTTACTCCGCCGGGGTCTACCACTTAGATCTTTTGTGGCCCAATATCACTTTTGCACTTTCGGCTCATGAATATTCAAAATCTCGAATCAATTATACTCCGGTACTCGAGCGATAGCCACTATGCCGGAGAGTCAGAATCTCACCGAGAACCCACAGCCGCTTGCTCCATCACCAGAGTGAGAAGAGCGAAGATACAAGCTCCAAAGAACCCTCCCCCGAAGTCGCATTAGAAGAAGCAGGAGATATACATGGTCTCCAAGAGCACCGTTTGATTCTTTGTCAGGAAAGATTCGCTTCAAAAACATACGCCCCCGATATACGCGAACTCCTGATGACAGAGTGGATGGTACGACAAAATACGCAAGAAGAGATGACCATGAAAGCGTTTCTTGATATAGTCTTAAGCCAAAAGGAGCCCGAGAGCGACGTTCAATCTCGGGAGAAAGCAATTTCAATATTGGGGAAAGCTTATTAGATACTCGAACGACACTGGTGGAAGACTAGATCTTCATTCTGTGACGATCCACTGACTCGAACGATGAACTTGTGGCGTTCTCATTCGAAATGTTATATGCATCGTGCGTTGGTTAAAGATTGTGCTGGGAGGGGAGGTTGCTGTGCAAGACGTTGTGGATGTTGCTCTAATCGATTTAATATCCCGGGACTAAAGTTTGCTGCTGGCCATTGTACTTTGGAGTGTCTCTGTTGCAACATATCTCGAGAATTCCAACTTACCAAGGAAGAAGAGGAACAACTGAATCTGGACTTTATGTTTCCAAGGCAGGGACAAAGCGGGGAGGACATTCTGGCTGATGGGATTGGGAGGGTTAGTTTGTTTGGACTGATAAATGGGAATGATGAGAATCCGTTTTATCTGGTTGATGAGCCATCTCCGAGATATGAGGCTTCGTCGGAGCAGGATCAGATGCCACAGACAGAGGGCGCGGTATTGGAGCGCGGAGTATCATTCATTCCGAGTTCTTTCTTTTCAACTTTTGCGCGTTTACAAGGAAGACGGATTGGGAGGTTTCCTTGTGTGTACCATTTTCTCAGAACACACACTTTCTGGTGTTTTGTATTCGCGATTATCTTTATTTTACTGTTCGCAGCCTTGACGAGGGACACAAATCATGATGCAGTGTATACTTATCACCGAATACGTAGATGGCTCTGTGGGTCCTAATCAGAAATCTCTAACAAGCCATGTCATTGGCTATCGGACATTGAGTCTGGACTCTCTGGAATACATCAGCCCCCCTGGGGATCGTCAACAACATTTATTATTTAATGTTAGTATTTTACAAGGACGTTCCGTTAGCTTTTCTGCTCTTTTTTCACTTTTGAGTGACGGGCTCTGCATGATCGATTTAATTAATCAATACATTAAGTCAGGCTGGCGGTTTTTGTTTCGCCCCGGAGGACCGACAGTGAACCGATGCCGATCGCTGCACGGTGAAGGAGAGTCGTCGGGGACACACGTGTGCAAATTAATCAATTAGCGGGCACAAAAGTACGAGATCTGATCGAACGATTCAGTGGGGTGTGGAGACTTCTAACGGTGGTTTCCGGGCGTGTGCACTGAATGGAGTATGGAGTTCGATTCGAGTTCCGGGAGAGAGGTTCTGGAAGATGGATTTGGGGGTGGAAGAAAACATACATAGAATATTCAGCACGCCAGCCCCCCTGGTCGATCGTCGAGGACAATGTCTCTGGTGGGATCAGGACATCGATTGGATCAGAGACATCTGGACAGCGTACCGCGTCAGCCAATTCAGCCAATCCAGCTGAAGGTGGAAAAGCGGAGCCTTTGGGGGTGACTAAGCGGGATATTTATAGATTACGAAAGAAACTTGGAACAAGAGAAAGAGAGAGACTGTATACAGTTATTTATTATAATGTATGGGACACGTTATAGAATATAGATTAAATGTGAATGTAAATGTAAATATAATAATATAGACTTATATCTGTAATCTCCGTAGGGCAAAGTCCTAAATAAGATGAGAGTGGATCGTGTCACACTCTCATACAGCAGTCCACTGTACTGTGCCTAGGTCTCGACTCTCCCAGGGGTGATCCACCTTTTTCCCTTTCGCTTTTCTCTCCCCTTTCCTTTTTCTCCCTTGAACTTCATTCGCTCGTTTCCATTCATTCAGCCTGGTGCTGTCGTCCTAAAGTCATTCTCTTTTTTGTTCTCGTCGTTTTCTTCTTGTTTGGAATCTCCGGTTTCCCTTCATACCCACACTCTCTCTATCAACACATCCCCGACCGTCACTCGTCGAAACCCACTTTGTCTAAGAAGAAGGCTACTTTGAACCCATAGTTCAAAAAGGTACGGTCGCACACACATCAAAACTTCCCCCCCCCCCCCATCCCACCACAACCATCGTTGGATCGGCTTTGGCCCGCAGAAAAATTCGGGGCGTGAATGCATCGCGGTTGCAAGCGCGAGCAGCGCCACCATCCCACACGACAACAATCGACTCGTGGCTTCGGAGGCTTTGGACCCCACGCGCGACCAGGACTTGGGAGGATCAAGGGCTGACCATGCGTATCCTAGTAGTGTTACCTCGCAAACCCCCATCACCTGGGGTTTTTTTTATTACCGAGTTCATCCTTTTTCTATTCCAAAAGACACCTGGCTCGACGTGTTGCCTTCGAAACATCTCCGATTCATCGTACCCGGGCGACAAACAAAAACACCAATATCCAGGCGGCTTCAATAGAAACCCCTCCTTTAACATCATCCGCCCCCTTCCACATTCTTTACTCAGCATCTACCCCGAACCACTCTTATTCTTGGAAGCAATTTGAGCGATTCTGACATCACCGATCATCCAAAATGCCCAACTTCCGTCCTAGCAATATCTTGGGCGATCCGTTCGCCTTGGCGACTCTTTCCATCTCCATCCTCGCATGGTTGATCGCTTTTATCTCGTCAATTATCTCCGAAACTCAGCCCAAGAATGATTACCCCAACTATGACTGGTGGGCTACTTGTTATATGTTCTGTTTGATTATTGGCTTGGTCCTTACCTTTGCTACCGATACCTGCAATGTTTACGGCGTCGCGGTACGATTCCCACCCCCCTTCTCCCTACCACGTAGGGAAAATTATACCAACCCCCCTCCCCCCAAAAAAAAACAATGTCGCTGATTTCATGATTAGATTGTTGGATACCTCGCCTGTGGCTTGGTTCTATGCTCGACTAGCGCAAACAACTTGATCTACAGCCATGTGGGCGCCGAGCAGGCCGCTGGTGCAGGATTCATCCTGCTTTCCATGGTTATTGTAAGCATCAATTAGGCTTCCACTTATCTGTCTCCCTGGCTCACATCTTCTCTAGATTATCTGGATCTTCTATTTCGGGTCTTCCCCTCAAGCGACCCACCGCGGATTCATTGACTCGTTCGCCCTGAACAAGGAGCAACCCGATCCCAACTCATACCGCGGCAGCCGACCTATGTCCAGCGCATTCGGTGCTCGTCCCGAAACCATGGCTACCGGCACCACTCCACAGATGTATACATCCGCCCAACTGAGCGGATTCGAGACCTCATCTCCCGTCTCCGGATTCCCAGGCGGAGCCCCCGGTGCCGAGCGCAACTCCTCCGTAGCACGTTTTGGAGCTACCAGCACCAGTCCCGGCCCTGGCCCTGTTCTCGGCAACCAGAACAACGGCCCCAACCAGGAACCCAGTGAGGTGCCGCAGCCTACGGAATACCCCTATCGTGCTAAGGCGATCTACTCATATGACGCCAACCCCGAAGATGCCAACGAAATCAGCTTCGCCAAGCACGAGATTCTGGAAGTATCCGATGTCAGTGGACGATGGTGGCAGGCCCGGAAATCAACCGGAGATACTGGCATTGCGCCTTCAAACTACCTCATCCTCTTGTGATCTCCGCATCCGTGATGTTTAGTTTATGTTTTCTCCGTTTTTACTGAATTTCGCCCTCCACTTTTGTTGCAAAATCTGTATTTTGATACCCTTCGGAATCTTCCCACGTGTATTTCTGGTTCCCTAACGTGATGTCTTGATGGCCTCCTTTCCTTCTATTTATTTATTTCACCTTTCCTTATCTTTTTCCCACCAACTATCTGTCTGTCTGCATGTCCCATTTTTGATACTGATACTGAACTGATACTTTCCTCTCTCTCTCCAACTTTTCCTTATGGTTTGGTAAACCATACGGCGGACTTCTTTTTCACGCCTTTTGTGATTGTGTCTTGTTTCATTCTATTGTGTGTTACGGTTCAGGTGCTATTTGATTATTATGTTTGGAGAATCAAGGCCTATGATCGGAGTCGTTTTAGATCCTACTATGTGTCTTTCATTCTCGGAATAAAAAGTCGCGGATAGACTGGGTATGTGTTCGTGGTTTAGAGCCTTGACGCTGGCTTTCTATTTAGTGCAAGCTGATTGAGAGGCGACCTGAATGCAATTCCATCTGTCTGTCAATATTCCCTGTAGGAGTGAGATAAAATAATCAGTCTGTGTCCTCGAACTTGACTGAACTACATCAGTACGTTATGCCCGATTAAGCAGGTAATAGCGCTTTCCTGCTGGTTTAAGGTTGTAGAGCTTAATTTCAAGGCCTCTCTGGTCATGATTGAAGTCATCTTGTATGTCGACCAGGACGGTATTCTACCAATGTAGGCAGGCCAATGCCTCTGCTGTTAGATATTTTATTCCGACCTCTGTGATCATATCTGCATAGAAATGATTGAACAACCTTCAAAAACCTTCTGAAATAAGATTTCGACGTCATCGACAAAGCAAAGACTCCACGATCTCAAGGTTTAAACCGGCCCACGTGGATACCATGTGAGCTATCCATTCCGTGGACATGTACATGTACATCTACGTCAACGGACGGAACAATGAAAGACAATACAATTCTCCGAATCAAATATCGCTCTCCTTATTCACTAAACAAGGCCATAAATATTACTCGTCGTTTAAATCTCAAACCACAACACCAGGTAGAATCACCCCAACTCGAAGATACCAATAACCCCACCCTGCTTATCACCAGAGGGGCCATTCCCATCACAAACCATAACATACATATACCCAACCCACACAAAGGAAACCCAAGCATAATCAGCAATAAAAAAAGCAACACGAACAGAGAACAAATGATAACCAACGCTCAACCAACACCATGCAGCCAACAAAGTGCATGTACATCCCTGTATCATCTAGACCCTACCAAACTTCTCCGTCTATTAACCTTTCTCGTCCTAGTTCGACATCTCTTCCCCACTTGCAAGAGGACCCGGCTCTACTGATGAACGTAGTCGGTGAAGGTGATCGGACAGAATTGCAAGGAAATGGATAGTCTAGAAATTGGGGCTTGAATACTTCTATCTGAGTGGATGATTTCATCACACTTGTTCGCTGTTGGCTTTGTGCTTGAACGTGCATGATGGGTTCGGGGAATTTGGTCCATTTCGGGTATTATTGATTCTGTGGGTTCTCGAAGTTCAAGCTCTTAGGATGCTAGTTGGCGCTTTCCCCCGCTACTCCAATGCAAATTCTTTTATATCTCTCTGTCTTCTATTTGGACTTGATACTGCCTGGTGTCATTTTTTCTTTACTCTTTTTATAGAAGTGTAGTCGAACAGCTGAAGATTGAGCAGTACTATTCTTCTTGCGTCATTGACGTCCCCGCTACCTATCACTTCGATCACCAGCTCTACTTGCGAGTGAAGCATAAGACACTTGAACCTCATTCTGGACAGTTTCTCATTCGTATCCATTGTGAGATTGTGAGGTAATCTATACAAGTTCGTCGATGACTGTTTGTTAATCACCATGTCGGGCGGAGACAACATCACACTATCCTCCAATGTCCTCGGCACAATTGGCACAGTGCTGTGGTGCATTCAGCTCATCCCGCAGATCTGGTATAACTACCGAAGAAAAAAGACAGATGGCTTCCCAGCTGCTATGATGTTTCTATGGGCCAGTTGTAAGTTTCAGATCTCAGATCTAATCATCTCGCCTCAAGGAGTGAGATAAAGATGTCCAGTACTCATGAATCTCTTGGTTATTCATAGGCTCAGTTCCAATGGGTGCATATCTTATTCTTCAAGAAGTGAATATTCCGCTACAGATCCAGCCGCAGATTTTCGGGTTCTTTTCTCTCGTAAGCTGGTGCCAAGTGCTATATTATGGGCAGTAAGTTGTCCGAGGCGTTTATAAGCTCAACTTCAACTTCGATTCTGACCGATATGCTCGGGGAAAAGTAATTACAGTGTCCTTAAAGCGACGATGCTTTGTCTGGGAACGAGTGCATTGTTTGGTGGACTTGAGGCTCTTTTGATTCTTACGTTGCGGGTAAGTTGAAGATCATATAACCATTCACTATAACAAGTGCTAATATAGATGAATTACAGATTCCTTACAACAAAGGCGTTACATGGCCTGATATTGTAGTTGGTGTAATCGCTGCTGTACTCCTCAGTGCAGGTTTACTACCTCCTTATTTTGAACTTTGGAAGCGAGATGGCCGTGTGATCGGATTCAGTATGTGATTCTAACCATCAGTCCAGAAATTGTTCTAATTTGTGTTTGCAGACTGGGTATTCCTATCGATTGATACGCTAGGTGGATTATTTTCTCTCTTTGCCTTGGGTATGTACTATCGAGTTAACCATTGTCTGGGTTGCCTTTTGTTAACAAGCTCCCAGCGGCACAAGGCAGTTTCGATATTCTGGGTGGTATTATGTACATCCTCGTGTGAGCTTTGTCTATTTGAATATGATCCATGATGATATGGCTAATTGAAAGTTATGATATAAGTGTGGTCTTGGAAGCTGGTATATATCTCAGCCATATTATCTGGCGGATTCGATATCGCAAGCTCCGAAAAGAGGCGAAGAGCTCGGGAATAAGTATTGATGATTTGCTTGCATTGAACAGGAATGATACAGAAGAAACTCGAGATACTCGAATAAGTACTCTGGGGTCTGTGGATATTGAGAAGCAGGCGGCTGCCAGTGGGCAGTCACCGCCACCTCGATTAAATGAACAGCCACTGGATGTAGGTGAAAAGTGTTAATAGCGGTGAGCTATTTCTGGGGTCTGCTATTCAATATACACGTGGAATGTGCGTTTATGTATGATTACATTATTGGTGATTTGCGAGAGTAACAAAGCGTACAGTACTGTATTGGGTACTTGGTACTAATTGGTACGATGTAGTTGTGTACTGGTTGAATGACCTAAATGTAGAGTATGTTTACCTCTGGATATCCTCTTGAAAGTAAACAAAGAACCATGAAAGATACAAAGCCAAGAGAAGTGTATCTGCAGGGACTTGAACTGGCGCCCTATGCCGATACCCGGCTCTCCACTGACAACGTTTCAGCCTTAGCGCGTGAAATCTACTAGCAGAGCTCTCGCCCAACTTTGCCGGGAGATCAACCTGGAGTTTGTTGTGCCGCCTTTCCCTGTGTGACTTCCCCTCCTTTGTTAAGCAGAAGAGATCAACCTACAAACCTGTGGATATATATCAGCTTATTTATATGACTCCCCCACACCGTTGACAGTATCCACCGATAAGAACTTTGTCTTCAACCAGCACGCGGTTTGGGGGCGAAGGAAAGGCTTCAGCCCCCATATTCCCCGGCTTAACGGTGCTAACCCCCTTGTTTATTCCACCTCTTGAGCTTGGTATCTGAGCTCGAAGCTATGAATTAAGCCCCCCGTGCCCACCGGCAGCTAATTCACGATGCCAGAGAGACGTCTGACACGTCTTCTCAAGGCCAAGTTGCTGCGACGATCATCGACACCAGCGGTACCAGATCCGGGCAACGGGGCGGACCCGCGTGTCCACCCAAACTTGAATTCAACCTCTGGAATCTCTGGGACCCCCCATCTTTTCGACTCCGCGAGCGAGAAGTCTCCATACAGCGTCGTTTCCTCTGCCGCCCAATCCTCCGACGATACCGCCTCGGGCCAGGACGTGCAGGAGAGTCCACGACACACCCAACGCCACCGGGGCCAGTTTTGCAATCCATCCCCGCGGCAGTCCGACCAGCATCTTCATCATCATCCATCGTCGGAGAATCTAGTCAACACCCCTCCAACGACCGAACCGAAATCCTCGCCGCTACCTACCCCTCTCTCCGACGAGCCCACTTACCCCCTTGATTTGTCGATACCGACACCCCAGCATTCCGACGATACCTCCCTGCAGGTCGCGCAAGTCAAAGTTCGCACGCCAAGTCTGACCGAGTATCAATTGACACCGACATTAGAAACCGTCGTCGAAGCAGTACTAGACGATCACAGGCCATCTGTTTCGTTCTTTCCACCCCAATCCAGCAAGCGACCTTCCCTTGCTAGTCGGCGACAGTCCCTGCTTCCCGCTTCCCAGCAGCACTTAATCAGTGGGCTGCTAGAACAGAGTCTCTTTGCTTCACCAAGTGACCACGGCAGCAGTCGCGTCCCCGTAACTGCTGCCAATATGGTTACTCGTCGTATTTGGGTGAAACGGCCGGGTGGCTCGGCCACCCTGGTGCCATGTTTGGAAGACGCAGTGGTTGATGAGTTGCGCGATCAAGTCATCATGAAATACGGAAACTCACTAGGGAGAACCTTCGATTCCCCAGATATTGTGATTAGAATCGTAGCGCGCGAAGCTTCAACCCGGCTCACGACCACAGACCGGCTACTGAGTCCCGAAGAAGTTTTGGCATCTGTGCTGGATTCATATTATCCTGACGGTCAATCAATCGAAGAGGCATTACTGATTGAGGCACCTTCACGTCGGACACCAAAGCCCTCGCCTCGACCCACTGGTGGTTATCACCACCATCACCCCGAGCCTGGTGAGCATGGCGAATATTTCCCTCTTATGCCTGCCAATACGAAGGCTCCTACGCCACCCACCCATTCTTCCAGTTCTGGTGGAACAAATCCCCAATCGATCTCTATCTTAACAAACGGAGTCGCTCCTGCAATCCCATCACCGGGCGGCCGGCCTCGTCGTCATCAACCATCGCTTCATCGACCACCCCTGCAACGACACACGACTAATTCGCCCACAATGCTTGGCCAAGTCCCTACTGTGACAGGTATGTCCTGGATATGGATTTGATATGACTTTGGGTACCACGATTTACTGACATGTCCATCTCCGCAACAGAAACCGGCGTTTCCCCTCATTCTCAGCCTCCCCCAACCATACCGCCCCAGAACGTGCCAACCCCACCAGCAACTGTGGCCGAATCTCCTCAAGCAAAGTCCCATACTCCTCCAGCACCTATCGCATCGCCAAGATCTTTGCGGAAGTCCAAAGCAGCAGTATCGCCAGGTGCGGCTTTTGGTGGATTAATTGACGGAACCGTGCCACCGATTAACGTCCTGATCGTGGAGGACAATATCATCAACCAGAAGTTGCTAGAAGCCTTCATGAAACGCCTCAGCGTGCGGTGGAAGTGTGCAGCTAACGGAGAAGAGGCTGTTCGGAAATGGCGTCAAGGCGGATTTCACTTGGTTCTTATGGATATTCAACTGCCTGTTATGAACGGTTTGGATGCGACCAAAGAGATTCGTCGATTGGAGCGACTGAATGGCATTGGCGTCTTTTCTAAAACAGCATCTGGTCGGTCCAGTGCTTCAAGCGCCAATGAAAAACGTCCTGGTCTCTATCGCTCTGTCAGCGAGGAAGACACCCTGAGCGATCTTTCATTATTCCGGAGCCCTGTCATTATTGTCGCATTAACAGCTAGCAGTTTGCAAAGTGACCGTCATGAAGCATTGGCTGCGGGATGCAATGATTTCTTGACCAAGGTATGTTTTTCAATCGATATGCGTGTTCTTAGCTATTTGTACTGACCTCTGTTCTAAACAGCCCGTTGGTTTCCCTTGGCTTGAGCAAAAAGTAACCGAATGGGGTTGCATGCAAGCCCTTATTGACTTTGAGGGTTGGCGCAAATGGCGTGGCTTCATGGACTCCCCCCGATCCCTGTCTCCTAGCATCCAAACCGCAGCCAGCCCTATGCAAACTGGTAGTCGCGAATCTGTCGCCCAACCAGAAGTTTCATCACCTTCGGTATCGCGAACTAAATCCAAGCCGAAAGGCCTCAAGCCGCCTAATTTGCCCGATGCCGATGAAATCATGAGGCAAAATTCATGGGGCAGCGGTACGGGCGGTTCAGCAACCAGTTATGACGCAAGTCCAGCTGAGGCTGAATTCAAATCCAGTGAACCTTCACCTGGTTCAGCGAACGAATCATGATCATATATTAAGCACCCAGTCTTCCCAGGACTGCGATTCCATATACACGATTATATGCCTTGCCGCCAAATCCTTTCCATATGTCTCGACTATCTGTCTTTTCCATTTGGATACCCCCATAGCAACAATTATTCTTATGTCATGTTATTCCCTTTTTGTTATTTTGTCGTTTCTCTCATTCTTTGATTTCTTGGTAGCATGGGCGCTTTCAGGTCTCTTCGGCCGCCTCAAACATTTGTTGAACTCGATCTACTTTTCATCTTTTATGCCCGACATCAAGGTGGTCTAAAATCCTCTTCATGAAATTCTTTTTCTACCCACATATCTTCTTCGACTGTTTTCTTATCTTTTTCTCGTCCTGCATACACACACGCACTGGATATACTCACGCATACGAAAGAGATGTCCCACGTCTCATTCGGTTCTTCCCAGGCCTTAATATAGGCTTTTTCACAATTCTATTCGCCGGGTATCTCAACCATTGGGCTATAATTATTGAATCGGCTTTTTGGCGTCTACTCCACAAGTTTCAGGAATGGACAATCAATAGTCTAATGCCAATATTCGAATCTGACAACTGAATCAATTGAAACCACATCAAATCCAAGCTATCAGCATGATCATAATGAAGCAAGAAGCTACCAAAAGCGGAAACTGTCTATATCTCAAACACAATCTTAGTACAACTCACACCAGCTTGCCACTCATCTAAAGCCTTATTCGCAGATTCTAACCCACCCTCCACAAGCTTGATATGGGGACTAGCAACAAGTTCACCATTCGCAAGCTTAGTCTGCAACCAATCCCCAAAAATCCATCTCGTCCGCTCCCTCCTCGCCTCCTCATCATCCGGCGGCAACAAAAACGCCGTCTCAACACCATCAGGAACCTTCAACTCCGGATCCAGCACCGGCGCAATCCCCATCTTAGATACACCCTCCCCCAATCTCAAAGCCCCCATAACATCGACAGCCACCTGCTGTTCCCCAGTAGCATGAAACCCGATCTTCACTTTCACTCCATCTTCCTGCGCTGCCGAAACAATATTCTCTAAAACCCCCTCATCCTTGTAATCAAACACCCTGGTCGCCCCGAGACCCCGGATATACTCATGATTCTTCTCACCAGCAGTAGCGTAAACAGCTCCAAATCCCATGAGTTTCGCCTCCTGCACAGCCAACGCCCCCATACTACTCCCAGCACCCCAGATAAGCACCCCTTCCGACGAATCGGCCTTATATCCCCGCGGGATACCAGCCCACAACCACGCATTCCAGCTCACCCACGCCGCCATTGGAAAAACACTCCCCTCAACAAAGCCAAAGCTTTCCGGTAAGATAGCAATAATGTCCTGCGAGACAAGTACGTATTCTTGGAAAGCACCGTAGTCCGGTTTTCCGGCATTGAGCCACGCGCTCGCGAATGCAATGACACTGTCTCCTTCTTTGGGAGCATCAGAACGCATACCAGGTCCTGTTGTGGTTACAACGCCTGCTATGTCTGAGCCTAGGATGGCGGGGTAATTCTCGATGAAAATGCCCATTTCACGTTGGTAGTAGTCTACCGGGTTGACGGCTGCGGCTTTGACTTTGATCAGAAGCTCGCCTGGTCCTGGCCTTGGCGTTTCTCTTTGCGTGATTGTGAATTGGCTGCCCTTTTCGGTAACCAAGGCTGCTTGGTGGTGGGTTGGAACGGAAGACATTTGTATGATTGTGTTCGTATCGTTTAATTCGATTGAGAGGTAATTGAGATTGAGAGGTTCGAATTGATAAAATCGATATTCCAGATATTGGTGTCTTTTTTGCTACTTATAGATTTTCACGGCCTCTCGTACGTCTATAGTGTTCATGGTTTGAGCATGAGATATAGTTCGGACTTAGTGATATAACACGGATTTACTGGTAAACTCCGCCAGAACCTTGGGAAGGAATTCCGTCTGAGATTTCGATATCCCGAGGTCTCTTTACAGGCTTGCCTTGTCCGAACGGAATTCCGTGCGGAAACTAATGAGATTATCATGTATTATCATTGAAGAGAGTGGATTATTTAAGGTAATTATACGAGGTGTGGTGGACTTTATTCTCGCACTCGCTGCAGAATAAGGTAGGTGGGGCGTATAGGTACCAATGCGCCGTAAACTTGAAGCAGGCTATGTAGATCAAGTAAAAACACTTAATTTATTTCGTTCTGGGACGGAGTAGGGACTCCGCATTTGCGCTTGAAAGTTTTCAATCTATTTGATTCTTTGTAGTTGCGGGCTTCGTCTCAGTCATATCCCGAAAACATTCGAATGCACCGGTTTGGTTCATGCCAGTGAATATCAATATCAAAAGCTTGGAAAGTACGAATGACCAATGAAGGTGCAAACTTCGAAGGAGAGAAAAGTGGAAGACATTGGAAAAGTGGCTATACATATCTAAGTAGGTAGTAATTGGAATTCTACGTGTCAGGCTAGATCTTTTAGCTTAGCAGATCCTCGGGAGGTTTCGGGTATAACATCTAGTAAAACTGCGCCCACAACCAACGTAATCAAATCTAGCACTTGAGTAAGTCTCTATATTAGTTTCATAAAGCTAGTACCAACCCTATACAATTGAAGGCATTACCAGTTTCCATTACAGACTAGATAACTTTGAAATACATGTCGGTCTGACAAGGAGCAAAAGGAATAAAAAGCACTAAACCTTATATGGGTTCGCCCACGTATGTGGAGACACTAAAAATGTTAAGCTAGCACGTTCTTGAGGTCTTCTTGCGCTGCCAATGTCCTCGGATAGGTCCTAGCGCTGCTTACCCCCCACTCTTCCTCCTTAAATAGTTGGGATCGTCTGACAGCTAAGTACAATGGGCCTGCTGTCCGCAAACAAATTTTCCTCCACGCACGGAAAGCGTGGATACATACTCCCTAGTGGATAGGGGCAAAATCAGTTAGATTTTTCGGTACGGAGGAGGTTCGTCTCAGCTGATATCTGATCCACTCGCATCCTATTTAATTGGTGACGTTGCACCGAGAGCCGTTAGTATTTAGTTGACTTGCACGAAATATACTATTGGGCTTCGGAAAAGGGGGCGATATGCGGCTGAACGCCTAGTCCACGCCTCTCGGTGCCCTTCCAGCGATCTCCTTGGCACGATTTCTTGGGAAACCCAGTTTGCGTTTCTTTCCCCTCCTCCCCCCCGGCTTGCTGCCAGTGGTCGATCTTAAAATTCTTGTTTCTTACATAACTTGTGTGTATGCACTGAACGCGTCTTGGTTCTTTTTTATCCTTCGTTCCGTGCTACCGACTGCCACGGAAAGAGAAAAACAATACTACACTGCTTGTCAACATGAGCTCCGATAGTCGAACATGTTATTATCCAAAAGGAAACGAGGCTGGGGGTACCGTCCCTTGCACATCTGATGATGTCACCCACTGCTGTGGTAGTGGTGGAATCTGTCTCTCGAATGGGTATTGTCTTGACGTATCCCAGCCTTACGTCCTCTCCAGAGGGGGATGTACAAGTGACAACTGGGGATCAGGGTGTCCGACACATTGCCGTATGTGGTAACATGATTCACTTGAAGCGGATATCTTCTATATCAATCACATAGACTGACATCTATGACCGACCACTCTTAGAGACCTCGTCCGAAAATGAAGGCGCCTCAATTATAAATTTATCTCTCATCGATGGCATATCGTTATACTGCTGTGGTACACCTATCTACAACGGCTCTGCGATAGTCTGTCCAGACGGCGACAGCTTCCAGGTTGACGATGGCGAAGTTATCCTAGGACGCGCAGCACTCGCAAATGCGACGACCATCTCATCAAATGGTACCTCCTCAAACTCAACCACCGCCACATCCTCTGCCTCCTCGAGTAACTCGCATAACGTCGCGATCGGAGCGGGAGTGGGCGTCCCTTTAGGTGTTATCGCAATCGGCACGTTGATATGGGCTCTTTGGGAGCGAAAACGTGCGAACAGATTGAGCAAATCATTGGCTACAGCATCAGTGGGTCGAGGGACCTATAACGAGGTTGACGGTTTAACCTCTTCCTCTGCCATGACCCGAAGCTCTGCGCCAAGAGAGCTGGACCCTCAACTCCCAGTGGCAGAGCTGATGTCGAAGGAGCAACCTTCTCATTAAAATGGTTATTTCTTTCATGTAATACACCGATATTTAGTTATGTATATATACCTGCGCCGTTGATGATTTAGTGCGAAAATTCTCACATGTATAAAGGATTCCTGGTTTCCCCTTTTCGACCTAGTTGGATTTCAGAGCCTCCTAGTTCCTACTACTTGTATATAACGACATCATGATTCTAAACAACACACTGACAAATTATACTTTCCATAACAGGGAATTCGGTGTATAGACTAACAATTATCTCTAGATCGCAGGCTGCTGAACCGGGATCAGACGGAAGAAGCTTTCGGTTCGCACCGGCCCAGAATCCACTTGTGGCTTGACTAGAGCAGTCTGGATGGACGCCTCTCAACGAAACGCACAAACACGGGGTAGCGAAGCCCATTTTCCGTGGTTTTCCTTTCAGTTCGGCGTTTATTTAGCGCTAGCATATATTTTCAGCGGTGTGGAAAATATTTTCTTCTTGAGATGTTTCTGTGTGCCGAAGGCTGAATTGGCCTGCTAGAAGGGTGATAGACGGATAACATCTTATTCTGTCTGAATACCTTCACCGCTACTTAAACGACTAACATTTCTCATCGCAAACATGAATTCTGAGCATGAATTCGATATCGAGGAGTTGCCTGCGGATCAGCGCGCGTCGGCCAGCCAGAAATATCGAAAACCACTCTTCTACGTAGCACGATCAGCGATATGGATTGGTTATCTGTATTTCCTGATCCGCACACTAGCACTACTCTCTAGTCTCCAAAGAACTTGGCAGATGTGGACAATGCTAGGAGTGGAGTTGACTTTTGCTCGTGAGTGATGTCAAGATTTTCAACCTGTTCTGCTGAGCCTAACGATATTCTTAGATCTGGCTAGAAAGGAGCACCTCCGCTCTGTAACTTCTAGCAAGGTTGCGGAAGGTGGCCCGCGAAAGAGACTTCGGTTGAAGGGTACCGAAAACCTACCCCGAGTGGATGTTCTACTCCCATGCTGCGGAGAGCCTGTCGATGTCATTATGGACACAGTCCGAGCAGCTTGTACCATGGATTACCCCATTACTAAATTCCGCGTCCTGCTCCTAGACGATGGAGGCTCAGCTTTATTAAAGAAAGCCATATCTGACTTACAGCCTCAATGGCCACACCTCTCCTACCATTCCCGGGGCAGGCAGTCGGGTCAAGTATTTGCAAAATCTGGAAACCTGAATTACGCTCTAACCACACTACAAAATGAAGATCCGCCAGAGTTTTGTGCAGTGCTTGACGCAGACTCAATTCCAAATCGGGAGTTTCTTCGAGCAATTTTGCCCCATCTACTACTAAACCCTGACTCGGCCCTTGTTTCAACCCGTCAGTTCTTTTCAAATCTCCCGGAGGGTGATCAGCTGTCCCAGGCAAGATGCCACTTCTATACCTGCCAGAATGCGGAATTAGATATCTTGGGTCGTGCTATAGATGCAGGCTCTGGTGCAGTGTTTCGGAGACAGTCTATTGTTCAAGTTGGAATGTATCCGACATTTTCTTTCTCTGAAGATTGGCAACTCTCGTTAGTTCTGCAAGGGATGGGCCATCGGACTATGCAAGTCCAAGAACCTTTGCAGTATGGACTCGTTCCTACCTCTCTGACTGGGCATATTGCGCAGCGCAGCAGATGGAATATCGGTCATGCGCAGCAAGTGGTCGCTATGCTTTCCTCGAAAGCCCCTTGCTTGCCGAAGTCTCTTCGAATGAAGATTGCTTGGAACGGCGCTGGAATAGTGGGAGGCGAGTTGGGCTGTCTTCTTGCGTTTGCTGTGATTCCGGTGCTTTTGCTCTCTGGGAAAGTTATCCCAAATGTTTCACCCCTTTGGATCAATCTTCAACTCCTCTTGGCCGGGATTTCTATGTTCTTGACATGGTTGTATGAGTACATCCAGGCTGCTCATACGGGATTTGAAAGTGCACCGTTTGCTCACTTAGAAAATAAATGGCAGGCTGGTGGTGAGTTTGATTCTTCATAGAAGGCCGGCTAACTCTGTGCTAATCTCACTCTTTTGACAGGCAATATTTACTCGATATTGAAATTTTATCTATTAACAAGTAAGCCAAAGGGATCATTCGTGACTGGCAGCACTGCGAATTCCTGGAATCGAGCCACCAAATTGCCTTCATACATGAAGTTTTGTAGAGAGTTGTTGCAGAATGGCATTCTGTGCAACGTCGTGACGTTGATCATGACACTGAGTGTGATATTCTACTCCACAGCAACTATATTGACCCCGGGCAATCAAGATGCAACAACGGAAATATTTACTTCGATTGCTTGGCCACCATTGCTTCATATCTGTTACCTGAGCATTTCAAGCAATTGGGTACCAGTCGCATATCTACTCAAGCCTCCACAGTACCCTGATCGAAACTCTCAAGCCTCCCAGAGTGAACTCCAGAAGAAAGATTTGCGCCAAAACAAGTGGTCTATTCTAGACAAAGCTGGGAGGGATATGGCTCATTTTGGAAGCAGATTAGATCTTGTAGATGAGGCTGACCTATGAATCAGTGTACGAACCAATCAGAAACCACTGAAGGCTCACTCATTATTTCATACATCATTTTACTTCATCTAGAACAACTGATAACAAAAGATATTCCCATTCACATCTTAAGAGGTCTCCGGCCTATCCAAAGTCCACAAATAAAGATCGGTACCTTCATAAGAGGTCTCCTTGTGCACTTTAAATCCGCACTTCGTGAGGACTCGACAGCTCGCAGCATTCTCCTTTTCAGAAATGGCAAAGACTCTTTCGGGATCTTCCATCACACCATCGACAATTTGGGGTTCACGGCGTGGAAGAGCCCACCACATCTTTAACAGCAGCCGTAGCGCCTCTGTCGCGTATCCTTTGCCCCATGACTCGGGAAGATAGGAATACCCAATATCCGGACAAGGATTGAGCGAATTGATACTGACGTAACCGATGACCTGCTCCTCAGACTCGGAAATCGATTTATCAACAATTGAATAATTGAAAGAACAGCCGTTTATGTCATCGGATCCTTTAAAGATCTTGCTTGCTAGCCACTCTTTTGTTTCTTCAACGGACTTGAAGGGAGTTTTGGGATAGCTAGAGTCAATATTAGTATTATATAATTGTAGAATCGGAGGAGATTTTTACTTTGTTTTTGCGACTTCTGGCCTTGCGCGGACAGCAAATAATGCGGGGACATCACGCTCAGCGACAGGTCGAAGAAGCAGTCGATCACTTTCGATTGTAGGCCCGGTCGCTGGTATTAGGACACGGACAGATTGATGTGGAAGAAATTCGAGCACCATGTCGATGGTGTATGCGTATGTCGTTTAACTTAATAACAGGGGCCTTAGCATATAAATAAGATAAAAAACAGGGGGAGTTGAATACATTCTATTTGAAAATGTGCTGTGAGACAAAATGCTGTCAGCTTCGTTCGTTAATTTACGCACGGTCTTTGATTGGCCAACCCCAGTGTCCCTAATAATGGACACGCTAATCCGGTCTCGGAGCCCGATGATGAGCCTCTTGGTTGATGAGTTGGCACGGTAAGAACGGTTGAGGCTAATTGGATTACACAGTACTAGGGCGATCTAGAATTCTAGAACTATAGGATGACCCCAAGGTCCTCATTTTATAGAAAGCTTCCCATGTGGTTCATCTTGGGCCTTATCTTTAATCTTATCACGATGACAAACATGTTTGCTTTTTCGCTCCGATGCTTGGCTGAACAAAGACGGCTCTTTATTGGCTATGCTTCTTATCGCTCCCCTTGTCACGGGACTTAACCCCACACTTTGCGGTTTACAGTTGGCCATCGCAATGTGTCCCCGATAGATAGCAACTTGAGAACTGCATGTAGCCATGGATAATCGAAAACGTGCCGCTCGAGCGTAAGTCAAGCCCCGCGAAAAAAGAAAAGAGAAAAAAAAAACGAGTATCAACTCTGATCACAGACTACAGGTGTGATGAATGCCGACGGCTTAAAGAGAAGTGTGAAGGTGGAGCCCCGTGCAGGAGATGTCTGCATTTTCAGCGACATTGCGAATTTAAGGGTTCAAAGTCAAGAACACGGGAATTCCGCCAATATGTCCCCAGGTAAGCAGATTCGATCTGTCATCGACCTGGAAACAAGTCATTGAACCCATGACCAGGGAACGGGTGGATCGGTCTGAGTTCCACGAGCAAATCGACCGCTGCAAATATATGGAACGGATCTTGAAGCGAACTATCGAGGGGATAAGGCTGGATACAAAAAGCCTTGCAAGGTTAGCCGATGCGCTTGATGCTGATGTGTCGGACGCCAAAGAAGTTGAAGGGCTAGTCATAGACGAAGAGGCTTGCACTATGGATCCTGTTGGGGATAACACGACACGTTTGTTTTCTCTTTCGCTCTGCCTTTCAATCGGCGCGCTAACATGAAGTAGATTTCTCGGGCGAATTTTCGTATTGGAACTTCTCAATGCGCGTCAAAAATCACATAGAGAAGCAGATGGGGGGATTTGGGAATAAGGTAGGACCCATTCAATTATATTCACCGCTATCTCATAAAATGGCCCACGCTGAACGGAGGAGCAGATACAAGGTTCTGAACAGGTATCAGATTTCCCACGCGCCCATCACTTGCGACCAGGCCTCGCTCATCTATCAGCGGCTATCTCAAGCTGTCCTCCTCGACAGATCGCAGACTTCTTGGCAAGAACATTTTTCAAATATGCCGAAACACATTATTTTTTCGTGGGCCAGTCTTGGTGCCTAGCGAAGATGGATATGCTGTATAGTAACCCCGCTTCCTTTACCCAAAAAGGTGGCGAGGTAGTCATTAGTATTCTACTCATGATATTCGCCATTGGGACACAATATGCGCATCTCGAGTCGTCCTTTCGTCATTCGGCTCAGGCCACTGATTCCAACTTTGCAGAAGAAGATATCGGTACAACTTTCTATCAGCAAGCAATTCGATTATTGCCTGAAATTATTGAATTATCTTCACTTGAGAGTGTTCAGGCTTGCTTACTTTTGGGTTACTATGCGCTTCCAATTGATGCATCGGGCTTGGGATACATTTATATCAATCTTGGTGTTCGACTTGCAATGCAGAATGGTATGCATAGAAAATGCAAGAATAGCGCGTTCAGCCCGACAATGATCGAGACTCGCAACCGTGTTTGGTGGACTGTATATTCACTTGAAAGGTGAGACTGCACCACGTAAAAAAAGAGGAAAAGATTCAAATAAAAATTATTTACTTATATTCATTAGGAAAATATCCATTTTTCATGGTCGGCCCCTTTCGGTCCTTCGAGCTGATGTCGATGCTACGATACCCCTTCATCAACCGAGCCTAGACCTGGGCGAGTCTTATGAAAGTGTCGCACGCGCGAAAGCATCTATTCAACTTATTAACTATTTAGAAGATCTTTTTATTGAAGTGTAAGATACCATACCTTGCTCTCGCGAAATGCTCCAATTAACTGACATATTTTAAAGAAATGCCCTTCGGAGTGGTCAAAAGCAGCAAATACCAAAGGTTATCAAAAGCCTGCTGGCCCGTAAAATGGCTCTCAAGACATGGTGGAATTCACTGCCAGAGGATATACTCAGCGACAGGATACAAGACGAAGTTCACCATGATGGCCGGTCAACATTGCATCTGAAACTGGAATATTGCCTGGTGAGAATGTTTATTGGCCGGCCATTCTTGCTGAAAAGGGAAACGTCAAACTCGATCGGGGTTTCGCCCACAGACTCAGACATGAGTATCCCAGATAATCACCCAGGCAAAGAAATTAGGAAAGAGAATTATGTCACAGGTCGCCAAAGCTTGGTAGACGATTGCATAGAAGCCGCAACAGAGGCTTTACAGATTTGTCAGGACTTGAGGGACAACAGGGCGGGGCTTGCCCGAGCTTCCTATATTGAATATAGCTCCTGTAGAGCTTCATTGCTCGTGCTGATCGCCTACTCGATCCAAAATTTCTCCGAGCAATTCCGCAAGCTGCTTTACAATGGCCTTGACATGATCAGAGAAATGTCCGCCGCGGGAGAATCAGCGCGCTCCGAGGTGTCGCTGATCGAAATGCTAGAGCGTGCACTTGCTCGACTACACACTGGCTCACATAGTTCACAACACAGCGGAAGCCATTTACAACCGGAAGCGAGCGTTTCAGATTACGAAGCATTCAAACACTGGGGAGCGAAGATACGAGGAACTCCAGCCATAGAATCGCCTGGGACGACAACGGACGGTATGGCCGGCCAAAGGAGACCAACTTTGCCGTCGGAAATATTTAACACAGAGGAACAAGTGGCAGGAACTGATTATGTAGGTATGGAGCCGGCACTGGGGAGAGACTTCGATGCCGGCATGCTCGGCGCTTTTGATTCCGTGCTCGAGATGTCTATATTTGGTCCTGAGAACCCCTCTCCATCAGCAGCCTGGCCGACTTGGACTGAGGCTGAGGTTCTTGAACAGTTTCTAACCAATCCAGAATTCGATGGAAGTCCGGAATTGATGCATACATAGCACCTATTTATTAATATTTGAGCCGATCTTGTTGATGTATAACAATCGATAATAAACGTTTCAAACTAGCGGCTGGTATTCGCTAAAATCATTTCCAAACCCCGGGCTACGAGTTCTGAGTCATGTTCTACATTTAAATGCATCAAGTGAACTCGACGAAAAGTCTAGGGTGGTCTGCCATCATTTAGTACCCCATAACCCACAAAAAGTGTTTTAAGGCTCTAAGGTATTCCCAAACGTTTCATTTTAGAAATTTTATTCTAAATAGGATGTTGCAAATAGTACCGTGAAGGCTGTTTAGGAATCATTTAGAGAAGTGTTGTATTTTAATTAATCCCTATACAGATCCTTGATTCGGTGTACTAGCTAGTATACTGTATGACCATAGGGTATACATAATAGGGCTTCCTATCTACTTCAAGTTAACTATACTTAAGCTATATATAGTAGTATCAAGGTTATTAATAGCGCGAGGGTTTGGGAAGATGAAAGGAAGAAACTCAAGATGACACTTCCACATCTCAGAGTGCTAGACCTGTATTATGCGGACGAGACAAGCTCCGACTCCGACGAAGATTACTCTAGATAGCATCTAAGCTGTCCCTTGATTTACAACTGTAGTCGTCTATATGTTTTAAATTTACCCGACGACTGGGTGCCTGGCGCAGCACATCCAACTAGTTAGTATCAACAATTCCCATAATCCATTTTTTGTCTGCTTGGTAGCCTGTTCTCTGTGGTGGTGATTTTTGCTTTTTGATTGCGCTCGTGCTGATTACCGCACTGCCAACAGGCATTCCCCAACTCAATTCCGACGAAAGGCGTGTGGGAGTGCAATCTCGTTCCGCGACAGCTCAATTCTAGGTGCATTTATGCCAAGATCTCATGACCCATGGCCCTCATTCTCTCCTAGGCTCACATTCTCCATTTGCGCTAGTTACTGGTTGCGGTTCTTGGAAAGTTTTAGTCTTTGGTATCCGAGGCCATTATTACTAGTAGCTACTAGAGCTTTGCAAGCGGAGAACTTCCCGGCTGGCGAACGCAGAGGGTATGCCGCTTGGCCTATGAACATTTACAAGGCTCATGATTTTGAAATACACCACACCAGCTGTCAGGTGCCTTGAAATTCAATCATCAATTTGAGTCATGTTCATTTTGTTGATTGCTTATAGGTTATTGCCTATAAAACAAATGAGTAAAATATGCGTGCCGCTTCAACTTGAAGTTGGTGCTGCCTACTAGTTAGTACTAGTAGTATTTTGCGAATGGCTCTTTGAACAGATACATACTAGTATGTTACAACTTGAATTTGCTACCTCAAGCCGTCAAAAGTCAACATGGTACTTGTATCCGTCTATACAAATGCGATATATTGGGTTGTATCAGTCCATCATGTAATCCGGGCTCTGGAGAGTGCAGTGCCTTCGACTGCCACAGGGTCACTTGCTCTGGCCCGAACTGTAAGGACGGTCTATGTACAGGTGAAGGCTGTGAACCAGAAGATTATGATTGCGAATCCGAAGAAGCAGACGCCTGTACGGAATCTGCGTATTCATATACGGATACTAGTACCAGCACACTGACTACCGAGACCTCAGCTTCCTGCCAAACCATCACTGCGTGTTATGCCGAAGCCACGACCACAAACACAACAATTTCGTCTACAGATGAGCCGTTGAGACGATTTTTTTTATTTGCCTACGATTATACCGCAGACATGTCCGAAGTTGATTCGATGTCTAACGAGGACAGCTCGAGACTTAGTAAAATGTCGAGGCCTCCCACACCGACACCGACAACGACAACGACAACGACAACTACTAGCACGACCTCTACTACCGAGTCCTCCATCTCTACGGAGTCAAATGCTCCCGCTGAAACAGACAGGACGTGTGGGTACGATGATGGATGGAGCAACGATGATCAATGGCAATGTCACCATTCCGTTTTCGATTTGAAAGGTTTCTGCGACATGGCGAAAACCTATATTCCCAATGAAAGTTTTTACGGGTAAGCTATTGCGCATTGCTCTGATTATTGAGACGGCTTTGATGATATTATAGAAATAGTGATGGTACCTATTCTGAAAGCGTCTGCTATACGGACGGCCGGCACGCTGGCGCTGGGTGTCGTATCGACATTCAAAATCATGACGGCAAGGAATGTGCTATCGAGGGTGGTGCAATGGCCTCGTATGTTCAACCCACCCTGAGATTGGAGATAAAATCACCGTGCTGACTGATTTGACTTCTAGTGCCTATGATCGTCTCATCGATGACTGTGATGTGCATTGTGGACTGGTATTTTTTTGCAGATGGCTGTTGGATGAGATACTTATAACTGTTGTATATTTTTGATTTTGCTAATATTTGGATCTGTTGAAAGTTTCTGTGTTTCATGTAACTAGGCCGATCTTTTTTGAAACCACTCGTGCCAAAATTGAACCTTTTAGCCTAGCTAATTATATCCGATGGTAAAAGGATTAAATCGAAATCATACGAAGCTAGCCAGACCGTTGTGTGGGGCATTCAGCCGGCACAGCCGCACTATATGATTGGTTTGTCCATACGAGGGGACCAATAGACTGTTGCTGGGGCCAGACCCGATTTCGATTTTCGCTGTGTATGGGGATCCACCGCTCGTATAGTCATAACTGCTTATTTTCTGCGCCAGGCTGCAAAAATAGGGATAAAATGATATTTAAATGGCAAGATTTCCTCCTCGTCATGAATAATATCCAAACTGTTATAATTATTGACCATAATAATCCCTAACCTGCAAACATCACTACAACCAAAATGGGGGAGTGTAAAGGTACCGATTCCCCGATTCCTCTGAAGCAATCCAAATAGCTCACACAAGAAATAGCATTGACGGACCCCGACACAATGTGGAACTTTTGTCCCTCAGTCGGCGCTGCATATCTATTCGCCGTTCTTTTCGCCCTCACAACCATCGCCCATACTGCCCAAGCAATCATATACCGCAAAGTTTACTGTTGGGTGATCGTTGTGTCCGGGTTGATACAATTTGTTACCTACATATTCCGCATTTTGAGCATCCTCAACCCCGCTAGTTATGCCGATTACGCCGGATGGTTCGTGTTGATTCTCATCGCACCGTTGTGGACCAATGCCTTCGTTTATATGATCATGGGCCGCATGGTATGGAACTTCACCGATGATGCACGCGTCCTAAAGACGCGCCCCTGGAATTTCGGCATGATATTCGTTACTTTGGACATCATGTAAGCTTCATTACTTTCTAACTATATACTTCCTCCTAATCATTCAATAGCGCCTTCGTTATCCAGGTTTACGGCGCAGCCCAAGCAGCCGGGAACAATGTCGCGTACGATGTCGAGATGCAGGGCTTACACATATACATGGGAGGTGTTGGTCTTCAACAGCTTTTCGTTCTTGTATTCATTGTTTGTGCCATCGTCTTCCATATCAAGATAGTTGGACAGAAGCGATTCGATGCTAAGAAGGCTTCGCTTCTGTTGTATGTTCTTTACGCATGCCTTGCCCTGATTACAGTAAGTAAAAAGCACCCTGGAGTCCGATACTTCGAAAATCAACTAACAGAATAGATGCGTATCATTTTCCGTCTATGTGAATATTCCCAGGGCCTCACGAGTACGATTCCTCTTCACGAAGCGTACCAGTACTGCCTCGACTCACTACCGATGCTTGTTGCCCTGGTACTTCTCAATATTGTACACCCCGGAAGACTCATGCCCGGAAAGGACAGCGACATGCCGAGTCGCAAGCAGCGCAAGAACTTAAACATGTATACCAAGCCGACTAGACCAACAGACGACATGGCTCTTGGGGATTTCTAGAGGTGACCGGCCTGAGCCATTATAGAATAGATCATGGGGAAATGGTTATTTTTCTTGTTTGGTGTTATTTTAAATTACGATTCTCTCAGGTTAATTATAGGAGCTTCAGTATCGGGAAAGAATCCTGAAATTAGAAATTGATTAAATTTGAAGTTCAAATTACACATGTTTTTCTATGTTTTGTGTTTTCGGCATCCCATTACCCACATTCGGGATCCCACAGGCAGCCATCGGCATCCCATCGGTATCCCATCGGTATCCCAGCATACATTCCCGATTCTCGATCTTTTCTTGATTTTGGCCCCCATGACTCGTTATATACGGCCATTTTGACCCAATGTGAATAGAAATATGCCTAGTGAGGCTGATGTAAAAGCAAAATATTATCAATTGAATCTGAGCCATATAAGCACTTGAATATCCTCAATTTCTCTCTAAATAGTTACATTTTCCGACCGGTTCGCCCAAGCAACTTATGAGGCATCCGATGTCCAAGACTATCGCTGACAAAGCAGCCAACTTCAAATTGAACTTCCTTCTTTGTGCTCACTGATTATCCTAGTTTAATGCCAACCGTGCCATTCTTGGCTCTATAGGCATCCCTTATAATGCCCCGTATTGCACCGGAAGACCGAAAGCGGGCATATCATTCGAAGACGCGCACCGGGTGCTTAGCTTGCAAGTCCGTTCCCCACCCCCCCATCTGACAAGCAAGACCTCTACTAACCCGCCCTAGAAGTGAGAAGAGTATCTTCGTATCGAATTACCTGACAGGTTACTCACTCGGATGAATAGGACGACGTGTTAAATGCGGCGAGGAGCGCCCGGCCTGTCTGCGATGCACCTCAACCGGCCGCCAATGTGGCGGCTATGGAGACCCGACCACCCCCCTCTCAGACAGCCAATCAAAGGCATTAAATAGGCCTATTGTTGCTAGGCCAATTAGCCTTCCTTTTCACGACCAATTCTTATGCGACCAGGAACGGAGATCATTCGAATTTTTCCTAACGAAGACAGCGCCGCAATTAGCTGGGGACTTCGAATGCGCTTTTTGGGAACGCCTGCTACTGCAAGCTGTACATCATGAGCCCGCCATTCGCCATGTCACAGTAGCCCTAGGCTCTCTGCATGAGCACTTTGAGCGCGATTCAGGTGCTCCATTTCGCTCTGGTACTCTAAACCTCCAAAATTCCTTCGCCCTGCGCCGATACTTACAGGCTATGCGTTGCTTAATGCCTACACCTGGGACGTCCCAACCTATTGATGTCTGCTTGGTCTCATGTATCTTATTCGTTTGCTATGAGGTGTGTGATCTTTGATATTGTTCCCCCCTTATTTAGCTATGCGTGCTAGCGAAGGTTAGGCTATGCGTGGCCATTATGGCGCGGCTATCACGCACATTACGAGCGGACTCAAGATCCTCAGCGAGCTTCGTAGCACACCGTCGAGCTCTAATTATCTCAAGCCTTCTGGTGTAGGGCGTACCTCATACGTCTCTATTGACGTTTTATGTGGGATATTTTCGCGCCTTCAAGCGCAAGTAATAGTGGTATGATTCAACTTGCTAAACGTTTTTTGAAATTATTTCAAGCTCACCTACTACAGACACTTCCTGAAAAAAGCCCCTCATCTTTCGAGAAAATATGGCCCGCTCGGGTGGTTGAACAGGGTCAACCTGTCGTATTCAAATCCTTAGCTCATGCGCGTGAGATGCTAGAGATCCATACCTACGACTATCGACAGCAGAGCATCAAGTTACTCGACCAGCAGATACAGGGAAACTTGACGGATTGGACTACTTCTACAGACTTCGTTTCTCCTGTCAGTCTGGAGGCTGCTGCTCTGCGCGATACCTTCCTCTCTATCCTTGATTCCTGGTCCACTGCGTTAGACAATTATCTACGAGACCATAGCGCCTCCATGACAATCCGTCAGCAGCGCGGAGCTGCTATTCTTAAAGTTCGTGAGCTTGACTCATTCATCTCATTAGACGTTATTCCGTCTATAGGAGGGCTCGCAGTAGACAACCAAATGCTGTGGGATAGTTATATTCCTCTTTTCGAGCGAATTGTGACGCTCGGAGAATCCATTATTCAATGGTTTCCTTACTCTTCGCTTTCATCATCGCCAACGAATTTCTCACTCGATCTCGGCATTGTCGGTACATTGTTTAATGTGGCTGCGCGGTGTCGCGATCCTCGTATCCGACGTCACGCTATAAGTGTTCTCCGCGCCGCTGCCGTTCAGGACGGGGTATGGAATAGTGCCGTTGTAGCGGATATAGCAGAGAAATGGGTCGAAATTGAGGAAGAAGGGCTAGGCACCGTAACAACCTGTGCAGATGTCCCTCCAGACTCACGGCTAATACATTTCCTGCCTGTGTTTGACGTGGACCAGTGTAGTGCACTGGTCTACTTTTGTTTCACGTTGAAGATAGACTCGGGCAGTGTGCGTGGAGAGGTGTTTCAGTGGTAGTTACCACTTTGGAAAGGTTATATGAACAGAAGCTAAACATAATGAACATTCAAACATAATCAATCAAGTCGAAGCAGCAATAATGCCCTCCGCCATCTTCTCCAATGTATCTTCCATAACTTCCAACTCCGCATCAAAAATTTCCGCACAAGACTCCTTCTCATAAACAGTACAATAAGCCCCCCGAAACCCAATCTTAACAGCAGCAGTAACATCCCACATATGAGCAGCAGCAAACCACTTCGCATCCTCCTGCGCAAATTTCGCAAATGCAGGCCTATAAGCCGCCAATGCCGGCTTCGCGACTCCCTGCGAGTCACAACTAATAAAGTTCTCAAGCGGCATGTCTAACCCAGCACGCTCAAAGTACCCGCGAACACGCTTAGCGTCGCCCGTTGTTAAAGCCCAAACGGTGAATCCGGCATCGCGCAATTTTCCGAAACAGTCCTTCGTGCCGGGTCTTAATTCAAGCTCGGAGTATGCTTGGGCGCAGGCGTCTCGCTCTGCGTCTGTTGCGAAGTCGCGGGGGTTTTCAACTCCCATCATGTACAGGGATCGGTAGAAGAGGGCTAGAAGGATCTCTTTGTAGGGCTTGTAGCGCTCTGAAATGGAGAGGAAGGTGAATTCAAGCTCGGCGGCTGTCATCCAGGTGAAGCCGAAGGAGCGGGCAGTGATGTTGTGGGCTAGGAGCTTCTTGCCGATGGTGCGATCGATGCCGCTGTAGAATGCATCGAATGAAACGCATGTACCGACGACGTCGAATACGACGTGCTTTTGGGGGGGCATTGCTGCGGTTTGTGTTTGTGTTTTTTCTCTTCGCTGGTGCGGGGAGGGAGCTTTGTTTGGGGTGATTTGTATTTGGTTGGAGTACAGAAACACCGATATGGACGGTATACCGTGATGTTGATGATTGGTAAATGACAAGGAACAGATAAGATAGATCGAGAGGTCCAATTGAAGAAATATGAGAACAATTATTTACCCGATCTTTCTACAAGTCTGTGCTGTTTTCCTGCTCCATTAGATAGCTTTCCCATTTGTTCCCCGCACCAGCACTCGATAGTCCAATCAGGCCGATGCCGGCGCGGTTAGTATTTCCTAATGGGGAAGGACCGGTCCGGTTACTCGTGATTGGTTCACGATAGACTTATCTCGACACGTTTCTAACTGTCCGGGGAAAGGGGGGGGGGTTCGTCTCTTGATAGTCAGAGATACGCGTGACCAATTGATCTTAATCTATCTTGACTTCGGGATCTGAAGACTGTCATGTGCGACCTTGGCGTGGTAGCCACAGACCAACTCACGATTAGACATTTTTGATATGTAATGGTAACATTTACAGCGATGAGACTCAGTTGGGAGAATGGCCAGGAAACTCTCACGTTGAAGGCGTCTTACATCGTATACTACAGCTGGAAATGCAATTCCTGACCCCCAGAAAGAACTTGCGTAAGACTGAATCATAGTCTTCTGAGCGCCGATCCATTGGCCTTTGTAGGATTGAACTGACTAAAGGTTTTAAAAATGTAACAGGTGACAATTGCGGAGATTTATTAGAGTTCCTCAGTAGTAGGGCCAATAGAGAAGAAATAATTAGTCAATACGCCAGTCGTGAAGAAGTGACTAACCTAGCAGCCCACAAGGTCCTCAGCATGATAGAAAATTTCAACGGGAGGAGAGTCAATATCCGTGCGGCTTAGGATTTCGGCAAAGAACACGAGATTTTCCAAAAAATTGTTCTATTTCGCAAAACGCTATTTATCATATAAATTTACAAACATGTGTGTAGATCCTGGACTTAGGACCATAGGATATTGAGCTTTCGAAGTCCACGTTTTGGCTTCGGTTCTGGCTCAGGGTTGTTCTGATATTGCTCAATAAATGGTCGAATAGGAATCTCCTCCAACGGGATAATCTTCGTCTTCATCACGATTTTATAACCAAAATAAACAATCACAATAAAAGGCAAATTGAAGTACGACGAAATAAACGTCTCTGTACTCCAGCGGCCCTTCATGAAAGTACTATATCCTCCAGTAAAAAACAGGACAACGAATACAATCAGAGATGCCCAGGTAGTATATGGCTGGAGAGGAGCAGCCCATGGAAGTTCGCGGTGGCGATCGATGCCCTGCTTTTTACATCCATAGAGAAATCGGAGATAAACCACCAGGATGCAGATCCAGTTTACCATTGTCGAGATGGACACGATATCTTGAAGCCATGTGAACACAGTGCTAGCAGAGCTCGAAACGGTCATGTACCCGAGAGCCATGAAGACACCGTACAGAGCGACAGCAACGTATGGAACGGTGAAGCGATTAATACGTTTGAAGATTGCCGGGGCGTGACCTTGCTTTGCCAGGCCATAAAGGATTCGAGAACCGCCGAGCATATTGGAGTTACCGGAAGACCAGGCTGAAGTGAGGACGACGGCATTGATAATTGAGGGGACCACTTTGATTCCAGCCTCGCGAGCAGCGATGACGAATGGTGACTCGGACGATGTTCCGGAAGAGTTGAGAAGGTTCGGATCGGTAGATGACACAACGAGACCGACCATAAACATTGTGATCACGTAGAATAGGAGGATACGGATGAAAATTCGTCGGGCAGCCATGGGGATTGCTCGGCGAGGGTTCTTCGTCTCGGCAGCAGCCACAGTAATGTTCTCAATTCCCGAATATGCATAGAGGGCATTGTTAAAGACGGTCCAGAAACCAAGGAATCGGCCCAGTGAGCCTTCCACGCCGAGGTATTGGACGAATGGGCCGTACGGGGCCTTCCAGTATTCGAATCCAATACTCTTGTGATTAGGTGCTCCTCCACATGTAATAACCAAAGCCATAATATTGATTCCAATAACAAGCATAATCTTAAGTATAGAAAACCCGAATTCAAGTTCACCGTATACTCGGACAAAGAGGAGGGCGGTGATGATCATTAGGATACCGAAGACAGTGACCCAGATCGCGGCGTTGATAGTGATCCAAAACTCGACAATGACGGCGGCAGCGACTAGCTCGGCAGGAATAGAGACGACATAAGAGTATACTTGGTTCCATCCGTTAGCGAAGGCTAGGGCAGGATCACAAAAGATCTCTGCATAACGAATCACGCCACCATTGAGTGGAACCAAAGCGCCCATCTCGCCAACACCAAAGACAACACTGGATACTAAAGCTCCAATGACGGAATATGCGAGGAAGGCGCCTAGCGGACCAGCCTCAGCAATTGCTCGGCCAGAACTTAGAAAGAGACCAGTTCCAACAGTGCCAGCAAGAGCAATCATTTGGATATGCCGTTGGTGGAGGCCCTTTTTGAAGACAGTGATCTCCTCCAATTGACCGGCGGCATTCTCCACATCTTCTTTTTGCATTTCAGTGTTGTAAGTAGAATATTTCTTCTCGGGTGTAGTGATATCCATCCCATGCTCGTCGGGAAGTCGATGTGTTTGGCTGGACATCCTCAAAGATGCCATTATTTGAAGATGAAAAGTTTTTATTTTCTCACAGCTAGAAAAGTCAACTTTAAGGGCATTTTCCACTTGTTTTGTATTTGCCCACCTTTTTTCCACTCTCGTGCATAATGTTTCTTAGACTGCGTTGGGCACCAATCAGAATGGGTCCTGGAGGCTTATCGCGGCTGACTAGGAATTGCTAATTCCTGTCTTTCTGTTGGTGGATATGACCGGGTCCATACCGGCATCTTTTAAGGGGAAGAAGCCCTAAAGGACCTAGAAGCAAGCTGACCTCGCATGCTTGACCTTGCATGCATTTGCGGGGAAGTAAATCAGTGGGGCTTCAAAGCTCTCGCTATCGCGGTTTTCTGTATCTGGCAATTGCCAGCCGGTGCCGGGCGGACAGTGAGTGGCGCCAGATACGCTTTTCCGATCCAGTCCCGATTACCGGTTAATCAGATAAAGTCGGTCAAGGACTTGAAATGACCTTAACAATAGTTATGTCAGAGCTTCGCTGTGCCTAATCTCGATAGTTTTTAGTTTTTTTTTTGCTTTTTCTCAAAGACTATTCAGGCATTTACGATCATGACTCTCACAAACGGCACATCTGCATCCCACACCGCTGGAACACCAAATTGTTTCCCTTCTGTCACTCCAGGGGACACTTTCTGGCAGAATGAAAAAGATGAACTCCATGATTACCGATCAACAGAACAATTGCCCGAACATAGCGACATTGTGATTGTCGGTGCTGGTTATGCTGGAGTTAGTACTGCCTACCATCTTGTAAAGGATCATGGCCATGCCAAGAAATCAATCACAATCCTTGAGGCTCGTGGCGCTTGTTCTGGCGCCACGGGCCGGAATGGCGGACATTGCAGACCTGACTTCTACGGTCATATCCCTACATACATGGACCGGGCGGGAGCTCGGGCGGGTGCTGAGATCGCCGAATTTGAGATTGCCACTCTCCGCGCAATGAAGAAAATCATTCAAGAAGAGAACATTGATTGTGATTTTACTTTGGCTCGATCAATTGATGTTTGGTGCAATGCAGACGCTGCAAAGAAAGCCAAGGCAGTTTACGACCGAATGCTTGCAGAGAAATTTGAATACATGGAAGATGCTATCTTCTATGAAGGAGACCAAGCTGAAGGAGTAAGTTATCTTTCTATCTTTATTCTGCTCGAAGGATATTCGCTCATATATGATAGATTTGCGGTGTGAAAGGCGCCAAGGCATGTGCAAGCTTTACAGCTGGTACTATGTGGCCATACAAATTCATTATGCACCTTGTAAGACTGGTTCTTGCTGCCGGTGTTAACTTGCAAACCCATACCCCTGTCACGGCAGTCAAGCCAGACCCACAAGGCGGCTACACCGTGACTACTTCCCGAGGGATAACACATGCCACCAAGGTTGTCTACGCCAACAATGCCTACGTCTCGGGTGTCCTCCCACAGTATAAGAAAAATATCATTCCTTGCAAAGGCATCTGTTGTCGAATCACTGTTCCCGAGGGAGTGAAGGCCCCCTTGCTCAACAACTCATACATCAACCGCACCGAGGACAACACACTATCATACCTGATCCCTCGATCAGATGGCAGTATTGTTGTTGGTGGCGCTGCAGCAGTCTTCAGATCATCTGAGAGCCAATGGTATGATAATGTGGACGACAGCATTTTGATTGAATCTGCCAAAGACTATTACACAGACTACATGCAGAAGACCTACAACGGCTGGGAAGAAAGCGGTGCTAAGGTCGATCAAATCTGGTCAGGTGTCATGGGATACTCATATGACTCCAATCCTCATGTTGGTGTTGTTCCTGGCGAACAAGATCAATTTATCCTGGCTGGTTTTAATGGCCATGGCATGCCTGTTATTTGGCTCTCATCCAAGGGACTGGCCAAGATTGTCATGGATGATCTTAAGTTTGAAGAAACCGGTTTGCCTCGACTTTTTGAGACCACAAAGTTCCGAATTGATCGGGCTTTGAGTGGAAAGGTTGAAGATGGAGATATTCTTGGATCTGGGAAGTTCGCGGCGACAAGGCCATAAATCTATTGATAATATAGCGTTTACGAGCAAAAACAATTTGAATTCTCAGATTATCCGAACGAAAACCTCCAAATAAGAACGTCTAGCCACGGTCAGCTTCTGGACAGCACGTGCTGTGCTTGATTCGGCTTCACATTTCGAGGCGACATTAATCGCAACACGCCGAAGTGTCTAGTCTTGGAGACGGAGTACGGACTAGGACGTACGGACTTGGGTTTGCTATAGTCTCTGATCCCGTACTGAAAATTACAAATCCAACGTCAGAAATCTATCCTCAATGACTCATTCGCTGGGCTTGTTCTAGTTCTGAAATTGATATTTGATGTCCATTCTACTATATAAGAAATCATATTTAGACTTGAAGTTCAAGAACTAAGCACCCCCGCCGCAATCTGATTATCCTAGCCACAGAACCAAACACCTTGACAATCTCAATGTCACAAATCGGATCTAGAGCACCTTTTACGAAAGAACAAACATTTACCAACTACAATCATGAACAAGGCAATGCTTATGTCCAGGGTCGCCCGGACTACCACCCTAAACTATACCAATACATCATCGACTCTCACATCTCGACCGATGGCCAACTAGATACACTTCTAGATCTGGGTAGTGGTCCAGGTACTGCTACTCGGGCATTGGGGGTCAACTTCGCTCACGCCATCGGCCTTGATCCATCCGAAAGTATGGTTGCTACAGCTCGGTCCATAGGGGGTGTCACTTCGATCTCTGAGTCCATCCGCTTCGCGGTCTCTACAGCGGAAGACTTGGGCACAAGTCTCTCAAACCAACCAATTCCAAATGCCAGTGTTGACCTTATAACAGCCGCCAACTCTGCACACTGGTTCAACATGTTTCGATTCTGGGAAACGGCTGCTCGTATCCTCAAGCCTGGCGGGAGCGTTATAATGTGGACGAACGGCAAAACAGCCATGCACCCATCTGTTCCCAAATCCACTGCTATCTATGCCGCCCTAGATCATCTGGAAGAGACTCATCTGAGATCTTATATGGTTCGAGGGAATTTCATGACGAGGAATCGCTATATCGATCTTGCCGTAGACCCTAGATGTGCCTGTTTCAGGTTTTTATCAGCCAGCATTTGTTAGGAAAGAGTGGGACATTATGAAGGACCCCTTTGCTTATCAGTCTGAAGCCAGTTTAGATGCCTTTGAGAAGATGTTTAAGGCAATGAGCACTGTGACTCGGTGGTATGAGGCCCATCCCGACGCGATCGGTACTGAGCGGGATATCTCGAATGTATACCGGAGGACGATTGAGGGCCTCCTAAATGAAGCCGGTGTTGATCAAGGAAAAGAAATGCTTAAGGGGGCCATGCACGGGGTGACACTCACTGTGAAACGATCTGCCTAGGCGGGAAGGCCATATCTTCATAGATTCATGGCTAAGCTTCAGGAAATTGTGCGCAGCCATTTTACGTTCAAATTGAAAGTGGGAAGAATGGATGTATTTTTGCCTCCTGCTGATCATTCCAAAGGGAAATCCTGCAAAAATATCGAACGGGGTTATAGGCGATTCGCCTGGCTGAACTTTCCGGTAAAATACCAGTGAAAGGATTCGTAGAGCATCCACAGCCCTCTTGAAGGATATCAATTTAGGTGTTTTTCTAGAGTTTCCATCGGCTTAGGTTACGTTTTGTCTCGAAGTAATCAAAATATTCTTCCTTTTTTCTACCAATCAAAGGCCAAGATCTCTGGATGTCGCGGTGGTGTGGGTTGCTTATGCATTCGCTGATTGGCCGGCTCGGGTTTTTGACGTCATATATGCTGTTTTTAGATCGAATATAGTTGAATTGAATGCATGCGAAGGATGACTTTAAACACTAGTCCAAATAAAATATAGCTCCGCGGCATAAATAAATGATATTATTTGACTGATTCATGGATGGTTTCGAGGGAAAGTTCCCCTCTTAAAAAGAGATTACAACTCTCAACCATAGCATTGTGCTCCAAGACACATTCCTGAAAACTGCTACCTAAAACCAACAGTTGTGCTCTTTCCAGTGCCCCAAAACCAGTTTTTATCAATGTAAGAGATATGGCTTCTTATGGGGAGTTTTATTGACCTACTGACTTCTCTTCCAGAATAATGAGCTCGGGAGGTTCATATAGCCTTTACGTTTTTTGCATCATTATCGGCTGCATCGTTGCCACATTCATCGGTTACTCGATACATTATCTTGGTACCAACGGATTCGAAGAAGACAAGTACGAACCGGAGATGTCTCATGAGCAAAGAGAATATATGAGAGAGGTACGGTTCCGAAATATTCTCAAACTTGAGGAAATATGCCGAAGAAAGGGTTGATTCATGCAGCTTGGGAGGCATTCACGATATACACGGCAAGGCTGATGAGCCATGCAATTGTTTACCGGGCTTGTCCAACACATTTCATTTCCTTCAAAGTTTGCGGGGGCTACTTTCAGCTTTCGGGATATACAAAGGGCGCAACTATGGCGTTGACGGGTTTCGACGTTGTATATAAACTACGAATAAAAGCTTCCCACGAAGAAAAATGATTCTATCAACGCATGGACTGCAAATTTTTGTTGAGTTGTACTGTATAGATCATTCTCTTCAAAGATACTCATGTTGCTAGTTTTGTTACTTTTTCTTTCTGTTAGCCAGATCGCCTTGGTAGTCCTACTGGCCTTCATGGTTCATCTAAGTCCATCCAAATTCGGACCAACTAATTGCGAGAATGACTTTTCTACCTTCTATCTGGCCATCTGCTATGTCCGAGATTTCTACGTACGAAAACCTCAAATGTATGTGACGTACACCAGCCAATCCGCTGACACTAATTATGATCCTACGTATTTATATGAAAGTTTGGTTTGAATGACGAAAGAAGTCCTGCAGCCATCTTTTGGTGTCTTTATGGACACAATGATTAGAACTCGTTCTACCAAAGGGTCCCAAACGTGAGGGACCTGCTTTGGAGATGTCGAACCTAACCCGTTTCATCACCTGAAGAGTCTTGGGGGCCTCATCAAACCAAAAAATGGTTATCGTCCTAGTCTCTACCGATGGGTGATTGCCGAAAGAACATTCATGGGCATACACGACAAAGATTTTATCGCAACCAATATTAGGATCAGTTTGAATGTGTTGCATAGCTTGACATGTAAAATCTGGATTCCGATATAGATATGTGAAAAGTTGATATAAAATGGCATAGTAGAACAAGGACAAACGTCAGCTTGTCCGGTGAAGGGAGGGCGACGCCAAATTTGATGGCTTGAGCGGCAACTTGGAATTTTGTGCTTCAAGCTGAGACATGACTAAATCGTGCGCCACACATAGCACCAATGGGGAGTGGAGCACTGGGTGCAATATTTCCAACTCTTGTTTTGAAGTCAAAGACTTAGACCTATTTCAAGTTCATGCGTTGCTGACTTAACCCTCGGCACGAAATTCAAGTGTTTCTGCTATAGTATATATATGGCATATAGTATCTCTTGAATACAAAGCACAGTATTTGATTTGAGTCAAGAAGGAATCGGAATATAGCTTCGACTATTGTCAGTGGTATTTTTCGAAGTGGATTGGCCTTCAGTCCGCAAAAGTGAGAGCTAGCGTGCATAGTATTAGCACGAAGCTTCGAAGGTCCGGGCATCAGAATGAGTATTACAGTTGTGTGAAAGGGATAGTGTGGATTCTTGATTTTTGCTTAAGTAGCCCGAGTGCCCAACGGGATTGTTTCATAACACCCGCTCGCGTCGTAGACTAATAGACGCTTACTTTGAAGGATGTGACGAGCCAGGGGAAGCAAATTTGGGCTATATCCTATCCGCAACCTTATTTTTTTTTTTTTTTTTTTTTTTGGCTACGGGTTCCAAGAGAATGCTAGGTAAAATTCTAAATTCTGAATTTTTCAATGCAAGAATGATCGGGTCTCCTGAACCCTCAACTCCAAGTTGAACTCACCACAGGGTTTACAGGTCCCGAGGTAGTATAGGTTGGATATTTTTAATTCATAGAATTTTGATTTTGTTTATATCAGATCATAAATTCATGATTTTGAGTGATATATAGGTAATTCACAGCAAAACATGTTATACATGTTCCCTCACATCATGTCTATGTGAGCCTTCGCCATACCCATCTGACGTGGACTGCATACTAACCTCAAACGTTTGATGCACACCTACTGTCATTTTTCCTGTGTGAGAGCGGGGTGACGGTTCACCTGTCAATCCCTCCTCACTACTATTCGGAGTTGATGATCGTGTCCATGTGCTACCCTCACCTCCATGACTCTCAATGTTGGTCACCATGACGGCCAGTTTATCAGGACGGAGTTCACTTCCGGTCGATACATCTATCGATCCCAATGGCACAGCACGTTTCCCACTGCCACCGACGCGACGTGAGTTAGATCGCCTGGGAAATCCAGATGAAGGGTAATTGTCGGATTGTGAACCAAGCCAGTGACGGAGCAGGGGACGGAGAGTTGCTAAACTGCCTGCTGTGATGCCGAGGCCAATTTCTATACAAGACCAGATGGCGATCTGGTATGTTGCCCCTAAATCAAGTTAGAATTAGAGAAGGAAGTGTCATGGAAAACGGATAACATACAGAGGAAGTCGTCTAGGTCTGCGAATGTCTTGACGAATGGGAATCGAATAATAACTGCTGATGAGGCACTAGTTTTTGTTAGATATTGCCGAGGATGTGTGGAATAGGGCGACATACATGCAAGCCATGCTTAGAATGCCCACGACAGCCACCTTAGTCTTTCGCTTCATTTGCAATTTGTGCACGAGGAAAATGGGGAGAATTCCAACAGTGAAATCGCACAACGCTGCGAACACACTGTAAATGTAGGTCATTATGATGATAATGTCGATACTAATACAGTGGCCTTCGATGGAAGGATCCTCTCTCGTTCGGTTCCAGAAATAGGATAGCGGCTTGCATTGAAGAAGCATCAGGAAGAAGAAGATTAGACCCGCAAGCACAGTGAAAAACATGACGATATACAGAAGCCAAATGTGTGCTCGTTTGACCGTGATTCGCATTAAGAAAATGCAAACTGAAATTTTGCATCCAATTGATGCAAAACAGTACGCAACCTCGCATAGCCACCAAAACTTCATGGCCGTGGCACGGTCGTCTGCGGAAAGATTGATAAATTTGAACCCGGTCCCATATATAGACCCGCCGATCATAGAGGCACAGAACATCACGAAAAATAACTGACCAAATCAGATTCTGGGGCTTGAAAAATAAATTCGAGGGTTAAGAGGGCTTACCGCAGCAAAAATCATCGCGGCATCATCCAAACCAAACGCCTTCACCACGAACCCGCGCACATAACAGCGCAGCATGACGGCAATGCATGCCACAGGCATGAAGACGGCCGCAACCGTCTTCACAGCCAAGTTCCTTTGGACCTCGTCGCTCATTAGGTCTAGGAGACTGGCAGAGAGGCATGTCTTAGAAGACTGTGGGGAAAAGTCACTTTTTAAAGAAGGATTTGAACTTTACAAATAGCCGCAGAGTCTGCGGAGCGGGTACCGGAGTCAACGACTACCGCGTCCTCAGGGGGCGCTCTAACACTGCAAGGGCTTAGTTAGGACACTACTGGCGAATGATAAGAAGGGATCGGCACGATGGCGTGGGAAGATGGCCTAGAGCATATGCGCCTCCATTACTATGGTGCGATAAGAGGCATATGGGTATTTTTAACAGACGTTGGCAGGTATTGAGAGATGAGCAACTCTCGGGTACCAATCTTCATACGACTCCACGGCTTGGAAAGGGGTCCTGTGAACTGCCGGGGAGAATATTTCCCAGTGATCGTGAAGGAGCATTAAGGAGAATCGGAACTGATCTATCCTAGTTTGGTTTGGGAGAGCGGGCACAGATCCACCATCTGCGGGCCATCCACCCATATCTGGTACCAATCCCGCCGAGCTGCTGTGAAGATTTTCTCGAAGGGTCTGGGAAGTGGAGCTCGCACATTTCATTAGGACATTATTAATCTCTTCGTTAAGATTCTTATCCATTCATGGCAACGGGGGGGAAATTTCCACCGATGGCAGATAAACAATGCCTTTGTCGCTCGATTTTCCCCAAGACTTTAAGTTTGTTTACTTCGGGATGTTGATGATTGGCGTTGATCAACAGCTTCAGAACCAAACACTGGATATAACCCCTCACGAACGGCGTGGACCTCGTATCTACTTGAAACTCAACGGCTTAGCGATCGTTCATTTCTCGTGAAAATTATGGATGTGGCGTACCCTAGCTAGGATGCCGAGCTGCAACTTGAAAAAGCTAACACGTGAAGTCTCCACTTAAAGCCACCGGAGATGCAAGGCATCCGAACTCCGTATTCCGGCTCTTTGATTGTTTGCTATTGTTGAAATTTATTATAACTGGAGGATTAAGTCTGTCTAGGTGAGCATCTACCTGGCTCTCTGATCTTTAAATCATTTCCCGGGCGCGCCAACGTGTATGCCCTACAGAAAGATTTCAACAATGCTAAGAAAGTGTAAATAATCTCAATTTTTGGTAAGTTCACTAGCGTTTCCCTAGCGAAAACGGGTTTCAGGATTTTGGCGTTTCTCCAAGCAATTCGATAATACCCAGCTCAGTCACGGTCTCGTCGGGGAAATTCTGTAACCTAAGTTAACATTCGAGCAAAGCTCCTAGTAGACCCCCGTATAGGAATTGAAAAATTGGGTACCTTGACACTAAAATTTTGGCCCCAAGATTTTGGAATTGTATATTTTCATACAGTACAACATTGTGGAAAGTTGCTTTAAAACCCAAAGCTCCATCTCCTTCTATGGATCCGCTTTTGACAGCTGTTAGAGTGGAGCGAGTATCGAGATGCAGGAAAAAGAGCCGACATGATTCAAGTTCTAGCCCTGGCCGCCAGGCCATGCTTCCCACTGTGTTTTAAATTGCGAGGAAAGGATTGACAAGAATGGTCTCGACTCTCAAGTACTCAAGTAACGGATTGCCACTCCACTAGTAGATCAAGGAAGTTAACCCCATATCATCTCGGAAATTTTCCCATTTGCCTGGGGGATGTAGAGCTTGAAGACTACATTCCCCTGCAATATCAATGAAATACTAGGTACCTATATAACATAATTTCTTGATATGAATGATGGAGTTTGTGAGAAAGTGCCATTTCTTGTAGTATGATATTATTCTTTTCGTCATATCGTAGTCCATGTATCTGGGCCATTGTAGTCCGAATACGGACCATAACATTGCTTGTGAGTCTGTGTTAATGATAAAAACGGCTATGCTAACTATCTTCAATCAACGAGAATACTCTTAAATATATGCTGTTGTCTTATTTCCCACGCCATTGGTCACAATTTTGTAGCACAGAGATTAAAGTGGGTGAACTAAAAACGGTATCATTACCCTCCTAGCACGCTAAAATCGGTTCAATCGCCCTGAACGATCCTTGAGACTGCGGTACGGTCTCGCTCAAGCTAGAGATACATGCTGAGATTATTTCAAATATCACTATATTGAATACAGGTGAGAATGTGACCATGTGTAGTGGTTCATCATAGAATTGGGCTCTTTTTTAATGCAACTTACCAAACTGGCAATGAATAGGAGCCACTTGGCCCATGCCGTCGTTTTGATATCATCTGGCAGGGTCTATATAGAACATACCATTGTTAATGAGAAGGAAACGAAAAGAGGGGGGGGGACAGGGGAAACCCAATTTTATGTGGAAAACAATATAAGTTCCTTGCTAAAAAAAATTAAACTCAACACGGCAGCTCTCGCTTGTATTCACTATCTACGGAGTAATTAAACTGGCAGCTTTAAACCAGCGGCCAAAGACGATATGAATTTCCACCAACTAAGATTAGCATATACACAAACATTTCTAGGCTGTATCCAGATTGGGCATTTCTATACTGAAGATTGCATATCTAGATATTTGGCTATATTCTGCTAAAAGAAAAAGTTGCCAAGTAGTCCGGTCGGTATGCGTCCGAGGCCAGATGCTGAGACATGCTCGGGGAACTGAGTGTACCTAGTCATTAGTAAACGGCGAGCCCGTATCATGCAGCTAACCTACTAGGCGATGCTTGCCGCCGCTGTTTGACATATATGTTGGCAGCTTATAGATGACTTTCTTATTTTCCAGGCTCTCATCATGTACTAGTCCCCCTATTCTGTATGGCAAACCTGGAGTCAATCTCATTTTACTTCATGTACATACACAGCTGTTCTTCTCAGTTCTTTGGAGGAATACAACGGTTACTAGTTCTCTCAACTTCCAAGTTTGATTAAAGTACTATTTTCTCTCGAATCTACTGGTGCATGAATATGTATGCAATTTCAAGTTTTCTCTCACGGTCTTCAGCTTTTCCCAATTCCGAGTCAAGCAACCTTCACAACTTGAAAATGTGGTTCACAACGGTAAATCCGTGCTCTCCGACAACACTAGTATATACAAACCACCATTCGTAACACTTCTACTAGTACTACTATGCAGGAGAAAAAAACACCACCAGTAATATCGACGACATGCTATGTTAGTTCATTGACCAAAAATTATGCGAGCCACATAGATCAAAAATTAAATGACCACGCTATGTTCCGTGTCTGCAGAGATGGACTGACTCAGGGATTGACGCGAAAATTCGGCCCAACATGCTCGATGCGGAAGATCAACCCGATCTTCCCACATGATTCTATAGTTAACGAGACCCTTCATTTCTTCATCCGACACGCGGCTTCCTTGTTCTACTCGCAAAGTCATTACTGATTTGTGCAAGATCGTCATCAAAGTCCCAACATTTGCTCAATGCAGCCATTTAATTCTACAGGCCCATCTATTGTTCTACATTCCTTGGCAATGAATTCCCAGGCGTACGAGTCTTATTCCTCACGCGAAGACAAGAAAAGGACTAAAAGAACGGCAATAAATTCGATTGATCCATTATGATAATGCTTTCAGAAGTATAAAGCCTAGTGGAGTCTTCAGCTTCGCACGGCTTGAGGCTATATCCTTGTAGTCACCTTGGCCAAAGCTCGGGTTCCCCACAACCCCTAGCCAGAAACATCCTATTCATCGGAGTTTATTCAACCTGCAACAAAGACTATAGCGAATCAATGATTCTATGTGGAACGGAAATTGCGTACCCGTCTTGGCAGGTACATGATGCATGATGCCACATGACGAGGCGTCGCGTCCTCCCAGGGGTGGATAATGGCCCATAATATACTCTGCATAGTTATTTATTTAAACCCCGAAGATGCCAAGTTTCTTTACCCCATTGAGTAGACCTGGGTAGTTTCCTTTCGCCTTTTTTTTTTATCAAACCAGCGGCATGATCTCTTTCAACACCAAGAGCCTTGCTGCCTTGGCCCTCGGCGCTGCTGTCGCCGAGGCCCAGCTCTGGGACAAGGTCATTGATACTTCTCTGGGCCCTGTCAAGGGTTACAAGTACTTTAACCAAACAACCCTCGAGACCTACTTCAACCGCTCCGAGTCCAATGTCACCGCTTACTTAGGTATTCCCTTCGCTGCTGATACTGGTTACCAAAACCGTTGGAAGCCCCCACAGCCTCGCGAGCCATGGACTGAGACTTACGATGCCACCGAATGGGGTTACGCTTGTCCTAGCGGGTCTACCTCCAATATCAGCGAGGACTGTCTCAACCTGAACCTCTGGACCAATGCTGGTTCTTCCGATGCCAAGCTACCTGTCATGCTTTGGAACCAGGGCTCTGACGAGACTAGCAATGACAACTGGTGGTATGGCGGTGGTATGGCCCTGAAGGATGTTATTCTGGTTTCTTTTAATCGTCGCGACGACGCCTTTGGATATCTTTCCCACCCAGATCTTAATGCTGAGGGCCTCAAAGCCACTGGCCACAACACCTCCGGTAACTACGGCGTCCTTGACCAGCTGGAGGTCCTCAAGTGGATTCAGAAGAACATCGCCAAGTTCGGTGGTGACCCTGACCGTGTCGTTGTTGCTGGTCAATCTTTCGGCTCTTCCCAGACTTACCACGCCGTGAACAGCCCTCTCTTCAAGGGATACTTCCATGGCGCTATCTCAGAGTCTGGTATCCGTTGGCCTCGCGACCCCATGCTGGCCGGTCTCGCCACTTCTTACAACAATATGTCTGCTGCTCTCTTCCACGGTACCAACTACACCACCTTCCACAACGCCTCGAGTATCTCCGAGCTTCGCGAGAAGTCAATGGAAGATCTCCTGATTGGTTCCCAGGACCGTGTCAACAGCACTTGGATCTGGTGGGTGACCGCTCTCTCTGCCGATTACCCTCTGATCTTCAAGCCCGTCCTTGACGACTACGTCCTTCCCGAAAAGTACATCGATTCCCTGAAGAACGGCCCCGCCAACGATGTCCCCGTTATCACCGGAAACACCAAGGATGAATCCGGCGCCTCTCCTACAGACGACTACACCGTAGAGGAGTACCGAAACTACTGCACCCTGAAATACGGCGACCTTGCCGATCGTTACTTCAGTCTGTACGGCGATAATGGCAACCAGACCCTCGCCAACCACGCTTGGAACGCCGCTGCCCGCGATATGGGTGTCGTTGGATCATGGGCCTACGGTACCAAGTGGTACGACGCTGCCTCCTCGGACTTCTACACCTACTACTGGACTCATGCTCCTCCTGGCCAAGACCAGGGTGCTTTCCACCAGTCAGAGATCATGTACGCGTTGAACGCTCTTTACGCCAATGCTGACACCTACCCCTTCACTTCTGTCGACTACGAGATCCAGGAGAAAATGTCCGCCTACTGGGCCAACTTTGCCAAAACCCTCAACCCTAACAAGGGCGGCTCTTACGAGGGTAAGGGCGAGCTCCCTGAATGGACTCCCAACAGTTCTGAAGGTAAGAAGGTAGTGATGGAGCTTGGTAATGCCTTCAGCAATGTCCCCATTGCTCGCTCCTCGGAATACGTTAAGTTCATCATGGACTACTACTCCGAGCAAGTTGCCTACTAAGCGGGGCTGTCCAACATATGGTGATTTGAGCTCAGAACATTATATCAAAACTTCCCCCATTTATGACAGGCCAAAGACATGGCCTTATATTGTATGTCTGCAATTTTCTGTATTTAGACCTGAACACTCTTTTGAATTCAACCTAAATGTACATTTACATTGAATCGATTTCCAGCGAACTATCGAACTATCGATATCTTGCTATTCATGACGAGTATGCATAACAGAGAATACCACATCGCATTTGCACGAATACAAAAAGGAACCCTAGCCCATTTATGGATCTTAGATAACTACTAGAATTATCCAATCTCCAGAAAGGGCCTCATCTCCGCACTTTCATCCCCCATATATTCAGCCCCAAGATCTACCAACGACACCCAATCATCCTAGTTGCCCAACGCACGTACCTCTTCAGCAGCGATCCCAATCCGGCACGCAGCATGCATAGACGTGTCTGGACAGTCGCACATGGTCAATATCATGCGAGCATATCATTTGCCATACCCCCGCTAGTTTTTCAGCTACACGCACGCGAGCCTGATCTTTGTTACACATCACGTATAGGTTACTCAACCCCCATTTCCAGGTTTCTCGATCGAGGTCAAAGGGCGATCGGCATGTGAAGTACTAACTAGTTCGTATACATATTGGTTTCCTCGACCACTTCCATCTTAACGTCTGACTATTTCACCTGAGCGTTATAATACCTATCCAAAAATAAGTCAACCCGTGGACATTATCACCTTCACTTTAAGATATCCAAAAACGGAGCTCAACATAATTCACGCCGCAGTTGACATACTCCCACTCACTACATCAACCCACTCTGTCGTCTATCATTTCTGCCCCGACACCAAAAATGGGTTCTGCAATGCCGGCCAATACTTTCGCTTCCCATCCAAAGGGGAGCAGCGATGTCGACACAACCTGGACACAGAGTATAGTCGCGTCGTTCTGGAGTCTTTTTTCTAGAGGCGGTTCCGGTTCTGGGAGCGAGACAGAGGCCGATGCCGTTGAAGCCTGGGTGGGAATTCGAAGGGGAAGAGGACGGTGCCGATCTGTTGGGGAAGTGCGGTGATTATGATTCAAGTGATTTATTATGAATGGATATCATATATCCGGCGGCCTTGATGATGATTTAGTATTTCGGGTTAATATTTGTTCGGGGTAGGTGAATGTGCACGCATTTTCTACGTTGGAGTTTCGGGTCCTTAGGGAATACAATATGATTTTGATATGCTTATTGGAAGTAAAAAGAGTCCATAGTGTGGCATAGATATAGATACATGGGTGAATAAAGTCACCGCCATACAGTTGTATAAGTACAAGTAGAGTACAATTCTTCTCATCCTGCGAGATCCAAGCTCCGGGAATCAAAGACGCTCAAAGACACAAAGGGTTACACAAATCATTCCCAGGGGTGGGGGCTTTAAGCCTCCACGCGGGTGGGAATTTTGACAACGCCGCGCTTGCGGTCATTGGTAGGAACACCGTAACGGCGACCAGGAGCCCAGGGGGCACGACCATCATGGCCGACAGTCTGGTTGCTGAAGACGGCATCTTGGATACGGAAATCGAAGCGTCCTCCTTCAGGCTCAACGTGATTAATACGTTTCTCGCGAATTTCCTTGCTTCGCTCACGTTGCTTCTGCTCAACCTTCTCTTGCTCTGCGAGACGCTTAGCGTGGCGATCAATGACCGCACGGCGCTCTTTGGGGGAAAGCGATGCGGTCGCGTTCCATCTGCACCTGTTGTGGGTGGGGAATCCGCACATCGGCAGGTTGGAGGACCTGGCGTGCGTTGTCACCCTTGCCAACCCACTCAATCTTTCGGGGCTTCTTGAAGACGATGTCGGCAAGGTCGGAGGGGTGAGAGAATCTCGATTTATTACAGTTCTCCAGCTCCGGGGCAGCAGAGAACACGCGACCAGCATCGATGCGAGTGAAGGAGCGAGATTCGGTTGTAGGATAGAAAATCTGAGCACCCGTGGAAGGATGGGCAGGGAGATCATTGATAGGCTCGTGGAATACTGGGCGCTCAGCAAGCGGAGTAAGCGGAACCATTTCGTGAACTGCCCGAGCGTATGGCATCGCCATTGACTTTCCCTAATAGCGATTGAATTAGCTATGGTGCTGACAACAGATCCAAAAGTGATTGTAATAAATGGAATAACAGCATGTAATTCAGTAAGATAAAGTTTCTAACCAGTCAAGCAAAGCTTGTGTCTTCAAGACTAATCGAATTTTTTTTGTTGTCTCATCATATGCGTCGGGGAAAAGGGCTTCGAGGTGCAATAGGAGAGGAAATGGAAAAATGGATAAGAAACGTACCTGTGATCGTTGTCTACGCTCAAGCTCCACCAATCGTACTACTGCCGCGATCCGCTTCATGTCAATGCCAAATTCAACACTAACAGCGCGAACGCTCTTCTTCTGGTCCACGACCTGCACGTAAACCTCATTTCGGAGTTCCTCACTGAGAACGCTCTCGCTGACGAAGTTTCGGTTATTCGGGAAGGGTCGGTTCGAAGGAGGGTTATCAGGATCCCGTCGACCTTTGACCAAATAATTCATTTCACCAGGGACGTGGTGCTTATAATTGACTCCATCAGTATTAAGCCACTCAAACATTTGTCTGCGGAGCTTGGTCTGTGGAGCTGCCGTAGCCGAGAATTGGCGGGCTAATGATTGTGAGGGGGAGCATAATGATGTGTTGAAGGATGGAGAGGAGGTGGAAGAAGAGGAAGTAAGATAGGGGAGGAGGGTGTTGGAGACACGCTGGCTCTGTATCCGGGGCGCCATCTCGAGGGGGAACTGGGCTAGTGCCCAGGAAATTAATAAAAAGGGGTATTGAATAAGGAAAGAGTTATTAGAAGCACGATTCCACGAATGGGACGGCTATCGGCAGCCTGGCGCTGCAATTGATGGGTTGAGGATTGGGGATGTTGGAGATGATGTTCGTTGCAGGGGAAGAAACTTTTCGGCGCGGCAAGAGTTGGCGTGTGGTCACGTGCTCACACTGTTGCCAAGCTAAGCGTCGGTGGGATCCACAACAACAACAGCCCACTTTTGGTGTGCTCAGCAAGTCGATTAGCTTCATGTTATTGTCTACACCTATAATCTAGAAGAAGCTACAGAGTTTAGGAGCAATAGATATAAGTAGTGAGCTTGCAAATAGTCCATTGTATGAAGTACATATTGAAGCAAATGTATCAGTATCAGGTCCACCAAGCAAGGCAGAAAGGAGTGAGTAAATAGAGACACAAATGATACCACTAATAAGGGAAAATAACATGCCGCATTTCCTCGTCATATCCCGAACATTAAAATCATAAGAAAAAGCCAGCGTACTTATCGAAGCGCCCACAATGCTTCAATCCGGAGCAACCTGCTCCAGGAAGTGGAAAAGAGAAAGCATGACATGGGCACATGGAGGGGAATGTTGCAATGCAAGCAAGATTAGAAAGGCTTCAGCAAATGCGATATGAATCGAAAACAAAACCAAAATGAGCCGGACGCCTTGCTTTTCTCCATTGCTTGAGATAATGTATGGTTAAAGGCGAGCGAAACGCCTGGGGTGATGCGTAACTGACTGTAGTCGAGATACGGCATCCCGTAGCTCATAGCATGTAACAAGTGACATATTAGGTGAATAGGCAAAGAAAGCACAGTAGACACCGTCTTTGATACTTGCATAGTGGAAACAACCAGCTGCAACAAAATAGCAAAATCCATTCCGGTTCACACGTGAAGATGCATAGGTAAGAACGCAATAAATCTCAACCAGCTGTTAAAAGGGGAATCACGGTCAAATAAGGCTGCGCAGCCTCCTAGGGAAGCCATACACCCAATGAGGTGTATGGGCAGTGACCCAAGGCTGCACAGGCGAAGGGTAAAAAAACAATAATAATAATAATAATAATCAAGCATGAAGAGACTTAACAGGAACATAAATAGCAACAAGGGTATGAAGGTGGAGATGAATAACGCAAATGGCCAAGAAAAAAAAAAGCGCACCGCGTGGGCACCGCACACTGACCGAAGGCAGAATAAGAATACAAGCTGGACAATGACCTGGGATGCAATCCTGCCAAGGTAAAAAAGATAGGAGATGTGAAAGAGCGCCCGAGTTCCCATGCAATACAACAGTAAAAACCACAAAGAATAGCAAATCACATGAAAAGGGACTAAACAAGACATTGAAAACAAAAGCAGTCCTGGATCAGTACTCCCGAGAGGTATGCAGCCGCCGAATGCTGAATCTAGCTCACAAAACGAAAGGAACCCCCAATGCGCCAATACCCCAGTTAATTCATCAAACATGCCGGCCGTAATCTGGAAAAAGAAGAGAGGGACGTTGATCCTTAACGACCCATCATGTAATCAGGATAGAAGGAATTAAAGCCATTCATATCCGGTCCTGCATTGTTCCTGGCAGCACCGCCAGGAGGAGGAGGAGGAGGAGGCGACATCATCATTGAGTTTGCTCCGTTTGCTCGAATCCCTAGACCGGAGTTGTGATTAAATTGAGGGCTGTTCACCATTGTGTGGGGATTTCCTTGGCCGTGGATGTTATTGCCACCGTTGCGCAACGGCATGGGCATGGCAAGCCCCGGGGGTGCCTGGAGGCCTGGAGGGGGCCCGGTTACTGATGAGAACATATGGCTGGGTATTCCACCCAGACTACTGCCCGCAGGAGCACCGCCAGGCCCGGAAAGCGGATTGGCCGGGTTCATACTACCAGGCTGGCCGGAGCGCACGCCGAGAGGGTTTTTGGAGAAGCTGAGACGAATGCCAGTTTTGACACTGTTGGACAGTTTGTAACCATACAACTCATTCAAAGCCTTGCTTGCCATCGCCACCTCGTCGAACTCAACGAAACACATCGGACCATTTTGCTTATTGCGGAAGCAGAGTCGCTTGTATCCGCGTTGCTTGGAGAAAAGTGCTTTGAGCTCCTCTTCAGAGGTATCAGGGGGTAGATTTCCGACATAAAGGGTGTTGCAAGGTGGGTTGAGATCATTGGGGTTGGCGGCTGGCAAGCTGTGCCGGGGTGTATGTTGACTGGCATATGGGTATCCATGACCATGATTCACATTACTTTGGTAATTCGAGGATGGGCCACTTCCACTCATACGTGGACCAGGGCCACCCGATTGGTAATTGGGCAAGGGAGGTGAAGACATGTTGGTTGAGAGAGACAAACTTCCAAAACGACCAGTTGGCATTTGAGGGTTGGTTGAGCGACGGCCAACAGAAACCGAAGCAGAGTGGCCATTTTCAGCATAACCCACGGGGTCTTTAAGTAATTCGCCAGTCTCTTCGTCGGGATCTTCATCGATCATCGATTTTCCAGTCACACGTGGCAGATCTCCAACACCATTTCCGATCGGAGATTGTGGGGAGAACAGGCTGTGGAGACGCGAACCAGAGTCGGATGCCGATGGCAAGCCTTCGCCGATAGCCTGACCGGATGGGTTTGCGGAGAGTCTCTCTAGACTTTGGAAAGTTCCATTAAATCGAGAAGATTGACGCGATAGAGGGCCGTTAGAAGGGACACCACCCAATAAACCACGCGTCGCGGTATGATCGATCGTGTTGCGACGCGTATTGGAGAAGTTGGATCCGACCGGGCCAGGATACATCTCCACCACCATATTCGCGTCATTCTTGGAGTTCGGTTTGCCATCAAGAAGGGCACGGGCCTCTTCGGCCGCGGGAAGAGTGTTGAAGCGCGCGATCGCGCTCAAAAAACCGTCATCTTCGGGGAGGTCTGAGGTCACGAAATCGGCATCAACAAAATCTTTGGCAAAAAGCAGCATACTGCGAAGGGCTTCACGACTAGTGTTTCGGGGAAGCTTGCGCATCAAGATTGCGCCACCACTGGATGCGCGACCCAGGCCATTTAGGCCCTGGAGGTTGCGATCGGCGTCGCCGAGGCGCATTCCGTTGTCGAAAGATGAAGAGGGACCAAAGGGATATGTGAAAGTAGGGCCAAGTGATGCGGGGGCTTGCGAGACGTTTGGGCTATACACGTCGGTCGACATCGCATGCTGAGTCGTCGCGGGCGCCTGGGAGGAGAGTGACTGTTGTGTCGGCGATGAACCAGAAGATACGGACTCTGTGCGCTGGTTTGTTCCGAAAGAACCGGGACTCGTTCGAGTAGACTGGTTCGAGCTGCCGCTCATCCCTCACGAAATTTTTGAAGTAAAGGATTGAGATTTCGCGACACGAATGGGTATGGGTTGGCAGCGAAGAAAAAGGAGTCGGTGATAAGTTGAAGCGCAGTGCGGCGCAAATGATGCGATAGGCGAATTTAATGCGCGTGTGAAAGGAGTGGGCGAGAAGAGCGATTCAATGGATATTCAAAAGGCCGGGATGTTCGCTCCTCATCGGATCTGCGACAGGTGGCGCGCACGGGGTTGTTTCGAGTCACCTCACTCTCTATCTCTCCTCTTTCGCTCAGAGGCACTCAAGATAGGACGAGTGTCGTTGACAGGTTTCGTCGAGTAGATGACGAAAAAATGGATTATGAATAGAGCGGACGTGATGATGCAAAAGGATGAAAGGGGGAAGATTATTGAGGGGGGCGAAAGAAAGTGGGCGAGGAAGGGGAAGGGGAACCTTGGACAGTCCTGGAGGGAAAGAGCCGGACACGGTCGCTCTTGCCCCAGCTGCCAGAGTTCCATGGATCTGCCATCGTTCGACGCGAATAAACGTGTAAAACATACATGTACAGTACACTAGTTAGTACCTATATATAGTATGATTTTCCCGTAATAAGAGGATGTACTTGGTTAATATATTACGACTTCTGTACCGGTATTACTGGACAGTGCCTGGCCGCTTGCAGAATGGGGTGTGGACAAGTGCGTGCCCCGAGCATGCCCCAGTTTTTTTTTCTTAAAAAATGTTCTGGATTCTTGGATGCTCTGGTTTAGGGGAGTTTTTGCTTCTTCTCTTTCTCAAGGGGGGTTCGGGCTAAAAGATTCTAGAAAAAACGCAGGGTCATTGGATACTGCGGTCTGCCGCAGAATTGTAGTATCAATATCAACATCAACTATCACAGTATACCAAGCCTCGGTAGTTGCTTCACACTATACTAGTCTGCCTTATACCCGGTCTAGGTACCTTTTTTTAGTAAATTAGGAGGCACCATAGGTAGCCTAGTAATCAGCTACTAGATGAGTTGTTTATACCTCTTACAGCATATAGATGTATTATAAATATAGAATTACATCAATATCTCTATAAAGAAAAAAAGAATAAAAGAAACTGGACTAAGTGGGCTGAAGGACTCCAGGGCTGTAAGACTAAGATCGCCCGGTCGCAAAACCCTGGTCGGCACTCAACGGGCTTGCAGCCCCTTCCCGCCTATAGGAGGAAGAGCCCCATCATGGAGTTAGGAGCGAGGGGTTTAACTTTTATATTTGGCAGTTTCAATAGGGGGGTCTATATAAGGGTACCTATGTCTACAGGTAGCAGAATATTATATATAAATACTCAAGATAATTCAAGTTCAAATACAATTTTGATATGGATGTGATATCCAATACGGAATATACTAGTAAAAGCATGTGATTGTTAGTCTATGGGAACACGAACCCCGGGCGAATAAAAGCAAATAAGGAGCAAATCAAGCTCCAGGCTGCTCCAGAGCCAAATGTACTGTACATAGCCAGATTACGTGCTCCCTCTATATCTCTAGGCTGCAGAGGATCCCAACAGATCCCAAATACAAAGAAAATAAAATCTGAATCGAATCAAAGAGATAAAAGCGGCCAAAAGAATGAAAGAAAAGCAACTTTAAAGTTCAACTCCATTAATGACCATCCGTGCACATTCCTGGCGTCTGGAGTATGGAGTAAAAAAGAAAAGAAAGTAATGAGGGCTTCAGGCACCCACTACGAGCCAACTTCCCACCCGGGCTATGGGCTATGGGATTACAAAGTACAAAGAAAGCGAGCCACGATGCTGGTCCCCAATCCATGGAATTGAAAAACTCAAATCCAGCGCCGTCGACCAATGGTGGCTTGTCAAGCACGGGAAAATGCCTTGGGCTTATCAAGTCTCGAGTGGTCCATGTGGTTGGGCCGTGGAAAGAAGTAGCGTCCTCAGGGACAAAGGCTGCTCCCGATGTGGATTAGTCCTTCCCCTAAGTCCATTGTGAAAAGGATATTTGGGGTGGATACTGCGGAGGACTGGTCATAGGCGCGTCACTGTGGTGTGGAAGCGTGGTGGATGGCCAGATCGCGCGCCAAATCTGTTGTCAGGAGCCACTCCGCTGCGCGTTACCTCTAGCTCATGTATCTCTCTTCGAATCGGGCCATTTTGAATGAGCATATCTGAGATAACGTCTCCCCACGTCCGATTTGTTAAAATCACACACCTTAAAATGTTTCGATTTGAGCTTATGTGGTAAAGTTAAACATCACCACTTCTTAACACACTAGGAATAGATACCTCTAGGAATATAAGTAGGACTATACTTAACAATATCCATACTCTAATAAACCCTCTAGTATATCACGTAAAGGAAGTTAAACTCCCGGTCCTCCGAGACCCAAGGTGTCCCATGTTAACATCTGAATTTACTGCGGAGAGCCCTTTATACTAATCGGACAAGGATCACCGGTTCAACGGTCATTATCAACAACCTTAGGGAAGCGATGCCTTTATCCAATACCCTCTATAAAGATGATACAAAATCTACGTCCGAGTGGTATAAACCGATAGATATCAATGAAATGACATTGTATCTTAGATTTCTTCATGCCGACTTCATCACTCGGGTTCTTTCTCACACTAAGAATTCGACTCCCGTAGAGTAAGACAGATATAGTAGATAATATACAAGGTACATAGAACAATGTTCAGGGAATGTTTTCTTCCCCTACACGGACTTTTCAGAACAACCCAGCTCACAGGAAACGCCTCAAATGCCAAAACCAGAGAAGAGATAGCAAAGTACAAAAACAAACAAATGGTCGAGCCGCTCCACAAGACCGCCGGCTAGAGTCAATGGGTCGATTTCGGAGGTATTGGGATACGGCTCGAAATGAGGTAGCCTCGATGGTGATAAGAAGACATTTATGCCTTGTTGAAAGTAGTGGGTTTCGGTTCAACCAGGCCAGCCTGTGAGTAATCTCTCGGTCAGCAAAACGGACAGTTCAATGCGCAAATTCCAACAATTTCACCGGCCACAGAAAGACATAATAGCCACTCGCGAAGAAACCTTCCAATGAGAAAATCAACGCTACGTCTGCAATTCGTTCCGTAGCCATCCCCCCGTTTCAAGACCACGTACCATGTTCAGCAATTTCCACACGGGGTCACTTGGTTGCGCACCAACACCCAACCAGTACTTCGCCCGCGCTTGATCAAGCGCAACCTCCTTGTAAGGGCGCATATTGGCGTTCTCATTGTAAGGGCTCACAGGACGCTTGGGGATTGGGTTGTAGGTGCCGATGACCTCGAGGGGCTTGCCGCCGCGGGCAGATCTAAAGCTATAGTTAGCGATAATTGCTCATTGCTATTGCGTTTGTAGCGTTTTGAATATCGAATCAATCCTCTCTCGAGATATTCGAGGGTGTGATGTGCTTGATAGATTTGTATTGGGCCAACGGGAGGAGAGTAGATGACACGCACCGTGCCTGGGCCACAACAATGTTGTAGAATGGGTCATGCTTGTTGCCGAAGCGCGCCAGTCGGATTCGAACAACCATTATGTCGGATGTGAGATAGCGTTCGCAATGAATGGGATCTGAAACACTCGGAGGTTGTAAAATGGACTCCGCAAAAGTTCAAGGAGAGCCGGGTTAATAGATGATCCGGGATGACCTAATTTGGATTAGCGGGGGGATGATGCAATGCGATGTATACTGAACTTCATATTTCTTGATTCTACTTTCAATCCCATTCTGCTTATCTTTCTTTTGCGAATCGTGAGATATTCCCATTGATAAGTGGGAGCCATTGTCAATTTAAATTAATCCAAAAGCGGGGCATTATATTGTCACGTTGCATGTTCCGCTCTACCCTTCCCAGAAGGTTCTCACTACCCACCTTCCGACGCTACACTCAAGCTACCAAGATGTCTCTAAAAGTATGTGAAAATGGACCATTGTCATAATTTATGGAACTAATAACACCCATAGGCGATCTCTGCAAAGGATGCCGTATCCCTCGACAAAGATCTTATGGAATTGGGCGGCTGGTCTCTCGACCAGTTGATGGAACTGGCGGGGCTCTCCGTATCTCAAGCTGGTGAATTGCGCACCTCACAATACGCAAACCATGTATCTCTTCATACTAAATCACCATACAGTCTGGAAGGTTCATCCCCTTAGCGCCGGCAAGAATGTGCTTGTCGTATGCGGACCTGGTAACAACGGTATGGCCCAGCTATATAAACTACAATCACTTCCCATGAAACTAACAAATCAATGACAGGCGGAGATGGTCTCGTCGCAGCCCGTCATCTAGCTCAATACGGCTATAAGCCATCTGTCTACTATCCCAAAGAAGGCAAGAACGAACTATACAAGGTAAAGCCCGGTACAAGGACCCAAACAGAATCCCAATTTAACAACTCCAAGCGCCTGAAAATCCAACTTCAAAATCTATCTGTGCCCTTCATAACAGACTTCTCAACCGCATTGAAAGAAACACACTTCCTAGTGGATGCCATTTTTGGCTTCTCCTTCGGCGGCCCGCTTCGTGATCCGTTTGGGCCCATTGTGTCACAGATCGAAGCTGCTTCTGTCCCCGTACTAAGCGTCGATGCACCCAGTTCATGGGATATTCAAAGTGGGCCACCCAAAGAAGGACCGGGAGCAAAGTTCATGCCGCAAGCGCTTATCAGTTTGACTGCCCCGAAGCCTTGTGTGAAGTTTTATAAGGGACGGCATTTCATTGGAGGTCGGTTCTTGTCTAGGGATATCACGGACAAATATGGGTTGGATTTGCCACCGTACCCTGGAATTGAACAGGTTATGGAAGTGGGGGTTAATGCAGAGGGTAGACTTTAATTTGAGTGGAGGTTTGATCTGATCAGTATGAATATTTGATCAGAGACAGCTTTACGAAGTTACTGGGTGCTACTTAAATTAAAAAAAAATTGACGAAATCAAAAGTAATGGTTGACAGAATTGTAAAAGTTCATGTATTGAGCATTGCGTCATGGTCATTATGAAGGCAATAAGGATATCTATGGTAAGCGCCTAAGTAAGAGATACTTCATGATTATTGGAGAGTCTGTTGAATCTCCTCAATAATGCCCTTGACTCTCGGTTCTTTTCCAGGGCCAGATCCAGAGACTCGGTTGAGGACCGCATTGATTTCGTAAATTTCCTTTGCAGCACTCTTCACCTCTTCACCCAAAGATTTGACCAACGTTCCCAAGGCAACAAGTCCCCGATAGACGGCTTCAGAATCGTTCTCTCCAGAGACAGTCTTCGCCAATTCTTCAAGAAGCACCAAGCCGCGCTCTGCAGATTCGGGTGTCTGTGCTCTGTCCCCCGAGGTAATGTACACGGCAAAGTTGATGTGCAATGTCGTAACAGCGATGGTGAGGTTACGGTTTGGCGATTCTGCGCTATTAGTCAAGGCTGATTTCACACCGGACATGATCTGGTCGAATGTGTTTATGGCCAAGTTTTGACCTGCCTCGGTCTCGAAAAGGTTGGCAAGCATTCGAACCGTAAGCATAGCATTGTTTACATGGAGAGGTGCCTCAAAGACACCGCTAGCGATGATACCCGATACGAGGTTGTCGCCACTGTATTCGTTGGATGCAGTAAAAGGCGCAGCAGCAGCAAGCAGACGCAATAGATCCAGCCCGGGAACTCTGTTAGCAACAGGCCACGCAGTTGCAATTCTGTAAATTAAGGGAACACCAGATTCGACGACGGGTGAGTCGGCAAGCTTCTGGGAGGATTCTAGTTGATTGCATAGGGCGATGACAGCATCGACTTCTGTTGGGTCGAGTGCAACGTCTTTGCCTGCCTCAGCTAGAACCTTCTCATTCAGTTCCTGTACTTTCTTTGTAATGACCTTGATATTTGTACTTCTGATCGATAGATAGGTCTTTTGGGGCAGGACCTGAGCGCGTGGTTCGGGAGCGGGTGGCGGCGCATTTTCAGCTGTTTCACTGTCACCTGGGCGATATCTTCGCTCCGAGCCCCAGGGATCAGCGCCCGCCGGAGCCTGAGATTGGCCAAGAGTAGCGCCTTGTGTGTTCTGTGTAATGAAGTTTGCAACCTGGTCCAAGTATGAAACAGGAAGTTCATTATCCCCAATAAATTTGGTGGCAGCTTCGTAAGGATTTTGGGAGACATTGTAAGGCAGTTTGAGCGGAGGCTTGCCGTCCTCGATATCCACATCAAAGACATAATCATAATCCTGTCCCAGATATTCTGTCTTCCGACCACTGCTACCAGCTGATTCAACCACTGTGCCCACAGCGATCCATTCTTGGGTTGCAGATGACCAGGTATGAGCTGTCACGCTACCATCTGCCTCGCGAATCATCTGTACTTGGCCTTCCTTCGTTCCTGATTTATGTTGCAGGAATTCTGGACCGGGCAATTGCTCTTTGTTCACCTTCCCAACTTGTTCTGCGGGAATAGATGATCCTTTGACGGCATCATCAAAATTTTGAATAACTTCCGCCGCGGCGTGACGCTCTGGGCTTCTGCTGAAGACGCGAGTAATGCGGTCGCTGGCACCGGTGACGATATCACCATTCTGCTGACATGCTGCTACACTCCATACCGAAATAGCAGGATGGGTAATTGTTTGGACACACTGGGTTCCATTCCAGACACGAACAGTTCTATCTTCACCCGCACTGACAAGCTCACCAGATGGTAGGGCTGCAAGCGAGTAAACAAAGCTTTCGTGACCATGTAGGGAGGCGACTAGATCACCCTTAAGTGTGTATAAGCGAATTACTCCATCGTTGCTAGCTGACGCAAATTGTGCTCCTGTCGGGTTTGACGTAGGAACCTTGCATAGGGCTCGAACGACGTCATTTGAATTTTTGACACTACCTAGAAGCGTCCCCGATGTGTTGAATACGCGAATCATATGGTCGGCGCAGCCTATAAAAGAATGTCAGTAAGCACATCATATTTGCCTGCAGTTCCCAGCAAAGAATCATACCGGTAATAATAGTATTCTGATCATAAGCCAGCACGGCCCATACACTGGCTTCGTGTCCATCCAAGACGACATCAGCTTCCCATTTGCCAACCTTCCAGAGGCGGGCTGTCGAGTCCCAGCTACCACTGACAATCCACTGTCCATCCGGAGAGACATCTAGGGCACAGATATTGTGGGCATGGCCCAGGAGCATTGCATCGGCATTATCGTCTGTAGTCTTTCCGGGCTGTCGAGCTTCGATGATCGTGTCTTGACCGCCAGATAAAATGAGACCCTCGGGGTACTCGGGTGATGGTGGTAGGTAAGCTAGACTGTTAATGAATGCTTGGCCATGTGCTGTGATAGTGTAATCGTAGGCGGGGGGTGGACTTGAAACAAGCTTCCAAAGTCGAACAGTGGCATCACGGGAAGCAGATAGGACCACATTTGGGTTAGGGAAGGCCACGGCGCGAACCTGAGTGACACAAAATCAGAATTAGTCAAATGTGCAGTGATTACCAACAAGGTACTGAGGGGGAGCGTGTCGGAGCTAGGAAGCTTACATCATCGCCATGACCCTCAAGAGAGGACGAGATCTTGAAGTCAGGCATACATACAACCTGGGAGGAGGAATTGGAAGAAAGAGAGATGACAAAAGAAGAGAAACACGAAGGGTATCACTGATTGAAACTTTGAAGCTCTCGAAGTCGAGCGTTGTTGTCCTTTAGTCGTTCTGGGGTCCCCGCCTGCGCATCATATCACGTGGGCGGTGGAGCTATGACGAATCTACTAGAATTGTCTTACATTATTAACGCTCCAAGGCCTGATATCCCCTTATCACAACCCTTGGAACTCATGATCAGCCTCACTAGTTGCGATAAGCTGTCAGGGCCCACCTCGTTTTGAGTTGTTTTATATCAGAATTGAAGGCACAGAAACCTTCCAGCTTTAACAAAGTGGTGACTTTCAAAATATTAGTATTAAGTTTTCAATGGCTGTATAGTATGTTCCAACACTCCTTCGGTATGAGTAATTCAGATATACGTAGCTGAGTCTTTGCGAGGCCTAGATATACCTCAGGCCACGTAAGGAACCTTGGAATATATGTAGGCATTTCTCCTACTCACCTGTCATGGCTGGACTCTTAACAAGATATCCCCTTTCAGAATTTGAGTTCTTCTCAGATTTCTCTTGTATCTACCAAGGTTGTTGTTCACTGCAGGGGGGGGTATACTCCGTAGTTCAAGGCACCGAGGCACATGCCAGAACTTTAGAGTGGGACCCCGGCTTACCTCATCCTCATAGTGGGTTGCAGCAAGACAGCACTGGTGAGTCGTCGTTTCACCTTAAATTGTTCAATACCAAACATCAAATTATCCTCAACTGCGTGGGCAGTCATCCCACTTCGATCCTTCTGTACTGTACTCAAGACCTCTTGATGACCTGATGACTCTGACGAATCTCCTTTTCTACTTTCCTTAAGCTCGAAAGTTTAGTCTATTTCAGGTCTTAGCCATCGGAACAAGGCTCGGTCACGCGCTTCTATGAGAATTGAGAGCTTCCCGAGGCATTTGACTTTTTGATTCTTCTTCTTACCATTCTATCTCCCTTCGAACTTGGAGAAGGCTTACTTTGTACCCTCATAATGGCGTCCGGTATGTGCTGCAATAGCTCATGATCTGCGGTGATAGCTCGCTAACGCTTATTTCGTCCGTTTCAGATATCCCCAAGGTCGTCCCGTTAACCTGTCATGGGCACTCGCGCCCAGTGACACATTTGAGTTTCTCTTCAACCGTCGAAGAAGAACAGTACTATCTAATCTCTGCATGCAAAGGTTATTATCTCTGACTTATTGCTCCTGTTGTCCAAGCCGCGGGAGGAAGAAAAATGTCGGTCAATGTTCACGAAGCTAATATCACTTTCCTCCAGACAACAATCCCATGCTCCGGGATGGTATAACTGGCGACTGGTACGTCGGAATGAGTCCTCCATTCGCATGGATATTCAAATGCTAAACATATCCTAGGATCGGTACATTCCTCGGGCACAAAGGTGCCGTCTGGCAAGCTCGACTCTCCGCCGACGCCGCCATATCCGCTACCGCAGCAGCAGACTTTTCAGCCAAAGTCTGGGACACATATACAGGCGAATGCCTGCACACACTACAACACGCACACATAGTGCGCGCTATCGCATTCCCCATCCAAGCAAACCCACAAGTCCTCGCAACAGGCGGCGCAGAGAAGAAACTGCGTATCTTCGATTTAAGCCGGGGCGGCTCGAGTACAGGAGGAGGTGGAAGTAATGGATCATCACCGCCGCTACCAACACCTAGTAGCGGGGGTGGCGAGAACAACACAGATGCCGTGACGAGCTATGAAATCGGAGCCGGTGTCCACGGCGGCACTATAAAATCTATCGTTTGGAACCAGGACTACAACATCGTGACTACCGCGGCGGAAGACCGCAAGATTCGCTGGTGGGATTTGCGTTCTCGACACCCTGTGCTGGAGTACGGTGTTGATGGGGCGATTGGTTCATGTGAGCTGAACAGTCTTGCTGTTCGGCCTAATGATACCGGTATTTTGACCGTGGCTGCTGGAAAGAGTGTCTATCTTTTCGACGGCTTGAGGCCTGGTCAACTTTTAAAGAAAATCGATTTTGGTTATGAGGTTGCTAGTGCGGCAGTGAATAGCGACTCCGGAAGACTGGTTACTGGCAGCGCGAATGATACCTGGGCGCGTGTGTATGATTTAAACACTAACGAAGAGTTGGGTATGTTGCTTTTCCTATTTCTGATTTGTGATAGCCCTTTTATATGCATGGGACTAATTCTAATTTTTATTTGCAGAGGTTCAAAAGGGACACCATGGTCCTATTTGGTCGATCAGCTTCTCCCCTGATGGCAAGCTTTACGGCACTGGTAGCGAGGATGGAACCATCAAGTTGTGGAAGGCTTGTCGTGATCCTTATGGGCTGTGGCGGTAAATTCATATCGGACACACCATTGTATACAGAAAATGGACCCAACCAACAGGGCAGCGCCCCCTCTACAAAACACTACACTCGTCTACAAAGGGCTAAAGTCCTTGAAAGGATGTTTAAGGAATGCGCTTCCTCGATCTACCCGAGCAGTACTCCAGTGGGATTGAATTTGCCTCATTTGGATTATCCGAGTCACTACGATCTTAACTGCGAGATCTCATAGTCCTTATTATACATAGTGACTGAATGAGAAGAGTTTTATTCATTTGAGCGGACCGCTGCCCAGAAAGTAGAAACCGTGGAGAGATGAATAGGAAGGAAAAACCCACACGTCCTTTTGACGTGCGACAAAAATCGGAGCAAAAGGCCAAAGTACCGAGTGTCAGATTCATAATGGCTGTAAAGTTACAAATCCTCCAAATCAATTTAGTGTATGTGGGCATTAAGAAATATCAGACCGGATAAAAACAAGCGACCATTCGCGAGATAAATGAAACTTAAAAGGATCTGTGCAGGGGAACGCAGATGGAAGAAGGAATGAGAGGAGTTGACTAGTGTGTGGTTTGGTTGTATGTATTCACTCAATCATATCGATGTCATCGTCGTTGTGAGCCGGAGCAGCGGCGGCGGGAGCAGCAGCCTCAGCAACAGGCGCAGCAGTTTCAGCGGGAGCAGCCTGCTGTTCTTGAGCAGCTTGGTTCTCTGCACCCTCACCACCGGCATTTCCACCCCAGTAATCCTCCATCTCTTGATCCAATTCCTCCTGTGTCTTGCGAGGACGAGCATTGCCTGAGCGACGACCCCCATTCTCGGTACGAGGTCCGTTATCTCTGCCACCTCCACCTCGTCGACCACCAGCACCACCGCGACGGTTTGGTGATTGTTCACCAGGCACGTAGCGATCGATATTGCCCGGGGCGGCCCTCGTGTCGTTGCGACGGCCACGACCACGACGTCCTCGTCCTGATCCATCCTCGCCACCAGGGCTTAAGCTGCGGGCATCACGTCCGCTAGGGCGTGCGACACGGTCGAAAAGGCTCTTTTGTTGCTCGCGTCGGCCGGGCACAAGGCTCAGACGAATGGGGTGACCCTTCGCGTTGGCACCATCGTATTCCTTAAGAGACTTGTGGGCATCGTTGAGGTGCTTGTATGTGACATAGGCAACACCTTCGGAGCGTCCAGCGCGGTCGTAAACGAGAGAAAGGTCGGTAACGGGGCCAATTCGGCCAAAGAGATCCTATTTGCGCAGTTTGGTCAGAATTTTAACGATCCAGCATTCCAATGTAAATGTCTTCGATACATACCTCCAGATCGCTCTCAGTGATATCGTAGTGAAGGTTTTCCACGCGGACCTTGGTCAGCATAGAACTACTGCCTCTAAGTCGAATTAGTGTCTTGTTTTCCGACCATGCAAGCTGCAGATTGCATAGAACGTACCGGCCACCGGGCGAGGTTGAACGACGTGAACGGCGAGAGTTGCGAGAGGGACGACCTATGCAGAAAAAAAAAGCAATTAGAATAAGAACGAAGAGCGGCGAACAGCTGGAAGTTTATCGGTACATACCCTCTCTGTCATCCTCGTACTTGTCATGAACCCAGTCCCTGCCAATTGAACGCTGTCAGCGGATACCACGGTAAATTTCAACATCGAAAGGACGTACAAGTTCAAATCGACGCGGTCTTGCGATTGGGGCTGTTGTTTTTAAAAGAAGAGAGGAGAGGTTAGCTGCACGTCAGAGTAGGGAGCATAAATAGCTTGGTTTCGCAAGTTCGCCCCGGCTTCCTCGCTGGCGAGCCTCCAGCCTCGAGCCATTAAGAGGAACCGGCCACGGATTGTGTATCACAGCGCAGAAGAAAAAATTTTCGGTACAGGAAGAGGAGGGCGGACCTGCGGAGAAGCAAGTAGGTTAGTCTGGGGTCGGGTAGGTCGCACGAATTCTGGAAGAGGTTGCAGATCCGATCACAGCTTGTGGGTAGGCAGTACCTTTCTGATGCCATCGCCGCGATCGCGACGACGGCCTTGGCCTTGGCCTTGGTTGCGGCGGCCGCCAGATGGACGGTTTTGTTTGCGCTATAGGGAGGTTAGATATTGATTTTGTTCGGGAATTGTGACAGTTTTGGGGCTGATGATGGCTTACTGGTTCTTCGGCGATGATCTCATCCAAGCTGCGATCCATGTTGGGCGGTGTTCTGGCGGAGAGTTGAAATTGAGAGAGATTGAAGGGCAAGGAGATTTGCCGGGAGTATGTTAGAGACAGTGACTCAGCCCCGTGACAAAATCAAAGAAGTGAAAGGGATGAAACGTGTGAAAGGCGTTGAATTGGATCTCAATTGACTGAATACTGGCCTGTCTGTCAACGACGGATGTCGAGGCGCGAGCAGGTCACGTGATTGACAGCACCGACTGGCTACGGAAGTATACTATGCATACTTTCGGTAAAGTGTTTCAGGATCAACGGTATATTCAGAGAGACCTCTATTCAAACGAAGACGATGATCTTTAAATCTTGATGTTATTGGTGGTATCCAAAGTTCAGTACAAAAAACAGCGAGCACGCAAAATACAGTAACGTCGTGTGCCGAGGGAAGACAGCCGCACACCCAGAATCCATGCTGGGTATTGGAAAGAAAAATCGATAGAAAAGAACAAAGCCAGAGCCATGCTGGCCGAGCGGTGAAGAGTATTGGGAAAGAACACAGTAACACCACCCATAAAAACAGCCGGACAACACCCTATCAAAACAGACCCCTTATGTATGACCGATGACGCTGTGCAGAGAACAACTCGAACTACTTTCTTTTTTCGCTCTACTCAGTTCCATTCCTCCTCTGTTCCTCAATCATCTTCTCCATGAAGCTGATATAGTCAAATTTGGCGAGGTCACGGTCCTCGAGCATATCGGGACCGTCATGCGGAGGCATCGTCTTCACCAGGTGTTCTATAACTTCATCAGGGATAAGTGAATGTCGGAGATCGAGTTCCGTCACGTAGGGCTACGCTAGATGTTAGTATTCGTCGATGATAGAGGCAGAATTGATATTATTAGGACATACCTTGCCATCAGCAACTTCTCGGAAGCTCTGGAACACCTGCTCAGCAGTGTTTTGATCTTCCGTGACGCTGACCATAAACCGGATGAACTGCTCAAAGCTAACACCGGAGTTTTGGGACAGCCTATTAGCTCCACAGGTTTCCACATAGACCTGGTGCATTTCATCTTCATCGTACACAAGTCCCAGACTGGCAAGTGCAGCTGAGAATTCAAGTTCTTGTAAGGTATTAGATGCATCGCGATCAAAGTGACGGAAGACCGACTCGAACTCTTCCAGTTGAATCGGCGTCAGGTTAGTCATATTGCGAGCAACCATTTGGTTCTCTAGGAAGGCCAGTTTCTTCGAGATACTGGATTTTACGAGACTGAGTTCATACGAAAGCTCGTCCAAGGTAAATGTTGTGAAATCGTTCTCTTCCACGTTCGCCTCAGCGCACTGCGCATCTAAATCTTCAATTGTGTCGAGGAAAGCATCCAGCGGAGGGAGATTGTCGCTCAGCTTCTGAACATGCTTCAACTGATCTTCAACATCTCCATCCAGGCCAGAAATAGCGAGAGACAGGGTCTTCAATGTTAACGCAAAGTCATTTGCCTTGTCCGCAAATGATCGACGCAGAGCGTTTTTAATATCCCGAATTGTCTCATTGATTAACTGGCTGCGCTGGTGTTCGTCTCGTGTTAAGCACTCCCATTCATGATCACATGTTTCAAGGCTTAACTCGACAGGTGGCTCATATGCTCGCAACCGATAGGTACCCAGCTTAGTTTTAATGTTGCCCAGAAGCGCAGCCAGGTCTGATTTCTCCGCTACCCATTGACGCTTCTCATGTCGCTTGTATAGAGAGAATTTGTGGGCCTGTTCCTTCACATCTTTGTAGGTTCCCTCAAACGAGGAGTTCTTCCATTGGTCACGTTGAGCCCGAATTAATTGAAGGAGCTCCTTCATTCGACGTTCATATCCTGATTGCATATCCCATGCTCCATGCATGTTGTTGACAAACTTCTCAACTCGGCGACCGGCGTTTTCAACCCTTTCTAATTGCGAGAAAGCATGGAACCAGTAGGCAATGTATGTCATCAATGATCGCTCATCAGGTCGGGGCACATCGCACACATCGTCCACATCCAGCAGATCGGGAATTCCGATTTCCTTCGAAGCGATCTCAAACGCAAGTTTCATATTGCCACGGTGGTCGCTCTTATCCAACGCATCGTAGTCGATTAAATCGGGTCGGTGAATATCGAGTAAGGCACAGAACGCTAATCCGTCGTTCCAGCTTGACGAAAAGTCCCGCACCTCCACACCTTCATAGCATGCTGTTTTCCGTTGACACCAAAGCAAGAGACCTTCTTTGGCTGTCATACCCTCTTCGCTGATGTCACTGATGGTGAATCGGAGAATCAAAGTCCAGATCAAACCGAGAATGATCTTGCGGTTGCCATCGACGATATCCTCCGCTCCGATGTTGGTCATTTGGATCTTTCTTCCTTTGATGAAGTCCAGACTCTTGTTGACATTTTCGAATCGCTGTACCCGCAGCTTGGGCTTCGACGCATATCGACCAAGAGATTCATTTCCGAGGATTTCGAGGAGATGGATAAGCATGACCTAGTTGCGTAGCGCATAGTCAGCAAAAAAAGTCCGGGGGAGGTGGATGTATCTGCATTGGGGATACCCCGAAGTTGGAGTGACTTGGAGTTGGCCTTTGATGCGATGGGCACTCTACTTACACCATCAGATAAATCAGTGACCAGGTCCTCGATGGCCAGATCACGGGCCTTCACTTTGTCATTCAGCCTGCCAGAGGAGCAATAGTCAGTATTTTGTTTACCCCATGTATTGAACCCTCTCATCCCCAATCCAAGGAGAGCACGAACCATTTTGTGAAGGTCTTTTGCTGCACATTAATCCACTGCTTCTCAACCGTCAACATTTTCGAGCCTGGTAGACATTCAGGGCCGATTGGCCAATATTTTATTTAATGCGTGAGGAGCGGAGAAGCTCAAGACTGTGAATTGACCGATTGGCACAGGGTTCAAGAGTGGGTGAAGAATAGAGAGGTGTTCGAGATTGAAAGTTCTTCGGGTTGAAAGCCGACTGCCACTAAGCCTTGAAAGGGATGGGCTGCAAAGCAACACAGACAATGAGGGGAGGTGAGCTGTCAAAAGTTCCCAGGGCCGAGTCCGATAGGGGCGGGGTGTTTCTGTCTCCCGAAAGGGCGCAGATCACCCCAGCAACGTGAGTTTGTCTCGCTTTTTCTTTTGCGGCAACAAAGACACACAATGAGAAACGAGAAGCGAGTAGGGTGTACACTTGAGTATTGTGGGAGTTGGAATATATGAAACAACCACGAATCAAAATCCTAGACCAATGAGGAATAATACTCACAGATGGGGAAACAAATGCCCGCCGCGCTGGGCGGCTGGGCGGCTGCACTGGGCTGCCCATCCCTGGCGATCAGGTCTATGCTTTGTTCTCGACTTGGCCAATCATTACTTGCTTGACAGATTCTATTTTGGGCTCAGTCATGGGTGTTCTGTGGATTGAATTATAATCTAATCTTGTAAAATAATATGCAAGCCTGGAGTTGGGCAAGCGTATATAGCCGCTACTATACAGTACTAGTATGTGAGAGCTATAGTGTGTGTGAGTTTATTTTAGATAATGACCCAGATCACACCATACCCCGTCCATACATGAATAGACTAAAGACAAGCCATTAAAAATCCTCTTGACACATAGTTTCTATATAAAAATCTCTATTTGTTGATTGAAGAGGGCAAAATCGATGGTGTGCTCAGTAGTGAGTAATCGCTAAATGATATCATTCGATCCGGTTCCGTAGGGCGGGGCCGATGCTTCTACATTAATAACTCTTCCCTCAAGCACAGCACAGAGCTCTTTAACTCGCAAAACGCCCCTATCAATCCCACGCAAATACTACACCAACATGTCCTATAACATAAACGACCGCATTCCCCTCCCCAATTCCGCCGATCGCATCCCGCGCCTAGGATTTGGCGTCTACCGCTCCCCGCCAGATCAGTGCGTGAAATCCGTGCACAAGGCATTGGACGTGGGATACCGACACATCGACACAGCACAGCTCTACGGCAATGAGGCTGAGGTCGGCGAAGCTTTGCGCACAGCCAATGTATCCCGTGAAGAGGTCTTTGTGACGAGCAAGATCCTAGTCCCAGCTGGATCGCCAGAGGCTACCTATGAGAAGCTGGTAGAGAGTGTGGAGAAGGTGGGCGGGCCAGGCGGTTATGTTGATTTATTCTTGATTCATAGCTCCAAGTCTGGCTCTGCGGGTCGCAAGCACTTGTGGCAAGCTTTAGAGAAGTTGCGCGAGGCGGGGAAGACAAAGAGCATTGGTGTGAGCAATTTTGGAGTGCAGCAGATTGAGGAGATGCGGGCATATGCCAAGGTGTGGCCACCACAGGTTAATCAGCTCGAGGTACGGACCAATTCTTTTCTATTTTCATTTATCTTTATTTACATGAGCTTCTTTGTGAGGCATGGTGTTCAATGCGCTAACCGTTGGCTTCTTATAGCTCCACCCATGGTGCCAGCAGCGTGAAATCAACGACTACTGCAGGCAGAATGACATCGTCGTCGAGGCATATTCACCCATAGTGCGCAACTACAAAGCGAATAATCCCACCCTCGTGGAGGTATCACAGAATTACAACAAGACCACTCAACAGGTTTTGATCCGATATGCACTGCAGAAGGGATGGGTACCGCTTCCCAAGACAGATAATGCGGATCGCATTGCTGCGAATGCCGACCTCTTCGACTTTAATATCAGTGCAGAGGACATGCGTACCCTGGATGCGCTCGATCAAGGAGCCGAGGGAGCCATCGTCGAGGCAGTGGTAAACGAGTGAGCCTGTACCGGAAATCGGACATTATCAGCGGACAATGCTTGAATACATCAGCTTCCACAGAGGGCATCATAGTGATTCCGAACACAAACGACCCGAAAGCTACATCAAAAAGGCATTGACCGATTGTAATGTCGACCTCGACGGGTTCACATTATGGTTAGATGACACGATCCATGCAAGGCGCTGACGGATGAATTGCTTGCTGATAGACTGTTTGTTCAGCGATGCATCAAATTCTCCTGGATATGATTTTGTGATTAGTTAGTTCATCTTTGATTCCCAACAACGTTTCTCATCTAGCGCCTGAAAAATTCTACAACGCGCATTCATGAGACGTACCGTCATCATTGTAAAATTGGCAAATAATCGCTAACAAAGCGCCAGCAGAGAGATCTTTGCCAGTGTCGCAGGTCACCAGCAAAGACCGAGACGATTCAGACCCAAGTTGGGCATTGACAAAGGCTCGCACTTTATCTAGTGATTTGCGTAGATCTCGACTACCCAGTTTAGCTGATGCGCAGCCTAGATTGAGTCGTTTCGGATTCTCCAGATCGGCATTAGCGTCGCCATTACAGTCGATAACAAGATCGTACTTGTTACTGCCGTTCACACTGGGATCCGTGGAACTGATGTAGAGATTACGAGTCGGAGATATAAGTGTCGCTTCCTGACTAGGTTGCTGCTGCTTGAACTCAGAGATCAACTGTGTAATCAGGCCAGGCAGATCTTCCTCAACGGTGCCTTTCAAAACAGCCTGGTTTGCCCAGAACACAGGGGGCGTCAGACCATGCGCCCACCCTTCACTATCATCACCAGCACCCTGGATATATCCACCCTCAGACATCTCGGCGCCATGAACGCGCTTTGAAGCGGAGCACAGAACGAACAGATGATATGTATCTGCCTTTTGCAAATCTGTAGGATAGAAGTAATCATGATTGGCCCATGCTACGCGAATAGGCTTCTCAAGTTGTTCTCGCAGGTGATCTAAATCGAGGTTGAGGGCCTATGTTACAGAGACGGTTAATTCATTTGTCCACGATTGTCTCAGTTCACCCGGGTAAGAGGGGTAAGATGTGTATATGTAGTAAGTCCCATTTATGGAAGTTGAGGAGTCAGCATACTTTGAACGATTGGACGAAGCCATCGATGCGGTTCTCGATTTGTGATTCTTCAGATTTGCCAAGGTAGTTTGGTGGCAAGGCGACAGGATGATACGTCGTTTCTTTCGGGAAAAGGGCTCGGTTCATTACTGCACACCAAATGGGGATCGTTTTCGATAAGGCGTCGGGCATCACTGATATCGTTAGTATCGTCAGCGGCGGTTATTTGCGTCAGCCACAATGCATGGTGGTATTTGTGGATGAACGACACGGTGCCCAATCAGGCTACCGCTTTATCCAATTTTCTGAACTTGAACAAGTATCTCAAGGTTGACATACATTTTCCTCGGCGAGTTGAATCAACGATTACGCACCTGCATCATGAGTAAAGAACAGAATGTTAGCCTGGAGAAACAACGAATAAAACTTGAAATGGAAATGAAAATGAAAATGTTCCAAGTAACATCCAGCCTAAACTCTGCTGATGAAGGACGAGATACCTCATTGGATAAAAATCGCCGAGATAATCAATCAATCAATTAAGCAGCCAGAAACGAATAGAATTCTTCACTAACCCTCCATATTGACGAGCCAGCGGAAGCAGCTGCAGATTCAGCCTACGGCAGCTAAAATCCCATTGCCCAGTATGACCGTCGGTGCTTTTGAAATACGCACTCCCTGCTTTAGTATCCGGAGAGATATACCAGCTACCACAGCGTTCATTGGCGACAAGTGGAAGGCTGTAATGCTCCGCCACCTCATGCACAAAAGCCCCATCAGTCTCGATGGAGCGGAGCCGGTTGGAGACGGATAGAGCAGATTGACGCAGCGAAGAGAGAGTCTGTGAGATTGATGTTTGTGCCGATGGGAAGTGCAAGTCTTCCAATGTTGGATATGTGCCGGATGACCCCATATTTGACGAATTACTATTTAGTATTGATACTTTCCTTCGTTGTCGTATTCTGGGGTAGTACTGCCACCCAATATACTGGGTTATAGGTGGTAGGCGGGGATTAGGCTGTCTAGAAGTGTATACTTTTTGCTGGGAGGGGTTTTGGTATTAATTCGAAGACAGGATTTGTCGGATATATGCCCCACCAAGTCCTGTGTTGAGGATTTGGACCGTTGTGAAAATAGCAGATGCGTTTGTGATCTGCAGTTGTGGGCCTGGCCAATCATGTTCAGGACGACCGTTGGAATGTGGGGGTCGATGGTTTGTATGCGCTGCAGATATACTACTCGTACAGATTTGGGATAAATATCCACGGACAATTTTGTCTTCTTTGGAGATCGAAGCTCGCGGATCAGAGAATTTGTGTATTCTCCGAATAAGCCCCTTAATTGTATATGAAGAGTGGGTGATCTTTGTTATGAAAATATAGGAAACATGTTCAAACGAGTAGGATGTACATGCCGGGCAGCCGAAAAAAGAACAAATCCAGAAGGTTTGAAGACAATGCGTATTACCTATATGAACAGGGCGGGATTAGTAGAGAAAAAATTATACTAGCCTACAACACGTCCAGTTCTAGAAAATGGAAATGAAAAGCTCAACATGACTCTAGGTGCCTGGTGACTACAAGTCTCGACGCTTTGGCCCTCCAATGAACCCGAGAGTTCGTAGAGGGGGTATGATTGAAGCCCATGGGTGTCTTATCAGATCCAAATACGTGTTCAAGTCCTTGCCTGGTTGGAGGGCCTCTACCCACCGAGGCAACAGCCATAGGTGTAACAATAAGTTGACCATTAGGTGGCCCACACATATGGTGCCTAAGCCTATATAGTCACCGTGCCACCGAGTTAACCCGAACTTGGACCTCCGCAATAAAGGTCAATCCAATGAAGCCCTCTAAAGCAGATGCACGGTCCGTGTTGGCATGCAGATTCACTCAGCGGGTTAGTCTCTATTTAGTGAGAGAAGCTAAACCACTGTTAAGAAATCGCGATGAGTGGCCAAGCCTAGATATGAATAAATGGGTGTTTGTATGTCAGTTCCTGCAGTAGTCCAACCCCAAGTACTTGATGAAACGTCAAGTACTACTATAGTATGACAGATGTCAACGCTACAAAGATTTCTGCGACTTTCCAAGAGTAGATTTGAGTGTTGAGCAAAGCACTATACCTGAAAGGGACTAGGGCGGGGATACAATTAGATGACTCATCTCCATCTAGATTTTAATTGGTGGAGAGTGTATCCCTGTCTGTTATAGGTTTAAGGTGATGCAAGTACTCGAAACCTGATTTTACGTGTCTGTGCACTATTATTTCAGGTACAGACTACAAGTTCCCCTCCCGCTCTGGCCCGGTTCTCTGCGATCCCTCATTATGCCAGCGTCATGCTTTCCGTGGGACCAAGGGGGTCGTTTCCCTCGAATAGAAACTATGCGGGTCCTGACTTCCCTGCTGGTGACGCTGATCTTGTTCCGGTGTTTTTATTTCCCTGACGCAACTTCCCATCTCTCAATTCTCTAGAGCAACCATTTTCCCTTGAACATCGCTCCAGTACTTCTCGCGGTTTCGCCAAAACTTACCTCGCATACAATAACAAACGCGCTCAAGGATACATTCCCCGCACTAACACAATGCCTAAAGTTCGTGCTCCCATTGTTGTCAACCACCGATCACTACTAACTTAATAATTGAATTTCAGATTACGGAAATTTTCTTCGATTGTGACAACACCTTAGTCCTTTCGGAAGAACTGGCCTTTGAGGCATGCGCTGACCTCGCCAATGAGATTCTTTCAAAGCAGGGCATTCCCGATCGCTACACTGGCGATCAACTGATCAAGGATTTTGTGGGACAGAACTTCAGAGGCATGATGAAGTCGCTGCAGGAGAAGTACAACTTTCAACTGCCAAGCGATGATTTGGAAGCCTACGTCAAGAAGGAAGAGGACAAAGTGATTGCTAAGCTTGAAGCCAAGGCGAAACCATGTGTTGGTGCCACCGAGGAATTGGTTAAAGTCTTTGAAGCGAAGAAGTATCATCTCGCTGTGGTTTCATCTTCTGCTTTGCGCCGGGTCCAAGCCTCCATCAAGAAGGTTGATCAGGACAAATACTTCGATCTCGATATGGTGTTCAGTGCAGCGAGCTCTCTTGAAAAACCTACTTCCAAGCCTGACCCTGCCATCTACCTCTATGCTCTGGACTATGTGAAGAAGACCGCCGCTGAGACTGTTGCAGTGGAGGACAGCAAGTCTGGTGCTCTGGCTGCCGTTCGGGCTGGCATCTGGACCATTGGATATATCGGCAGTTATGGCGAAGAGATGCAAGAAGAAATGAGTCAGCGCTTAAAGGACCTTGGTGTGCATATCATCATGAAGCATTGGACTGAATTCCAAAGCTGCATGCAGTATATCGAGTCTCTCCCTCCCAAGGATTCCGCTCAATCTTCCAGCCTGTGATAGCCTTCAACGCCTGCTTCCCCTCATACGAATTCATGATAGCAAGCATTTGATCGTTCCGGAGCCTTTTCTTACTCTTCTCTCTTAATCGATACCAAGTCTAGATGACTTCTCTTACACCCATCTTATCATTTGTCAGAGCTTGAAAATGTATACACCGTTTCCTCGGGCTAGGCTTTCGATAGCATTTTCAAACTTGCTACAATCGCGCTCTGCGACACATGGGTCTTTTTATCCTGCATTCACATGTAGCATCCTTCATCTTCATGATAGACAGGCCATCAATGACACCATTACTTTAAGTCAGGAGCTCCAGTGTAGAACTAGTACGCATTTAACTCACAGCATCAAACTTCAATTCCCTAAGTTTGAAAGTCATAAATATCAATTCAACAACGACCAGAAATGCTTAGAAACCCTCATGCATGAAAGAGCTCCCTGCAGTGATGACGATCTGCGATAAGATAGATAAGCGAACCCCACTGCACCCAGTGTATCCCCTCCTCACCTCCATCATTGTGTCAACATTAGGATTAGCCCCGGTTTAAGCTCGATCATAGTGTCTGCTGTCTAGATACTGGCATATCATCCTGAACCACGAAATTGCGATTGCTCAATTTGAATTATTTTCTCGCACGCTCAGTTTTCGACCTGCTACGATATGGCTCCCCCCAGCCAAGCCAACTCTAAGAACCTTTCATCAGGACCTCTGGTACGTTCCGATCATTTTTTACCTTGTTGCTCTCTATGGTTCAATAATTTCCTCGAAATGAAGGCAAAGAACTATTGAAAACGAAAAAAAAAAAACTTTTACTGTTGAGCGTCGCCCAGGCAATAATATAATCTGACAGAAAACAAATTCTAGGATCCCCAGGAAGCTAGATGGATTCGATTAGTAAAGACGACATACAGTGATCCTCTAGGTATCGAAAGAACCTGGGAATCTGCTGAGCGCCAGGTAAGACTTGACTTCCAGCCTCACTTTGGGTGTCATTGCATTGTGCCTTGATCACCGCCCCTACGCCAACCGGGAGTTGGATCTCCCACTACCCATACCTTGGAAATCAAGCCACCCCGTCCACGAGGCTCGCAGTCCAAGTCATGCTGCTAGAAGCCAAACAAGCCAAACCTGGATCCAATGTAATGCAGTTTGCACCCACAAAGGATTCCCGATATCCGATTACCACGTCGTCGGGATTCGAAGTGCGGGATTATTGTTGCGCACAGCCTTCATCGGTTGCCTAACAACAAAACAGGCTATACTTTCTAGAAAATGTTTCTCCCTTGGCTTCCCAAACTTGGCCATTTGTTCACTCCACCATCGTGTTGCGTGACCGGGAATTATTCATGCTGACCGGCTTTCCAGACTCGCCCGGCCAATGCCGAGATTGACGGTGTGGGGATCGTCACTATCCTGAATAAGCCCACGGGCCCTGAACTGCTTCTGCAAAAGCAATACCGCCCCCCTATCGACAAGGTCGTTATCGAGGTTCCCGCCGGACTTATCGATGCGGGTGAAACACCCGAACAATGCGCGGTACGCGAATTGAAAGAGGAGACGGGCTATGTCGGTGTGGCGGAGCAGACAAGCCCGGTAATGTATAACGGTACGTCTTTATCTCTTGAGGAGCTCACTGGCTTCGGTGAATAAATAAGGGAGCTTGGACTAAATGTGGCAGATCCCGGTTTTTGCAATACGAATCTCAATATGGTTCATGTGCGGGTCGATATGAGCCTCCCTGAGAATCAGAACCCGAAGCCCGAACTTGAAGAAAACGAGTTCATCGAATGTTTCTCTATTCCAATTTCTTCCCTATTTGAGGCAATGAAGCAGCTTGAGCAGGAGGGATATGCGATCGATGCCCGAGTTGGCACTTTGGTTGAGGGAGTGGAATTGGCGAAGAAATGGAAGTTTTAAACCGAAATCATTTCAAGGTTTAGATGGACATAGACTCACGTTACACAACCTCTGAAGAAACATATGACTGGTTGAAAATGCACGCTAGTCCGAGTTACTAGAATATTCAATAACAAAAATTTGAATCTGTTGAATACGCCCGAACCCTCAATATCCCTTTTGATGCTCATAATTTCTATGCATTTATTGTTTAGATCTTCCCTTCTTGCTGCAAACCTTTATACAGTGCCCACGCAGCTAAAGTTTTCCCATCTCGTAACCCCTCCTTCCACAGATTTTCCAACGGAACAACTTTCAACGTGATCTTCTCCCCATGGTCACGCTCCCCCGTCAACTTCCCCTGAAGCTCTTCAATCTCCTTCCGACGCATACGCTTCTGACATAGAAACAGAGGAATAAACTCATCACTACCACCAGCCGATGGATAAAATGCCTTCTGGAGACATTCTCCATCATCAGGCTCCGGCATAGATTGCAGAGCTAAAGCAGTCATATCAAGCAACTCACTGGACTGCACGGAGAGCCCAGTCTCTTCTTGAATCTCCTTCGCCGCACCGCCTGCAAAAGTCCCACTATCATCTAGCATGCCAGCAGGAATCTCTGCAAATGCCAAGGACCCAGCCGGAATACGAGGCTGAATGGTAAGGATTGCCCATTTCCCATTTTCTTGATCAGCGGGTAGATCATCCGGCTGCAGAATGAGCTAAGAGACACAGTCAGCAACACGTTCGTAGATTAAGACAAAGTGCATTGGAATAGAAAGATTGTAAAAGCCCCGTAATCATATAGGTAGTAAATTAAGGCTTCGGCATTGAGAAACAGGTAATAGGTAATGGGTAATATCGAATACGGGATTCCGTTGGTCATGTGGCGACGAATCAAACCACTTACCAGCATGCCTACACTACCACCTCGTAAAAATACGCTGCCTGGTAAACTTTCGCCCTGAGAATTCGATACGTCGGCCTTTAACTTGACAAAGCCCAACCTTCCACCCCCAAAGCGATCAATGGATTGAATGTCAATCTTCCGTAGAATGTACGGATCCCCATGAAACTCATGTGACGAAAGCTGCTGACGCTTTAAAGAGTGTTGAAGCGTCGAAATCCAAACCTTGAAAGCTGGGAAGGAAAGTAGATCCTCCTTCACCAGGTCTGGGATGCTATTGACGCGTGTCTGGGAGTCGGGAAGCATAAATGTAGACATGGCGGGTGCCTTTGCTTTTGCTGCACAGCCCACAAGCTGGGTTCGGTTTCTATTTCCAAGACCAAGTCCGATGCTGGACCCGGGTGTCAATTTCTGCAAGGATACCCGCGCGGCAAGATGCAATCGTGGCAGCATGAATCCGTGCTTGGGGCGATGATCGAAGATCTGAGGCGGTGAACCTCGATCGGGGAAATTCGATGTGATCGATGTGTTCCGTGCGGAGTAGATTGCCTTCTTTTCAAAGGTGTAAGGTTTGATGGATGATTTGAGTTATTTTGCTTGTTGCTTTTTTTCATGTGTTGGGTGACTTAATTTTTTCTATGGCCTTTGTGGTGGTACTGGTGGGACGGGGTCACTGGGTAACTTCAAGTTGGCTCGGACATTCAGTTGATGACGTCTTTTGTCCATATGAGCATTGAGGGGGGCTGGGGCTTCCTTGTTGAAGTTCGATTTATATTTCGTATTTCGTATTGGACCTCTCGATCGACTGCAGACATGAAACGAAGCAATATTTTCCGCATGACGCAACTTATTTGCATTGTGGATTTCTTACATTTATCGTGCATATTTAGATTCTTCGATCTTGATAGGTAGCTTTCGATAATCATTTACTTTTACAAGTTTCCATGCATTACAATATGGGAAAAGATAATCAGATTGATCGTCATTATGTGCTATCTTCCAAGGTTGATCATGATGGCTATGTATATTCACCCTACCTCGAATATACCCCGGGGCCATCACACGGGGCCCATGCTACAGCTCTAGCTCAACCCGAGGCATACTATATCATTGATCAACGGAGTTAAAATAAACCAAATTATCAATCAAAAACGGTGTTCCTGTAAGAAAATAAAACTAATCCTGCAACCCGGATGACCCACCCAATAGAAACAAACTATCTGCATGGAACCTTGGAACTAATTCCTTAGGCCATGCATGAGATGCTTCCTCGTAGCATCTAGAATTCAAAAAACCCGAACTAAATTCACCCGGGTAAAGCACTAACCTCGAAAAGTTCCACATTCCTGCTTCCTCCCGTCATCTCGAACATCCTGTATACCCCAGTTCCTAGAAGATTTGCACCAGCCCCCAAAAATCCCATCATGCCATGTTGACCGATTACCATGATAGGCGGTCTTTCCCACTAATTTGGGTCGTTGGGGAGAGGAAGGCCCGCATACCGTTCCATCTGATCTGCTGGTTTTTTCACCCGGGTACAATGCAATGCTTACCCCGCCCGCGAAATGATCTTCGGGTCCTTTACCCCTGTCCTTACATCATTCTTTGCTTCTAAATTTACTATCCCTCGCGACTGTAGTGCAATTTGGGATCCGAAGACAGGGGCATTTTACTCTATGAAGGAAGATAAGAAGCGGGTAGCCAGGATGGGTTGCCTGAAAATCGATCATGCGAACCATTTGGCTAATTCAAGTTGGAAAGTGAGTCTTTGCTCTTGTATATGTAGGACGACGTGTTACCGCTCATAGTATGATGTATACTTTGATAACAATATGATATCTACTGATGCGCCTAGATAAATCATGGTGGCCCTAAATTTGATACTTCTAGATGAATAAATTGTATGAAGCAAATAGTTCCATTTCCCTCCGATTTAGAAAATAAATTCAGAACATTGAATCTCGACCGTTGAATTTGTTTGTCTCTCGTGCATAGCCCATAGACTTAGTCGCTGCACCATATAAACATTGTAAAATATAATCCAGGCGCTTCGCACGAATAAAGAATAACTCATCTGCAAGAAAAAGCAAATAACGAAACCCATGTCGCCATTTCCTTGAAAGGGCATTTGTTTGCCGCTCAACCTGATGTTGATGGCCATGCCGTTGCATAGTGGATCGCATGGTCTTTCCACCCGGGGCCATCCGGGGGACATGACATGGACATGAGCATATTAGCTTTACGAAATATGACAAGGTTCAGTCAAGGAGTATCTATGAATATCGTGGTTGATTGGCGAGTACAAGGGGCTAAGGGCAGTACTGCTTGGGTATCTGGGCTCCGCGGCCCAATAATAGAGACAATCAATTGTTATTCTAAAACGTCCTGTAAGTTCCTGTCAATCCGAGTCGTCCACTACATCCTTATGCTATATCTAATATCTTCATAAGTATATTAAGAGTTTTTAATTTGGAACAGAAGAGCGTATCGCTGGGAGTTGGATGTCGTGATGAGCAGGATGAGGTGTCTATATTCCTTTTGGCGACTCGGATGCCCTCATAGTAGACCCACCAAGGAACATCAATACGAAGAGGCAAAGTAAAATAGCAATAGCGTATATCGTGGAAACTACCTAGATAGTGATATATTTGAAAGCGATATTATGAATTTTTTTAATTACTATGTTGTTTCCTTGATAATGACTCGGAACTCAAGGACAGGCGTGAGGTCTGTCATGCAATGAAAGAATAACTCAAAAGTACGAATAGAGCTGCAACGTGTTCTTGCATACCCCAAAATGCCCCTAAGCCATGTGTTCAGATATCAATTGCCTTAAAGCCTCAAGTCAATCAATTGGCCCACGAAGAAGCCGCATGATCGCCCATCAAAACATTGGCCCTGAGGGACAAGGCAGATAGATCGGCTTTCTGGTTTGAGCAAAAATGACGATGAATCGGCTAGTGGCAGCCCAAAGAAGCTCAAACGAATGCAGTGAGACCCAATAAAGATTATGGGGCGCTTTGTGTTCAAAACTGGTCCCACCAGGAAGTCTGGGACTTGAGGGAAATAAGTAAATCAACGTCACAAGGTGGAGGGTTGAGTTAGGCCTATGGGGAAAGTAAATATGGCCAAAGAGTTAGGCCCCTGGGTACCGGTGTGAGCAGATACGTTGTACCCGTAGGTCCGTTTCAGAATTAAAGCTGAATTTTGGGTCCTCTAGGCATGGTCAGTGCTTGTTGGTGAGACTATCTTGAAATATCGGTGTGGAATCAGGCTTCGGAGCGGTGACTGGCTGGAAAGGGAGTTTGCATGCAAGGGCCGAGGGAAAAAAGAAAGCAAGAGAACTCCAAATCCAACGAAATGCCTCGTTATCCATGAGGTTTCAAAGAATTGGAGCTCCCGAGTCCAAACTTAAAAAAGGCGCCGAAATAGGGGGTAGATTGTTGAGCGTGGAGGGTTGAGTCTGTTAAGCACCGGGAAGGGATGCTAAAGTATAGGTGTACGGTGTACCTATAGTTGGCAACCGCACCCGAAACCTCTTTCTCGAGTCATTTATCGGGCGATAAACAAAGGCGCCGTTGGTTTTGTGATATAGCTTAATAATGTAGTAGTCGGGTTCGATCGAACTGATCACTGTCAGCCTTGGCCCTCGACGCCTTTTTGGTTTGTTCCGGTGATTGACATCATGGATGTTTCACGCATGGACATGACAATTTTATCTCCCCAGGGTTATGATTTCTTTTGATTTTACCAGTTTTGCTTTTTTGAAAGAGGAAAATAAAATACACATAGTACTTTTTTTTTTTTTATCTCCAGCCAGAATCGGGGAAATAACAGCTGTTATAAGCCCAAAACGTACAAAAGTACTGTTGCAGAATTGCCAACTTGTAGGGTGATGCAGGAGCCGCCGCAGGCAGCCACTAGAGAACTTAGTACTTTCCCATGTATTTTTTCCATCCCTGTCTCCATCATTATATGCGACTCAAGTACTCAATATAATCCCCTCTCTCCGCCAGGGTTGGCTGCCTCATCCAGCTTGGCTGAAACTACAAAAACCGACCACGATTCCATCATTTTCTAGGTGAAATTTTCCAAGTACGAAGAAATAAACCTTCATATCCTTCCCCGTTAGTATACCTAGGTATCTTACCTTGTTTCTATACAATATTTCCCGTTGAAACCCTATTTGACCCCCATTTCCATCCATTTAAATCACTCTTCACCCCCCAAATCTCCGCAAATTCAAATACACCCGTTGGAAAATGTTCCCAGGCCCCACCGCCATTTCACCGAGTTCCACTACGACCTATCCCGATCTAGACAATGAAAAAATTTCTAACGATCGATCAGATTATGTGCAGCACTTGAAACGGACGATGGGTGATAAACCATCAATTCTCCGTTCGAAGTCGCGCCCCAATCACAGTGCGTCGTGTACCATATTAGACCCCAAAGCCTGGAAAGCTGCTTACAGCCAGTGTCCCAGGTATGTTTAATGTCCATAATGTTGCGTTATTTTTATTTATTTCTAAACCTCTTTGCTTCACAGGATTCAGTTTGGGCGGGTGCGCTCTGAAGACTTCGTTTCAGTCCTCGATGGCTAATCGCATGCGGCCATCGGCCACTCCACCATTATTATGTGGCAAATCTAACTCAACCTTACTTGCTGACGATGGCACAATCGATACACTCAGTAGTAATGGTGCTCGAAAAACGAAGTCATCTCGGGCTAGCGTGGCCCGTGCCGAGAAACTCCGGCGTAAACCAAGTCCTAAGCTTCCAAGGAGTCGACTATCGCCAGGGTTATCGAATGCTCATTTTTCGAACAATCATCATTCTATAGGTGGAATGGTAAACCAGAGACCTTTAAATGGACAAAATAACGAAATCTCTCACTTGAAAGCGGAACAAGATAGTTGGCATTATCAGGAAACATGTCGCCCCAATATCAACAGAGTTTATTCCAGCCCGACACCCCTGACAAGTTTGCCTCAAAATGAAACGGAAAGTGGATACACAAAAATGCAATTTCTACAAGATGTTTCCTCACGAGAAGCCTCTAGGGATTTTGAAATGGCGGATCCCTCGTCGGATTTAAAAAGCATGACACCATCAAGCCCGAGTACAGACAATTATGGATACCAAGAAATGTTTAAGCAACCGGAGACCAATCCAATTACCGAAGAACAATTGATCAAAGAAGTCCGAGCAATCTACGCCGGGCTTGTGATGGTCGAACAGAAATGCATGGACATCTACAAGCAACAGACGGAGTCAGAGTCGAAGACAGAATTCTCTGAATCGCAATGGCAAGCTCTAGTCTCATTGCATCGAACCTTGCTCCATGAACACCATGATTTTTTCCTTGCCTCACATAACCCTTCAGCTAGTAAAGTCCTTAAAGGTCTTGCTGAAAAATATGCTTTACCTGCAAGAATGTGGCGATTTGCCATCCATTCACTGCTGGAACTCTTACGAGAGAAGCTACCGGGATCTATGGACTATCTGTTGAATTTCATATATATTGCCTATTCTCACATGACATTGTTATTAGAGAGTGTTGAAGATTTCCGGGAAACATGGATTGAATGTTTAGGCGATATAGCTCGGTATCGCATGGCCATTGAAAAATCCGATTTGGCAGAACGAGAAATCTGGGCAGGAGTTTCCCGATCTTGGTATAATCAAGGCGAAGATGAGAGTCCCAATGTTGGCAGAATTCAGCACCATCTGGCAGTATTAGCTCGACCCGACGGTTTACAACAATTATTTTACTATACCAAATCTTTGGTTACTGTGGAACCATTTCAAAATGCCCGAGAGAGTATTGCTCTTTTCTTTAATCCTTTTAAGGGACAGGAGCTTAACCAGCAGACAATGCTTACTGCATTTATTGCTACACACGGGATTCTTTTCAACCAGGGTCCTCAAGAGCAATTTATCCTCTCGGCTAACCGCTTTTTATCATTTCTGCGAAAGGAGGTTCGTCGATTGGGTCAGCAAAGGCACTATGGTGTTTACATGATGTCTTGCAACATCTCTGCAGTCCTGCAATATGGTCAGCCGGAAGTAGTCATGGAGTTGGAATTTTCTCAGAATAAAAAAGAGCTCGTGAGCGAGGTACATAAAATGGCACTGGGGTGGACCTCGAGCTCAGCATCCAATGCCACGAGCGAGCCAACGACTTCAACCCTCGCCTTTTCACCCATTGCTGCCCAAGGGAGCGCCCTTACATTTCATACACTCACTATTCTTCTCGACCAATTGAGTAACGAGCAGATTTACCCAAGTATTCACATCTCCTTGGCATTTATCTGGTGCCTAGCTCTCCGTCCTATCGCCATGCAACAATTCGAGGAAATAATTCCATGGCTACCAATTGCAAGATTTCTCAACATGCTTCTTTCTTCCGATACCGATTTTTTGAATTCTCAAAATGAAGAGTTTCCCGTTTGCGATGATGGATCTGGCAACCGCCAGCTTGAAGAAGACTTCCTCATCCGAGGTCAAGTTTGGAGCCAACTATATTATCCAGAGGGTTTCTTTTACGGAGCTCCCTCAGAAGAGGACAGGCCGGCTACAGAAGTACAGAAGACAATAATCCCAAGACAACAGAGGTGTGTCTGGTTAGGCGTGCGGATTGCAACGGTTCGTTCTTCCTCGCTAAATAAATAGCCCTCATCATGCTTACAGAAAACTGACCCTTGAATAGTTCCGCCGCTGGATAACATACAGCCGTGACGAGGGATTTGTACCAACACAATTTGCACGTGAATGCTCTGCCATTGCAGAGTGTCATGGGCATCTAAACAGCCGTGCGCTCCTTGCGGAGCCAGCAACCGACATTAAAATGAGCGAAGCGTGATTTAACAGTTATTGGATGTAGATGGATAGAGACATCTGGCCTTGTGCAGCCTTGGCACAATTTTACCCTAGAAAGCTCCGGGTACTAAGGACTCGGAGGACTTTCTCACAGCGTTGTAGAAGCCACCAGTGGGACAGATTATCGAAATGAATCTATCACTGGTGATTGGTATAGTTAGGACCACGAGTGGCCAAAAGCTTGATGGAATAGCGCCACCAAAAGGTCCAGAAATCTCCAGCCAGGCCTAGAACTATCAAAAGTACTGGGATACCAAATTTTCACTTAGACCACATGGCCACGATGACGATGAGTCTCAATACTGGAAGCTACTTCCAGGGAAGTAAGGGATCGAGCAAATCATACGGGAAGATATTGGAAATGTTTTGGGGGAGGCGGAAAAGGGAGTGATCGACATTGGAGCACGCGACTTGGTGAGCAACCTGGAACTTGAACACATAACAGAATAGCGAAGATATGTACATATACTACCTATGACATGGACGAATGTTACGAATACTAGAAATGAGACATTGGAAATGACTAAATATTGACACAGGGATCTTCCCCATTCAGACCTCACTAGCCGAAGAATTCAAAATTTAGTCTCATTTACTTTTCAAAAGTACTTGTACTTAATGCCCAACTTCGGAAACAGCCGTAGACCTGGGTATCCCTTCTTCCCGGATTTCTGGAATTAAGTGTAAGGCATGTTGACGTGAGCGCTTGAAACGCGTCCCAGCCATATGGTTTCTAAGGGATGTACATGCGTCGTGGTGCCGGAAAGGATTCCGAAGGGAGCCTCACATCAAGCATCGGCATTAAGGTGCATCATATGCATCAGTAGACAATGGGCAAAGTACCTACTCGAACTCCGTGATTTTCCTTTCACAAAGGCTTGTCAGTATGGGTGTTTAATAAACGATTTAACAGACCTAAATGCGTGGTTTACGGCTTCCTTTTCACTAGCAAATATTATTTATTCAAACATGGCAGGGAAACAACCAATGACTAAACTTCAACTAGTATCTGAGAGAATCATTCTTCAAGGCAGCATTCCCCAGCTATGAGACGAACCTGCGTAAACAGCACGTGCTGAGGGATATTGTATTGAGCGAGAAGTTTTGTATCCAGAAGATTTACGAAGTTATTTCCCAACAAAAAGCTGGCAATTTAACTCATAATTATAGAATCTAAATAGATTTACTCAAAAAGGCAATGCCGAAGCCAGTTAAACTGTCCATAGCCGTACCATTTTCAAGAGTCGTTGTGTCAATACTCATTTAAAAGCCCCTTGATATCCCATCCCCTTGGAATGCGATTTCCCTCCACCCAATCCAACCTCCCTCACAATGGCGGACCAACAAGAGAGAAAAGAGAATAGCCTGGTTCCAACCGTCACCAGAGCTGAAGGCCAATCCTTATCTCAAGATGCAGTTTTTGGCGAACTCACAGAGGATGGACCTAATTATCGCAATGTGAGTGGTTCATTTCCTATCTTGATATCAAACCAACCCCTTGGTTCCACCGACGTAGCTAAATCGATCGAATAGGTGGGATGGCTAGGAACAAGTGTCATAATGTTGAAAGTCCAGATCGGCCTAGGCGTAATGTCAATGCCATCTGCATTTGATGCTCTAGGAATAGTTCCTGGCATTATCTGTCTATGTGTGATTACAGGTATCACGACATGGTCAAATTATATGGTCGGCGATTTTAAACTTCGACACCCAGAAGTTTATGGCATCGACGATATAGGTGGATTACTCTTTGGTAAAACCGGAAGGATTGTACTAGGAACGGCATTTGTTCTCTGTAAGGTCATCCTCTCGTTGATAATTGCTTGAGATGTCCACGGACAAAAGCTAATATCCCATAGGGTGCACATTTGTCACTGGCTCAGGACTGCTGAGCATTTCAATCGGTCTCAATGCGGTATCAACTCATGCTACGTGTACAGCTGTCTATATTGCTGTTGCGGCTATAATAGCTTGTGCCCTTGCAAGTATCCAGACACTTGGTCGTATCTCCTGGCTGGTATGGGGTGGATTGACATGTCTTATTACTTCAAGTAAGTCTTCCTTTCGTGAAATCTGCTACTTAAGGCATGTCTAATCGATGGCAGTTCTTATTGTTACGATATCAGTCGGAGTGCAACATCGTCCTGCAGCCGCCCCTAGGACAGGCATTTGGGAATCTGACTATAAAATTGTGAATGATCCATCATTTAGCAAGGCTGCAACAGCGTTGTCTACGATGGTATTTGCAAATGCTGGCACTCCTGCATTTGTTTCGATCGCGTCTGAGATGCGAGAGCCTCAACACTATACTCGCTCATTGCTACTTTGCCAGTCTATTATGACTGTGTTCTATATCACCGTTGGTACAGTTATTTATTACTATTGCGGATCGTATGTCATATCTCCGGCGCTTGGATCCGCTGGTCCAACTATAAAAAAAGTCAGCTATGGATTTGCGCTGCCTGGTCTTCTCGTTAGTGCTTTGCTCTTTCTTCATGTGAGTAAACCGTCAAATTTCAAAGATGAGAAACAACACTGACATCTCTTGTCATTTTAGCTGCCGGCAAAATATGTATTTGTCCGAATATTATACGGATCTAAGCATCTTAGTGCGAATACAATGAAGCATTGGATTACTTGGCTTAGTTGCACCATTAGCGTCGGATTGACTGCTTATATCATTGCCAGCGCCATTCCCGTCTTCGGCAACCTTGTTTCTCTTGTTGGTGCTTTGTTCGGCACTCCACTATGCTTTCAGCCCGTTGCTGGAATGTGGTTCTATGATAACTGGAATCAAGGAACAGCCAAGAGGTCACCTCTATGGATAGTGATGGTGGGATGGTGTTGCTTTGTCGTGGTTGCTGGAACATTCTTAATGATTGGTGGAACTTATGGGTCTATTGTTAGCATTATTGAGGACTACAAGATCTCCCAGGGCTCGGCTGCATGGTCCTGTGCCGATAACTCTAATAGTTAGGTGCTTTGTTATATCTGCAATGTGGCAATGTTAGTGAAATGCGAAGACATTTTAGACTGTTACAAGAGAGCTTGACAATTGGACATTTGGATCCGCAAGAAGAGTAATGCTCTGCGTCACGGATCACCTCCTGCATTTGTATGGAATTTCAGTGTAGTGAGATGGCCTCATATAGAAGTCTCCTGTTTGCGATGAAAATATTGGTGAAAAGCTGATTGTCGTTGTCTCCGTCCCAAGGGTTAATAGGCTCATTACAAACTAGGAGATGCTCGAAATTTTTGCTCCGAAACTCAGCAGGAAGACCCAACAAGCTCACTGACATCTTGTTGATCTTGCCCTTGGCAAAGTTTTGATAGGCGTACTAGTAGATTGGGGGGAGGGAAGGAAGAAGAAAGACGGGCAATTTATAGTGAGACGTACGTCATATGGACCCTCTTTCATCGCTCTTTTGTAGGTGTAAGCCATATTTCCTACTTGATAAAGATTTTTAAATAAACAGGATGGATGTTCAATATCAAAAGATCTCCTATAGTATAAGGAATCTCCCGATACTAAACTAAAAATCCAAATTTCAATCCACACTTTCTTCACAACATGGCCTTTAAAGATCAAAGGGTATAATCTAATAGATTAAATCAGATACAATCTTTATACTCAAATCGTTTGCATAAGGAAAACAATGATTTATTATTGTATGATTGATCGAAATAAGATTTAAAGACAAAAATTTGAAATTGTTTTATTTCTGACATTTTGTATTGCATTTCCCAGAGATAAATTACCATATAAAAGTTAGATATAAAATGGTATCGTTCATCAATTTAGAATCCCTTTAAAGACTATTCAGAAAAAATAAAAAAATAATTAATCAAAGAGGTATAATCTATATTTTATATCAAATTTTGGAACGTCCGTCAACTTTAGATTTACTACTTGACGGAACTAATAGGCTTTAAGGTAATCAGTCAATATAAGTTTAACTGAACTATTTATTTAGAATAATGCATAATTGGAAATTAAACTTACTTATAAAACTAGTCGAATCGAAGGGAATGAAAAAGCCACGTTTTGTTGTTTTTCGCTAGGGTTTGAGTTGCACACAGACTTTTGACACACGTAAATCTCTCAATCCAAGTTCAAATGTTAATTGGTTTACCGAATTTCCCGCGGCGCACAGCTTCTATTTGGTGCAGCCTTGCATTGTGAACCCATTCTCACTTGTAGCGTCTCCATTCTCCACAATGAAGGTCATTGACCCCGTATAGTAGGCCTTACCCTCAACACGAACAACGACTCCCATTTGGGTCTCATTATTTTCGCCTTCTATTGGAATTTCCTCATTCACGATTGCTGCTGTGAAAGCTCCCGTGTTGAAATGATTCGAGACGAGTGAGTTGTATGCCCACGTCTGGCCTTTAGCTCTCACGTTCTTTGCATGCGCCAACGCCATGCGAGCAGCCACGCAGGATCCTGTTGGGGATCTGTCAATTTGGTTTTCTGCGAAGAGGCAGAGGCCAGTCTCCGCCCCATCAGCACCATCTGGCTTGAACCCAACTTCATGATCAACAACCATGACAGAGTAAAGAAACGACAGTCTTTTATCCTCGGGATGCTGCAATGCTTTGGATACCTCAGGTATTTTAGGTAGGAGGTTCTTCAGAGTTTTGGCAGCAGTTATGACAGATTCAAGCTCAAAGTTGCGCAAACCACCCAAAAATCCAAGAGCACGAGCATCCACTAATGCATAATATGCCCCGCCGTATGATATGTCAACATGCAAAGAGGACCTGTCGCCAAGCTCAGGCCACCTAAGGTCTTCAGGAATTGGCACTTCGATGTTCGTGCCAGCGCAATAGGCCGGGGTAGAAAAGAAGGTGACAGGACGAGAAGGATCCGACTTCTGACCATCCTCAGATGTAGGGACAACCACACGAACAAGCCCGCAGGGAGCATGGATATTGAACTTTACCTCACGGGTCACCAGATCGGGTTTCAATTCGTTTCGCCGCGGAAACACTGTCACGTCATGAGTGTCAACCAAGAATCGACCGAGTGCGATCGTTGCGTGTCCACACATCGTGGAGAATCCTTCATTATGCGTGAACAGAGTCCCAATGTGTGCATCGCCAGACTGCACGAGCTCTGTTTTTGGGATTATGATGGCACCATACATATCGTAATGGCCGCGGGGCTCTAGCATGACACGCTTGCGGATATTGTCGTACTGATTTTTCGCCTGGTCTCGTTTTTGAAGAAGTGTCCCTTTGAGTTCAGGGAAGCCAGAGTAGATGATACGAGTAGGTTCCCCGGTGGTGTGCATGTCGATGCACTTGATGATCTCCCCGTGGGAGGATTGCTCAAACTGCTGTACCAGGTCCATGGTGGAGAAATGGGGCGTAATACGGTTAAAGAAAGAAAAATTTTGGTCTATACAGAGAAGAATATCTTTGGGCGGTTCAAGTTCTTGTGTATGTACTGAAATGAGGACAGTGTGGCCGCGATTGTTAACTGGTCGATATTTGATCCCGGAGACGGCATCCGCGCATGTGGAGCATCTACGGAGGGGCCACCCGAACAGTCTCCGTTCTCGCCCAGGAGACGTGGTTAGTGCAGTTTAAAATGTAGAAAGCTTCAAATATATTGTAAAGACTGTGTTAGCTAGCATTATGTTCATTGCGATATTATGTGTATTGGCTTTCGTTCATAGCGAGTCTTCCGAGGCTCCCTTGAAAATTTAAGCACCTCTAGTCTGCGTGGGCATTACGCAGCCTGTGGTTGCTTTAGAAGAATATATGTGTCGTAAACATCATCAAATCCCCATGGGTTGAGATCTTGAATATCCTGATCCAGGAACTCAAACCCAAGCTTCTTGTACATGCCTAAAGCACTTGTGCCCATGGCGACTAAAAATATCTCTAGGCCCAATTTATTTGCTTGTTCAATACCGGATTCAACAAGTCTGCTTCCTATGCCCTGGCGCCAGTATTCTGGGTTCACAGCAAGATAATCAAGATCTTCGTACAGTTAGCTGGGTAGAACAAAGCTCAACTTGAACATACGAGCTAAAAAAAAAAAACAAGATTGCACTTACTAATATGTGGCTTTTCCGGTCTATGTTTGTTCATCATCTTATGCAGTGGATCATCGATGCCCGGCATATCGTTACGAGTTGTCCAGTCCGCTTTGTTGTAGTCTGCCGCAAAGGCCCTGCTCTCCTCTGCTGTAACATCCGGTATTTGAGCCTCAAGCCAGCTACCCGAGTGAGACTCTGGTAGGATCCATCGTGCGTAACCCACAATCCCACCAGTCGCGGAGTCGATGACTTTCTGATGTCTTCGCACAGCGCGGGCGGTCTGGAGACTTTGAGGCATTCGCAGGATACAATTGTCAATGATGGTATCGAGACTTCTGTCAATCCATAGCATTCTCCACCATGTCTGCGACCAGAACGCAGACATGTTGTTTTTCGATAAGGTTACGACATCTTTGTTTGGGTCGAGGGCTTTGACCTGATATGATGCCATTTTCCAACTACTTTATACTACTAGTAGTGGCTCGGAACTGAAGGTTGTCGGTGTTTGCGGCTTGCGCAACAAGTGTGAGGTATGGCGTGTCCAGTTTATACTGTCCAAGATTCGTCGTGTTGTTTGGGAGTTGGAGCTTTAGGTTTATAGAGAAAGAGAGAGGAATCGATATCAATTATATATTGGGCGAGAACGGCGAGAGCTACTATCTGAGTGAAGAGGACACATGTGCAGTTAACAGATCTAGATATGGGGGGCGGATCACGCAAGTGGGAGCGATTAGGCTACCCCATTCGTTGGAAACTACGACTAAGCCACCGGCACATATGGGCACCGACGGTGCCCCGACGAAGGCTGATAGCACGGGGGCTGACCAATGGAATCTCGTCGGTCTCAAATGCTTTATTTGGCTAGCTTATGCATTCCACGTACATTATGATGAGTCGACCCTCTGTTTATAATATATATACGACTGACTTCAACTGCAGAATCGCTATCGTCCGCTATACTCAACTTCGCTCAAACCTTGGAACAGTGCACTACAACTTGAAGCAGGGATAAGCTTTAAGTAAAATCCGTTTTACCATGATTTATCCAAGAATTGTCTGCATTGCTTTAAAGATGCACTCCATAAACAAAGATAATGGAAGTCACTACCAAAGACAATTTGGGAGCGAATAGGTATTTCCTAATGACAGCTCCAGGGTTATATCCAAGTATAGTTATAGGCCGTTCGTCCCCGTGTCACGGCATCCGACACCGGAAGGGCAAAAGTGAATGCCAAGCCATCCGATTCACCTCAGCGACTTTTATCGGGCGGGATTCCCCACCACAAAGCTTCGGGCCCCTGCAACTCCGTCCCACTTGGCGTTATGTATTACAGCTCCACAACGTATCATGGCCCTGGTTTTAAAGGGCTGGACTCCCCGTCCCAGTGTGAGACCTTCAGATCAGAATTCCCTCTTCTACCTTCCTGCGTCCCACATCCACAATGGTCAAGCCAGACAAGCCAAAGAAGGGCCAGATTCCCTTCGATCAGTTGCCTATCGAAAAAAGGCTCACGATTCAGAAGTACGATGCAGATGATTGCAAAGATGCAATCCATGGCCGCCGAATCCCGAAAGCTTTTGGTCACGAAGTTCATCGTCTCTGCATTATTCGCGGCATCCGTTATCACCACGGCTTTGCTGAGGAACTCCGCGGTGTGACACCTGAATTCACTCGCGCCTTAAATGCCCGTGATATCATGAGCGGTGTTATTCCAACCTTCTCCGAGCCGGATAGGAGTGATATACCGTACTGCATTTGGCATCCCGATGTCCCTAGTGAGGATACTTTGCGATTACTGGTTCAGCGATATCCCGATATGATCTATCATGCTGCTCGTGCATGTGCGGTCGGCGGATACATTGATTTGTACAAAGAGCTCGATATTCTCCCTGAGGTGCATATTGCAGAGGAAGCTGGATATGCCCAGAGAAATAGAAAGGGGAGCCAAGAGATTTATCAAAATATTCTTTCCCAGCCAGTGAAGTTCGCAATCATGAACGACTATAAACGGACCGTTGATGTTTCTGGGCGTCGAGTCACACCCTTGAATGGCGATACTGCTGCTTATTCTAGCCTTGAAGCCAAGTCAACATTTCATGAATCCAAAGGACCTTGGGTTCATAAGTCATATTACTTTAATATAACCGAGGACTGGGGTATAGATGATCATGACTGCGAGGCGCCCAAGACACCAGATGATGATTTTCCATTGGTTTACAGTCCTTTGCCAACAGATCTCCCGCTCATCAATAAGGACGGCCTAATTTCTGTTGCTGCATACATAGGAGACATCGACCGCTATGTACGCCTTCGAAGGCCAGAATGGATTGAAGATGAACTGGGCCTTGTGGTACATGGTATCTATCACAATGCATTCTTTGCCAAATGGTGGAATTCGCAGATTTCAGAGACACCACAGAGTGGTCTTATCGAGTGCACCATTCGGCGCGCAATAAATGCTCGGCGTATCATGTCCAACGACTTATCTTGGGTAACCGTGGATGTCCCGGATTTGGTGCTGCCCGAAATGATTTATTATCCCTCTTTTGCACAGGGCACAACATACCAGGAGTTGGCTCATATCGTCCCGAGCATGTACCGGCTATGCCTTCAAGCGTGCATAGGCGCTGGCTATGTTACAACATGGGACAATTTACTACTCCAGCCACCCGAAGATATTTCTTATTTCCAATCTCCCCGGAAGCCTGATGAGCCGGAAGACCTTAAGCTCTGGCGAATTTCCCGGGTCGTCGGTGCTGATATTTGGAATGAGGCGCAGCTCGCGAGTAATCCGCAGTTTTTACAAGAGATCTCGGCAGCAGTTCCCAAGAAACCTGATTCTGGCCCCGATTGGCAAGACTATTGCTCGGCATTCGGTCTTTATCATCGCATTCCAGAGGGGGTTATTCGCGTTGATAAGCCGATCTGGCCATCCGGTGGTATCGGTCCCTACAATGGACAACGCCCTGGGATCGGCGACGTGGATTACGCAGCGTTTGTCATGGATGCGGTAGGGAAAGACGTTTGGGAAGAAGAGAAACAAAGACAAAATTCATCTTATTTGCCCGTTGACCGGATCTATGAATTTTTGAAAACCAATAGGGCTTCCAAGTGAATGAAAGAGAACATAAGTTTGACTTATACTAAATAAATGTCCATGCCAAATTGAATACGTATTCCATATAATACATATGTGCAACATGAAGTTCTCCATTTAAGTTTTTCCTCTCTCATTTTTTCTTCTCACAAGAACCAGTCGCCATGCCCCTTTTCCCTTTCATGAGAGCCTGAATATTTGGCTGATGGCCCGTCAAATCTGCATCCGCTTTGCGCTCCTTTTCGATTTCATGAAGCTCGGTGAAGTATTTCGCTATCTTGAGAGATTGCCCCTTGTATCTCGGGTCTGCTAATATGCTGGAAACGAAAGTCATCAGTATATGCGGTTCTTGAGATACCTATGGTGAACTTACTTGGCCTTCGCCTGCTGCAAATCCACAGTTTCCCATCCCCTTCCTTGCTTTACCTCTGGAACGAGCCCCTCAGTGACCCATTCAAGATCTCTGGGGGTTTTTTGTTTGCGTGGGTCAAACTTCACGCCATTATGGGAAGGCTGATGATCCTTGTCGAAGTCCCAGCGAAGTAAATATCCCACGTCTCGATTTCTACCGGCGACTCGTCCTTCTTGCACTCTGTTGCGGGCGAATCGCGCATTGAGAACCAATTTATTGTTCTCGTCATTGGACTTCATTCCAACAAATCTTGAGTCGAAGTTAGCACTTTCCCACTGACTTCATTTGTGGTTTCCCAGACAATAAAGGCAAACTGTGTGTTGAGAAAGCTTACTCGCAAATAGATTTGAAAAGCAGAGGCACGTTCTTGCTAGGAACATTTTCGTAAATTTGTCCGGGCCTGTAAGCCCCTTTGATCTCTTTGGAATACATGTTATTCGCAAGTTTGTCGATGTTCGTTTCATCCCCGATGTTTGAGGCAGTCTTTTTAATATTCGCTTTCTCATCTACACCGTCTGCAATGTAATAGAGAAACTGTCGGAAGTTGCATCGGCCACCAACGAGAGAACCCAGTTTAGCACTCTGGGTTTCCTTGTCTGATGCGCATGACTTTGCAATAACCTTTTCGTCAGAATCGGCGTCCATTTGGTAGGCTTGCCAGAACATGATTTTCTCGTAGCAGCCATATAGACCGAAGGCAGACGCCTGCGATATGCATAACGCCAGGAAGAAGAAAATTGGGGCTCTCATCCTTAGAGCAAGAAAGCAGTGCAGATACAGAATGACCACAGGGTTCGAATATTTCAATATTAAGGAACACCACCTCAGTTATAGCTTTGGGGGTAGTTTTCTAGTCTGAGTTACGAGCATGGTCTCAGTAGCTCCGGCATCGCTTTATCTCGGTAAAGTCGGAGCGTCCTTCATACTGCGATTGTATTTTTCCGGATATGAGCTTCTTGGCTATGTTGGATTTTCTTGGTCTCTATGTGGACTCGCTAGTAGGATGTGAGAATATTGCAGACCCCGAAACCCGTATAGTGGAGCCGGGATCGAAGCTCTGAGTCTTTCGGGCATCAATTGGCTCTTTTAGCCTCCGGGGCTTCTTAGCTCAGGGACCATGGCCCCCGGGGCGGCCCAATGTAGTACCGGCCTGTTGACCCGTCTTTTAGGATTAATTTCTTGGTGAACCAACGATAGTCTTCGGCACGAGTTAAGAGCCAGGTTTGGCACGGTAAACTTTGAAGGTGGAGACACTATCTACCTTGCCACATTGTGTCGATTAAAGGTTGAGCGCACTCATATCCCTTTTTGTCATTAATCTGCATTATAAAACCACTCCCGCCCCACAAATCCAGGGTCCAACAGGACCTGGCTCATCTCGAGGACTTGGCGGACGTGAGACTTGGCATCTACATTTATGTTGTAGACTGCGTACAGTCAATTTGCTTCGCTTATTGGAAAAATCGAATGAGATCCACATGACACGGCTGACTGCCAGCGACTTGCTTGATCGAGCTTGGTATTCCGGGAGCATCAGACCAAAACATGAACTCTGTCCTGTGTCTTTCATGCTTTCTTGGCGATTTTCCGTGTCAAGCGTACTGCTCTAATACACATGTGCTCCTATGAACATTATATCCTGTACAAAGGTTGCCATAGTGGATCGGCTTACGGGGGCTGAAATATCGAGATTGTTAGCGGTCTCAAGTGTTTACTCTGTACGAAAGAAAACTCTGTAGGAAGCTAAGATTATACACTAGATCGTATCGAAGCGAATGTGACAAAACAGAACCCTCACCGGGGCTATTCCGAATGGCCCCTTCCGATCCCGGAACGTTACTACCCATATAGAGTACTAAAGGACATATCAGTTCGGAATGTCCTATTTCTTGTATGCCAGAAATTATTTGAGTCTTTCATTTACATTCCAAAGACCGACGACTCCTTATCAAGGTTGTTGTTTATCCTGAGTTCACTCCTTTTTGTCAATTGTTGTATTCCAACAACACTGTCGTTTTTCTCTCTCTTTCTCTCTTTTATACACTTATATCTTGCGTGTCAAGTGCCTCTTACTGGTACATGTGTTGAGCAGTATATTTACTCAGTTCAAAATGGGCTTGTTGGCACAATTAGGTGCAATAAGCCAAGTGGCTTTGCTGGCTGCGGCCGCTTCTCCTCGCCATATTGTGACAGATCCCTACCTTGCAACTCAATGGAATGCCTGTCCCGCTGTCTGTGATAGCGCAAATCCTGCCGATTGGACATTCTACCCAAACTTGAAAATTCTCAAATCATGCGATGAGCCGATGCTCTTGAACCTGGCTGTGCACAATGGCGCAAGCGATACCGAAGGCCACCAAACATTGTATGCATGTGTTGCATCAAATGAGACGACATTTGGTGACTCAGACACTAAATCCTACAATTCCCCAAATTCTCCAAGCTATTCTACAAAAAGCGTTCAGATGGAGACTGCCTGGCGTGGCGAAGACGCATCTGAATATTTGTCTCATATTGAGGATTCAGCTCGGGCAGTGCAAGCTCAATTGCATTTGCCAGCGAACCAGAAAACCAAACTTGCATTGGGTTACTCCAATGGGGTGGCCTTCGGTGCATACTTTGGCTCTATGATGGATAAGAGCAAGAATAAGAGCCTTTTTCAGTCTTTCCTGGATAAGATCCATCAAGGAGAGCTGAATAAATCCGGTTCAATGATGCAAGTCTGTGACGGCAATCGCTCGGCAGCTTACAGCCTTGGTGTGGTATCTGAGGCAAGTCGAGACCCTGCCGAGGCTCTTGCCTCCGTGAAAGAAGCGCTTTCAACCTGGAGCAAAGGAAAATGTCTCCAGGGATACACCGAAAGTTCCTTGTCCCGTTTCTCTGTGGGCGAGACCGAAGAGCAGCGTTCACATGATAAGAGAGCACTCTCTGGAAATCACCAACGAGACACATGCAGGGACATTCAAAGCGAAGAGGGAGAGGGCTGTCCTGAACTCGCAAAAAGATGTGGAATTAGTCCTGCTGATTTCACAAAGTACAATTTAGACACTGATTGCTCAAAAATGCGCGGCGGTCACCATGTGTGCTGCTCTGCGGGAACTCCCCCTGATTACTCTCCCAAGCCGAACGCAGACGGAACTTGTCACGTTTATACAGTTCAACACGATGATGACTGCGACGGGATTGCCGCTGCCAATAGCATTTCCACTGATGATATTTTCGACTGGAACAAAAAGACCTGGGGCTGGATGGGTTGTGGTAGCAATCTACAGGCTGGTGGTAAGTATCAACACAAAATTTCATGCTCCGCAGGCATAAACTTACATGGACTTTAAACAGGTAATATTTGTCTGAGCAAGGGCGAACCTCCAATGCCCTCGGTAGTCAAAAATGCCGTCTGTGGACCTCAGAAAGCTGGAACCAAGCGGCCTGATGACTGGGATGATATCGAGAGCTTGAATCCTTGCCCACTAAATGCTTGTTGTGATGCCTGGGGGTGAGTCATCCGAGTCCTATCTTTTTTGCGATAATTCTAATTTTTACAGTCAATGTGGAACCACTGATAAGTTCTGTACAAAAACGAACGTATGTACTCTTCCTTTCCTCTTTCTTCGTTCTATCGCCGCCTGCCCCCTTTTATTTGTCCTGGCTATCTTGAGTCTCCTCAATTTTCCTGGCCTTTTGGTTCTTTCGGTCTTGTTCAAAAATGACACAAAGATTAACATTTATCTCAACAGTCTTCGACGACCGCCCCTGGAACCGCGAAACCTAATACCAACGGATGTATATCGAACTGTGGCACTGATATTGTGTATCTTGACGACGGTTTCCCTGCTGGCTTCGATGCTCCAATCATGGTTGGATATTATGAAGCCTTCCAAAACACACGAAACTGCTTGAACTTGGAAGTCTCAGCTATCGAGAACGAGATATCAGTTGGGAAATCGTTTGCTTTGACTTGGGACCATATTCATTTTGCCTTCGCCAACGTCACTGAAGACTTTGATGTCGATATTACGAACGTGGAGCACGAGTTTACTCAGTTCACAAAGTTTTCGGGACAGGGCAAAAATCCAAAGGTGCTGTCTTTCGGTGGCTGGTCCTTCTCAACAAACCTAGACTCGTATGCTATCTTCCGAAAGGGAGTTACAGATGAGCAACGTTCTTTGTTTGCGTCCAACGTTGTGAAGTTTGCAGATGAGCATGCCTTGGATGGTTTGGACTTTGATTGGGAATACCCTGGTGCCCCTGACATTCCAGGAATCCCAAAGGGCGATTCAGATGATGGTGAACGTTATCTTCAATTCTTGAAAGAGGTCCGTGAGAAACTTGATGACGATAAGACACTGTCAATTGCTGCACCTTCATCCTTTTGGTACTTGAAGGGCTTTCCTATCAAGAAGATTTCAGATGTTGTGGACTATATCGTATACATGACTTACGATATCCATGGTCAATGGGACTGGAACAGTACAGATCCAGATGCAATGGAAGGCTGCGACGGTCATGCTTGTTTGCGTTCTCACGTCAATTTTACGGAGACTACGAACTCATTGTCGATGATCACCAAAGCAGGAGTCCCAAACAGCAAAATTGTCGCAGGAATCGCAAGTTATGGCCGATCTTTTGGCATGGAGGATCCAAAGTGTCATGGACCTGAGTGTAAATTCACAGGTCCAGAGTCCGGAGCTATGGCTGGAAGATGTACGGACACCAAAGGGTACATTTCCAACGCAGAGATTAACGAATGGCTGGAGAACAGCGACGTCAATACTTACTTTGATAATTCCAGCCGTTCAACCATCTCATATTCTTCGGATGGCACTTGGGTGGCTTATAATACCGAGTCTGAGAGGAATGACCGAATCATGGAGTGGTACAACGACAAAACTGTCCTCGGCACCAGCCTTTGGGCAATAGACTTGACAGAGTTTGTTGTTGGTCTTCCAAACGGCCAACGTCTTGAGCCGTTTGAAATTTCAACTTGCGGTGATTCGTTTGACAGCCTTGATGATCTCGAAGCCGCCACAGGAATTGACGAGTTCTGTATGAACACATACTTGATGCAAGCTCTCAATGGTAACCTCACGGCTTCACTAAAAAAATATCAAGACCTCCTAGACGACGGCTACGACGATGAGTTTAATTGGTACAAAAAAGCGGTTGAAGAATCGGCTCCGAATTCCCTGAAAGACTTCCTGAAGAACCACGCCGACGATTATTTCGAATGCTCCTGTGTGCCTATGTCCTCTACAACCCGTTCCCCTATAGATGGCGCGGACAATTCAACTTCTCAATGTCCGTATGCTCCCAAAGAGGGTGGCTACCAGGAATGTTGGTGGGATGCCAATGATAAAGATGGGTTCGAGGAAGACGTCATGACATCTGCTGGAATCTCGTCTGACTGGTTGCTATACGGCTATGATGGAAGTCACTGCGAAAGAGATCTCAATAATCCCATGTCAGGTAACTTCATATGCTCAGGAAGTGCAAATAGGGGTAATCCTACTCTTAAGCCAGGCTACACTATCACCAACCCAAAGGATACCATCTCTGATCGACTGCCCAGCATCAAGACTTTACAAGACAATCTAAGCTTCATCAGTATGCTATCAGCTGAGAACGCATACGAGGGCGACACATCGGATGTTGTGGACGGTGCTGCATTGCTGACACTCATGGTGTCACAATCTGTGACAAGCATGAAACAAGTCGCAGAAGTTGGTGAGGAATATAAAGACAACTGGATCACAGAAGTGGTTGTTTTATTCGTTACTGCCCTCCTGATGGTGATCCCTGGCCTGGGGGAGGTCGCTGAAGCAGAAGGAATGGTGGCAATTGCAACCACGCTTAGAGTCATCGGCGAGGCTGGTGATGTGGGAATGACTGTTTACGATATTGTGAGCTCCAAGGATGAGGGACCGGGTGCTATTTTCCTGGCATTACTCGGTGGTCTTGGGTCTTTGGACATGATCAAAGCCCCTGAGCTATTTGGGAAGGCAGCTAAGGCAAGACGCGGTATGAAGGACGAGCATTTTGCGACATTGGGACATGAAATAAAGGGTGGCATGGGCCAGGTTGATAAATTAATCGCCGCTTGCTATTAGAATTGTGGAGATGCGGCTTGCAAAGTCGGCTCTTTGACTTCCAGTACAGCAATGGTAAACCACTGCGCCACTTACCAAGTTACTCTCCAGGAGCTTGAATTTGATATTTCTAGATACCCCCGTGTCCCTTCGGGCGTGTGGGAGATGTATATGAGGCAGATATTTTCTCCATTTAATGTCAAATCATCTAGAGAGATCCAGAAGTCTATTTAATGTCTTTTAGTCTTCGAGTTATACCTATTGTGGGGGCAGTATAACTAGAAGGAGTAGTGGTCAGCGCCAAATCTGCTGACTATCTTATCAACCCGTATTTTTTATGGTGGGTTGATTTTGCAAATCGATTGCTTTTGTTTTTCAAGTCTTCAAATGAGCTTTTATTTCTATCTGACTTTGTAATGTTCGTAAATTCCATAGATGTTGCTGTTGGCGTCGAGTCTGTTATACTAAAGACTGCCCGTCGGCGATATTTCTTCTAATATGTTACACCTGTTGCCCCTCACTTTATTGTGTATGCAAAATTTTACTCGTCGTTGCCCAGGCGTGCATAATGTTGTGTATCATATCGTTGGGTTTAAAAGATGATTTTACGCTGCTTCATCCCTTCTATTCTTCTTCCGCTCTGATATTCTCTGTAAAATGCCACTTAATCTATCATGTCGGCGAACGTTTAGTCGGCACCGTGAAAGTATATAAGATTTTGCCAATCATCTCTGCCTCTTATGGTCTCTATGCTTACTGCCTTCAAGAAATGTATGTAGCTGCTTTGACCTAATATACTGTAACTATTAACCAGCTACCCATATTAAAATCGACCCTGGAAGTTCATGAAAATTTTAGCCTTCAATACGCAATAATGTTGAGACTTACATAGGACCTACTGGTGAGTGAACAGTGTCATGACTATCTACTACTTCACACCTAATATCAATACATGTTAGATCATGTCAGGTTTACTTCAGATGGCATTACGATTTATGAGGGGGGTTGGGAACGTCAATACTGATTAAGTAACTGTGCATAAATAAAGCCTGAAATGGTCATTTGGTGTGGTTTTAGCATCTGGTGGGCATATTGCCACGAACACCGTTCTTGGTCTTTGACATGAATAGCATCTCAATCCGAATGCAGAGCAGTCTCTTCGTTTCGATGGGAGTAAGAATATCCTCGAAGCCATCCCTATACGGATAATTCAATGGATGATAGTCGATCTCATAGAGATCAGATTCCAATATGGCCTGTACTGTGCTCCCGTGCCATACGTGGCTTGGATCTTTAAAAGTCTTTCCTTACCACCTGTGTCGGATATTTTGCCTTTGCTCTAATCAGGACACTGAACTAGTGTGGGAATCAGTAGTGTGATCAATAAAGGCCGCTACGAGACCTGTCGTGGATGATAGTACGGTTTGTAACGTTGTATGTACTAGTATAACGGGCCCGACTGATATCTTTCTACTGACAGAGACTGAGCCCATTTGGTACTGAGGGGGCTAGAGAGACAGATCATATTTTTAGGACAATCTGAATCTAAACATATTTAGTAAGGAACTTGAATGAGAAGAAATTGGGTGGTTAAAATAGCTCTAGAAAAGCCATATAACGAATAATCATCAACGTGGATGAATACATATATGTATGATGAAGAAACTAAGCTATAGGGGTGGGATATGTCATGGTCTGCAAGACTGACTGCATGAGGCAACACTTCCTTGGGTCCTATAACATCAACAGTGGCGTACCTTGTGGTCGGAGATCTCAGGCTGGGTTTGTGGCGCGTTCGGGGCTTCGATTTTGGGCTGTGTCTGCGGCACTCTCGGATCTTCCTTGGCTACTTGAACCTGTTAACCCTGGGGTTGCGGGGTCTTAAGATCTGTGTTAACTTGTTATTGGAATTTTGCGGGTCGAATTTGGAAGCACGGGCCTACAGCTTGACAGGGGAGAAATGGTGCGGGGCCACCCGAGCCGGCAATTCGGCTCGCCAGTGATTGGACAACGCCCATTACCTGATTGTTGAGCCCCTCCTTCGAGATATATGCCGTAGGAGTATACTGTGGTTCTCTCGCTGGATACATTTGACCTATTATGGAGGGCTAGTAGGCAGTGGCCTTCGAAGCATGTGAGTTATGCCAACACTCACCTTGGTCGCATACAAGGCCCGAATCATAGGAACAATCACATCGACCTTGATTTAAAAAATATCGTTAAATTAAGCAAAATACCCGCACTTGCTACAGATATAATTACTGTTGTTTGAAATTGAAGAAGCCCGCATTTCACCAGATCTTAACAATTCTCTGGGGCCCGTAATCTTCCAAGGTTTGTAAATAATCTTGGAACCATGCAAGATATAGTCGCCTCGTAGTATCACATCGGATGCGAATTATCTAGTTCACTACCATAGCTATAGCCAGGGTTGCATTTCGTAAGTTTGAATTAACTTTCCATCAAGATAATGAAGTTGCTGTCATTTGTCATCGAGATCCCGATCTTTGCGGTGGCGTCAGTGACCGAGATTCAAACTATCCGACTCTTTGCACCCTATAGATCCCGAAGTATCTATCCAATTGACCCTGATTGACTTCTTCATTCGCCAACGGAGACATTTGGAGGCTTACCAATTTCTAAGGCGTAGTTTCTAGATAGCAAACCCCGCCTTTCTACGAGTTAAATTAACATTTTAAAGATGATACACAGGCAACGTGCTTTGTAATTGCCATGACCGGTCAGTATAAAAGCCCCATCTTGTCACTGTCAACACATACCATCAGTTTCAACAGTGGTTTACTGTCTCTTTTCATCCAAACTCTATAGATCTTCAACTCGCGATTTGATTGACTTGAACGACCCTTCACACTCCAACCATTTCACTTGTATTGATTTGCCTTCTCACGCCACAATGACCAATTGGCCCGACGTCCATATGAAGCCTGCTGATGGGTTCCATTCTATACACCAGCTCAGACCCCAACAGTCAGCACTGCACACGTTCCCCAAATAAGCGGCAAGGCCATTCCCAAGCTCTTCCGCCCATTCACTATCCGAGGAACAGCTTTCCACAACCGCCTGGGATTGGCTCCAATGTGTTGATATAGCGCCGATGATGGACATATTACACTCTGGCACTAGGCCCACTACGGTGGTATTGCCCAGCGTGGTCCTGGCCTTATGATCATCGAAGCGACTGGCGTTCTTCCAGAAGGCTGTATCACGCCCGGTTGTCTCGGTCTCTGGAAGGATTCGCAAGTCGGCCCGCACAAGCAGATTGTCGATTTTGCCCATAGCCAGGTTCAGAAGATTGGAATTCAATTCGGTCACGCTGGACGTAAAGCATCCACTCTGCCACGTTGGGTTGGAGGAGCTACAGCTACAAACGCAGTAGCCGGTTGGGTTGAGAATATCAAGTCGGCGAGCGCCATCCCATTCAGCGACAACGATATTGTCCGTAAGGCCATGACTTCTGAGGATATCCAAGATCTCAAGGAAGCCTGGGTTCCGGCTGCACAGCGTGCTCTTTCGGCCGGCGTTGACTTTATCGAAATCTACGCTGCGCACGGCTACCTCCTTTCGTCGTTCCTAAGTGCATCTTCTAATCAACGTGTTGGCCAATATGGCGGAACATTTGAAACCCGTATTCGTCTCCCTCTTGAGATCGCCCGTTTAACTCGTGATACTGTCGGCCCGAAGATGCCCGTGTTCCTTCGTGTCTCGGGTACTGACTGGCTTGACAATCATCCTCAGGATCAGGGTTGGAGCTTAGATGATACCGTGAAATTCGCAGTTGCTTTGGCCGATGAGGGCTCCGTCGATCTGATCGATATCAGCAGCGGTGGCGTTCATTCGGCCCAGGAAATTACATCGGGTCCAGCATTCCAAGTACCCTTTGCAGCGAAGGTGAAGCAAGCTGTTGGGGATCGTCTTCTGGGCTCACGGATGTGATTTTTGTTTGTATTTAAGTTTATATGTGAGAACTTATTCACATTTAATCAATTGGTTTCACTCTTTCCATACCCTTTCAGCCAGAATTCGACTGGACAAGGTCAGCCTTGGGACCCAAATGCATAAAGCGCCACGTTCAGGCTAATTCGACAACTCCAGATGCTAGTTACAGTTAGGAGAAAAATAGATTAAAAAAGGCTTTGTTTAAGCTGGAAACAATTTTATACGGACGAATCAGAAATTGCAGAAAATCCTTTGGGTCAGCTCTTCACTACGTAACGACCCGCTCTCCACTCGGAGTTTATTTCGGGCCTCCCAAGCTTGCGCGTTGCCGATAAAAAGGCCAAGCTGGCGATAACCATACAAACATCTTCCCCCCTCAAGCTCCCGCTCTCTCTCTCCTCCCTCCATTCCCCCGCCAATGGGACATCTCTGTATATGAATCTTTCCATGTTTTTGTTTTGAGTCTTATATTGCATGGAGTGATTGCCTCTTGCATTCCCTGGGCAACTCTCGAGTCTCGCGCCTTGCATCCTCAATATCGGCCTTCTCCGCACCTCGCAATTAAGCTCCTCCGCCAACCATGGCCGACTCCTTGAGCGACATTTGTCGCCAATGTGTGACAGTTTTGTCTGACGTTCCACCTATCATTCTACTGGTCACTTTTTCAGCTACTGCTCTTGGCTTGTTCGTTTTGGTGAGTTCGCGTCCACCTCCCCACCTGTTCTTGAGCAACGCGCGCGCAAGCAAACGCTTGGGCAATCTCACGCGCAATTGGCGCTTGACACAATATGAAAAGATGCTAACTCAAGCTTACGGTTGCAGTTCTATCTCTCGTTATTCCTTATTGCACCAGTTCCTCGCGACGCCCTACCAGAGGAAAAGAAGTATAGAACGCTTGCGAAAGATGGAACAATTACGAAGCCCGAGTGTCTCCCCTCCTGGTTGGATACCCTACAGACAAAAAAGCGAACCAATCCAACAGAGAAACATGACATCGAACAAGCAGAGCTGTTCATGTCAGTTGTTGTCCCAGCCTACAACGAAGAAGATAGACTCTCAGGCATGCTTGAAGAAGCAGTCAACTACCTGGAGCATATGTACGGAACACTAGGAAGCGAAAGCCAACCTGATGTCGTGGAAACACGATCAATACGGAAGCGGAAGCCGAATGGGTCCTCTACGAACGGTCACGCCACGGGCTCGGGATCGGACCGAGGGTGGGAAATCATCATTGTCTCAGATGGTTCAACAGACCACACTGAGGAAGTCGCGTTCCGATTTGCGAAAGATCACCAGTTATCTTTGCATCCACAAGGCAATGCGGGACCCTGGACTCCCCAAGCGCAGGAAGGCGTGCATATTCCGCCCGGTACGATTCGTTTTGTCACTTTGACACATAATCGCGGCAAGGGCGGCGCAGTTACGCATGGCCTGCGACATGTTCGGGGCAAGTATGTTGTATTTGCGGATGCCGATGGAGCGAGCAAGTTTGAAGATCTCGGGAAGCTCGTTACCGCGTGCTCTGACATTGAAGATGCCGATGGACGTGGAGTAGCCGTTGGGTCACGGGCGCATATGGTCGGTAGCGAAGCAGTCGTCAAAGTGAGTTGATTTCCCCTTTTCTTTTCTACTTGGAAAGAAGAAAAAAAACTCCCCCCTTAACTACCGAACCGCGGAAGATGAATAGTCTTGGCTATGGACCCCGTGCTAACTGCTGAGCAGCGATCTAAACTGCGGAACTTCCTTATGCACTCGTTCCACTTGATCCTTTGGCTCATGACTCCACCAAGAACTGCCACGGTGAAGGATACACAGTGTGGATTCAAACTGTTCTCGCGGGCAGCATTGCCCTACATCGTCCCGTACATGCACTCCGAGGGCTGGATCTTCGATGTCGAGATGCTCATGTTGGCTGAATTTGCTAACATTCCCGTGGCCGAGGTACCAATTGGATGGAGAGAGGTCAAGGGAAGCAAATTAAATGTTTTGCGCGACAGCATCGGCATGGCCTGGGGCCTGGCGCTTCTTCGGGCAGCATGGTCGCTTGGGGTTTATAGACAGGACTAAAATTAACGGACAAATAACGGATCGAGTACAGTGCTCCACATGGTGACAACGTGCGGACAGACCCAGTTCACTGGATGATATTATTGGGCATTTTTGGAAGTTCCATTTCCATATTCCACAGATATTCGGGGCCAAGGGGTTAGCTCATGATAGTTTCCACCGGAGTGGGCCCAACGGCACATGGAAATGCGTTATTTTAAAGAACAGAACAGATATCAAATACAAGGGAATATCCCAACGTTATGGGTCCTGTCAAAGGATTCCTAAACTCAATATTTAGCTTAGTGGGTTCGTCTCTACCCAGCTCCATAGTTATCCTGGTTTTCGGACCCTCTGCATGTACTCGGGGTGGAACCACCTCGGTTTCCCAGTTTTTCGCCCTCAAGAAGCCTCCAAAACCATTTATTCCTATAACGAGATTTACGAGTTCTATTTATCGGACAATGTCGTAATAATATTAGGCTCTCAGGCCCTGTCCCATCTTCACGTCCGTGCGAACAGACGCAATTGTGTAACCTGCATAACTTTGTCAACCCCCATTACGATAGGTTTGACGATTAACAAGTACAATGCAACCAATCGTAACATTCGATCTGTTTTGGGGAAATACATGCATATGCCTACTATACGTGAACGCCGATCTTCCTCATAATCAGTACCAAGACACGAAGAAAGGGGCGAAACCGGGATGGCTAGACAACACACCGTTACATAGTTGCATCTGAAGGCCCAGTGTGGAGCATAGCTATAATCCTTCGTCCGGAATATTCTCCCTCGGTAGCTATGTGTCCTTTTCAAATATGCCCGATCTACACTGAAGCATTCTGAAAATCGACTATCATTGGTTAAAAATGGATCTACAAACGACAAAATACTCTCTATTACCCGTCTCGCTGGTCCCTCGGCAGTTTAGTGGGGGCTTCTTCAGGGTGGACTACCGAATTTGAAAAGCGGCATATTAATTAGTAGTACTGGAATAGTAATTGCCTATTATCGTTGGTAGCATATGATGGGTTGGGTAAGAAGTGCGCAGTCGGGAAAATTCATTACGTAGAGCGTGATGGGGTGTTAATCAGATGCTTGCTCTCTATGTAAGATGGCCTGATAGCTATTTATACTGGAACATTTCCTTTTCTCCAGACATCATATTTCTATTTCTCGTTATTTCAAAGTGATATAAGCAGCAAATGATCTTTTTCCTGCTCTTTCTAAATCCCTGTACTACGGACGCAAAGCCTACCCATTTATCAAATACAAGACAAGGGACTTCAACTAGCCACGAACCCGAGCTATACGAATATTTCCAACCCCAAACAAGCAATCAACAACGATAAGATGACAATCTCAGCAAATACCAAAAATTGGCATTATAAAACCGATATTTCAGCCAATCAAGCCAAAAACCCAACCTCTCCCTTCATACGTCTCCCACCAGAACTCCGCTTAAAAATCTACCAATACGCCCTTACAGTCCCAAACGAGTACATCAACAAACCACTAATAGTAATCCACGACCGCGGCAACGTCTTCACATCCAGAAACCGCTACAAGTCCCTCTCAATATGTCCAAGCTGGCTCGGCGAAGACGGCACAACCCGAAACCTCCTAACAGTCAACCACCAAATCCACGACGAAGCAGAAGGCCACCTCTACTCATCCAACACACTTTTCTTTCAAAACTCATTCGACCTCGACCATCTGGATCCATTCCTCGATACACTAAGTACGACGGCACTTCAAAAGATCCGCAGCGTAGGATTTGAGATTCTCCTCTTTGTACACGGGCAACCGGGTGTTCCTAAACGGACGCTAAAGCAATATACCCGAGCGAAAGATCTTATACTTCGAAAACTCCCGCATTGCAAGAATGTTCTTTTCTACGTTGATCCGAATTTCTATTATCCTACTATTTCTGTTGGAGGACCAGATCTAGCTGCGAGGGGTGTTATTGATCTTGCGAGGACGTTTAATATGTTTGATATTACGTTTTATCCTGGGCTTGATTGGAAGCATCTTGAGGAAGCGAGGCAGCTTGTTTGGAGGAGTAGCTCCCCGGAACGGCGCGCGCCGAGGGATACGCCAAGTTCAAGATTGTCTGGAAAGTCTTCTCATTATGACGATGATGGGGTCGTGCGCAATTCTGCAGAAGTAATGCATGGGAAAATGCCGGCGTCCAATGTTGGGTCATCGATTGCGTTGATGAGTGTGTGAGCGGTCGTAGATTTCATCGGTTGATCTTGATTTCGTTCTTAGACCTAACAGTTTTGCTTGCATGTTGTTGCATTTCCAGGGTTCCCGAGATGTTCGGTGTTGTTTTGGGAAAGGGGTGCGCATGGTTATATCTATTTGGAATCATGGGGGTGGGTGGCTCTCTACGCTCAGAGGTTGTGCTGCGTGGTGACGTCTGAACGTGTTTCTTGAACCCGAGAATACCCATTTCCTCGACTGCACATCTTTTGCATTTTTGATCACTTTCGCGGTACATTATTGGATTTAAGCGAGATGGGGGAGTCAATTTTTTGGCATCATTCGATATACTATTATGACTTAGATTCATGATGGAACACCTTTCAATTCTAATGCTGCTTAAACATATACGACCGAGGTCAGTCCACAATTTAGAACCTCGGAATTATTGGAAGCCTTTTAGGTTCCAAATCAAGGTGTTGAATGAAACGAATTCAAGTTTACTTGGTTTATTCAATAAGATTGGGAGGAATGCATCTCATACTTGGAAAGCTTTGGATTCATTGGATCAAGACGACATAAATTGGTAGATTTTTGATTGATGTATATGGTTACAAGACCCTAAGCAGGGCGCTTTCAACTGTTGGCGACGATGTTCCGCGAACCTGTCACCTTCGATATTCCTTTCTGTCCAACAAGCTGCGTACTTGTATTAAGAACCCAACGCTCGACCATGACTGGTACCCCCTAGGGATATCGTCTGGCCTCACTCAAAAATAAAAGGCGATCAGTCCCACGTTGAATCGCACACCAATTCATCTCCCCAAAGGTAAGTATAAAAAACAGCGAGCAATTAAAAGACAAAATAATAACAGAAACATCCAGATAGACTACATGAGTAGCCTTCCATGAAGACTGCTCATAAAGAGGAAAATTCGACAGTCAGGTTCTTTAGCTGCCGGGGACGAGGCCCTTCAGGCCAGCGCCAATGTCACCCTCGCGGGCGGCAATCTCGAAGTAACCGTAGATGATACTAAAGTAAATATGTTAATTTCAAGCCATAAAATGATTAGATGAAGATTTCAACTTACGTCACAGCAAGTAGGATACCGGTTCCGCTGCCAAGGGCACCGAGAAGGTCGGAGGCAACAGAGAGGGCACCAATGCAAGCACCGCCGAAAGCGGCGGCGGTGGGGATAACACGCTTCAGCTCCTTGTACATACTCTGCTCACGGTGACCAGACATGACAAGACCCTGGTCCTTGAGCTGCTTAGCAACATCACGGGGAGCGGAGCCGGAAACCTCAATCCAGGTCTTGGAGAAGAGGGCACAGGCAACCAGCATGAACGCAATATAGACAGCGGTGTGAATAGGGTCGAGAAGAGCCTCCTTAAAGTTCAGAGGAGGAGACATGTAGTAGGCAATACCAGAGGCAGCGTAGAGCTGGGCAGAGCCCTCACGGGGTTCCCAAACACCGAGAAGCTGGACCAGGAGGTTGTCAGAGAAGCGAGAGTACAGCATCTGACTGATCAAGAAGATGTTGGAACACAGAGCAGACTGGAGCATGATGGGCATGTTGGAGGTGTAGAAGAGGCGGATGGGGTAAGAACCACGCATTCCACGCTGGCGGGAGGACTTGACGGGGATCTCAACACGGAAGCCCTGGAGGTAGATGACAGCGGCGAAGACGACAAGGGTGGCCAGCAGGTTCATGACGTTAGGCAGGTTCTGACGGTAGAAAGCCTCGTACAGAGCACGCTGCTTGTCGGGCCAGGTCAGGAGGAGGTGGAAAAGGGCGATGATAGCACCCTCGAACTCGGGGCCACGACCGGTGTTGATGGTAGTGGGAGAGAAAGCCTTCCAGACAATGGACTCGCAAATGTTGGTAGCGATGAAGAGGGAGATACCACTGCCCAGACCATAGCCCTTCTGGAGAAGCTCATCCAAAAGGATGACAACAAGACCAGCGACAACCAGCTGGACAATCAGAAGGACACAGATACCGGCACCCAGGTCACTGGGCTGGCCGTAGAGACCAGTCAGGACGTAGACACAGGCCTGGCCGAAGGAGAGGATGATAGCGAAGAGCTTCTGGGCAGTCTGGTAGAGCTCACGGTCGGTCTTGAGGTCGAGGTTGACATCGATGAGGTGGGTACCGGCAAGGAGCTAAATGGGGAGGTCAGGTTGATCAGTCCAATGTCCATTTCGTCGCATCGGAAGATGTCGATTATATTCGTGAAGCATACCTGGAAAACCATGCCAGAGGAGATGATAGGGGTGATACCCAACTCCATCAGAGTTCCACGGTTACTAGCCAACATCATACGCAGCCAGTACAGGGGGTCGGAGGTGTCGGAGGACACGATACCGTACAGGGGCATCTGACTCATGACCAGGAAGATCAGGAGGGTCAACTATATTCAAGTTATTAATTAGGATGCGCGTCTTCTCCAAAAGAGCAATGTAGATTTGGAGGTCACATACACCTGTCCACATCAACTTCTGGTTGAAGGGCACCTTGGTCTCAGGAGCTGCCACCTCCGGGAGGAGGGGCGTAAAGGGCTTGATCAAGTCAAGGAAGCGAACTGTCATCGAGTATTAGTATTTCTGAATCCATTGACGAAGTTTGGAGGGAGTTGATGGCGATCGCGTGTTTGGCCAGCATCGGGGTCACTCACGGCCGCTCATGGTGACTGTATTCCACCCAATCCGTCAATAAAAGATATAAAAGAAGCTGGAATATTTCACCAGCAGAAGGAATGGGAAGTGTTTGTTCAGAACAAACAAAAGGAAAAGGAAAAGGGGGACGGGGTGAAGGAAGGAAGGTCGGGGAGAGAGATGGGGGGGGGAGGGAAGAAGAGAGAAGAGGTTCGCTGGCCACTTTTTCGCTTCGCGCTAATTAAGGCCACTTGGTCTTCGCCGCAAACACCACATTAACATCATTTCAATTGTGACTCAACACCAACTAATTAAGGCTAATCAAGATGGTTAATTCTATTCAATACGAGATATATGAATATTTTACTCGTCCACTTGTTATTATTATGATATCTATGACACAGACAAAGGGGATACGTATACCCCAGCAATGTTGAGCAGCTAAGCTTATCCCCACACTATACCCAATCAGTACAGGGTCTACATCCATACGGAGCACGGGGCCAACATCAACGATGCAGTAGAAGAGAGCGAAGAATGCAGGATTACATGGTGAATGAAGAGAAAATGGTAATGAGATCCAATCTTCAGTTGGATATTGATTTGAGTATAGCCCATATCATAGTGGTATCTAAACAGCAGAACCTCTCTAGTAAGAAAAAACCAAAAATTCCTAAATAATACAAATGCGCCCTTCTCTTCTATAAACACCAGGTCTTTCCGAAGCCTCAAGGGTAAAGGGTTTTTCCAAATCGTCCCAAATATAATCGTAAACATCCAAATAAAGTGTGCAGTTCAGTCGCCTTTCAAGGGCCAACAAGACCAAGACAGTCGTCAACCACCAACTCAAGTTCTCCAACTCGTGTCTTGAGACCACGATTTTCATCCTTCAGGACACCCATGACGCTCCATGCTTCATGGGGAGGCACGCCATAGCAATTTTTACATTGGTTGGAGTTGGGGCTCGCAACGAACGAACTACCCAGCCGCGTGGAAGCGATACCCTTCATGACTCGGTCATATGCCGAGGGACCCTTTGGTGTCGGTGTATTGGTAGCGGCAACTAGGTTCTTCTGAATGGTTGGAGTGGGTGTTGGTCCAACGGTCGGGGTAGAGAGAACAACTTGTGATAAATTCGGCGATGGGGCCGTGAGTGTAGATGTTGGTGATTCAACGCCCTCCCGGTGGGAAAATATACTATCGGCGACACTTTCATCTCCCGACTCAAAGCCAGAGTCACTGGTGAATGTGCCATGGCTAGCACGCTTTCCACCACGATGAGGAGTTTGGAGCGCCATGGATGGTATATCTTCATCCGCAGGAATCGAGCGGATGGTGCGGTTGCGGTTGCGGTTCTCTTCTTGTTGACGCAGACGTCTCTCTTCTTCCAGCTCCTCTGCCATGGCCTGCATGGCTTTCTCTTGGCTCATCACCTTTGCAGCCATACCGTCTAACTGTGTCTTCAAATGATCTACGCGTGCCCGAGTTTCACCAAGTTCCTCGAGTCTCGCGGTCCGATCTGCCATGGCTTGGTGCATGATAAAAGTTCTTTGTTTATATGCCTCCTGCATGCGTTGCAGGACATCGCTTGCTTGTTCACGGAGGATATCGAGGGCATCATCACTGTTGGCGTCTGCAGTTTGCATAGAAAGGGCTGCGTCGATATCCAAGTTCAGAAACTCGTCATCTGCAGGCTCTGGGGGTACCGGTTTCTGTTCTGCCTGCCGCCTGAGGCCAAATAGCGTGTTAAACCGGCCTGTGGCTGTTGTGGTCGAGGCCTTTCGAGAATGTGACGTCGCGGTCGAACGCGGGCTCTCTGTGGCGGACATATCGGTTTCGTTTCCCGGACGTATTTTGATTCCCAAATCGACTGGTTTTGAGTTTCCTTGGAACCAATCTGACAGGATCCGGGCTCGAGCTTCGATATTCTTTTTGGGGAATGTACCGGTCCAAGAGGGTGTTGTTGATCGGATCGTTTGGTTTTCGTACGAGTCTTCGAGGTCTTCTTCAAAAATAGGGGGACGTGCGATGTATTCAGTGTTTGCCCGACGATGTGAAGGCAGACTGTTGAATCGACGAGAGGTTAGAGGTACCGATGATGAGTGTGATGAGGTAATGATCTCGTGCCCCTGGGAGACATTGGAATGCAGGGCGGTCGTGGGGAGAGGGAGATCGGTAGACATGGTGACAGGGGAGATTTGAATGCCACGCCGGGTTGTGGCGAGTGTGGTGTGTGACCTTGATTGGGTGGTGGGGATGGGATGTGTTGTTTGGGATGTGATTATAGGGGGCGAGGGAGGGGACAAGTACAGAGTCTCGAAACAAATCCTTGGCAGGAAAATGGAGAATAAATTCGAGGAGAATAGGAGAGACTATATTGGCGTAGTGTGTTTCACAGCATTGAAAGAAACAAAAACTTGTGATGAGATGATTATTTCTCCCAAATAAACCAAGAGGCTGGGGAAGTATGAAATAGCGGTGGCTGAGGGAGCTGTTGCCCAGGTCCACGGTGGATCCACTGGAATTCTTCTTTTTCGTGAATGGAGGGGCTCCACTCCCTGTTGGAAATCGAGAAGAAGCTGAAAAGGAAAAAGAAAGGAAGCTATACAGTATATTCTGTATATTGTAGTACTGCTTTCGAGTCGATACAGCACAAACTTTGTTCCTCCATTATCTCATCGTGCTCCCCCCACGTTCCTCTCTCCGATCCTTGCAACCCCCAAGTTCCCGCGACATCATGGCAGCCACCGGCTTAAAGCAGCTGTCTAATGCCCTCGCCACCCCAGACCAGCTTTCGAATTCTTCTTCGTCGATCGATGGCGTACCCTCCGATCTCGAAACGTCAATCCGCGTCGCTGGGGCCCAGCTAACCCAGACTGCTGGGGTGCTCCTGGGTTTATCGCAAGACATCATAGCTCAGGCTATCGTCATTTTCACGCGTTTCTGGCTAGGAGCAGACGGCGGAAGCTTGAGGATATACTCAGCTAAGGTTTTTAGCCCTCTCCCGACTCACTTTCGCACTTGAAATTCCTCCTTCTCTAACTTCCATTCTTCTGATCTTCCCCAGGATGTCTCGGCAGCCTCGCTCTATCTCACAGCCAAATTATCTTTTCAGCCCACCTCACCACGCTCCGTACTGAACGTATATACTCTCCTGCTTTCCCAAGATGCCTCGCCTCTATGGTTCGTCAATCCACGAGGAGCGCCCGTCCAGCCCCCGGCTCCAGAAAAATATATTCTCACAGAAGGTGGATACCAATCTGCCCGGTTGATCTTGTTGCGTATTGAAACGGTTATTCTGAGAACTCTCGGCTTTGATACCCATGTCGCTCTCCCTCATACTATTGCCTTGACCTATCTCCAAACCCTTGGCGTGGCAAAGCCAGCCGTCGCTCGTGGTGTCGTGAAGCACCTAAATGCTGCCCTCTTATCCCCTCAGCTACTCTACGTCACACATCAACCGAATGCACTCGCTGTTGCCGCCATCTACCTCACAGCCCGCGAAAAGGGTGTAAAATTGGTTGATGGAAACTGGTGGGAAGTGTTTGATGTTGACCGGGAAGAGCTTGGGTTTCTGGTTGTGGGAATGAGGAGTCTGGAAGGGTACTTGCGGAGAGAAATGGAGCTATGGAAGAACCAAGCCATTCCTATGGTCTTGGAAGATGTTGAATCGGAAATTGAACGACGTCGCATGATGGATGAGGGTGAATGAGCTGGAAATCAAGAAAGATCTTGACCCCTTTTGAAACACATTGGTCTGCCGCAAAGCTCATTATTTGCCTTGCATATACCCGGCACATTGGAAACCCTTGAGTCTCGATATGTCTCCGATATGCCTCTCTAATTGGTAGCTTGGAGCTAAGCTCCAAGCCCTCTCCTGGTGTGGGCCTGGCTGCTTGGGTACCATATATGGGATCCCGCGCCTGCGCTACTATTCCCAGTAGACTGAGGATTGATTCACGGGTATTACTCGGGGTTCAATACATGCCTTGCAGGGCAGAATCTATGATGCCACTAATTTGCAAGGAAATACGCTACCCATAAAAAGCAACATCTGGTCTGAACACCATGAAACGACCGCTAGCTACATATTTCGATTCATCCTGAACATTTCCGAACATATTACATGAGGATGCTTGGTTTTTTGTATAGGGCGCAATTTCAATACTGAGTATCCAAGGTCCTCATAGTATACATTAGCATATTAGCAGTCTCCAAGATAACTGCCTTGAAAATGATCATTTATACTGAGCACGTGTCTCATAATCACTTGACCTTATGAAGCATATCAATATTAGTCACTTCATTCTAGCACATCAGGTGAAAGCCCAAGGAAACGATATAAATCCAAAGAATCCAAACAGTGACGTGCATGCGATAGCAATAAGTTCACGCGGGGCCGATCATGTGCTCCACCGCTTATCTATCAGGCTCCCCGCTTCCAAGACATCAAGCTCCCTCTTCAACTCAGCATAGATCAAAACACGCCTCCGGGGGATATTACACAAACAGATAATACAATGAATATCTTACATTCAACATTATCAACATGGCGGGATCGCCTAGCGCCCATCTCTCGCACCTCAACCTTTCGTTCCACCGGCCAAATCACACCCGAGGAATTCGTCTTGGCGGGCGACTACCTTGTTTATAAGTTTCCTACATGGTCTTGGGCTGATGCCTCCAGTCCTGCGAAGCGAGTCTCTTACCTTCCGCCCGATAAACAGTTCCTAGTTACTCGCGGCGTGCCGTGTCATCGTCGACTGAACGATAACTTTGCCGGAGATGCGGGGCATGAAGATGAGATTGTACAGGATATGCTTGCTGGCGAAGGGGCGGAGGGGTCTGCGGGAGATGATGGGGATGATGGATGGTTACGAACGGGTGGAGGAGCGGATAAGAGTGAACAGGAAGCTCGGATACGAGATGTGAGGACTGTCGATGAATCTGGGAACCTTGGGGAACAGGAGGATGAGGAAGAAATTCCGGATATGGAAGATGACGATGACGACGAGGAGGCAATCATCCGTGAACCACTTGGACAATCTGGAACAACACAGTAAGTCATTGCATACATATTGAAACGCGGTCTGGCTTCAAATATCCTTATTCTTATACTCACTTTGTTATTCTATAGACCGCTCCGTACTTACACTTTATACATCACGTACTCCAACTTCTATCGCACACCACGTCTCTACCTATCCGGTTATCTGTCACCGTCAGAGCCACTTCCACCGCACCTCATGATGGAAGATATCGTCGGCGACTACAAGGATAAAACCGTAACGCTGGAGGACTTCCCTTGGTTTGACGGTAGTGTGAAGATGGCAACAGTGCACCCATGTCGCCACGCATCCGTGATGAAGACATTACTTGATCGGGCCGACGCAGCACTCAAGATCCGGCGTGAGAAGCTCAAGCAATCACAGTCCCGTGAAGAAGCAAATCGCATCCTGCAGGCGGGACCGACTAAAGGCCTTGAAGGCTTAGTCGACGACACAAAAGCCCTCTCGCTGGGTGAGAACCAACATGCTGGCGGAGATGAATGGGAAGTTCTACAGGCCGATGAAGAAGAGCAGGTCGCCATTCGAGTGGATCAATACTTGGTGGTGTTCCTAAAGTTCATTGCAAGTGTAACGCCGGGTATTGAACATGATTTTACAATGGGGGTTTAAGGCCGACATTGAGATCCGACGGGAAATGAAATGTTTAAGCGAATATGTTTCTGTTCGCTTCTTCTACTGTGTTTAGGCCCTCGATTCGATATGGCGATCTCTTAAACTGGAGAAGTCTGTACAGGCCTTTGTGCCTGGAGGAGATCGACATCCCCTGGCTCGATACATGATATGCATGACATGACATGAACTTTTGGCATTCATTTGCTGCAGGCGCAAACTTTCATTTTATTTATTTTATACTTGCTACGTGTCAGATCACTAGTGCGTCGTGCTACTTGCTGCTTGCTGCTTACCAGCAAGATTGCAATGCGCTAACTTTTTTCCTTTCTTTGTGCAAAGGTATTGATTGGGTGATTGTGGGGATTCCCCCTTTCCTAACGAAGATTAACTTCGATTCTTTCTATCTTTTCAAAGTTCAATTGGAGTTACTTTTGGGAGTGATGGATCATATTGTCCAAGGTCAAAGTATGACTCCTTCCACCCCTAGATCCCTGGCGTCAGCGAAATACTGGGTCCAACCCGGGAGATCGTCAACCCCGCCATTCATAGTATGAGGGATAGCACGGCACAATGACAATGTGGCACCAAGCCACGAAGTTTAAGGATTACTCAAGAAGGAAGACAAGTGTTATAGATAATTTTTGTTTCAATTATAAATGCAATAATGCACCGTATTATGAGCGAACCACAGTAAAAGTAAAAGTAAAGAGTAGTAAAACAGTGCGGAATGTGCAAAGCACGCCCGGACTCCAAGCAGTAACAAATCCCAGAATCTCAAATCATATCCAGCAGAACAGCATAAAAGTAACATGGCTCTCATATGTTAGTCGAGAAAAGGTATCTGGGAAGCAATGTACCAGCCAGAACAACGACCAAGAAATAAACAAGCAAGAGTAGACATGGAAGAGAAAGAACAGTGGACAATAAAAGTCTTAAAAGGTACATCCATCAAGAAGTCACAGAACGGATACAGATACAGATCATCCGACACGGCGGGGAAAACTGTCCAACAACAAGGAAACATTTGATCACATCGGCGTAGACAGAATGACTAGTAGAAAATGCCCAGCATGATAGGAAGAGCGAGGGCCATTAGCGAGCTTGGGGCCATGGCGGAACCGGCGTTGAAAACGGGTGTAGAAGAGGGTGTCGTTGATGGGCCAGGGGCGTGGATTAGAGGAGTCGAGCGGACAGGAGCCGGAGAAGGAGGCACGTAGGCAGGGACGGTAGTCATAGTAGGGATGTCGATAGGAGTGGTGTAGGTAGGAGGAATGAAAACCGGGATGTAGGTGGAAGTAGTAGTAGGCTCAGAAGCAGGGACGGGAACGACAACGGGAGCAGGGACGGGAACGACAACGGGAGCAGGGACAGGAGCAGGAACAGGTTCGGGGCATGGGTAGGCTTGGTGTTGGTCGTGGGTACCAGCTCCAAAGGCAACACCAGGGCCTCCAGGGATGCCAACGTTGAAGCCAGCACCGGCGTCGTGCTCAGAGTTCACACCAGGGCCACAGGGACCATGGTGTTCCGAGTGGGTGCCAGCTCCATAGGCGACGCCAGGTCCACCAGGGATACCGACTTCGAAGCCAGCACCGGCATCGTGCTCGCTGTTGCCGTTGGTAGGAGTGTCATCATCGTGGGAAGCGCCAATGACGGGGAGGCCGTTCTATTGTATTGTTAATCGGGGTTTGATTCAGGTACAGCAGGGGTAAACCATGTGGTTCAGGCACTCACCAGCTGAGGAGCGGCGAGAATAGTAGCGGGGCCAACGGCCAGGACGAGGCACAGAGCGGCCGAGAAGTTGAAAGTCTTGGAGAACATCTTGTAAGGGTATTAAAGGGATATTGAGTATATAGTATATAGTATAGAGAATTGAGAAGTTCGAAAAGATTGTTGGTCTTAAGAAAAGATGGAAAGAGTGATTGAGGAACTGAGTCCGAGGAAAAGAAGCTGGAGAGCGAATGACTGTTCGAGATTGTTGTCGAATTGATGATGAAAAGAAAGTTATTGATGGCCGAAATCCATGGCCTTTATGTAGTTTTTCTGTCGAGGCAGTGGAGGGAGTAAAGGTAGTATCCGAGGGGCACCGTGGGGTGAACCAAGGGCTAGCCAGGAACCAGACTGCTGCAAGGCCATGCACTAGCCCTTGGTGGCACTCCTAACGAAAGCCACAAAGACGACGATCAGCAAGGCGTTGAAAGGAGACTTAGGAGGCAAGAGCACCAAAGATAGATACCATGCGTGTGAGAGGTGTCATGTTTGGATTTCCTTGGGGCTCATGCGAGCAGACGAGCAGCAATCACAAAAATGATTTGTGAGTTTGCAGATATTGGGGACTTGGGCCAAGCGCAACAGTATGCATACTCATTAGCGTAATGCAGGCCCCAATGCGAAAGAACGAAGCTTATGCACGCGCCCGAGCCCGATTATCCGAAAGCTGTCGTAATCTCAGCTTGGATAGGATTTTCAAAGATACTCGCTGTAGTCGTGGATAGTATGAAGCCCGGACAACACGTGGGGCAGGTGTTAGAAGGTTGCAAATCCTATGCAAGGGACAGATCCAGGGGACACTTTCAAATCTCCTGATGTTGAAGACGCTGAGAAATTAGCGGCATTGATTGGTGATTGGGCTACCTCCTGTTGACACATCAGACGCAAGGGAAGTTCAATATCAAAGAACATAGTAGGAGGTCAATATCAAGTCTAGGCCCTGGGCCGCAAGTATTATGCCGAAACGAAGGAGAGCGATATAAAAGACAAATGTAATTTGGATGGAAACAACTTCTGTATTTCAACATATTCAGGATATCTCATCAAGTCGTAAATAATCTTCAAAAATCTGCAAAGAAAGTCGGTCGCAGTCTCGTGCGATCCTAGAAGGAACCAAAAAGAATGGGAAATAAAGATGTAGAAAGTGAGACAAGTAACAGTACGCCAATATCGATATATCACACAATATCCAATCATTAGCGGAGAGACAATCAAATTGTTCAGCATTCCCCGCAATTCGTCAACTGGTTATTCCAAAGGCCGTCCCAAAGTTGGTCGATTTTTTGAACTTAATTTCAGGCTCCTGGTCGCCTTGGCTCGGCAATTCAGGCTCGCTCTCGTTAGGATCAGCAGACTCTCCTGGGTTTGATAAAATCCGCCTGGCTTGGTCGAGGAGTTTCTGATCAAGCTCAGATAGGAAGCTATTATCATGCTCTTCATCGTTTGTGAGACCAAGGGGCCCCTTCAGGGCAGGATCTTCAGGCAGATCGGGAAAATAAGACTCGGAGTTTTCCTTTGGTTGCCGGGCTGTGGTCTGCACGGGAGCTAAAGGAGCCTCCTCCTGTGATTGGGGTTCGGGGAAAGGAGTGGCATCCTGTGTTGATCTGAGACTTCCATCGGCTTCAATGATAGCCATGGGAGTATGGCCGGCATTTCGCACGAGATTCTCATTGGGCGGGCCGAGTTCTGACAGCTTCAATTTGAGACTGTTTCGGTGCTCTATCTCGGACCTTGCAGGTTCTTCCGAAGGGGCAGCAGGAGGGGAGGTCGCCAGGGGCGACGGCGGGGTGATAACCTGAGCCACAACACCAGGCGGCAAGCCAGTAGACTTGAGGATAATGCCGTCCAATCTACTGTCAAGCTTCTCGATCGGCACGGGTACGCTAACGGTCGCCCCAGGAGCATCTGCAGGTTGAGCCTTGGGTGAAAGGGCTGCATCCAAGGACGGGGGTTTATTATCACTCCCCTCACTGACCGGCGACAAAAAGCCATTTTCTAGCATCTCTTCGTCGCGAAAGACCCTTGTCGGTCGGCCTCCTGGACTCGTTCCCTCCCACACTTGCGCTGAGGGTAGGGCCGCGTCAGTGTTGCTTTGATACTGCGGAACACCAAACACGAGATTGGCAGAATGAGAAGCTGGTCCATTTTTAGGTGTTTCGTATTTCAACAATGACTCTAGCTCTTCAATTCTTGCCCTGAGAAGCGACCGTTCGTTTTCCCACAGCCGCCTCTCTTCAGAAAAAAGCACCCTTTCCGTCTCAAAGTGCCTTCGTTGTTTCTCCAGAAGCTCTCGCGATTGATCAATATATGAAGTGTCTAAGGGAGCGAAAGCCCGTCGGGAACCCGGTGGTTGGCCATATTTAGAGTGTGCGGAGGGATTACTGCCCGAAACTGATTGTACTCGGCGGATAGGTGTTGATGTAGGCGAGAAGCGAACTTCCTTGTAGACGCAGCCATGGCCCTCTGGGAGAGTCGCCATCGGTGGTCTCATATTGATTGACGGACTCATATTTCGTCCGCGGGTTTACTTTCCGAGTTTATAACAAAATGAAAGAGTGGGATCGAAGGTCTTGTGACGTGGAGGGGTGTGGATCTAGTTGACGAAGGAATATGGTCGCACTCAAAACAAAGTCGAGGAACGAGGGAACGCCAGCACAGCTTCCGCAATGTAACCGAGCTTGCTAGCTAATTCTGTGAAGATGGGTCCAGCTCACGGTCAGTGCGGTTTTCGGACAAACGATTCGTAGCTTGGGGTAGTTCTGGTAGCTTAAGTGGGGGTGAACATACGAGAGGGCGGTCAATAAGCACCGCGATAGAGAACGGACTCATGCAGGAATGCCGAAGTTGGGCAACCGAACACAGCAGGAACCCATGAACGGCAATATGTAAAATAGTCCCCGACCACTCGGTGGTTAACAACTGGCCGTCTGGTTGTCGTGCAGATGGGAAGTTGGGCACCTGGGCAGCGTAGTTCGTGGGTTCGTACTGGCTGATAAGTCCTAGTTATGGGGGCGGGAGGGTCTAGCAGGTACTAGTAGTAGGGAAAGGAGAGAACAACGTTCCTGCGAACCAAACTCATATATGGGGGCCCTGTCGTAATCTCCACCAGGCCGTTTTTTCGGGTTACAGAAGAAATAAGAAGAGTTTCAAGATGAAAATCTGGTTTCGTTGATTCATATGCAGTTGAACACGAGAATGACGTCAAAATATGTGATGAATGTGACCCCGTAAATCCCCGCGTTTTCGGTCAGGTACGGATATCTCGGTCGGATGAGGGTAAAAGCGTAGTTCCAAGGTTAAAATATAGATATAAAACAGGTTGAAGATTCTACTATATTGAAGCCACTGCATGTGGGTATGTACTACTACCTCATGTGCCACTAGTACTAGTAGTAGCCCTGGAAGTGCTAGTGGGCACCTTCCTAAAACTTGAAGAGATATAGTAGTACTTGGGGAAAGAGCGATGGACATAGACCCATCCAAAATTTCAAGTTCGAAGCATCATGATCATGATGTTGCAAACCTTCATTTCCCTTTACAATTCATACCCCAGTCTCAATGGCCTCTCAGTACAGCCAGGAACAGACCGGGGAAGTAAGCGCAACAGAAAGGACGCCTTTGGTCGCGAATGGTCTTCAAGACCGACAGTCTAACATTCTCCCCCGCAATCGACTTCTTATCGTCATCCCAGCATTATCTCTCGTCCACTTCACCTCATTCATAGCCCAAACAGCAATATCGACAACCCTACCGTCTATCGCATCGGCATTGAAAACTGGCTCCTCGATTTCTTGGGTCGGTACAAGCTTTCTGACCACCAGCACCTGCATCCAGTTAATCAATGGTCGTCTGCCGGATATACTTGGACGAAAAACACGCCTTCTTACGTCCCTGGTGGTTATGGGCATTGGGAATCTCCTGCCAGGCTTTTCTCAGACATCCGGTCATCTATATGTCACGCGGGCGTTAAGCGGCTTCGGAGCTGGAGCATTGAATGCGCTTGTCCAGATCATCATTTCAGACATCACCCGGCTTGATCAACGCGGTTATTACTTCGGAATATCGGGCGTGGCGGTGGCATTGGGAAATGGGCTTGGTCCAGTCATTGGTGGTCTTTTACAGAGAGGATGTCCTGGAGATGGGCCTTTTGGTTCATCTGTCCCTTGACAGTTACGGCTGTAACTTTGCTAGCATTTGTTCTACCGGGAATGCCAGCAGCTGATAATATCTGGAAGAAGCTCAAAATGCTTGATTGGATTAGAGTTCTAACAAGTATGATTGCTGTTATACTGATTCTGGTTCGTGTTCATCCATGGATAGTCCACACTACTATTGGCTCGGGAGTTAATGAAAGCTAACAACGATATGATATTTCTAGATTCCTATGTCGCAAGGAGGAACTTTCATGCCATGGAACTCGCCAGTAATCATCAGCATGTCGACATCTGGGGCTTCTCTCTTCCTTGCCTTCATAATCTTCGAATGGGGCTTAGTCGATCTACCTATACTCCCAAGTACGTGAATATTTGCCAACAAACAAGCCTTCCGTCTAACTTCCTTTCAGTACGCCTATTCCGATACAACAAGTCCACCAACATTCTTCTTGCCACTCATCTTCTTATTGGATGGGTGTTCTGGGGTAATTTGTTCTATCTACCACTATACTTTCAGAATGTGCGCGGTTACAGCCCAACCGCCGCAGGGTCTCTAATACTGCCAATGGTGATTGCCCACGGTGTGACATCAGGGCTAAGTGGCTTGTTAATGTCTTTAACTGGGCATTACAAGCCTGTGATCAGTATTGGAGCAGGCCTGTGGACCACAGGGGCCATGCTCAAATCAAGCTATGGAAAGACAACCTCATCCCCACTCTTCTGCCTTACGGGCATCTTGGAAGGGATCGGTGTTGGATGTGGCCTACAACCTGATATATTTATATCTCTCTCCGCTAAAAAATAATAACCAAAATAAAGTGCCTTGACTGATAGATTCAGTTCTTGTTGGGTTACTCGCCAGAACCGACAACGCTGACCGCGCAGTAATTACTGGCTTGCGTAACTTCCTTCCGGATATAGGCGGATCTATTGAAATCACAGGTTAGTCAATTCCAGTCGCAATGGGCATTTGATATTATGATCATGTCTTCTAACATATCGGCAGTTTCGGGGGCAATCCTAAACAATGTCATTCAAGCTGGCCTCGAGGGCCAGTTTAGTTCCGAAGTTATTTCTCAATTGACTTCATCTGCCTTTGCATTGTCGAATCTCAAACTTTCACCGGCAGAAGAAGATCTCATTCTGATGGTATACGCGCGTGGTCTAAGATTTGTCTTTATCTCTTTTGGTGTCTTGACCATGATCATGTTTATGGCCTCTATCTGCCTGCACGATTATGGTCTTGTCCGGAAGAACCAGTCACAAGGTAGTGATAATGATGATGATGATGATGATGATGAACAATAGCTACCATTAGTACGTTATAGTCAAGTTCATGGTCACTCTTTTGCCTAGAAAATTTTCCAAAATATTGAAAATATACTTGGATCCTTTAGAAATCCGTACAGGTAGTTTCTCAAATGACTCACCAGGAGTCAATTCGTAATAAATATCAAATCTCGCAAATATTCAAACCCCTTATATCTACATTTTATCTAGGTACGGTAGTCACCGTTAATAGTCACATACTCGTGACTGAAGTCGCAGAACCAATAGACAGCGTCTTCTCCACCGCATCCAGCAGCACCCTTCTCACCACCACCAAGGTCAATCTCAATCTCAAGATCCTCATTCTGCAGAATAGCGCTAGCACGCTCCTCATCAACAGTCTCGGGCTCGCCATTAACAAGCAGTTTCAGGGTAGGGCTTCCGTCAACAGGGCGGAAGCTCACAGATGTACGCTCAGGCACAACAACTCCATCCGCAACACCTTGCGTATATCCAACAGCACAGAGAATACGGCCCCAGTTAGCATCACGACCGTACAGCGCAGTCTTAACCAGAGGAGAACGAGCAATAGTAGAAGCGATTTGGCGCCCAGACTCATAGTCAGAAGAGTTACGCACGCGCACAGTCACGAACTTGGTAGCGCCCTCGCCGTCACGGACAACAAGCTGTGAAAGCTGCTGAGCGAAATCGGTGAACACGGTCTGCAGAGCCTGGTAGTCGGCGCTGGGTTCAGCGGAGGAGGGTGCGCGGACGGTCTCGCCGCCTGCGGCACCGTTAGCGAGCACAGCGATGGTATCGTTTGTACTAGTGTCACCGTCGATGGAGATCGAGTTGAAAGAGCGGGAGATAGAGTGTTTGAGGATGGACTGGAGAGCGGCGGGTTCGACTGCTGCGTCGGTACAGAGGACACCGAGTAGAGTGGCCATGTTGGGGTGGATCATACCGGCACCCTTGGTCATGCCTGCGAGGCGGTAGGTGCAGTCTGGAGAGGAGGGTAGGGTGAACTCGCGGGAGAGTAGCTTGGGGAAGGTATCGGTTGTGCAGATGGCGCGGGCGGTGGTTAACCAGGCATCATGCGATGAGGCAAGGTTGGCATGTGCTGTTGGGATACGGTCGAGGATCTTTTTAATGGGCAGTCTATAATTCCGTTAGGATTCTGTGTTTTTGTGTCGTGTTACGCATCACACTTGCGCATAGATGAAGAGCATACCGCTGACCGATCACACCAGTACTCATGACCAAAGAGCTATCCTTCTCGGCGCCATTGCACTGGTCAGCCGTGTGACCCATGCTAACTGCATCCTCGAGACCACCCTTTCCGGTAACAGCATTGGCGCACCCAGAGTTGATAACCACAGCGCGGATACCCTCTCCTTTGCGACTGCGCAATGTCTCCCGGCTGACCTGAACTGGAGCAGCTTGGAATTTGTTGGTAGTGAAAACGGCTGCGGCGGAGCATGGGGTCTCTGAGGCAATCAATGCCAGGTCGGGGAACTTGGTGTTAGATGCCTTGACACCGACATGAGTACCGGAAACCAAGAAACCTTGAGGATAGGTGCCTGAGGTAGGGATATAGCGCTGCTTGGAGGCCGGGATGGCCATATCCAATGGTGCGGAGTAAGATCGGACCTGGCCCTTGAGCATGCGGGCAAAGGTGTTAACCGCCATTGTAGCGGGTTGGGTATTGGAGACCATGTGGACGTGATTTAGTTTCTAGTAACAATTATAGAAACATGGTCAGTCCAGCTAATTTAAATGGGAGGTGAGTAGAGCTCGGTGATCGGTGAGTCAATAACCTACTGTGGGAACCACGAAAAGTTACCCGCAGCTCCGAGACCGGGAAGAGATATCCCGGGAACTGCTGTCACTGGAGAAGATAAGACAATTGCAAGCTCAGACTATGAACAAGAAATACCTAGGGAAAGGAGGGAAAGGAGGGAAATAAGAGCAGTATGGAGGGGAAATGCAGAAAAAGATCTACGGGAATTTGTGCTGCAGCGCTCACATGACTCAGTATGCCTTTTCTTAAGCGGATTAAAACAATGGAAATACACAAATTAATCCACTGGAAACTAGAAAATTTTTACTTGATTGACTCGTTAAGAAGCAGATAAACACCTCATTTAACAATAGGTGTGTTAGATGGCCATTAAATGCCTCGAACTAAATGTCCATTAAGCGCAGGACGGAGTTTCTTGTAGCGCGCAAGGCGGAGTCAGTTGAAAACCCACTGCGCGACAACCTTGGTCTCCACAGCGCATGATTATTCTTCAGGAACAACCCCCAATCGAACATTGTCACATCCTCAAGCGTCGATCACTTGCCGCCTCAAATCTAGCGCGAATACACACTGAGACAAGCCCTTGGAGGGGAAGAGTAAAGGAACAAAGAGCCAAGACTCCCCTTGCATCGCGTCCCTGTCGTACATTCTCCGGATCTGATGGTATTGTTGATTCCCTTCTCCCTAAGCCTCCCCATCAGGCCAGCTATCTGACTCGTCTCATCATGAAGCGCAAGCTCTCAGATTCCGGTCTGGAAAATGGCCTTGCTGGTTCGACTCCGAAAAGGCCGCGGAGAGCTCTGGTCCAAGCCAATGGCACCGTAAATGGCCACGCGCCAACCCAGTCACCTCCCAACGACACTGCAACATACGAGCTCCCTCCTAACCAATCCACACCTAAAAAGTCCAATTCCGTCACCGCGACCCCGCTGAAGGAATCTGGATTGAAAACGCCTACTCATAAATCGAGGGCTAAGAATTTGTTCGCAACTCCCACGAAACCTAAGACGCCTGGCGGAGGTACCCCGGCTCGATTGAAGAATGCCGATCGATCTGCGAAGAAGAAGAGTGCCAGGGTCTTGTTTGAACAAGATGACGATGCCGAGTGGGATGGCTCAGAACAACTTGCGGCAGAGATTCTCCAGGAGGACGAGGAGGATGACTTCGAGCCCGTGAAGGAAACCGGGAACGCGACCAAGGTGGTGGAAAGTGTAGAAGGAGAAGGCGACGCCGAGAAACCGAAGGGTAAAGATGCGAAAGCACCGAAGCGTCGAGCCGGAAGACCTAAAGGAGCAAAGAATAAGCGATCACCAACGCCAGAAGGTGAACTTCCCGCTCACGAGCGCTATTTCTTCCAGAACCGCGCAGGAACCAGCAAAACATCAAATAAGACTTTGATTAAGGTTCCATTGCTGACCCATGAAGAATACTTTGAGAAATTGGGTCATCTGGTGGATCCCTGCAAGGAAGAAAAGGATTATCTACTCACATTGCACCATCGGTCGTTCTCGCAGTGGAATTTTGAGTTTGAGGAAGGATACAATATCTGTCTATATGGTTATGGATCGAAGCGAAAGCTTGTACAGGGATTTGCCGATTGGGTCTATCAACATTCCGTTTCTGATAACCCTCCCATCGTGATAGTCAATGGCTATACACCTGGTATCTCCATCCGTTCGATCTTTGCTATGATTGTAGCCGCTTTGTTGGGTGATGATCTCCCCTCCAAACTGGGTTCACAGCCAACTGAAGTATTGGAGCTTCTTCAATCAGCGCTCAGTAATCGACCAATTCATGAAGGCCCAGTCACAGTGTTGATCAACTCGGTTGACGCTCCGCCTCTACGTCGTGCAACTAACCAGGCCCTTCTCGCTCGTTTAGCTGCTACGCCCCGTATCCGTCTCCTTGTCACGGCTGATACACCCAACTTCACAGTGATGTGGGATATCAGTCTGCGTGACCAGTTGAACTTCCTTTTCCACGATGGCACTACATTCACACCCTTTGCAGTCGAATCAGATGTCGTGGACGAAGTAAACGGCCTGCTTGGTCGTAAGGGTCAACGTGTCGGTGGCAAGGACGGAGTGGGATTCGTACTAAAGAGTCTTCCGGAGAACGCTCGCAACTTATACCGCCTCTTACTTACGGAAGTTATCACTATCATGGATGACGGACACCAGTCTGACGACGAGGGTGGAGCGGATAACAACAAGGCCCCCGATGACCACGGTATAGAGTTCCGTTTACTATACCAGAAGGCGACAGAGGAATTCATCGCATCGTCCGAGATGATGTTCCGCACTTTGTTGAAGGAGTTCCACGATCACCAAATGATCACCTCACGCATGGATCCCAGTGGTGTGGAGATTCTAGGTGTGCCACTGTCTCGGGATGAAATGGAGGGTGTGTTAGAGGATCTGGTACTTGGCTGATACCTCCCTTCCAAGGCTGCCGAGTGATGTATGGAATATACATATCGAAGATGTCATGATACCCCTGTACGAAATATAATATGTACCAACTTGCATTGGCTGTCTTGTTTCTAGTGTCTCAAAGTGGTAAAAAGTAGCACTTTATACACAAATCGAGTAGTCACTGACTCTCTTCTATTTACAAATTTTCATTCCCAGGTTCAGGCTTCTTTTTAGAACTGCGCAAACGCCGCCAAAGCCATCATAGTCCCGAAACTCACCTTGAAGGGACGGTGTTGAGACACAGCCCGTCGCACATCAACACCCTTCACATACTTCTGAACACGTTCAAGAGGAAGAATATTATATCCCTTAGAAGCAGCCCACTAAAGGAAGTAAGTCCTTGTCAGCAATTGTACACTCAACAAGCCCGGTAATCCAACACCAGAACCATAGAAGCAAAGAAAGAAACATACCTCAATAAGAACAACACCCATACCCAAAACAACAACCAAAACACGCGAAAAAGCTCTCAATCCAACACCAGCAACCAATCCCAAAACACTCCCTAGGCTAATCTGTCGCATATTCTCCGGCGACAAGAACGCAGACTTAGCCTGCTCAGTAATGCCAGTACGGCCCTGCTTCTGAAGCAACGGATCCTCAGGCTTTAACGCCCATCCGGAATCGGCATTAGCCTGGGTCTCGGGACGGTAGTAAGGCGCGCTGTACTGGCATTGCATTGGAGCTGCACGGAAGGGGGAGAGTGGGTGGAGAGTAGCTGCCGAAAGACCGAGGCCGACACCTAGACCGAGACGGAGGAAGGGAGGGGAGAAAAGCTGGAAGGCCATTTTGTGGGTATATTTTGGAGGAATTGAAGGAGGTAGTATTATTGAAACTCAATGCAATGCTGTATCAATTGAAAGTAGGTTCAGGTTTGTGGAGGAAGGAGTTCGGAGCTCTGGTTGTTTGTATGTGGAGATGCCGCATGATGTCATACAATTGTCACGCAGGTGCTTGGGGGACGCATGAGGATTGGCTGCGGCATAGCCGTGGACAGTGCATTTGCATTCAGCGTGTATTTGTGGGAACTAAAATAGACCGATTTTGACATGTTTATGGATGGATCCGTGTATCCATTGTGATTGAGTTTAGTTCATTTCTATGCTGAAGTATACCGTATGCACTGGCATGAAAGTCAGGTTCCCGAGGTCTGGACGGACCAACGTTGACTAGCTAGATACTATGTACTACATACTATGGCTATGGAACATAGTTTAACTCAGCCAGAAATCCCGGCGCATTAAGATTTGATCTTTGAAATGTATTCACTCGAATATTGGCCAGATATATGTGATGCCGATGCCGATGCTGATGCTGATGCTCTGCTACTATATAATGATCTATGCTCAATGCCAATGCAAATGCAAGAACAACCATAATAGATCCCGAGGTTATTCACCAATGTCAATGCTTCCAATGTTAAAGAACGCTATGCCATCGATTCTCCCCACGAAACCCACCGCCGCACACACTCATCCACCTTCTTCAGCGCCTCTTTCGCCGCCTCAACCTCAAACCATTCGCGATGCTCCTTACCGCATTCTCCACATTTACCTAAGTCGCGGAGTCGTATATCTGTTAACTCAAGATGAATCAATCGCTCTACGCGATGAACATGTGGCACCTTTCGGCCGGGGACTAGATTGGCGTCTAATCCTGCATGGGCCCGGGGCTGTGGCACTCTAGCCGGAGACGACGATGCTGACGAAGATGTATATGGATAATAGCGGATCAAGGTCAAGTCATATGAGCATTGTCGGGTCCATTCATTCATTCGTCTATGCACATTACTTGTGCGTCCGATTTTCAACCGAATAGTTCCGGGAGTGTTCGATGTCGGATTAGACGTGAGAGCGTTCATGTCGCGTGCAGCACTAATAGCATCACTGACGCTACGAGGCTGAGCGGGTGGTCGGAGACTTTTGTTTCCAGATGTTGCGGGCGGAATCAATGACGAAGCAATCTCGCTTGGTAGCGGTGTTTGGGTCGTATTGCCGCGTGAAGTCGTAGTTGGGGGTGTTACCCAGAACATATAGATATAGCCCTCATCATCCGCATCTGAGATAGGCTTAGCTAATTCTGTCAGAAGTACAGATGTTGTTTGTGGAGAAAGCGTCGGTGGGATCCATGACAGTAGAGACTTTGTTTGCGAGGATGAAGAAGATTTCCGTTGGTTTGGGGCTGAGGGCCGTAGGGGCATTTGTGGTCCAGAAGAAACACGCCCGTGCTGTGGACGTCCCGTGGAGACAGGGCGCTGTACCTTTTGATATGGATTTTGAGGAGAAGGCGAGACGCCTTGCGATGGGCGAGTCTGCATCGGCTTTTGCGCCGGCCTAGCAGGGCGATAATCCTCACAGCTGTCCTCTTCAATCGTGAAGCAGCAGAACGTTTTCTTTTGACGAGGACGTCGTTTCTGCGTTGCTTTATTTGGAACGGGTTTCTCATCTTTAATTTCGAGTACACCAAGTCGATCCATAAGCGTATCGATACTAGCTCTCCGCTTGGGTGCTACATTTGACCCATTGCCTGTTGTCGATGAAGCCGCCTGATCTTTATGTTGCCAACAATATAGAGACGACAAATCTGGAACAATAGAACGATCATCTCTTTTTCGTGGAGTAGATGCCGGAAATGGAGTTTGAGACGGCGCCAAGCCTCGGCGACAAGGCCGGCCTTGGGCAGTAATGCCTCTACATGTTGTTGCTGGGTTTCTAGAATCCGTGCGCGGGAGCAAAGATTCTGGCGTATCTGAAATTTGAGGCATAAATCAGTTTCCAAGAAGATAAGTGATATAGATGTGATAAATGGTTGTGAAGTGGATCTTACGGCAGAAGAAAATATTTCAAGCTAGGGCCACAATAGTGCTGCAGGGCCATGATGCAGTTGCGGTGAGGAGCAGGAATGTAGCGCCGCCTTCGAAATAACTCCACTTGGTCCACGTCAATTGTGTAGCGGCGCGAAAGGGATGTTATTTTTACATTGCACCGCCTCATGTGGCAGTGTCTCTCCAGTTCACACGAGCAGATGACTCGATGCAGTGACTGAGTGGGGCTTTTACGCTTGGAAGCCAATCATATGGCAGGGATAGGTGCCTTGATCTCAGTATATTTAACATTATTTAGTCTTCCTAGGTTTAGTAGACGCCATTTAATATTACAGTATACACATGTATTATAGAACAAGTGAGCCACTGCACAAAAGAAAATTTTCATTCTCCTGGAAACAACTCCAGGGCTTTCTATAAACACCACTAGTCCTATGTTCAGAGACCCCAGAAACGAGATATCATGTTTATACGCCACTCAAATGCGGTCAAATAAGATTCCTGAGCCAACTTTGAGTAATATATGGTTTGAAACTATATGAACCTTCAGCTCTACCACGCCATCTAGATTGAACAAGCTGGAAATCACGGAAGGGGTGGGGCGAGGGCTGTTGACTCCGGTGGGGGGTATCTGATACACAGAGCCAAGCTATCAGTCTTGGAGCGATTAGGTTTAATCAATATTCAAATGATCAGGAAAAATCCCAGGAAACTGAAAGAAAGTTAATTTAGCATAAATGAAACTATTCAAACAGATATACATTATTATTGTTCGAATAGTAGTAGGTACTGTAGGTAGTATAGTATACTCCAGGGAACAATTTAACCCGGGCCGAGTCCACGTTCACCGGCCCCAAGTTCCAACCGGCGGTAACCGCGTATTTGCTCTGTTGGACAAGCCCACGTTAGGTTACTTCGAAGCTTGTTATCGTTTATCGCAATTCGCCTCTGGCTCTCTCAGGCCTTCTGTTGCTTCCCCCGCGCGTTTTAATTTCGTGCCCCCCCCACCTTCTTGCCGCGACCTCTCCACAACCTAGGTGTCCATGCTTCTCTCGCATCCCATTCGTCTTCCCTGGACATCTCTGCGATCGCTACGTCCGCTCAATCCATTAAGGTCCTTTTCATCCTCACGCCCACGTTTCGCTATCGACATGGGGACAGTGGACACCAGCGCACGCCTTGCGCAGCTTCGGCAGCTGATGCAGGAGCACAAGGTGGATGTCTATAGTATGTCATGAGTCTTGGTCTTCCCACGCACCTGTCCAACGAGTCCTCTAACGCCTGTTATTTTCTACTTAGTTGTTCCTTCTGAGGATAGCCACCAGTCCGAATATATCGCCCCATGTGATGCTCGTCGAGGTTAGCCAACCACCATTACCCCGTCCTTTTCCCGAATGGGCGCGCCCAGATTAACCACATCGCAATTACAGAGTTCATTTCGGGGTTCTCTGGCTCCGCCGGCACTGCGATCATCTCCTTGAGCCAAGCTGCACTCTCCACCGACGGCCGATACTTCAACCAAGCTTCGAAACAACTCGATAACAGCTGGACTCTGCTTAAACGTGGCGTTGAGGGTGTCCCCACGTGGCAGGAATGGTGAGCATTTCTATATGATATTTTCTAGAGAGATACAAAACTAGAAAGGCTAAGGGTAATTTAGGACTACGGAGCAAGCTCACGGTGGAAAGGCTGTGGGTGTTGATCCATCTTTAATCACTGCCTGTGAGTGTTACAATTTTCAAATATCATTTTGCTGTTATTGACACCGAAATGTTTAGCTGGCGCACGAAAATTGGCAGAGACCCTGGAGAAGAACGGATCCTCGCTGGTCGGAATTCAACAGAATTTGGTGGACTTGGTTTGGGGCAAAGACCGCCCCTCTCGCCCCAGGGAAAACGTACGGGTGCATCCGGTGAAGTACGCCGGCAAGACCTTCCAGGATAAGATTGCCGATCTGCGCAAGGAGCTGGACTCGAAGAAGAAAGCGGGGTTCATCATCTGTATGACACCACCCCATTCCGGTTTAAAGATGGTTATCTAACTATGGTCAACAGCGATGCTGGATGAGATTGCTTGGCTATTCAACTTGCGCGGAACTGAGTATGGCCCCCTCATATCCCAAAATTTCTTCTCCTTCCAAGCAGCTAACGTCAAATAGCATCCCCTACAACCCTGTGTTCTTCTCATACGCCGTGATCACTCCAACCACAGCAGAGCTTTACGTCGAAAGTGACAAGCTCACACCGGAGGTGAAGGCTCACCTTGGCAAAGATGTTGTTATCAAGCCATATGACTCCATCTATGCTGATGCACAGGCTTTGAGCAATGCCAGAAGCCAATCTACAGGCGAGACACCCACCAAGTTCCTGCTATCTAACAAGGCTTCTTGGGCACTCAGTCTTAACCTAGGTGGCGAGGACCAGGTTGAGGAGGCCCGTAGCCCAATCGCAGATGCAAAGGCTGTCAAGAACGAAACTGAATTGGAGGGTATGCGCGCTTGCCACATTCGTGATGGCGCGGCCTTGACCGAGTATTTCGCATGGCTCGAAAATGAGCTCATCAACAAGAAGACCACATTGGATGAAGTTGATGCCGCAGATAAGCTGGAGCAGATTCGCTCCAAGCACGAGAACTTTGCTGGTCTTTCCTTCGACACCATTTCATCTACCGGTCCCAACGGCGCTGTCATTCATTACAAGCCTGAGAAGGGAAGCTGTTCGACCATTGACCCCACTGCCATCTATCTCTGTGACTCTGGCTGCCAGTATTTTGATGGAACTACTGATACTACTCGTACTTTCCACTTTGGTCAGCCTACCGAGTTTGAAAAGCGGGCATTTACCTTGGTTCTCAAGGGCTGCATTGCAATTGATACTGCAGTATTTCCCAAGGGCACCAGCGGCTTTGCTATCGACGTCCTCGCGCGTCAGTTCTTATGGCAAGAGGGCTTGGATTTCCTTCACGGAACTGGCCACGGAATTGGCTCATACCTGGTAATTTCATATTGCAACCCCTTTGAATGATTCTTCATTAACCAGAACCCAGAACGTCCACGAGGGTCCCATTGGTATCGGTACTCGTGTCCAGTACACCGAAGTCCCCATCGCCGCAGGCAACGTTATCTCCGATGGTTAGTCAAAACGCTCTCTAGGTAATTATCGTCTTGTTTGTTCATCCTACTGACAACCTTTTTAGAGCCTGGATACTATGAGGACGGCAAGTTTGGTATTCGAATTGAGAGTAGGTCTTTTTGGAAACCCGATTATCATATTGTATAAGTTCGCTAACTCATCATTCTTTTAGATGTTGTCATGGCTCGTGAAGTCAACACTCCTCACAAGTTCGGCGATAAGCAGTGGCTGGGCTTCGAGCATGTTACTATGACCCCCATTGGCCGAAACTTGATCGAGCCGTCCTTGCTGAGCGATGCCGAGCTTAAGTGGGTGAACGACTACCATGCTGAGATTTGGGACAAGACACACCACTACTTCAACTCCGATGAGCTTACACAGAAGTGGCTTGAGCGTGAAACTAAGCCCATTTCCAAATAAGTGCGATGAGATTGAGGCATCGTGGCATTTGTCAAATAGCGTATCACTATATTCATACGAAGAACCGAACAATTGGGCACAGATCTCAAATAGAGTTATTTAAAACTTCTTCGATACATCATACAAATTATACAGTATCCACTAGGAAGCGTAAACAATATGAATTATACTTCAGTGTTGAAGTGTTCCGCTCTGTGAACCGGACACAAACGAATGTAGCCGCGCCGAAGCTCATGTGGAGCTCATGACTTCGACTTCCCCATCCCGCCCCGGGCACCACCACTCTGCCATTGTTGACTCTTCCACCCTTCATTGCCTTGTTCGGCACACGAGAAAAGTGAGACCAAGAATGGTCTCAGTACCTTCCTACCTACCCACGCGCGCAAGCCACAGAACCTAAAGCCCGGAGTCTCAATTAAAACTACCCCAGAAAAGCCCGTTGCGGCCCCGCCAAACCCGCCCCTTGTCGCAGGCGACCACGTTCTCGAACAGCCGCATAAACCTCAACAGTACACACTGCGAAAACACTTGGAATGAGTGGGAGAAACGGCTACGGTAACGGGTACGGGAACTCCGATGCCGGCCGGTACGAAGATGGTAGATACGGTAGCAGCGAGAGTCTCGGCGTGAACGGGTACGGCGGTCGAGGAGGTACCAGCGGTTCTAGTGGAGGAAGCCGTGATCGCCGACCTGGCGGTTATGGGGGATTGTCCCCCGAGTCGAGTCAGCTTCCGCCCTCTCTGTCGCCAGGTCAATCGCCCGAGCGTCGACGTGACATGGCGAGTCGGGAGAGACAACAACCACCTTCGTCCCAGTCGGGGTCGCGGTCACGGCCACGAAACACCGATTCGGAAAGGAGATACCAGTCTGCGAGAGAAGATCGATCAACCGATGCCAGTCGGTATGCAGATAGTCGCAGTCACGATAGGTCCATTCCCGACGCTAGTGCTATGGTGCCCAATACCGCCGGGCAACAGTCCGTGGAAGAGGTGCTACAGGCTATTCAACGGGAATGGGACTTTATGACAGATGCCGAATGCATTCCTGTAAATGTGGCGCTGAGCCTGATGGATACGAGTACATTGGGAAAGGCGGACCGAGAGCCTGAGTTTCTGAATATGCATGCTCGGATCCAGAAGACTTTGAAGTCGATTGTGAACGAGCATCATCAAGGATTTAACAGCTCAATCGGAACATATCACAAGATCCAATCGAATATTCAAAATTCTCAAGGCCGAGTACGGGATCTCAGAAACTCTCTGGAGGAGGCTAAGTCTGGGCTACTCTCAACAAAGCCGGAGCTGAAGGGACTGGCCACATCCTCTCAGAACTATGATGATATCCTTCAACTATTCGCCCATATTGAGGAGATTCAATCTTTGCCAGAGAAGCTTGAGTCACGAATTTCGGACAAGAGATTTCTTGCCGCGGTTGAGGTACTCCACACTGGGCTGCGATTGCTACGACGCTCCGAGCTTGAGGACATTGGCGCTTTATCTGATACTCGTGCCTACTTTACCAATCAAGAGACCTCACTCACGGACATCTTGATCGAAGAGTTACATGACCATCTATACCTCAAGTCACCTTACTGCTCAGATCGCTGGAAGACACCAGTTACAGAGAAAGAGACCAACGCGACGGCATGGACAGGCAATCGAACTTGGGAGCGACCTGTCTACAGGTTTTTGGCGAAGTTTGATGCTTCTACGCCTATGATCGAGGATACGTCCCGGAATCCCGAGGCGGACACATTTTCGTATATCCAGCTATTAATAGAGGCACTGAACAGAATGGGCCACCTCGATACTGCCGTTGATCGAATTGAGCAGCGTCTCCCAGTCGAGCTATTCTCAGTGGTAGATAAAACAAACGCTGAGACTGATGCGCGCTATCCTACACCGAATCGCAGCTATTCATCTCACGATAACCAACTCAAGTCCAACCTCCCTACGGAAACCATCGAACAGCGCGGTCATGTGCTTTCAGAGTTCCTTTGGGCGCTATATGCCAAATTTGAAGCAATTGCAGAAGGTCATCGAGTCGTGCACGATGTTGTTGCAGGAATTGTCGAGCGAGAAAGTTTGGCCAAGAGCGAGACCCTCAGTGATGGATTCAAGGAGTTGTGGAAGCTTCTGCAAAGCGAGGTGAGATAATTAGGTTTCGGTATTTGTTGATCTTTAAATTAATGCTGACAACATAAAGATTCGGTCATTGTTGCACGACTATCTTGCAACTGATGGGGATTCCTCTTCACGCGCCAGAGGCGAGGAGGCAGATGCCCGACGGAATCTCAACTCCAATAACAGAGACAAAAACAAGGTAAAAAGTGTTATTAAAACGAAGCTCGCATCACCAAAGGCTAACATCACTCGCAGAAAATGTTCAAATTATCCGATATTGACCAGGACTCGGAGATGAAAGCTGAACAGGATGAATTGGACGAAATTCTTAAATCGTCAGTACCTGGTCTAGTTTCGAAGTCAAGGCAAAAGGCTTCTGCCGCGGATTCAGCCCAAGCCCGACAAGGAAACTCCGGAACTGGCCATAAGATTCTCCTTGAGCCAAGCGTTTTCAATATGAGATTGCTTCTCCCGCCATCGCTTTCTTTCATTCAGCGTCTCAAGGATATTGTACCTGTCGACTCGGACATTTCTATGGGCACAGTCACTTCTTTCCTCGACGATTTCATGGTCAATGTGTTCTTGCCTCAGTTAGATGAGACTGTCACCGATCTGTGCACATTAAGCTTCATCGCTGCGGATGCATTCACCGAGGATCCTCAATGGACTAAGGTGTCCCCTCGACCTATCTTCCGGGGAACGGTCAAATTTATGACGATTGTGCGAGAGTTCAGCAAAATGCTTTCAAGTATTCCACACGACCAAGCATTCACACAGCTCTTGATTGATCAAATTGTCACATACTATGATAAGTGTTGTGGTTGGTACAAAGGTCAGTTAGAGATAACTCAAGAATATGAATGCAAACTGACCGTCATTTAGCATTGGTCACTAAGGTTTCCGCCCGCAATCACGGAGGTGAAGTGAGATTGAAAGCTGCAGCTGCATATGCTGAATCCGGCGATGTCCGCGAGGTGGTTGAGGAGCTATGGAAAGGAGCCGGGTCCAAAAAGCAGACCCTTATTGACACTGTAAGTCCTGGCATAAGTCTAGCAATTTGAGCTTCACTGAGTCCAAATTCGAATCTGACATAAAACAGGAAATCGATCTACTATTGAAGAGGACAGACGCGGTGCCTTTGGAGCCCTATGATATTATATCAGACCCTAAGACCGTTGTTGCAATTTCGCTTCTATATAACAGCATGGTAAACACTCTGGTATAAATTCTTCTTTAGCTCAAGTATCTCACACATCAATAGGAATGGCTGGGGAGTCACCTCACAAAGATTCGACTTGTACTCGATTCTTCTCATGACACAGGCTCATCAACACTGTCATCCAATGGCCGACCATCCCGTAGATGGACTATTTTTGGCGCCATGCGACCTAAGCGTGATAGTCTCAGTCAGCCAGTGCACCTACCACTCAACTATCAGACAGCCGCAGCTTTCGACCAAACTGTTCAATCTTTGCATTCACTGGGATCGAATGCCCTTCTAACCCTTCACGTTGATATTCGTTGCGGCATCATCCACATGTTGACAAGGACCATGTCTGGCCCTAACCCCCCGAACATCCGCAACTCCGAACCCACCACACCATCCCCAAGCACATCAGATAACTGGTGGCATATTATCATGAACCAGCCGACCGCTGCATCACCAACAATTCTCCAATTAAATGGTGACTTGATTGCATTTGACACCAACATTGCTACGTACCTTGGGTCCGCGGAGCGTTGGTTCATCACTTCCGGCCTGGCAAGAGTCATCGATCGCGTCTTCGTCGCTTGCACCCGATATATTGGTGCTATGAATGAAAATGGCGCTCTGCGTCTGCAGCTGGACGTTCTAGTTCTTCAGCAGAATCTCAAGAATATTATCATTGACCCAATGATTGACCCGTCATTAACTTCAGAGCATGAAGTTGTCGCTCTGCCTCGCAGTGCTAAATTCTTGGATTGGTTCCTAGAAGGTGCAGAGAAGGCCTTGGACTACGCAAGCGAGGAGAAGGATACATTTGCCGCACAAGGGGATAAAGCCCTGGCCGCTGGAAATGGCGAACCATTCACATACGAAGAGCTTCGTGTCCTTGTGGATCTCTGCTTCTCTGAGATTCTGCGTGGCCCGCGTGGAGCCGAGAACCGCGAGGACTTCATGTCCGCGAAGAAGGCTAGTGCAGATGCTTTGCTGCGTCTGAATGAGGTGATGTGGGATGCACGATAACGGAATACATATACAGCACCCCGAATCTCTTGATTCCATAGCTAGGAATTCATGCATTGTTTGTTTCTTTTTCATTCCTGAACTCCATCACCCGTACTTTCATAGACAAAAGCCGGTAATTCTAGATGTAAGCTACCTAGCTTCCACCCCGTAGAAACCTTAACAACTCCTCACAGATGAGTTGTCAGATAAGCTCCCCTCTCATTGCTAGTGTCAGAATGCCTCATCTGCGCAGGTAGGTACGGGTCGCTGCAGAACGAACGATACTTTGTGCTACATCCCAATGCAGTAGAACCGTAAGGCCCAATGCCTTGAATATAGGATATCGTTGTACTCCGCCAAATTTCGTCATCTCAAACTATACCGAATGCCTCTGTAACCCTTCATGCAAAACAGCGGCTTCTATGGCCACCGAAGTTATGTCAAGTTCTGTCGCCACGAATCGGCGTAACCACTTGAGTCTTGAATGGTTCCGCAAGCGTATGTCAAATACATGTAGCTGAGATGGCCTTGTATAACTCGAGCTACATCATCCTATGGTAGAGCACAGGAAAATGCAGTAATATTGTACAAAGCAAAAAGCTATTCAATATAAATACACTCAAGGACTTATCCTACCTACCTCAGGCTTCCAAGGAATAGTTCTTATCAAAACGTCACATATCCCATTATGTCCCCGATACTATCCATCATTACAGCCCTCCTCGCTACGCCTCTACTATCCGCTCAATCTCCTCCAATCAGAGAAATATGTAAAAGCACCGACATCATCACAATCCTCTCGGCAGTAACCCAACAGACGCATGAATGGAACATTGCTTTGCAGTCTACCCGAAATGGTACCATGGAAGCACAGGTACGCGTCCCTGCCAAGGGGCGTAGTTGCAATTACTGATGATACCTACCTATAGATCATTATGTCTGGAGCAAAGCAGCAACTTATGCTCATTCGATCAGCCGAACGAGAAAACTGCACTGCCCCAACAGATAACCAGGAAAAAGTCTGCGAAGCAATCCGCGAAGTAAAAGCTATCCTGGTCATTCTCTCTAGGCTCGCTTCTAACGTGATATTCTTAGTTTGCCAACTTGGAGGAGGAGACACTGTACACTGTTAAAAGCAAGAATAGTACCGTGATCGGGACGCCAAAGTATAACTTTAGCTATGTTCTACAATATGATGAGGATGCCATAAATGTGAGTTGCAATTAGTATGTTTCTTGGATAAGAATGAATGTTGATTGAATTTGATATAGAGTTATTTGTTTCGTCTAGTTGGGACAGTACCGGAATGCATTGGTGAGATTGCGCCTCAAGTCGACTCTTTGGTGGCGTCTCTGAAGGAGGCTGTAAATGCCTATAGTGAATATTGATGAGAAAGCAGAATGATCAAGTGTTACAAATAAGATTACGCTTCTTGATAGTTGAGGAATCATAGAAGTTCCAGTTGATCAAGTACCGTCAGACTGCTCTACATTATCAAGCTCGACCTACGGATCTTTGAGCATATGGCACAGATTTAGCGAGCTACGCAGAATACATTTAGTGGAGTGACCATACTAGCCCTGGAGGTACATATGTGGTAATGGTCATGAATTCGCATTTGACCGATGCTCCGTGGCTTACAGTAACATAAGAAGAAAAACCCCCGACCCCAGCCTAAATTTCGCCGATCCAACCAATAGTAATAGAAAAAAAAGACAACGGACAACAGACGCAATTGAATCAACCAAGAGCAGCGGTGGAGATAATAAGAGAGGAGCGATAAATAGGGAGGTGAAGAGAAGAGAAAATAGCCGATGAAAAATGCAGCAGTTGCAGCACACGGCAGATTATGCCCCGTCAAGTTGACCCGGGCGCATGAGGAGGTTTGCCACTCAAACGCAAAACAGAGGAGTGCAGATGCGCAGAGCGACGTGCATTAAGAAAGGAAGATCAACAGAAAAGGATACCGTGTCCCAATAGAGGGCGATAACGAGTCAAGTAGAACAGCAGGAAATGAGGGTATGTTCAGAATCTTAACCAAGAACGCAACAATCGTATCACATCGAACGAAAGATAAGACACATTGACAGAGGAATCTACTCGATCTCAAAATTCTCCAAATCTTTTGACTCCTCATAATCATCGTAGTCTAGGCCTGCATCGCGACAACGCTGGAGCCACTTCGAGGCCATACCATTGCGGCGAGCAACCTCTCCCTTCAGCTTAGAGTTCGATGCGCTAATCTCGTTGATGGCGTGAGTCGTTGTGAGGCTGTGTTGCTCAAACCGCTCCTCGATGGTCTTTCGTTCATCCTGAAGCTGACAAATATATTCGATTGCCCGTTGTAGTATGGCACCCTTGTTTTTATCACAATTGGGGACGATACGGGCGATCTGGTTGATACCCTCATTGATAGCTTCACGACGTCGACGTTCAACTATACGGAAGTAAACATGTTAGTGATGACTTATTGGAGGGGGCCCATGGGGTCTAGACCAACCTTCTTTGTGATTGTTCTTTCTAATTTGGTGCCATTCCGGAGAGCCGACAGTAGGCTTCTGGTTCATTTGTTGCGCCTCGCGAGCGGCGTACACAGCAGCAGCGGTAGAATTATGTGTATGCGAGGGCCCCATTGGTGGCTGGCCCATATCATCTCCAAATGACAAGCCCGATGTTAGGTTGTTTGCATCGAAGGCTGCATCGGGAGGGGGTGGATATTTGTGTTGGGGAGCATGAGCTGCGAGGGCGGCCTTTGCCGTGAGAGCATTGTCGTCAGACATGCCATTTTGAGGACCGACGTGTTGGAGAATTTGCTGATCGATGTTCAACTCGGAACCGGTATTGGGCAAACCGTGTTCGTAATTAAGTGAATGGGCGAAATTGTGCTGGTTGTCGCCCATACTGCCGTTACTACCATGAGATGAGCGGTTCATACGCTGTGGATCGTGCCCCAGATCGTCAGAGAGTTCACGTTTGCGCTTGTGACCGTCAGGGCTGTTCATGGGGTCTGACATGGTATAGCAAAGCCTAGAATTTAGGGTTAGTAATCCAGTGAGGGGAAAATCGCTCAAGGTCAATGGATCAGGGGTGAAAGCAGAGGGGAATCCCGGATGTTAGTGAAGCGTGGGTTAGAAAGAAAGTGTTTCGGGTGTTCTATCTCCCCCGGGAGGATTGATCATCGCTCCCTTGAGGGGTAAACAGCAAAGATAAACGCGTAAATTTCACGCGCCCGGTGAGGCGGGATGCCCAACGGAGGCGTGGGATCAAGCGAAGCCATCGCTAGGAGGTGGTTTAAGCCATCTTCCAACTCGCGACAACCCGTCTACAGCCCATGACTCGATTCAGATCGCCTTGAGGCTCCATCGCACCGCTCAAGACGGCGCGAAGGCATCAGAGGCGCGTCATGGCTGCGGGCGACCGAGGGAAGACAGGCAAGGGGGTAGAGGTCAACGTCGAGAGCGATGAGAATAGCATCAAGACGCGAACCGGGAAGGTGTAGATGAAGATGAAGATAAGGGAAGTGATAAAAGAGATTCGTTACCTTGGATGATCCTCTTTATCACCTGACAGGAAGTCACCTGCCACGGACAATAACAAGATCAGAAGTCACGTTTTTCGCGATATGCAAACTTCAAGTTGAATACCACAAATTGTAGGGGAAGAAAGGCGGTTCAAATGTATCAGGAGAAAGGAGATCGGTTCGATAATCCACTCGAAAACACCGATTTAACATGCAAAAGGGATGGTCTTTTGGGAATCGCCGAGTCGAAGTGAACTCACGTGGATTTGGGGGGAGTAGAGCAAAGTTCGGATACGCATAGCTACCAACGGCGCAATAAATCACCTGACTCGGCATCCCAGCATAGTAACACAATTCTCTGTTGAAGATCTACATACTTCCGAAGTATAACTTTACTGGATTTCCACTTATCATATTGATATGCTCCAACCATCAACTTCAAACCTATCTTTTTGTGCTTTTCCATTCTCCGTCACGATCGGTCATGTGCAATAGTCCCGTGCCCCTCACACACACACATTGGTATCTTGATCTCTAATTGGCTAATCTATCACACCATCACGTGAAAGTATGCGGCACGGACCATCTCCATGTCCGGATCAGGTATCGCGCGGCTGCACTATTTCCGGACATGCGAAGTATAGACATCAACGAGACACACAAGGTGATGGAGTTTCCCGGTTTTGTGGCCGAATTCCTCCTGGAACTAGCTCCTTATTTACTTGTATAGTGCTATTGTTTCTTCTAGTTATGAAACATCACATGTTTGAGTCTGTGTCCCCCCCTTCCCAGTGGAGCTGGGGGTTGCACCCGAACTGTGGACTAGACTCTGGTCGTTGTATGTAAAAGGATCGCCCGGTCATAAGACCCCCAAAGATTAAAGTGGATGGGCGTTCTGCAGAAATAGTCGATCTCCCATGCGATCACCGACAAACGATCTACATAGCTGATATCACTATAGAGAGGGGGTAAAAATGACATGCATCCGGACCCTGGAAAAAAACCAGAGATCCAGTTAAAGATCGAGGAACTATTCCCCATAAACAGATCACGATATCCAGTATTTGCAAATAATAGTTATTGTCTATAGCGTTTATTCACTGTTCCTTCTAAATAGATACCAAATGTATTGTTTCATAAGTACATCGGCCTTCAAGAACTCACTAGTAGCAGGCAACCGTTCAACCCCTCCTCTCTCCACATTTCACCTCCACTGACGCGTTTGAGTCTCGGAGTGTCTCACTCCGCACTACGAAGCCCAAAAACCATTTTCGGATCTGCCGTAGTATCCGCGAAACAAATGCCCTCCTCCTGCGCCCCTAGTTGATCCCAGCATAGAATTTTGACATCCATCTGAGCCCCCGCCTGTGCTCCCTCCCGTGACCCCGACCCGGCCCGCTGCGTCACTGCAACAACGGCGCTGGTCCCCGCATAGAGCGCCGGCGGCTTAGTATCATCTGCCGCCGGCTCCTCGCCTGCACGATTAGCAAAGACAATGACCACCTGTTTCTCTTTCGGCTTTGAATTCAGCGAACCAGCAGCCGTCGTCTCCACATCATGCTCACCATCTAGATTCTGTGCATGCTGCATCTCTTTCTCCAACAGCGGCATGAACCGCTGTAGCCAGTAACTAAACGTATCCATGTCTGGGTCCTTGTTCAAAGCGGCCAAGGCGTCGCGGCTGTGCATGGTTAGCCAGGCCATGGAGAGAATCACGAGCTGCGATCGAGAGTCCATGATACGCGAGGCGAACTCAAACGCTGAGTAGGGTGCTTCGAATTTGTAAGGGTTGATGTCCATGCAGATCCCGAATGATGTTGCCACTTTCTTGTGTTCTGATCTTGATTCCTGTACAGAAGGAGCGCTTGTTCCTGCACGTACATTATCCCCCTCGCCACTGGCACTGTCTCCTCGGCAAATATCACCCACGAGATCTGTTGCAGCACCGGGTTTACGCTGTGCATCCCGCGAACGGAACTCAAGCTCATGGAACCCCCGCTCCACGTTACCCTCTGCTGCCCAAATATCGTCGGTGAAATACAGGAAGCATTTCCGGTAGTTGTGGATTACTTCGCCGTCCTCGTTGACAACAATAAGGGAATTGTAGTATTTCGGTGCTTCTGTGTCGTCATTTGCATTGGTCTCAATCTCTGGATACCCAACACAGACTTTGCAGTTTAGGCGTTTTGCAGTCTGTCGCGCCCAATCAGCACTCGGGCCTGTGCCTGCAGGCTCTAGGTGTGGTTTTATAGCCTCCAGTGACGGGAAATTGTAACCTGGTTTATTGGAATTAGTATATGGTGCATTGAAAGTACAGGTTAAAGGTCCCATGTAAACAACTCAAACAGCTTGTGCTAAGTTTCAGAACCCAAGTCAAGACGGGAAGGGATATCCAATCCATTTCCATAATACGTACCTGTCAATGCTAGCTCAGGCAGCACCAAAATATCAGGTCTTAGCCTTTCTGTTTCGATAGCTATAGATTTCACCGCGCCACTAAATCCAGACGTAAGAACCTTGCCGCGATCGAGGATCTCATTGGCTCGTCTGATATTGCCATTAAGATCACCCAACTTGGGGGCGAATTGAAGCGTTGCGATGCGCATGTTCTGCCAGTGCGATGTCGAGAATTTTCTCCTTGGTCGCGTAAATTGATTCGGGAAACAGTTGTTTGCTCCCGGGATGAAATGATATATTTGGCTGTTGAGATTGAGATTGCAAATGCGGGTTAGGATGCAAGTAGATTTGAATGCCATGCAGAGACCAAACTGTTGTGTCCCTGGACCCTGGTAGTTAGGCCCCAATGGAAGTACGTCTCTGCCAAAGTGGACCACTTATGCGGGTGAATTCCCCACTGACGTCGAGTACAAGATTCATTCCTGCGCTGTCACGTGAATTCAAGCAACCTCAATAAGAAAATAAAGTTAATTCGATTGAGATAGTTGGGCACACATATGCCGGTAAATATAAGAAATTGAGAATTGAATAACTTGAGATTGAAACATAGTCATGGTGTTGATTACGCAGACTTTATTCAGGGAGCCAAGCCGAGAACTACTAGTATGCTGCCCGCATCAAAATCCCCTGGTGGACTGTCTACTTATACCAGATTATTCGGAAATGGACCTCGGAAGATACTGTCATAGCTGAACATAATATTGATCTGACAATAACTTTACATACTGCGTTTTTTTAGAACGCAGAGTGAGATAACCTTGAATAGATGTGGGTATGTACTGCAGTCATCCTCGAACACCATGTAAATGTGCGAAGCGACCAAAAGAAAATGTTAATCCCAGATTAATAACGCCATCCAGTAATGCTGAAAATGCCTCCCTATTTTAAGTCACCCCAATATTCCATAGTAAAAACCGGCCTTTTCTCCACAACAGAAACAACACTGTATCCCTATCGGCTCTTAGAGAACTTGTCCTTGTTATCCAAAGATTTGGCATGCGTTTTACTGAAATCGAGGGGAATGTAGGCCAGCCCGTGAGCTCCTGTTCGCCTGATTCTCTGTTCCGTGCGAGACAGGGTTCGACCCAATCCCAGCGGGGTATCGGGAGCATAGGCTACCTTGTATCCGTGATTGGGCTGTTCTGGAGGCGACATGCTCTGTGTGTATGGAGTTGATGCAGAGAAACTTCTATGGGGGCTGTAGGAGTAGCGTCGCAGCTCGCTGGCAGGTTGCGAATCGTACGCGTCGAAGATCTTGGGTCCATTCTTTAATTGCTCAGCTGCAATGCGAGCCGCAGATAAGAGAATTTCATCTTGATCAATCTCATGATTTCGACGCGCCTGGTCCGCAGCCTCAATCTCGGCATCTGTCAGCCCCTTACGCTCTGTCAAGCCTTTGACGCGCTCCAGACATGGCAGTGTGGGGGGTGGTTTGGCATAAGTTGAAGCAAAAGAGTACTTGCTTGGCGGCGCTGAGTTTGGTACCAGATCAGAAACTTTGAGTGTCTTGGACTCCGGTTCCTCCGGCGACTGTTCCAAAGCAGCTTCCTCCAATGCCCTTTTCCGATTCTTTGCTTGCTCAAGCTCCCGCTGCCGTTCCCGTTCCCGCTCACGCTGGCGTTGCTGTTCCTGCTCAAGTTGACGGGCCTTCTTCCGTGCTTGTTTCTCCTCGACACGTTTAAGAATTCTGTGCCAAGCGGCTCGTTCTTCTTCTTCTGTCTCGTAAACTATTAGATAGTAATGTTAGTTTCGTGATCTATTCATTTTCAGAAGTGAAGTGATAAACTTGCCTGTAGGCCCATCTGAGAACTTCCGCTTGTTGGTGGGCGTAAGAGAGTCTCGCGATGACAGAGAGGATTCCAAGGAGCCAGTCGGCCCATCGAGACCTTGTTGTTTTGTTATAGACACCGCCTCAGGGGGCGCAGATGCCAAACTCTGTGGTTTTTCTTCGTTTAATGTACTCTTTATAGGTTGGCTAAGAGAGATGGCCGATGGGGAGGTTATTGGCTGTGAAAATATTGTGGCGGGTTTCTTGGTCTTGTTCTCGGTCAACTCTGGAGTACTCGAGGATGGGAAGAATGGCTTGGGTGCTTGGAATGTCGGAGCGGCGAAAGATGGAGGGGTTGTTGATGGTGGACCAAAAAGACTGGCGCTTGCCAGTGGCTTTTCTTCGACTTGATCGGACTTGCTCGAATCTTCGATGGTCTTCTTAGCTGCACCATTTCCAGTAAACAGACCTCCGGATAACGATGGTTTGGGAGATTCATCTTGCGTATTTTTGAAAATCGTTGGCTCAGTCGAAGAAAAGAGGGGGTTCACAGCTGCGAAGATCGAAGAATCTTTGGGTGCAGGAGGTGCAGGGACTTCTGAAGAGCTAGAATCTTTGGATCCACTGGAGGGGAAGAAGGGATTTGAGGTAGGAACTGAGGGAGTAGGTTGTTGGGTACTTGGATCGATGGCAGGGGTAGCAGCCTGAGTAGCTGGGGAGGAGGATTGAGGACTTGTGAACGAAGATAAAGATGCAGCAAATGGGTTTGGAGCTGCGGTCGAGGGTGTAGATCCTGACGTGGGCTGGAATAAACCACCGAAAGGAGACGACTTAGGCGGCTGACTAGATGCCGTCGGCGCAAACACAGAGGTTGACGCTGGTTCTGTCGGCTTGGAAAAAGAGAGGGTAGACTGCGAGGGTGCCGACGCAGAATTTTGGCTTGTACCTATCGCAAAAGGAGATGGAGTAGAGCCGATCACCCCCGTTGCTTCGGCCTTGTTCGCTGCAGTGTTTCCAAAGGATATGGACGCGAAAGGAGACTGGGCCACAGTATCGGGAGGCTGCGGCGTAGAAATGCTTGGTGGGGTGGCTGACTGATCTGCACCAAGTAAAGCGCTATTATCTGGTGATGCAGGTTTCTGAAAGACATTGTAGACGTTGGTTGCAGGAGATTCCATGGGGTGGTCAGGCTCCAGGGTGGAGGTATTTGGCTCTACCACGGGGGCAGGCGTCAAATTACCCTCGGCGCTAACAAAAAGAGATTCGTCCTCGCCACCAGCGGCACTTTCCGAAATGGCTGTAACTTCATGTAACTGTGACTTGTCGATCATGCCCAGTTTAGCGGCCTCTTGCACGCTCATACCCAGAATAACAGCGACTAAATTTCTTCCTATTCTCTTGGATTCCACACAATAATTCGAATAAGCGTGATCCGAAGAAGGCGAGAACTCTAATTAAGAGGTTAATCATTTGCAATAAAAAGACCAGAGCTTGAACAGGGTGGATAAAAGCCAGGCAAATACGTACGGATAGAATCAACAGGACGATTGCCCCAGTTGAGAAAGAGCACCCCGTTCGCATTTTCTGCCAATTGCAAATCTTGTTCCTCGCAGAACTTGACCGTCTGTTCATCATCATCAAAATGTAACACTTTTGTTAATTCCTCGACCGTCCATTCCTCATTCTTGTGTTGTTGTGACAGGGGCGTCTTGCAGTAGCCTTTCCAAATACCCCGAATGGCTGTCTGGCGAACATAGCCGAAGTAAATTTCAGCAACACATGCCATTAAATAGGAGACACTTGGCGAGTTGATGATATTGAAGAAACGAGCATAAAGTCCCTGCGCAATAGCGTTGGGTCTTCGTGCATCCAAAGTCCCTTGGTACTCCCAGGTATTACAAGCAGCTGCATAAAGCTCCAATGCGACTTGCACGCGTGGGGACTTCAAAAGGGAAGGAGGCCATTTTGAAACACGAGCTTCGAGATCCGGTCGCTGGTCATGGATGGAGAAGATGATAAGGTACGCGCGAAACTCATCTTCGTTTGGGAAATCGATACGGTCACGATTATCATCATAGTAGTACATTAATGAAAGCATGGTGTTGTTCAACTGTTCTCTCTCCTGGTGACGGTCGAAAGGCTCCTCGTTCGCTGGGCCGGATAGAATATGAAGTGAGACAATATGAAATCGAGCAATTCTCTCCATACAGATGACTGCAGTCCTCACATCATTGTCTTGCGTAACTTGCTGGACGGAGAAGTCGTTGCGAATCGATCGTGTACGGTCCCAGACAAACTTGTGGACGATTCCTAACGGCTCGCGGCCACCGACAATATGACGGATGAGATAGTTCGTACTTTGCAACAAGGTGTTTGGAGTCCGGATATCAGAAGGAAGCTGCTCATCATATCCTGCAGCTGAACGTCGAAATCGCTTCAGCATCTTGGTCTCCATATTTTGGAGAGTTCCTGTTGATGGGTGAAGGTACTGAAAGTACCAAAGTTGAGCGTCGGTTAGTTGGGTCATGGGGGGAAGGAGCGGCAGTAAACAAAATGTGAAGAACGAGGGACCTTACCTTTTCGCTCTTGTCCACCATCTTTTGCACAATGCGCTCAACACGTTCGAATTCAGGGCACATGCTAGTACAGGTGCCCACTGGCGTGATGGCTTTATTGAGTGACGTGGGTTGGTTCGGGTCAGCCATTTGGCCGGCCTTAATGGCATGTTGTCTTTGCTTGGCGCGGTCGAGTTTAAGCTAGAAGGTAGGTTAGAACGAGTATTTCGAGAATCGCAAAATAAGTCTTGATCAAGTTGTCTATGCTGACCTGGTCGTAGCGCTCATGATATTGAGCTTGCTTCGTCGCATCCTCCACGGAAACGTTTCGCAAACCTCGCCCAGCTGGGTTCGCATTCTGACTGCCTGGAGAGATAGGGCGGGCAGATCCCTGCTGTGAGCCCCCAAACGACGAATTCATTTGGGCCTGTACTGCTCCAAAAGGGTTTGAAGGCGTTTTATTTTGGTTCAACTGGGCGAAAGGGGAGTTTATCGGTTGTGACTGAGAAGAATTGGGTGTCGCAGCCGGTGCTCCTAAATGCGGTGTACTCGTGGGCGTAGCGCCAGCGCCAGCTCCACGTCCACGGCCCCGGCCACGAAATGGTGGTGCGCCTCGTCCTCGGTTGACAAATTTCCCTCTTGGAGCACTGGAGCCTCTTGGTTGAAACTGCGAGCCCCGAGCAGATGTTGCTCCTCGGCCACGACCTGTCGTAGACGAATTGGTAGCTGCTCCTCTCTGACCACGCGCACCAAATGGGTTGATGACTGGACTGGCCATCCTGCCCGCTCTCAGCGGAGAAGAATGGTTAGACCGCGACCAGCCACTTCACCACTCCACACTTTGGAATCCCTTCGGCGGCTGTTGATTCTGGACCGACTCGAGTGAAATTATCGATATGGAAGAAGGGGAAATTGAATAACGGATCTGTCTGTAAATTGAGGTTCAGTCGCCAAGGCGAGAACATAAGTCAGTCCATGTCGTGAATGAACGGAAGAATCGGCTGGACGGGCTCGAGTGCGGGAATTTATGTGATGGGCGACGTGGGTACCTTTTGAAGGCTGCTCCTTTCTATTCACCAGAGCAGACAATAATCATACCGCGACTAATGATAACGAGGGGGTTTGTTGGTCAATGGATATTAACGGCTCTGGACAATGTGGCGCGACGAATCGGGGCTTGAACCAGCCACTGGTGAAAGAATTTAGCGTCAAATGGAGGATTTTAATGGGCGCATTGGGAAGAGAAACAGATCAGAGCCTCGATAATAGCATGGCCCAGCAGAAAGAAACTGGAAAGAGCTGAACTTACCAGAGTGCAGAGCTATTCAGTCGGACTTGAATGATGCTCTGCTGATTCACGCGAGCTTCGAGGAGAGCGGGCGCGGGCGCGGGCCCACTATTAGCCGCGCGTATCCTTGGCGCCTGGGCGTTTGTAGCGCTTGGTATCATGTCCCAACGTGGCAGCTCCTCTTTTAGAGTTACTTCCAATATTGGTATATTATTACATAGATTGAATTGAGAATAGACATACCGTTTTACGGAAAAAGAGGTAGCAGTACAAATACAGACGTAAAGTAGGTAATTGAAAATAACCATGGACATGATTGACGGGAATTTGGAAATCTCCTAAGATATCTAGTATAGGGCAGTACTACTATCAATACGCCTATTCTGGCGAGTCTTTTTATGGGGGATTGAGATTTCTAACTAGCTTCACTATATTGTGCTACAGAATAATGTCTCAAGGATTTTATTTTACTTGAACGTTTCCTGTAAATTTCTTTTTTTTTCATATCATGATATTTCATCTGAACTATCTACCAGGTATTTATTGACACATCTCCAAGAACAAAAAATTGTGAGGCTAAAAGCCATATACATGATAAACATCCACGAAAATATAGAAGAGTATTAACGAAAGTCAAGAAGGTTAACAAATAATAAGTGTAGTAGAAAGAAAAGCAAGACCGAATCATAGAGAAACAAAGATTTCACCAAAAAATCAAAACCAGACCAAGATATTTTCAATAAGAGAAAAAAGAAAAAGGGGAAAAAAGCAGAAAACAAATCCAACCCATATCTGCGATGATCCTCTTATAGCAACACCTTCCTTTTTTTATTCACAATCAAGATAACTCCCTTGCAAAAGCCCCTTTATAATGGGTGCTTCATATGGTATTCAGAGCCATCAGTCATATATTCGTTAAAAGCCCGTGGCTTCTTAAGTCATTGCAATCCCAAGCCTATCAACCGGTTCCAGCCCGTCCGTTGAATTTAGGCAGGGTGAGAGAGCGTCAACCCATTGGGGTGGCCCAGAGAGCCAGTGCGAAAGGGCAGAGCCCGTTGTGCCATTGGGTCCATGGGGGAGTGGACATGATGAGACATATCATGCATTTGAGGTGGGCCTGTCATGGGCATATGGTAGGCTGGGTGCACTGTCTGGCTGTTAGGGGCAGCAGTGTATACTACTTGGTTGAACATGTCCTGGCGGAATGTTGGTGCAGCCCAGGAGTCATAGGGGCTCGGCATTGGGTGACGCTGCTGGTCTGGACTGGAGGAGAAAGAAGAGTTCTGGGAAGAGTAGTCGAAGACCGAAACATCGTGGGGGCTGATCATCTCTGAGGTCACCGGAGTACTGAGCATAGGCTGGGAGAAGGAGTCGGTGTAGTGAGGTGGGGTAGCGTAGTAGGGTCGATCTGGTCTGCCGTCGAAGCTAAGAGCCTCAGGAACTGCGAAGCTGCCGGGTAAAGAGCGACCGCCGACCATGGGGAGAGAATCAATCGGTGTGGTCAGTGGGGCAGCGACGTGCTCAACACATGATGTTGGGGTCATGAGGCCTTCGTCAATGGGCTCGGGTGCTTCGACATGTGCGACTTCGTTAGACTCCTCGTCATCATCACCATCTCCCTTGGGGCTAGGTCCTCGGTTTTGAACAAAGACAACCATGTTGCCATCTAGTATGAGTATTAGTGACATGATCAACTTCGAGGTCGAAAAGATCAAATACATACCGACTTCACCGCGTTCGAGGCGCTCTTCCATCTTTCTTACGCGGAGGATCTCATAGATAATCTCTACGTGAGATGAGTGCTTCAGGCTTCGCTTAGTGTCGCCAGCGACTTCCTTAAGCTTGTCTGCAGTAATACCGTAAACGCCAAGCTTACGGATGATGTGAAGCAAGAGCTCAATGCGGTCTATAAAAATGAAGTTAGAAACTAGGAACATAAAAAACATCACGAGGATACTTGACGACTTACACTCTTTTCGCAGGTGGTCAGGCTCCTTGTGCATGACACCAGGGGGCCACCATTCTGGCTTGGTCTTTTCAGGATCACCACCAGATCCGGGGGCAGATCCAGGTGGTGCTTTACCTCCATTGTAAGGGTGTCTTACTTGTTTGCGAGGCTCGATGAACTTAATGAATGCCTTGGCAACCATGCGGCAGTTCAACTGTTGGAAATGCTTCAAAGCACCTTCGTAGTAATTCATAACCTTTTGTGAGTCTCCAATGCGGAGGGGAACCATATCAGCCGAAGCATTGGGAGAGTGGTCATCACTATCAGAGCCATCATCATAACGGTTGTCGGTGACAGAAGTACCGGGGGCATTTCCTCTGCGACGTCGAACACGACGAGGTGATGCGTCCAAAGTGCCTATTAACTTATAGTTAGATCCAGTACTATGCTGAAGAACTCATTGGCCATAACATACGACGAGCACTTGACTGGTACCCAACTCTCTCTCCAAGAATCTCGAGGAAATTTTGGCGAACTTCAGGTGTGAAGAGAGTAGAGTTCTGTTCTTGAATAGATTGCGATTCCTCAACCTTGATCTTTCCCTCGCCGTCAAGGTAGATCATAGCGTAGTGGGCATAAGGTAAACGGAAAGATGAACGAGACTGGGCCATCATAGGCTGAACCAATGTTAGTATGTGTATGAGATTGCAGTCTCAAGCATTTGAAGTAAAGTAACTAACCGGAGCAACCTCCCAACCTGGGGGTCCCTCATGGAGAGCAGAGGCAGACCGTTTCATGGCGCCTGTTGAAGTATTGGGCTTGGCGTAAACCATTTTATATCGTATTGATAGTCGTCAAAGCGTATGGAATGAAGTCGATGTTGCCAGTAGCATAAACAGTGAAAATGATCTTGGGCGTGAACTTGGAAATTGACCGTGTCGAAGTTTCCGAGACGAGATGCGCTTTCTTATAGAATCAAGCTGGCGCTATCGTAGGAACTAAACCAGTCGAAATTCGTACTTGTGTCGACAAAACTAAGCCAAACAATTAGCCCACTAGTTCCAAGCTTTTAAAACGTCCGGTAAGCAGCATCGAGCCGGTGAAGAATGGTCTTGATAGCCCGTTCATGCCCAAAGAGCGGCTATCATTCTCCGTGCCCCGCCGGGTAGCGAAAGGATAGGAAGTTGCCATCCCGTAAACGGTTCCAGCCAAGCTATTTGAAACGGAACTATATGGACTCGGCAGGATTGATAGGGTGATATATACTTACAGAATTTGATATGGGCACGGAAGCGGAACTTCTTCAATGGCTTGGATAATGCGAGGGAAGACTGCAGAGCGAGGTCGCTGTTGGCAACCGACGGGTTGAATGCAGGAACGAGAGGGATGACTCCACTCGCACTGTGTTCCCAGAGCTCCCTGGTCGTGAGGGATGGTGACACGGACGGGGATGGAATGGTTGTATACACAATATCTTGTTGAAGTGTTGTGGTGGTGGAAGGCTGGAGTATTAAAAAGTTGGAAGTGAGTTCCAGGATTTGAAATGTAGAAAACTGGAATCAAGATGGAAATGGAAATCGAGAAGAATTAATAGTTCTGGGAGGGAAGAGCAGGTTGTTTAAATTGCCCAAAAAGAAAACCTAGTACAGATGGGAGAATGGGGGGCAGACAGTGCAGGTTTGCAGGCAATGGGGGGAGGATCTGTTAGCCAAAGTACTTTCTTTTTATTTGCGTTTAATTATTATTTTCTGCTTGCTATTTTATTTAAATCATTTATTTATTTTCGGAATACGATTTAATTTGAAATTTATTATTATTTTTAAGGGAATGGGAATCAAACACTGTGCCACATCGAGTATGGATGATCCCTGGAGCACAGAAGCCGGGGTATCCCCGGTAGGTATTATTATTATTATATTATTTATCAAATAAACAAAAAATAGAAAATAGAAAATATTAAATATTAAACATAAAATCTCGAATTTAATATTAATCATTTTTTCGCTGATCGCGCTATGCAGCGATGCAGGCAGATTGGCGCATTGAGGGCGGCGTGCATTAGTACTATAGTTAGTACAGACTTAGTGCGCATTGGGCTGGATATCCCGATCTGTACATGGAAAAACATCCCTGCTCTACTATTTGGTCGATCGCTAGCAATTTTTGGCATTTGACATGATTTATTCTGTCCGGTCTCTCCAATGACAGACTCCACTCCTGTTATAGTGTCGGACCAGTCTCTAAAACACAATTGGTGTCGATTATCGATCGTCCCCCCTCTCTTCTTTTTTCCACTTTCCACCCCCACTACATCCTGCCACTCCCGTGTGTCATAGCTGTCAAATGTACCCAATAAATGTCCGTAATCCAAACATTTTCACACACACACACACACAAATTAAATTAAATTGAAAAACATGTCAATCAATTCAAACTACAGCGAGGCAAACTATATGGAGTTTCTATCTATCAAACCGTTTCCACACTGGATTGCATACAATATTCATCTTCCCGTCCTGTTTCCCACTGCTTGAGCGCGGGATGAAGCGCCCCGAGGATCCACGTTGAACCAGGGTACTTTCTTTGTTTGGTGATATGGAGCAAGAAATTTACTGGAGAACCTCATTTCACCCTGTCGCACCATTTGCGCCTCCAATAACTACTTATTTTCTTGTTTCGTGTTCACATACCTAGTAAAAATTCAAAATTCAAAATTCAAAAAGAACATTCGCACAAGCCCGGCCATGCATCAGGGCCCACGTCCACGGCGCAGTATAGTGTGGGTTCTATTCTTAATATGCAGATCAACTTCAGCTCTCGGGGGTTCCGCGCTGTGGGAAATGTATTGCAGATTCGTCATCAGGAACCTGAGCCAGGCCCTTTTTCGCTCTCACTTTTCCTCGTATTACCACGGATACGGAGAAAGCCGCCCCCAACACGATCTTATTGGGAGACTGAGCATGCTAGTGGTAACTTTGCAGCAAGAAAACATCCTTCTCGACCAGTGCTCGATCGCCGGATCTCGATGCAAAGTGCCCCGGCGCTAGTTGGAGAGGTGCAGGGGCCTACGGTCCAATAAGCGAGTCCAGCCGGCGTTACTGCCCGCACCCACCCCGGTCTTCCCCCTCTCTCTTCAGTATTTTCATGAACCTATCAAGGTGAGGCTTGTGCGTGGCCCATCATCCTGGATCCTGGGATGTTGAAGGATGACTCGCCGAGAGGGCGTTTGATAGTTCTGAACCCGGAATTCGGGACCCAGTCAACGACATCATGGAGGTGGCATTCCCCTTTGAAAACTCTTGTCGATCTCCCTTGCCAGGTTCAAAAAGATATGACAGGAGCCCGCGGGGTGTTACAGCGGGGGACAACCTGGTTATTCTTCCTAGATTCAGCTAGAGAAGACCGAGGCCCCTGAGATCAGACCTCAAATTCCGCCAAATGAGATGGAATAGGAATTCGCAGAATAAGGGATGACCAACAAGAACAAAAATACCATCAATGCACACGGGTTTTCTCGGACTGATCTCGTTCTAGCCGCGTACATTTGAGTGAGGCACTCGCAGTTCTAACACGAATCGAGATGATTGGACACCTTTCGATCTCCTGTCATCATTCTCCCATCTAGATGTGATCATCCCTCGGGAATAGAGTGGAAGGCCGCGACAAAATGACAGAATGGCTGGAGCAATCTTTCCTCGGAGGGTTAAGCGTTGTACTTTTGATCTCGGAAGCCCCATCGCCCTGCTTTGTCAATCTTCGTCTTTTTTCTCTCCACTTTCCACCCTAAGAGTCCCCACTTCAGGAATTGAGAAAGAAAATTGGGTATTATTTAGTTAATAATTAATTTCAAATAATGGAAAAACAACTCCAGTTGCCCCATTTGTCACCAGAAATTCCCTTTTTAAGTCTGTGCTAAACGTAAACCATGTACCCAGGGGAAAGGGAACATTTCCCAAGCGACTGTCAGCGCCGCCAATCTCCCGTATAGTGGAGGAACTTGATAGATTTCCGGGTCCCAAAAGGCAACTGTACTAGATATGCGCCAAACCGACAGCCCAAATGTCAGTCGCAGCAAGACTTCTGCACAAACATCGTACCTGCGCTGTGTTTGATCTCCCACTTTCTTCTTTTACTTCTCACCCCACATCGCGAAAAAGTCGACAAATTCAGGCAAATACATAATTTTCTTATTATTATTCATTTCTGTTTCCGATTTGATTAGCTTTACCACTAAGTCCTTGGAAGCCAAAACTATTCCCGCCACAAAGCAGGAGCTTAATACGGAGTAACAGTACAAAAGAACGATCATCGTTACATTTTCCCCGTCAGAATTAGGTTACTACACAAAGAGAAAAGATCTAAGCTTCTTTACCCCCTGTTCTCCGTACTTTTGACCGTTATTTGTCATTGATCCTTGTCGTTCACTAACTAGTTGGAGATTCAATAGAATCTCGGGGGTGGAATGAAGAGACCACACTAGTTGCGACGGATCCTGAAGCCGCGCGAGGCATACCCACACCTAGTCGCAAGGGGGTGTGGGTGTGGCACTAAAGTTTTTGTTTGTTATCTCCCAGACGTTTATCCGTCAATCAACGGGAGGGAATTGCAGATGTTTGCTTTTTCTCTTTGATTTTTCTCTTTTTTTTCTTTGTCGTCTCCCCACCAAAAACGGAGGAACCTAAAAACTAGACTACTGCCATGTACAATGCGAAATCGGTATCCCCATTAGATCGGGGAATAGATTAAGGAAACAGACAGAATAAAAGAACAGGAGTAATCAAAGAAAGGAAAGAAAATAGGCAAATCATGACATCGACCGTCAAACCGAACGGTGTACACCGGAGTACAGTGATGTGCAGAGGCCTAGGCTCAGTTCAACACCGGGCCAAAAACCAACATCACCAAGCTCTCTCTTATTCTAGAACTATGATTGGTGAAATCAAATGCAGGGCTGCCTGTCACATCCCTGTCACGGTCTATATCAAGCCACAACGTGGCACAGCTCCAGCTATTTTCAGCTTGCTGGTCTGAATCACCGCCACAAGTATCCTAGTAGTCACAGCTTAACAAGATCCTATTGGTCAATCCAGCAGTCCCAAGTACCTAATGACCACCCCCAGATCCAGATTGAGATGCAGATGCAGACGTCAACTACAGGGGACAACCCTGTTCGTCCTAACGAATAACATCACCAGAACAAGAAGTGAAAATTTTCAAACCGTTGGGTAAAAAAATGCAGGAGATCACTAGCCAACGCATCTCAGGAAAAATTCGACAGATGGAAACGACTCAAGAGAATCTGCACTTTTCTTTTTACTTTTTTACTTTTTCCCCCACTGTTCTGTTCTGTGTTTTCTTTCTTTCTTTTTTCGCCTCCGCTAGCCACGATTTTTTTCGATGCTATCTAGGTAGCAAACAAAGACGCAAACCACCCTAGTCATGACCTACTTACTTTAGGAGTAAGAGGGGCAAGATGCCCTGTGATGCCATTATTCTGTCACCGCTAGAACCGCCCGGGATCACAGATTTGCGATCGCAGAAACCCAGTAAGTTGCCCGGAGCTATTCGGTTGTCTGATGCAATTACCCTGAAACTCAACCTACGGATAAGGTATTGAAGTGTTTTGCCTTGTGTGGGATCGGAGAGATGTGACAGCGGCAGTGTGCACTGACAGCCCACCTTTCATTTCCAAATAGGGGAGTGGGGGTTGATTCTTACATTTGTGTGGATTAATGTGATGGGTGGGTGGGCGGGTGCTGAGTTTCTGATTCTGAAGTCACTCCCGACATGCTTTCCCGATGTCGAGTCAAGATTGTGACTGCATGCAAGACGC